ACGTACAAACATCCATGCCACTCGAACGTACAAACATCCATGCCACTCGAACGTACAAACATCCATGCCACTCGAACGTACAAACATCCATGCCACTCAAACATCCATGCCACTCGAACGTACAAACATCCATGCCACTCGAACGTACAAACATCCATGCCACTCGAACGTACAAACATCCATGCCACTCGAACGTACAAACATCCATGCCACTCGAACGTACAAACATCCATGCCACTCGAACATCCATGCCACTCGAACGTACAAACATCCATGCCACTCGAACATCCATGCCACTCGAACGTACAAACATCCATGCCACTCGAACGTACTCAAACATCCATGCCACTCGAACGTACAAACATCCATGCCACTCGAACATCCATGCAGAAGTCATTACTACTCCATTTCCATTAGTGGAAATCAATAGATGCTGCACAGCCGTACACACCACTCCGTTTGCAAGAGTGGTGAAATGTGAGACATAAGCTTCCTCTGAAGCAACCATATTGGTGCTCAAGGTGAAAATAAGCATGAAAAAATATGGTAAAATCATTTTCATGTTCGCAAGTAAAATATTAATTTGAATATGACATTTCAGTTGTCTTTGTATTTCACAACCGGACATTCAATCTTATTAAATATAAACTTTAGAATCACTGAAGAAATGATGAATGACCTGTCTTCTACTATCACAATTTCAGTAGTGTGTAAAAATTGAAAAGGGAATTAGAAGAGATATTTTAACTGCAAAAATGTGTGTTCGGAGTCAAATCCTTTTTGATATAATGCGCGTGTAGGCATAGGTTACGATGTATCATGCAGCTAAATCGTTCGATAAATAAACTACTTTTCTTAAATTTTCTTTACACTATCTATTTTGAAATGAAAGCTTGATTTATGGAAACCTAAATCCATCTGATTTCATGTTTAGGTTGACCTTATCCATATGCAGAATCTATCTAAACGTCAATAGTAATCAATATCGAAAATTGACCTAAAATCAGAATCCTTCTGAGCTTCTATTTGCCCATAAGTTTCCGCAGCTCCAAAATCTCATGAGGGTTGCAACAGGCCAAGTAAAAATCTATTGTCCATTACAAATAAGGCAATTTGTTTTACCTATGAAAAGGAAATAATAATTTTACGCAATCTATTAAGTCGCATCTTCTCGCAATGGGCTAACAAAAATATCTATTTTATTGAACGGCACAGAAAATTGTACAAACTTTGTAATAATAGACTAGAGAGAGTAAGATATAAACCACGTCGTGCAACTAGCGAAAAGCAATACAAGATTAAACAGGAATGGGTCCATCAAGATCAGTTGTTCGTATATGTAGCGGTATAATTGAAGGATCACGCCAACTTGGGGACTATGGAAGGCGCTATTTCCTAAACAGTTTCAGATAATAGTTGTATAGGAAGTTGAATTATAATCATCCAGGAATAGGAAGTACAGAAGATCATACCTGGCAGTTCGTTTTAATAATATATTCCAGAATATGACCAGTGTGCTATACTTCCGTTATATTAGCAAGTAGTTTGGATATGCCTGCTAAGATAATGAAGGGTCACAACCTAGGATAATATAATAATTGGATCTTTTAATTACAAACTAAAGTCAAAGTAACAGTATCATTGGCGTCAGTAAAACTAATGTAATACGACGGACGGTGGCAAGGATCAAATAAGACCTTTTTTACTAAAATAGTGCGTCAAAAATCTTCCTGTACAAGAGGTCCTCCAGATGCCGGCCGTCAAAGGAAGCAAATATATGCTGAGATTAATGACTTTAAAAGTCGTGTCCTCTGCCTCATTCTCCACCTTTATTTAGACGTTTTTGCAACTTCTATCATTCACAGCGCTTTATTATAAATGTCATGGAACTCGTGAAATAGAACACCACCTGATTCACTGCAAGTGTCGATGGGTGCTTGTGATACCAGTATTTTTGGTGTTAATAACACTTGTGACTTCATTGCCTTCTTAAGCATGAGTGATGTAAATCTCCTAGAATCCATTGTCATAAGCTTTAAAAATGCGACAATTAACGAATACTATGAAGGAGATGAAGGATGTGACACCATTAGAGCTACGATTTCGGTATGTGGATTCAATTCCTACATATTTTTCGTTAAAAAAGAGAGTTATCAGAAAGCCATAAACCTGTCAATCGTAGCTGTTCTTTACTAGAATACAGTCAATTGGAATAGAGAAAGCCTGTCAATGGGATGCTTACATTTGGATGCTTTAGCAATCGTTAATTCATGAAGTTCAAATTTAGATGGGTTGTTCGAAACGACCTATCCTGAAGAATGCTAAAATGGATTGCACAGACAGCATGCGATGCTTTTATTTCTGCGTATTTTCTTCTATTGAGTAGCATTTATTAATTGTCTATAAAGATGATTTGTAAGAAGTGGGTTTGATAGAGAAAAACTCTTGAGGAGTTGATTTGAACCAAGTAAGGGTAGCCGTAGCTGTTTTATTAATTACTAGTGGGAAGATTTAAAATTAAGGCTTTTTATTCTCAGAATAGAGGATAGAGAATATATTACGATTGAAAGTTGGACGATTACCCTCAGAGGTTAAAGATGCTCTAACCATATTTTTCACAAATCTAATTTATAGATCATTAGCAAATATTGCGCTACTCTATGAAAAAAATTGAGAAAAATAGAAAATAAGGATATCTGAAAGGTAAAAGGAGCATTAATTGGTTCGGATAATGGTATAGGATATATGAATATACTTGTTAAACATTATTATTTCTAAATATTTTCACAGGCAATTGGTTTTTGGATAATTAACCTAGAAATACAACTTGTGAGTAGCAACTTTCCAACCATAATTTGGCTAGTATCTCTCCACATCATTTTAGTCCCCCCTTGTTTGTTTAATTCCTCAACTGAATTCAAACTCACATAAGGGCTAGACTGAGGGAGATTGTTTATATAATCCTTCAAATTTGGGTAGCCTGTTTTTGGAATTGCAATAGATAGGCAACGAATAACTCTCCCATAGTTAAGTATGACGATAGAATCATTGAACTAACAACATTTCCAAATAGTCCTGTTGCACCCAAGCCGAAGTCCGTCTTGAAATAATGAATCATATCTACCTCAATGTAGCTTCTCAATTATTTCGGCAATACTGTTTCTGATTTGAATTGAAATAAAATGAGAAATCAAGTGGCCTCTTACTTTGGATAAGTGGATTAACTGCTAAAGCACTTTTATTTGGTTATACTGCTGTCAAGAACCATGCCCAAAATCTAGCACTGTCATCAGCATCATACGCAGGCATTTATATCTATTTGTCTGTTTATAAGCTTACACGCCAGAAGTCTTCTCTGCTGCTGCTAGAGCCACTGGTAATGCTAATGCAATTGTATATACTGGAGTTGCTGGTTGTATAGTTCCTGTGGTTGATTATTTTTCCAATACTAGTTCATCAGCTCCAATCTGGATATGTGGAGTTTTTGTGGGTGTTATTGGTATAATTGCTCTTTTTTACCATTTGAACCTTCTAAGCATAGAGTTGTATAGAATTCTCAAATTTTTCTCCAATTTTTATAGTGATATATGCTAAATGTCAATTCAATCTTTCGTAAATTTATAAATAATCTCTGGGGAAGCTGCGAAATCCTAATTAAAATGAAAAAAAATAAATATTTTGATAGCGCATCGAATTTTGATTAAAGTGAAAAAAAATTATGGCGAAGAGCATATGAATGTTTATATAATATAAGTGTTTCAAAAAAGTGTAGATTAAATAATGGTTTCGTTTTCTTGTGAAGTGTGTAACGATACCGTGATCAAGAAGAAGCTTGATCAACATAGTCAGAGATGTTACGGAGCATATTTTAGTTGTATTGATTGTTCCACAACCTTTGAAGGTACTTCATATCGTCAACATACTAGTTGTATTTCAGAAGCTGAAAAGTATGAAAAAGCTTTGTATAAAGGTCCAAAAAAGAATAACCAGAAACCACAACCAGTAAAAGTTGAAAAGACACCAGCTAAAGTAGAAGAAGTGCCTGTCCCAACCACTGAACCAGTTAAAAAGAAGGCAAAGAAAGAATCAAAGAAAGAATCAAAGAAAGATTTAAAGAAAGAATCACCAGACTCATCTCCATTACTCAGATATTTAAATTCAAATAAGCAAGAAGGTTTTTATAAAGTAATAAAGAAATTATCAAAGGATAACTCTAAAGATATAAAGGATATATTAAAAACTTTGAAGGTAACTAAAACTGAAGATGGTAAAATAATCATTGAATAATACATTTTTTAGATAGAAGAATCTTATACATATATATACATAGGTCATAATAATACAAAAAGCATAGACTTCACATTTTATCCCTTTGATCCTTTATGTAATGCTCGATTAACTTTAGCATAAAATTGTGATAATGTATTGTAGGGGAACGATAAATTCTCACATAAATAATCCGGTAGCATTTTCTTAAGATATCTTGCATTTTCATTCGCACCTAACCGTACATTATCATCGTCATCATCAGCATATTCATCTTCTTCAGAATCTAAGTCCTCAAGGAAAGTAGGGATGTATTCAATTTCAGCTGTAGATTCAAAGGTTTTCGACACAATTAATCTATAGCTGATATATACTACGTCAGATGAATTTGAGGTTGTTTGTTTCACATCGAAATAATATTTGTCATCATCTTCAGTAAAATTAACTATTCTCAATCCAGTGAGAAGTTCTAACATATCGAGGGTAAACCCTATATCTTCAAATTCCTTTTTAATACTTTGTTGGTCGATCATATCCACAATTTTATGCTTGCGACTTCTAATAGGGGAAAGATATTCCACGTCATTAACCACTTGCTCTAATTTAGGATTGGGGATTGGTTTATTTTCTGACAACTTCAATTGTTCAATTTCATTTAACAACTTATCGATGGTTGATTGCTTTTCAGACACTTCTTCATTCAATTGTTTAATCAACTCATGATCATTTTTTATTTGAGATTGTGCTTTGGCTTGATAATTAGTGAATAAATCATCTCTTTTAGTATTAACCAATGAATTAATAAATTCCACTAAATCATGATTTCTATTAGACTCTAACACATCTTCTTCACTTATTATCGATGAGGTAAATTTCTTCTTGACCACTGAAGAAGGCGAGGCTATCAAACTTATTTTATTTTTATGAGGAGTAGACTTTGGGGTAGATTTAGGTGTCGATGACGTTTTAATATTTTGGACTTCCTGAACCAACCGCACAGGAGATTTCCCACTTCCAGGAAGTGATGGTTTCGTAGTAGTAGTACTAATAGTAGAAGCAGTACTTGATCTAGTCTTGGATGCAACTAGCAGCTTTCCCTTTGTAACTTTCGAAGAGTTTGGTTCCCCATTGCTTTTCGCAGTAGTTGCAATCCTCAGTTTCGAAGCACTGGTAGCAGCAATAGAACCAGTCAATCGACGAGTTCTTGGTGGCATATTTACTTTATAATCTCCCTAGTTGTATTGATGTTATAATCTATATGAATGTTATCCATATCAAAACGCGTTATTGTATAGAACCAAACCAAACCAAAACAAATTTTATCTTTTGTTCAATTTGGAAAAACCACACGACTTTTGAATTTTAGATATTCTACTTTTAAATTTTTTTACTTTTAACTGCAATGTCAGAATTACCTTTTAGTTATATTAAAGTATTAGACCATGTCTTTTAGTGCAGAAATATTCAAGAATAAGTTGTCAGTCCTCGATGATAGTCAGGACTCTATTGTATCAATATCACAGTGGGTTTTGTTCCATCATAGACATAGCAAAGATGCAGCCAAAATATGGTTAAATTATATATCAAGCACTGCAAATCCTTCAGCATCAAGCTTGAAGAATCCATCTCAGAAGAGATTGTCTTTATTATACCTTTGTAATGATGTGGTACAACAAGCGAAACGAAAAAGAAAAGATGAGTTTATTGTCGATTTTGCTGGAGTTTTGCCGTCTGCTTTAAGATATACATATATAACTGTCGAAGATCCTATCAAAGCAAAAATTGAAAGATTGGTTAATGTTTGGGAGGAAAGACAAGTTTTCGCTGCCAATGATATTTCGAAAATGAAAGAGGCTATTGAATCGGCCAAAAGGAATCCCCATCTTGAATCAGCAGAATTGAATGCAAGTAGTACTGAAAGCATTAATAATAATAAGATTGAAACACAAAAAAAGTCAAATAGTATTGATAAAGCAAAAGTTTCATCTGAACTAGAAGATTTAAATGAATTGTACTTGTTGTTAAGTAGATTGACAGATATAGCACAAACAAACTTAACTCAATATGGAATCCAATCAAAAACATATTTACCTCACGACCCAACTCTTAATGATTCATTACCTGCTCCTAAAGCTTACATCTCCAAATTGAATACATTAGAAAAAATTAGTAATGCTTCTATCCGAAGTATTGATGATTTAAAACTGGTAAAATCTCAAATTAAAGAGGCATTGTCTAACCTTGAACTTTCCATCACAGAAAGTTTAAAAACGGATGAAACAAAATTAAAGATTATCGAAGATAAATTGATAAGATTAAATTCAACAAGAGAAGAATTACAAGAGATGATCGATGAAGAGAATTCAAACTCACAAACTAATAATTCCGATGATGAAGAACCTTCTCCAGAATTTGAAGTGAATAATTCAGACAAGATCAGCAATTCTCTAGCCAACACAAATTATAATACTAAACTACAAGATTCCGATGATGAAGACTTAGTTCCTACATATGACACCGATGATGACGATGACGAAGACAATAATAATAATTCTGAAGATCATAGCAACAATGGTAACGGCAATAAAGCCAAAGCTCTGAATGGAGATGGTGAGATACGGTCAAACAAAAAACGAAGACTCTCTCAGACTCCATCCGGTGGATCAACGCCGTCATCTCTTAAGCGAGTAGCGTTTTCAGAAGATATCGAAGTTAAGGAGTACGAAGCAGAAGACGAATCAGGAATAATCAACATAGTAAAGAGTGACGATGACACCAGTGATTTTGACGTTTATTATAGCGACAATGAAGACGATTTTGACAATGAATTTCCAAGTCATCATAAAGATGACTTGGAATTAAAGCATGATCATGATCATGCAGACTATGATGAATATGATCCGTCTTTGACTGATACCAATTCAACAGTTTCGAACAATACAGAGAATTCTACAGACATTGCAAGTATTTTATCTAAATTATCCTAATAGATTTTGTATTATTCCAAATATTTTTTTGACCCACATGTTTATATAAACTACTCTATATATCCCAACCTTAATTTAATATAACACTAAAGTCATTGGAATGTTTGATGACTGATTTCGATTCATATGAATAATTACTTGTAGAATCTTTACTTTCAAGTATACTACTATTAGATTCCGATGTTTCCAATCTAATCATACTAATCTTATTCTCGGTATTTCCCAATTGACACCTACCTTCAGAACTAGAATAATTTAGCAAGTTTGGTAAAGATAACCTTTTCTTTACCGAATCAATCTCAGTTCCCAATTTAACACCGACATTCCTTGTAATATTACTGGATGCTGACATTGCGTCTAGTTTATTCTCCACATTAACCTTTATAGAACTTGAATTTCCATTTTTACCTCTTTTTGCTTTGATTTTTCTTGGTAGATATACACACAAATCATCCGATGACAGACAATTTGAACATTCAGGCAAAGCTCTTGAACACCTTTTCTTGAATTTCCTGCAACGAATGCAACTGACCTTAGATTTCCTTGGATCATCCTTTTCTAAATCAGGTTGTGAAAGATTATGTTCGTAGATATTTCTTTGAGAATGATCTAGACCTAGTTTCTTGAGATTCTTCATCTTAAACACAGTTATAGATGACACTTTGTTGTTATTAGTAACACGGGACAGTATGAACATTTCAGAACCAGCTGAAGATGATAAATCACAATCAATGTGTTTATCTTCATTTCTTAAATTTACCTGGAATTCACTTAAATATTTTTGAATTTCAGGATTATCCTCAAATGCAGAGTCCTCTGCTATCACGTTATTTAATACTTTGAAACCCATATGTCACACTATCATCACCTTTGAGAACTTCTATCCATGAACAAAAGTGATGTATATCTTAATAAATCGATTGAAAAATTATGAAAAATTGCAATTCTATTTTTCCGAGTCAAATATAATTCATATCACTGACTCTGATTCCTAATCAAATTTAAAATTTTCCCGCGCAAATTTTGCAATCAAAAAAAAATGCTTATCTTCTCTTTACAATTTTGTAACATGATGAAATAATTTTCTTCCTGAATGCAATAGCATAGCACCTGAACAAACCAACTGTCTGTTAATGTGAAGTTCTCGTGCAAAAGCAACCTGGGTAGTATTTGGAACTACTTTGCTATTCTGGTAAAATTTGGAATAAAGTGAAGTTCCCAAGGAAATCTTTTGTGTGCTAGGAAGTTTTCGATCCAACTCTAAAGACAAATTGGACAAAATGCTCTTATGATGAGAGTCGGGCAGCGTTAAGTCTGGCAACAGCTCTGTGAAAAATTCATTCATAGAACTTGATAAAGATTTTAAACGATCTCTTGAACCAACATATAGGAAGTGCTTGGTTCTGGTGCAAGCAACATAAAATAATCGAGCTTTTACTGGATCGATCTTTATGTTATCATCCTGAAATAAGCTTGACCAATCAGCTATATAATGATTATTTGACCCTGGGATAAATACCACCGGAAACTCTAAACCCTTTGCCGTATGTACAGTTGATACATTGACCATATCCAGTCTGAAAACCGGAACATCTTCACTGTAAGTTCTCAAAAAGTGTGATATAAAATCTTTCTCAGTATTTCCTGCAAGATACGTTTTATGAGAGGAAATCAATGAGTTGTAGAAAGATGAGATATTGATGTCAAGATTACTTCTATGGTTTTCTATCATGTCAATTTTTGACGATTTGGATGGGGATAATGAATAACTCGTTGGAGTATTCAAATGTTCTAATAAATTCCCCGAGCTAACAATCCTAAGTAATGATTCCATAATTAATTGTGGATTTTGATTGTGTGACAATAATTCTCTCTCTTTAGATATCCCCTCTAAGAATTTAGTCAAATAAGAAGTTGTTAATGAATGATCTGGTAATTTATAAATTGACGAGAATATTCCATTACTATCACTACCTTTATTCTTTTCTTTCGGGTCTTTTAAGTCCTGTAAAATGTAATTCATTAAATACTTTGGTTCAGAATTGTCAATTGTTTGCAACGCATTAAACAATTTGGAGATTCTCCCTTTAGCCATAGGTTTATCATCCATAATCATTAGAATACACATTAAGCAAAACTCAGAGCCATACTTTTCACTTATTAAGTTCAAAATGTCAAGGAATAGATGAACTTTTGAAGTTACCCAGTTGGTTGATTGGCCTAATTTATTGCATTTGATACCATAATATTCATTTAGATGATCAGCAACATCATTGACTTCTTTATTACTACGTAAAAGAATCGTGAAGTCAGAAAACAGAAATAAACCACCCAGTTGCAATATAAGTCGTGAAATTTCACTAGCTATGAAATCATATTCTTCTAGTGGTGTATCACGAGCGTATAATACCGGTTTGCCACCGTCAGGTTTAACGGATTTGATTTCTTTATGGATTTCAGTAAGCAAGCCATTTGGTTTTAAAATGACTTCTGCCGACACTTTAAGAACTTCAGGAGTGAGACGAAATGTTTCATGTATATGTTGTTCGTTTAGAGAAAAATCGGGAAACTCTTTATGTATATCATTAAATAAGTCTGGGTTTGAACCTAGAAATTCATAGATACACTGGTTTGGATCTCCAGCGATTGTTAAGTGTTTAGTAGTTCCATCATAGCAAGGGTATGAAACGACTCTCTTAACAATCTTAAGTAACAGATTATGCATATCTTGGAATTCATCAACAATGATTATTTTGTAATTTGCTAATTCATGAATCCATTTTGAGGAATCACCTTTTAACGAAGTATTCATCAATTTTATTGCATCTGTAATAAAATCTGAATATCTTTTCATTCCATTTCTATCCAAATAATGAATCAACTCTTTTAAATACTCTTCACTGACATTTGATTTTTGAGCTGCTTCTGTGATTGTTAATTCACCAACTTTAATAGATGATAATAGTTTATCTAACTTAGCAGCAGTTAAATTACCATTAATTGTTGCCCCACCTAATGAAATCGATTTGGCCAGAAATATGGTTGAAAAGCTTCTCCAACTCATATCATCCAATAAACGTATCTTTGTATATGCATCATCATATGGTGGTCCATACTCTTCAAGTAAACGGGAGCAAAATGAATGGAAAGTACTAATGTTGATTTGATTGGCAGATTCTTCATGTGAAATTGAACACAACGTCGATTTCAACATCCCCACAGCTCTATTAGTCATCGAAAGTACTAGTATTTCCTCTGGCTTTATGTTGTGTTGTTCCACTAGATGAACTATTCTTCTAGCCATGGTTAATGTTTTCCCACTTCCTGGTCCAGCTTTAACCAACAATATCTCTCTGGGTTTTGGTACAGTCTCAATGATCTTTCTCTGAGAGTCAGTGACAGTCCCCACATCACTATCAGTTCCTGATGCTACCATCGATTGAGCTGTATACGATTTCAATGACTTTGCTGTTACTTGTAACTAAACTCTAAGTTATTTGTTATAGATCGCAAAATTCCTTTAAAAAAAAAAACGTAAACAGAGTTTTGATCAAAAGAAAACTGTGATTAATGGGGGATACAAATACGCTATATAAAGCAGGCTTCATAGACATCCAACATAACAAACTTAGATGAGTGGGTTAGAGACTCTAAAGCAGATATTGACATCTAAGGACCATCTTGCAGATGCGCCAATTGTTGAGTCACTTGTCAATCTTGAGTCGCTTCTCAGTAAGCAATCTGGTGGTGAAGGTAACAACAAAGCAACATTATTAGATTCATTTCGAACTCATGCCAATGCATTGAATGCTAGTCGGGTGAATCAGCTCAATATCAATGATCTAGCAGCGTTGGTTGATAAATTTGATGACTACAATGACAAAATTCAACAATTTCAGTCAAAGCTAGATCCTATAGAAAAGATTTTGGATGGATTTAATCAAGATTTGAGTCACTTATCTGCAAGTTTAGTGTCATTACAAGAGAAATCAACCAAATTATCATCAGATTCGAATATACAGCATACAGTAACAGAAAAATTGAATGGAATAATATTGGATTTAATGATATCGCCGGAGGTGGCCAAGTCAGTAGTTGAAGATGAAATTGATGAAAAATGGCTTGAAAATTTAAGATTTATTAATGAAAAACTGCAATTAATCCATAGTATCAAATCCAAAAAGATGTCAAGTGAATTAGAGCAACTTTATAATGAATCAAGAGCATTGGAGCAACTTGAATTGGGAATCAAATTACTTTCAAATAAAGCAGTAGAAAGAATAAGAGATTTCTTAATATCAAATGTTAAACAACTTAGATCATTGTCAAAAACATCTTCTCAAGAAATTCAACAAAAGTTAATTAAATTAAAAGAAATATTTGTGTTTTTAAATACCCAACATCCTGAATTGGCTGCTCAATTAAGACTAGCTTACATATATACCATGAGATGGTATTATCAAACCAAATTTGCCAAGTATATCTATGCTTTAGAAAAATTACATATAAGACATATCGATCAAAATTTTGTCTTAGGAACTGATGGAGAAAAAAAACAAAGTGTTTTTGGAACCGCCTGGAAAGGTTGGTTACCTACTGGTACTAATTTAACTACTTCCTACACCACAGCTCCCACTAGTCATCTTTCAATGAATGAATATTTAGCATCTATGGATAAAAGAATTCACGTACTTGATGATAGTAAAGCAGGTTCAAGACACGTTCTGGCCATTCCATCTCAAATAGCAGAAACTACTCCCTTTGTTTACTGGCTTGAATTCGTTTACAACCAGTTTGCTGTAGCTCTTACTGATAATATCGTGGTTGAATATTTGTTTATGGTAGAATTTTTCTATCAAGATAATGAGAAATTTGATAAAATCGATTTACCGAAGTTAGAAGATGATAATCTATCCACCAATGCTAAAGGAGTCACTGGTCAAGTGGAATGGTATCAAATAATGTTCAATGATATATTTAAAATGGGTCGTGAATTTGTTACCTGGGCAATTACTCATTATCCGTATGCAAAAACAATAGGAGGTTCAGCTGCAAGTGCTGCTAGAGTACACCCTTCTGCCAGTTTTGGAAGTTGTGACGGATACGCTATTTTGGTCATAATTCGTTTGGTACAAGCTTCACAATCAATATTTCAAAACAAGTATCATATTCCTATCATGAACGATTATCTAAATTCATTATTGTTGATTTTATGGCCCCAATTTACAAAGATTATTGATCTTAATTGTGAAGCTATGAAAAAAATGATTTTACAAAGTTCAAAAGTGTCAACATTAGCTCCTGTTCATGTCACTCAACAATTCGCTCAGTATATTCTGGGACTCTTAAAGTTATCAGGACCTATCGCCGATGATAACAGCACCAAAGATTATAGAGGTGAGCCATTATATAATTCAATAGTAAGGTTACGAAATGACTTTGAGAGTTATTTAACAAAATTAAGTACTCATTCATTTGGAAATTCTAAAAACAAACAAGTTGAGAAAGAAATCTTCCTTTACAACAATTATTTCCTTATCGTTAATATATTAAAGAACGAAAACAGTGATGTAATTCTGAATTCAATTGTTGAAGAGCAATTATCTCATTTTGAACTTCTATGTGAAGCATATAAGAAAACTACTAAATAGATTAACTATAATAATATCATAACTCACATATCTTTGCAAATAATCCACACAATTGTAAATATGTAGAAACACCTTCTAGCACACGCATATGAGTAAATCCTATCTCTTTTATTAATTCTAATCTTTTCTTTTCATCAATTCCAGGTAATGTTTTAGCTACTCTGAATGTCAGAGTCACAATGTCAATCGATGAATAACCTTTATTCCACAAACCATCTAATAATTCTATAGCTTTATCTATATTCTTTTCATTTGTACAACTTGCCAATATCTTTTGAATAACTAAAGGATGAGGTTGATCAACAATTTTAAATACATTTATATCATTTACAAACCCAAAACCAGCCACTGTACTTTGTAAATTGTTTATGGCTTGTCTCATATCACCTTCTGCTGTGAATATCAATGCACCTAACCCTTCACTATTGTGTTTGACATCTTCTAGTTTAACAATTTCTAATAATCTTGCTAATACTTGATCATCTGCCAATTTATTATATCGCAAAATAGCACATCTTGATTGTAAAGGTTCTATAATCTTCAGGGATTGGTTACAAGCAAAAGCAAATCTAGTAGTGTTTGAATAAATTTCCATGGTTCTTCTTAAGGCTTGTTGAGCACCAGGAGTCATTGAATCAGCTTCATCTAAAATAATTATCTTATGTCTTCCAGGAGGTAACAGAATCTTAGTTTGAGCAAATTGTTTAATCTTGTTACGAACAACATCAATCCCTCTATCATCAGATGCATTCAACTCTAAAGTTGCTTGGTGATATAAATCTGGCCCTAACAATTCCAAGGCAAGACAATGAATAGATGTAGTTTTCCCAATACCTGGTAAACCAGATATAATCATATGAGGCATGTTACCATCTTCTGCAATTCTTTTTAATCTTTCAACAGTTTCTTCATTCCCAACAATGTCATTAAGTTTATGAGGACGATACTTCTCAACCCAAGGAAGTTCAAGTAACGTGGAAAAAGTCTTTGTCATGATTATCACTGTCTTAATCAAACAGATATTACAAACATATTCAAACTGAAATATTTATTTGAAGCGACGCGTATATTTTTCGATCTGTTCAGTCCAAAAATGAAAATTTCAAAATACCTGTATACAAGTATGATTAACTACAATTATATGAAACTTAGGTTAAGGCAAACCAAAGCTAAATCGAACAACCTGTAGTAGAGTAGGTTTGATTATATGATGTAAAGTTGACTAAAAATTCATTATAAGAAAAAAAAAATCAAATTACATGTAAAATTCTGTACATAAATATGTCTATTACCTATTTAAACTTACTTTTATTATCCATTAACATTAATCATTATTAGCTTTGGCCTTTTTCTTCTGATCATTCTTCTTTGGCAAGATTGGAGCACTAGTAGATAGAAAATTGATCACTGGAGGAAGAAATGGAGATGATTTCCTATCAAATAAGCCATGTAACCAAGGAATATCCACATCTGAAATATGTTCGTCTATCAATTTGAACAAATTGAAAGCTTCAGGGATCTTCTTTGCCATTCCTAATATCCCTGTATTTGGTATACTTAGTATGCTCGAAAGCTTTTCCATGGTTCCTTTTGGTAATTGTATTAATTTGACTCTGTCGGATTCACTTCTGGATGATGTATAAGCTAATACTGGAAATGAACTTATAATGATGGGAGGAGATATATCATTCTTTGTAACAAATATATACTTGATATATTGGGAATCTTGATTTGAATCTGGTGATATGTTAGATATAGATTTATGGACCTGAGCTTGACTTTCGAGAGCACTCACAACAGCATTGAACCCAACTACTATTTGTTTTGAAATTTGAGGTCCATCTCCAGCAAGTGACTTTTGCTGTTTCTTTAATTCATTGTGCTTGCCTACTGAAGATAATAGGAAGCTTAGATGGTCTATAATTTGGGATGCAATGTCTGGTGATACAAATGGCCATTGACTGGATTGGGTAAAAGGATTATCTAGAATGGGTTTGAACACTTGTCTTCTTTTCTTCTCTAGTTCTTTCAAAGAATTCTTCGCTATGGCAGGCTTCTTTACTGAGGAACTTCGATCTTGTTTCTTGTTGTTATTCTTATCCATCTCCTCCTTTACCATATTCTATGAACTTAATCATACCTTACAGATTTTGATTTCTTTATTTTTTTTTATTTTTATTTTTTTGTAAAGCGCATCGCTACAACAAAAAATGATAGCACTACATACAAAACAAATGTAATTTTTGCAACTAAAACATTTTATATTACTTCAGTATTTAGAAATATATACTTTATATATCAACAGGCCAGCTGTCATTAAATTTATTCTTTTTGGTTAACAGCAATTGGAGAGAAATTTTGTTCCTCAGATTCAGCATCTTTTTCTTTAGCTCTACTTTCATCTCTCAAGGCTAAATATTGTGCTAATAAAACCAAAATCAAACCTACAGTTGCAAGAACTGCTGTATAAGTGAAACCAACGAAATACCTTGGAGCAGAGTTTGTATTCCAAACAAAAATAGGTACAAAGGCACCAGTGACATACGCTAAAGTATTAGTACACACAATGACAAAATTTCTTTTCATATCATTATGTAATAACAATCTATTCATCCATGATACAATACCAGGTTGACCATAAGCAGTAGGGACACCAACCAAAAAATATGAAAACCAATGAAGACCGACAGGGATATCCCATATAGCCAAGAATATACAACCAAGAGTGAGCAGAATGAAGTACAGACTAACAATGTATACATTGGTTTTGCCTCCTAAGAAATCATTGGTATAGAAAATGAAAACCGTTACCACAACACCTACAGCAAAAACAACTGATGGCCACGTATTATAAGCATAAGAAGATGTATGTAAATCTTCTTTCAACCATAATTGAAAAGTTGGATTTCCGATAGCTGAACAAGTATTGTTATAAGCAAGGAACATTAATGGAAAGACATATATATGCCAAGTATTAAAAAATTCTTTAATAATTTTCCAGGAATAAGGTACCCTAGTATTCAATTGAGCTTTGGCATTTTTTCTTCTTTCTAAACCAACCAATCTATCCTCATGAGTAAAATACCAAACATCTGTAGTTGATGGGGTGTTTGGATTAGCAAAGAAAGTATATATCCCAATAGGAAAACTAATGATAGCATCAAAGATAAACATCCATTTGAATGGAGGGATTCCAGAATGGGCAAATCTCTTTAAAATAGCTTGTTGAAGTGGACCCGATATAATACTACTAAGAACACCTGAGATGGCAATGAATGCTGATCTTTTAGAGATTTCTGCAGTACTATAATTGGAACCAACTAAATATTCAAAAGCTGGAAAGAAAGCCAGTTCAAATAAGGCAATAAAAAATCTTAAAACATAAATACTTTTAATATTATCTTTCCCAGGGGTGATCATTAATAAAGTTAAGATGGACCAAATGATTTCCAAAGTACCTAAATAATATCTTGCCTTTAAACGATGTAAAATCAAGTTGGAAGGAATTTGGCCAATAATATAACCAACAGTGAAAGCAGTAGTAACATAATTATATTGATTATTATACATTCCATAATATTCTTCCATACCATTAACATAAGCAGTAGTAACATTAGTTTGATTCAAATTCTTAATAAAATAACCCAAACATGCAGAACTTAAAAAGAAAAAGTCTAATTTTAATAGATAAGTTTGTTCTTTTGGATGTCTTCCGACACCATCCCATAAAAATCTTTTAAATTTAAACCACTTTGAAGTTTCCCTATAATGAATTTCTTCTGGAGTTAAATGTAAAGATAAGTCGACGTAAGTATAGGTGGCTGTTGAATCATCAGAATCAACAGGTTCAACATCAACATTAACATTACCTAATTTTTCATCTTCATTTGAACTACCATGTTCAATAACTGATTTATGTAATCTTCCTTCCTGAACAATTGCTTCAGATGCAACATAATGTTTTGCAATCTTCTTAAAGAATGACATCTTTGATACGGCTTGCCTTTTTTTTTGTTATCCTAACAAAACAAGTACATATGACTTAATTTCTTGGAAATTTTTCTTATATTTATAGTATTTATGTCAACGAATGCCAAATTTTTCACTCTTAAATTGTGATAACTTAAAAATCACTGTGGTTGATTGTCATAATTACTTATAATTAAGCTTTCAGTCATGTGCCATTGATTCGATTTGCGTTTTCTTATCTACTTGCAAAGTGTGGCAAAAATGATTGCGAAAAAAAAGGAATTATTTTTTATTTTATTTAATTTAATTATCCCGCCCTGTCTATTTACATAGTTTATAATTTCTAATTAATTATAAATAAGAGGAAATATGACACCCCTGAACCAAACCATAATAGATTTCATTGGCTCAAGATTAATTTAAATATAATTAAATCAATGCAGAAAATTTCTTGTAGATTTAAATCCGAGTGATTAATTCAAAGTGACTCAATAATTACACAGTTTTGTTTACATATCTTTAGGTAAGACTAAGTAGGATTTCTCCGATGGTAATTGTTTCTTTGGCATCTATCTCCCTTATACTTTAACTTTATTCCATTCACAGTTCGGTGGTTATAAGCATAGCCAGATGCTGTATTGACCATGATAGATTGTTAAAACTGTGGCTATCTATTGCACTCTTTTGAAAAAAAGTTCTCTGGTAACCCTCATGTCTTAAATATGTCACTAAATAGATTTCCGTTTAGCTAGACCCAACAGCGAACAATGTGTATGTGAATAATGGATCAATTTGCTTATTGTATAATTGAACTACATAATTTGTTTCTCCACCACAACAGATCAAGTCGTTTTCTATTTTGATTAATCAAATCTATTTAAATTATACTACTACTCAGGCACAATACATTTTTTTAGAAAAACTTTTCAATATTGGAAGCTATAGTATTGCTATGTTTTTTATCAGATGCACCCAATACTAAATCAATGAGTCAAATGGACAACTTAATGTAAACAATGATGATGAGTATTCCCCATTTGACTCACCCAAGCTTTTTAAATTACGATTAGATTGATCTTAGTGTTCATTTTAAAGTTGAATATATTGGTCCTTGAAGATTTTCAATAAAAGCGAATTTTTCCGACCTTTTGTGGGGCAACGCGCAATTTAAAGAAGGTTCATCCATTTGAAATAAAAGAACACACATAACAAATATATAAATACGACAATCTTAAGACTATGCTATTATTGTATGGGGAGTTCGATAAGAATACTTACTAGGTATGACACCGAAGCAAACATATGATTCACTGTCTGGTATAAGTGATTACCAGAAAGGACAAATCACTATAACTTCGTTATTACTTAGCCCTGGGCCAAAGGAAGATATAAAAATTCATAATGAAAAAGTCAGCTCACGACGGAAACAAGATCTGATATCAAAACCGGTAACAGGATCGTTTGGAACTACTTTCAAATTACTCAAGGCTTGCAGCTTTTGTCGAAGAAGAAAGATAAAATGCGTCGTCCATCCTAATAGCAACATTTGTGAAAATTGTAAAACTCACAACGAAGATTGCATATTTGATCATAAAGTGGTTAACAATAACTTGGAATCCAAAAGAAAAGTACGAACAAAGACGAAATCATCTAAAGAAGTCAACTCAAGTATCCAAAATCCATTTCCAATCACATTAACTGGCTCTACTCCAAATTCAATTGATATTAGTCCAAGTTCTACATTACTGAGTTATAATACATCAGACCATATTGAGATATTATATCAGACTAACGTGGAAGAATTCACACCATTCCTTAATTCAAATGTGTTCAAAGTGTATCTCGATAAATTCTGTGAAAATTGTATTCAATTAGCGGTCTCACAAAACGACCCAACTTTATTTGATAGCCATTTAGATATTATTAATACAATCATACGATCAGACTCATTTGAATGGAATGAAACCAATTTAGCTTGTTTCTTCTTGGTTGCAATCAGAGAACCTATTAGCTATTCAATAATCGAGGAGAGTCTAGTTGCCTTTAATAGCCTTGTTGAAGAGAAGTTCGAGAACCTATCAGTAAACTTAATACTTGGTGCTATGGTTATTGACGGGTTTTATTCCATGTTTAATGGATCAAAGTTAACTACAAACAGAAAATTACTATCTAAGGTGTCATATTACTTGAATCTATCAGATTCCAACATATTCTCCCATCACTTTTTATTCGTTGGTTATTTTATTTACAATATGGTATGGCTAGTTAATGATGATACAAAATTATCGTATGTGGAAAGAAAGCAACAGTTGTTACAACTTGAATTTGATATACTACTTTGGCCTGCTAAATTAACTCCAGAATTATCCATCGTAAAGGATAAACTAGGAGGAAATTACTCTGCATTCAATTTACACATTTTGCACAATTGCTTATTATGTTGCTTTTATACATATGCATTAAAGAGCAAAGATACAATCTCAAAAATGATACATATTTCACCAGTACCTGGATTGTATCATTTCATCTCAGGATTAGCTCAGAGCAATTTCAGAGTAATAAAAGAAATTAATTCTCCCTGGACTTTATTGTCTAACTGCATTGTAAAAACAGCGAAAAGCTTGGTTGATTTATATGAAATCATGGATTTTGATCCCTTCAAGAACTCATTGTATCTTTTTACAAAGCTTCCTAATGTCTATGACAATTCTTGGCAAGATGAAGTTCAAAAGGGTGTTGAAAATATATTAATGGGTCAATCTTACAAGCTTGATGATGATATCGATGGCGCGGTAGTATTTTGGGTATTTCGCGATATCAGAAGTTTGGCATTACAATCACAAATCGATGAAAAGATGCAATAATTGTTTATTTTTTAAGATCAATGAGAGCTTGTTCTACTTTATTCAAATCATTGTCATTCCATTCTGGTAATTTTCGTGGTAAGACATCCGGAGCAACATCCGGATGCCCACTTTCTATAGTTTGTTTTACTTCTTTGTATAATACTCTATATGCTTCAGCTGTATAATGAATCCCATCAAGTAATAATGCCCCTATAGATACTTCGTCCGCAAGTAGTTGCTCTTCAGTCCAATTCCCGTATTGTTTAAAAGCATTCCATAAATCAACAAATGGAACCTGGTACTTGACTGCCACTTTTTTTGCAGCTTCAGAATAAAGTTTTAACTGTTTATTTGAATTCACAGGACCATCCCATTCTACTCCAGGGGTATTCTTAAGTAATTCCGAGTCATGTAATCCTGGCCCAATTATAACTAATTTGATATCTCTTTTGAGAATTTCCAAGGCTAAATATTGAATATTTTCTTGGTATTCTTCAATGGGAACATAAAAACTCCTAGATGAATCATTGGTTCCAAAATACACTGTCATTAACTTTATTTTTGAATCTCCAATATTAGCATTCAATATTTCAGGAAGTAGAAGACGCGCATGTCTAGTATTATATCCAGCAAACCCTCTATTTTCAACATCAAGCTTTCTCATATAATCATCTTGAAGTGATGCTTGGAATGAGAAATCAGTCCCCTTTCCGATACTAAATTCAGTCAATGAATCACCAAATAAAACTAATTTATCATATACTAACGCCATTAAAGTTTTAAAGTTATGAATCGACCTTTCAAAAAATATTGCAAATGATTCAGTTTATAATAAATATAATTAGACTTAAAACGTGTAATTTCTAACATGGTTACATTTGGTCCCCTCCTAACCACCTTTAGTTTTGGCCCTTGTCACCCCACTGAAACTGAGCGAGAATTTTTGGTATATGTCAAATTGACACTATTTTTGGTATAATTCTAACTATTGCGGACGATTACCACTAATCGGGAAGTGATCCCCTATTCTAAAATTTTGCCCGTTACCCCCACAATTCATAAATTTCTGAATGCTTAATGCGGCAACTCTACCTTGTTTATTTTTCATCTTCTAACTTTAAACTATATAATATAACACAATTATCCTTTTTATTTAATTGACAAGATGAATTCAAATTAAACAAATAGCGAGATGACAAAAGATAGTATTGCTATAAAAGAATTGGTACTTAACAATTGGCTGTATAAAGAGTCCAAAACAACCGAATGGAAGCAGCTGAGGAAAGATGTTTCAACAACTGAGATTCATGCTGATTTGTTAAATAATAAAGAAATCCCTGATCCTTTCATAGACCGTAATGAACGTGACGTTCAATGGATTGGTGAAAGAGATTGGGAATATAAAGCCGAGTTTCAAGTATCTGCCGAATCTAGATCATTATCCAATCATGAGTTAGTATTTGAAGGTTTAGATACATTTGCAACCGTCTATCTAAACGAGGAGGAGATATTGAAGACTGACAACATGTTTCGTGAATATCGAGTAGATGTCAAAGATCATTTAAATTATGTTGGCTCAAATACACTTCGAATTTTGTTTATAAGTGCACTTCACACTGCAAGAAGTTATGAAAAAGAACATGGAAAGTTTAAGTGCTTTAACGGAGAAACTAGTAGACTTCAAGTTAGAAAAGCTCAATATCATTTTGGTTGGGATTGGGGTCCTGTATTGATCACTTGTGGTCCTTATAAACCAGTCAAGTTAATTTCATATAATGCTCAAATACTTGATGCTTATGTTCAAGTTGATGTTGATATCGAGAAGCAAATCGCAAAGGTAAATTCAGTTGTCGAATTAAGCGTTTCCAAGTCAGAGAAGTTAACATTAGAAGTTTCTTCTCCATCAGGAGAGATAATTAAAACAATTAGCCAAAGTGTGGATGGGAAGCAAGTGTCAGATAAATTCTCAATTGAAAACCCGGAATTATGGTTTCCATTCACTCATGGTAAACAGCCTTTGTATGAATTTAAATATACTTTGAATAATCAAGTTATAACTAAGAAAGTTGGATTCAGAAAAGTTGAATTGGTTCAAGAAACATTTGAAGAACAACCGGGTTCTAGTTTTTACTTTAAAGTGAATTCCGTGCCCGTTTATGCTACAGGTTCTAATTGGATTCCAGCTCATTCATTTCAAACTTTATTAAAAAATTCAGATTATACTGAATTACTACAATTAGCGGTTGATGGTCATCAAAATATGATTCGTATTTGGGGAGGGGGTTATTATGAATCTGATTTATTTTATGAACTTTGTGATAAACTTGGGATTTTGATTTGGCATGATTTTATGTTTGCTTGTGGACAATATCCAGGTTATCCCGCTTTTATTGAAACAGTGTCAGAAGAGATTATCCATCAGTTAAAGAGACTCAGAAACCATTGTTCTATTGCTATTTATGCAGGTAACAACGAAGATTATCAGGTAGCTGAAGAGTTCAAATTAGAGTGGGACCCAGAAGATAAATCAGGAGACTACAGTAAGACTAGTTTTCCAGCCAGAACCCTTTATGAAAATGTATTTCCAAAACTAGTTGGACAATATTGCCCTGAAATTCCATATCATCCTGGTTCACCTTGGGGTGGAAATGGTACAGCTGATAAAACGATCGGAGATTTACATCAATGGAATGTTTGGCATGGAAATCAAGAAAAATATCAGGATTGGTATAAATTAGGAGGTAGATTTATTTCAGAATTTGGTATGGAAGCATTGCCAAGTAGAAAAACTTTTGAAGCATGTATAACAGATCCAGAAGAATTCTACCCACAAAGTCAAACTGTTGATCATCATAATAAGGCAGATGGATTTGAACGTCGTTTAGCCTTGTATGTTATTGAAAACATAAAAGTTCAAGGTTTGGATTTCGATTCCTGGATATATGCAACCCAATTAATGCAAGCTGAATGTCTTGGTTATGCGTATAGATGTTGGAGAAGAGAATGGAGAGGAAATGGAAAACGATATACTGGTGGGGCTATTGTATGGCAGATCAATGATTGCTGGCCTGTTACGTCTTGGTCAATCATTGATTATTATAAGAGACCTAAATTGGCCTATTATTCAGTTAAAAGAGAAAGTAAGCCTATTAGTCTTGGTATGTATAGAAATGAAATTAAACATACTAATGAAGCAGCCCTTCCTGTTTCAAATGCTGGACCACCTCATGACTATTCCCCAGTTGATTACACTATTGACATTTGGGGTTCAAGTTCAAAAACAGAAGATCAACATGCTGTTTTGTTAGTTGAAATCTATAATATTGCAACGGGGGATAAGATTGAATCATTCTCTAAAGATGTTACCTTAAAAGGAAATTCTTCTACTGAAGTAGTTGAGAGTTATCCAATCTCTAATTCCATACCTGTTGTTGTTCACAGTAGATTTGTCTCAAAACACGACGGTTCTATTATTGCTAGTGCTGCTGATTGGCCACAGCCTATCAAATATCTCAAATTCCCCTCAATAAATATTGAACATTCTGTGTTCGATGATTATATCACTCTATCTACCAATAAGCCAGTTAAGGGCATTGAAATTATATTAGAAAGTGATTTGTTTTTGGATGATAATGGATTTGATTTGTTTCCAGGTGACATAAAAGAGATCGAAGTCAAAGGATTGAAAAAGTCAGATAAAGTACAAATTAGATATTATCATTAAAATTCTCTAGTGTTTTTATATAGTAATTAAAATCAATATATGTTTTGTCTAACCATTTTTGAATCTTTCGATATTTGTCGCGAGTTGAAGATGACTCAATTTTTTTTTTTAGTCTATATTTTCAAAATGAGCCATCATTAATTATACAGATCTTGATTTGATCATCATATAGAAACACTCAGCTTAGAGATAGATCCAATAGTGACAATGGCAGGCAATGTGTATACGATTGTGGTCAAGTTGGGGACTTCGTCGTTGGTAGATGAGGTTACCAGAGAGCCTAGGATTGCAAACATGTCATTGATTGTTGAAACAATTGCAAAATTAAGACGACAAGGACATAAGATTGTGATTGTATCATCGGGGGCTATTGCATTTGGAATGAAGAGAATGGAGTTGACTAAGAAACCTAGTAAACTTGCAGCCATTCAAGCATTAGCTTCAATCGGTCAAGGAAGATTAATAGGATTATTTGATGATTTATTCAGACAGTTGAATGAAAGAATTGCTCAAGTCTTAATAACAAGAAATGATATCATGGATTTTACTCAATATAAGAATGCTAGAAATACTTTAGTCGAATTGCTAGATATGGGTGTTATTCCTATAGTTAATGAAAATGATACACTTTCAGTTGCAGAAATTAAATTTGGTGATAATGATACTCTTTCAGCCATAACAGCAGGTATGATTCATGCTGATTATTTATTTTTGATGACAGATGTTGAATGTTTGTATACGGATAATCCAAGAACCAAGCCAGATGCAAAGCCAATACTTGTGGTGGAGAAAATTGATGAGTTGGAGGTCAAAACAAATGATGCAGGTGCTGGTTCTCAAGTAGGAACCGGAGGAATGACAACGAAATTAATCGCGGCTGAGCTTGCTACAAATGCTGGTGTAACCACCATAATTACGTTATCCAGTCAACCCTATCACATTTTAGATATTGTTTCCCATATACAAGGATCTGAAGAACATCATCTTACCATTGAACAACAAAGAGAATTGATGGCCACTGATATAGCCAGAAAGATTATTCCACTTCATACAAGATTCTTAGGACTTCTGAGAGATAATCAAATCAAATCAGATAAAAAGTTTTGGTTATTGCATGGATTAAAAACTAAAGGAACGATTATTATAGATCAAGGTTGTTTTAAAGCACTTACTAGAAAAAACAGAGCAGGTCTTCTTCCAGCTGGTATAGTTGATGTTGATGGAGTATTTCATGAAAGTGAATGTGTATCCATTAAAGTGATTCCTACAAGGGAATCCCCATTAAGTGAAGCTACGGAAATTGGTCATTGTAGAGTGAACTATAGTTCAACTGAAATCAAATTGATTAAAGGTTTCCAAAGTAGTGACATTGAATCTATCTTAGGATATGCTGATAGTGAATACGTTGCTCATAGAGATAATATAGCATTCCCTCCAATAGTAAAGTAAATAAATCCTATATAATTCGATAGACTGCATATAAAAAATTCTGTACATATTTCTAACTAACCGCTATTTGTAGAACTTCAAAATTTACAGCCCTTTGATTCATCTGATTCAAGCTGGATCAAGTCTTCAAACAATGAAGATAGAAGTCAAGGATGATCCTAATTCACATCTGTTCAAACTTGACTTACTACTTGATGTCGATTCCGATGATGTGATAACTTGTGTTTCGTCGTATGATGCAAATATCTATGTGGGAACTTCTTCTGGAAGAGTTCTACATTATCATAGATTTGAGGATATCCCAGGTTATATGCTTATAGGGAATGTACAGATACTTGAAGAACCTATCAAGAAGTTTGTTATTATACCTGCGGTAGAGAAGGTGTTGATTTTATGTGGTTCAATTGCATCCTTTTATCGATTACCAGATCTTTCTCCAACATCCACCAGAAAACTTAAAGATATCAATGACGTACTGTTGTTAATGTATAGTTCAGAACAGAATAGACCAAGTGATAAAATGCTACTTTTCAGTTCCAACAATATCAGAATTGTACAATTTGATGAAGAACAGATAAAATTACTAAAAAAAATCAACTACTCAAATGCAATCAAGGGTATATCTACTACATCAACCATGTCCACCAACTTTAGTAACCTTGTGTTGGTAGCAAATACCAAAAACTATGATATAATAGATATGAGATTAACACGTAAAATACCACTATTTGATTATCGATCCGATGATGATGATGACAAAATAGAGCCAAATTTCATTCAATTTGAAGCACGAGATAGGGGTTCAACTTTTCAAGAGTATTTATTAACTATCAATTCCGGCGATAACACTTCACTTGCGATGTTCATTAATTCGTTGGGAGATGTTACAAGAGGAACTCTTACTTGGTCTGGCTACCCAGTCGGAGGGATTGCTGTTGAATGGCCATATGTTATGAGTATATTTCCAAATAATGAATTGCAAGTCAGTTCTTTAATAACGTTAGATACGAAAGCAACATTGGATCTCACACAACTACATAGCACCTCATCAACGTTCAAAATAGATAAAACTTCCACTATCTCAGTCGAATGTTCAACATTAACATCAATACTAAGAACCTGCTCTTTTAAGGAAAATAGCATTGGTCCAGGTGACGTTATTAATGATCTTGGAAATTTGGTAATATTCAGTGGATCCAAGCTTTGGTTAATGTTTCCCGAAAATGATATACTACAGACATATGATTCATGGCTTGAACTCCTTGATGAAGGGAATTTAGATTCCATTGTTGAAACTATACGGAAGAAAATAGACAAGTCAACGGGCAGAATCAAATCATTTATGATTCATATGTTGGTTCTATGCTTATTTCAACTAGAAAAATTTAATGAGGCTAAAAAATATTTATTCCTGACATCAGAAATGAAGCCTATTATTGATCCATGTCTAGTCGTATATCTTTTTGGTTATAGTTACGATGATCTTGACTTTAAGTTATTTTCAGGTATAAAAGATAATATTAACAGGTTTAAAATTATTAAGAATGACAAGTTTCTTTTAACATACATTAAAGGTGCATATCCAGTTTTATCGAATAGTCAGATCTTACGTCGTACCTTCGTGAAACTCCTTAACTCAGATGATGAAGTAATTGATTTCTTTGAAGGTAAGGATATAAACAATTGGTCATCTTTAAATAAGGCAAATCAAGAAATTATTGATATCTTAGAAGAGAAGAAATTCAATGATGCAACTATTCATATCTATCGAAAATTATTGGAGGTCAAGCCTGATGAAGATTTAGCGGTTAAGGTTTGTAACTTGATTCTCAATGTAATGTCAGGACAGGAAAATAGTTTTCACTTAGTTGACATCATCTTAGAGAACTTACCTATTATTAGTTCTGAAAATAATTATTCATCACTTTTATTTGAAGTTCTAAAGGTTGATAAAGATAAAGGAATCAACTATATGAAATCCAATAATAAATCCAAGTTCAAGGCAATTCACAACGAAATAATGAGTGATATTTCATCCAAATATGGTGATGCTCTTGACTTCTCATTACTTAGAATTGAGTTCTTGGAAGCATCGCTAAGTCTGGAGAATTTGGATGAACTTTTAAACGAAGTATTGAGGTTGCTATTATCCCCTTTGATTCTTAATGAAAATAATATAAACAATTTCGAAATTTTAATCGAAACGTATAGAATTCTCAATTCACTTCAAGATCCTAAATGGCCAAAGATATCTTGGCTCGATTATTTACATATCAGAATTAATTCTAGTGGATGCAATGATCTCATAATTCTATACTTGAAGTTTTTCGAACTCTTGCTTATAAAGACAAATTTAGGTAAAGATATCACTGAATTTCTAAAAGACGAATTATTGGAAGGAAAAACATTTCTGTATTTCAATGTTCTAAAGCCTGATGTCGATGTGATCAACCACTTATTAAGTCATTCAGATTTCTCCGCTGCCGAAGTCTTTGCAATAAATGGCCGCTTACCATATCCCAAGATTAAGTCTTACCCTAAGTTAACAGAAGAGCTGAAGATAAATAAAAGCACAAGTTCTATTAAGTTGAATTTAATCACAATATTCGATTATTATTTGAAGGAGAACACCACAGATAGTGCAAATGAGTTTTCGGTTGCCCACTTTATTTCAAATTATGGATCAACTTATTTCACACCTAATGAGATAGTTTCAAAATTACCTAGTGATATACCACTTGTTCATCTATTAGATTATTTTAGTTCTGTTATTATTGAATTTAATCTTGAGTCAAGAAAGAAGATTCTACAGAAATCTTTAACAAAAGCGGATTCCGAGTTTACAAGGCAAATTTATAGACAGTTCCTTGAAGAAGGAACAAATTAAATATATACAGTGAAATTAAATAAACCCTAAAACTTGTAAAATATAATCAAAAGCCATTCCGTACCAGAAAATAAATCCAGTAGTTATATTTGATGTGAAAGCAGCCCAACAACTTTTTTGATCATCTAAATCAACATCTCTAATAGTATTATACAATCTCCATAATGCCCAAGTACCACTTACGAAAAATCCTGGACCCATTGAATTAGCAATCCCTGCAGCATAGTAAACTCCAGCTTGAGCGTAGGTTAACTTCCTTAAAATAGGTTTTGTATTTTCACCCCATGCTAAAGCAGTAGATTTGATACCTGCCTTAACATCATAAAGTTTATCTTGATGAGCATAGATTGTATCATAAGTAACGCACCAGATCCAATTGGATAAAAATAATGGAGCTGCTACCAAGAGATTCAAAGGAGCACCTACTGCTGGAAATCCCAAGAGACATCCCCAGGAGTAACAAATTGATAACCATGCTTGAGGGTAATATGTGAATCTTTTAAATAATGGATATGTAGCAATGAATGGTAAAGATAATGCCCCAAGATAAAAACATTGTGTTGGTAAAGACAATAATACTCCTAATCCTGCGAAACACTGTACACCTAACCAACCAATTGCTTGAGGAACTTGCACACGGCCACTGGTAATTGGTCTTTCCATAGTACGAGCAACTTGATTATCTAAATTTCTATCCAAAATATCATTAATAGTACAACCAGCACCTCTCATGATAATGGCACCAACTGAAAATAATCCAATAGCAGAAATGGTCGATGTAATTGGAGCACCTATTGAATAAGCTGCCATAGTAATACCCCAAAGTGATGGGATTAATAATAAAAGTGAACCAGCTGGTTTTTCTAAACGCATCAATTCAGCATATGGAATCCATTTTTCAGGTAATTTAGTTAACCATTTGAGGCCTGCTAACCTTGCAACTCGAGCTGCTTCTAATTCTTCTTCACTGAACTTTGATCTTGCAATCTCAAGAGCAGTTTGAGGTACAGAAACCACTTTTGATGGAGCATTTCTCAACACAATTGATGAACATAAACTCCTTAAACCAAAGGATTTCAAGCTAGGTCTGATGACCAGCCGAGTCGATATCAAGGTTAGACGGAACATAGCTATGAATTATGACAAGTAATTAACATAAGAATAAAGCGGTACGAGAACAAATTTGGAAACTTTGTCTCTTTTTTTTTTGGTAACGCGTACACATTTCTGTAAAGGCATGCCATTAATTGGCCAACCTAGAGGGATTAGGCAGACATTTGTAAATCACCATCATCTTCGAAGCCATCCGCCTCTTGACCAACTTCTCTGCCACTCTCTCTGACTGACTTATGGCCTTGGATTAGATTTTGTAAATTGGTCAATTCTTCAGTGACGATTGGATAACTCTCTTTATAAGTGAACACTTGCCTACACATTGGACAGAGACCTTTTGACGAGTTCTGCTCTAACCACTTGTAAATACAATGAAGATGGAAGTTATGACTGCATCCTGCTCCAAGGACAATGGGACAATCGTCTCCTGGATAAAGACAGTTGGGACAAGTACCATCGAAGGCTACTCTGCAAATACCACATAATTCATCAACGTATTCGGATTCATTTTGATTATCGGAAACAAGGTTCCAATGCCACGATGACACACCATGCCAATCTATTATTTTCACTTTCATCCTTCTCAGGTATTGATGAACAATTTTTATACCTTTGTAAAGGCTTGTTGATGAAATGAATATTTAGTGATGGAGATCAAAGCAAATCAGATTTAGTTTACGCGCTTTTGAAAACATAAATATAAATAATACATTCTAAATCTATATATAAAACTTACTTGAGATGATATCATCTTTTTTTATAAACTAAACCTTTGAATATGTCAAATGAATTCCCATCTGGCTGTAAATGTAAAATCTCCTTCGTGTTAACGTCTTCAGCAATTAATAAACCATAATCTTCTGTGATACCTCTAATTATACATGATTTAGATCTACCATCTCCTTTAGCATCCAACATTACTTGCTGATCTGAATGGAACCATCTCTTATAATATAATGGTAAAAATGGCTTTAAACCTGTGTTTTTGAACACACTATAGAATTGATCCATGGTGTATAGAATCTTTGCTAATAATTTTTCGTGTTGGTAAGGTGGTAATTCTGGTAGCCCTTTAGATTTTCTAATCAAATTCAACTTTTCAAGAACTGAATTCAAAGAAGTAGTAGGTGCATTATTTGAAACGTTAACTCCTCCACCCCAAACTAAATGGAATGTCCCATTCAAAAATTGAGAATTAACTATCGAACCCGATACCTTTGCAAATTTTTCATCATCACCTTCCACTGTAGAACTAATTACTTTACCATCTTCAACAGTATTAAAAAATTCTGGCTTCAAAATATAGATATCATTAGGCCACTTTAATTTAACAGGAAGATCTTCATACCCAATACCTTTACCCAGTTCAGTACTACCATAACCCAATATAGCTTCGATTAATGCCAAACTGGTTAAATACTGTAATGTAACAATATTTGATGTTCCTCCTGTTTTTGCTGGAACCTTAAATAACACAGACAGAGCCAATACACCTCGAGGATTAACCCACACATTACCACCTCTACCTCTTCCAGCTACTTGAACACTTGCTGTAAGTGTAAAACCATGTGGTAAATGAGCCAACCATTTTGGATTATGATCTAAAAGAGTACTAGTAGAGCTGACAACTTCACCATATCCAAGAATTGACCCTATTTGTCCTGTATTTCCTTTAGATAAGCACTGTAATTGATCAAAATATGTTGACATATTGAAATAAGGCGTTGTTTTATAATCTGGCAATCCACCATTGTTGAATATTTTTATATGTTTAGGTACTGCATTTACATCTTCTATTATTTGAGTATCTTGTGAAACAAAATAATGATGATCATCTTCATCTTCTCCATGAAATACAAAAGTATCATTCTCGTCCTCCAAGATTGAACCATTTATGAAATCTACGTTTTCTTTTAATTCTTGAACTAACTTAATTACCAAAGTCTTATCAAGATGTGATGAAACAAACAATGGAGTAATTTGAGGAATCTTAGCTTCAAGATCTTCATTAACTTTAAGCCCAAGCTTGGCCAAACAGTTTCTTAAAAAGAATTTTCTACCAACATCATTCTCTTTCAACTTTTCTACTACACTAGAGAACTTCTCGTCAGTAGCTTTTAATATATCAGGTGAATACTCAGGATGAGTTCCACTCAATAAAACATCTCCCTTACCTACCTTCTTATATATCACGGCCGCTTTTTCCACATCGTCTATTTCAATGTCTTCATCATAAGTAGCAATAACTTCAACTCCAGGATATGATGATGCATTAAGAAAAACACCACCACCATTATAATAATTGTAGATTTTATCTTGTAATCCACTAACGTTCAATCTAGCAGCTCTTGCACCTGCATGAGTTTCATAATCAAAACCTTTAAATGTACAACCTCTAGAGATACCGGGAAAAAATTGTAATTCTCTATTACCTGTAACTTCCAAAAGTGGATTACCAACTTCGAATTCAACTCTTCCAGATGCAAAATAAGCCCCAGCACAAAATCCTAAGAATTTACCTCCTTTCTTAACGAATTGAGATATTTTTCTTGTACCTTCCCCATTCAATACTGAACAATATGGTAAATCTGCTCCACCAGGAATCACCAACATTGCTGTCTTATGAATCCATGGATCATTCAAAATAGATAATTCGCCTACCGACACAACAGCATAATGAGGTGACAATAAAACTCTGAGTGACTCTATACAATGTTTCACACTTTCATTAGTGGACCCTGGCCCTGAGTACACCAATACATTCATCTTATCTAATAATCAATGTTCAAAATAAAATAAATCTCGAATATTTTTTTTTTTCAATTTAAGCGAAACTCCAAAGCTATACAAAGAACAACCACATTAAAAAATGGCTGACATAACAGAACAATCTGAGATAGTTACGTTGGATCCAACACCTGGATTCGTTATCAAAGTCAAGGTACTTGAATCAAAGGATTATCTGTCGGTAGGAAGAAAGGTTTTCATCAATGTGTGCCATGATCCATTAGTACCCAGACCACAAATTGACTTTGATCCTGAAACGGTATTCCCATTGATAATTGATAACAAATGGGAAATACCCTTGATTGTATCAGAGTTGAAGACTGTGACTGATAAGAAAGGAGTTACATCGTTGGCCATAGACTGTTGTATAAACCCTGTATGTTTTCAATGGTGTCAAGTTAGCGAGGACTTAAAAACAATACTAGTTGAATGGTGTATAGAGGCAGTTGAAATGTCATTCAGTCTAACATTGGACAGGGATTATACATCACCAAAGATGTTATCAAAAGGAGCATTATCCAAAACAGAAATTCAAAAATCAGAACTTGAAGAATCAGCTTTCCTGAAAAGGCTACAAGAACTAAAGAATAACGAGATATTAGGGCTATTAGAAGAAGTAGAAGATAACAGTGATAGTGAACTACCAGAACTTACGAACATAGGCCGTGATCGTCCAACATCAGGCAAGCCATTGATAGAAGTATTAGATGATAATACTATAATTTCAAACAAACCGAATATCAAAGAGCAAGAAAAACAAACAAAGACCAATGAACAAGAAAAAGTGAATAAAATTGAGTTTTCCATAACAATAAAGAAGTCGGCATTCATTATTCAATTCAATCGTGCCCAAGTTAACGATGGCTCATCAATCAATCTACAACTAGGACCCCAATCAGACAGTTTAAAATTAATCAATTTGAATAATTCTTTTTGTTTCAGTCAAGTTAATGGGATCAGCAGCAACGAGATAATAATCCCAGTTCCTAAGAATACACAATTAAATGCCGACAGTATAAGGTCGTTCTTTGTTAAAGCAGATAATTCACTTTATATATTCTTATAGAAGATTACCTAAATAGGAAATGCGCCTGATTATATAGTAAAAATAAAACGGTACGCATTCAACCTCCCAAAAGAGCAGTTAGATTCCGCTCTCACAATTGACGGCCAGTTACTAATTTAAATAAACATATTTAACTGTTTTCAAATCCCTATATTATCAAAACAATTCATTTCTTTCGAACTGATTGAGATGGTATATGATGAACTCTGAAGAACAGGTTTTGATAGGAGTAGTGGATTACGAAAACTATGATAGTTTGAATGAAGGATCCGCTAACGACGTTCTCAACTCCGTGGAGGAGTTTAAATTTATCACCAAAGCATCTTTACCATTAATTATTACATTCTTTTTACAATATTTATTATCAGTCATATCAATTTATGCAGCAGGTAGATTAGGAGCCAAGGAACTTGCTGCAGCATCTTTAGCAGTTTGTACCTTTAATATTACTGGTCTTGCTGTTTATCAAGGAATGTCTACCAGTTTGGACTCATTCTGTTCCCAAGCATATGGATCAGGGAAATTACATCAAGTTGGAATCTATTTTCAAAGATGCTCTTTAATGATATTAGTCATCACTGTTTTTCCATTATCATTTATCTGGTGGTTTTCAGGTTCGATATTGAAATTCTTAATCGATGATATTGAACTAGTGATGATGATTCAACACTTTTTAAGAATCAATATCTTTGGTACCCCCGGATTAGTATTATTTGAAACCGGAAAAAGATTCTTACAAGCTCAACATATTTTTAACGCAGGAACTTATGTTTTATTAATAGCAGTTCCAGCCAACTTTTTCTTGAATTGGATTTTAGTATGGCATCCAGTTTATGGGTTGGGTTATACCGGTATTCCAATTGCTCTCGGAACTATGTATTGGGTCATTTCCATTTTAATGTTAAGTTATGTCTTATTTATCGATGGTAAGAAATGTTGGGGAGGTTTCAATCTCGAAAAATCACGTCAAAATTGGATTCCTATGTTAAGATTGGCCATTCCAGGGGTTATAATGGTTGAAGCAGAGTATTTGGCATTCGAAGTGTTGACTATTTTAGCTGCTTCTTTTGGAACTGCCGCCATTGCAGCTCAATCAATCGCATCTAATATAGGTTCCTTATCATTTCAATTACCATTTGCTGTTGCAGTAGTTTTGAGTACTAGAATTGGAAATTTCGTAGGAATGCAAAATGCCCCAGCAGCAAGATTAGTTACTCAATTAACTATCTTTTTTGCATTTGCTATAGCAATGACTAACTTTTCCCATGTATTCTTTGGTAGAGGATATTTATCAAGATTATTCACCAAAGAAATAGATGTATTGGATATCACTGATAAAATTGTTCCATTAGTAGCACTTAATCAAATATGTGATGCATTCAATGTGATTGGAGCTGGAGTTCTTAGAGGTCAAGGAAGACAACGAATCGGTTCAATTTTAAATTTAATATCATATTACCTTATTGCCCTTCCATTGTGCTTTACATTAGCCTTCGCATTAAAATTTGGATTAGCAGGTTTATGGTATGGTTTAATTGCTGGAGTTGCATTCTTGGCCATAGCTGAATTCTACGTAATATATAAAAGTAACTGGCCAAGAATCATAGAAGAATCAAAAGAAAGACATGATCATTGAATATGATTGCAAAATCATATTAGCCTAAAAATAATATGCAGGAGTGATGATCTTTTTTTAAATATTTTTTTTATGATAAATTTTTTGTACATAATGAATAGGTATATATAACTACTTTAATAGACAATAATAATGCCCCCAAGAAGAAGATTTGATAAAAAGAACGCTAAGACGTTCAGTGTGGTTCACAGAGCTCATGATGATGCATTATTTTACGATGAAGATGCATCTGCACATGTTTTAGTGCCGGTTTCTCAGAAGCAAGCATCTCAGAAAAGTTCATATACAGCTCAAGATTTAAAGCTGAAGTTAACAAAAGAAGAATTAGATACCGTCAGAGAGAATGAAGGGTTAGCTGCTCAATATGGTATCTTCTTCGATGATTCCAAATATGATTATATGCAACATTTAAAGCCTATTGGTGAAAGTCAAGATGCTGTATTTATAAGTGCAAAGGATCAAGTTCAATCAAAACCTAAAACTAATATAGAGGATCTTTTTAAAGATCAACTACCTTCTGAAGACAAAATAAAGCCAAGTGCCGATTATACTGAGAATATACCAAAAGAATTACAAGGATTTAATCCAAATATGGATCCAAGATTAAGAGAAGTTCTTGAAGCTTTGGATGATGAAGCATACTTAGAAGAAACAGAAGATGGTGTAGATTTAGATGATATTCTTAAGTCTGGAGGTGTAGATAACGAAAGTGATTATTATGAATACCTGGACGAAGATTATGATGAATGGGATTTGGATAATTATGAAGAAGAATATGATGAAAAATATGGAGAAGAAAGTGCAGATGCGCTTTATAATGAAGGAGAAGCACCATCAGAATTGAAAGGAGAAAATATCGTCGTAGATAATCAATGGCAAAATGACTTTATGAAATTTAAAAAACAAAGTAAGAATGATAAGAATGACTGGGACTCTGATGATGATTTTGGAAGTGAAAATGAGAATGAGAAAGAAGTTGAAGAGGAAGATAAATTAGCCGAGTTACCACAAATACAGCCCAAAAAGAAATCGGGAACTAAAGCCAGAAAGAAGAAGGGGGCAATGACTGATACTACATCATTCTCCATGTCATCTTCTGCATTATTCAGAACAGAAGGATTGACATTACTTGATGATCGTTACGAACAATATTCTAAACGTTATTCAAAAGATGAAGAAAAAGTTCCAGAAAAGTTTGATATGACTAAAGAAAGAGGAGATTTCGAAGACATGTTAGATGATTTCCTTGATAATTATGAACTTGAAAGTGGTGGAAGAAAACTAGCAAAGAAAAATGAAGAAGCAACGAAATTGAAAGAAGCTGCTCAATCTGTTTCTCGTAGTACAAAGACAGCCAAAAAGAAGGACATAAATTCAGCATTTTCAAAATTACAGATTTAGGTTATAGTTATAACTAGTAATAATAATACATTATTTATAAAGGAAAACCCTAAGGTTGTAGTACGATTTAATATAAGAAGCTTGTATTACTTTAATTTCAAAAATAAGATCACGTGACCAATTACCAAACAAAAATTATTTAAAATTTTTTTTTATTACAATAAGAAGAAGAAGACATAGAAGGCGTCCATATTGGTAACATCCTATATTGATTAACATACATTCAATCAATATATCTACAACAAAGTCAAAATACGGTTCTATTCACGAATCCTACTTGTTATTATTTTCTCCATCTATTTTGGCTATTTATCTATTCGCTACGGTTTCACGGGGAGTCACGCTAAGATGGCTACACAAAGTAATGTCAATACATCCATTTCAAGGGTATATGCTGATGTTTTATCAACGAAACCTCAAGCATTCTGGAATTATGATGATTTAAATATCAAATGGAATTCTCAAGATAATTACGAAATAGTAAAGAAATTGGGAAGAGGTAAATATTCTGAAGTCTTCTTAGGTATTGATTTAACGAAAGGAGATAAAGTTGTCATAAAGGTATTAAAACCAGTAAAGAGAAAGAAGATCAAGAGAGAAATATCGATCTTAAAGAACTTAGTTGAAGGTCCAAATATTGTTTCTTTACTTGATGTGGTTCGAGAACCTCAACTGAAAACCCCAGGTTTAATATTTGAACATGTTAATAATGTTGATTTCAGAACATTATATCCTACATTCAATGATTATGATATAAGGTTCTATATGTATGAGTTGTTAAAAGCTTTAGATTATTCACATTCCATGGGAATTATGCATAGAGATGTGAAACCACATAATGTTATGATAGATCACGAAAAGAAAACCTTAAGATTAATCGATTGGGGGTTAGCTGAATATTATCATCCTGGAACCGAATACAATGTAAGAGTAGCTTCACGTTATTTCAAAGGTCCTGAGTTATTAGTTGATTTCAGATTATATGATTATTCATTAGATTTATGGTCTTATGGTTGTATGTTAGCATCAATGGTGTTCATGAAAGAACCATTCTTTCATGGAAAGTCCAATACTGATCAATTAGTACAGATTGTAAGAGTGTTGGGATCAAATAGTTTAAACAAATATCTTGAGAAATATGGCTTAACCCTTAGTGATGAATATGAAGATATAGGTTATTACAATAGAAAACCATGGGAAAGATTTGTAAATGATAATAATCAACACTTGGTTTCAACTGAGTTCATTGATTTCATCGACAAATTATTAAGATATGATCATCAAGAAAGATTAACTGCCAAAGAAGCTATGGATCATCCATATTTCGATCCAATTAGGGAAGAAGCAAATAAATAAATAAGTAAGTAATTTAGATTTCATATCATATCATATCATAATTGTAAATATATATATAGTAATAGAAAAAAGGGTGGGTGCGGAATCTTCCATGAAATTCTATGAACAGAATATTTTAAATTTTTCAGATTTTGATAATTGTAATTCCATACTATTTGTTGTAGGAAAAGTGAATTAAACATAGGTTTACTAATCTAAGATAAGATTAAAATGAGTAATTCAATAGTTTACTTTGACGTTACCGCCAATGGCGAAGATAAGGGAAGAATTGTGTTTGAATTGTTTAATGATGTTGTTCCAAAGACTGCTGAGAATTTTAGAGCTTTATGTACTGGTGAAAAGAGGGTATCACCAAAATCTGGAAAACCACTTCATTATAAAGGGTCAATATTTCATCGTATCATAAAGGATTTTATGTGTCAAGGTGGTGATTTCACTCATGGTACTGGTATTGGTGGTGAATCAATTTATGGAGAAAAGTTTGAAGATGAAAACTTTAAATTAACTCATGATCAACCATTCTTATTATCCATGGCCAATGCTGGTCCAAATACCAATGGATCTCAATTCTTCATCACTACTGTTCCAACTCCACATTTGAATGGAAAACATGTTGTGTTTGGTAAAGTTATTCAAGGTAAGTCCATTGTTAGAAAATTGGAAAGATGTGATAAAGGTGAAAACGATAAACCAGTTGAAGATTGGATAATAAATGATTGTGGAGAATTACCCAGTACTTATGAACCAGTTTCTGGTGTTACTAATGATGAGTTCGGTGATATTTATGAAGAAGTTCTCACTGATAATGATACTATTGATGTTAATGATCCTCAATCTGTATTCAAAGCTGTCACCTCCATAAAAGACATAGGTACTAAACTTTTAAAAGAAGGTAATTTAGAAAAATCTTTAGAGAAATATACCAAAGCTTCTAGTTTCTTAAGTGATTACTTCCCCGAAGATTTATCTAAAGAGGATTTAGAAACAGTTGTTAATTTAAAAATCAGTTGTTTCTTAAACACTGCATTAGTGGCTTTAAAGTTAAATGATGGAAAGAAGACTATAGATGCTGCTAATAGTGCCTTAGAAATAGAAGAAATCGAAGATAAATCAAAGGCTAAAGCCTTATATCGTAAAGGTATGGGTTATCTTTTAGCCAAAGATGAAGAATCTGCTCAAAAAGCTTTAGAAGAAGCCTTAACCATACAACCAAACGATGCCTCTATATTAAAAGGACTTCAAGATGTCAAACTTAAGATCAAAGTTCGTAAAGAAAAGCAAAAGAAGGCTATGTCAAAGTTCTTCTCTTAGATCTAACCGAACTGTACTCAAATTTACCATAGTTTAGTTAAGTAAAAGTTTGTATCACGCGTAAATATTAGCACCATTTTTTTTTTTTTCGAAATTTTCCGTATTCTCGCCACATTGAAAAATGAAAAATACACCAAATTATCAACATATCTATTATGCTTACTCTTTGTGTTTAAACCTTGATCCATCAGCTTGCTATAAGTTTTTGGAAAACTTATTTAAAGTATCGAAGTTGCATCTATTAGATTCTGGTGAAGCCATATAAACCCTTTTATTGATATATCATTTCCCTTTGCGTTCCAGCAAACCTTTTAAAATTTTTTTAAATTGGATATTCCAAATATATCTCAAATAAGTTTCATATAAAGAATCATCAATATGAGTCGTCAATTTCCATACTCAAGTGCTCCACTTCGTTCTGTTAAAGAGGTACAATTTGGTTTATTATCTCCAGAAGAGGTTCGTGCTATTTCTGTAGCTAAGATTGAATATCCTGAAACCATGGACCAATCAACCAAAAAACCAAGAGAAGGAGGGTTAAATGATCCAAGATTAGGTTCCATCGATAGAAATTTCAGATGTCAAACTTGTGGTGAAGATATGACTGAGTGTCCGGGTCATTTTGGTCATATTGAATTAGCTAAACCTGTGTTTCATATTGGTTTTATTCCTAAAATTAAAAAAGTTTGTGAATCCATTTGTATGCACTGTGGAAAACTTTTATTGGATGAATCAAATCCAGCTATGGCACAAGCTATCAGAATAAGAGATCCTAAAAAGAGATTTAATGCTGTTTGGGCTCTTTGTAAACAAAAGAATGTATGTGAAACCGATATAAATGAAGATGGAACTATAACCGGTAGAGGTGGTTGTGGTCACACTCATCCTACTATCCGTAGAGATGGTTTAAAGTTATGGGGTACATGGAAACAAGCAAAAGGTTTCGAAGAAGGAGAACAAGCCGAGAAAAGAATTTTAACTCCATCCGAAATCCTTAATGTCTTTAAGCATATTAGTCCATTGGATTGTTATAGATTAGGTTTTAATGAAGATTATGCTAGACCAGAATGGATGTTAATAACTGTCTTACCTGTTCCTCCTCCTCCAGTTAGACCAAGTATTGCTTTCAATGATACTGCAAGAGGTGAAGATGATTTAACTTTCAAATTAGCGGACGTTATTAAAGCCAATATAAACGTACAAAGATTAGAAATGGATGGTTCTCCTCAACATGTTATCAGTGAATTCGAGTCTTTACTTCAATTCCACGTTGCCACATATATGGATAACGATATTGCAGGTCAACCTCAAGCTCTTCAAAAAACTGGTCGTCCAATTAAATCTATCAGAGCCAGATTAAAGGGTAAAGAAGGTAGATTAAGAGGTAATCTTATGGGTAAGCGTGTTGATTTTTCAGCTCGTACAGTTATTTCTGGTGATCCAAATCTTGATTTAGATCAAGTTGGTGTTCCGATTTCTATTGCCAGAACCTTAAGTTATCCAGAAATTGTCACTCCATATAATATTCATCGTTTAACAGAATACGTCCGTAATGGTCCGAACGAACATCCTGGTGCCAAATATGTTATAAGAGATACTGGTGATCGAATTGATTTAAGATATAACAAGAGAGCAGGAGATATCGCTTTACAATACGGATGGAAAGTTGAACGTCATTTAATGGATAACGATCCAGTGTTATTTAATCGTCAACCTTCTTTACATAAAATGTCTATGATGGCACATAGAGTTAAAGTTATGCCTTACTCTACATTCAGATTAAATTTATCTGTTACTTCACCTTATAATGCCGATTTCGATGGTGATGAAATGAATTTACATGTCCCACAATCACCTGAAACCAGAGCTGAATTATCAGAAATTTGTGCTGTTCCTTTACAAATTGTTTCTCCTCAATCCAATAAACCAGTCATGGGTATTGTGCAAGATACTTTATGTGGTGTTCGTAAAATGACATTGAGAGATATCTTCATAGAATATGATCAAGTTATGAATATGTTATATTGGATTCCTAACTGGGATGGTGTTATTCCACCTCCTGTTATCACAAAACCTAAGTTTTTGTGGAGTGGTAAACAAGTCTTATCTATGGCAATTCCAAAAGGTATTCATTTACAAAGATTTGACGGTGGTAAAGATTTATTAAGTCCACAAGATACTGGTATGTTAATCGTTGATGGTGAAATCATGTTTGGTGTTGTAGATAAAAAGACTGTTGGTGCCACAGGTGGTGGTTTAATCCATACCGTTATGAGAGAAAAAGGACCACAAGTCTGTGCCCAATTATTCAGTTCTATCCAAAAAGTGGTCAACTATTGGTTACTTCATAATGGTTTTTCTATTGGTATTGGTGATACAATTGCTGATAGTTCTACCATGAAAACTGTTTCATCTACTATTAGAGAAGCTAAACAAAAAGTTCAAGAAATTATTTTGGATGCTCAACAAAATAGATTAGACCCAGAACCAGGTATGACATTAAGAGAATCTTTCGAACATAATGTATCTCGTGTATTAAATCAAGCTCGTGATACCGCAGGTCGTTCTGCAGAAATGAATTTAAAAGATATCAATAACGTGAAACAAATGGTTACATCAGGTTCCAAAGGTTCCTTTATTAATATTTCCCAAATGTCGGCTTGTGTAGGTCAACAAATTGTTGAAGGTAAAAGAATTCCATTTGGTTTTGCCGATCGTACCTTACCACATTTCACTAAGGATGATTATTCTCCAGAATCAAAAGGTTTTGTGGAAAACTCTTATTTGAGAGGTTTAACCCCTCAAGAATTCTTTTTCCATGCTATGGCTGGTAGAGAAGGTCTTATTGATACAGCTGTGAAGACTGCCGAAACTGGTTATATTCAACGTCGTTTGGTTAAAGCCTTAGAAGATATTATGGTTCATTATGATGGTACAACTAGAAATTCGTTAGGTGATATCATTCAATTCATTTATGGTGAAGATGGTATTGATGGTACCCAAGTCGAAAAACAATCACTTGATACTATTCCAGGATCCGATAAGAGTTTTGATCAACGTTATCGTATTGATCTTTTGGACGCTGAATCTTCTATTGCTGAATCATTATTGGAATCAGGTAAGGAAATCAAAGGTGATGTTAAATTACAAAGGGTTTTGGATGAGGAATTTGAACAATTATTGAAAGATCGTAAATATCTTAGAGAAGTGTGTTTTCCAAATGGTGATTTCAGTTGGCCACTTCCAGTTAATTTACGTCGTATTATTCAAAATGCTCAACAAATCTTTCATAATGGTAGATATAAGGCTTCCGATTTACGTTTAGATGAAATTGTCAACGGTGTCAGAAACTTATGTACTAAGTTATGGGTTGTTAGAGGTGATAGTGAATTGCAAGTTGAAGCACAAGCAAATGCAACTTTACTTTTCCAATGTCTTATAAGATCAAGATTAGCTTCTCGTCGTGTTATCGAAGAATTTAAGTTAAATCATGCTTCCTTTGAATGGGTAATGGGTGAAATTGAATCTCAATTCCAAAGATCTATTGTTCATCCCGGTGAAATGGTCGGTGTCGTTGCTGCTCAATCTATTGGGGAACCAGCAACGCAAATGACATTAAATACTTTCCATTATGCCGGTGTTTCTTCAAAGAATGTTACTTTAGGGGTTCCTCGTCTTAAGGAAATTCTTAATGTTGCAAAGAATATTAAGACTCCAGCTCTTACAGTATACTTAGAAAAGGATATTGCTGCTGATATTGAGAAAGCCAAGGTTGTTCAATCTGCCATTGAACATACCACCTTGAAGAATGTTACTTCATCTACTGAAATTTATTATGATCCAGATCCAAGAACTACTGTTATTGAAGAGGATTATGATACCGTTGAAGCATATTTTGCTATTCCGGATGAAAAAGTAGAAGAATCTATAGCTAACCAATCACCTTGGTTACTTCGTTTGGAATTAGATCGTGCTAAGATGTTAGATAAACAATTAACTATGGCCCAAGTTGCTGAAAAGATTTCTCAAAACTTTGGTGAAGATTTATTCGTTATTTGGTCTGATGATACTGCTGATAAATTGATTATTCGTTGTCGTGTGGTTCGTGACCCAAAGATGGATGAAGAAGCTGAATCAGAAGAAGATCAAATTTTAAAGAGTATTGAATCTCATATGTTAGATAATATTTCATTGAGAGGTATCGAAGGTATTACTAAGGTTTTCATGATGCAACATAAGACTAGTACTCCAGATGAAACGGGTGAATTCAAACAAGGTAAAGAATGGGTTTTAGAAACCGATGGTGTTAATCTTTCAGGTGTTATGGCCGTCTCAGGTGTCGATGCCAGTAGAACTTACTCCAATAATTTCATTGAAATTCTTTCTGTCCTTGGTATTGAAGCTACTAGATCCGCATTATTCAAAGAAATTCTTAATGTTATTGCTTTCGATGGTTCTTATGTTAATTATCGTCATATGGCTCTTTTGGTTGATGTTATGACTTCTCGTGGTCATCTTATGGCTATTACTCGTCATGGTATTAATAGATCTGATACTGGTGCATTAATGCGTTGTTCTTTCGAAGAAACTGTTGAAATCTTACTTGAAGCTGGTGCAGCTGCTGAATTAGATGACTGTAGAGGTATTTCTGAAAATGTGATGTTGGGTCAAATGGCTCCATTAGGTACTGGTTCATTCGATGTTATGGTTGATGACAAGATGTTACAAACTGCTCCATCTAATGCTCCTATCGTTACCGGTAATGATGTATATGTTGATGACGGTGGAAGCACTCCATATAAGGATTACAACATGGATGATGATACTGTTCAATATGAAGAAGGTGGAGGATTTTCTCCAATTCATACTGCTCAAGTTCTGGAAGGTATGGGTGGTCTTACTTCTTATGGTGGTGCTACTTCTCCTTCAGCTACTTCGCCATTTGCTTATGGTGGTACCTCACCTTCATTTGGTGGTACTTCACCTGGTTATGGTGGAACTTCTCCAGGCTATTCTCCAACTTCGCCAAGTTACTCACCAACTTCCCCATCATACTCTCCAACATCTCCATCATATTCTCCAACATCTCCATCGTACTCACCTACTTCACCTGCTTATTCACCAACTTCTCCATCATATTCACCAACTTCTCCAAGTTATTCTCCAACTTCACCATCATATTCACCAACTTCGCCAAGTTACTCTCCAACTTCACCAAGTTATTCTCCTACATCTCCATCGTACTCTCCAACATCTCCATCATATTCTCCAACCTCTCCAAGTTATTCTCCTACATCTCCAAGTTATTCTCCTACATCTCCAAGTTATTCTCCTACATCTCCATCTTATTCTCCAACTTCACCATCATACTCACCAACCTCACCATCATACTCCCCAACTTCTCCACAATACTCACCAACCTCACCTTCATATTCTCCAACCTCGCCACAGTATTCACCAACATCTCCTAGTTATAGTCCACACTCTCCACAATACTCACCTGAAGATGGTACTAAGCATGATGATGATGAAGACATTGATTAATCTTTTAGTTGTTTATACATAGATTAGTGAAAAAAAAATAGTTTAATGATAAATATATATCAATTGTAATATATCAATCGCTAAACTGTAGTTCATTGCTCTATTTTTTGCAACACTTTTTTGGACAAGAAAAAAAAGTTTGGGAAATTATAAGCCGCAAAAGATTTTTTTTATTCAGTTTAAATAACCATTCCCATGTATATCTTTTTTCTTTTATAATTGTAAATAGTTGTACCTGTGTTAATATGATTGAAACTCCTATATTATCTAGAAACTATCAATTAGAATTGGTTGCCTCTAAATATTCAGTTCAAGACCAACATATGGTGAGTCTGGGACCTCTCCCACATAAATTGAAAGAAGTAAAAGAGTTGGTGCTTTTAGTGAATACTACGTTGAATGATAACTTAGACACCTTTTTAATACCTGATATTCCAGTGAATGGTCAAATATTACATCATAATAATACATCAGTTACATATGAAGATTCTCTGCAATTCTTGTTTGATAATGCCCATAAATTCAATGACCCATCTAATCCTTTAACAATAACCTTACAATTTAGATTAGGTATCGAAGATGATGGAACTTCAATGGATGATCTATTATTAAAAGCTAATCATCTCAAATTAATCGGATGCTTTAAATTTAAGTTTTATATATTCAAAATAGTCACTCATCAAAAACTTGATAAGTTTAAGATGCCACCTGTAGAATATTATAAATATTTGAATTGTATAGGATTTAGATTTGATACTGATATTATTCCCACAATTCCATTTGAATCACGAGAAGAACTGAAACATAACTATATCAGAACTGTAAACTATCATATACCAATTACAATTTGGTGGTTATCGAAAGATCTTGAAGAGTTACACTTGGGTCAAAAAATTAGGTTACTTGGTACAAAATATGTTGATTATAAATTTCCAAAATTGGTTAATCATAGCTTTGAATGTTATGATCATGTTACAGAAAACAATTGGACTAAATTCTTTGAAAAGAATGATTCAATCAAGTGTTTAACTTTAAGGAACTTTCAAGCTGGATACTATCGTCATTTTGAAAAACTTGACAAGATCACCCTTATAGGATTTGAAACTATACTTAAAAGTGTACAGTTGAAAGGGAATTTGTGGCTGGCTAAAATGATTTACCTACATGGGGTTCCAGTGGAGTTTACTTCGGTAGCTGCCCAAAAAAGACATGTTGAAACTGAGACTCTATTCTACCTCTGGTCAACTGAAGTGACTAAAACTACTACTGACAGTCTTAAATTATTGTCGAAAGTGTACAAGTTCGAGTTGGTTGAAATTCCTTTCTTACCTTATTGTCAAACATCGTTGAAGAGCGATGCTTACCGTAGGAACTTACATAGGAATGATCATTTAGTTGAAATAATCCCCCCATCTGAATTTATATATGAAACTGTATAATCTTTATAGTTTATAAAGGAAGAACTAAAATAAATATCAATATTCTATCGTCCAATTGCATTGGATAAAGGCAGATTAACATCCAGTAGATGTAATTATTTCAAGGTTAGTTCTTTAAATCTCCAGGTCTGAAAATGGTAGATTCTAAATTCTTGGGATCAAGATCTTTCCAATCAGATAAACTTAATGGCAATGCATCAGCATTTAATTCTGGATATGTGTTATTTATAGCTTTTACGACAGATTCATAAAGAACTTTATAACCGATTGGAGTGAAATGAAGACCATCCTTAACAAATTCTTTTGCACTAGTATATTCTTTATCTGGAGTATAACTGTATGAATTATATAACTTTTCTATGGAAAGATTTCCGTATTTAGCAAAATCTTCAAATAAGTTAACAAAAGCAACTTTATTCTTGTTAGCTATTTCTTCGGCAGCTTTAGAATATTCATGATTTCTTGAATTTGAAAGTGGATCCTTTGACATTATACGTCCTCCCAGTTCAAAGAATTCTTTAGCCAATTTGCTATCATGTAAACCAGTACCAATAATAATTGGTTTGATATTTGCTTCCAAACTTAAGTTGATTAAAAAGTCTAAATTATCTTTATATCTATCAATAGGGACCGCTTGAATATCATTAAATTCATCATCAAATTGGACTGAATCATTAGTACCAAAAAAAATGGTGATTAATTTGACATTGGATTTCTCTTTATTCAATTCAGCATTCAAGATCTTTGGAAGGATTAAACGTGCTTGTTCACTATTATAACCACTATAACCTCTATTAATGACATCTAGCTTTCTAACATATAAATGTTGCAATTGAGGTTGAAGGGCAAACCCTTCTGATACATCACTGCTAAACTGAGTGATAGAGTCTCCGAAGAGAATAAATTTATCTAATAACAATTGAGACATTTGAAGGTAATTGAATTAATTGAGTGAATGAATGATTAAATGAATGAATGAATGAATAGAAATTGTTGGTTTATATATGTATATATATATGAAAACTATCACGGTGTTGAAAAATTGAACTGTTGCAACTCCTCCTCCTCGTCCTCCAAATAAGAAATAAAAGGTGTTAATAAACGGTGGTAATGTCCCCCAAATTAATAATCGATATAACATCCCTCATAATAAAGAAAATTATGGTGAATCAACAAATGCGGAAATTAAATTTAGCACCGAAGTTTCATATGGAACAAGCCCATGAACGGTTCAATACAGTACAAAGTCAGTAGTATGTAAACTTTATGGTATCAGTAGTAGATAACTTCAAAGTAGAGTACATAGAAATTAAACAGTTAAAGGAGAAATTGGAGATTATAGAACAAGTGATGAGATAAGGGAAGGGAAGGGAAGGGAAGGTGGTATACTCTTACTCTATTGTATACAGGAAGCAAGCCATCGATTACAAAATGGATCTTACCCCAGGAATGAGATTTTAATCAGGTATCTTAAGCAAAGATCTATAGCAATCAATTGTGCATCATAAACTTGACCAAAATGGTTCAACATAAGTGGTGGAAAGAGTCAACTGTATACCAAATATGGCCTGCTTCATATAAGGATTCAAATGGTGATGGGATTGGAGATATCCCGGGTATTATCTCCACTTTAGACTATTTGAAATTCTTAGGCGTAGACGTGATTTGGATAAGTCCTATGTATGATTCGCCTCAAGATGATATGGGATATGATATTTCGAATTATGAAGAGATATTTGAAAAGTATGGTACTCTACATGATATGGAGCAGTTAATAGTTGAAACTCATAAAAGAGGTATGAAACTTATGTTGGATCTTGTTATTAATCATACGTCCAGTGAACATCAATGGTTTAAGGAATCGAGATCTTCCAAACAAGATCCAAAGAGAGATTGGTATATCTGGAAACCTCCAAAATATGATTCTAATGGGATTCGTCACCCTCCTAACAATTGGGGATCTTACTTTTCAGGATCAGCTTGGAAATATGATGAATTAACTGATGAATATTATTTACATTTATTTGCTGAATCTCAACCTGATTTAAACTGGGAGAATGTTGAAACAAGAGAAGCTATTTATAAATCAGCTATCAAATTCTGGTTAGAAAAAGGAATTGATGGGTTTAGAATTGATACAGCTGGAATGTATTCTAAAGTTCAAACCTTCCAAGATGTTCCTATCACTTTCCCAGATAAAGATTTTCAACCTTGTAAGCTTTATCATCAACATGGTCCAAGGATTCATGAATTCCATAAAGAGATATATGATAGATTCATGAAACCATTCCATGCCATCTCAGTTGGAGAAGTAGGTCATTCCACTAAAGAAGAATCATTAAAATATGTCAGTGAAGAGGCTAAAGAAATGAATATGATGTTTTTATTCGATGTTGTTGAAGTTGGAGTTGATTCAAGAGATAGATTTAGATTCAAAGGTTATGATCTTATAGATTTCAAAAAGGGTATTCAATCTCAAAGTGGATTTATAGAAGGTACAGATGCTTGGTCGACAGTTTTCATTGAAAACCATGATCAACCAAGATCAATTTCAAGATTTGGAAATGATTACCCTCAATTCAGAGTTAAATCAGGTAAAGCATTAGCTGTGTTACAAACTACTTTGACTGGTACTGAATTCATTTACCAAGGTCAAGAAATTGGTATGGTTAATGTTCCGCGAGATTGGGATATTAAAGAATATAAAGATATCAATACTATTAATTATTATAAGGATAATAATTTAGATAAAAGTACGGATAAGGAGATCTTCGATGTGATTAATTTAATGGCAAGAGATAATGCAAGATCACCCGTACAATGGGATTCCAGTAAGAATGCCGGATTTACTTCTGGAATTCCTTGGACAAGAGTTCATGATAATTATCGCGATGTCAATGTGGCAAATCAAAAGAAAGATCCTAATTCGATTCTTCATTTCTGGAAGAAAGCATTAGAATTAAGAAAGAAATATAAAGATTTGTTCATTTATGGAAAATTTGAAATTATCGATATAGATAATCCTGATGTTTTCTCATTCTTGAAAATTAATGATAAAGGTGAAAAGGCTTATATTAGTATTAATTTTACACCTAAAACTATACCATTTACAAACTTATTAACAAATGAAACTATCACTTTGATACTTTCAAATTGTGATGAAAAATTTAACGAACAAATAATGACGCCGTACGAAGCAAGGATTTACCTTGTCAATTTAACATGAAAAGACTTTTAATGAATTATGAATGAACTAAAAGAGAAAAATAAAAAGCATGAAATTTTGATATAACTAAAAAAATATATATAAATAATTAAATTAAAATAAATAAATGTACTAAAAATAAGCGTCACGACCACCTGTATAACCATCATTCAAGTATTCAATTTTATCATTAAACCAGAATCCAATCATGACCACAGCGTACATTAAGATTAAAATAAATCCTTTAAAATAATTAGATCTACCTTCAGCATAAATATATGTGAATAAGTAAATTGATATTAAAGTAGCAATAATATCCCATCTTGGAAATACTAATGAGAAAATTTGATCAACATTAACGAACCCCATATAGATTGAATAGAAAACTAAACATGGAATTTGAATTAAAACCACTTGTAAAGCATAAGCACTACCAATTTCCATCGATAATGCTACATTACCACTTACAGCAAATGAAATAGCATTTAAAAATTCAGTAGTATTAGGAACTAATGCAAAAACCGTTAAACCAAGAAATTTAGGATCTATAGGATAATTCACTAACACTGCATCCACAGTATCGACCAAAATTTCAGCAATGATGGCATATAATACAGTTGCTCCTAATAAGATAATTGTTGATTTTTTAGTGGACCAATTTGGAGCATCATGACCACCTCCACCTTCATCATGAGCTACTGGTTCAATTGGTTTGAAGGATTCATCAATCAGTTTCTTATGTTTATCTAAACTTGGAGATTGTAATGGTTTCAAAGCTGATGGAGGTAAAGTTGAAAGACGTTGAGTTATTTTACTTGATCCAGCTGGAAGTTGTAAAGGAGTTGCAAAACTTGAAACACTTGGAGATCTAAATGAATGCTCATCTTTTCTAGTTGGTGTGGGTTCATGAGTTGCCCAAATTAATGATGCATGAGTTCTTAAGGTGAAATATAATCCACAAATATAAGTAGCAAAAAGGGAAGAAGCGACAATCACTGAAAATGGTTGAATGATCTTATGATATAATATATCCAATGAAAATCCAGGTTGAACAAATCGACATTTAGTACAATCATCTTCGACATTAGTGAAATCACATGCTCTACATTTGATTTCATAAGGACCATAAATTTGATAAAATAACGATGGAGCAAACATAACCACCATAGCAAATAAGAACATAGTTGAAGAAACACCAGCTGATTGAGGATTATATTTTTGAGTTTTACGAACTAATGCACCACTACACATTGATAATCCTGGTAATAATAATACCCCACCCAAGATTGAACCAATCATTGAACCTTCAACCAATTTTCCTTTACCTTGATTTAATGCCACACAATATAAGAAGATTTCAACAATGGTTGTGAAAAAGGCATTAATAACAGCACCGACTCCCATGGATGATTGAGCTGAGATAGAAGCAACAGCTTGACCAAGAAAATAAGCCAATGGAATAATGGAAAAGAAACAAAAACAAAAGATAAAAGTTGAATCTGTAAACCAAACTTCCCATTTGAAGTTTTCTTTAAAGATATAAAAATCACAGATAACAAATGCCACGGCAGCCAATAAATTTATAAAGAAAATATTGGTACCATCAATAGTATATTTATAATAATGGAAACCACAACATCTATAAGTACATAAAATGATCAGTTGAGGTCTCTTCTTTTTAGGATGTCTTTTATAATATTCCTTTTCTATTTCAAAATCTAATGCTAATGGATGACGTCTTAAATGATCACAGATCGTACTGGTTATATTTGTCATTGGGATGGTGAACACTATAAGCCAACATAAACCACCCACAAGGTATAAAATTGGTTGTAAAATCCCATAAAAGAATAGATAAAATACAAATCTACCTGAAGACCAACTACCTCTACCAAAGAATCTAACTTTGATATCAGGGTATTCTTCTTGATCATCTTGATCATCTTGATCGTCATGTTCAAGAGCAGATTCTGGTATGCCTTGTGATTGTTGTTGTTGTTGTTGAAAATAGGTTTGATCATCACCTCCTAAAGAAGAATAAGCATCACCAAGAGGTCTACCTCTATGATCTTTCAATAAAGGTCTAGTTTCTGCACTGGCAGTATTTCTTCTTGGAGGAGCAAAAAATAATCTACCTTCTTCTTGTAATCTCCACCTTTGAAATTCCTTTAAAGTTCTACCATACAGTTCATCTTCACTTAAATAATTTTCATCTCTATTTAATAAGACAAACTTTCCAAATGGATGAAACCAATATCTTCCTAATTTTAAAAGTAATCTCACATAAGGTCTTGAAGGTCTATGAATACCTAAACCAGATGAAATGAATACTACCGTAGCACCCATTAAACAAATAATATATAAGGGTATACCAATAACAAGACTCCAAAGAATATTCGTTAAAGTAACACCCCAAAAGATTCTTTTTGGTTTTCTAGGATCAAAATCATGAATATCTTCTTCAGCTCTGGTGGCTACTGATCTTTGTTTTTTATATAATGATGGTTTCCAAATCTTAATACCGAAAGGATGAGTTTTATTAATGGCAGCTTGTCTATCTCTTAAATTTAATGATTCAATGGTTTGAGATGATTGAGAACTTCGAACTGAACCATTATCATCATCATCATTATCTTCGTCATCTTCATATCGAGAATCATTATCACCTCCACCACCAATTCCATTTGATTCATCTTCTCCCGCAACTTCTTCATATTCAATAGTATTATCGGCAATATTATCTGAATCACGTAAATTATCTAATAATTTTATATTTTCTTCAGCATCAATTAAATCCTTAGCAATGGTAGATTCTATTTGTTTAGCAGCTGTTTTATTTAATTCATCATTGGAGAGAGTGGCTGTGATTAATTTTGATCTTCTTTGATGTAAAGCTCTTAACGCATCACTATAACCCTCTAAATAATCTCTATCACTAACAATTTCAGTATTATCCTCCACATTCTCTTCATCGACATTTTCATTGACATCATCATCGACAGAATAGACCAAAGTCTGATGACTACCTGTAATTGATCCTAATCGTTTCAAATGAGGTTTTGATTTCTTTCTTTGTTTCGATACTGATTTATTCCTTACATTAGGGGTATGAATATTGGTAACACTTGAATTTCGAGAGAATTCATTGGAATTTTCAGGATGAAGAGGTAAAAGACGAGGTGATTGTTTGTAGAGTGTATTGGGAACCCCATTAGGTGGGTCCGACATCTCAATTGATCAAATTGACTATAAGTATCTTAAACGCTTTTGGTAAAGATAGAGATACCAATTTGTAATTATTGTCTCATCAAAATTTCTGTTTTTGGGGAGACAGGGCAGACAAAATTAGACTGAGAGAGAGCACTAGGTTAAGCACACAAAATGTTTAATTATGTCATTGTCATTATTGTTTAAAATTTTAGACGTTTTTTGACTTCATTACATCATTCTATATATGGGATATGTTAGACTATATATATATATATATAATGGCATATATATATGGGATATGATTTAGCTACTTCTACCTGACTAGCAGGATAATATAACTAATCACCTAATCTATAACCTTTTCCTTGGAAAGCATTATCACCACTGAACCAAGATGTATAAGGTGGGGTTGATGGACGAGGAGGATCTTCTAATTTATTTATTCTGGTGGAAGTATTACCATCATTATTATTATTAATATTGGACTGTTTAGTATTTCCATCAAAAGCAGTGGTTCTAACTGAATTATTAGTTGGATAATCCAAGAGTTTATATAACCAAATTGGAGCTTTTAAATAACCTTTATCAAAGATTGAATCATCAATAGCTTCAGAAGGATTCGATTCATTAGTAGTTCCATTAAGATGTTGAATTGTACCAACTCTTCTACCTGATTTTTGTAAATTCTTTGGATTAGCCGCACCATAAGCTCCTGGGATTAAGTTATAAATAGGTAAAGTATTTGATTGAATACATTGATAAATATATCCTCCAAAGATTCCAATTGATGTATCTAAAAATGATGTATAACCATTAACAATCAATTTAAAGAATAAATTAAATAATGGTAAATAATAAGCTTTAATTGGAACCACTCCAAGGAAATTTATAATGGAATTTTTCAGTGATCTTGACCAAATATAAGTTACACAACTTAACATCATTTGATGATGAATGGGGAAATGATTTGCATCAATAAATGCATTATAAATTAAAGTAGTTAATACAATACAAGTACCAGCCACTAATGTAAACCAAAGACAATCAGGGAAATTTCTTCTAAATTTCCCTTGATAACTTTCTAAATGATTAGCAAACGTATAAAAGAAATAAATATCTAATATAGCTTGAAAAGGTTGATCAACAAATAATCCCATAGGTAATAAAAAAGCGGTAAAGAATCGATAACTTTGTAATCCTAACCATATTACAGAATAAAGGATTTGATAATAGTTCCCATAACGAATAACTGTTTTAAGTACTTCTAATTTTTCCAATAATACTGGTAAATAACAAATCAAATCAATTGGTTGAATCAATTTTAATGAATTGGCAAAACAAACGATAACAGTTGTGATAGTGAAGAATCGAGTAACAGGAGGAATATTCCTTATATTGTCAGCCAAAGATTGTGATGGATTGGTCATATTGATGGAAGTTGTTGTACTATATATGATCTATCTGTTTATATGTATACGTTGTTACTTAATCGATGGCAATTTCCTTCTTGTCCTTGGTATCCTTGGTATCCTTCCTTTCTAGTTGTAAACGTAATTCAGTTCCAATTTCAATTTTTGCCCTTTGACCATTTTCAGTCAGTGCGGGTGAGACACACAAATTGACAATGGAAAATTTACAGTAAACAAAAAATTGTAATGGATGAAAGAAAGAAAGAACTACTCATCATCATCACCACTACAACTATCAACCAACTCATAAGATGAAGTTAGTTCGTTTCTTGATGAACTTGCCTAGTTCCACAAACCAACCCATCACAGTCGAACTTAAAAATGGGAATTCCATAAGTGGACAATTATTATCCTGTTCACCACTGATGAATTTATCATTAAAGAATATTAAATTAATTCAATCATATCAAGATCCTCAATTATTGGATTATATGAATATAAGAGGAAATCAAATCAGACAAATCATTTTACCTGATGAAATCAATATTGATAATATACTAGCCAAAAGTGTTACTAAGATAAAGGGTCAAGGTGCTGGACCTGGTGCTAAACCATTACCGACAAGAGGTAGTGGAGGTCCAAGAGGGGGAAGAGGTGGTGGTCCAAGAGGAGGTGGTAGAGGTGGTTCAAGAGGAGGTAGACCTCCTCCAAGAGCCTTTTAAAGATGTTGTTGTAATTTTATTCTGTTAATCAACATATATGTATTATAGGTCATCGTTTTTTTAGTTTTACGTTTTTAATGAAGTTACTAGTTTTTTTACTCTAATTCAGCATTTATATCAATAGATAGATATATATATATATTCTTAATACACAAGTGAGTTTAGGTTTGTTCTATGTACAATAATTATGACGTGAAGTGAAATGAAATGAAAGTATGAATGTTTTTTGGAGACTAATACCAAGTCTTTTGTTTGGCTTGTCTCTTTTGAAGTTGTTTCTTATAACTTGGTCTAGCAGCAACAATAATATCATCCATATTAGCAATAGCTTCCTTTCTAACTTCCAATTTATCTTCAAATTCTCTTTCCCATTTCCTTTTCTTTTGACTTAACACACCTCTCATCCAATTCTTATCATTATATTTCTCTTCATAAAATTTACGAGGTAAAGGAGGTAATAAATCTTGTATACCGAATTTCTTTGCCATTTTAAAAAGATCTGCTGATCTTCTTAATGAAAATTTAGGTCCTTGCCATTTCCCTGATTCAGGATTCTTATTTGGTAAAAATGGATTTAAATGAGGATCAGTTATAACTGATGGTTTGACTGAGTATTCAGCATATGGTCTTGGAGGAAACTTTATAAAGAAGTTGTGTAATTTCTGAGGAAGTTTACTAAATGCTTCCTTTGATGTTAATGACATGGTCGTTGGCTATAGTTTATTCTTCTAATCCAAATCCAATTATGGTGATTTTTCAATATTGATTAACATTAAATATTTTTTTTTTTCAAAATGGGTGAAGAAAAAGATTTTTTGGTGATAATTGTTATGTACAGGAATATTCATGATTTCTACAAATAAACTTAGTTGCAAATTAATTAAAGTATAATTATATTCAAATAAATCTATAAAGGGAAAAGGTGGTATTAAAAGCAAACTATTGTGCTTTTTATATTATTAAGAATCAAATTAGAATTTTTAAGTATGTAAAAAAAGAAACAGAACACAATGTATGTATGTAAAGAAACTTAATTAATTTATTCAGGTCCATCAATGATACATTTAACAGCACCACTTCCAGCTCTAACTAAATCATAAGCTTTAATAGCATCATTGAAGGAGAATCTATGGGTGATTAAAGCTTCGAAATCAATTGGAGCTTTATCTTTACCATTTTTATAATTAGTATCAAGAATACCAACAGCAGTTTTATAATCATTAAAACCATATCTGAAAGAACCAAATAAAGTTAATTCTTTAGTAGCAAATTCAGTAATTGGGAATTTAACTGGACCTGGAGCATTACCAACTTGAACAAATCTACCTCCTTGAGCTAAAATATGAACCCCAGTATTAATACATGGTTCAGCACCAGTACATTCTAATACCACGGTTGGTTCATTATCATCAAAAGCTTTTAACAAGTTTTTATAATCACCACCAGTCTTGGAGTTGAAAGTATGAGTGGCAACACCAATATCTTTAGCCATTTGTAATTTATTATCAAAAATATCAATAACAATAACAGCAACAGCTCCAAATGATTTAGCAGCAGCAGCAGCTAATAAACCAACTGGACCAGCACCGAAAACAGCCACTTTATCACCAAATCTGATGGAACCTAATTTGGAAGCATGAACACCAACAGTTAAAGGTTCAACCATAGCCCCTAATTCTAAACTAACATGATCAGGTAATTTAACTAAGAAATCTTCTGGACTTTTAAAATATTTACATAAAGTTCCTGGAGGATTTGGTTCACCATCAGTTGAGTTTGGAGTGGCAGCAAAACACATATGAGGACATAAGTTATAATGACCTGATTTATAAGCATCACTTAATCTTGATGGAATACCCGGTTCAATAGCAACTTTATCACCAACTTTAACACTGGTAACTTTTGAACCAATTTGAGTAACAATACCAGAAGATTCATGACCTAAAACCATTGGTTTGGTTAACACGAAATGACCGATTTTACCATGAGCATAATAATGGATATCGGAACCACAAATACCGGTTTTTTTAACTTCAACTATAACTTCATTTGATTCAGTTATTTCTGGAGCTTCATAAGTTTCGAATGAAATATCATCGATTTTGTTAAGAACTAAAGATGGATTAGCAACCATTGTGAATAAGAATTTAGATTAGACTATGATTTAGAGAAATAAGAAGAAGAAAAGAAAGAGGAATAACAAAATTATTTAAATAAAAAATTGGAAAATTGGAAAATGGTTTAAATATAAATAAAAAAAAGTTGAATGATAAATAGTTAGAGGAAGAGAATATGGGGAAGTTTATCCACCATCAAAATTAATGCGTCCGCTGCCACTCACTCACTAAAAATGTGTGTTCAGTGTTTACCTTCTTCGTTAAAAATTTAATTAAAAAAATTCATCTCACTATTTAATTCAACACTAAAAATTTCTTAATAGTGAACGCCTTTGGAATTCTCAATGTGTTGCATATCTTATTTGTTTGTATATGTATCAGGTCTTGCCGGATAGTCTACTTATTACGTTCATGATCTTCATTATCTTTTACCTTCTATTTCTGCTGGGGGTTTAATTATTAATAGAAATTAGTTAGTTAGGGTTTGATTCCCCCATATTTTTTGTTTAAGCTTTTTATTTACAGTTCAAAATTTCGGAAGAAATCAAAAATTAAAAAAAATTAAAATAAAATAAAAAAAAAAAAATTAATTTATTTATTTTTAATTTTTCGTCTTGACCTTTCTTTCTTTAATGTGTACAGTATACATAAAGTTTTTCCATATGTCGTTTTGATAGACCTCTAGCATCTGAAAAAAGTCGTTACCATCGTATAGTATTTACTATATTAATACTCCAATTTTTGCAACTTCAATCTAGGGTTTTCTAAATTGACTATCGAGGATACCTTATGGATTTGCAATTTCATTGAATGATTCAGATAAACTTTTAATTGTTTAACATCTAGTTTATACATGTAACAAGTAGTTAATTTCAATGGTTATTATTGTACCTATGTAAAGGGTTTCTAATGAAATATTCCTAACGTCTTATTAACTAGTTAATCGATCAATGATCCGATCTTTATTATTCACCACAGGCTCATTTCTTTCTTTCTCTTTCTTTAATTCAAGTACTTTAACTTGAAATAAATCTACAAATTTTACCTAACTTTTCAACTCAGACAACTATATATGAAGTTAATAAGCAATAAGATGCCTTTGCTTCCAGTGAAAGCCTACCATTGCAGTTCAATTGATCTCATTTGGTTCAATACTACGACCGATCTTTTACTTGAATCATTTCCTCATAGTTACCAGTAGTTTCTTTACAAACAGCTACTCAATGATAAAATCCTGAGTCATCTTTAATCTAATCAATTTAGCATCAAGATCTACATCAAATACAGTTGATAAACCCTTGTATAATAACTTCACATCATCACATTAGATAATTGGTTACGCTCCATCTTCACTTGCTCAACTACTACATTTATCTACACCCTTTTTAACAATTCTTTTATCGTTTGTATATTTATAATAAAAATTTTAATAATAATAATAATATAATTTAAATTATTAATTTAAATGCAATGAATGAAGATAATATATTTTATCTAATATATTCATATACTACCTGTTTTTTTATGTTATTGTTGTGATTGTGGTTGATATGTGATCTATTTTAATCATTTTGAAAAGCTAAACATAGACTAAATCAAAACTTCTAGAATATAATCATCTAATGAGGAGGAGGAGGATATGTTACATGTGGGTGAAATGTTGTGTTTAAATTCAATAATCAATTGTGGATGATTAAGGTTATGTTATTTATTTAGCAACACCTTGTAAAGCTTCTAAAACTTCTAATTCAATAGTAGCTTCGGCAACAACAACTTCATCATTGGAAGCAGCTCTCTTTTGAGCATCAGCAATCAAAGATTTAACAGCTTGAGCATCAAATTGATCTGGTTTGAAAGCTTCAATGGCACTAATGGTTAATTTATTACCTGGTTGAACAGTTGCAATACCTCCACTAACGAAAAATTGTTCAGTTTCACCACCTTTGGAAATGATTTCTAATAAACCTGGTCTTAATTGTTCGACAATAGGAATATGATTAGCTAAAATACCTAAATCACCATTAATAGATGGTAAATTAACTTGTTGAACTTCAGCTTCAGAATATAAGGTTTGATGTGGTAAAGCTAATGATAACTTTAAGGCATCAGATGATGTAGAACCTTCAGTGGCGTAAGTTCTTCTAACAACATTAGATGATTGCTTAGCAACTTGACGAACAGCTTGTCTAAACATTGTGATGATGATGATGATTGATGATTGATTAGTTACTGGTTTTACACCATTTCAACTTCCAATTTTCAATTTTCAGTCGTTTTTTTTTTTCGTCTGTCTGATTGACCGAACTACGCACTGTTAACAGTTTGTACTATACACTATAGAAGTCACCATAGTTAACAAATAATTGAACATTGGTACACGCCCATATATCAAAATTACGCATTTTTATTGGATCAAAGTCTAGATTGCCTAATTAGGAAGTACTATATAAAAGAATTATTGCAAATTATAATATGATTAATTAATCAGGTCCACCGAATTGATTTAAGAAACTATCAACATCAAAATCTTCATCATTGTTAACTCCAGCTCCATTATTCGTAGTAGTATCATATCCTTGATCAATTAAACTCATACTGAAACCATTGATTATCAGATCATCATTTTCTAATAGATTATTCATATTGGTATCCATATCATTAACACCACTTCCATCGAGTTCTCCCATTCCATCATCTATAAATCCATCAAGGCCTGTTCCACTCACACTTCCACTACCTCCATTTCCATTACTATTCATATCAATAGCTGATGCACCTCCCAAGTTGGCACTACTATTAGATGCATTAAGATTGCTGTTATTGTTATTACTATTATTGTTATTATTATTATTAGTTGAAGTAAGATTATTACTGGTTCCATCATTACCAAGACCAAGATCTCCAAGATCCATATTAAGTTGATTGGCACTATTACCAACATCTAAGGATAATTGAGGATCATTATTAAATTCCATACCAGATAATAAATCTTTATTACTATCCAATTCTCCAAGATTGAAATTAAAATCATTACTCGACATTAAATCACCAAAATCTTGATTTTGTTGTTCTTCTCGTTGTTTATTAGCTTCATCTAATTTCTTTCTTTGAATTTCTTCTTCTTTAGCACGTTTGATTTGTTCTTCCATCTTCTTCTTTAATTCAGCTTGTTCTATGGCCTTTAATCTTTCTGCTTCTTCTCTTTCAGCTTTTAGTTTTGCGGCAATCTCTTCTTCTTTTCGTCTCTTTTCTTCAATTATACGTTGTTCTTCCTCTAACTTCTTTCGTTCTTCTTCTTTTCTCTTTCTTTCCAACTCTTCTTTCAATTTTAATTCTTCTTGTCGTTGTTTATTCTCAAGAATTTGATCAATACACCATCTGGCATCATTGAATTTAGATAAAGTTTCATCAAGAATTTCATCAAATTTAGTTATACTATTCGATAATTGTGCAGTTATGGCAGGAGAAATCAATTGATTATTAGTCCCCGTTATCAAATTACTTTGTTTCTTATTATTACCAATGATCTCAAATATGTATCCTGATGTCTTCAACACATCATTAAGTGAATTATTCAACTTTGTCTGTAAATTCATCTTTTACTATCGTGATGTGTAATCTACTTATTCTATATGTGTACAGTTTTTGTTTCTAAATTAAATGAATGGAATGATATATGCAGTAAATCTTAAGATGAAATGCAAAGATATAGTAATATAAATGATAAATGAAGTATGTAATACAGTATGTGATATAATTAAACTGAACTCCACACCTTTAATTGTAACTTCAATTTAACTATTTCCAATTTTAGATTGATCAGAGACAGAATTTTAAGCAGTAAAAATACCAGTCATGTGATCAATCAGGTGATGAAAACAAAATGAACACAAAAACGCGACTTAACAGGAATCGCGTAAACAAAAAAATAACAAATCTATCAAATATCTATTTCACCTTTTCATCATTTGTCATTTTCTTCTTCTTCTCTCTATTCATCAATTGCATTGTATTATACCTTACCAACCATACCTCATGATCACTGAAACACTTATATCGAAGCAAGGACCCTTGGGTTACGTGTGGCTTGCTGCCAACTACGACAAGAAACTCACCAAACATCAATTGTTAAGTGCCAATATATCTGATTCAACTGAATTCATTGTTAATCTGTCTATCAATTATTCCAATTCAGAATCATCACCACAAGAAAATACCAATGGTTCCTCGGAGACAAATGGTAATACTATCACTTTAAGATTGTCTGGACAATTACTTTTAGGTATAGTAAGGATTTATTCAAGAAAAACAAAATATTTATTAGATGATGTTAATGATATTCTTATTAAATTAAAAACTTCTTTCAAATATGCTAGTGGGATTAATTTAGGGATAGATGGTGGATCTATAAATAGTAATCAAATCAATCTAAATTTAAAAGATACCATTGTATCTAATGTTAAAAGTATTACATTACAAGATCAAGTTACACAATTTGATTTATTATATCAAGAAGATTTAAATTTGGATGATGATAATAATATGGTGGTTAATAGACCAAGTCAAAGTATAGGTGATATCTTCAGTCAAGCTCTTAGTCAAAGTCGTCAACCAGAAGATGATAGTTTTGATTTTGATAATTCTATAGAATATGGTAGATATGGTGAACCATTAGAACCAACTACTCCTGGTGGTCATGAAATTGATTTACAATTGGATTTCGATCTTAATGATGATTATGGTGATGATTTCAATAATAATGATAATGATGATTCCATTGAAGTTGGAAGAAATGCATCCCATATACTTGATGAACGTGAATTATCAACCTTATCCATAGACAATAATAATAACAAAGATGACAATGATGATGGATTTGATTTAGGTAATCCTCTTGAAACTATAGATGAACCAGGTCTTGAAGTCGATGATGGTTCAAGTACTCCTATTGAACATATATCAACTCCTCCTCCTATAGAGAAACAACCAAGACAAAAACGAACTGGTATAACAGCTGATGGAGAAATAATAACCAATAAAAGAAAATTGAAAATCGATAGTTTAGAAGATTTAGATGGTATTTCAATTCAAACTTTAAAAGACAATCAAGAACGTTTATTACAAACCAGATTTGAAAATGATCAATATTTAACATTAAACTTAACTGAGTCTGAAAAACTTTCATTAATCTATGAATTATCAGCACCTCCTATAACTAATAAAAGAAGAAAATTATTCAATGTTGATGAACAACTTCAACAAAGATGTTTGGAATTATCAAAACTTGAAGAACAAAAATTGGAAGAACAACATAATTTAGGATTCAATGACGATGATTATGGTGATGATTTCAATAATAATGATGATGATAATGATAATTTCAATCAAAGTCTTGATTTTGACATTTCCTTACCTGAATTTTCAAATGAGAATGTTAGTGATTTAATTGATTCTCAAGAGAATGAAGATGATGGTTCAAATATAAATTCAGTACAATCCACCATCCAAGTTGCGGAAAATATCCGTCAATTATTAAAAGATGAATCATTAGTTGAATTATCCGATATAATAGAGGAAGATTTAACTATTCAAGATAATGATGATAGTAAAGTTCCATTAGGTTTAATTTCTAAAAGTGGTGAAAGACAAATCAATATGAAGAGAGAAGCTACGAAATGTTTCTTTGAATTGCTTGTATTGGCCACTAATGATTGTATTGAAATGCAACAAGAAAATGATTCAATTAAATTGGGACAACAAATTAACATTAGATCTAGAGATAGACTTTATCAAAACTTTTTATAGATAATTAATAATAATAATAATAATATGTACATTCGATTCATTTTGTTTTTAATTTGTAAGTTTTTTCTTATTTACATATTCTATTAATCCATTGTCTAATTCATCAAGAGTATTAGCTTTTGACCATACAAAGTCTTCAATTTTCCACACCGCAGTGGATCCATGGTTAAATCCCACATATAAACAAGCGCCATCCGCAGTGAAAGATAAACTTGTAATGATATCACCTTCTTTACCAACTTCTATTTCAAATAATGGCCCAAACAACTTCTTATGTAAATCCCAAAATTGAAGAGCCGGAACACCTTTGATACTGGTTGCGGTGATTAGTTGTGCTTGGTGGGTAGGTGATACAATCAAATTAGTTACTATACTAGGAGTATATATCAGTACCACTTGTTTTTCGAGATTATTAACTTCCCAGATTTTTAAACTCCAATCTAAGAATGAAGATATGATATAAGAATTCCCATTTGAACATGACATTATTGAAGAATCAAATAATTTATTAGGCACAGATAGTTTATCTAAGGGATATAATGTGGTGCTGACTTCATTTGAATCAGATACGTTTATACGATATACACCCCAATCATTGAACAATATTAAATTTTCTAAAAATGGAAATGTCTTAGAATCACCCAATAGATAGTTATTTTCTCCCACGAGAAATGAATTCGATATGGATAGTAATGTCTTTTTCGGATTTGAATATTCTTCTTGGATACTAGGTTCATAAATTTCAATAGAATCAAACTTTGGCATGGCTAAGAGGTTTGATGACCAAGTATTGATAATACCATCTTCAGAAAAGGAAAGAATACAATCATTAGAATCAATTTTGATTTGATGTACGGTATTAATTGATAATGTATGTGCTTGATAATTCGTTTGTTGAGAGCTTTTTGATTCTGATAACACTATGGAAGAATAATTAGGTGTAGTTAAAATAGGATTTAGTACCACTTTAGATGATGAAGACAGAAAATCCCATATCACCAATTTTCCATCTGCCAATCCTCCTATTATCCGAGTTGGTTTGGCTTTATCGAACTGAATGCAATGTATTGGAGAAGAACAACTTAAATAATATTCTGGAAATGCTTGATTATGGTCTTTGGTAGTAGAATATATTATGGCTCTTCCATTTGGAATCGTATTGTGATTAGATTTGGACTTTTCATTTGTATATGCTATGGCAACAAGTTTTGAATCATGAGGAGACGTATCCACTGCGGTGATGGTTGAAGCCTCTGGAATATCAAACGATGTTATCTTAGATAATGGAACATTGGAAGTTACTTTTGATTCAGTATCTTCTTTCTTACTTTTATTATACATATAATCATTGGAATCGAAATGTCCTGTGATGTGAACTTTATTAATGAGTTTAAGCGATTCCATGAGCAGGTTATTCAAATCTTGTTCAACGAAAGGTTCGCCATCGTCGTTTGGTACCTGAGGATCTTCCTCCTCCACACTGGTTTCTATTTTATGATCTATCACTTTTTCTTCATTTTCGACTGGAGCACCTATATCAATTGTCTGAACAGCTTTATCATACGTGGTAAGTTCATGTTCTTTTTCGATACTTAGTATACTAACATCTCCAATCTGTTGATTTAAATTATCCAGATCAACTTGAATACCTATACTAACTTGCTTTCTAGGTTCTGGAGTATTCAAAAGCAGCCCTATAATATGATCAACTGACGACACATCATTGGAACCAGTATCCCCATCTTTCGACTCTATTCGTTTCTGTCTTAATTGCTGAACCCGTCGTCTTTTCTCCTCCAACAATGCCTGTCTATCCATTCTGTAATGATAATGATCTCTAGTACGTACTTTCGAAAGGTAAACAAATATTTTAACGATCTTTAAATGTTTTTGTTTGGTGATAACGCGTATAAAAAAAAAAGAGTGAAATTATCAATTTTCAATTTTCATGATAGTTACAATCAACCAATACTAACGCCAACGATGACTACAACAGGGATGGATATAGATGATATCTTAGAAGAGTTTGAAACTACTGCCAAGACAGATCTTAAAAAGACAAGTGTACATGATAATCTATATAATGACTTAATCACAGCTATGATCAATGAACGAATGGCTCCAGAACTACTACCATATAAGAAAGAACTTCTAGATGAAGTATTACAACGATTATCAAACCAACAACAGAACTTATTGGATTCTCATGAGTATGGTGAAGTAAATGCTTCTTCAGGAGTGGTGTCAAGTGATTTTAAATTACAATTAATGATCATAGAAACAGATATAGAAAGATATAATTACTTGGTAAGACTCTATTTAAGAACAAGATTAACCAAAATCGATAAACATGCTATTCATTATATAAATGAAACCATGGAAAGTGATAAGGAGATACGATTATCTCCAGAAGAAGAAGAATATATCAATCAACATTTTAAAATCATTACTAAACTTTATAATAACAGTTTTCTTAAGAAAATGCCACCATCATTAACTCTTTTGGATGATACTGCTGGTGAAGAAAGTATGATAGAACATCCCGATATCAACAAACATGTATTCATAAAATCGATTTCAACTACTCCAATGTATATCAAATTAGATGATGGAGAAGATTTACCAATTGAAAAAGATGGTATTTACGTTGTGAAATATAATGTTATAAAGAAGTACATAGACCTTGGAGATATAGTATTAATATAAATTTAATGGTAATGTTATTTATTTATCTATCTATAAAATTTGATAATCGCAGCCACCAGGGCATACGATATTTTCCTCTTCAATAAACCATTCTTTTAAACATCCAAAATGACCTCTATGACCACATTTCAAACTAACCACAACAGTTAATCCTTTACATGGTTCTTCACAATATATACAATTCAGTTGTTTCTTAGAACATTCATCACAATACCAAAACCCAAATTCATCTCTCTTATCCTTAAGTTTCTCCTTGGATTGTTCATTGACGAGTAATTTCTCACACCAACAACAATAAAACCGAAGATCAACATCATTAATGGTTAATTCTTTGATTTTATCCATTAATCCTTTAGGACAACTATTAAGCACATTGGCACAATTGACAAATAATCTCTTTCTTTGAAGAATCTCAATATATAACGATATCAAGTCAAGACACACCTCATCAGATATAATTGCATTATATTGATCATGGAATAATAATGCTAAAGTTGCACAAAAGACCACATCACCTTGTTGTGATGAATATTCCAATACTTGCTTTAATAAGCTTTCCACTTTCCATGGTTTTAAAACTTCGTTCGCTGGTGGATCAGCAGAAGATTCAAATGCTCTAGTTAACCCTGATTTGATGGTAGCCTTCTCAGAAGGATTCAATGACAAGATTTCTTCTTGAACTTGATTAAGTGCTTGTTTCGGTGTCTCGTCCCTTGTTCCACCCAGACTTCCTGGTGATGGCTTATTTCTTGGAAATCCAACAGGTTGAATGGCTGAGTTTCTTCTTGACAGGAATGATCCATAAGGATGGTGTGAAACTGAATGATGACTCTGATTGAAATAGTTAGGACTTCCCTGTTGTAAAAATATTGCATTTGATACTGGACTAGAGTTATTAGCGGCATTATTTAAAATATTCCAATTTTCATTATCCAAATCTTCAGAAGTATGAGTGGATGGAGTTAATGTTGGTCGTCTTTGAGATGTGAATGAATATCTATTGTATCTACTTTCAAAAGTGGTGGTACGAGGAAGTGATTCATTGGAAGTGATAGCAATTGGAGCTGAATGTTCATGATTATTATTAGAACCTGTAAATGTTATATCTTTTGGAGATGAACTACTCTCAACATCTTCAGTTTCGTCATCATCAATAATAGCATTTTCTAACTTATCATCTTGAGTTATGGATTCTTTTCGTAAGAATAAATTAGATGCTTCAGGACTTTTGGATGCATTAGTAAAACTATTACCTCTACTTTTATGAATTAGTTCCATAAGACTATTAGAAGAAAGCTTTGATGAAAGAGCATGTAATTGTAAATCATCTGTACTTTTCATTGGTCTAGGGATTTTACCAAGAGAATCCACACTTTGATCTTTACCATTATGAGATCCAGCTCCTCCATAATTTGTCGTCAGGGTCGAATTGGAATTATATGATCCCACAAAATTTCCTAAATCAGACAGTAACGATTTAGCATCTTTGTTATACTCTTCATCTTCTAATTTATGATTATTTTCAATCATTTCTCGTTGATTATCAGTATAAATATCTGCTTGTTGGGCATTGGCCACATAATCATCTTCAAGACTTACGGCCAACATTCTCCAAACTTGACATTCTCGAAATCTATGAACCGTAGCTGCGATACTGGCATTTAAGTAACAAACATCAACTAAATTAAATCCATCTGGAATCGATACCAAATAATTATCTGCTAATGCTTCAAATACAGTATCATCATTGCTCGGGATTGGAAGACTAACTGGAACAACATAAGGTGATAAATGGTTGACGTAAGACAATCGCTTTTTATTGTTTGACGAAGGGACAGTTGAATGAACTGTAGATCCAAATGAAATATTAGATTCTTGAGTTGTAGTAGATGCATTTCTATGTAATTTTGGTCTAACGAGAGGAGCTGGTTCTTGAAATGAGCTGAATGTGTTAGTTGAACGTGGATTTGGTGATGGTGATTTGGTGAAATTAACTGAATATTGCGTACTCGATCTAAACAATCCTGGTTTCTCTATTGAACCAGAAGCTAATGAATTATTAGTTGAATTGAATCCCGGATTTGGAACAGGAAGTGATCCAACTACTCTTTCGAAATCATCATAATATTTCGTTTCTTCTTCTTCCACAACACTATTGGTATTGCTTCTATCTAATGGAATAGCTAATTCTTCCAGATCGTCATTTTCACTAGCATACGATTCGTTATCTGTCATTTCATATTCGTATTTATCTTGATTAACGAAACAGAAATCTCCCATACCATTATTCCAAGTTATCGACGTACTTGGTAAATCATCTAATGGTCTTGATATTTCTGCATCTTGAGAAGTTTCTTGAAAGTCTAAATCATAAGTTGTGAATACATTTGATTTAGTAACGGTCCATAATTTTCTGGAAGATGTTGAATTATTAGGCCATATGAAATTTTGAAATGGTTTATTAGTAGCAGAAGTTATAACTTCTTTGGGGATATATTTCCTATTAAGATTGTAAACTGTAATGGTTGAATCATCATTCAAATACAGACATGCGAAATCATAATGATATAGAGAATTACCTCTCGTAGATGAATTTGGAAATGAATAGAGCGCTTCTCTTTCATCATAAGTTAACTTATCATCAAACCTATTGAATTCATTTGATTGTTGAATGTTTTCCAAGTTTAAATCTGCCCCACTTCGTAATGATGGATATTGACTCCATCGTACTTTCATGACAGGTCCATAAGTATTAATCATATGTTCAGGGGTTACTCTATTAGATGAAGGATTAGAATCACTATAATTCCAAATACACATCTTCTGATCTCTACCACCAGTTAAAACATATTCCTTTTCGGGATGGATATGTAATGATAATGCCGGTCCAGTATGTAAATTCCATTTTCTTTCGGGTGAGATTATATTTTGTAATTGATTACCTGAAGGAGATCTTAATTCAAACTTAGCTAATGAACCTGAATCATGAGCTGAAAGAATAGTCATTTTATTTCTGGCAGTTGAATGAGGAGAATATTGACATGATCTCACTGGATCCGAATGATTACTTGACATAATAGTTATAACAGGTCGAGGGTTTGAAGATCGTAAATCCCATAGTTTGATGGACCCATCTTGAGATCCTGATATGAATAAATTAGAAGGTTCAAATGATGAGCCATTAGTAATGAAATCCAATGAGTTAATTGAACGTTTATGATCGGAGAATTTATTAATGAGTCGAGATTTACCATTAGGACTTATTTTAAATACATTGATTAACCCATTGGATAATCCAGCTGCAATAGTATCATGATGAGTCTTGACTGTATTGATATTGTTAAGTTTATTTATAGCAGGTAGTCTTGAATTGAATTGAGATGTGCTTTGTTCCAATACATTTATATCTTGTAATATTCGAGATTGATCATCATTTAAGGCAAGGATTCTTAAATAGTTTCTACCACCTACCACGACATGATGAGATATCCCATGATCAGAGGGATAACCATTGGATAAATTATGTAATTGGAAGTTCAATTGAGATAAGGTTATCACTTCTCTTTCACAATTGTATACTAATTTATTAGCTCTATAATCATAATTCTCTGTTACTTTTGATTTAATCGAACTATAAGATGAAGCTGGGGAAGTACTGTTATTGTCATAGGAATTGGAATGATTTAACGTTCCATATATATTGAACGCAAACTTTGCCAAACTCAGCTGATTGGAGTTGGAATTGTTTGACATTGGTTGGTGTCGTCGTCCAAAGCTGAACTGTTGATTATTATTGTAGTTACCTTATTTGGTGATAGTTTCAAAAGTTTTTGAAAAATGTATTTTCTGGATCTACTCACAAAAAATCACAAGAACAGGCTATGGGACCAGCCTCATACCTCTTAACTATTTGTTTCAATTGATATCCACTTTAAAGTTGAAGACAGCTTCTTATCGCATATAGAACAGAGATGTTTGGTTTGCTGTCAACCTTTGTTTCTAAAATATTACACGGTATTAAAATGCTAGCTGAAATAGGAGTATCATTTGGAGCATTAGTATTATTAGGATTCTATACTTATCAAAGTAAATTAATCTATCCTGCTTCGTTGAATGATGGTCATGGGTATTGTGCTACTCCAGATGAATATGAAATGCCAAATTATGAATTGGTTCAACTTAAAACTGAAGATGGTGAAACTCTTCAATGTTATCTGATTAAACATGATAAAAATGAAGCTGATTATAGTAATAAAACTATCTTAATCTTATCTCCCAATGCAGGTAATATCGGTCATGCATTACCTATCGTATCAATCTTTTATAAGAATTTCGGGTACAATGTATTCATCTATTCATATCGTGGTTATGGTCAATCAACAGGAACAGCTTCTGAAAAAGGGTTAAAAATCGATGCTCAAAGAGTTATAAAATATCTTAGTGAAGAAGATGAACAATATCAACAATCATCAATTGTATTATATGGGAGATCATTAGGTGGAGCAGTGGCGATATATATGGCATCGACCATGTCAGATGCTATAAGTGCTGTCATATTGGAAAATACCTTTCTTTCTATAAAGAAAACGGTACCCCATATTTTCCCCATGTTAAAGTATTTTACTAGTTTTGTTCATCAAAAATGGGAACTGGAAGATTTAATCCCTTTGATTCCATCAAGAATGCCAGTATTATTATTAAGTGCTCGTAATGATGAAATTGTTCCTCCAGATCATATGGATAAAATATATGAAGATTTAAAAACTGATCAAAAATTTATATATAAATTTGAAGGTTCAAGTCATAATGATACGGTTATTCAACCTCATTATTGGGAAAGAGTTCAAGAATTTATTCAAGATAAAGTTAACCCAGTAGGGTATTAGAAAATATTAATATTAATAATAATTTGCCGTAAAATTTATTTATATATAATAGATAAAATATATATAAAATAAATAATTTAATATAATATACTAATGTAACAATAGAAGAAAAGAAATTTATGTATGGTTGTGTTTTACTTTTCTCTTCATAAGATGAAAATTTCCATCATCATTATCATCAATATCATTTATGATATATATATATGTAGTTTAATTGATGATGGAAATAATGGGACATTAAAAAAGATAATTTAACAAAAATAAATTTGAACTGTAAAGGAAAGGAAATGAAACCATTTAAATTTATAAAACAATTTGAGGTTCTGAACCTTTCTTATTAGAAGCATCATGAGACATGAATTCAACTTTTTGTTCATCTTTTAATTGTAAGATTTTCTTTAATCTTTCACCAATAGTAGTTAATTTTGAATCTTCACAATCTTTTGTCCAAACACCAACTCTAAAAGCTTGTTTTCTAATGTTTAAAACAATACCATTAACTTCATTTTCATCATCTTCAATGGTTTCACCAATGACAGCTAATAAACCTCTTAACCATAAATCATTAATAACACCACTAATATCTCTTTTATTATTAAAAGAATATTGCCATTTACCACCTTGAGAATTTTTTTCATCTTCCCATTCTGGTCTAATACCTTCTTTAAATAAATGATAATCTGATTTTAAAGGTAATTGATTGGCAACAGGAATTGAATTATAAATCCCCCAAAATTCTTCAACTGATGAAAAGGTAATCACTGGTTTTAATAAATCATGCCAGTTTTCAGATTTATGAACTTGAGGTTTAGTATACCATAAAGTCCATCTATTGTTTAAAGGATGTTTGGCTGTGAATTCTTCCTTGCTGTCAAAAACAGTCTTGGAATCTAAAGATAAATCTTCAGTTTGTTTAGTTAATTCTTCAGACATCTAGACATAAATGGGGTTAGTATTCATTTCATTTCATTAAAGTTGAATTGAATTGACAGCGGCTGTTTCAAAAATCAAACGATTTATGATTCACGTTTGCCCATTTGATGATCCCATCAATGGATCATCATATTATTATGGTCAACATACCTTTAATTTCTATTGGTTTAGACTTGAACTAGAAACTAACCGTTTGCAACAATTTATTTCAATATCAAAATGTTCACCAGAAATGCCTGAAATAAAAAATTTTTTTTGGTTGTACATTTTGGTTAAACTGCGTAAATTTGATACTACACATTTTATAGTACTATGCTATACTATATTATATAAATCATTATTAAAACTAATTTACATTTTTAATATACAAACAAAACATAAATACAATCGATATGGATAGATATAGAAAGTTAGTCATTAAGGTAAGGAATATATGACATTAGAAGTTTATAATTACCAAAGTTTTTGAGGCCTTTTCATATATACATATATATATGAATATTGTTTTTGAATGTGAATGATAGTAGATCAATCATTTCAATTTAAGAAGTATAAAAGTGGTACAGTTAATTAAAAAGTTCAAAATAAACCAGCTAACAAAAGAACTACCAGACCAAGTAAACCGGAATAAATAGCAGTTTGATAAACATGACCCCCAGCATTACTAATAGTAGTTTGATCATAAGTTCTTATTTCACCCACACTACCTACTATAGATCCTAAACCAGCATCACCTGATTGGACACCAGTAGTGATGGCTGAAGTATATGTTGCCATGAAGACTTGAGAATATAATGATTGAATAGTAACGGGATGACCATCGGTAGTTATAGTAATCCATACAGTAGTTGGAGGAGCTGGACCTGAAGAAGTTTCTGGATCGTCATCTTGATCAGCAAGAGCCAGTACTATCACTAGATATGATATCAAACTTAATATTAATTGGTATAATCTCATTTTATATGGGATGGTTTATGTAAAGAGAGGCTTGGACAACGAGTGAATGGAAGGATAAAAGTATGCTTTAAAAAAGTAAGCAAGAAAACAGCAGATTGAAAATGGATTTAAATGAACGATAGTAGACAACAGTGATGTAATATGTCTGGTTTGTGTAAAGTAATAAGATATATCAAATGGGAATGTTTAAACAATTAAAGGTAATTATAGCAATTCAATGCAATTTAATTATTGTTTTCATTTGTCTCGATGTATGAAAAAAGAAATTTGTGGTGAGACAAAACAAAACAATCGCGTTTGTCGCAAATTCCATTTATGTCGAAAAAAGAAAAAATGACAAAATTGAAAAATGCGACAAATGAAAATTAAAAAAAAATTATTTTAGATGAGCTTTTCACAACTACAGAAGAAGAAGAATAAAGAAGAAGATCTATTGATTTTTCTTTATAGATTACATACTTTGAAACTAGAACAACAACAATGGCCAAGAAGAGTTTAGCAGAACAATTGGCAGAGTTCACCAAACCTCAAACTGATTTTGATATTGAAAATAGTGAATTAAAAGATGATGTGTTTGAAGATGGTAGTGATAATGAAATCAATTCTGATTTTTCAGATGATGAAACATTAAGAAAAGAACATTATGTTGCTAGTTCAAAATCTAAGATTAGAAAAGAGAATGAAAGTATTGAATTGGGTGGGAAGTATTCCGGAAGTGTTACTAGTAGAGATCGTTTATATGATGATGATGAGGAAGATGATGAGGATGAAGAAGAAGACGATGAGGAGGAGGAAGATGAAGAAGAAGAAGAAGAACAAGACGATGATGATGACAATAACGACATAAATGAAGAACTGGATTCTGGCGTATCACTTCTGAATGAATCTTCAGATGATGAAGAAGATGATGAATCAGATAAAGAAGATGAAGAATTAGGTGTCAAACGTGATAAAATCAAAGAATTCATGGCTAAAGAAGGAGTTCATATTGTAAATAGATTATCTCAATCCGCCACTAATGATTCTTTAAAAGGGTATGCTATTTCTCAACAACATAAATTCTTTGATAAAATAATAGATAGTCGATTAAAGATTCAAAAATCAGTTATTAATTCAAATTTACTTCCTCCAAATTCAGATATTTTCATATCTCAAGATTTAAAAACTAAACATAGTGAAAAATACTTACAAGAAGCTAAAAATGAATGTTTTGAACTTTTAGATACTATCTTATCATTAAGAAAAGCTATGTATAAGAGAGATAACGTTACAACTGAATCCATAGTCAAGAAACCTAAAAAGAGAACCTTCCAAGAATATTCAAATACCACTAATGCATTAGATTTAAAATTAAATAAATATAGATCAAACGTATTAGTGAAATGGTCTGCTAAAGTTCAAAATTCATCAGGTTCATCAGCTATAAATGCTGGGAAATTCAAATTCATAAATCAATCATTTGAAGAACAAGTTAAGAATAATTTAAGTGATATGGATAGATTAGTGAAAAGAACAAAATTGAATAGACGTAAGGTTGTCCCATTAGGATATGAATATTATCAACAACAAAAACAAGATAATGGAGAAAACAATGATCAAGAAGATGATGATGAAGACGTCAATCCTGATCTTCCTAAAAATAGTAATAATGAATCCAAAGAACAAGCCCTTGGAGAAATTGATGAAATATTCGATGATGAAGATTTTTATCGTGTTTTACTTAATGATTTAGTTGATAAGAAGATTCAATCCAGTAATCCAGCAGCCGGTATGACTTTAAGTATAAGAAGTGCTCAAAAAGCGCAAAAATTTAAAAAGAATGTTGATACTAAAGCTTCAAAAGGTCGTAAATTAAAATATCAAGTTCAAGAACAAATTGCAAATTTTGAAAGTTCAAAACGAAATTGGAAATGGGATGATAATCAAATTGATGAATTCTTTGCTTCATTATTAGGTCAAAAGGTTAATATGAATGAAATTGATGAAGAGGAAGAACAAGATCAAGTTCAAAATGGTGATAATGGATCTGATTATGATGATATAGTAGCTGGTGAAGATTCCATTAAGTTATTCGGTTAGTTAATATACATTTACATATATAGCATAAAAAGGTTTATAGACTAATTAATTTAAAATTTTGCATTTTACTTTACATTACTTATACTGTAAAAGGTATAGTCTACATTAATTAACAAAAACAATTTGATTGAAGATTCATTTATTCATTACATAAGTCGTTATTTATTCATTATTTAGTCATTTCTAATACTGAAGTTAGTAATAATCCTCATTAAGGTCAAAGTTAAAAGCATATTAAATGGGTATAAGTTAAAATAATTTCAGACAAATAAAGTAAGGTAGCGTGAGTTTTTCCACATCGACAGAATGTCTCGAGCCAAATGCACTCATGTCATCACGATAATCTTATTACAATTCAATATCTTCTATGAGTTATGGAAGTATACATACTATTTGTAGTAGTTGATGATGATGAAAGAAGAAGAAGATGAAGTTGAAGAAATTAATGTGAAAATTTTTTGATTTTATATTTTTATGACAGACAGAAATGAGAAAGTAACAGTTACCCGGATCAAATAGATTTATGAGGTTAAACCTACACAGACAGACAGACAGAAACAACCATTGTATGATAAGTAAGTTGTATACCATCAGGTTTGATCACATATATACCCATTAGTAAGATAACTCAACAATGGCAGATAATAAATATAAATACAGAATAGAAATTCAACAGATGATGTTTGTACTGGGAGAATCAAATGATCCTCCTGTTGAAACTACATCTATAATTGAAGATATTGTACGAGCTCAAGTTATTGAAATATTATTACAAGCTACTAGAACTGCATCTACAAGAGGTACGAAATCTATTGCCCCTGAAGATGTCATCTTCTTAATCAGACATGATAAAGCTAAAGTCAATCGTTTAAGAACTTACCTTTCTTGGAAGGATGTTCGTAAAAATGCTAAAGATCAAGAAAGTGGAGGTACAGAATCATTAATTGAAACCGATGCTGCTGGTGGGCCAGCTGCTGGAGCAGCTCAAGCAACTGATTCTTCTAAAATGTTATCTCGTTATAAAAAATCAAAGATACGATTACCTTGGGAATTACAATTTATGTTTAGTGAACAACATTTAGAAACAGCTGAAGAATCAGAACAAGTTGATGATGAAGAAAAAGCCGCTACGATTGCTTCTTTAAAGAGATTAAAAATGGCCGATGATAGAACTAGAAATATGACTCGAGAAGAATATGTTCATTGGTCAGAATGTAGACAAGCATCATTTACATTTAGAAAAGCAAAAAGATTTAGAGAATGGTCCCAAATGACTCAATTATGTGATTCAAGACCAAATGATGATGTAATAGATATTCTTGGATTTATGACATTTGAAATCGTATGTTCATTAACTGAAGAAGCTATGCAAATTAAAAATCTGGAAGAAAAATTAATTCAAATTAAATCAGAAAAGGAAAAGACTCTAAATCCAGGTCAACAAAATCAAAAGAAACGGAAATATTTATTCGATAAACCAGATGAATTGGCTAATCCTTTAATGCCATATCATGTTGAAGAAGCATGGAGAAGATTACAAGCGATTGATTTTAAACATAAAGCTGGTAGATCATTTGGTGGTGGTATGTTAAGAAGTAAAACTAGATTAATTTAGTTAAGTAAATGGTTTTGCTACGTCTTATAATGAAATATTAATGAATGAATAAAATGCGTGTATTTTATAACCTTTTTAAACTATATTTGCATAGACCGGGTTAATGTTTTTCGAATAGTTGTAGTATTAGTTTGGAAATCTCGATAATTAAGGTATCGTTTAATACTATCATGACCAGAAGCTAGTTGTTCTTCTTCCTTGGCGTTTAAAATGTTTTGAAATTCAACCCAATATCGACAAAATGGTAAAAGATCAATAATCAATGATGTTGGAGTGATATAATTAAGAAATGATGTGTCAGGAATACCAGTTGGTTCTGGAGTTCTATAATCATTGGCGTCATCAATAGAAGATAATGCAGGACTATTATTCCTTCGAAGGGTTCGTCTTGTAAACAGTAACTCTTGAATAAATTTAGGTAATTTCTTCGACCTTGAACCAATAAATTCTGCCGTAGTTTCTCGTAAGTAACGGTATGAAAATTTTGGAATTGGAACATCTAAATTCATACTTAAATTATTTCTTAATTGATGACCAATATTTAATTCAATAGGTAAAGTTGGATGACGTAAATAAAGACTCTCGTCGATATTACAAACTTCAGGTAATTCATTATCAGCAACAGTATGATTGAAAACTGAATATGAATTAGATGCTATGACATCTCCTGCTGATGCACATTCAATTTGACTTGCAATGGTAGATAAATCGAATTCTATACTATCAGTCACAGTAGGTTTGATCGCCTTACCTATGTTGACGATTTCATTGGAAGAAGATGACACCAGGCATAAGAATTGACATTCCATGATACATTTCCTTATATCATAATTAACTCCATTAAACCCATGATTAATAATATCTGATATTAATACATCTGATACCTGATAACCTTGAGATAAACAACATAACCATAGATAATTCAGTAATAACTGAAATGAAACCCTATTATGATCGATATAAATTACTGAATCTTCTTCCAGAGCATACTCTATCATATTCTTAGGAATAGATTGTAAACTTTCACAAGTTAAAACGATTGGTTTTCTTGAAATATTCAAAATATCTTGAACGGTCAACCAGAAATTCTTATCTTGTTCAAATAATACATCAACATCTTCAAATAAGACTAAACCTTGTTGAAATTCCTTTTTACCCTTATGTTGATGAACCAATTGTGTTGTACAGAATTCCTTTAAACCATTATAAATATCCTTCCGACCTCGATGCAGACCACTATTAATTTCATGGACATACCCATCGATCTCTTTCATGGCGGTATATATCGATGATGACTTTCCTGACCCAGCTGAACCTTCAAGAATCAATAAAGGAACGAAAACATCTTCGTCAGTCTCATCATCATCATAAATTATCGAATCATCAACAATGAAATTAGTTTGGAGCTTATCTCTTCGTTTCTTTTGTTTTAATAATACATTACGAGGATTCTTTAGATTTTGATTCTTTAATCGTAAAAATGCATTATGAATCCAATATTTAATCAGATTTTGATTCGTGGTACTCATTAATAAATCTTCAACTCGAGGTGGTTGGAATAAATCTGTCCATAATTGATCTTTATTATATTGTTTGGTTATGATGAATCTTTCATAGATTGAATTTAATTGAGGTTCTTCTTCAATATCAGGGATTCTATATTGGATGAGTTTGGTTATATCTATGTCGGTAGTAGAACTAATTGACGTGTTTCTTGATGATTGATCTGGGTTTAATTTAAATATATCTGATCTATCTTCATTTTCTAGATGAATAATATGTGGTTGATCCGATCTGATACTCCAGGGGCATTGAAATGGTTTATTGATCAATTCAACATCATCCTCATGGGAAAACACATGCATCAAATCCTTAGTGATAGGAGTTGGATTCAATTCTTTTAATGATTGGAAAGGAGAAAGTTTCTTAGAAGCCTGCATCATAGAATCAAACAATGATTTAGTCTTAGTGGTTGATGAACTTGGAGGTGGAGGAGTGAAGAAATCATTAGTTCCAGACCCAGATTTAATATTATTACCTCTTGTGATTAAGGGATTATTATATTTTTCAATTTGTCGTAATGCATCTGAATTAATCTTGAAAGTTACTAATAGTGTTGTCTTCTTGTTTGCTTTGACGGATGCTGGTGGTTTAAATGATTTGAATATGTCCTTTGCTGTAGTACGTTTTAGATTATCTTTACCTTTATTATCCCCTGATAAGATCGTTTCACTCTCTAAATCAATAATCTCAGGGGGGTTAGACAGTTCCACTTCAATTACTTTAGGTTCATCTTTCTTCTTTAATCTTGAAAATAAATCCTTAGCTGAGATAGATTTAACTTTATCATTATTATTATACATTTTCTTTTCAAGTTCTCTTACATCGAAATCTCGTCGTAATTCTAAACTTTTTGATTCTGTAAATGATGTATCTGATATTTCAGAATCTTCTAATTCTATAGGATCCGGTAAAGTGGGTGTTGGTTCATGTTGTGGTATGGTCACAATAGGAGATGCTGATTCAGAAAGATCAATCTCTTTCTTCTTTTTATTTCCTGTTAAAATTGACATTAAATTGGATGGAGGTCGTATTTTCGTCTCATTTTGAACTGGTGGTATAGTTTCATTTTCTATAATTGCAATAGGTTTGGCTTGTGATGTCTGTGCCTTCTTCTTTCCGATTAATTCAAATATACTAATTGGAGGTTTTGGATCAGGTTGACTTAATGAAAACAATTCAGGATCAATATCAATATCAGTGACATCACTACTATCAAAAGCCTGAGACGTGAATGACATATTGAACGATGGAGACGAAGCTGCTGCTATAAATGATGAAGTATCCAATAGTTGCTGTTGGTGTTGTTGTTTCTGATATGGAGTTGGTAAAGTTTCAATCGGCACCACCACTGTTTCTTCTTCTTCTTTCTCTTGTTTATCTTCTTCTTTGGTGGCCTCTTCAACCGATGAATGCAATGACTTAGTAATTCTCTGACCTTCCTCCATTAAAGGTCATTCATTACCTTTTGTACGTATGGAATAGTCAAATGATGATAGTTTCTATTTTGAAATATACGCGTTATTATGATTATTGCAAACTTTAACATTCGCGAAAGTGTGAGAAAACATTTTGTGATGCGAAATAGATTTTGACATTTAACCAGAGACTATGAGAGATGAATTAACCCTACCCCAGATCATCATTCCATCAACTAGTTTACCAAATGTCGGGGATAAAGTTTAATCTTAAGAAGAAGACAAATGGAGGTGGGATAAATAAACCTAAAATATCAATATCGTTAGGTAAAGGGGTGAAGAAACTAAATGGAGGACCATCATCTCCACATCTCAATAATCCATTACAGACTAAACGAATCAATGGAGGAGGAGCATTTGGTATAAAGGATGATGAAGGAGATGATGAAGAGGGTAAGGTTATACAGATTGATTCATTTGATTCCGATACTATCAAATCACATACTGATGGTGGTAAACATCAGGAACCATTGATTATTAAACCTATAGCTTTAAGTAAACGACTAAATGGTGATGATTTGGATAAAGAACGTGATGAACAATTACGTAGACAAGAACAAGAAAGTCATAAGAATAGGTTGAAGTATGGAATAACCGATTTTGATAAACAAATACTATCAGAACAAGACGATAATGATGAAATTCGAATATTCCAAGCTAAATATGATGATTTACCTGATGAAGATTCAGAAGAAGAGTATGCCAAAGTGCCCGTTGAACAATTTGGAGAAGCATTATTACGAGGTATGGGATGGACTGGTGAAGATGAAGATGACTCGAAGGATAATGAGACATTGAATCAACAGAGAGGTCCAGTGTTGGGTATTGGTGCTAAACCTATTGATGCTAAATTATATGATGATATTAATGGAGGTTCAAATTCAAAATTACAAGCTCCATTGATTCGTCGGGATAAATTTACCAAAGAAATCATCCCTGATGAATGAAAAGTGAATGTCCAGATATGATATTTTGTATTAAACGGTATGTATTTAACTATAGATTTATGTGTTTATATAGTACATAAGAAATGAATGAACGCTTAGATGAAATTCCCAATTTAATGATCATGCCATAGTTTAAAGTAACAGTTAGAGAGTACAACTCTATTGAATATGTAGTCATACAGGTAATCATTCAGTACTGAAATAAAAGTACATATCCTTATTGTCAAACTTGCGAACCAGCTCAAGTTTGAAATCATACCTCCAATTCATTTGCAACTATTAGAACACATTTGATCATAATCGAACTACTTTTAATCCTTTTCTCTCCCGATTGCAAATGGCACAATTATCCCATTCATAAAAAGGCACCCCTTTATGTTCTTTTCTATGAACAGTTTCAACATTTTCATGTTTCGTTTGAAGTATGCTAATGTTTAACTCTGGAAGATGTTTGGCAAGACTAATATGGAGATGAAATGACATGGTTTGATAATGTTCTAGTATATATAAAGTAATTCTATTACACCAGAAATAGAGTCTAATTTATGGTGTTTGGGGTCATATCAGGGAGAATTTTATTGTATTTATATAAAGTTTATTTTAGCCGCCTCATTATAAGGGCTCTTCCTGCGATTATATAATTAGAAACAGCCGATCGGTAAAATTACTTCATATTCCTATTTATCTATATTTGTAGTAGGTTGGTTATGATATTTATCATACTGTAGTTAAGGTCATATCTTCAAGTTTCATATGCGATTACCTGAATAGGATTATTCCAACTTACAGTATTTCTGCCAAGAGTTTATCAGATGATAGTCTTCGACTCAAAGTAATGTACGGCTGAAGTACATTACACCTACTCTTTTATGAATCATAGAATATACCGTAAATAAATATAGTCATTAAAATAAATAAATAAAATAAATAAATAAAGAATAGTATATATACATAAAATAAACAGTAACCCCGTTTTATTCTAGAAAGTCTTATTTAAACAATTACACCAAGACCTAATAATAACAATTGACTCGCAAGAGAATGAGACCACATTGATGATTTTTCATGAATAATTCTCTTTTCATCTTGTTTGACTACTTTTAATAAATCTTCATATATATCACTTATAATTGAATCAAATATTTTCGTTTGGGATAAGTTATTGATATGATATAAATCAGTTATTTTCTCAATAACAGTAGTTTTAATGATGATTGGACGTGATGTAGTAGTATTGGTGGTGGTATCTGCTGGTGAAGTCGTTGTCATTGATGTAGATGAGGTTGAAATGGGCGTAGTGTGTTGATGTTGATGTTCATTATGATCATGGGTTTCATCATTATAATTGTTGATAAATCCAATTAATGATCTTAAATCTTGTAATGAGATAAATGGAATATTGTTGGAATTCGACATGGGTAAATTCTTAGGTAAACTGGCTTTCAAATCATAAAATTTAACTTTAACATTAACCATAACATATTCTGATTGATTGGTGATATCATGTTGAGGTTTCGTAAAAGTTTGATATAAAGCAGTTAAAGCTCCTTTTAATAAAGTTGAATCATCATCCATTGAATCAGACAGTGTTTGTGGTTGAGGGATTGTATTATCAATATCACTTCTGGTAACTCTTAATAATTCATTAAAGAAATCAGATATGATGGATTCCGAATTATGATTATCGATTTTATCAATATTAGGTAATTTAATATCAGCAATGATTTCTGCTTTACCGTTTATAATCCAATTAAATTTCAGAAATGGATTAGATTGACTCAAAGATCCAAGATCGATAGAATCTAATTTAAATCGAATTAATTTATCATCACTATTATTTTTGTCATTGGAGAAATTTTTACTATCCATATTTAAGAAATCTTGACGTTTATGAATGGTAAACATTGAATCATTAATTAATCCACTTGAATTATTGGCATTAAAGAAATCAATCAAGATTTTATCTCCTGATAATCTTGGTAAATCACAATTAAAGATGGTTATTCTCATAGGAGGGTTTTGTAAATGTTGATTTTGATCTTGATTATTATATATTTCAAGATATGAATCATGAATTTTAACATGATCAAGTTTATAATTTGAATCCATGAATTTATTGGTATGTTGATGTTGATGTTGATGGTGTTGATTTGTTTGTTGAACTTCTTCTAAATCTTGTAAATCATATTGATAATGAATGTTTTCAAAATGATTTCTATAAGTTATAGTAGTAGATTGTTTATCAACCAGTGATAATGGTTTTGAATTTTGATGATCATTATTTGATTTATAAATTTTCCCATTCATACCAAAGATTTCTAAATCACCAATTATTCCATTCCCTTCATACCATTTATTAAATGATAAAGTTAAATCCACTGCTTCAACTCTTGCAATGAAACTCTTTTCATCTTTTGAAACCACAGTGAAATTTTTAAATCTTAATTTCCCATCTTTTAATTCAGGTAAGATGTTCCCTTTTTGAAATTGAATTTTAATGCCTAACCCATATGAAAGTATAGCATTAGTTAAATATCTTAATACTCCTTTTTCTTCTCCTTTCTTGGTAGTAGAAGTGACATCGGATGAATCTGATCCTTGGGATTGATTTATAAAAGTATCATAAAAATGATCAAAATAATGAATGGAATACATAAATACTAACCCGAATGTAGTGGTACCTAAGATTATCCAAAGTATATTACCCATAACTAACCATGAGATAAAGGCTGATATGATATCTATAGTGGAATGATGATTTATTTTGCCTCTGATTAACGGCCATTTCAAATGAATTAATAATCGAGATAATGAAGAATTAGCTTGGGCTAATAATGATGCTTTTGTTATAGTGGTAGCTGATGATTTAAGTGTATCTGTGATTGACTTTTTAGGAGGGGGTGTTATAGGGGTTTGATTATATTTAGATGATGAATTTGAAAATTGACGGTTGATGATAAAGTTGGTGGTGGGAGTATGTACATGAGATGATTTTATTGATAGTATAGATGGAGTGAGGATAGGATGTCTATGAGGAGTATTGATTGATGATGATGATGACGATGTGATGATTCCATGATATGGGTTGATGGTAGTATTAGACGTTTGATGTGGAGTATATCTATTTGTTATAGATCGTATTATATAGCGATTTATGACAGTACTACTAGAACTACCCCAAATACCGGAACACCGTATAATCAGTCTGGAGATAGGAGATCCTATTAGACCCTTCATCGACGTAGAGTATGATGATGATATGACAGACATACTACTGTTGAAGAAGTATTATCAAATGGTATGAGTTATTGGATGGATAAAGGATTGAATTATAATTAGCCGGTTTACTTAAACTTTTTTATTTATTGAACCATCCCTTATTCGTTCTCTCTCTAAAAAAATTTAATTTCTTTTTTCAGACAGACAATTTTTTTTTGTCTTTTTTGTCTGTCTTTTTTTGTCTGTCTGATTTTGATTTTGATTTTGATTTTCGCATTTGTTAAAATTATTTGTATGGGGTAATCAATTATTACTTACTATAGTTAGAGATAGTAGAGATGCATAGGAAGGTATGACTTTATCTATTGAATCATAAGTTGGTATACAATGTCGTCATATATATATAATCACCAATGATATGAATATACTTCTCTAAACTTTCATATCATCTAACTTTCATTCCATTCAATCAATCACTTCTCCTTTTCTATTTGATTGCAAAATACAATTATTCATGTTCTCCATCAAATCACATTAACCATATATAACATTAGGCCGTTTAACTGATTATATCGATTTATTACCATCATTATATCATCGTTAATTAGTATTTATCTACCATTACCTATAAGATATATCAATATATATTCCAATTATTACTTATATCTATGGTGGTAACTAGTGCGGTATGGATCTATTCCTTTCCCTTATTATATTTTTCTCAGTTAACAGAAATGAGATGAGAAAAAATTTTAAACTATATAGAAATAAATATTTATCTTTTAACTATCAAATCAAACTTTACATCAACTTTCATTTAATTACATACATATAGCATATCATTATGGCTGCTCCAACCGCTATAAAGAACTTGAAACCTCAAACTCAAGTCTCTGACGAAATACTGCATGAAAACACCATACCTAATACTAATAATAATAATGAAGATCAAGATGATGATGATATGTTAATAGATGCAAATGTTATCCCATCAGAACAAGAATTACCTTCTAATAGTAATGAAGAAACCAAAGGGGTAGTATTGGATGTCACTGGTAAACCTAAATTCTCTGCCGCTTCTAAATCAGGTATGAAAGTTAAATTAGAATCAAGAAAAGTTCCAGTTCCACCTCATAGAATGACTCCATTAAAGAACGTTTGGCCTAAAATTTATCCTCCATTAGTTGATCATTTAAAATTACAAGTTAGAATGAATTTAAAAACTAAAACGGTTGAATTGAAAACTAATAAACATACTGTTGATGAAGGTGCCTTACAAAAAGGAGCTGATTTTATAAAAGCTTTTACATTAGGTTTCGATATTGATGATGCTATTGCATTATTAAGATTAGATGATTTATATATTGAAACTTTCGAAGTTAAAGATGTTAAAACTTTACAAGGTGATCATTTATCAAGAGCCATTGGTAGAATTGCTGGTAAAGATGGTAAAACTAAATTTGCCATTGAAAATGCTACAAGAACAAGAATTGTTTTAGCTGATTCAAAAATTCATATTTTAGGTGGATTCACTCATATAAGAATGGCAAGAGAAGCTGTTGTATCATTAATTTTAGGTTCTCCTCCTGGTAAAGTTTATGGTAATTTACGTACAGTTTCATCAAGATTGAAAGAACGTTATTAAAGTTAATTCTAGTCATTTTTAATATAATATAATACAATATAATATATATGTACATTAGGTTATTCTATTCTATTTTAGGCTAATAAATCAGAAGTAAAATCATCAATTTCTCCCTTTTGTGCTTTAGTAGGTACTAATTCATCTAATTTTAACAATAATTTCATAGCATAAGCATCTTCACCATCTTGATAATAAGATTTTTCAATCGAAGTAACTTCAAAATTTAATGAATCTCTATATAAATGTAAGGCAGCTCTATTTGATTTTCTAACATTTAATGAAACATATTCTGCTTTAAAAGATTCTGTCATTGAATATAATGATTGTCTCATTAATTTTTCAGCTAATCCCATTCTTCTATAAGTTCTCATCACTGATAATGAGGTGATATGACCATGAGGAGTTTTATCAGCAGCTTCAGGATCATCTTCCATCTTACCTAACACATATCCAATAATCTTCTCTCCTTTCGCTATATATGCTGGATCACCCTTTGGATCTTGAACTTCCTCTATTATTCTATCATGAACCTTTGGTTTTTTATTTTCATCCTCAGCACCTTGTTCAACTTCACCATTCGCTTCATCATCTTCTTCGTCGTCATCCACATCTTCGCTATAATCATAAGTAGTAGCTACGAAACTTGCTTGAGGCCATGATAAAATATGATACATATAATATTTTAATAAATAATTTTCAGGTAAATTCTGTAAATTGGCATTTTGCATGGCCTGTATATCCCTGATGGTAGCTTGCCTTATAGTGATACCCATTACGAATCGTTACTTCTTTATGCTTATCTATTTGGGATCCTTGACAATGATGGTAGCCTTTCTAAGTGGAGATTTATCGTTGGTGGAGGTGGAAGTTGATAAATTTTTCGTTGTAAATATTTTTCGTTGCGATTGTTACTTACACAAAATATGTGTATCATTAAAATTAACGTCTATTTATATATAATGAAATGCAAAAGAGTAAACTATGAATTATCTACCTACGTAAGCTTTCTCTTATTGATAACAGTTCATCGAATTTAATAAGAAATACTGTTCTTAAGGGAAATCCAGGAATTGCCATGGAATGAGCTGTAACATTAGCAAAGAACCCTGATGAATCCAAGGCACCTTCAATTATCCCTGCTATGAATGCTGAACAATTCAATTCACCATATTCTTTCGGTATACTGATGAATTTCGACATTAAGGGACTATTATCAATAATCATATATTCATTTGATACATCTTGAGATTGTTCTAATTCATTAGCTGTCTTTCCAAAGATTGATTTCCAAAATATTCCATGAATGAATTGTAACATTTCAATGATTTTAATCTCTCGTTTATTGGTCTTAAACCCTTCTCGTAATTTAATCAATTCGATATATTTTTGTCCAACTGTATATCCTAATCCATTCAATCTAGTTTCTAAATCTTGAATCCCCTTCAGACTTTTATGACACCAATTCACAATCTCACAAAACAAGAATGATAACGAACTTAGACTTATTTCATTGGTCTTTTTATTAATGATGCTTTTATCATAGATTGAATTAGGAGAAGTTATAGATGTGGTTCTTTTTGAAAGTAAATAATTGGAAGTTTCTTGAGTGATATTATTTGATTGTGGTCCTACCGAGGGATTGTATCCGAATCCATCTTTGGAAATATCATTAATGGTGAGGGTTGATAATGATGTCGCTGATGCGAGTATTATATCATTATCATTATTAGACATTGTAAGTGTATGTGGATTTGTTGTAGTATATATATGATAGATATTGTAGTTGAGGAAATTTTGAACTTTTTTGATTTACCACTTTTTTTTTTGCGTGGCTACTGTTTATGTTTTCAAAAATGACTTTATACTATGAACTTTGGTTGTAAAAAGGTAGAAATCATCACCAATCATCATGAAACAATCAAAATCAAAAGCTAAAAGTAGTTATATACCTCTTTAATCCAACTATTATCACTTTAACTTCTAAATTTCCCTCAAAATCGAGGTTCATATGATAGATTGAGCAAATTTTAGTCATTTAATGTTTTTTTTGCAACACTCATAACTAACAACATTAACATAGAAAGCAAATCAATCAAATCCAAACAGAAACCTAAGGTCAAACCTAATCAATTAGTTTCTGAGTTGAAGGGTATATTTGCTATTGATAAGACTAATCAATCAAAGTCAAAATTAAACGTGTATAAGAGGAAACAAAGGAAGAAGCAGAGTATCAGTGGAGAACATAATGATAAAACTGAATTATTTAAAGCAACTTCAACTCCATTTACTTCATTAATTATTGAACCTTTGAAATCGAATAAGATTGAAGAAATCCAAAATCAGATTAGATTAAGTAAAGAAGTGAATAAAATTCATAATGCTATTCAAAAGAAAAAGACTAAGAAGAAGGTAGTTAAATCTGATAAAGTGATTCAAAATCAAATTGAATTACAAGTTGCTGATTCATTGGTTGAAATGGCAAAGGGTGGAAAGGCTAATAAGGAAATGAATGTGGAGGTTATCCAAAGATTGAAAGCTTCTAAGGTTGAAGAAAAGAAAGGTGATAATTCTCTTGATAATGTGGAACCTTTTATTAAACAAGCACTAAAATCAACTACAAAGAAACAAGTGAACCAGAAAGTATCAAAGAAAAGAAAAGCCAAACCAGTTAAACCAACTTCAAAAGCAAAGTCAAAACTTAAAAGAAAGCAATCCTTAACTCGCTCAACCTACAAGAAAGAAGCTTTTGGACCTGATCCTATCAACCTTTTAGGTATCAGTAAGTACAGATTAATCCTCAGAAAGATTTCATAATTCAATTAGTTATATTTATTTAAATTCATATTTATACCTTATAAATATAATTAAACAAATTGCAGAACCATTCTAAAAAAAAAAGATCTATATAAAAAAAAAGTGGAAAAAAAACTTTAGTGTAAGAAATCCCATATTAAAACACAGTAATATAATATAAGAAAGTATTAATGAAACCTGACAAACCTTGAGTGGAAGTGAAAGTACTCAATTGGAATGAAAAACCATGAAGAATGAGTGAATGAATGAAAACGATTAAAGGAGATCTATATACGGCTGACACAAACCGATCATAATGGAAGCATTGCGACCAATTTGCAAACCAAATGCATTATTACAAATATGTTTCATTTACATGAAATCATCATCATCAAAATCATCACCACCATAATCATCAAATCCATCCTTTTTAAATCCACCTCCAACATTTGGTACGGCAGTTTTAGCCTTCTTTTTACCAGCACCACCAGTAGCAGTTCCACCAGCTTTCTTTAATCTTTGTTGTCTTTCTAATCTTTCTTTATCTTTAACTAATACATTTAAAGTTGAAACTAATTTTCTGGCATTTTCAAGGGATAAAGGCTGAGCTAAATCTCTAATTAAATCAATGGCTAATGATGAAGAATAATTTAATAATGAATCATCAGCTAATTTAGTTAATGAAGTACCTAAAGTTTTTCTTAATTTTTCATATTCAGCTTTAGTAGCAGGTTGAAATAATGGATGAACTTCTAATGGAGTATCTTTAGTAATAACTGGTCTTTTTGATTGAGCTGCTAATATAGCAGCTTTTGTAACTTGTTCTCTTGGATGTTCATTTAATTTATCAAAATCTAATCCATCATCAACGGATAAACCCGCAAATAATTCTTGAGTATTTTGTAAATCAGATTGTTTTTCAGCATCTTTTAATAATTCCTTTCTAGTATGTTCATCAAGAGTATCAATATCTAATAAAACACGTTCACCAGATTTAGCAGCAAGTTTTTTATTCTTAGCTTCATCTTGTTTTCTTTTTAATTCAGCTTTTTCTTGAGCCTTTTTAGCTTCAGCTTCTTTCTTCTTTCTTTCTTCTTCTTCTTCATCAATATCCCATGATTCTAACACAGCAGCATCTTCTTCTTCATCTTCCCAAGAGGCAATAGCAGCCTTGGTGGATTTGGCTGGGACATCAAAATCTTCGTCATCCCAAGACATTGTATCTATCTTCAATCTATGTATATAACTTGTATTCTATTAAGAAATAAGAAGTAGGTAACAAAACTCTATCAATATTGATGTAACCGTTTACTGAAACAAATTTTTTTTTCTTCTTCCTGTTCTTTCTTTTGGAACTGTTTCAAAAAATTTGCCTGTGTGTGTTGTATGCAGTCACTAACAAACAGTGCGAAGTATACTCTAATTCTTTTTACAGCAGCCAAATCGTATTTACAACCAATTTGTTTCTTCTGGTTTTGGAGGGTGGATATGGTTAATAATGTACTGATATGTTTAAGATGAATCAATCCATCATGATATTGAAGCTGAGGGTAAGTAACTTCCCTTGATTGATCAATTGAACGTTCTAATGATTGATTGATGATACTTTTACTAACTGTTCTAAGGATGCTGCTAAAAATTGCTAAAATATATAAATGAATGATTAATTCGTAACTATAAGTCAAGATCAAATAGCTTTATACTTTCATCAATCTCATCTCTATATACATCGAACTCAACCATTGATTGATGGATTACCCTTCTACTTGATCGATTGATGATGTATGGTTCGATGGGTTACACATGGTATACTATTTTACGATATAGCATACTTAACCTTTCAGTTAGGACAAAAAATCTCTAAATCAGGCTACTTTGTGCGGTAAGGGGAATAAAAATCTTGATTATTCCGATTTTAATTTTAAACTTTTTCTAACCACTTACTCAAGATTAGATACAGACAACGTTTCTGTAATTAAGATATATAAATAATGAAGAATTGATCATCATAAAGAGCTGTTCTCATAAAAGGTATTATTCAAAATCATGTCAATCATAGGGGAAAGAATCACCATCCCTGGTGTTTATAATAATCAAAGATTAGTTGACTGGATCGAAGATAATAAAATTACATATCATCCCCAATTATCCATTAATAAAAGTAAATTAGGAGGAATTGGATTATTTTTCAACAATGATGTGAAAGAAGAACTAGAAAAAGAAGAAGATTTGATTATTTTAACCATACCAGAATCATGTACTTTTGATTATATGAATCTATTAGAAGTTTTAAAAGAGATTAAAATTCGGGATCAAACATTTCCAGATATTGAAATCAAAGAAGGTGAATTAATAGTTAACCTATTAGAGATCATTGAACCTACTAAAGAAACTGAAATCTTAATATGTTATTTTGTTTCCATGAAAATTTTAAAAGAAATTCAAAATGTTAATAGTATTTATTATAAACAATCTCCATTAAGAAAATTTGATATTTATCTTGATATTTTATTAAATACAAAGATATTAACCTATCCTAAAATTGATAAGAATGATAAAGTACTTGAATCAATCATTAATATGGATTCATTTATTAAAAATCATATTCAAAGATGTCAATATTTAAAATTTGATTATGATTCTTATGTGGGAGAATTAAATGTCTTATATGATCATGATATAAATTTCGAAGAATATATTATCCCATTTGAAACCTATTATCAAATAGTTCAAGCCGTTCGTTCGAGAAGTTTAGAAATCCCTCATGAACATCAAGAAATCATTGAACAAGTTCAAGCCATTGAAAAAGATGTGAGTCAATTAAATGAACAAAGTGAACTTAATGGGAATGTTACTTTAGAAGATTTAGTTAATGGATTACATGTTGATGATAAAGAGGAAAGTTCAAATAATGGAGAAGCAGTAGAGTCATCGGCGGATGATTATTATACTAATGTTACGTTAGTACCCATATTAGATTTTGCCAATCATACTCATCATAATAACTCTTATTTTGATATAGATAGAAGTAATAAGGATATTGTTTTGAAATTAAAAAGAGAAGCTTTAAATAAATGGAAACAAACTAATGAAAAACGATTTGAAATCACGATTAATTATTCTCCTATTGAAAGTATTCAAAATTTCATAACTACTTATGGATTTATACCGATAGAGAAGGACCCACAGGATAAGTATTTTCAATTATATGAATTACAATTAATCAATTCAAATAAATATTATCCCCATATAACAGAAATGTTTAAATGGTTAAGAATCTTACCTCAAATTCAAATTGTTTTCAATCAAGATGAAGTTTATTTTAATTTTAATGATAATAAACTTCCGATTGTATTTGCAAAGGGGATTTCATATAATCTGGAATGGAGAAAAGATGCCATTCCCAAATTCAAATTATTTAATGATATTCCCATTGATTATGATATTGATGATGATAAGATCTTACGAATTTTAAATCAACAAGAAACTGAATTTGATGTTATAAATGGAATTGAACCGATAGGAATCAAATATCAAGGTAAGATTATTGAAGATGTGAATGAAGTATTTGAAAAGGTGAATGACGATAAGGAAGTCTATGATCAATTAATCTTAAATTCGATTGAATTTATCATCTATCATGTAAATGATAAATTGAAAGTCTTAAAGGAGAATATTGATACTTTAGTGCAAAGTCAATATGATAGGGATTCGAATGATTCATTTAATCAAATGATGATTAATTATTTTAATTTACAAATTAAGATATTTAATATTGCCATTAGTAAGTTTAAGAAGGATCCACATTCATTGATTTTACCGGATGAGTTAGTGAATCATGAATGGGAAACTAATTATAGATCTTTACCTAAAGAGTTAATCTTAGATTGAGAGAATAAAAGAAAGGGGGTATGGGTAAGGCTGATAACGTTATAGAATATTCTCGAATATGGACTATGATTTAGGGGTTAGATAGAGGTCATACTAAACCAAACGGCTGAGTGAAATAAATAAATAAATCAATAAAATAAATGACAGGATTAGTTATACTATAACCTGTATATATATATATAGATAGATTAGATTATTAATATGTAAGTAATTTGTCAGTTATATGTCAATATGTTAATTATTGTGTAATTCACATGACTTGGTTTAAAAAAAAAAAAGAAATTTAAATTTTCATCTAGACCGATTTATGACAAATGAGAAAACTGACAGAAAAATATAAATTGAATTATAAATCCACTTTGAACTATCAACAACAACCATTTCTTTCTTCTTATCATTAGATAATCCCTATCACATACACTCACATACATACACAATGGTTGCCGTTATTGCCTCTAAACAAGAATTCGCTGAAGCCTTACAACACGATGGTTTAGTCGTGGTTGATTTCTTTGCTACTTGGTGTGGACCTTGTAAGATGATTGCTCCATTATTAGACAAATTCTCTAAAGAATATACTTCTGCTAAATTTGTTAAAGTTGATGTTGATCAATTCGGTGAAATTGCTCAAGAATATGAAGTTAGTTCTATGCCAACTGTTATTTTCTTTAAAGATGGTAAGATTGTTAACAAGATCATTGGTGCTAACCCAGGTGCTTTAAAACAAGTTTTAGCTGCTAATGCTTAAACTTACTTGATTAATCTAATATAATCTAATCCAATCAATTCAATCAATCCATCCATCCGTTATCCATTTTACGTTCCAATCTACCATCACTACAATCCCATATGATAAATCAAATTAAATCAAGGGATGGTTCCCTTGACACTTGTGTTTTTACAGAATTTTATATACTTAATTAATTATTTATTTATTTATTCAATAATAATAATAACAATAAGAATAATAATTATAATAGATCATTAACTCATCATTGTAGTTTACTTTACTCTATTACACTTTATATCATTCAAATTATACTTATCTCAACCGTTGTCCGATTATCGCTTACAGAGAAAACTTTTTGTCAGCACTTCCAACGGATGAGATTTTTACGCGTTTATCTGAAATCACGGGGTTTGACGTTCATATTGAGAGAAAAGTACACGACCGCTATTAATTGCAAAAATGCTGCTAAAATGGGGTGCGCTCCCATAACACTCTTTTAAACAGAATATATTTAAACGTAGATTTGTTATGTAGAAAATAGTGAAAGTTAGATATTATCAGTGTTATAGATCATACTCTAAGTTCAAGATGGATCAGATCCTTGAATTGCTCAACTGTGATCAGTTCATTGCTTTCTTTAACTAGAATCATGATAAAACAATCAATCTATATTCTGTTTTAAAGGATCCAAAAATATCCCAAGTTTATTTTGATGGATTAAATAAATTAAATGAACTTTTAGATGACATTGATTTTAATACCATAACTCCTAACCTTATCACAAAACTCTTTACAATAGAAAACAAGAATGTTCTCAAACTAATATTCAACATAGTTTATAAAATATGTAATCTGCATTATATACATAATGATATTGACATGGAAAGTTTGAAAGTGCTTCATATCAATTGGTGTTATTTTGAAAGGATAATCAATGACAAACTATACAGCATTGTTCTGGGGAATAGAATCCGTGAATTCAAATTATATTCTGAACAAATGAAAGTATTGAGAACCACCACAAATTCTATGGATGTTGAAAATATTATCAATATTCCCCCCCTGGAATCCAAAACTACCTTTAATACATTCTTAACAGAATTTGGGGTTTACTATCCATTGTTCCAACCAGATATAACCACATTCATGGAATCAAACTGGAACGTGTTTGATATTATTCCTGATAAAATATATTTGTCTTATAGAACTCCTTTTCCATTAACTAATGATGATAGAGATCATCCTATTTTCAAACTAAACAATCTATTAATTAAATCTTGTGACTTATTTTGGAGTTTTAGATCTATCATCAACTTTCTGACTCAGAAATTGATGAAACTTCAAATGGAATGTTTAACAACTTTCAACCAAATTAATTTGAGTAATATAGCAATGGTACATCTTATGATTCAAGTTGGAAATAATCATGTACCTCTAACATTTATTCAACATGGACTTAGGGATAATTATCATTGTTTTATCAATTCGGAACATAAATCAGATCCAGCAAGTAGAACATTTATCAAAGATTTCCTGTTTTCATTCCATCAAACTTTGATTTGTAAGTCTAACTCATTTTTTATGTATGATGGAGACTTTATTCTAGCAGTAGTTTTAGATCCTAATCCAATGGATAATTCAAGTTTAGATTTATCTAATGTACATGGTATAAAGTGTAAGATATTTCTATTTGATGCTAAGTTAGAACCATACTACATATCTATATTCATCATCGTTTTTGCTATAGCTTATGCAAAAACTATACCTGAACCAATGGTAACTCGTCTTGCTGATGCTTTTAATCAAACAGAAAGACAAAGACAATTACAATGGGAGAAGAATTATCAGTTATTAGAGAAATTTGCTACTATAATTTCTACAGTTCCTCCATCTGATTCATTGCCTAAATCTCTCAAACATATTAAAATTAAAGATATAGAAACCATGATTCGTAATGAATTCAATTCTGATATATCCCTCTCTCAGGTCTCCAAAATAATCAATAACTTTGTATTCAGAGATGCAAGCTCAATCAACATAAGATCAATAATCAATGGGGAATATTTCCAACATAATCGTTCTATCGTGATTGAAGATACGGATGGTTTTATTTACAAGATCTTTGACCCTGTAAGATGCAAAGTATCGAATAATGATTCCCTTCATGACAGAATTAATATACTATTTGAACCATTTATCCGTGAAGTTCTAACTCATACGTTTATAAATGATTTCCAATTCAAACCAAAGTGTTTAGAATTTGGTTATATTAAGAATAATAATAAAACATTTCTCAATACGTTAGGATATGGGGTTCACACATCATTAAGTGGGTTTTATATCAAGATGATGCAAAAGCAAGCATATAATCTTAATCTTTTCTGGAGAAAGGACTTAGCACCAAAATTAAGACTTATTCTAAAACATCTTCATCACTATAAAGTAAGTCATGGAGACATTCATCCTGGAAATTTCTTGTGTGACCCTAGAACTGAATCAGTGTCTATGATTGATTTTGGAAAGCTGAACCATGCATTCATGAGAGTAAATGGCTCCATATCGAAAACTGAAGATAGGAAAAGAATACAAGAGCTAATGGATCAAGATACTAAAGATTTAGAAATCATGATTAATAATCAAAATTCAAAAAGTTTACTGTCATTTCGTTACTAGTTAATCGAACACATAGTTCTTACTTAGTAGTAGAATTTATATTTATACCATTATTATATACTAATGAATATATATATAATGCTTAGACCCAGTAGTATATCTAAAATATCCTGTCTTCCTTCAGACTATCGACTCTTTTCATTTAAGTCTTGTAAAAATAATAATTATGAATACGAACAAATTAGGAAACTATAAAAATATTGCAAAATGGCGCTCCCATAACAATATTCAAATTTTCTTGAATATAACAAAATTAAACATAGACTTCTTTTGTAGAATTGTTGAACGTTGGGTATTATCAGTATTCAATATTAAGTTCAAATATGGATCGAATTCTGGAATTGGTGAACTGTGATCAGTTTATTGCCTTCTTCAAAGAGAATCAATATAAAACAATTAATCTATTTACTGTTATAGACGATCCGAAAGTTTCCAAAGTTTATTTTGACGGGTTGAAAGAATTAGAGGAACTCTTAGAAGTTGTTGATTTTGATGAAATACATCCTTTCACAACTCAGTTGAAGAAAAAGTTTAAACCTGCCGAGATCAAGGTCATAATCCCAAGGCTTTATAAAGTTTTTAATCTGCATTATATAAGTAATGATTTAGACACTCAGGATTTGAAATGGTTTCAAAGAAAAAAATTACTTTATGATGGAGTAGTTAATGATTACCTCAGTATTCTACCATCTGATGATGATAAGATGTCAGCTATTTTGTTTAAATTCTACTCTGAACAACTTAAATCATTGAGATCCACAGTGTCTATGAGTGATATACCTGGCAGAAATAACCTTTACAATACAGGAGCAAAGGGTTCAGCAAGAGATCTGGGGTTCAATGATGAAGATTGTGAGCATGACTACAGAGTGTCTGGTGATATCTTCAAAGAATGTGGCTTTTTCTATCCATTATCGCAAGAGCCCATTACAACTTTAATAGAATCGAATTTATACATCCATGATATTATTCCTCATAATATTGATGAGTTAGAATTTGAACGTTATCCAGAATTACCTTATAATGATAGTGAAGATGCTATTGAGGTATACCTATACAGTCTATTAACTAGTACTTGTAACATATTTTTAGAATTTAAATCTTTCATTAAAATTCTTTATCGAGAATTAGTAAATCTGAATATGGAAGCTCTTCATCCTTTGATTATTATGGCACATAGCATGATCGAGTTTAGACATAATCGTATACCACTACGAATCACGGATAACGGACTTGGAGTCAATTATCAAACATTTATCAATTCAAAAGAGAAGGAAGATACACAAAGTAAAACTTTCATTGAAGATTTTCTGAAATCATACTATCAATCGATAATTTGTAAGTCTAATTCATTTTTAATGTATGATGGAGAGTTTATCATAGGTGTTGTTTTAGATTCAAATCCATTAGGTGATGCAAGTCCATCCAATTTACATGGTGTGAAGTGTAAGATATTTACATATGATGCTAAATTAGAACCATTCTCTATAGCTCTATTCATCATAATATTTGCTATTACTTATGCAAGAACTATCCCAGATCCAATGATAGCTCGGCTCATAGATTCATTTAACCATACAAACAAATGACAAAACGTATAATAATAAATAATACATAATTTATATAAAACATAACTAAATGAATGAATGAATGAATGAATAGACGGTATTATATGACTTTTCTTCTCTTTCATGCCAACTCATTGAATTGAGTTATAAATAATTTGACAATATTTAAATGAATATAATCATCCCGATGATTAATTTCAATTTGATTATCATTTGATAAATAATTTAATAAAACTTCATAAATTAAATAATATTGTCGTAAATTTTGTACCATTGAGATCCGTTGTTTTCGGAAGTTATTAACGATATTATAAATAAGATCTTGTTCAAGTGGATTTTTGGCATGATTCATAATATTAATCATAGTATCAATAGTACATAAAGTTCCTGTTCTACCACAACCTGCTGAACAATGAATTAAAGTAGGATATGAACTATTAGTTAAATTGATTTCCGATAAAATATGATGTTTTAAATTAATAACTTGAATCAAATCTAATGGTGATAAAATGGTTCCCATATCAGGCCAATTTAAAAAATGAATTTGTAAAACTTTCGATACTTTATTACTCCCGATAATGGAAATATTAAACATTCTTAAAATGGTGAATTCATTAATGGTAATTTCATCATCAATTTTAACATTAATCCGATCAGTATTACTTTTATATATTCCACTTTTCCAAAACGCCGAACATTTAATTAATCCATTTTCAATTTCATCAGTTAAAGATATGATTAATGGGATATGTAAATTAACAATACATTTCCAAAAATCTCCCATAGTTTCATCTAATGGACCTTGAGTTGCAATATATTTATATTCTTCAAAACTATCAACCTCTTGTTTCTCCTCTTTGATTAAATCTCCTAAATTATGAATAGGATTCAAGTAGGATGCATTGATGTAATCCTCAACGCATGGATTAACAGTTTCACGTAATTTAACACGCAGGTGTTCATATAAAAATATATCTTTATATCGATTCTTATGACCATATTCAATACCACAACTTATAGTAGGAGGTAAATCATCATTTTCATTATTATTATTATTATTATTTTGTGAAGATTCCATACTTGATGTAGTACTAGTATTTGGATTACTTAATGATAAAGCATGAAGTAATCTTCTTTGTTCTGATTTTTCTAAATTATAAAAATCATCATTAATCTTTTTAGTACTACTAGTAGTTGAATCATTATCATCCATAACAGTTTTTCTTAACCATAATGGTAATTTGGAAACATCCTTCGGTATATTAGTTAACTTGAATAAACTATTATGATTATTTTGTAAAGTTTTCAGATTAAAATTAGTTTCAAATGATGGATTATAATTCGAACTATCATTGGAACTATTACTACTATTTGAACCTCCTAATTCTTCATTATGTCTAATTTTAAAATTGGTTTTGATTTTAGGTAACGAGAAATTAGTTGATAAAATAGGAGTTGATGTCATAATTGATGATGAGCCTGAATTATATTCATTGGTAGTTGGAGTTATACCGGAAAATAATCGATTATAAGGTGAGATTTCCGCTAATGATTGAGATCTTGATCTTTCATTGGTATTACTTGGACTTGAATTAGATACACTTGTTGATCTATTATTAACAATTAATGGAGGTAAATAATTATTCAAATTAATTTCAGATGATTTAAATGATGATGGAATCGGAGTAGTAGAAGTTGTGGTTGTGGATGTTGAAGTACTATTAACATTCATCGATTCACCTGGACCTGATTCTAATAAATGAGGATAAATCAATTGAAATTGATTGAAATTAGAATCCATTAAATAAATCTTTTTATTTGAAATTGAATTATTAAAATTAGGACAATCAAGAAACTTATTTAAAAAATGATATAAATTGGATGAATTATTTAAATTATCATAAATAATTAAATTTGCATCATCATAGTCCTTTTCATTAATTAAAAATTGATGAAATTTAAATTTTTCAAAATCAGGTAACAGATTAATACATCTTGTTAACGTAAAATTAGTTCTTTTTAATAAAGTTGATGGTAAACAAATATTTATGGATGATTTAATATGAGATTTAACAAAATCAGTAAATGGTCGTATATCAATAATAAGATTATTATTATTGGAAGTATTAATTGATTCAATTTGGTGAGATATTTCATTTAAAGAATAATAATTAATCTTTTGAGGTAATAATTTTTCAATTTGAGGTTTAAAATTTTGACTTGGTAAATAATTTAATCGTTTTAATTGTTCATTTTTAACTATTGAATCAAATGCAGCAAGATCATTATTATTAGGAGGAGTTGATGGAGTAGTAGTAGAATCATTAGTAGTATTTAAAGATAATGAAGGTAAAGTAATTTGTTTCTTTAATGCAAATTTAGAATGAGAATTTAATGATTGAACTTTTTGTAAAGGTTGACTTAAATGAAAGGGGAAACTTGATTCAATAGCTGAAGTTGCTCTTGGATAAGGTATGGATGATGATGAATTTGAAGATGACAGGTTTGAATTGGTAATTCTAGTTGAATTATTACTGCTACTATGATTATCTAAATCATTATTATTATCATCTTCTTCTTTAAAGGACGATAAATAACCAGATCTATCGGAAGTAGCAGATAATGATTGATTATATTTATGTTTCGGTACAAATCGATCATTATTAAAGAAAGGATTCATATTATTTGCTTCTACTAAAGTTTCAGTTGATACAAATGAATTTTCATTTTTGAATCGATTCATTGAATGAGATGAACTATGTTCATATATGGTTAAATCCGATAAATTTGATGATAATGAAGATATAGAATGACCATTTGAGTGATGCTGATGATGATGAGGTTGAGGAATAGAAGGAGGAGGAGCTAGACTGGTTGGAACCAGAGGTAGTGATGAGTCAACTGGTTTGTTGTTGTTATGCAAAGTATGAATATGATGATGATTTGAAAATGGGTTTTGATTATTATGTTTGGGTGAAGATAAAGATGAAGCAGAAGTTGATTTGGGTATAGTATTGGTGATGGTAGTAGTAGTAGTATTAGTTATAGGACAAGGATATGTTGATGAAGAAGATGGTTTTAGTTTTGGATTAAAAAAGTAATCATTTGAAGTGGTGGTGGTGGTGATTGATGTACAAGTGGCGTTTACATTATTATTAGTGGTGGTGGTACATGAAGGTGACTGATTTGAAGTAGTAGGGGTTGAAGGAGTATGAGTACTACTAGGGAAAGTAAAGCTCGGTGAAGCACATATAGAAGGGGAAGATGACATTAATGTATGAATGTATGAGGTATATATATATAATCAAAATGATGAATTATAATAAGGGTGATGTAAAAGCCATATATAGAACGATTTACTTTGTTAAGGGAGCGATAGCGGTAGCGGTAGCGTTAATGATATGAAAGTATGAGATATGATATGGATATGATGTGATGTGATATGATTATGGTTTATGCTAGTGAGGAGGATATGATATGTTGATAGATTATAGATGAAAGTAATGATTAGATTCAAACAAGTAGAAGAAAGAAGAAGAAGAAGGGGATGGAATTATAAATATAAATAAAAAGAAAATGGCGGTGGTTGTAAATAAAAATTTCAGTGGAATAAATTCAAATTGGGAATGGAAATTCAAATTAGAGAAAGGCTGGTGGTGGGATTCCTCAATAAGTTTAAGATTTTATGGTTAAACAGTTTTATTTAGGGGGGAAATAAATTTAATTTTTAGTGAGACAGTAAAGAAATAATTGTCGCTAAATTTTAATGTTTAGTGAGAACTTTGTCACTAAACACACGTATATCATAATAATAATTTATTATTATTATAATTACAATAATAATTGGGTTATTTAAATGGCTTAACTTTTATTATGGTTTATTTGTTTATATTTGATGATGATGATGATGATGACTTTGTGTGATGAGTAGTTATTTATAGTATATCATGTTAGACAGTGTGTGTGTGTGTTCTATGCTTCGATTTTAGGTTAAAATGTCAAGTCAACACCACCACTCACATATAATAATAATAATAATTTATTTTGACTCCCTCGCTCGCTCGTTGTTCGATAAAAATGGTCTAGAACAAAAAAAAATGAGAACAAACGAAAAAAAAGAAATTTCCATTTTAAGAACTGAGGCAGACAGAAGTTAATACTGACCAGATTCTGTTAGAGACAGAGTTATGAGATATTCTTAGGATGGATGGATGGATGGATGGATGGTATGATAATTCTTCTTCGATGAGAATCTTATACCTATTTATAGTTACTTTTGATGTTTATATTATCATTTTATGTACAGATATTTCACTCTAATTCATTTCATATCACTTCATTTCACCTCATTTATCATTTATCATTTATGTCAGTTCAATTCTAGAACAAAGTTTAAAAATAAACTTAAACGAAAATGTTACCAGTTAGGGAGTAATATGCAGGGATGAGTTAAAATTTAAAAATTTAAATCATCAAAATTTTAAATTTGTCTCTCCTCACTATGAGTGAAGTTAAAAACCGTTATGACATCATAGGAGACGGGAGTGTACACAGTACACTCTTCTGATTACATAACATCTTATATAATCTTACTCTTTTTAAGTATATAAACCCACTAACTAAATAATTACAATTACAATATTACTATTTACTAGAACCAAAAACCTAATTTAACTTTAATACAACTTACTACTTTACTTTACATTTTACCTAATAAATAATCTCATTGAACTATTAATCTTAATTATCCACACTCTATGGGTTATGAAATCGCTCTTTCGTCTACCCAATGTAAGATCCCTGTAGCTAAGAAAAAAAACTCCTTTCATTATTAACTCATTATAACCATTAACTTTTTAATTTGAAGTCTTGTCTTGTCTTGTTGTCTTTACTTTCTCTGGTTTGAATCCCTTTTAACTTTAAGATTAAACTTTTTGTCCAATTTAGTCTCCCCCCCCAACTAAATTTTTGAAATTTCCCGTAATTTTCCTTTGTTCATACATATTTTGACATATTTCAATGCCCATTACATACATACACGTTTCACATTACCGTAAAAATTACCTCATTATATAATTATCAATACGAACAAACACTACGAATATGATACAATGTAACTCACTGTTAACTTTAAACACAATAAATATTTATTTCTTTGAATGTATAAATCAGGCAATTTAATTATAATACTTCTTTCGGTATATCGGTATCTCGCTTCCGTTTTCCTTTTATTTTGTACCACCAAATTCTCTATTATACAACATGTACTTTATTATTTTTGCAATTTTGTTAATATATCCCATTTCACTTAATTCTTAATAGGACAATAATCTTCCATAGTTTTCCATGGTTTAGATAATTTATAAACTTTACCAAATTTATCCCAATCAATCCCAATCACAACTGGTATCATTGATCCTGTTGGTAATTTCCATTTCTTATGACCAATAACTTTCAATATCGAACTAATTAATCCTGAATGAGATACAATACTAATCACATCTACTTCTTCTTGTTTCAATTGTTGGAAAATATCAATTAATAAAGTTTGAGCTCTCCAATTCCGATGTTGTTTACTTTCATGAACTTTATCCGTCCATAATACATCTTCATCATTAAACCCATTTTCAAATGTTAAAAAATCAAAATTATCTTCTAAATATTTCCGATCATGACGTTTACTCTCCGTACCGATACCATAACTTTCACGAGCAAATTCCTTCACTATAGCCTTTTGATCAGTTTTATCCTTCCACATTAATTCCCAAGTCTTAACTGTTCTACGTAATGGACTTACATAAAATTGATTTGGAAATGGTAATTCTTCTCTATCGAATTGATCTCTTAAATTATTAATTTGTTTGATTCCTAAGGGGGTCAATAATGCATCTTCCCATTCAATTACATCATCTCCAGATTGTAATTGCCAATAACATCCCCATTCTGAACTGTTATAGTACGATTTGGACATGGCATAGTTATGCCATCCTTCTCCATGACGTTGTAAATAGAATAATTTGTATGATTTTTTATCACCATGTTGAATATTAAGGTTTCGGATATCATCAAGGACTTTTTGCCAAGTGTATGGTTTTTTCAAACTTATATTGTTAATATCCTCGATGGAAATTATATCATCCAACTCATCTTCTTCATCTTCATTATCTTCAATTTCAAATTCATTATCCTGGGTGGATTGTTTGAAATATTGATTGATGGAATGTAAATATGGTGGTTTGGCAAGGAATGATTCTTCATCATCATTAAATATAACTTCTTGTTGAGAATTAGGTCTCGTGTCATCAGGTAAATATGATCCATTAATAATTGTTATAAGCCATAGTATAGTAACTACCATAATAGTAACAATATTTGCACTCATCATGGATATGTTTCTCTCTTCCTTCTATATACAGCAACAACTCACAACAACAACAACAACAACACTAAAGAAACCTTCCAAAATGATATACAATATCAACTACAGAAGAAGTAATTACACTATTTATAAAAAATTTTTACGTTATCATGACATGACTCCAATGTTTTGATAAATGATAGTAGTTATCCATACATAAAAAAGAAAAGCTGCAATAAATAAATAAATAAATAAATAAATTTTTTTTGTCACACGTGTATGTCATCTTTTGTAAAAAATGACAATAATAGTAATTATAACCACCTCACTCATCCACCTCAAATTCATCATTAAGCCATGCCATAACTGAAATAAACAGTTCATCTACTTTACAACCCATAAGGTATGGATATATCATAGTATTAACTATCACTGTTTTGTCATTGCAACCATCATAAACTGTTTATTGTGGCATAACTACTATAATTAAATATGTCACACAGAAACGAAAAATTGTTTGTGTTGTTGCGATTGAGACGTGATGATGATAAGTGATGACTATGATTTATAGTTTGTTCAGTTAGTTTGATTGAGTTGAATGGTTGAGTATTGGTTGACCTACTTACTTAGATAGATGATATATCATTGATTAATTGATTGATGATAGTGTTGTATGGGGTGGATGTAGTATACTTCTCTTTTGCAGCACTACTCGGTTATGATGTATGAATTAAACTATATGTAATTACTACCTACTACCATTGGAAGTAGATAATGTAGTAACTTGGATTGATTCACAATGTATCTATTCATATCAACCCATCTTAGGTTGATCAGATACAGGTAGACATGATCTAGTGATGAAGATTAAAATTTGTTTGGGGTGCCCCCTCATTTTTTTTGGCTGTAAATAATTGACTGTCATTGCCACTTTCATTCAATACAACTACAATCAAACCATGACTCAAGAATCAATTGATCCAACTCAAGTTGAATCACTTTCTAAACTCATCAAACAATATGATACCCAAATTAAAGCCATCGAACATGATATTAAACGAATTTTATCATCCAAAACCATTAAACAACTAAATTTACCCCTTTCACCTAAATTAATGATTAAAACTCCCACTATTGAAAATATCATCACTAATGTTTTAACTATCTACATTATTAAAATCAAATTATTAAGTCAAGTAGATTTATTAGAATCAAAATATTTCTATAGAAAATTATGTGGAGAGATTAATTCAAGTTTATTAAGTATCATTAATAAATCATCAATTGTAAAACAATATGATAAAATGTTAACCATGACAACAGGAAACAATACTAATCCATCATCATGTTTGAAATCACTTTATAATAATCATAATCGGATTTTAAAACAGAATATCTATCAAAAGATTAAAAACCCTACCAAGTTTAAAGATTTGTCTCAAATTTATCTTAAGAATAGACAAGGTAAGATATTATCAACCGTTGATAAGATTGATAAGATTGATGATGTTTATGATATGGATATAATTAGATTAGATTGGTATTTGAAGTTTTTCCAATTGGATGGATATGACTTGCCCCTTGATATTAAACAACAGTATTTGATCAAATATTTAACCTTTAGAAGATTGAATTATGATAGTAATAATTGTGTATAGCTCCTTTAATATAACAGAAAAAATTTACGTTTTGGCTGTAAAAAAAAAAAAATAAAGAAGGGAGGAATTATGACGGTCAACGGTTTATACGTTTGAATTTTCTACGATAATTCAATACATCATGCTGAAGGTGGTGGAAGATCAGGGGATTAGGTCCATGATTAACTTCGTAAAGAATAAAGATAAACTTAAACCTCTTTTAGATTCGAGTGATGATGATGATGGCAAAAGTAATATTGAATTATTAGAACAACAATTTATAAGTTTACAAATGAAATTCATTAGTTGTCAATCATTAAGGAATCAAATCTTTGATAAATTCAAACAATTAGGATTATTGAATCAATATGATAAAGCGGAAGATAATGATTCTACTGGAGGTCAATCATTCATTCCTAATTTAGATGATTTGACTAAAGTGGTTAATCATAAATTACTTTCAAAATTAGATTATTTAATTCATTTAAATATTCAATATGAAAAGAAACTCTTAACTACTCAATCAACTAAATTATTCTCCACTTTAGAGAAACATTTGAATGATCAGAATAAATTATTAGAAAAGTTTGAAAATTGTACTAATTTCTCTTCTACAACATCTTCATCCAAGAGTAGTGGCGGAACTTCTAAAAAAGTATCATCAAGTACCACTACAACCACAACGAAATTCGTTACTACATCTACTATGTGTACTAAATCAATTGAAGAATTACATTTCATGATGTTGGAAGAAATGTTTAAATTCACCATGTTAGATAATTGTAAGAATTGGAATCATCAACCGACCCTGAATCATCAAATCAATCAAGTTTCAAATCATAATTATAGATTCCCCAATCAAGATAACTTAACTGATTTAACTTCAATTGACCAAATCAATAAGTTAAATGAAGATCAATTATCAGCTTATTTCAAATTCTATAAATTGAATGATAAAGATTTATCAATCCAACAAATGAAAGAGTATTTACTTCAATTCTTAGGCATTGGATTATTAGCTTAAACAAGGATTTGGTGAATCATCAAGAGAGGAGGTGCTACCAATTGGTATTTTTTCAACTCATTTTTTTTTCATTTGTGGTGATACTTTGCTTTTTTCTGTACCATAAAATTGAGAATGTATAAATTTTGAATAACGCGTTATATATATATATATAGGGTAGGGTAGAATAGATATGATTAGAATATGACATATATCTATAATGATTCGAATATATATTGTTCATCTATAGTAACTCATGATGCCAGTCAAATTGATTTCAATCAAGTTTATCCCTTAGCAGATTTATATTATTGTCATGTTTGTAAATCACCCAAATCAAAATATCAATGCTCATATGAAATCATATCGAAATATTGTTCCAATTGTTTGATTGATTATAATGGAGATGGTGATAATCATCATTGTTTGAAGAATTGCTTTGATTGTCCAAAATGTAAAGTGGTGGTCGGTATTACTATGAATAATCATGATGAAAATGGGAAATCATTCAGTTTTAATTGTAAATTTTGTCAATTTAGTTATACTACTAAAGTTATTGAAAAGCCGAAATCATTAATATCAATCATAACTCAAGAAAAGAAGAATGATCAAGATTATTATGCTAAAGTGTATGATCATGTAAGGAGTCTGGTATTGGAGACACAACCACAGAAATCATTAGATGAATTAAAAGTGAAGAACTTAAACTTATCAACAACGAAATCAAAGGTACAGAAATCATCATATGACATTGATCCTATATCAGATGATATAACGAATCAATTATCCCATCATAAATACACCCATGGGTCAAAGTCCCTCCATGATACATCAAATCAATGGCATTCAAATGAGTATAAATTCCCTCTTCCAAAACCATTATCAATTAAATATTCCTTAATATGTCAAGATTGTCATACCCCATTATTACAACCTAAAGTGATAGAGAATCAACCTACTTTAATCAAATACTCTATCAAATCATATGCCAAGGATTATTTACCGATTGTGAAATTAACCAAATCTCATAAATTCAATCATGTATATTTACTTAATTTTATAAATCCTATGACGACGAAATGTCTGATTACAATATCTACCCCCACTACTATCCCATTAAGATTCATAACTCCTAAGGATAATGATAGAGACATACAGATTACATTACCGATTAACAAGTTTGTAATAGGAGCAAATTTGAATAAGAATATAGTGAAGAATATCCCAACATCATTATTAACAGATCATACCTCGGCGTCTCTTGCTGAATTGATCAGTAGAAACAAAGCCGATCAATTAACTCAAAACATTGCAGGTGATAATGGAGACGAAGAAGAAGAAGAAGAAGTTCAACTTGATTTTACCCAATTAGTGGATTATGGAAGTAATTGGTATACTGTTCCAATTCATTTACTTCAAATTACTAAATTAAGAAATAATAATGCGAAAAAAATTATAACGGTAAAAATTCCATTATTTATAAATTTAAAAAGTTATCAGAATAAGGAAGTTTATAAAAACGGTAATGATCTTACCCCAAATTTCGAAATTGGTTATTGGAATTTAATTAATGTAATTTTATAGATATGTATATAAATAATATTCTATTTATGGTTGCTTGCAAAAAAATTTAAGGCATGTTAAAGTTCGCAACTTTATGTAAAAATTTGTTATATTTACCTTATATTGATATGGGAAAATCCTTTCTTGTTATGTATTTAAAGGACTTGAATCCATCATTGATGGATATTGATATTGTTCTTTTTCATAGTTTTCTTCTTCTTCAACTATTTCATGGAGAATGGGTACATATAATAGTAACATGATAAAACGAGAATTTCCTCACAAAGTTCATACCAGGCACTTGCCCGTATCCATTCATAAATCCCATGCTATTAGAATGACCTTCCATGATAAGTATAACCATGCTCAGATTAATGTTATCATTCCAAATGGAGACTTTAATAAGCCGGAAATTTCCAATGTTTTATCACTTGCTGGTTTTGATATAGATTTAAGAAGCTTTCATCAACAAGCTTCCAACCTTATTTATTCCTATGATGCCGATCTATACCTTTTGAATATAGTTTTATTTTCACCTAATCAAATTGAATCATCAACGTTTATTAATTTGCGGTCCATTAGTCTTGTGGCTAATGATATCAAACCACCACAGGCATGTATTGAATGTACACCATTGGTAAACTCATTCTTTGATTAAAAATCAAGTACTAATAACCCTGCTACTTTTGCTAAATGATGGGAATCAAGCACATCATTCAATTTAACATCGTCTTGTCTCTTTGGTTGAGTTTGTGTTTCTGGTGGATCATCAACAGTATCGTCATCTTCTTCGTCACCTTCTTCATGTTGTTGTTGTTGATATTCATCATAATCGTTCAATTCTTGCTCATCTTGATCTGCTTGATGTAATTGACGTTGATTATCTGATATCCCATCTATCCCATCCACTTTATCCAATTCATCCCCCTCTGCTATACGTTCTTCATTCGATCGTAATATAGCTTCATTTATAAATAGATTTATATATTGACTTGATAACTCTAATGAATTTAATGTTATACGTGTATTTTGTTGTTTAAAACTTAATTCTCGAAAGATTCTTGCAATAGTTGTAATTGGTATGTTTATCTGAGATTGATCCTTATCATTAGTATCAGCCATATTGCTTGAAGTTCTAGGTGATTTGACTTGAAATGGACCTTGAAGACAGTTTTAACATTTTCATTTCTCAGATCTAAACAAAGCTCGAAAAAAGATCAACAGTTAGCGCTTGCCCCACAAGATAAATTTTTACATTTGCAACGATGAACTATGCCAAATTCAGTAACTACAATAGAGATTACTCGATGATTTGATACGCTAATTTAATAACTTTTTACTAAAAACTATTTACCCCTATTTTAATTAATTATACAATATACTTTTGAATACCACTTACTCTCTATGATTTTCTCTTTCTTTTAGTTTCCGGCTCAGGTTCAATATCCTGACTTGATTCTTTACTTGTAGTATTGACTTCGATTGGTGCCTTATCGGTAATGCCGGTTACTTGTTCATTCTTACCTTCTTCGTCATCTTCATCGTCATCTCCCTCATCTTCATCATCACCTTGGATTTCTAATCCACTATCACCTCGCGTGACCGTAATATTAATTCCACCTCTAGATTTCCGTCTTTTTAATTTACTTCTTTCCATAACTAAATTAGAAAGATTTGTAGTTGAAGCACCTGATTCTAATTCACCAGCAGTAGTATCTTCTTCTTCAAATTCATCATCAAATAAATGAACATTATTAAGTGGCTTCTTAGTTTCATCTACTAATTTCTCATAGTCTTCTTTATTCATCTTTCCTTCTTTAATAATCTTTTTCAATAACTCACCTTCCAGAGGTGGTTTCACATTAACATCATGTAATGATACATTCTCTGATTTGATAGTATTTGATTCAACACTACTATTTCTTGTATTTGGACCAGTGGTGGAATTCCTAGCACTTGAGTTATTCGATGGATCATCATAAGTATCAGTATACCCATTGAAATAAATTTCATTCACGTTAATATTCTTATTGGGATCTATCCCTCTTTCAATCAATCGTTGAATACTTCTTTCACCATTTGGTTCTTGTTTGATTTCAGGAATTATCGATCCACATTTCAATGCAGCGGCATCTTGCGATGTATATTCTTTAGAATGAGCAATTCTACTATGATTTAAAAAACCTTGTGCTGATGAAAAATTACTTCTTTGACAATCTGGACAAGTTAATTTAACTATAACTCCATCGGTACGTCTATAAAGACAACCTAAATGTTGATTTGTGATTCTTGCAGGAACAAAGTTTTGTGCAATCGGTACAGGAGCTGAGATTGATGATGCGGTGGTTGATATGGATGAACCTGGTGATGGAATTTGCGCCGTTGCTGCTGTTGATATTGTTGCTGCTGTTACTGCTGCTGTTGCAGTTGTAGTACTTGCAGTCAGAGTTTGTGATTCTGATTGAACTACTGGGAAAGTATAATGGGATGGTCTTAATGATGAAGTGGTTGATCTTGTTCTATATGAATGACCTACTCCATATGGATTATAATCATTTCGAATACTTGATTCATGATCAAGATAATCAGCTTTGAATAATCCTTCACCAGCCAGCAGGACAGGGATTTGATTTTGATTTTTGACCACATCATTATAAGTCAAAGTCAATGATTTATTCAATAAATCAAAATATTTCAAGGTGAATTCATTTGGTTCATTATCAATCTTAACATTATTCGGTATTTCAAAGAATTTCCGTAGTATAAGCATTTGAGATTCAATTTTTCCAATTTCTTGTTCAGTTAATTTCAATTCTTTATGTTTTAATCTGATTTCTAAATCGATTTGATTGGTTATGATTTCCTTTAATTTATCAATGGGAATATCTCGTAATCTTTGGATGATTGTTTCTTGATTATTTAATTGTGGCAAGGAAGGATTTTGACTATCTTTGGACACTTTTGATTCTTCATGATCAGTTGTATCTCGATTATCATCATCACTCATATTGTCAATGATACTAGATACTTGATTAACCTTGGATTGATAAAGAATAACCTTTGTTTCGTATCCTACCAGTGGCTGTTGCCATTTTCTATTTGTGGTTTAAACAATTTCTGTCATACAAAATTTCCAATTCCTGTATATAATAAAAGTGCTACCAACCAGCCAATCTTAACTATTATAGTTTGGATACAAAGTAAGATTTGAAATATGTATAATTTAATATACGAAATGCTTCATGCTGTAGGTATGATTTGACATATTCCATGACTGTAACTCATGTCGATAATCATCGTTTGTTCCATTATCGTTATAGTTATAATTAAAATTATGGTGATGTCAAGAAATGCGACTCAAATTGAATGATTTTTTTTAAATAGTAAATACATGATTGCAACAATTATGACAAATCTTACTATAAAAAGATCATCAATTCACCTGCTTATGTTCTAGAAAGTCTTGTTCTTTCATATTTATTTGCCATAGATAGCATATAATCATATATTCATATTACCATTAATCATAACACTATGTTTCGAAGAACCCCGCTCGTGAAGCGGGCATTAACTAGTTTAAGAAATTATTCCCTGAAACCAACAACTCCAAATTCATTCAATGTTTTATCAACTTCATTGATCTTCGTGGGTGGATCTGCATTAGGAGGGTATGCAAGTTATAAATATTTCCAATCCAAACCTCAATTGCCACCAATTTCACCTCCAGCATCATCATCACCACCATCCATATCATTAGGATCTACACTTCCATTAGATCAATTAGAGTCACCTCAATACGCCAATGAAGCAGAAATTGAATTGGCTATTCAAGAAATCAGACAAATATTCTATAAATCAACTCCAACTATAGAGGATGAAACCATTCTTATCAATAATTCTCGTGAACAGCTTGATTCTCATGCTGATACTTATTTCAATTCTCATCATGCCTCTAAATCAGAAAGATCTCAATACGTGGTTTATCCTCGTCTGACGCAAGAAGTATCAGATATCATGAAAGTTTGTCATAAATATCGTGTCCCAGTAGTACCAACTACAGGAAGATCTTCATTAGAAGGACATTTCATTCCAACTCGGGGTGGTATTGTAATTGATATTTCCAGTATGGATCAAGTGGTTAAATTAAACACTACAGATTTGGATATCACTGTTCAAGGTGGGATGGGATTTGAAGCCTTGGGTGATTATCTTGAAGAATATAATCTTTTATTTGGACCTGATCCTGGACCTGGTGCTGGTATATCAGGTATAGTCGGTACAAATGCTTCTGGAACAAATGCATCTCGTTATGGAGAAACTTATAAAAATATTCTTAATCTTACTGTGGTGTTAGCAGATGGTACCATCATTAAAACCAAACAACGTCCTAGAAAATCAAGTGCTGGTTATAACTTAAATTCATTATTCGTGGGAAGTGAAGGTACTTTAGGTATAGTTACCGAAGCTACTTTAAGATTACATGTTAGACCAGTATTGGAATCAGTAGTAGTTGTGCCTTTTCCTAGCATTGCTGATGCTGCAAATGCCGTCAATGCAATCTTATTAAAGGGAATCACTTTAAATGCAATTGAATTATTAGATGATGAAATGATGAAAGTAATTAATATCACTAATGAAACCACTAAAAAATGGCTGGAATCTCCTACTTTATTTTTAAAACTTGGTGGATCAAACGAAGTAGTATTAGATTCGTTAATTGATCAAATTAAAACAATTGCTACTGAAAATAGTAGTAAGGATTTCCAATTTGCTTCGAGTGATGATGAAAAAACCGAACTTTGGTCAGCTAGAAAAGTAGCATTATGGTCTACTATAAACCATGGGAAAGAATTAGACGATTCAATGCAATTATGGACTACTGATGCAGCAGTGCCTATATCATATTTACCTCGATTTTTAACCGAAACGAAATCAGACATTAATAATCATGGATTGAAAAACACCTTAGTGGCACATATTGGAGATGGTAATGCTCATAGTTTCATCTTATATACTGAAGGCCAAAGAGACATTGCTCAAAAAGTGGTAGAAAATATGGTTCAAAGAGCCATTAAATTCGAAGGTACATGTACTGGTGAACATGGGATTGGATTCGGTAAACGTGATTTCTTATTAGAAGAAGTTGGACCTTTACCGATTGATCTTATGAGAAAGATCAAATTAGCCTTAGATCCATTAAGAATATTAAATCCTGATAAAGTATTTAAAATCGATCCTAATGAAAAACCTCAATATCATGGTGCTTTAGTGTCTACCGTTAACCCATGCTAGTTTGTTTTTTATAGATTATATAAAAGTTTATAAAAGTTATAATAGATTACATTTTGCTTTACCTTATCTTTGTATCTATCTCATATCATTCTATCTCTATCAATAGTAATGAATAAGTTGTTATATCTGATTAATTGCTGCTAATTGCAACAGACTGCATATAATGCCAGATAAAAAAAATTTTCAGGTGTAATAATTTTTCAGTACTGATTCTAAAAAATGTATAACGAGAAGACTAACTCATCTCACAGTTTGTATACATTGTTTTCAATCATTACGAGTATATTTTAAGGGTTATAAGAAGATCTGAACTATATAATCCTCATAAATATCGGTTCCCATTTAGTTCAGTCGAAAAAGAGGAAAAAAACCAAAGGAAAACATCATATATCAGTCATGTCATCTCTGGGACCATTAATATGTGCCAAATTTGACTCCACCGTAAGTTACTTAGCAAGTGGTGTAATTGCATTAGATACTCATCAAGTTAAAGTCAGATCTATAAATACTTCATCCCAATCTTCATTAAATACATCCTTTTCCTTGGAAAAATCAAACAAATTAACAAGTTTAAGTTGGATCCCCATCAATTCTCAACCTATATTGGCTATAAATTTAACTAATGGAACTATTTTAATATATTCTCCTCAAACTAATGAAGTGATATCTGAATTAGTTAGTCCTAATAACCTTAGTATTGTTGATTTCCATTATTCACCATATACAAAATCTGGTTGGGCTTGTGATATAGAAGGAAATATTTATGAATGGGATTTAAATAATTTTAAATTGATTCAAAATTTTAATTTAAACGATCTTTTGGAATCAGTAGAAAATGTTAATAAAGTTTCAAGTATCTTATATAATAATCAACCTCATTTATTAGTGGGATCTCATTCAATTTATCTTTTTGATATTAAAAATAAAGAAATCGTTAAGACTTATCCTGGTCATGTTCAACCGATTAATAATATTTATCCATTACCTAATGATAATGATTTATTCTTAACCAGTGCTAAAGGAGATAGATTTATTAACTTATATTCAGTTGAAAAAGCATCTACTAAATCAGTTTATGTTTCACAATCCTCAGTATCTGATATTAGTTATGGAATTAAAGATGATAAATCAATTTTATTAATCATAAATGAAAATGGGAATTTAGAAATCTTTAACGATATCTTATCTCAAAAACAACAAACTTCACAACCATCAACCCCATTATCTAAGAAAAAGAGAAGACAACAATTATCCAATGTTCAATCATATTCATCAAATGCATCCTTAAAATTATCTAGACCGGAAATTGAAATTAAAAGTCCTCAAGATTCAAATTTAATTATTGATTCTATTGGAATTTATGATGATTCTATAATATTCTCATGGTTAGAAAATTCAAATTTACCATATTTCGAATCGATTAAATGGTTAGATGAATCAGGTCAATATACTATCCTTAATGAAAAGGTCATATTCAAATCTAAACCAGATTTAAAAGTAGTTAATCATTCAAGTTTTGGTCATGATATAGCAGCACCAAAACTTTATAGTGAAGGACATGCTATAATCAGTGATGGAACTCAATTAGGAGGATTAATTGATGAAGATGAAGAAGGAGGCGAAGAAGAAGAAAGTTTAGCTGAAAAATTAGAAAAACTTTCTAATGAACTGAAATCTCAAACTCAAAATACTAAAAGCAAAAAGAAATTAGGAGGGGATAAAACTGGTACTTTGACTATTATATTATCTCAATCATTAAGAAATAATGATCATTCATTATTAGAAACTGTCTTGAGTAATCGTGATGCTCAAGTTATTCAAAATACCATTGCCAAATTAGATCCTGCATTAGCTGTGGTATTATTGGATAGATTAAGTGAAAGAATCCAACGTCAAGCTTCCAGATTCGATCAATTGAATTATTGGTTGAAATGGATTATTATAATTCATGGATCAATTATATCATCCATTCCTAATTTAAGTATAAAATTATCAAATTTACATTCGGCATTAATCAAAAAAGCAGACACTTTACCAAGATTATTGGAATTACAAGGAAGATTAAATATGTTATATGATCAAAATCAATTAAAGAAAGAGATTTTAAAAGTTGGTTATGAAGATGAATCAGAAGAAATCGATAGTGATGTTGAATATATTGAAGAAATTGATGATGCTAAATATTTAGGTATTATCGGAAGTGACGATGAAGATGAAGATATCGATCTTGAGAATGGTCACGATGATTACATTGGCAGTGATGATGAAGAAGAAGCTGATATTGATGGATCAGTTGCAGATGGTGATGATTATGATGAAGAAGGTGAAGATGATGGAGAAGAAGAAAATTACAGTGACGTTGAAATAGATGTAAATAATAATGATAGAATGGAAGAAGACGACGATGAGTAAACCATCAACAAACTTCTGATTGTATAATACAGTTTATAGATAAATAGCAATGCATGTAAAAACATATTTATTGATAAAGTAAGTATTAGTGTAAGGTTAAAGATGGATAATAGTGAAAATGGTAGCGTCAGACCAAGGGTATAGAGGTCATGAAATTGTAAATATATATTTATGCATGGATATATGTCTTTCTTCCTCTTCTGAAAATATAGCTTTATAGTAAAGCTTAAAGCTGGCATAACAACTTTTAAGCAGCTTATGGGAGAAATCAATGGGAGATATATAAAAAGAATTGGAAAGTAGCTCTTTGTTGTGTTATCTTTTTCACAGCTGCTTTTGCTACTTTCTTGGGAGTTTTGATTTATGAAGTTCTTAAGAAGCTAAGAAGTCACAAGGATAATTATTCAATATCTAACGTTAATAATAGTGAATAGTCTCACTAAACTGGTTGGAGTATTGCCCATGGTACAATGCTACTCGGAAACATTAAGACAAAGGCCGTCCTGATCGTCTTGTCTTGGCTTATTATCTAAGGATAGATCATAATTTAGTTGGGACACATGAATTTTCAAAAATAGTGGAGGTATTGAAACCCCAAATAATGATAATTCAAATAATATGCATGAACTAGCAAATAATTAACTTTAAAAAAGAATGATTTGAGACTGTAAATAAATATTCATGTATGTATCAATTAATTTATATATAATCTCCTCCTCCTTCTTCTTGTTCTACTTTTGATGTATATAAATTTTAAAGAATATCATTTGGATCATAATGTCAGAGAGACAACAATTAGCAGCTTATGGGAGACATCAATGGGACATGGTTAGAAAGAATTGGAAAACTAGTCTTTTTGCTTTATTCATTTTTCTAGCAAGTACGGGTCTTTTCTTAGGGTTTTTGATTCATGAAGTTCTTAAGAAACAGAGAGAAGCTAAGAAATCACAAGGATAATAATTCAGAAAGCTTTCTTCGCTTATTATCTAGATTTACAGGTTTTTTTATTCAAATCTCGTTAATACATGGTTTATTCTGTATGAATGCCTTCCAAGACATTCAAATATGTCAAATACACTAATTGATGAAATAGACATTTCTATGTTACAAATTAGTTGCTACACATAAATATTTAAAAATAGAGGATATCAAATGCACTTTGAGTGATTTTAGGATTTCCAATTAGAAATTCCATTCCAGTGGCTTAAATAAGGCTTTTGACATCATTTCGCCTCGTATATTCTATATAGAAAATCAACAAGAATACCATTTGAAGCTTATGATTCGTTTTTCTCCTCAAGTAAATTATCTTGTAAATGAAATGGGGCTTGTCTATTTTCTAATCATCACAAAAAATTATCTTAATATCTTGCCGTACGGTCATACGTTGCGACAAAAGAGTGTGTATCTATCTTCTAATCACCATGTCAAAAGTCTTCCTTTTTTGACAATTCTATAAATAATTCTATTTCCCGCTTCATAGTGTTTTTTTTGCATCATTATCTTCAAAGTTTTATAAATAATATAATTATACCTTTTAGTTCATATTATATATCAAGTCAGCCTGTTGCCTTTTAGTCATCGGTTATATCCAAACTAATTCATATTCCAAAATAGAGATTTCAACGAACGCAGAGATGGTAGATCAGATTAGGTATGCCGACCCTAGATTCATATCATTTCTAGGTATATTGGTAATTATCATATTATATTATAGTGGAAGTCTTGATCTTAACTATGGTTTTGGTGGTAGTACAACTGCTGCAGTTGTGAAAGATCTCGAGAAAACCATTCCAGATAGTCAGTTGGAATAATAATCATCACATTTGGAGTTTTAACAAATTCTCAAAAATTAGAGCATTCAAGGTGATACCTATAAAAAAAGACTCCTTATCTCAGTTTCCCCCACCCCCTGCCTCCACGCAGTAAAACAGAAACAACAACACAGTATTTATATCACACTAGAGATATGACGAAGTATATAAATCAATTGAATTAGAAATCACTGTATTATATATGCATCAGTTTTGAATAAGGGATGAAATTAAATTTTTTAATGTATAGTTCTTTATATAGAATTTCATATACGGCTTAATTACGTCAAAAATATTATTATTTTACCCGCGCAATTCCCAATTATAATTAGCGAGAAGAAGTTACTATAAATATATCGTAAATACTGTAACTTCAACTAGTATTTAAGTGTAATAAGTTTACACCAACATTTAACCAATGAGATTCCAACAATTACATTAAAGGAACTAAAATGAAATCTGTTTTATTAATATTATATACATCTTAAAGAAATAATCAAAATTTTGCAATCGTATTTCCACTAGTAATCTTATTATTGACTACCGAAACACCATCCTGGCTTTATAAGTCAATGACAGCTCTAATACAATCACCATGATGCATGTCTTCAAAAGCAGTATTGATGTTTGATAATGGATGTCTATGAGTTATGAATTCATCAACCTTTAATTTACCTTGCATATAATCTTCAACTATACCAGGTAATTGAGATCTACCTTTAACACCACCAAAGGCGGCACCTTTCCAAACTCTACCAGTAACTAATTGGAATGGTCTGGTGGCAATTTCTTTACCAGCAGCAGCAACACCAATAATAATAGATGTACCCCAACCTTTATGACAAGCTTCTAAAGCATTTCTCATAACATTAACATTACCAGTACAATCAAAAGTAAAATCACAACCACCATCAGTCATTTCAATTAATTTATCAACAATGGTAGTACCTTCTGGTAAAGTAGATGGATTGACGAAATCAGTAGCACCAAATTTATGAGCCCATTCTGATTTTTTATCATTAATATCAACAACAATGATTTTAGCAGCTTTTCTTTCAGCAGCACCTTGAACAACAGATAAACCAACACAACCAGCTCCAAACACAGCGACATTTTCACCAGCTTGAACATTGGCAGTGATAGTAGCGGCACCATAACCAGTAGTAATACCACAACCTAATAAACAAGTTCTATCTGGTTTAGCTTCTGGATTAACAGCAACCACAGAAATATCAGCCACAACAGTATATTGAGAAAAAGTTGAACAACCCATGAAATGTAATAATTCTTTACCTTTACAAGTAAATCTTGAAGTACCATCTGGCATAACCCCTTTACCTTGAGTAGCTCTAATTTTACCACATAAATTGGTTTTACCAGATTTACAGAATTTACATTCTTTACATTCTGGAGTATATAAGGCAACAACACTATCACCAACTTTAACACTGGTGACACCTTCACCAATAGATTCAACAATACCAGCACCTTCATGTCCTAACACGACAGGGAAAGCACCTTCTGGATCAATACCACTTAAGGTATAAGCATCAGTGTGACAAACACCAGTATGTGAAAGTTTGATACGGACTTCATGAGCCTTTGGTGGAGCAACTTCAATATCTTCAATTGATAATGGCTTTCCAGCTTCCCAAGCAACGGCAGCTTTACAAGTAATAGTCTAGAATGAATAATTAGTTAGTAAATCTGGGTCAAACTTCAATTGAGTAACTTAAAGTTATGGTAGATGTCGTTATGGTTATGCATAAACGATGGAGATATAACCACTAAGGTGATTTAAGGTTGCTATATATTAACCACTATATTTCCCCCATTCTTCTCCCTTCCCCTTATTTTCGCAAAGCCCGACAATCAGTACCAATGATTAAGCTTTCTTTCACAAACTATACATACTTTTCCAACGGTAGACATTGTTATTATTGATTCTTGAATTCTGATAGATATACAACTTTCTTAAGATTGAATAGAGATCCAAAAGAAAGAACTGAAAAATTAAGATTAAATCTGAATTGAATTGATATTTATATTTATGATCAAAATCTTTCAAAATTGCTCCTGTCATCATCGTCCGTTCTGACAGTAAGATTAAACGGCTTCTTTAGTCCTAATTAGGTAAAAAATTCCAGCACGTGATTTGCTTATACAAAATTTTTAATTTACGCGGATCAAGTTTATCTTTACCCGATTTGATTTTAGGTTGAAATATATATATATAGAGAGAGATTACGATGATTATAGATCAGATTGAATTGTAAGCATGTAATACCAGTTGAATTGCCGAGCTAATACCTTTTCAGCTGCGATGATGTGAGAATTTTTTCATTTCGTATCACGATTTTTGCAACTGTTATAATTAGTCATAGGGTTTATCTTACAAATAATGTTTACTATAGCCAAGGAATGGGAAATAATGGGTTAATAAATATGTATGTATGTATTAATAATCTAACTAACTGGTAAAAATCATAATACTGCTCCAAATCCAAATGTGACTTTGATCGATCTAATATAATAATCTTCAAAATTACCTCTAACACGATCTTCTTCTCCAATAGGTATACCAGAGAATTTAACTACCATTTTAGTTTCTCCAGCACCTTCAATCAATTGAATATCTAAATTGGCATAATGACCATCTTTCCAATCTTCTAATCTCCATGATTGAACAATCTTTTCATCTGGGATTAATTTAAGAATCTTTCCACTAACAGCTCCTCCAAATAATCTAAATTCACTATCGATTTTAGGTGGGAATGATTCAATTAATGGTGGTGCTCTTGACCAAGCAGCTATTCTATTGGCATCTAATAATGTAATATAGATTTGATTAGCTGTAGTATTGAAGATTGGTTCAAGATGTAAAGTTGATGTATTATATTTTGGAACTGTAGAAGATGAAGTTGTAGTGGTGGCAACTTTAGTGGTAGTTGGAGTGGATTTTGAAACAACCACATTAGACACATTGACATGGTTTGAACTACTTGGATTTGAAGCAGCTTGATTGGCTTTAGTATATGATGAATTCACTTTATCTTCAGATAATTGAATTTCAGAACCATGAACTTTAATCAAATCAATTCCAAATTGGATTAAAAGGGGTCTTAATGGAGGAAGCAATTTAGATTTAATAAAAGCAATCACTTTATCACTATCTGAATTCTCCTTATATGAACTAACCACAAATTGTAAATCACTTTCTTCAGAATCATAAGCTAATTCAGGAATAGTTATTGATCCTTCAATAGTTGATCCTTCAGATTTGATTTCACCTGTGAAATTCAATACTAATCTCAAATCAAATAATGAAATCACTTTCCCCTTACGTTGACATACTTCAACATCACCTTCAACTGATGAAACTTTGGAGATTATAGCTTTGAATTGATCATTTTCAACGGTATAATTATCTAATTTTTCTTTGAAATAAGTACGAGTCCAATCAATACAATTTTTATCGACCCAATGCCAATTATTTGGATTATTAACAACCATGTTTACAATGTTTAGAACTTTAATGTATGAATAATAAAGTTATGGAAACTTGTTGCTTAAATGTTGAAAAATTTAAAATTTTTGCGATCGGTATAGAAAACTCTAGAATTTTTAGGTGTATTACATCCAACCCGCAATAATTAACACGCTATATCTATGTCTATGGTACAATTAATGTTTATTTTAAACTAAGATTTTATACTATAAAACTAAGCATCTACTTCCATAGCATCAGCAGTTGATGTGAAATTAATCACTGTTTCTTCTATATCTAAGATATTCTTAACACTTTCTCTTAATACAGCGGTAGTACCTCTAGCAAATTTATAAGATCTTGCCTTTTCAGCTCTAACATTTGGAGTTAAATAATTTCTATATAATTCAGCATCTTTTCCAACTTCCATTACACATAAATCAACATTTGAACCAGAACCTAAATCATTCCAAATACCCAGTTCAATAGCATTAGCACATAATTTCATAGCTTCTTCTTTAGTCATATCTTCTTTAAAATTAGTTTCTAATACTGCCATAGCAGCTAAAGAACCTGAACCTAATGATTGATATTTACCTATATCAGTTGAACCATGAGCTTGGACTGATAATAAATGAGCACCAGTTGGATCAACACCAGCTACAATTAAATATGCACCTAAATGACCTTGATATTGAAATAAATGTTGTTTTAACATGGTTAAAGCAGTTATAACTCTTGGTTGTCTATTTTGAGCAAGAGCATGTAATTCCAAGTTGGAAGCTATTAATTGAGTTACCATTTCAGTATCAGCTGCAGTACCAGCACCAGCACACCAAATCTTTGGAGCTAATTGATGTAATTTTTCACAATTTTTATCAGCAACAATACTTCCAGCTGTAGCTCTAGTATCAGCCGCTATGACCACCCCATCTTTGAATTTACATCCAACGATAGTGGTACCGGTAGAAGTGGCCATTGGTTGACCAAACCCTTTGGCTGATAAAAATTGATTTCTTTGATAATTATCAAATCCTAATCCTGGCATGATTTATATATGTATATGTATATGAGTATGTGATGTATGATTATTGCAATTGAAGAAATTTAATGATATGGATAATTGTTCTGATTTACAATTGATTATATCTTGATGGTATCGTGATAGTAATATAGCTGAAGATTGGGATAATTGATAAAGATCAAACATATAAGTTAAACCTTTTGATGGTAAACCTTTTTGCCTTCCACTGGAGAACACCAAAATAATTTTTTGGTGAAAAGCACACGACCATTTCTATTTTTTTTTTATTTTGATTTTTATACAACACGAAATACGTAACTTTTCTGAATTAAAGGTGTGTTGCAAACAGTTTAAAGTTATCAGTATAAACCTTTAAAGAAGGGGGTAATTCAATCATTCCAATCCAATTCAATTGATTTGAATCAATTCATCATACAAGTCAGCTTTGGTTCCTTTAGGAGAGAAAGCCTGGCTTTGATTCCATACCCAGATCATTATTTATATACATACGCCGTTTGACTATTTTGTTTTTCACATATATAATATATACAAATCTTATATGTTGTCATGGCAGATCTATACGGATACATCACCCCAGCTAAGGTGAAAACCCTACTAGTCCCCATCAACAATTGTTCACAAGCAGACTTCAATCGATACTATGATATAATACGATCCAACGTAACTGAAATACGACTAATGGATATAACTCCTGACAATGATCTTCATTATTTCAATCCCCAAGCATTTCCAAATGGAAGAATCTTTCTTGATTTCCACATATCGGGTCCTGATAATGATTCAATCTTTCTTCATGATTTCGAACCCTTTCGAAAAACTTTCATCATCTTAGGTGTGGGTAAATATAGTGAAGATTTTAATAATGAAGATACTTTACATGATTTAAAAAAGCATTTCCCTGCATCAATTGTACATAATATAATCTTATTTGATACTCCAAATGATAAAGTAAAACAATTAAATAAATCAAATTCTTATACCTTTTATCATAATGGAATCTTACAACAAAATATAACCGCATTAGAAACTTTAATGTGTGATATAAGTAAAGGATTCCTCCGTTCATTGGATACTTATGCATCATCATATTCAAATATAACATTGAGATCTCCAGTATTAATCACCGATAGTCATTTATTAACGAGAACTATAAGTCATGCTCAAAAACGATTAAGTTCAGGCTCAACTTCATTCAAAGTTTCATTTGGAGGGTCAAGTCCAACTCATACCAATGGAAATGGTGGTAGTAGTGCTGGTAGTGCAAGTAGTGGAGGTCACTCTATCACTAGTAATTCTAATGGAAATCTAAGTCCAGCAGATGCAAAATCAAAAACTCAACAACGTCATACAGGTCGTCAATCAAAGTTAATGGGTAGTTTCTACCTTTTAGCAGGGAAATATAATGATGCCTTGAATTCATTCATTGATGCTACAATCAATCTTCGAAAATGTGATGATTATTTATGGTTAAGTAATGCATTAGAAGGTCTTGGAATTACAGTTTTATTATTACGATTCGTAGGAGCTAATTATAAAATACCAAATCAAATTTTAAATAATGTGCTTCAACTTAACAAGAGCAAATTACTGGCTTTAAGTACTGAAATATTATCTCCCAAACGAAATTCAAGTGATTCGTCCGTTAATGGTCATTCTACAGCAAAAGCCACACCATATTCCCCAAGAAACTCCTCAAGTAGTAACATCAATTTCTCATCTTCAGGTCCTATAACTGATTTCACAGCCTTATCCATTCCAGAGTTTGTCGGTTTAATATCGTCAAAAGTATTGCATTTTTATCAAATAAGTACTAATGATTTTGAAAATATGGTACCTGATATAGTATATGTTGAGGCCATATTAAGAATCATCAAATTTAAAATTGGAGTTTATCTTAGTGGAGGTTATGAATCAAAAGTTACTTTATTAGAAAGCTTGGTTAAATCAACTAAAGTCCCATCAACGGCAAGTATAATTGATACTACCTATTTCCTGAAATCAGATATACTAAACACCATCGATAATATTTTTAAATTACAATTAATCGATATGGGCATCATTGAACAATGTCGAGTTTATTGTACTCTTGCATCAATGTATACTGATCTAGGTATGTTAAGGAAACGAGCATTTATATTACGATTTTTATTAGTGGCCTTATTACCCAAATTAGAACAGAATTATAATTTGGTGAATAATGATGAATTAAAAGATATTCGAGATGAAGTTCATAGTATTCGAGATCTATTTGAATATTTATTCTTAATCTATGGAATAAATCTTGAATCGGAAAGTTCCGCCATTGATTCATCTATTCATTCTGAAAAGAGTTGGTTATCATTACAAATCCAAGTTTTAAGATTATGTATTCAAATATCAGAAGCTATGAAAGATTATAAATTCTTTTTACAATTGGGTACGTTATTATTAACAAGATATAGTCATTGTTTACCCACCGATGATCAAATCACCTTAAAGGAAAAAATCGATTCATTAATTTATTTATCAAATAGAAATAATTTAAATCTTAGTTCACCATATTGGGATCCATTTTTAGTTCGAAGAGTTCAATTTGTTAATAATAAAAACAAAGATGATATTATCCCATTTTCAGAATATGAAAAGAATACAGCTCAAACAGTTGGATTAGGAGATGTTAATACTAATAATGGATATGAGCAAACTCCTGAACCATTTTTATTTGATCCTTATAATAAAGTTGATAATAATGCTACCACTATTAATAGAGATAAATTACTTTTGAAAGATGAAGTTTATCAGCTTAAAGTTCTATTACAAAATCCATTTGCCTTTGAAATAGAATTAAATGATGTTTCAATTGTGACGGAAGATGATTTTAAAGTTCAAACTTTCAAGCATCATATACGATCGTTAAGGGTTATTAATAAAATGGGTGCTAGTTCTGGTCTACTTGGTAGAAATGTTACACAATCAATAAATACTACAAATTCATTAAAGAAAACCATGTCAACTTCATCAACCACATCAGTAGGACTTCCTGCTTCTATTCCTACCGCTCCAACTTTATCATCAAATGCATCATCCAATGTGGCAATGTCAAGTTTGATAGTTCCACCATTATCCACTGAGATTTTTCTGATTCCATTCAAACCTTTACAAGTGGGTGAATTAACTATCTTGGGATTTAATATTCAAATAGGTACTTGTAATCCTCAATTGTTTAAGATTATTGATGGTGAATTATTTAATGAAACCTCGTTCAAAGTGAAATCGATGGGGATTGGTGAAGTATCATTTGATAAAGCAAGTCATGAGAGATCAACCTTAGACGCCGTGATTCATAATTTAGAAACTTGTAATGTTAATGCCAGAACTTCAATACGAGAATTATCCTTAACTGTTATTCCACCTCAACCATCGTTATCCTTGACCAAGCTGCTGGTTAATAATGGATGGATTATGTTGTTAGAAGGGGAAATTTATAAGTTTTCCATTACTTTAACGAATCATTCCGATGTGTTGATTAATTATTTATCATTTTCATTTTGGGATTCTACTATTGAACCATTAAATAAACGATTAAGCACCAGTGTGGGGAATCAAACTTTACCAGCTGCCGAAATTTATGAAATTGAATATAATTTATTAAAAGTTAAACCATTTAAAATCTTGAATAAAGAAGCTATAAGTGAAGAGTATAAGACGATTGAACCCAGAAAGGAAATCACTATTGATTATGAAGTGATGGGTAAAAGAGGAATGAAAGAACTGAAATTAATTCTTGAATATAGTCATAAACAATTCGATGATGTGAAAAATAGTTTTATCAAACATATTAATGTGCCTTTGAATTTAACGATTTTATCCTCGATTGAGATTTTAGGATGTGATATTATACCATTATTTTCATCATCATTACAAGGATTCAAAGGAGAATATATTAATGATGGTAAAGAAGAGAATTTAAATGAAGTTTTGAAATTCATAACTTCAATCATTGAATCTCCCACTGAAGAAATTGGGGATTATTGTTTATTCATATTAGATATTCGAAATTTTTGGAATGAAAAATTAAAATGTCAATTTAATTATCAAATTAGTAAACAAAAACAATTCTCAATAACAGAAATTATTGAACCTAGTAAGACATCACGATTATTAATTCCTATCAAGAGAATTGGGAATGAAATAGATTTAACTAGATTGATTCCATCATTAAGACATAAACAATTTGTGAAGAATTATTTAATAAGTGAAGCTGATGATTTACAAATGAGAGAATTATTCTGGTTAAGACATTATATATTGGAAAATCTACATGGAACATGGGAGACCATTGAATCGAAGAAACGAATGGGATTAATTGAATTAAGAACGATTCGTTTAACTCCTAAAATGGCTAATGTCTTACAATTCAATAAGATACGAATCTTAACTTCTATTGAAGATGAGTTTGATAATCAACCATGTCATAAGGAAAGTAATCAATATTTATTAAAAGTTGATCAATTCTATTCATTAAAGACAGTTATTATAAATGAAGGGTTAGTTGATATTAAGGGAATTTTAAGACATTTACCTATTTCCATGAATATATTATCCACTACTAACAACATTAATGTGATTAAAGCTCAATTATCGATTGATAAGAAGATTTTAATTAATGGGGTTTTACAATCTACTATTCCAATGGTTAAAGCTGGTGAAACCATTGAACTTGAATTAACATTTTTAATCTTGGAAAGAGGTGAATATGAATGGGGATCAGTGTTGGATATCCTAAATCATAAACAAGGATTACAAATAGTTGGTCGTGAACCAATATACATAACTGCATCATAAAAATTATAGATTTTTGTTTATAATAATCAATTATTTTAATAATATGTACCATATTTAAATCATGTTTTGATTCATAAAAAATGACTCTTCTTCAATGAGTCCCATCTATATACAAGTAAAAGTGTAGTCATTTGTCATAATCATAGCTTTCAAGGTTCTCTTCTTGTACTACTTTCTAATTTGATTGGTAAAGGTTTAGCACCTTCAGCTTCTAATTTTTCAATATATCGTTGTCTAACCAAATCATTAAATCTCTTCTCTTGGAAATATTTAACCCAACTCTTAACACAATTGTTCTCAAATTCAACTTTTAAATCTCCACATTGTTTATCAACTTTTGATAATATTTTAGCATCTAATGAATTATCAATCTTATTTTCAGTTAAACATGCAAAGAATTTATCTCGTGAATCCCAACATACTTGACGTTTGGCTTTATTAGGAGGGACACTAGTGGTTTCCTCTTCTGATTTAGTAAAAAATCCCATCTCAATAGTCTTTTGGTATGAATTGAATACAATTATAAATGTAGTCTAGGGCTTTGGTTAACTCATAATTGATTTCGTTAATTTTTATAAAAATGACTTTTATTGAGAATTTTCGAAATAATTTGGTCATGTGATCTGACCCCCGTGACGAAATCTGTTTTCGCAACTATACAGAGAGATGAAATTTCATCTTGATTGTACGAAAACTACAGGTTATATATATATTAGTAACTATATTAATTAAAATGACTAAGATAATTTACGATTTTTAGACATTCGTTTTTTAGATATTGCAATCATTTTTTCAAGATTTTCTTTATCCCACATCACCCTTTTATCAAATCGTGGGACTGTATCAGGAAAGGTAGAATCATTATTACCACGATAATATCCCTGGTCCAGCATACCAAAATCTATTATTTTTATTTCTCCACTCAATTCTTCAATCATAAAGTTGTTCTCATGAATATCTCCATGGCTAAAGTGGAGCCCATGGAGATTTTTCATAAGTTCCCATAATTTTTCTTCTACCTCCTCATCTATGTCGATACAATCTAAAGTTACCCCTTTTATCTTGGATAACTTTATAAAAAACCCTCCAACAGATAGTTTATCACCTACTTCAATATATTTGTTTAAGTTATTGCTGATAAATCCAACTTGTTTTAGCGTTGCCATAGCGTTAAACTTAGGTGATAAAAATTCATATGCCATAGTCTCCCGAATAAAAAGGTCATACGACCTTTTTATTCTGTCTTTAAAGGGAGTATATTTATTGGTTGATTCGACCCTGCACCTCACAGGATCGAACACTTTGATAATATCACCGTCTTCATCTTCGAATACAACAGAATAATCATGTCCAATAAGCTTACCACTAATTATTGACTTAATTTTTATAGAACTTAAATCGAAGATTTCAAACCCAGATATCAATCTTGAGAAGTTGTCTAATGGAAGCTTCACTCCTACCAAGTTGAAAATATCATTTTCATAAGTATTGAGGCCCAGCAAATATAACTGAATGTCTTCACTCGAAATATCATGGACCATACTCGGAGCTGAAGAAGCTCCCTGATCAGTTGAACTATCAGCGCTTGAGGTACTATTCTTATCTGAAGCAAAATTGTTGAATACATTGGTATTACTTCTTGTCAAGGTCATGAACTCTGAAGATCTGAAACTTTCGTTTATGTTAGGTACTTTTATCAATATATCTCTCAAACCATCTAATAAGGTATACTGCTTTCGTATAAGATGACTTTTTTGATCTTCTGAAATGATTAGTGTTTTCTCAAATGCTTTTATAATTTCAGGGGAAGTATTAGTAGCAAATGTTAATGCAAAATTAAGGATAAACAATGGCAACGATAACTTTGAATTTACGCAATCATGGTAATATATTTTGCATTTTATTCCTCGTAAATTTGATACATTGTCAGTATCTAATGCTTGGTGGTCAGAAACAATTCCTATGGCATTTAAACCGTCAGTCATCACAAAACAATTGCTTCTCAATGTGAATGACTGATGAAACGCCTGAGAGTAATATTGCACAAAGGATTTTGATCCCAGGATACTCTTATCTCTGGATTTCACAAAATCAATGAATTTTTTCATCATTTTATCTCTCTTAATTTCTATAGGGATAGTGATTTTCTGGTTGTTATTGTTGTTGAATGACATAATAATGTCTGGTGTTGACTGTGTACTGATGTTTAGCACCTCCAATGTATTCGTCTCTTTCACAAATTTGATATCCTTAAAATTAACAAATACAAGTTTAGCAATTTGTAAGACGCATCTTAACTCGAATTCAACTTCCGATTGTAATTTGTCTTTATTTGATATGAATGGATATGTGAAATCGACAATTGATGGAATTTTATTTGGTTGAACATCAAAAATGGATTGATCAATTGAATTATGTACATCTTCCGTATTTGCCATAGGGTAAAAAAAACCATAATCCCTGAAGAATATATTTTTTTTTTCATTATAGAAGAATTTTCTGCTATTAAATCCGATATTTGTATTAGTGGTTTCTGACAATAATGTTGAATTGACATCAATCTTTAAGGTGGCAGACACATTACAACTCATATTCCACGGGAGTTGACATAACTTAAAAACCACGGTGTACCTCTTAAAAAACTCGACAGGTTCAACATCTATTTCTTCAAAGGAGAGTTTAAAGTTCTTATGAGCTATTAAAGCAGAAACAGTAACATAATTATTAACTGTCAGTGGGTCGTCATAATCAATGTCTCTTGAGATTATATGCAGATTTAATAATCGAAACAACATTATAAGTGAAGCTTTGTTGCTAGGTAAAGCTCGCATACTTAAATTCCTTTCAATTCCTAAATTCAGAATAACCATCGCGACTTCATCTTCTGGTAGCTCTTCAATAACCTTCAACCCTTTGTCGTATCGTCTTTTTATCTCTGGATCATCAAAAACAGTAAATAAATTAATTTTGTTTTGTTCATTTCGCTTATAAAAAGCAATGAATTCACTGCAGTCAAATAACTCAGTAAGGGAACCCATGATATACTTCGATATAAGTAGTAGTTTATACCTTCAATAACAATAATAATAAATAATATTTTATGAAAAGAGTAAAATGTAGACAAGATATGCGCGATAATAAGGTTGTTTTGGTGCATATAGTTGTTATGCTTAATGATGCGGCTCAGGGCCCATAATTAAAAAAATATATAAATACAACCATAAGGCTTTTTTTAAAAAAATTCATTGAACTTTGAACAAGTCTAGAGGAAAAGGGGGTCAATTCAGAATGTCTGTTTCGTCATCATCTAGTATTTATCGATTACAACCGGTTCATGACCATCATCATCATCATAATGATCAAGCAGTAGGAGATGATGAAGGAGATGATGAGCATCCTATAGCTTATGAAATTGAAGATCAATCAAATTTAGATCGTACATTTTTTAAAATTAGATATAGATCAAATTCAGCAGTTAGTAATACTTCATCAAATGAATTATCCCATTCTATCACTGCCTTGACTCCATTGTCGATCAATAATGCATCTCCAAATGTTTCCACTGCCATTACTACTCCTGCAGTATTACCTATTATAAAAGTATTGGGAACAGGAGGAACCATCGCTTCGAAAGGACAATCATCTCATCAAACTGCCGGTTATGAAGTCGATCTTACCATTGAACAATTAGTACAGAGTATTCCTGATATATCGAGCACATGTTTATTAGAATATGAACAAATTTTCAACATTGATTCGAAAGAATTCGATACCAGTCATTTATTACAATTATATACCAAGATAGTGGAAGATTTATCTCATTATGATGGAATAGTAATCACTCATGGAACAGATACGATGGAAGAAACGGCATTTTTCCTTCAATCCACCATCAATACATTCAAACCGATTGTGATTTGTGGATCCATGAGACCATCGACAGCTATTTCATCTGATGGTCCAATGAATTTATATCAAGCCATCGTCATTGCCTCCAATCGTGAATCAAGAGGTAGAGGAGTCTTAATTGCTTTGAATGATAGAATTGGATCAGGGTATTATATCACTAAATCAAATGCCAATTCCTTAGATACGTTCAAATCGATAGGTCAAGGATATGTGGGTAATTTCGTCAATAATGAAATCCATTATTATTATCCACTGGCTAAACCATTAGGATTAACATATTTCAACTTGACCGATGATAATAATGAAGATGCCACTACAATCATCTTACCTCAAGTTCATATCATCTACGCTCATCAAGGATTAGACAATCAATTATTGAAATTAACGATTGAACAATTACATTCTCAAGGATTGGTCATCGCTACCATGGGAGCAGGATCATTATCAGATGAGACTAATCAATATTTATATGATTTGATTGGGAATACGACTTTCCCCGTGGTGTATGCTAAGAGATCAATGGATGGGATGGTTCCAATTGGATCGATTCCAAAAGTCTTAAGTGAAGATGAAAAGAGAATTAATTTTAATAATGCTATTGCGGGGGGATATCTTAATCCTCAAAAGGCGAGAATTTTATTACAATTGTGTTTAAATCAAGGCTTAGACTTAAATGAGATTAAAAAGGTGTTTAAAGGTGTGTAATAATGATATTTAATAATAATAATTAGATTGTATATATGTAAAATTATATATAGAGAAAGAGAAAAAGATACATAAATCAATAAACAACAATGCCAGAGAGGAAGTAGAAAGTGAAGGAAGGAAGGAAGAAACAATAATAGACTATATAAAAAGGATGGATGATTGATCTAAGAGGATCCATAAGCAGCAGCAACTTTATCTTGACAAGAAGCTAAAATTTTCTTTCTTTGTAATTTTTGAGCTGAAGTAACTAACCCATTTTGAGGAGTCCATTCTTCATCTAAAAGAACAATATTTTGAATTAATTCAATACCTCTTAAACCTTGAGCTTTACCAGTTTGTAATAAATATTTATGAATGGAATTAATTACTTTTTTATCATCCACAAGATGACTCAATTCTAATTTTTCAATTTGTTCTTTGGAGAAGACTTTATCATCAACCAAATGCAGTTTCAAATGAACTTCATTAGGTAAGATTATAGCAATTGGTTTAACTTTAGTAGTATCAGCATAAACACAAAGATTTAACACGGTTGGATTTGATCTATAAATCGATTCTAATTTTTCCAAAGCAATATATTCCCCATTTAAAGTTTTAACTAAATTCTTTTTACGATCAATAATTCTTAAACCACCATTGGCAGTCCATTCTCCAATATCACCAGTTTTAAACCATCCATCTTCAGTAAAAGCATCTAAAGTTTCCTTTTCATTCTTATAATATTCATTCATAAGTGGTTTACCCTTTAAAAGGATTTCCCCTTGATTATTTTTAGCAAAATATCCAGCATCAGGAACATCAATTAATTTACATGTCATTGAACCTAAAATCGTACCTAAACAATCATATTCAAAATGAGTATGATCAACAATGGTAGTATTGGCACAAGTTTCAGTTAATCCATAACCTAATAACATTGGAGCAATTAAAGTTGAAATGAAAACTTGAGCATCTTTTGAAATTGGTGAACCACCATTTAAAATCCATCTTAATTCACCACCAGTAGCAGCTTTAACTTTTTTAAAGATAATATCAAAGAATGAAGCACCAGGAATATTAAAAGCAGTGAAAGTTGATTTAGCTTTGAATGCACCCCAAAAGATACGTTGAGTTAAATAAGGTAATTGTTTAACTTTAGCTAAAACTCCTTTTCTAACTGATTCCCAAACGGCAGCTACACCCACCATAATAGTAGGTTTAAATTCCATTAAATCAGATTGACAATTTTTACACAGAACATCAGTTAAAGTTTTAACATTGGCATAACCTAAACATGAACCCCACCAGAAATTAGTCATTTCAAAAGCTAATTCGAAAATATGAGCTAATGGTAAAAATGCAATGACACGATCATTATTATTAACCAATTCACGAGTTGCAACAGTAGAAATACCACCCACGGCAGCTACTAAATTACCTTGATTTAAAACCACCCCTTTTGGATCTCCAGTTGAACCAGAAGTATACATTATACAAGCTAAATCATCTGGTTGAGGATAATTTAAACCTAAAGTTGAAGATTTACCTAATTCAATAACTTCATCATAACTTATAAATTTTATATCTGGTCTTATAGCCAAGATTTTTTGTTTAGCATTTTCAGAATCTTGATAAATTTTACCCAGAGATCTTTTATCATTTGGATCGATTGGTTCAGAATGAATAATATATTTAACATGAGTTGCTTTTTGTAAAGGTTTAATTAAAGTTGGGAATAAAGAATTTTCAGTATAAATGGCATCAGATTCAGTTTGAACTAAAGAATGAGTTAAACCTGATTCACCTAAAGTATCATAAGCTGTTACAATAGGGATATTTTGATAAGTTGATGCTAAAAAAGTTTGCATCCATTTATGAGAAGTACCTGAATAAACAAATACTTTTGATTGTTGATTTGGTTTTATACCTAATTCAATTAAACCTTTAGAATAATCTTTAACAAGAGTTAAAAGATCAGGATAAGTGATATAATTATAAGGACTTAATTCATAATAGATCCATTCTTTATCAATTTGTTGAGGTTCACCATCGATAATTTTGGTAACTTTTTTAATTTCATGATGAGTATCGATTAAAGTTCTCCATCCCATGGCGTTTCTTTTACCATTTCTAGCCACACATTCTTCAAAGAAATCTGCCATGGTGATTGCTTTTGAATCATCAGGTCTTACAACGGGAGCATTTTTATAAGCTGATTTTCTTCTAGGGGCAGTTTCACCCGGTAAAGCTTCACCAACAGGTAAAGTTAAAGGAGCCATCTTGGATAGTTGTATTTGTTGTAGTAGTTAGATGGGATTAATCAAAGATGAATTGATTGATTGATTGATTGATTAGACAGAAGGAAAGATGTTGTAAATAAAGTAAATTTAAAAATGGATGATGTTGTAAAACTGTTGCTGTTGAGGAGGCAGCACAAACAAGAAGGGAAATTATAAAAATTTATTTTATTTTGTGTGCGCTAAAATTAAATTTGCCGTTCAGAAATAATTTATTTGTCACCACCACCACTTTATGGAACTAGTTAGTTAGTTAATGGGAGTTGTTTATATAGTATACTATCCTTTAAGTCAATTGATTAAAGGAGTAAGTTGATAATGGGTGATCTGATGATAGTTTGTTGGGTTGGGTTGGGTTGGATTAAATTGATGAAAATTATGCTTAATTGATGATCTTATTTAAGTACTTTTACTGTTGTTATGACCTCTAGACTTCTTGTTCTTCTTCTTCTGATGATGATGATTTCTGTTTTGGGGTAATTCTTTTTTTTTTATTTATTTTATTTTATTTTATTTTTTTTGATTATTTAATATTTTTTGGTCTCTATCACTAAATTACGTATGTCTGTATAATGACGTGTAGTAATGAATGAAATGATTTACTATTCTTCTTCAAAGTTATTTAACCAATTGATCTTATTAAACAAGAAGAATAAGTTAAACAAGAGTAAATCAATTTAAGATTCTACAGTGGTGGAGTAATTAAATTCTATTTATACTATTACGTTCTACTTATCAATCAATAAAATAAAACAATAACAATTAATTAATTTCGTAACTTAACTTAATTAAGTTAACCCTTTTTTCTCATTCTCCGTAAAACTGAATCGTCAAATGTTTTATTTTATTTTTACCCCATTTCATCCTGACACTTTTTAACTATCTATCAGTAACTGTGTTACTGATAATTACTGATAGTTATTACTTACGTTAATTGGATTATTCCTAATTAGGCAATTGTCCTTTAGACTTTTTAATCACGTGTCGGTTTTTTTTTTGCAATAAATAAATTGTTGGGTCTAAAAATTGTTGGGTCTAAATAGTTAAGCAATTTTTTTATGCGAAGAAATATTTAATCATTTATTTTACGGTGACAGTAAATTACAGTACAGTATACTTTGATGATGATGATGATGATGATGTCAACTTATTTAACTGAATGATCTCCCCCTAACCTTTAACTACTAAATACTATTAATAAATGTATACCCTAACTAATCCCTACCTCCCTTACATCCTCGCTTCCTCCATTCCTCTATCCCACTCCTCGGATTAGCCTTTAATTTGACACATTCACTATCCACACACCCTCCTCCTCATATCCGTCACCTAAATATTATTTTTATAGTATAATTCATCTTATTATTTATGCTGCTGCCCCCATATCCATTATCTTATATAACTTCTCCATTATTTTTTAAACCAATAATAATTAACTATTAAGGATTAAGGGGATCCTCAATAGTTAAAATTTTATTTTTGAAGGGCATAATTCGAATCGAGCGAATTGCCTATTTGGGAAGCCAGGGCGAGCAACAAAAGATCCTTTTCGGCTGTCAGGACTTATTTGTTTTATTTGACTTGGTACGCGCACGACTCGGTGATTAAAGTTATCAATTTTAAAAAAATTTGCAGCACCGAGGTGTACAAATTAGCTCATTTTAAAACTTTGTAATTCAATCATTCTACATGTCGATCCATCATTCAATTATAAACAGATATTAAATTATTATTATTATATTATATAGCAACAAGAAGAAGGGTACAACAATTAATTATCTAAACTAATAATCTTTCTTCAAATCTTAATTCATTATTCACAGGTAATCCAACCAATAATCTTAACAAGTTTTCTAAAGCTTGTCTTTGTTTATTTAATCCATTGATAGCTTGATATCCTGGTTTGGATAATGGAGCTTTCAACCAATAACTTAATAAAGTTAAAACAGCATAGAAATCTTGATATTTTTCATCACTTTCTTCAATTTTCTTATATTGAATTCTTTGTAAAAATTCAGTAACAATTACTAAATCAATAATTAATGGAGTAGCTAATAATGAATCTTCACAAACATTATGAATACTGATTTTATTATGACCACCTAACATTAATTCAGAATAATATTCATCCATAGCAACTTTAGAATCTCCAACGGCTGGAACATATTTAATAACAATACAATGATCAACAGTAGTACCATTTTCTTTATTATATAAAATTTGATTGGATTCAATCATATCATCAACCACAGATTGTTTAGAAATTTCCTTTGAACGGAATTGTTTTGGGGCACTTAAATTATAACCATCATTATTACCTAAATGATTATAAGAAGCAATTGAAATTGGTCTAATACCAGCATCAACTAAAAATTGAGCTAAAACAGATTTAATCTTAGTTTGACCACTCTTGAAATCATCACCACCAATAAAAGAATTATATTTTTCAGCTAATTCAATTACACCTGGAACAAAAGTATTTTGAGGAGAACCATTAATATATGGAACATTTTCTAAAATTGAAGCCACAGCGAAAATAGTAGATGGAGCAATTTCTTCATGATTTTCTTTAATCGATTTCAACAAATTTTCACTATTATCATTAACATTAGCTAAAACATCAGCATATCTTTCAGTATTAGCACTCCATAATACAATAACTTTATCTAAATCATTAGCAGATTTGAAATCTCTAATATCTTTTCTGATTCTTTCAACATCAGCCCATTTATCATTAGTAACAACATTACCTTCTTTATCAACATTAAAGATATTATCAGCTCTTTCCTTTTGATTTAAAGCAATGAAATCTGGATAATAAACTGATTTTAATGGTTTATATTCTGATAAATATGGTTTTAATTGACGTTGTAAATCATAATCTAAAACTTTGGCTCTTTCCATAGCTTCATCTAAACTTGATGAATTAATATCCCAACCACTAACAACTAAATCATTTGGATTAACTAATGGAACAATATTATTAAATGGAGCATAAATATCTTTACCAGTATCCTTATCAATACCAATTTTAATAGTTGAAGATTGAGTAACTGAACCATAATAATTTGGTTTGACAACACCTTCTTTATTTTGGAAACTAATATTATGTTTATTGGCAGTAACGGCAGAAACTAAAGTAGAACCATTATTACCACCTAAACCAACTAATAATAACCCAGTTTTTGGAACTTTTAAATCTAATTTAAATTCATAATCAACATTGGTTGGAGTAACGGTATATTTACCATTAGCATCAGTTTCAACAATGGAATTTTCATAAGTGAATTTAGTATATAAATTATCTCCATCACTTCTGATTTTATCAGAATTGAATTGAATTGGAGAGAATTTAGTTTCAAGTTTTTCTTCTTGTTTAATTGGTGACATTATAGATGAAGTCGATAGTTAATAGATAAATATGAAAGAAGAAAACGGTTTACATACAAAGTACTGATAATCGTCGCCTTATATAGTTTTTTTTTTCCAAAAACGGTGACGACAAAGAATGATGAAAAAAATCCCTCATATTCCCCTATTTTAAAAATGTGTTAGTTTTATTATCCCTATACAGTAAAAAAGGGGGGAACCGCCGAAACTTCGGCGAAATTTGATTGGCCTGGGCAAAGAACTCGGTCGTGCGCTCTGTTCAATAATAATTATTTTTATTTTGGTTATTCTTTCACCTTCTATTTATGGATGGTTGAGTTCCATGTGATTATTTTTGGATTTCGGCGTATTGTGCATTATACATCGTTATTCCAGTTATAACAGACTTATACCAGTTTGTCTAACTCGGTTTTAATTATTACATGTTAAAATCATATGATTTGAATTTACAGTTTTACATTTTATATTTAACGCGTTTAGGACAGGTCTGTTTGATTAGAACAGGTTTTAAATTCAACAGTTTTGTTGGGCATATGGACACGACTTAACCCGCCGAAATTTTATTTATTTATTTATTTATCGTATTGTTGTTTGTTTTTGTTCTTAAGTTGTAACTGGCAACGGATCGGAATCACGGTTGACGTAATCATCATAATTATGATCCATTTACTTCACCCTTTCGTCAATTGTTATACATTCTACATTCAATCGCTTATGATAAGATAGATAGATTAGACTATGCTTATTGGTTTAATCGTACAGTATAATTACAATTATTATCTACATAATTACCTTTGGTTCTATAAATATAAACATTATAACATAATAATCATCGTCATATATGTAGAAGATTCAAAGAGTACAAATCTATTTTCTTAGCTAATTTATTTAGTCAAAGAAACGACTCAATCCTATAGTTAGTAACTTCATCGTAAAAAAAATGTTAATGCTATCATAAGCTTTTTCTTTATCTCCTAAATAATTTAATTGTTTTAAAAAGTAATAAACAAAACCCTGAAAAGGGCTTGACTTAAAATCGATTCTGAAAACTAGAAGAATGAGTTAGTATTCATGAAATGAAAACCATGATTCTAACCTAAATAATTTAATAAAAGTTAAGCTTATTTATTTCGAACTATTTCATCTGGTGTACGGATTACAAAATGCTTCGCCAAAAGTATGAGGGTCTACCCTAAATATTAGTCAGTACACTTTAAGAGATGAAATCATAGATTTTGAACAATTCGTCATCAATCTCTTATCATAAATAAAACAAATAAGTAAAGATGCAAGTAGAATGATTCCATTCACATTTCTTGAATGATTAGTAAACATAATCATGCACGATCATTTCATTCTAATTTCAGTTTCTATTAACAAAATTAATTCAATTTTTAAACATTTTCCTTTAAATTTGATCTTAAATTTGGTTAAACTTCATCTTTTGTTTTTTTATTATCCCTGACATTTCCTATTTTGGCAATATTGCCTATTTGGGAGAAGTAATCATGTATCTATATGCAGATAACGTAGAGCAGTATCAAAGTAATGGAAAAGTAGAACGTTATATTCAATCAGTACAACAATACCTCCGGTGTACTCAATCTATTCGACAATATTAATAATCTTAACCATTTTCAATGTTCATTTTTAATTCGATTAGGTGATCCTTGATAGTTTGATCCTTAACATTGCCTAATGTGGTAAGGTTTCCTATTTGGGAATGATCGTTCATTATCTTATCGCTTTTACAAAATCTAAATTATGATCATAACAATCAAAAGTAATTATCAGAGCGGTTTAAGTAGTTATTCATCGATGAGATTAGGTATATGCTGTTCATCATCCTAACGTAATAGAGTAGTATTTCTACCTCGATTGTAATCTACATAACTTTATAAATCTTTTGATAATTTAAACTAAAATGTATAATTAAAGTCGCTAACACGATGTATATTTGCATTCTTAACACCTCTAGGATTCTTACAATATATCTGTTTGCCTCAAGGGTGTTTCAACTTGGTCTCTGAATTTCAAAATATATTTACCTAAATAAATCAAAAGTTAGTAATAACACAGAAGTACAGATTCATATCTGAGTAATTCCGATATAACCTAAATCATTAGTATATTGAAAGATAGTTCTGTAATATATTCCATATTATCCAAAACTCTCTCTCTCTAAATAAATAGAATTCCAATAAAAGATAAATTAAATTACACTCCGTATTTATACCAGTATGGATATTTGCAAATTTCCAATAAGAAGAATACCAATCATATTTATAAATTAAATTCTTTAAATTTTAAAATTGTTTCATTAATTAAAATTGGGAAGTTTCCTATTTAGGAATTTATACCTCTTTGGGAATATTCGTATATTTTTACTCACAATTTTACCCTGAATCAAATTTATGACCTATAATTACTTCAATGAGAGAAACTATTACAATAGTTTAATCGTAATAGATTAAGTATAAGAGATTCTATCTAAGGTCATGATTGTTTACTACATTTCTTAATGATTATTTAAAATATAAATTAGTATGTACATTAAATTAGTTAAGTGTGAATGTAACAGCACGGCCAAACAAATACAATTTAGGTCTTCTGCAAAAGTCTATAATAAACTCCTAAATCATTAGTAAATTGAAAGATAATTTAATAATATATTACATATTATCTCATTTATCTCTCCCTAAATATAGTTATCTTTTGTAAAGTTAATTTCAAACCGTTCATATACTGAAAAGGGTTTCTAAACTGGTATATTGCAGAAAAAGAACATCAATAAAATTTAAAACATTTAAAAAAAAGTTTAAGATCCTTTAAATTTTCTAAAACATTAAAATTAAAAATGTCTGATGTTTCCAATTAGGAAATTATATCTCTTTGGGAAGATTTGTATATTTTTAGTAGTAGTTACCAACATTTAATCACTATTTAATTATGATGTATAACAACATCAATAAGAAGAACTATTACAACACTTCAATCGAATAGATAAAGTATAAGAGATTCAATCTAAGCTCCGGATAGATTATTTGCTACATTTGTTAAGGATTAGTTATAAACAATATAAATTAAGATGTATATTAGTAAACTTCCAGTGCACGGAACAACTTAAAGAATTATCTTACTATAAATAATAGTTTTTCCTAATTTAGTAAGAAATCATGAAAGAGAATTCATTCATTGTAGCTAAATAAACAACAGATAGTTAGTTTGATATAAAAATAGAGATGTATCAACTAATTAATAAAAGAACTCCTAAATCATTAGTAAATTGGAAAGGTCTCTCTCCCTAAATAAAATTTGTAAATTCAGTAATAGCATGTTTGCGAAATCAAATGCTTGATGGCTTTGAAGAGCACATTAATTACGTCCCGCACATATATCTGTATGGCCTTGCAAAGTGGAAAAATCCTAAAGAAGAGTATCAATCATATTTTGAAATATTTAAAATCAAGCTCCTTTAAACTATTTGTTTCAGATCCTATTTTCTGAGATATCTCAGCACTTTCCTATTTAGGCAAGTTATACCTATTTGGGAAGGGACCACAAGATATTACTCTCACTTTCGCTGGCTTTAATTTATATGCACACTTCCATTTACCAGCGCCAATTCTATCCCAAAAATTCACGTGATTCTTTTTTTCAAAATTTCTTAAGGAGTTGTCATCAAATGTATAATTTTCGTTTCAGTATGATTGGGTTATAATTGAACTATTTCCTAGTTTCTACTGTATTTAATTGCTGCTTCTTTACTGCTTACAATGAATTCATTCTAGACATTACAATAATGAATGATCTATTATCATGTAACAAGGTTAAGTAAAGCTTAAAACAAATTTCCATTATTATGTAGAAAAAGAATACAAACCAGTAATTAAATGTATCATGAACAAAAATTTGAATATTCCATGTAATTGTTCTATTCCAAAATAACAATGATAGCCCCATTTTGAACTATTTTTTAAATTTGGTAAAATAGAAGCAAGAAGGCGGGACCATGCAAGATTATTCAAGATGTTTCAAGTGCATTTTCCCACTTGCTGCTTATTATACATTTACAATTTTGTGAGCTTAAAAATTTGAGTGAGATGCTTAAAGTGGCTGGTTGCAAACAAAAAATTTACAGCAGCAGCCGAAGCAGCAACAGCAACAGAAAAATATATTTTTTTTTGCGGTTTTTGAAAACGAGGATTTACCAAAAAAATACTTCAAACTGAATTAAAGCCTTAAATGGTATGATAGAGCCTTTGATTGTAATAGTTAATGATGGTACCTTCAACATCAAGTCAGTCATGTGTTTCCAACATAACTACAAATATATACCCCTTCCAAACAATATTGTACCACCATGTAATAGAACTCTAAATTAACAATGATGAACAAATGTTAACAAAGTGCCATACTAACCTTAAACTTAAAAATAATGCAACATTTTGACAGGAGAGCCAGCAAACAATTTGAACGGTTATAATTATACATATGTATCATGTATCATATTGCCTATTTAGATCTTACCTTGACTTAATTAGGATGTTGCAAAGACAACTTGGCTGACTTTGTTTCGGACTCGCATGTAACTCTGTAACCGTTTGCTTCTAAACAGAGTTGCAAATGCCAATTCCTAATTATATCCATCCCATTTTTTTCTCTTGAAGTTGTAAGCTGGGTATGTTTTATGTATTTTTTGGATTGATGGGACCATCAATTCACACACAGAGTCTTATTCCCCCATGTCTCTGTGTTCATCTCCCCCTTCCATAAATTACACGATGGATGAAGATCTCCAAAAGTGCCGTTCAGTTTCTATTTATTTAAAAACTATCTTGTTTTCTTATATTTGCTGACTTTTCTTAGGTCTGGCTAAAATTCAATTATAACGGTTTTGGGTCATATTTCATACTTTCATCATCTTCCATATAAGTATTTGAATAAATTTCCCTAATTTAATAATATCATTGATAATTTCTTTCTTTCAATCAAGAAAGATAATTATTCCCATTTTCATCAAACAATCATAACTTTAACGTTGAATAACATCTTCAATCTTCCTTTCAATCCAACTTCAGTCCTTCCTTTATACCCCCTTTTCCTCTCTCTATTAATTATTCAAAATAATAAAACCAAAAAAATGTTATTCAAATCGTTAATTAGTTTAGCCATTGCTTTAAATTCATTGATAATCCCAGTATCAGCCACTTTCAATCCTCAATCAAATTCAAATGTGGCAGTTTATTGGGGACAAAATTCAGGTTTATCACAAGTTGGTTTAGCCAACTATTGTCAAGATGAATCTGTTGATATTGTGGTATTATCATTCATGGACGCCTTTCCAACTACATTAGATATTAATTTTGCTAATGCTTGTGGAGGTGCAACTAATTCTGAAGGATTATTAATTTGTCCTCAAATTGCTAGTGATATTCAAACTTGTCAAAATTTAGGTGTTAAAGTATTACTTTCATTAGGTGGTGCCTCTGGTGCTTATGGTTTTACATCTGATTCTCAAGCTACTGCTTTCGCCAGTACTTTATGGGATTTCTTTGGTAATAGTCAAGTTCAAGCTCCAACCAATAGACCATTTGGAAGTGTGGTGGTTGATGGGTTTGATTTTGATATTGAAAATAATAATCCAACTGGTTATGCTGCTTTAGCAACTGAATTAAGAACTATTTTCGCTACTGATACTTCTAAAGATTATTATCTTTCTGCTGCTCCTCAATGTCCTTATCCTGATGCTTCAGTTGGTGATGCCTTAGCTAATTCTGATTTTGATTTTGCTTTCATTCAATTTTATAATAATTATTGTAATTTAGGAGGATCAGAATTCAATTGGGATACTTGGGTTAATTTTGCTGAAAATGTATCTCCAAATAAAGATATTAAACTTTATGTTGGTTTACCTGCTAGTTCTACTGCTGCTGGTTCAGGATATATTCCATCTAGTGAAGTTTTAGAAAACCTTCTTGCTGCTGATGTATTCTCAAGTCCTTACTTAGGTGGTATCTCATTATGGGATGCTTCTCAAGCTTGGAATAATGTGGTTGATGGTGAAAATTTTGCTGATCAAATGAAAGAAATCTTAGTTGATAATGTTCCAGCTGAAGTTGGAACTACTAGTAGTACTACAACTGTTAGTCCAACTACAACTAGTATTGAAACTACTACTAGTAGTACTTCTACTACTAGTACTACCTCAACTACTTCAACCACACCAACTACTACTAGTACAACTAGTACAACACCAACTACAACCAGTACTACTACTACTTCAACAACTTCAACTACCCCAACCACTACTAGTACCACCAGTACTACTTCAACAACTAGTGCTGATACAACCACCACCAGTACTACCAGTACCGAAGAAGATACCACTAGCTCCTCCAGTACTTTCCCAACTTTAGTTGTTACAACTGAAACCTCTAATACTGCTACAACAGTAACCACATACACACTTCCAGCTACTACAAATTACGAAGAAGCTCCATTTACATCAACCAGTATTGTAACTGCTGCTCCTTCTACTAAATATATAGTAGCAACTGTAAGTGCTAAACCATGGTGGTGGTTTTAAAAATATAAAAGAATGCCGTTGCATTTAATTTTATGATACCTAATTCTCTAATTCTATAAAATAAAAATAAAAACCTTATATAGATGACTTTAATCTCTTTTCCCTTTCTTACTTAATTTAGAAATGTTTGTTTAATTAATGCTTCCAATTGTAATTCCAATTTCAACCCTGTAAGTAATTTCCTCGCCACGGTATTTAGATAAATACTATACAATTGACCACCGATATCCCAATTCTCTAATTTATATACACTGTCTTCATCGATAGATTTATTTGGATTATGCTGTAATGGATCAATCCTCATATGAATGATGGGTATTTGACTCTGATCTAACTGAGCTATACCTTGAGGCGTCAATCTTGTTGGACTTACTAGGAATAGGTAATGGGTGGAAATCAAGGTTTTGGTTGCACTGGGTGATTTAAGTGCTCCACCATTGATGTGATAATAATATATACCAGTTAATTCACGTATCACTTTTGCGGTTATTTTCTTAGATGAGTTTTTACATTGGACAAGAATGTTGATATCATTTTCTAATGAGATTGACAGTTTTGAAGTAGTTGGATCTGAAACTTCTATAGCTTGCTTTAGAAGACTGGTAGTGGGGATTTTACTTGATTTCTCTTTTGCAGATTTAAACACGTCTGATCGTTGGTAAAAATGATTTAAATTCCATTTTCCAAGTATATCAATTCCATTATCATAAGCTCCACCAACTTTCATAAGATTTCGACAATGAAGATAATCTTGAAGGAAATGCAAAAGATATAATTCATAAAATGTTCCTCTGAATACTGGAGTATCTAAATTGACTTGATTAATTTTGCAATAATTCAAATAAGTCTGACAATCTTGGATTAATGAAGGTGATTGATCGGATAATTTCCTAAAATGAATCTTCCATGATGAGTTGAATGAGTTATAAGCATGTCTGCAACTATATTTCAGACATATGGTTCGTGTTATATACATTTCATGATCTATAGTGATGTATCGTCTGAGGTTCTGATTGATATCTGAAAAATCTCACACTTTAAATTTTCCAGTTCGGTGAAATAAAAGGCAAACGAAAAATTAACTACTACAAAATTTCAATTTACTCTTAAAACAACAAGACAGCCACACCACAACTTGAGATCAATCAACGAGATATCATATACATCATCATGAGAGTTGGAACTATAATAACAGCTGTGTTATCATCCTTGGTGATGGTCAGAGGTGATGAATCAAATGATTCATTTCAATCCATACAATTATATGTCAAATCCCTTTCTGATAATCATATCGAACAAATTGGATCAATTGAATTCAATCAAGATAGAAAGAAAGGTCAATTCATTAGTCAATCAGATAAAGATATAATATTAAGTAAGGATGTTGATTATTGTTTTGGTACTAAGGATTTACTTAATCATGATTGTTTTGGATATGTGGTTGGCAATGAAGATTCATTAACGTCCAAGAATTTCCATATTTTCATAAATGCAGAACTTAATATTGATTATATATCCGTTAATCATGAAATAAGTGATAAGACTGATGTAATTGTTCATAATGTGATCAAATCTCCTGTTCCAAATTTAAATGCTGAAGCTACTAAACATCAACCTAAAGGTAATCAAAATGCAGGACCTAAAACAGAAAAAGTGATTCAAACTAAGAAAGTGACGTTTATAGATGAAGATGGTAATGAAGTTGAAAGAGAAGTTGAAGAAGAAGTTGAAGTTGAAGTTGATGAAAGATCATTTATTCAAAAGAATTGGATGTATATTGTTCCTACATTGTTACTTTTCTTAGTGATGAGTGGAGATGAAAAGAAGGAATAGTTTGTTAGTACGTTTGATAATAGATAATTACACATTGTAATCCATTATTTGCTGTAGATTATACTTCAGTTAGTATATACTATATAGTTTATAGTATACGCCATTTACGAATCCTAAAAATCAGTCACGTGAACAAAATGTCACACTTTCCCGATAAATGTCTCTGCTTACTTTATTATATAAAATGTCTCCTTTTCATCACAACGAATCAGAATTTAAATATTGTCATGTACTGCACATAACTGGCAGTATTACCACTTTTAGTAAGGGAAAAATAAATTTTTTATTTAGCGGTGTTTTGCACCATCAAAAAAATCGAAAAATCACCAATCAAGGACAATTCAAAGTTTACAACATTGAACAGATATAAAGTAGTAGTACCCTTATACTAGAGAAGTTGGAGATACCATATACTACTATAATTCATCATCCAATCCTTGTTTTTACCATCCCCCTCCCCCTCCATTAGTTTTTTTTCGCTCCCCTTGTTTTGTTATAGCATCCATCTATAGATATACAACTGTCAACAGATAACAGTTATATTTCATCATAACAAATAGATATACTTCAATTCATTTCTTTTCCTTGCTTCCGCAATTGCATAGACATAATATCATCATCCTCATCATATACAATGCTCAGATCACATATATTAAGAAACTCTAGACGTTTAATATCATCATCTACTAGAAGATTGGCTGAAGTTGAAGTCACCATTGATGGTAAGAAAGTTTCCATTGAAGCTGGTTCTTCTATTATCCAAGCTGCCGATTTAGCTGGTGTTACAATCCCTCGTTATTGTTATCATGAAAAATTGGCTATTGCCGGTAATTGTAGAATGTGTTTAGTTGATGTGGAAAGAATGCCAAAATTAATTGCTTCATGTGCTATGCCTGTTCAAAATGGTATGGTTGTTCATACTGATTCAGAAAGAATTAAAAAAGCCAGAGAAGGTGTTACTGAAATGTTATTAGAAAATCATCCTTTAGATTGTCCAGTTTGTGATCAAGGTGGTGAATGTGATTTACAAGAACAATCTCAAAGATATGGTTCTGATCGTGGTAGATTTAAAGAATTAGTTGGTAAAAGAGCAGTTGAAAATAAAGCTATTGGTCCATTAGTTAAAACTTCAATGAATAGATGTATTCATTGTACAAGATGTGTTAGATTCATGAATGATGTTGCTGGTGCTCCAGAATTTGGTACTTCCGGTAGAGGTAATGATATGCAAATCGGTACTTATATAGAAAGAAATATTAATTCAGAAATGTCAGGTAATATTATTGATTTATGTCCAGTTGGTGCTTTAACTTCAAAACCTTATGCTTTCAGAGCTAGACCATGGGAATTAAAGAGAACTGAAACTATTGATGTTTTAGATGCTGTTGGTTCTAATATTAGAGTTGATGCTAGAGGTATAGAAGTTATGAGAGTTTTACCAAGATTAAATGATGAAGTTAACGAAGAATGGATTTCTGATAAAACCAGATTTGCTTGTGATGGTTTAAAAACTCAAAGATTAACTACTCCATTAATTAGAAATGGTGATAAATTTGAAATTGCCACTTGGGATGAAGCTTTATCAACCATTGCTTCTGCTTATAACAAGATTCAACCAAAAGATAATGAATTTAAAGCTATTGCTGGTGCTTTAACTGATGCGGAATCGTTAGTGTCATTAAAAGATTTAGTTAATAAATTAGGTTCCGAAAATGTTACTACTGATGTAAAACTAGCCACTGAAGCTCATGGTGTTGATGTTAGATCTAATTATATTTTCAATTCAACCATTGATGGTATTGAAGATGCTGATCAAATCTTATTAATCGGTACTAATCCAAGACATGAAGCTGCTGTTTTAAATACTAGAATTAGAAAAGTTTGGTTAAGACAAAACTTGGATATTTATTCCGTTGGTCAAGAATTTGAATCTACTTTCAATTTGAAACATTTAGGTCTTGATGCTAAAGCTTTACAAACTGCTCTTTCTGGTGAAGTTGGTAAGAAATTAGCTGGCGCCGCTAAACCATTAATTATTGTTGGTTCTGGTATTGCTGATTCTGCTGATGCTCAAGCTATTTATAAATTAGTTGGTGAATTCGCTGCTAAGAATGCTAATTTCAATGCTGAAGAATGGAATGGAGTTAATTTATTACATAGAGAAGCTTCCAGAGTTGCTGCTTTAGATATTGGTTTCCAAACCTTATCATCTGAAGTTGCTAATACCAAAGCTAAATTCATTTATTTATTAGGAGCTGATGAAATTCATAATAAAGATATTCCAAAAGATGCATTTGTTGTTTATCAAGGTCATCATGGTGATTTAGGTGCTTCATTTGCTGATGTTATATTACCAGGTTCAGCATATACTGAAAAATCAGGTACTTATGTTAATACTGAAGGTAGAACTCAAGTAACTCGTGCTGCTACCAATGCACCAGGTTCAGCTCGTGAAGATTGGAAAATCATTAGAGCTTTATCAGAATATTTAAATACCACTTTACCATATGATGATATTGTTGCTGTCAGACAAAGATTAGGAGAAATTGCTCCTCATTTCGTAAGACATGAAGTTATAGAAACTGTTTCAAGTGATATAGTTAAAGTTGGATTATCAGGATTATCAGCCTTTAATAAATCAAGTAAGATTTCGGGAACTCCATTAAAGAATCCAATTGATAACTTTTATTTCACTGATGTTATTTCAAGATCTTCTCCAACCATGGCTAAATGTATAGGATCATTTGGGGCTAAAATAGATAAAATAACTGACGCTAAACCACAAATAGATTTTTAGATAGCCCTAAACTAAACAGACTAAACTAGAAAAAGTCACAAAAATATAACCCAATTTGCATACAATATCATTGTCATCATCATCATCATCATTATTATCATTTATCATGTTTTTTTATATTTGTTTCCTTATATTTTATGATAATTTGTCATATGAAATATAAGTGAAACAGTCATATATATTCTCCATTTTCATTCTTATTCTTCTTATTCTTCTTTTAATTTTACATAGTTATATACAATCAAATAAAAGTATAAAAAAAGTTATAATCAAATATCAGCTGTAGTTATCTATCTATCTATCTATTCCAACGTCTCTTCTCCCCGCGGATTGACAAAATTTCGGTAATTTCCATCATCACTTTATATACAGGAAAATGACAGAGAAGATGATAATTTTGCGACTTAAAATTAATTATATAAACACAGTTAATATATGCAAAATAGTTCGATAAGTAGTTTAATTTAATAAATGTATTGTCTATTTATCTATTTACAGAAGGGAAATGTGATAGAGAAGTATGAGTCAACTTATAAACCATTGTATCGATGTTTTCATTATCAAATTGAATTCTTTTCTTGAGTCTACTAATGTGTCTTCCTTTCTTACGATTACCGGCATTACCTCGTAGGTAGGCTTGATACAGACGACCAAAATCCAATATCCTCATTGATTTGGTGTCTGTATCATAAAGAAAGTTTGAAGAATGAATGTCTCCATGACTCACACCGAGTAAATGAAGACAATCAATAACAGTTTTCAATTGCAGTTCAATTTCCGAACTCCAGGTTAACTTTTCTAGTACCAAACCTTTACAGTATTCCATTTTTATGAAAAATCCAGACATTGAATTTATAGTCTTAATATCCAAATGGGTCACCAGATTTTTGTTTGTCATGAACCCAATTGAGTAACATCTTGGTTTATATTCAAAATCTTCGTTCAAATATAGATGCATAAGACTTTCCCGGATAAAGCATTTAAAACAATACTTTAACCGATCTTCAAATGAAACTATGTTACTGGTTGCATCCACCTGACAAAGGATTGGATCAAAAATCTTGTATATTTTATCATCTCCATCCTTAATAACAATCGAAAAGTTCTTTTGCGGTGACCCACCACTGATTATGGTATAATCTTGAATTGATGTAATATCGATTGACTCATACTGCATTGTGTTAATAATGATATAGAAATTCTTAAGTGAAATTCGAATACCTAATTCTGAAAGAATTCTCTCCTCTGCATCATGAATAGCTTTCAAATTATCAACTGAAGAACTGTCAAACTTAGTATCCACTTGCATATCTTCGTGTTCATTACTAATTTCATCCCTGGGGCTTTCAACGCTATAATCTTGAATTAAATCACTTATAGTTACCATTTCTGTATCACTGTAACTCACAACATCATCATCAGTATCATCGTCACTATCAATGTTCGAATCATTGTCCAGAGTGTTATCAGATTGTATACTTCTTGGCAGAGTCAACAAATCCCGTCTACTGATTATTATATCAACACCTTGTGGTACATTTGAAAGCAATTCACGGAACAGATTTAAGATTTTATATCTATCTATCCACATTTGTAATTTTTGAGTATCTGCTATCTTCAACGACTTAAAATAATTGTCTATCATTTGTTTTTCGACTTTTTTTGAATATTTCAAAACAACCATAGCAATGAAAATGGGCATTGAAATCTTCTCCAGCTTGGAATCAAATGGTATTATTTTACATGGTATACCATGAAGGTTGGAAATATCATAGGAGGGTAATGGGTAATCATCAACAATAAATCCGAGACAAAACTCGCCGTCTGATATGAAAAATGTATTCGTATAACAAAGGAGTGATTGGTTAAACGCTTGCAGAAACAATTCTACAAATTGACTGCTTCCTTTATTGTTTTTCCTTCTAGAAAAGTCAAAAGAATCATACATTTGCTTAACCTTTTCTTTTTTAACTTCTAACGGAATTTCAACTTCATTATTTATGGAAATTATAATATCTGGTACTGCTCTGTCAACAATTCCTAGCTCTTCTGAAGTAAATTTCTTAGTTTCTTGATGATCAAATTTGAGATTGTGGCTAGCAAACAATGTCCCAGCCAAGTCTAACAACGACATTAATTCCATTTCGATATGTACCTCCTTTGTCTTTTTAATATATATTTTTGGTATACCTGAAGTAAATATATAAGGAGCCGAGCCAGGTGTAATATTTAAAAGATCCAAGTTAGCTTCTATAAAGCTGGAAATTTCTGAATCGGATTGAGGATAAAAGAATCCGTATGTTCTGAAGAATGAGTTATTTCCTGAATATCTTTGAAAAGTGTCATTAAAGTCTATTCTTCTACTGGATCGAGGATCAGATTCAATGGAAGAGTTCGTAGACATATGGCTTGATTTGCTTTTTCTAACTCGAATAATGATTCCCCATGGAATAGTAAGAGTTTTCATGTGTAAAGTGTAACGTTTAAAGTTAAGTGCTTTTTGCCTAAGAATATCATCCCTAAATTCATACCTCAAATCTTTCTCCATAATACTGTTATAAAAGTCTTCACCGAGTTTCATAACCATAACATCCTCCTTATTAAGATCTTGGTAAACAAAATGCAGGTTGCAAGCTTTGTAAATGAATATAAGTATTTGTTTGAAGTTGTCAATAAATTGTTTCTCCCAAGGGATTATAATCTTCTTAATGTCATTTAGAATTGGTGTATTTTCGTTAATATCAATATCCTTTAGAATATTTTCTAACTTTGATAAACCTTCAAAATAAACTTTGGAAATTTCACGATCATTTAAAACATCAAACAAATTGATATCTTTATCACGATTCCTTTTATAAAATACAATAAATCGACGGCAGCTAAGCAAATAAAGGATGGCAGTCATTAGCAAAAATAGAATTGATTATTCTTGATAGTATATTGTGATAGAACTGAGATGTTGGAAAACAATTCTCTTTATTCAAAAAAGCCATTTATAAATAATTCACAGGAATATTTTTTCGCAACTTATTCCGTATCTCTAAATTAGGAAACTTGAAACATAAATGGGCATAACAAGAACTGTCGTTATAGTTACTATTTCATGTGTGAGTTTTAGAAATTAACTGCCATTAAATACACCATATAGACTACATCGAATTATTCTTATTCAATTAGTTCTGATTTGTGATGTTTAATTGATTGTACAATTCTTAATTGTTTTGTCGCAAATAAAAATTGGAAGAAATTATAAATGGTAGCACTGAAAATATATAAAGAGAGCCAAATACGGAATAAAGACTCTATTTTTTATAGTTATAAGGTAATAATTCATAGATACGATTTAATTTTAAAATGAAAATACTGATAATTTCTTGATTATTTAAGGGTTTTTTATTGTTACTCGAAGCACCAAATAATCAATGGAATTTTGAAAGCTTTTACAGACCACAACCAGTTGATGAAAAAGATAAAGCAAAACAAACCTTTGAACCAGAAAAGAAACCCCAGGATAATTTAGCAAATACAAAAGATTCACCTGGACAACAGCATGTAATAAATGCTGATGGTCTCACTATGGAAGAATTATCTCAGATATTAGCGGAATATTTGAAGGTAGGCGGTGTTATAAATCCCGATATACCAATTGATATAAATGAAATTGTTAAAGATTTTCATGATAAAGGCAAGCAAACTCAGCAAGACGTGGAGATAAAAGAGGAATCTGTCGATGAGTCTATGGAGCAACAAATCGACAAAGTAGGAGATATAATAGAGGAAAATGGTGAATTAGATTTGTCTGATGTCCAGTTCGAAGACTCTAGCGATCCACTGACCGAAGACGACTCTAACTCAGAGAAGCCTCAAGTTGATTCAGATACAGATATATATAATAATAATCCCAAACAACAAGTTTTGCAACATGATGAGTTATAAGTTGAAACATTAATCCACATCAGGTTTCAAATAAGTCAAATTTTATTAAGTCTGTTGCTAGCTGAGAAGGATTTAAGGTTGATATAATAATAGTTAATCAGTTGATGGGACCATTATTATACATTCTAAAATAGCTAGTTACGAATTTAATAAATCTATTATATATTTATTTATCTAAGAGAAGGAAAATATGATCGAGGACCATGAGTCAATTTAAGTATCATTGACTCAGTATTTTGCTGATCAAATTCAATTCTTTTCTCGAGTTCACTAATGGATGTTCCTTTCTTTTCATATCCAGCATTACCTCTGAGGTAAGCTTGATACAGGCGACCAAAATCCAATATCATCATTGAATTGGTGCCTGTATCATAAAGGAAATTTGAAGAATGCACATCTCCATGACTAACACCGAGGCCGTGGAGAGTGTCTATAACATTCCACAATTCTTTTTTAACACTATCATTGAAGTTGATACGCAGAAGTATCTGTCCTTCTGAAAGGCTCATTTTGATAAAAAATCCTGACATTGAATTAACACTTTCAGTATCCGAACAGGTCTCTCTCTCTTTGTTAATCAAAAATCCAATTGAGTAGCATCTGGGTTTATACATAAATGAATCGTTTAGATAGACATGAGTTAAAGCATCCCTGACGAATGCTTTAAATGTGAATGCCATTTGATCTTGAAACGAAACACTGCTGCCAGATGAATCAATTTGACAAAGAACTGGATCAAAAATCTTGTAGATTTTATCATCTCCAGTCTTAATAACAATAGAATAGTTCTTCTGTGGAGACTCACCACTAATTATTGTATAGCTGCCAATGGAACTTATGTCCAATGTTTCCATATCCATATTATTTTTAAGTATGTAAAAAGATTTGAGCGATACGTTAATGTTTAACTTTTTCAATACTTCTTTTTCAACTTTTTTAATATCTTTTAGTTCCAGATCTTGAAATCTAACAGAATAATTATCATTCATTTCGTCGTCATTAATTTCATCTTCCATATCACCTTCGATATCTTCAAGTTCATTATCAATCTCTTCTTCTCCGCCTTGAATATACTCACTTATGGTATGAATATCTATTTCATCATCAACACTAGAGTCTGTTGCACTAGAAACCTGATCTGTTGCACTTGAAACTTGACTGTGATCACGCTGATCACTTATTGCCAGAGTCCGTAAGTTACCACGGCGGATATCCACGGTAATACTTTCCGGTACCTTTAAGATCAAGTCATTGAATGAATATAACATGTCGTATCTATCCTTCCATAATTGTGATTTTTGATCTTCGGTAAAATTCAACGATTCAACAAAATTAAGGACCTTTGATTCCTCAACTATTTTTGAGTACTTTAAAATAACCATTATAATAAATACGGGCACTGAAACTCTCTCCAGTTCGGAATCAAAAACTATAATTTGACATGGAGTTTTGTATAATTTTGAAACATTATATGATATAAAATCATAATCTTCAAAAATTATAGCTATAGCAAAATTACCATCAGTAATAAAGGATATATTTGAACAACACAGAAGAGATTGTAAAAGAGATTGCAGGAAAACGTTAATGAATTCCCTGGATCCCAAATTGGTTTTAGACTTGGAAATCTCAAAAGCTTGGAATATCTCTTTAATTTGATTTCTTTTCACTTCAATTGGAACCACTAAATTTTTCATATAAATTAAAATATCTGGTCTAGATTTATATTTCGTCCCCTTTAAATGTTGAGTTTTCTGATTATCATAGCTAATGTTATTAGATTTAAATAGTTGTATTGAGTTAGTCAAAAGTAGAGATATTTGTTTCTCTACTTTATCCTCCGTTTTTTCAGAAGCAACTATTGTCAGAACATCAGAAATCTTAATTGAACCAACATCATCTGGTACAATGTTTAGTAAATCCAAGTTTTCTTTGACAAAGCTAGAGTATGGTTGGGAATCTAACTGAGGAAAAAAATATCCATTTTCATCAAAAAATGTGTTTTTTACATTATAACCTTCAGCTGTATTATTAAAATCTAGTCTCTCACTCATACTTGAGTTTGTTAATGAAATTGGACTGAATGGAGAATTAGTTTTCGTCTCAATGCTTTTAATTTCCCACTTCACAGTAAGATATTTCATAGACAACGTATACTTTTTAAAGTTTTTTAAGTTCACCCTTTCATTATAATCTTCAATCGTTTGAAAAACTCCTATGATTTCTTCATATAAATCACTAACATATGTAACAATGGTAACATCATCAGAAGTAAAATCCAGGAAAAAGAAATGCAGATTACACGCCTTATATAGGGTTATAAGTATTTGCCTGGCGGGGTATTGGAGAGGCATGAACCGATTTAAGAGAAACTTAACTTCTTTTGAAAATTCTGAATTATCGTTAATGTTGAACTCTTTTAAAATATACTCTAATTTTGATAACCCTTCAAAATAACTTTGTGATACAGCTGCGTCGCTTGAAACTTTGAACAAATTTATCTTCTTATCATGATTCTTTTTAAAGAATTCTATGAACTTATCACAATTGATAAGTTCAAAGAAGGAAGACATTAAAGTGAATGTGAAATAATATGTTGGCAATGGTATGTCTCTGATGAATTCTTCCTATGTTGATAGACTGTAACTCTCCTTATTCTTTTGGTTTTGGTTTTGGTTTAGCATGAAATATATTTTTTTTTCACTACATTAGGAAACTTTAAACATAACAATAAAAGGGCTGCAATCATAGGTTTAATACTAAGTTATCCATATAATTGTCAAACTGACCACACATTCTAATTATTGACTTATTGTCTTTTGATTCTTTTAGACTTTCCCTCTTGTTATTTAATAATTTGTACAATTTTTAAATATTTTGCCGCAAATAAAAATTAGGAAAATATAATATAAATGGTAGCACTGCAAACATAACTACAAAAATTAAAAATAGAGCTTACAGTCAATAAAAAGATCTATATTTTTAAATTTATTAAGTGATATTTCATACATATGATTTAATATTACGAATTATGACCAATATGTATGAAAATACTGATAATGTCTTGATTATTTAAGGGCCTTTTATTATATTGTGTAGATAAGTTAGTACTGATATTTACTTTTGGTACGTGTAAACATGAGCATATAATGGAGTCGAATTTACATTGAAAAAAAATGAGCTGTTTGGTGTATAGTTAACCAACTCTGTTGATGCTCAAGCTACTTATAAATTAGTTGGTGAATTCGCTGCTAAGAATGCTAATTATCTATCTCTGTGTATATCTATCTATTCCATCGTCTCTCCTCCCCGCGGATTGACAAAATTTCGGTAATTTCCATCATCATTCTATATACAGGAAAATGACAGAGAAGATGATAATTTTGCGACTTAAAATTAATTAGAGATATAAACACAGTTAATTAATTAGCTAATTTAAATTAGATTAGACTAGATCCTTAATTAGAGATATTCAATTGTTTGATAGTGTATTTACATAGTATAGAGTCAATTCAGAAGTTTATACAATGAAATAGAAGTATAGTGAAGAGAGGTTAAAGTATCATATTGTCTATTCAATTGCAATTACGAGTCATATTATCCTAGAGGGAAAACACACATCGTCCTTCACTTCATTTGTTATCATACAAGCTAGTGTATATCAATGCTGCTGCTGGTAAAGCAAGAGGAAGAAAATACTGATTTCGCTCTGAAATGGAGACAGAATAGAGCGTGTGCAAGATGCAGACGATTGAAAATGAAATGTTCATATGATGATCCTCTGCATGCATCTTGTAAACGATGTTTTACTATTGGAGTGGAATGCTCTTTTGATAATGATCCAACAGCAAAGTTTGCTAAGAAGAAAAGAAGAAAAGTAATGGATGAAAGTTCAACCATCTTAAATTCATTGATTCAAGAATCTCAAACATCATTAAATAAATTACCGTTTGATTTATCTGATTTTCCAGAAGATGGTTTACAAACATTATTAAATAACTATAAAGCCATCATTTCAAAAGTATCAGAGGCTATGCCGCATACAAACATTAAGAAATCAACATCAACCACTTCATCTACATCATCATCTACCACTATTTCTACCTCATCTGGCTCCAATACATACCCATTCATCTTATTCCAGAAGAATCTCATTAAAGAATTAATCGAATATTATCAATATTTCACTATAGAAGAAGCAAGAACTAGATTTGATTTCTTTATCTATCATATGCTACCTTATTACCCTGCTGTGGGATTATCGAAAAACTTTAAGGATTTCGATAATTTATACGAAAATTATCCTTTACTATTAACAGCATGCATATCAGTCACAGCTGTTAATGATAATAAATTATCTGAATCTGATAGCATATCGAACTCCAAGATCTATCAGTTATTAAATCATTATCTATACAATTTCATCGCCTACTATGTCCATGTCAAATGTGATGATTTCTCCATTGACTTAATCTATGTTTGTTTAATACTATCATCATGGTGTTTACCACCTAATAAATTAGGTCATTTCAGAAATCAATTGAATTCATTAACAGCTTTCAATATCTCCTTATGTATAGACCTAGGGGAAATATCTAAATTCAAAGATCGAAGTCATTTAAGTGATGATTCAGATGAAAGAAATAGTTTACGAGCCCTTTTAAGTGTTTATTGTTGTTGTGGATCATTAGAATTATCATTAAGAAGATTTAAATTAGTCACATGGACCAAGAATCATGATTTGGCTTCTCAATTATTAATGAAATCAGGATATGATGATTTACCAAGTTCTGAAGATAAATACTTATGTTATTTCTCCAAGATTATAGCTACTGCTCAAGAAATTTTAGAATTTGTATCACCATTAGGAGTGAATAATTCATCATTAATACCGAAGAGTTTTATTGATAATACAGAAGAAGATCAAGGAAATGAACATGCAACTTATTTATCTCCAACTCAAGTTAAATACGTTTTGAATACGTATGAACGAAAATTAGATCAGATTTTAGATGAAAGTGGATTCATGAAATCAGACTCTTCAAATCAAGAACCAAAAGAAAAATACGTCCTTTGTATAATGTATTATCAATTACTTATCATCATCTATGATAATCTCATCAGTGGATTTTTAAGTAGTCACGAGTCTCTTGATAATAAGACATCATTATTTCTGAATAATGAACTTGAGATCTGCTTGCAACATATCATTAAATTAATCAAGATTTGTGAAAGCTTGGTTGATTTCTTTGTCAAATTGAATTCAAAACAGACTGTTAACTACCCAACGGTATTATATTATAGACCAATGCATGCGTTGATATTAATGGTGAGGTTAAGATTGGTTCTAAAATCTCAAAAGTTTTTAAGTATGCATGTCAGTACACTTGAGATTAATGTGGAAGGATATTTTAATAAAGTATCTGAAATCATTATTGAGAATGAAAAGATTTATAATTCAGAAGTGTGTGTAAAGATGAAGATTATCCTTAACAAGATTGAACGGTGGATGAAAGTTTCTAATATTTATAAAGCAAGAGGAACAAATGGTGCTAGTAATGATATTAATCTAGATTTGGTGAAGTTAATCAGTATGAGTAAAGATCAGGAAATCGAAAGCTTGGATCTTCCCAAAGATTATGATGATGCCAGCAAAAGGAAAACGGCCGATGAAAGTAAACCTCAATCAAAGGGTCAAAGCCCAGTTACAGCAACTATAACTTCTGAAGTGGTAGTCAATGCCACCACCACTACTACAACTTCTTCTTCTGATCCAAGTTCCGTAGTGAATGATCCAAGTGAAACGTCAACTTTTGCATTGGAGAAGATCTTTCAAGAAATTGATGCTGATATTATGCATTATTTAAATCCATTGGAATCTGATTTTAATTATTTATCAGATCTAAATGGTGGTTCACTTAATTTATTAAATCATGGAATGGATATTTTGGAATCTCCATCCAACAATTACAATTAGGGGTATGATTAAATTAGATTATTTATTAGGGGTTATTAAATATATGTACATTAACTATACAAGATTTTCAAAATTTGAAATTCTTAACAAGATTAGATTCGGTTGAGTTTACTTCTTTATGACCATTATTATGTTCATTCTCTTGATTTTTCTTTTCTTTAGATTCTGAGCTAGATTCGCCGGGTATATCATATCCTTTTCCTAATTCGTTAAGAACAGTGAATAATGATCTCGGTTGTTCAGGAAACTGATCAGCAGAAACATTTGATTTGAAATCGGTTTTAACACCTCCAAATTCGGTGATTTCCTTTTTAGATTCATCATCTTCACTCTCCTCTTCATATTCTACTTCTTCATTATCCTCTTCATTCTCTTCGTCATCATCCACCTCTTCGTCATCATCATCTTCTTCTTCCTCAGACTCTTCATGTTCTCCAAGAGCACCCCAATTTGCTTCTTTCTCCACTGGAACATAATCCTTATCCTTATACCCTGAATTGTTATATTCAACATCAATTCCAGGAATGGTTAAATTTATATATGTAGGTGGTTTACCCATTTTCTTCATTATATCAATCCAAGGAGGAGGATTATTTAAATTATTTTCAGGCATCCCTAATGCTTTACGTAATAATGGAGATACTATACCAGGTTTTGATTTCAAAACATCTTCAGAATATTCATCATTTACTTCTCTACCTTCGAAATAAACATCACCAAACCCAAATAGTTTGGGTTTATTCTGATATTTGAAGAAGGCATCATGTAATCTTTGATAATCAATATCCAATCGTCCCATTTTAGGTTGTACTTTATCACGTTGTTGTTGCCGTATGGTTTGATCATTGGTATTTCTCATATCCATGATACCTGTATCACGAATAAATTCTGGAAGTTCAAAGGGTAATCTTTCAATCCCTCTTTTACCAGCTAAATATTCTCTTTTTGATGACCAATGACCTGGCACTGGGATTGAATTAGGTTGAGATTTTAATGCTACTAATAAATATGGATCTTCTGCATCTGCATCATACCAATCTACTATTTGTGGTCTTGCCGTAGAAGCTTTTAATAGAGCCAACGGTACTTTATTTCTGATCCTGAGTTGTCTTTTGGATAAGGGTTTGTGATGTTCATCATCTTCATCAGATGAGTCTTCAAGGGATTCTCCATCAGATCCACTATTGTAGAAGATCTCATCTTTGGTTTCTTGTTGTTTTGCATCGGGCTTGGATTCAATTTCTTTTGAGTTGAACGCATTGAATACACCCTGGAATTGTTTGAATAATTCATTATCTTTAATTATTATGTCCTCTGTATCCTTTTCTTGTTCTATTGGAGGTGGTTGAATTCCATTCTTTTCGGTATCAGTTTGAATTTCATTTTCAGTTTTCTCATTACTATTTATCTTCTTAGAATCGTTAACCTTTATTGGCTCATTATTCAACTTTCGGAGCTTTGCCTTATCTCTCCTCAAGGCATTCTTGGATCTTTTCTCTTTAGCCATCGTTAGCTATATAGTATAAATCACCAAAAGATGAGATGGATGTTGCTTCAAATATTTTATTTACAGCTCTCTCTCACTACAAAAAAAAAGAATACACAAAATTTAACGAGCCTCAAGCTATCACCATAACTAAGGCTACAACACGTCTTAATACTATCTATGAATGCAATTGTATGTATTAAATGAATAAGCTAATCTAAAACTACTACTTCCCATGAACACTACTTTCTAATTTTGTAATTCTGGTTAATAACTTCTCTATTCTATCATTGACCTCTGTATCATGTTTATCTAATAATTGAACAACTTGATCTAATTTCAGTTGCATATCCTGCGCTATATCAAACACAGAAGCAACCTTGTTATTGTTTATACTACTATCAGCTTCATTTGAAATATGATTACTGGAAGAAGTGGTTGGAATGGTTGACATAGAAGTATTCTCTCCATCATTTAAATGTGGAGTTGAGAGTCCTATTGTTGATTCTGAACCAGCAGAACTTTGTGCAGACAATGACATATCTATCAATCTATTTGTTATGATCTGTATGGTCGTATCCAGCTCTGAGTAGAACTATTTGTCTTCCTTTGATACTAGCTTAATAGTTGGTAAAGTCAGTGTAACTATCCGATAAAAGGCCTCACCACACTCTAAAAAAAAGATCAGAAACCAAATTTAAAAAAAAGTGTTGCGTGTTGGTAAATTCTGATCTTATAGATAGTGATTAGTTATCATATATTAATCATATCAACAATGCAATTCATACGGTTGATACTACTACTAATACAGGTTGTGTACGTGATTGGTGATGAATCTACCAAATATAAAGTCAAATATCATCATGCTAAAGTACCTAGAAACATAGCGGAGTCTTTGTTAAGTCTTAATCAGAATTTAACCCATCAAGGTCAATTTGAAATCATAGACATACGAAGAGAATCAATTCATGAAAAATACATTTGTTTGTTACCATCAACCCATAATCAAACCATAGAGTCTAATGAAATCATCACTTTACCTTCTACCAACACCCTGGAGGCTCTTGTCAAACGTCAAAAGTTAAAAAAGCAAGCAGTAGAAGCTATTACTAAATCATTTAGTACCAAGGATTGTAATTTTGCATTTGGAGTGGCTAATTATTGGACATTTGCATATTGTTATGGTGATAAAGTTATTCAATTCCATTCTGATTTAGTTCATCATTTCAAAACTGGAAAGCACAAAGCAGAACAACCTGATTTTGTTTATTTATTAGGTAAATTTCCAGGATCTCCAAGTAAGACTGATAAGAATGATTTTGAAAATAGATTGGCTAATCAATCATTCATTTTAAATGATGAAGAATTCTTATTGAGTGATGAAGTAAAACAATTCAATGATCCATTAAATCAATTGGATGATGATTCACCAAAACAAGTATTTATTCAACAAACTTTATATGATGGTACTACTTGTGCTGAAACTAAAGATCCAAGACAAATCGATATTATCTATAAATGTGATCCTACTAAAGAAATGGTTGATATTGCCGAGGTTCATGAAGTCAATATCTGTAAATATCAAATGATTATTAATGTACCCCGACTTTGTTCCATTGATGAATTCAAAGAAAATCCTTCTGAAATCAAAATAGCCGATATCGATTGTAAACTAGTTGATCAATGGAGTTCTGTATCAATGAAACGAGAAATTGAATTCCGTGATTTCTTTGGTTATCCTGAAACCTTGGCTAAAAATCAATATTTTCCAATATACAAAGATAATAAAATAAACCTTGCTGATTATTCATTAAGACCATTAGGAGGTGGGTTTTTCTTTGGGTTTAGAAAAGAAAAGATTCATACTGATAATCCCTATTTCAATAATAGAAACGTTTTATTATTTAATGGTGCATATACTGATCCTATAGAACTACTTCAAAAAATTGGTAAAGTCTTTGTTAGATCACTTGATTTGAAAATACCTTCTCCCATAGTACTTGGTCAAGATAAATATTCTGTATTATCATTGAATGATTCATTTGTGGTTTGGTATGAAATGTATAATGAATTTGGTAAATTATTAGGTATGATTAGAATAACAAGGGATTCAAGTCATACTGATGGAAGAATATTACTTAATTTGATTGATCCATCAACAATGAAAGATCACGAAGGTCATGATATTGTTATTGAAAAATTCGAAGCACCAAATAATCAATGGAATTTTGAAAGCTTTTACAGACCACAACCAGTTGATGAAAAAGATAAAGCAAAACAAACCTTTGAACCAGAAAAGAAACCCCAGGATAATTTAGCAAATACAAAAGATTCACCTGGACAACAGCATGTAATAAATGCTGATGGTCTCACTATGGAAGAATTATCTCAGATATTAGCGGAATATTTGAAGGTAGGCGGTGTTATAAATCCCGATATACCAATTGATATAAATGAAATTGTTAAAGATTTTCATGATAAAGGCAAGCAAACTCAGCAAGACGTGGAGATAAAAGAGGAATCTGTCGATGAGTCTATGGAGCAACAAATCGACAAAGTAGGAGATATAATAGAGGAAAATGGTGAATTAGATTTGTCTGATGTCCAGTTCGAAGACTCTAGCGATCCACTGACCGAAGACGACTCTAACTCAGAGAAGCCTCAAGTTGATTCAGATACAGATATATATAATAATAATCCCAAACAACAAGTTTTGCAACATGATGAGTTATAAGTTGAAACATTAATCCACATCAGGTTTCAAATAAGTCGAATCTTATTAAGTCTGTTGCTAGCTGAGAAGGATTTAAGGTTGATATAATAATAGTTAATCAGTTGATGGGACCATTATTATACATTCTAAAATAGCTAGTTACGAATTTAATAAATCTATTATATATTTATTTATCTAAGAGAAGGAAAATATGATCGAGGAACATGAGTCAATTTAAGTATCATTGACTCAGTATTTTGCTGATCAAATTCAATTCTTTTCTCGAGTTCACTAATGGATGTTCCTTTCTTACGATTACCGGCATTACCTCTTAGATAGGCTTGATACAGGCGTCCAAAATCCAATATCATCATTGAATTGGTGCCTGTATCATAAAGGAAATTTGAAGAATGCACATCTCCATGACTAACACCGAGGCCATGGAGAGTGTCTATAACATTCCACAATTCTTTTTTAACACTATCATTGAAGTTGATACGCAGAAGTATCTGTCCTTCTGAAAGGCTCATTTTGATAAAAAATCCTGACATTGAATTAACACTTTCAGTATCCGAACAGGTCTCTCTCTCTTTGTTAATCAAAAATCCAATTGAGTAGCATCTGGGTTTATACATAAATGAATCGTTTAGATAGACATGAGTTAAAGCATCCCTGACGAATGCTTTAAATGTGAATGCCATTTGATCTTGAAACGAAACACTGCTGCCAGATGAATCAATTTGACAAAGAACTGGATCAAAAATCTTGTAGATTTTATCATCTCCAGTCTTAATAACAATAGAATAGTTCTTCTGTGGAGACTCACCACTAATTATTGTATAGCTGCCAATGGAACTTATGTCCAATGTTTCCATATCCATATTATTTTTAAGTATGTAAAAAGATTTGAGCGATACGTTAATGTTTAACTTTTTCAATACTTCTTTTTCAACTTTTTTAATATCTTTTAGTTCCAGATCTTGAAATCTAACAGAATAATTATCATTCATTTCGTCGTCATTAATTTCATCTTCCATATCACCTTCGATATCTTCAAGTTCATTATCAATCTCTTCTTCTCCGCCTTGAATATACTCACTTATGGTATGAATATCTATTTCATCATCAACACTAGAGTCTGTTGCACTAGAAACCTGATCTGTTGCACTTGAAACTTGACTGTGATCACGCTGATCACTTATTGCCAGAGTCCGTAAGTTACCACGGCGGATATCCACGGTAATACTTTCCGGTACCTTTAAGATCAAGTCATTGAATGAATATAACATGTCGTATCTATCCTTCCATAATTGTGATTTTTGGTCTTCGGTAAAATTCAACGATTCAACAAAATTAAGGACCTTTGATTCCTCAACTATTTTTGAGTACTTTAAAATAACCATTATAATAAATACGGGCACTGAAACTCTCTCCAGTTCGGAATCAAAAACTATAATTTGACATGGAGTTTTGTATAATTTTGAAACATTATATGATATAAAATCATAATCTTCAAAAATTATAGCTATAGCAAAATTACCATCAGTAATAAAGGATATATTTGAACAACACAGAAGAGATTGTAAAAGAGATTGCAGGAAAACGTTAATGAATTCCCTGGATCCCAAATTGGTTTTAGACTTGGAAATCTCAAAAGCTTGGAATATCTCTTTAATTTGATTTCGTTTCACTTCAATTGGAACCACTAAATTTTTCATATAAAGTAAAATATCTGGTCTAGATTTATATTTCGTCCCCATTAAATGTTGAGTTTTCGGATTATCAGAGCTAATGTTATTAGATTTAAATAGTTCTATAGAGTTAGTCAAAAGTAGAGATATTTGTTTCTCTACTTTATCCTCCATTTTTTCAGAGGGAACTATTGTCAGAACATCAGAAATATTAATATAACCAACAGCATCTGGTACAACGTTTAGTAAATCCAAGTTTTCTTCGACAAAGCTAGAGTATGGTTGGGAATCTAACTGAGGAAAAAAATATCCATTGTCATCAAATAATGTGTTTTTTACATTGTAACCTTCAGCTGTATTATTAAAATCTAGTCTCTCACTCATGCTTGGGTTTGTTTGTGAAATTGGACTGAATGAAGAACTAGTTTTCGTCTCAATGCTTTTAATTTCCCACTTCACAGTAAGATATTTCATAGACAACGTATAATTTTTAAAGTTTTTTAAGTTCATCCTTTCATTATAATCTTCAATCTCTTGAAAGACTCCTATGATATCTTCATATAAACCCCTAACATATGTAATAATAGCAACATCATCAGAAGTAAAATCCAGGAAAAAGAAATGCAGATTACACGCCTTATATAGGGTTATAAGTATTTGCCTGGCGGGGTATTGGAGAGGCATGAACCGATTTAAGAGAAACTTAACTTCTTTTGAAAATTCTGAATTATCATTAATGTTGAACTCTTTTAAAATATACTCTAATTTTGATAACCCTTCAAAATAACTTTGTGATACAGCTGCGTCGCTTGAAACTTTGAACAAATTTATCGTCTTATCATGATTCTTTTTAAAGAATTCTATGAACTTATGACAATTGATGAGTTCCACGAATGAAGACATTAAAGTGAATGTGAAATAATATGTTGGTAATGGTATGTCTCCGATGAATTCTTCTTATGATGATAGACAGTAAATCTCTATATTATTTTGAATGTCTTTTTTTTGGTTAGCATAGAATTTTTTTTTTCACTTTGCAGTAATCGAGCGCTTCCATATTAGGAAACTTTAAGCATATAACAATAAAAAAGCCATCATAGGTTTAGTTAATACTACAAAACGGTTATCCATATAATTGCTATTAAGACTATCAAACTGAACACACATCCTAATTATTGACCATAACAAATTATTGTTTGCCTCTTGTTGTTTAATAATTTGTACAATTTTTAAATATTTTGCCGCAAATAAAAATTAGGAAAATATAATATAAATGGTAGCACTGCAAACATAACTACAAAAATAAAAAATAGAGCTTACAGTCAATAAAAAGATCTATATTTTTAAATTTATTAAGTGATATTTCATACATATGATTTAATATTACGAATTATGACCAATATGTATGAAAATACTGATAATTTCTTGATTATTTAAGGGCCTTTTATTATATAGTGTAGATAAGTTAGTACTGATATTTACTTTTGGTACGTGTAAACCTGAGCATCTACGGGAATCGAATTTACATTGAAAAAAAAATGAGCTGTTTGGTGTATAGTTAACCAACAAGATCTAGACGTTATTCAGAGGTCTATAATCATCTAACATTGAAGTCATAATCTAGTTTAATCCCTATACTTGTTTAGATTAAATCAACAATCTTAAAGTTGTTTTTTTTAAAAATTGTTTTTGAAACATAAGGATAAAATAAGAAATCGAACTAGGTCAAATGTTGTTGTCTTTAGCAGGACTTACCCCAAGTGTAATAAAATCACAAACTTCCATAGCTAGTCAAAATCGAAACTTCTCCTTTTTCTGGAAAATATTAGCTTTAGACAAACCTGAATCCTCTGAGAAAGAAAGAAAACTATATAATTGGGATGAATCTCCATATCAAGCTATAAGAACTCGTGCTGCATATATAAGAACCAAAGCTCTTTGTCCGGTAACTAAGAAACCAGTTAATTTCGTTTGTCCATATTCTGGTATTCCAACCCATCATTCCGAAGAAGCTTGGAGAAATGATACCGAATATCATAAGAAGAAGACGTATGAATTATTAAAGAAGGTCAATCTTTTTGAACATGATGTTAGATCAGGTAGAGTATTTGACGAACTTACCTTTCCTGAAGAGCAAACACATGAATATACTGTTAACTTATCTAATTGGGATACCTTCTTTTATACTAGAGATTTCCCACCTATGAATACTGAATTCAATTTAGCTGCAGCTACCAAAGTTTTAACATACCCTATTTCAATTTCATCAATTCTATATAAATTCTCCCCATATGGCCAAGTTCCAAGAGGTCCAGTAACCGTGGAAGGATTAACTTCATTAGCAGCTTTGAAATATACATTATATCCTCCTCATGCTAGAGGTTCAAGTTCAGTATTTAAAGAAAGACCAATGAGAATATTTATAGTGGGAGCTAAGCTGGAATCAATGTTACCAGGATTTGTATGGAAACAATTTGGTTATTTATTTCCTGAAAACAAATTTGAAATTCATTTCATTGGACCTGAAGCTTATTTTGATAGAGAAACAAAGACTTTTGGACCTACCAATATTCCAAATGGTCGTCCTTTAATAGAAAGAATTGATGAACAAATATCTTTATTCTATCATACTAGTTACTTCCATGAAGTTTACGAAATGGGAGATTTATTCCCCTTTGATCCTTATTTGGATGTATTCTTTTTATTCCACCCAGGTTTTACAACTGCTGATGGTATATATTGGGATAAAGCCTTGAAGGGATTATTAGATTCCAAATGTCCAATCTATATCACTGCATACCATGAAAAGGATATGGCAAGAGAAGTCAAATATTTGGAAGATCATCCATTAAATGAAGAAATGGATGTTTTAATGAATCCAACTGAAAATAAATTCGCATGTACAAAGATCGATTTAGTGGATACTAATCCAACTGAAACATTCAATAGTAATAGTCAAATCTATGGATTTAGAGGAAAGAGATACCATGCTATCAAAGTATGATCTTAACTACCACCTCTTATCTATAAACTTTTATTCTTGTAAATAGATATACATACTTTTAAAAAATGACATAATTTTTTTTAATTCAATACATTCTGTAGAGCTGAAAATGGATTGTACGCAGATACAGTCAAAACCAAAAAAAAAAAGTCGATTATAAATTACGTGGTGTTAAAAATAGAGATTGCAATTTTTAGCAACCCTTTACATCAATTGATCAAGACGTATAAGATGGACGACGTCGACAATCAATCATTTAGTTTGATACTACGAGTGATCGATAATGATTTGAGTAAGAGTAATGATTCTCATTTCGAAGTGTTGATCAATACCACATTATCCGATACTATAGCAGAAGTAAAGGCAAAAGTACGGAGTGGATACATCATATTAGATTATCAACAGGAGGAAGTGGCCTATAAGGGATTCATCTTAAGTGATTCACAAACTTTAGGAGAAGTATTGCAAGGTGATGATTTATCACAGGAATTACAAGAAGAGAATTTCATTGTCTATATCAATAATAAACCAGACTTTGAATCTGGTAAGGATGATATCATATCCTTAGATGATGAATCATCAATTGAGTATCAATTTGAAGTTAGTAATGATTCAGATAAGACTACTATGGTACTATCAGATCAGGATTGTATCATTGTGGAAAATGATGTTCAATCGTATGTCTTGATAAGTAAGTCAGGTACTTCTAAATTAAATCATACTTTATCAACTTTAAAAAATACAAAGATTGAAAAGATAAGTGTTCAATATGTGAATAAGGATGTGTCAGACACCAATAATTATGAAGAAGCTATCCCACCTGCTAATGATCCAAATCCAAATCCACATCCAAATGCAGACAATGAACATGAAAATGATGTCCCAGTTCAAGAAATTTTAATGAATATAGGTCGACAATTAGGAAACACAATTCAAGAAGTGGTTACTCTTCTATTTAAAGGATTTGTCATTTTACAAATCTTAGGGATTGGTATACCTCAATATTTCCTAACCAATTGGTATCAATATTTAGCTTATGCTATCTTAGCTCATTTATTGTATTCAATTCTTATAGCTCCTAATGGGATTCAACGATTAAATCTTCAAAACAATAATAATCAATTCATTGCTATTCCACGTGAATTCTATAATGTGGTGAAAAGAAATTTAGATGAAATACGAGATGAATTGATTCGTACTTCAGTTAGAAGAACTAGAGATTATCAATATGTATTAGAACATAAGAATATTATCATTGATAATATGGAGAATATATGTAAGGATATCTTAATGTATTTCCTTTCGATTGTACCATCATTTCAAGAGAAATTAGAAATTGAAATCAATAGTTGGAAGAATACTGAAATTGAAGAATTAGAACTTAAAGTTAAATTATATGCTGATTTAATTAATAGTTTAGTTGAAGGTTATAATTCAATTTTTATACCTGATTTTGAATATGAGCAAGATATTTCATTACGAAGATTGGAAACTGATATGAATAAGATTAATCATTTGATAGAATTAGAAGATGATGGTGGTAAGATCCATAAGAAGGAAGAAAAATTCAAATATTTGATTGAATTTTATCGATTATTACAGCAGGTTTATCCTATATTGAATAAAGCAGTGATTAATAAAGTGCCTTATAAGGATGGTAAAAGAAAGACTGATATTAAGGATGAGAAAGAGACCCATGTTGAGAATGTGGAGGAGCCTGTTATTGATGAATCTATTGACGAGAAGAAGGTTGATAATGTGATTGACGAACAAGAAGATGAGGTTATTGAAGTAATCTTCGAAACTGAAGGTGAATCATCATCTTCAGGGGTTCAAATATTACATGAAGTAGATAACGAAGATATCGTATCGTAATAGGAGCCCTAGCTCTAGTTCAATTCCGCTTGATATGGGAGACGGGAGACGATAACCAAATCTATATATAGCAAGAGACTTATATAAATGAATTATACGGTAGTAAGTAAATAGATAAGGCGGCCAGAGAAGGAAGCATAAAAATGCACGGCACATAAATAAATAAATCCTGTCTATGTAGTAGCGATAATAATCCATACTACATGATATAATTATATTATACAACATTGAACAGATCAAAACTCATAGTTAATTTTCGTGTTTTTGAGAGATTGTTTATATTTTGACCAAATTATTTTTTAATGGTCGCAAAAATATCAAACCATTTTTTTGTTTTGGCTTCCCACTCGTCTTTTGCACCAAAAATGATAAACACCATTTGGTAAACAAACAATTACGATTTAAGCTTTTTATTTTGTGAACTTGGAGTGGGGAGTACCTGATAATAAGAATGGTGAAAAGGAAGAAGTGGAAGAGGAAGGATCTCAGTTGTAATTCTTGGGTTTACTTTTTGACTTTTGACTTTTCTTGGTAGATAGGGTGTATGTGAATAGATAAGGATATATACCTACGAGGGTTAAACAGTACCAGCAAGCAAGTAATTAGATAACATAATAGGATTAGACTATGTAGCAATGTATATATACATTCACATACATATGATATATTTAGATTTGGGGGCCATGTGTATATTGTCATGAACTGAAATCCCGGTATTAGTTGATCATATAAGTAAACCCTGGCACAATAGAAACAATGGATCAAACAAATAAATAAACAAATAAATAAATAAATAAATAAAAACTATTAGAGATACCAGTATAATTAGATTAGACTTAGTGGAAACTTACTTGAATTTACTATGGCCGCCTTGGAACAAGGAAATTTATGTGATTAACTATGGATAATTTTGCTTTGTTTGTTTATACTCATATTTACTCATTTTATGAGTAAATTATAAAACGTAGCGTAAATTTTAAATTTTGTGTATTTGTATACTGGCAAAGTATGTATGTATTACTGACCGTGGCGAGAAGTACAGTTAGTTACTATGCCATTAACGCTTTAGGACATCTAAGGCCAGTTTACCTGGCTATTATGACTAACTGAATTGATTTACCAGGATTAGTTCTATCTATGCAATCGAATACAATGAATGGATTACTTGCTTCCTTCTTTTCAACCCTGTTGATCCAACCGAATGAACCTGGTTATCAAGTCTGATTTTGTCATATGAAATCAAAGGCCCAAGGTCAAGGTACCATCAAACTCATCCAGATCAAGGAATTAGCCATCAAAATTACCTGGTTAAAATCAGTATATTTACTGGCTTCATAAGTTGTCTCAAAAAATATTTTAAAATTTTTAATTTTGTGCGCGGACTAATCCAGTTGCACCTGCCTAATTAGGAAGGAACCATAATAAACGCTGGTTCGAGGTTATACCTAAAATTGATCAATTATAACCATTTTCAACCAGTTAGTAAACTTAATATGTGGGTTTGTTTGTTTTGATTTCCTATCCTTCTATCGTTAGTAAATCAATATGAAATAGGAGCAAACAAGAAAATTTTTTCTTAGCTTTCCCATGTCAAAAGCTTTTTTGAATGTATAAATATCAGACTTAATCTCTCTTCTGTAAAATTTTAATTATTATAAGTTTCTTCTTCTCTTTTCTTTTCTTTCTTCTTTATCCAAACAGATCTAGTTCATACTTACCAACTACTTACTTTCGTTAAATTTTTACAATGCAATTCTCAACCGTCGCTTTATTCGCTGCCGTCGCTGCTTTCGTCGCTGCTGATGTTACTGAAACTGACTTATCTACCACTTTAGTTACCTTAACTGAATGTCCAGAAACCGTCACTGAATGTCCATACAGAGTCTCTACTTCCGTTTCTCCAGCCAATGTCACCCCACCAGCCAATGTTACTACTTACGAAGGTGCCGGTGTTAAGGTTCAATTCGCTGCTGGTGCCGCTGCTTTAGCTGCTGGTGCTTTATTAGCTTTATAAGTTAATTAAGAACTTATCATGTCATATGGTTTGTTATTAATTTAGCATCATTAAATCAATCTTCATTTATGAGGTAGTATAATAAGATCAATGAAAATGGCCTGGTTTGCCTCATGAATTAAAATACAATCTACTACTTTAAAATGATCTCGGGGTTTAATGCATTCTATTTAATAAATATATATAGTGTATATTAGGTTTTTAATTATTCTCAAAGGTTGAAATAAACAGTAAGCATAGAAATTATCTTAATTCATTAATTGTAGTTCTATTTGTAATCATTCATAGTTGGTGACACATAGCATTTCCAAGCTTTTTGTTGGTAGCGATTTTGTATTTTGTATACCCTTTGTTATATGCAGTCAAGTGCAAAAAAAAAAGGTATGACGAAACCCATTTGTTCTGATCTCGTCGTACTACTAAAATGTAACATTGTTCTCTCTATTTTAACTTCTTTTTCATATCCATTGTATGTTAACTTCCAGATGGATAGATTAACTGATGAAAGTAAAAACTTCCACCATGCAGTATATACCGTAGTATCAAAGATACCTTATGGTCATGTCACAAGTTATGGTAAGTATCGTGTTTTTTTTTTTGCATACCCATTTCCCATCCCTCATCAAATTTTACTAACAAATCTTCATAGGTCATATTGCTTATTTATTAAATAAACCTCAAAATTCAAGACAAGTGGGTTCATCATTAAAACATTGTGATCTTATCTTAGAATCCCTAAGACAAGAATTACCTCCCAATCAAAGAGATCAATATTATAATCTTGATACGTTACCGTGGTGGAGAGTTATAAATAGTGTGGGGAAAATATCACCTCGAGGTAACTCAAATGGTGAATATGTTCAAGCTGAAAGATTAAGAGATGAAGGTGTGATAGTCCTGTCGGGTCATAAAATTGACCTAGAAGATTTCGGTTGGTTTCCTGATGAACTTGATTTCTGACGTGAAAATTTGGAATATATATTATTGGATTTCGTTAAATTGGAAAAATGGGAAAAAATTAAAAAAATATCAGAACATAATAAATATTTATATATATAGTACATTAATTAACATAATACGTACTTTCTCTGAAGTACAAAGTGTCTTTATTTGGATTGTGATGATTTTGGTTTCTTACCGTTTGTATTGTTCGTAGAATTATTATTCTTTTTATTGTTATTGGGTGAAGGTGTATTACCTCCTCCAGAACCCTTACGATTCTTATTCGATGGCCTTTTCTTTTCAGTAGATGGTCCTTCTAATTGTTTTTGAACTTTCTTAGATTCTTCATCCCACCATTTTGCAAATTCTTCTTCTTGTTGGATTTCAGCTAAAGTTTTTCTCTGGGATTCCTCTAATTTAAGTCGTTCTAATCTTAATGAATCATGAATCATAACTTCTGTTAAAGATGGGGTTGAATAAACTTTATTAAATTCAGTATCCACTTTAACTGAATTAGATGTCGCAAGGGTAGAAAATTGAATTGAACTCGTAGCGGCTGGTGATGATGAAGATGACGGTGAAACAACTGTTGTTGATGATGATGAACTTGGTTTACGCGTCATGTTGGAACTATTATTAACTATGGGTGTAGAACTTTTCCGTTGCTTGGGTAATTTGAGAGTTTGTGGTTGAATTGAAGATGGAGATCCTAACACGGGTAAATCATTAATAACCAGACTAGATGCAACACTTGGACCAGCCAGAGAAGACCAAGGACTAGATGATGACAAAGGTTTAGTTTCAACCGGTTGATCATTGTTAACAACTACAGCTGCAGCAGCGGCTAATCTCTTTCTTTCCTTTTGAGATAATTTAACCACAGGTCCAATCCTAACATTAGCTGACTTTTTAACCCATTCTGAATTTATACCATTTCTAGCATTTGCATTTGAATCATTTACAGATTTTCCTAAAATAGGTTGGAACTTATCTAAAAGAATAGGTGAAGCAGCTCCACTTGTATTCTTAGAAGCCCAATTTGAAAATGGACTTAATGCAGCTTTGATCGGTTGAGGTGCTTCTGCCATACTAGGTTTGAGTAACAATGAAGATGACGAACCACCTATAGTTGGACTTGCTGCTACACTAGCAGTACTACTTACCACAGATGCACTTCTTGATGGCGCAGCTGAACTAGGTGGAGTTGGTGAAGGACTTAATACAAGTGATACTTTTGATTTTCTTCTTTGTTTACTATTCAGTACTGTTTCAAATCCATCATGATTATCTTCAATAGCAATTGGGCTAATGATTTCTGGTTTTTGTTTAGATATTGCTTCACGGAAACTTAATATATCATTAGTTAAAGTTGAACTCTTTCTTGATTTCTTCTTCTTGACTGTTGTAGATGCTTCTTTAATAGGTTTAACTTCATATTTAACATCAATTAATGGTTCAAATGCAAGATATCCTTTTCTATCACTAATGAAAAATTCATTAAATTTAAACATATCATTCATAAAGGCTCCAATTAATACATTAGAATCACTTTCAAACCAATTAGTCAACATATCCGCATTTAATTCTCCTCTATCATTGGCAAAATCTAATACTTTACAGTTTTGAAAATATTTGATTTGTCCTTCTAATTTCTTAAGTATATCTAATGATAAATCCTTTAATGATGAATCAAATAATAAAATCTCCAAATTGTTATAGATATACCAACAACAATTCATGAATAATTTCGGGGCTGACAAATATTCGGAATGAGTTAATAAAATAGTGACATTATCCAACGATATGAAATCTATAATGGCTAATTGACAAAGAGATTTTAATTGGAATAATAATAATTCATCAGCAATTTCAATTAACTCTAACATATCATTAATAAATTCATCTTGATTATGGAAATCGTATCCAAAACAATTGAATACTTCTAAATCGGCAAACCCGTATAAATGACGTAAAATCACCATAAATTGAAATTTAGAAAGTCCACTGAAATCTAAAACTTTAGATTCATCTTCCGTATCCCATCTTTCAGATAATACAGTTTCAAAAAATGCTGAACGTGCTTTAAGAATATATGAATGACATCGTATATGTCCATCACTTAATGTTACTAAAACATCTCCTGAATCATCATCTAAAATAGATTGGAATGAAGTGAGATATTTTTCGAGTGATTGACTACCATTAAATGATGATGATACTTTAAAGGCATCTAACAATTGGTGAAAATCTTCAAATATGGTCTTAAGACGTGGTGGATAACTTTGACGAGAACTATACGAATTCCAGATATCGAGTCTTTCTCCTGTATATATAGCATAAAGCAAAAGCAAAATAGATTCGATTGTAATGTCGTTCTTGAATTCTAAGGTCGAAGTTAGAGGGTCATATTCAACTTTGATATCTTCCCACACGAAGTAATCACCTTCATTTTCAGGATTTAGCACCTTATTGAATAGCGACGATCGAGCCTCAAGTATACTTTTATGAAATCCAATGACTATCTCGGAATCCTTATCTAATTTGATCAAACCATCATATGACTTGCCACTAATGTCAACATTATCCTTGTTAAACCTACTCTTAAGAAATAGAAGATCAGATTGTAAAACTCCTGTAAGTGAACTGATATCACCTTCGTCTTTCATTAAATCAAGACTGTCTTCTAATTGTCCTCTTCTATGGATGCTTTTATCATATTTGTCATTATATTGATTACGCAATAAATCAACAGTGGAAGTTTCTGAATCAGATACAACTAAAGTAACTTCATCATCATCAATTTCATAACTTTCATCAGGATAAAGGAAATTTGAAATATAGGTATGAAATTTATGATCCACTTGTAATAATTGATCTTGCTTTCTCGTGGTTGAAGCGTCTATCAATGGACATAAATATTCAATATCTTTAAAGAAATCATTCTTTTGTAACTTCAAGGGTAATATATCAATATCATCACGAATAAATCCAAACGATAAGAAATTTATATCACAGGAGACTTGAACGATTTTATTTAAATTATCAATCTTTTTAAATTTACTTTGAGTAGAAGGTAAATAAGATGCAGATGACATGGAATTTTTTCTTTGATTTGATGAAGTACCCGATTTTAAAAATACTGACCCATTTCTTGTGCATAAGACAATTGAACCATCACTTGACACATCGATATCTGTAGCCAACATATCATGATCATAACCCTTCCATACAGATGTGTATTTTATATTCTTGATCTCTGAATTATTCAATGAAAAACTTACCACACTTCCATTCTCTAATAAAACTGTACAATGTTTAGTACTCCTAGTAATAATCTTTTTAATTTGAACCACTTGAGTAAGTTTAATAGGAGTGAATATATCAAAATGTTTATCAGTATTAGATCGAGTTGGGATTTTAGGTAATTTAAAATGTTGATAATTATAATACACATGAATATCATTTTTAGTAGTTACCACACAAGTACAAAGTTCACTAGTATCGACACTTTTAATTTCATCTCGAAGCTGGACTACTCGTGGATAATGTTGAATTTCTCCTTTGAATGCTTGATCATATAATTTGACTTCGACATCCCCTTTTAATAATGGAATTCCCATTTGTCCAACATTCAACCCCCAAAAGAAGATTTCATTTTTGGTATAAGCTACTGAATGAACCTTTGATACTGAAATACCGATGATTTGATTAAAATTCTTCTTTAAATCACCTGCTACTAAAGTTGGAGTTGCTTGGAATGTTTCTAAGAATCCCTTAGTTTGATTATATTTGGCTGATGAATTAGAATCAAATCCTAATTGTTGGAAACTATTTAACCCCCAAGCATAAATCTTACCATCAGTAGTTAAAGCAATGTTATGATTGTTCGATATAGCAACTTCTTTAACGGGACTTATGTTCGATTTATTTGAATTAAAGAATTCAATCTTTTTAAATTTGAAATAATCATTTAAATCATCAAATCCATGACCTAATCTACCACGAGACCCAATACCACTTGAATATACTTCACCATCTTTTGTTACCACTACTGAATGGTTTTTGGAAATAGCAAATTGTTTATAACGTGGTTTTCTTAGAGCATCTTGAATGGCGTCTGATGTACTTGTCTTTGGTTTAAATATATCATGACTAATTCTTGACGGAATAGACCTATCTCTTGAATCACCGACTCCTAATTGATTATTTGCGTTTGATCCAAACAGATAGATTTCTGATCCACCTCTTTTACTACTCCAGCTTACTTCTAGTGGTCTTAGTATCTCTTTTTTGCTATCAGGTTGATTATTATTAGCTGTAGTATTGGCTGGGGTTTCATTATTAACATTATTATTATTATTATTATTATTAGCGTTATTATCGTTATTATCGTTCGGTTGATTATTATCGTTGTTATTCCGTTGCTCTGCAGTCTGATCTTTTAATGCATCATCGTCCTCAGTTGATTGGTTGCCAAATCTATAAATCAAATGTAATTCATTCTTTTCATTAATATATTGAGGTATCCAAGTTAAATCTTTAAAATCATTACCTAATAGTTGAATAGGTGCTACACCATTTCTGTCTTTACATCTTAAAGCATCCATTAAGATATTATTATTCGCTATAGTCAGATTCAGCTTTGAACTTGAATTTTTATAATGTTCTATTAAGATATTAAAACAAATGATTCGATTTAGATTGATACAATAATGCAAACAATTCCAACCATTTTCATAATCAATGGCATTCAAAATCGACTTGACTTCTCCATTCTTCAACAAATTCCTCAATAAATCATGTCTATTACATAGGATAAGCAAATGAAGTATAGTTCTTCCAAATAAATCCCGTTTAGCAATATCATCTTTAGATAACTTTGCCAAGTTCTGATTTGAGGAGTTTAAGTTCGGTGGGGGTGGGGAAGAAGTAGATAAAGGGCTAGATTCTTTAAGCATATTTTGGCTTACCACATCTGTTAATCTTGAATTATATGATCTAGGGATTGAAAAGGTTATTGATATAAATGAATTTGGCTGTCAAAGTTATTTACAACCAATTTATGATAAAAATTATTTTTGTTTTGGTATCTATATTTAATTTGAACTTTGTACACGCTCTTTTTTAAATTCTGACACGTCTTGAGGTTATATGCACACTACTATCAAACGTGGTGAATGAATTATCATGATTCAGCTTATGATTAAGCTTTACTGTGGTTGATGATGATTACGAAGTGATAATATATGTACATTAGTAGTTTTTATTCATTAGTTTCTGTGTGTAAATACATATCTCTATATATAGAAATCGAGTTTTAGTGTATTAAGAGTCTTACTCTGTTAAGCTTCTGACTTAATGGCTGATTTCATTGGAGATTTGATATCAGGACCCAGTAATTCTGGAGTACTAAGATCTGCAAGGTTGTTTAATCTGTCATCTAAGGCAAGAAGCACTGGTTCATCTCCTCCTTCTGAATCAGGTAAAAAGAATGAATTAGCAATGATTTTCTTCTTTATGGCAGTGATTCTACCAGTTGGAGGTAATCTTGGTCTTATGTTTCTTTGTTTTTGAGGTAATTCATCATCTTCAATTAATAATAATGCACTATCTTCAGGTAAATCATATGGTTCACCTTTCTTCTTTTGAACTTTAATATAATGAGCTTTGGATTTTTCATTCAATTTATTATAGAATGGTCTTAAAATTCCAATTTGTTTATCAACATCAACAGCTGTCAAATATGGTGGAGTATAATCTTTCAAATCTTCATATTTATTCCTCTTACTAACTCCTCCACTACTAGCATAAGAATTATGTAATCTGGAATGTAATAAATAAATTGGAATTGATGAACTTAACATATTAAATTCACGATCTAAACCTAATTCTTTAAATCCAAAGAAATCATCTCCTAAATCATTCGAGAAATCACCTGTCATGAATTGTTCACTATTATCTTCAAAACTTCTTTCATTAAAGTTTTCTAAACCAGGTCTTAATAAATCTTTAAGGAAATTAGATAATTTGGCTCGAAGATCAACAAGCTTTTCCAGTTGTCGTACTATTCTTTCTTGAACATAAGTATATAAATCATCAGGTTTATTAACCCCATTTTCTAATAATGATACTAACAATATCGAAGTTTCATCCATTTCATTAGATGAATTACTCTCGGTATGTAATTTAATGGATTTAATCAAATTACTAAGATATTTCTCTGCTAATTGTGTTAGAGTATTAACAGCAAATGGTTCTGTCTTTTCAAACCCAGTTTGCATAGCAATCTTGGCCACATTTCTTCTTAATACGGCAAATTGAACATCTTCACTAAACGCATCATGATTAGGTAACTTGGACGCATTATCAACATCAACTTCTCTAATGGCTTCAACTTCAGGTTGTTTCATTTGAGTATGATGGACAAATTGTTGGGTTTGCATTTGACGAATAAGAGATATCTTGAAACAAATCTTTCTAATTTCTTGAATTTCATGAATATTTTCAAAATAAACTTTATTTAATCCTTTATCTTGTGGTAATACAAAGGCTGATTTTAATTTAGATGCATCACCGCCAACTTGTTGTAATAAGATATCAGCCATTTTTTGTTCTTTCAAATCTTCTTCAGCTTCATTAATCCCATTATATTTAAATCCAGGAATTCCACCAGTTAAATCATATTCTAATAAATATGGTTCGTCATTCTCTAATAAATTCTGAGATTTAGAAATCACTTCTTTATTGCTTAAATATTGATTGAAATTTTTCATTTCAATTGATTGTCTTATAATAGCTGCTGCATCAGGACGAAGATGATAATTCTCATCAAATAATTCAGCACGTTGAGAACAATAATTAGCTCTTGATTTAGAAGTTAATGATCTCCAAGCCAATAATTCAGGATCAAATTCATCATCTTCTTCTTCATTAATACCATTACTATCACCATTTAAATTATCATTCTCTTCTTCCTCCTCTTCATCTTCATCTCCATTAGTAGTATTTCCGACTACTGCACTACCTTCGGCAGCAGGAGTTTCAGACGTAAGATTTGTACCACTTGGAGAATCAACCACTGAGGGACCTAATGAAATTGGAGTACCCGGTTCAGTAGCTTCTGCTTTAACTTGATCTTGTCTTGAACTTTTTCTTCCCTTTTTCATTGATTTACCACTAGCTTCTAACGGAGTAGCACCACCACCATTCTTCTCTTCTTCTAATTCTTCTTCTTTTTCAATATCAGCTCTATTCCTAATTGTTATATTAGGGATGGTAGGAGCCAATTTAAGAGTTTTCTTTTGCATGGCTAAAGCATGGGTCCTCATGAAATGTTTTGGATCAGCATTATAGGTTAAGCAATTAGACCAGATTAACATTAAATCATCAACGAATTCTTGCTTTGAATTATAGGCAAATGATTTTAATTTTTTCAAAGCGGTATTTAAATCCATTGGTTTTTTGATGATTAATCCATAATTGGGTGCTTCACGTTTTGATACTTTATTTAAAAATGGAGTAGAATGTTCAGAATAAGCTCTTAATTCAAGCACCACTTTCTCACAAGCTTCATACAATTCTTCTTGACCAACTTTATCATTACTAGCCCATTTACCTCTATTTTTACGAACATCCATAAAAAGTGATCTTAATTCATGATCATTTAATGAAACTTCTTCTCTCTTCAGCTTAATGGTGTTCAATAAATGTTGAAGACTAGTACTACCTGTTCCAAGATTTATACCTGCCATGGGTTCTTCTCCTGTGGTTAAATTACCATTATTATCATTATTAGTACTTTTTGAATTTTCCAATTGTAAATCTGATTTTTCTAATTTTCTTCTTTTGATTAAAGTTTCTCGATCATATTCGAAATTATGATATACTTTATTAAATTCTTTGATTAATTTATCTTGATCATCAATAGCAGATGTCTTATTGTTGATGGTTGTTGATGCAGAACTAGATAAAGTAGTGATATTGTTATTTTGAATTTGTGATGTAGCGGCTGATATACTTTCTTGATTAGAAGTTGTTTGCGAATCAATAGCATCAGTAGATGAATTATTGGGAGTAGAAGTTGCAAATATACTGATCGGTATTTCTAAAATGACTTGATTATCATCATTGAATTTTAATTCTGATACTTCACTTTCAGGTTCTTTCATATCCACATCTTCAGATTCTTTCTTTTTATCTTCCTCCTCGTCTTCATCTTCATCATCATCATCATCATAATCATCTTCTTCTTCTCTTATCACAGGAGCTGGGGCTGACTTTTCTATATTATCCGTTTGAGCAGCTTCTCCGTCATTATCTCCACCAGGAAGATCATCAAGAGTATCTATTAATTCAAAATCATCTGTCACTTCTTCAATATTATATATTGATGTATCCAAATCTTTGGCAGTATAATAATAATCAATGGCTTTTTCCCATAATAGATATCTTATATGTAGAGCCAACATTTTAATGTTCTTTGAACCTTCTTCAAATTGAATTTCAGGAGTGTCATCTTCATCTTCGACCGAAGTTGAAGAATCACCATTCTTATCATTCTTACCATTGGAAAGTTCTTCCACTTTATCTTCATATTCGCCGTCATGTACGTCATCATTTCCATTCTTTGTTATCTTACCATTTGATGATTCCTTCTTTTCATCGTTGGAGTCATCTCCGGTAGACTTGGTGAATTTAACGAAACAATCACCTTCAAGGAAATTATACCATAATTTAAAATCATCAAGATTTATTATATAATCCAAAATTTTATATTGGGATTCGTTTAAAAAGGTTTCAAAGAACTTAGAATCATGTAACTTCTTGGCTAATCCGAATAATTTTCGACTATTGTTGAATTTAAACGTTGTTAGCTTATCCATAATGATTATATTGGTGTGTGGAGTATATAGGTAGGAATTATATGAAATTTGATGAATATTAAATGAATGAAACTTGTTATTGATCAAGGTATAGTTGATCTATATGATCTAAGAATAGATGTAACTATCCTTATATGAGTTGAGAAAGGAGGTTAGTTTATTAAACCCAATGAATGATTGATATTCCTATTTCACTTTGTTTCTGTGGTTGTCACTGCCAAAAACTGTTGATATCAAAGTTCTATCAGTTGACAACGAAATAAATCGACTAAAAACTCGAGTAGTACACTATCAGCAAGATTATTGAGTGATACAACTATGTCGATTGATTGATGGATTGGTTGGTTAAAATTGATTGATTGGAATGGAATGATTAAACTTGATTCTCTATAGTTAACGTTTTTCTAATTTTATATTTTTTTGGTTTCGAAAAAATTCACGTCTTTTTTTTTTTCATAACACAAATAAAAATTTATAGTATAACTAGGAAGCAAAAAAGTTTGATTAGAGGTGGATGAGAAGAGAGTGGTTAGAGAATCAGTATGAATCGGGTCAGTTGACTAGTGGTTTCAAGCTAGTGGGAGAGATAACAATGTGTCTATGCATACTACAACCATTATATTCAATTATATTAAGAAACTTTCTATGCTATTAAAAATTGGATAATATAAAAATCATAAGAATCATATAAACAATAAATAATAAATAAAGACTAGGACCAAAGGTAAATCATAATAATAATAATAATAATCAAAGATTAAAATAATCTATCTATACATATATGTCTATGATATAAATATAAAAAAACATGTATAAATCATCATAATAATCAATCAATTCTTTGTTTCATTATTTTCCACCATGAGATTCCCATTCATTTATGTTCTATTTATTGTATCTATCTAGACTGCATATTTCTTTGTCCATTCTTTAGCAGTTGCTTCATATTTGGCTCTATCTTGTTTATAAATATGAGCAATTTCAGGAACCAAAGGATCATCTGGATTTGCATCTGTTAAAAGAGAACAGATAGATAATAATACTTTAGAAATAGTTAGAGCTGGAGACCATTGATCTTTTAATATATCTAAACAGATATTACCATTACCATTAATATTCGGATGATAGATTTTAGTAGTGAAAGCAATCTTTGGAGGTTTGAATGGATAATCAGTAGGGAAATGAATAGATAAGAAAAACACACCTCCAGCATATGGAGAATCTGGTGGACCCATGATAGATGCTTGCCAATGATATAAATCATCCCCAACAGGACCTGCGGAACATGATGATGGTGGATCTCTAAAAAAAAATCAGGTAAAGTTAGTATAAAATGAACATTTCAAAACTTGACAAATCAGTCGATCGTTATATATCTCTATCCTTGAAATGAATCAAACTCATTCTATGACTGTATCGTATCTATGTTATAATTTTAAACTCGTCAGACATCTAAAATCGTGAGGCAAAAAAAATTGGTGAAATCACGAACAAAAAAAAAACTGAACATCTTTTTTTTGTCTGTCTAACAGTCTCCACTCCTTATTACCAACTTCTGCCACAAATCAAAAAATTAGATAGTTAATGATAAAGTTATAGGGTGATGGATTATGAAGTTATATAGTGTGTATGAAAGTAGTTGTAGTTGGATGGTTTCCGTATTCAGTTTATTGATTGATTGGTAATGATATGATGATATGAGTGGGGGGGGGGGAGTAGTTCAATTTCATTTGTGATTAGTCGAATTACAATGATCAAATCAAAAATAGATTACATGATGCAACTTGGCTTATTGGAAGGATTGATATAAATGATCCATGATTCATGATCATACGTGAAATGATGCTGTTTATATTGACCCTGACTAGATAGATGGATGATGATATATAACGATTCAAAGCATGATTCCTATAAATGACAAATTGGTCTTCATTCTGCAAACTAGGGTATGCTTAATTTAGAACCAATCAATCAAAAACACTCCTTGTTTTTTTCTATACATACCTTCCTAAATCAGCTAATTCTTTGTTGATACGTTTTAAAGACATGATGATAGATTAATTTGATGATGTATATGTATATATAAGTTATGGATAACTATAGAGTAAGAAGAAGGAAGAAGAAAGAAGTGGTTAAAAGGGAAATCTCAATTCTCAAAAAAGAAATGAAAAGAACCGAAAAGAAAAAATCTTTTGATTAAAACTTTACTGGTTAGTGGCATTTATTTATTTTTACATGTTATATAGGATAAATGTGTAAAATTTTATTACAGTTTAACTAGTTAGTTTAAGTCTCACATTTACTGTATGATTCATAATTAAACTTTGTATATATACTGTAAATCACAGTACGCATACCAGTTCTTATCATGTATCAATTATGTTTCTATTATAAACATTGGTAGATTAACAACTTATAATAAATGGTGTTGCATCTGAATATGACAACTACTATTATGTAAATGAAATAACCTGTATAGATCGTTATATGTGACCAAGAATGTATCTATATATTCTGATTTGTAGGTCATTACGAACGCCAGAATTAAAAAAATAACAAATACAATCGTACTCCTCAAGCTTGAATAATCTCCCGTTCAATTTGAGAAGATTTTAATTCCATCAATTGAATTCGAGACTTGTTTTATGCCAGGATAATCTGTAGAACACTTCATTTGGGAATTAAACGATCAGTGGTAACAAGACTTCACTATTATCTGATGTTTTAAAAAAAGATGTTTTGCGATAAGAAACACACAGCAAGAAATTAGATTTCCCGAAAAGGAATTCCCCACTTTAGACTGTTTAGTATTATTGACTCAAAAATGATGTAATAATTTATGGAATATATTGTATATGATTGTCAAAGTGAAGTGAATACATTTTCATAGGAATTTTCAATTTACGCTTTGATCCAATTTACAATATAAGTGAATTTAAAGCATAGGTCCACACCCAAAATTTGATTCCAGTTATGGCAATATAAAATAGCAGTAACGATTTCACAAGATGTATATTCACACCATTTAACAATAATCAAACTGATAATGATATAATTCATCGTCATAGTAGAGCTCATTTCTATGTCGAATTATTCTCTTCATACCTACTTCTTAATTAGGAAAGACCCGCTAAGATTCCTAAAAAAAAAAAAAGGATCAAAAGGATCAAAAAGGATACATCTACCCATCCTATTGTTCACTATTTAATTACATGCTTTTGTTCCTAGTTTGTCCTATTAGATGTAATTATTTCAACGTTTTCGTTCTAATTGGAAAACTGAAAAATTTTGAAAAACCTGGGGATAGAGTACATTTTAGACTTTTTCACAACAAGTAAAGATGCTCCTTTTCTTCCTATTTTTCCTATTCCTTCCATACATTGTTCTATATTCACTCTATTACTGTTCAGTAATACTCACCTTATTTCATTTTCTTATTTGTTGAGTCTTATACCATTAAAACTTAGTAATATTGTTTGATATATATATATATATTATGAATTACATTTTTTTGTAATCGCTTAATAAAGCCATAAATAGAAATTCTTTTTTTTTTTTTTATTTTTTTATTTTTTTATTTTTTATTTTGTTAGCGAATTACGGTACCAAAAGATAATCAGATTTGAATCTATACGGTTTAGTCATTACTGGATAATTTCTTCAATTTAAACTACTTAGTTATCATCTAGTTCAAGTCTCTTATTAGTAAATCAACTTATTGTATCAATATTGATTGGTGGATTCGGATTGACCCATCTTATCAATCATCATCATCGTCATCTTATTCTTCATCTATCTATCCGCCTTCATTATAGACAAAACAAATTGGTCTTATTCATCATCTGTAACAACAAGAACTAGAGATAAATGTTAGTAACATTCACTGCCAAGTCTGAGAAGGATAGTTCCACTTCTCAAAATGAGAATAAACCTAATAAATCCAATAACATCATACGACATCCTCCCCCTTCGACATCTGATATTAATACTGTTGATAATAGAATCTCAAAAGTATCATCATCTACCATCAATCAAAAGAAACATACTAAATCACCACTACTCCCGTTAGAGTCTGTGTTTGAAATTTCTACCTCATCAGCTCCATCAGCTTCCAAATCTTCATCTAATAGTACATTTAAAGTCATCAACAATTCTCGGGATTTTTCATTTAAAAATTCTAAACGATCAAGAAATGGTTGTTTGACTTGTAAAATCAGAAAGAAGAAATGTGATGAAGGTAAGCCTATTTGTTCAGCCTGTGAGAGATTAAGTAAAGAATGTATTTGGATCGATGCTGATATGTCAGAAGATGAAATTAGATTATTAAAGGAAAAAGTTGAACAAGATGAAAGCAATAATAAATTAAGAAAGAGAAAAGTGAAATCAGGTGGTGGTAGTCACCATAATGAAAATAATGTTAATCATAAAGTTACTGTCAAACAGGAAAGTTCATCAATTTCACCTCCTATGATGATTGATTCACCTTTTCAACATCCATCATCAATTTCAACTGATCCAGTTTCACAATCAAATAATCATGTTGAACCAATCGTAGCTTCAGCTTCATCAATTTCATCTTCGGAATCAAAATCTCAGGATGATTTATACTCATCTATAAGAATCAATAATAATATCAAGGCTACTTTTAGTTCAAATTCTCCAAGTGTTATAAATGCAGAACCATCTTGGAATATAAATCAAAATCATCAGAATGATGATATTTATCAATTCGAAACTCATATTCATGATAGAGGTATCCTGATAACTAAAGTCAATCCAAATAACAATAATATTAACATTTCTACAGGTGGCATCAGCAATCATAATTCTCCATCCATAATCCCTGAAAGTCCTAAATTATTCCAATACAATAATTCTGATTTAAGATCAACCATATCTCCAAGTATGAGATACCATAACAATAACAATAATAATAACAACAACAACCAATTTAGAAAATCAGTATCCAATTCAAATTTAAATACTAATTATGCCTTACTGCCAAATTCTCCCACTATTAAGAGTCTAATGAATCCCGTATCATCGGTTGGCGTATCAAATAATGGTCCTAGGTCATCCATAAGAGAAATAGAAATAGATCATCAAGCTAATAAACTTGAAAAGAGTCCTATCCAAAGAAATTTCGCTCACTTAAATAATTATCACAATCAGAATCAGAATCAGAATCACAATCATCGTGATAAGGAAAATTCACCTCCTCCATTGGATCTTGATTCAAGTCGTTCACCTCCTCCATTATCTCCACTGGCATTTTTAAATTTCATAAGAGATTTGAGTAATGTAAATAATAATGGAGGGATGACCAATGATGATGATAAGAATAATGAAGATGAAGATAAAATTGTTTTAATCGATGATAACGATAAAGAAATCCCATCTCATGAATCAAATACAGATTTTAAGGAGTTCTTAGGATCATCGAATTTTTCAGCTGTGATGGAATCAATGGGATTTGGGAATGGTAATAACGATAACGATATAAATAATGGTAATAATTCTAATAACAATCAAGGTTTAAGTCCTACAAATTCAAATTCTAGTCTATTAATTCCTACATTGTCTCCGGCAAGTTATGGTAATTTAATCTCAAATTTAAATTCAATGTTAACTCCTTCACCAAGATTACCACCATCTCATATACCAGAATTATCAAACGCAACAAGTTCATATTTATATAATTACTATGTGGAAGTATTATCGCGAAAGATTTCCATTGCCCCTGTGTCTCAAAATGATTCAAACTCTTATCAAAAGGTGTTTTTACCTTTGGCTCATAAAGATAAAGGTGTCCTTTATGGGATCTTAGCATGGGCAGGATTTTATTTAGGTGGGACATGGGCTGAAGAAGGGGTTAAATATGTCAATCTTGCCTTGGAACATCTTAGTAGTTCATTGGATAAAGAGGATAATTCGATGGTTCCTTATAATAATCGAAATGAAGATCGGCAATCGATATTAAATAAATTGGCTACTTTATTAATCTTATGTGGGGCTGAAATTTGTAAAGGTGATGTTAAATATTGGTCAGTTTATCTCAGATGGGGATGGAAAATCTTGAGTTCAAATGGTGGGATTTTAAATTTTAATAATCTGAAAGAAGAACATTGGTTAATTTCAAATTTTGCTTATCATGATTTATTAGCTAGTTCATCTATTGAACGAGGAACTTATTTCTCATCAAAGGAATATAATACCATTTTCATTGATAAAGAAGGTTATTCAAGAGGTAATTTAAGTCCGTTGTTAGGGGTTTCAAAAAAATTATATCGTATTATTGGTGATGTTAGTACCTTGGTTTATGAGACAAGAAAGACTTTGAACGAATATTATAAACGGGATTCACCTGCTTCTGATCATGGTGGGATTTCGGAGTCTCCTAATCAATACTATGAAGATAACTCAAATAATAATACTAATAATAATAATAATCAGGACAATCAATCAGAAACAAGTGAACATGGGAAAGTAAGTCGTATGTTAGATAATATTGTGGAAAAGGCTCGGAATTTAGAGGCTGAAATCGATAATGCCAGACCCGAACCTCGAGATTTGGATGACTTAACAGATGAAGAATTAGAATTACAATTGACATTGTTTGAAGCCTTCCAATTAAGTGCCAAATTATTTTTAAAACAGTCGATTATGAAATGTAATCCATCCATGTTGGAATGTCAAATTCTTAATAATGATTTAATGAAATGTATCGATATCTTGTTAGATTCACCTGTACAAGCATCGTTAGTGTTTCCTATCTTCATATCAGGTATCCATTGTGTGTCAAATCTTGATCGAGAAAACATGAAACAAAGAGTGGAAAACTTTATTAAATTATATGGTCCTTGGAATGTTAGAAGAGCTAAATATTTAATGGAAAAAGTCTGGCAACAGAATAGAGATGGTGATACGGTGGTTGATTGGCATTCAATCTTACGGAATTTAGACTGGGATATTAATTTTGCATAGTTATATATGATAATAGACATTTATTTAAGTAACAGACAGAGATTTGTCCTTTATAGACTCGTTCACGTGACCTCGAAGGGTCGTGTGAATCGGTTCAAAATTTGATAAATTTTTCTTTTCCTGTAAGACCTCAAAAAAAAAATTATGTGAGATGAGGGAGGGAAAGAAATTTTCAACAGTTAAAAATATAATTATCTGTTTTGAATAGAAGATTTCTAAGAAAGTAACGACTATCTTAACAAACATGGCTGGATTGGACTATCTTCTTTTCGAAGAAGCTACTGGTTATGGTATCTTTAAGGTTTTAATTCAACAAGATGATATTGCCTCAAGACTGAAAGAAGTTCAAGAAGCTTCCAATGATTTAAGTAAATTTTCTAAAATGGTTGAATTAGTTTCTTTTGCTCCATTCAAAGGTGCTGCTCAAGCTTTAGAAAATGCTAATGATATTTCAGAAGGTCTTGTTTCTGATTACTTGAAATCAATCTTAGAAATCAATTTACCAAAGGGTTCCGAAAAGAATAAAATTTCTCTTGGTGTTTCTGATAGAAATTTAGGTCCTTCTGTTAAAGAAATCTTTCCATATGTTGATTGTATATCTAATGAAATTGCTCAAGATTTCCTTAGAGGTATCAGAGTTCATGGAGCTAAATTATTCAAAGATTTACAAGAAGGTGATATTGAAAGAGCTCAATTAGGTTTAGGTCATGCTTTCTCAAGAGCCAAAGTTAAGTTTTCAGTTCAAAAGAATGATAATCATATTATTCAAGCCATTGCTTTATTAGATCAATTAGATAAAGATATCAATACATTCTCCATGAGAGTTAAAGAATGGTACGGATGGCATTTCCCTGAATTAGCTAAAATTGTCCCAGATAATTATACATATGCTAAATTATCCTTATTCATTAAAGATAAAGCTTCATTAAGTGATGAATCCTTACATGATGTTGCTGCTTTAGTTAATGATGATTCAGGTCTTGCTCAAAGAATTATTGATAATGCTAGAATCTCTATGGGTCAAGATATTAGTGAACAAGATATGGAAAATGTTTCAACTTTTGCTGAAAGAGTGGTTAACATTTCTGATTACAGAACTAAATTATATAAATATTTAACTGATAAGATGCATACCGTGGCTCCAAATTTATCTACTTTAATTGGTGAAGTTGTTGGTGCTAGATTAATATCTCATGCTGGTTCTTTAACTAATTTATCTAAACAAGCTGCTTCAACCGTTCAAATTTTAGGTGCTGAAAAAGCTTTATTCAGAGCTTTAAAAACTAAAGGTAATACTCCAAAATATGGTTTGATCTATCATTCTTCATTCATTGGTAAAGCTTCTGCTAAAAATAAGGGTAGAATCTCAAGATATTTGGCCAATAAATGTTCTATTGCTTCAAGAATTGATAATTATTCTGATGAACCTTCAACTGCTTTCGGTGAAATATTAAAGCAACAAGTTGAAGAAAGATTAAACTTTTATGATACTGGTGCTGCTCCAATGAAAAATTCCGATGCTGTTAAAGCTGCTTTAGCTTTAGGTGGTACAAGTGATATCGTTGATGTTACTCCAGTAGCAACTGAAGAAAAATCAGAAAAGAAAGAAAAGAAGGAAAAGAAAGATAAAAAGGAAAAGAAGGAAAAGAAAGAAAAGAAAGATAAGAAAGAAAAGAAGAGAAAAGCCGATGATGAAGAATCTCCAAAGAAAAAGAAGAAGAAGTCAAAGGATTAAACTTTTTGATATTCAAAACATCATTCAGCATTTATTTCTCAAACCATCCCGTTGTTTTATTCTTGGTTTGTGATCAATACCAATATGTCATAAACCTTTTTTGTAAAGTATAGCCATTTTTTATATTGCATGTTAATATAGTTTTAGATACGAAAATTTGATAATTAAAACTACATGTAGAAACATTTAGAGAAAATTTTTATTTGGTAGTAGGGTTACCTTTGATGATTACATCAAAGTATAAAAAGAGAAGAGAAAATCATAAAATAATAAGAGAATAAAATAATAGAGTAGAGGATTATTGAAGAAAGTCAATATCCTTAATTGAACCACACTCAAAAATAACAATTAATAAAAATAAAATAAAAAAACAACAAACAAACAAACAAACAAACAAAAGGAAGAAGAATTATAAGATTTATGAAAAATCTTAAACGGTAACATCCTCAACTTCAGCTTCAGTAACTTCTGGAATGGTTACTTCTTCAGTAGCGGCAGTTGTAGTTTCATTCACCTTCTTTGGCTCCAACAATAACATTAGAAACAATTTGAACTGTACGTGATAACTCACTTGATTGGCCTTCTTTGCTAACCATTTTAGTCTTTGGAAAATGATTATGAATAAATTTTTCTAAACTTTCATTGAAAGGACCAACTAATGGATCAGCTTGACTAGTGATAAGTGATTTACCATTAACATCATCATAGATTGTAGTATGGATTTTTTCCTTAATATCACCAGCGGCTTTAGTAACAGGATCAACTAAAGTTTTATTGACTGTACCATTAACGGTTGAGATAGTACCATTAACTGTAGCTTGTACACCTTCAATAGCTCCATTGATTGGTCTTGTAATTGGGGAAGTTAAATGACCAATTTCTAAGGTTTTTAAACCTGGAACTAATTTATCAACTTGGTTTAAAGCGTTATCAGCAATGGCGTCACCAGTATCAACAGCAATCTTAATGGGTTGAGTGTCTCTAATTGACTTTAAAGTAGGAGAAACAGCATCAATTACTTCCTTGGTATATGGGATTGAATAAACAGCGGCTTTGGTTGAGTTAACAAGGGGGTATTGTTTAACATGTTCAAGAAATGTAGAACTTTTCTTTAATTCTTCACCAGAAACAGCTTCAGTAGTAGACATATTATCAGCAGCTTGAAATTGAGCGGACATTATTCTCTTGAACTATTTTAGCTTATTGAATAGATATAGAAAGGAAAAGGAAAAGAAGAAGAAGAAGAAAAGGTTAATAGAATAAATAAATAATTAGAATTACAAAAAAAGCGTATTTATACACATTTTTAGCCGCCAGAATAAGATTGCGAAAAAGGAAATAGTACTCTTTTTTGTGGTATATACTATATATTTATATATAAGAAGTTTCTGAACTTGAAGATGAATAACGATCAATATGATAAAATAAATCACTTGTATAACTTGGAATTATATCTGATCCTTGATATTGAAAAGTAGTATCTTGACTATTAGGAGTATCTTCTATCTTACTAACTTCAGGGCTCTCTTCTTTTAAGTTCTCAAAAAACTCTTCATACTCAACAGCTTCTGAATCAGAATGAATTTGACCTGTAACTGATGACATATTCTCCTTCTTAACTTTGATAGTAGGAGAACTACTTGAACCTTGACTAACAATATCTCTAGTAGATCTTCTAAGTCTCTTTCTTCTTGATGATGGTTTTACAACAACCGGTGATGAAAGTGGGGTCATATCTGGTGTAACATCTGGAGTTCCTTCATTACTCAGCTTTTCATGGTGGTTGGTTCCACCTTTCAATTTAAATATCCTGTTATTCATATCACCTGGCTTCAATCTACTTACCATGATAAGTCCTCTTGAAATTGAATCTTCAAGTTTACTTACTGGAAGTATAATATAATCTTTACCCAAAGCAACCTTATTTGATTCTTCAATTTCTCTGAAAAGTGGATCAAGATTTCTAAATCTATTATAGAACAATCTATCATAAACAGCAACATAATAAACCTCATCTAACACCAGCTGAGTATACTCTCTTTTAAACTTAATTGAAGCAGTTCTTCTTTGCATTTCTTGTAATGAGAAATGAGGATTCCTTAAAATACTAATTAACACTTCAACTCTACCATTTTTATCCAAATGATCAGGTTCAATATGATCAACATTATGTGGCCACCAATCTGGTTTAGATCTATTGAAATTCTTATAAGGAAAATTAGCTTGTTTATTTGGTTCAGCGATTTTGATCCATTGTTTAGCTACTTCTTTGCAAACGGATTGACTAACACAGTGGAAAAGATTATTGTAGTGGCTGAATAAGTCTTTAGTAAGTTTTCTACTGATGATTAGATCTTTGGTAATAGTAAGTGCTGGTTTGATGGTAGCAATGTTGGTATGAGGTTCGGATAATACTGAATAAACTCTATCTTTTTGAGCTTCTGAAAATTGTGATGAATACAGAATCTTTAAATCGGAATTTTTATGGTTGGTTTGAGTAATTAACATGAACTTGATCTTCTTATTCTTTGATAAGTCTTCTAAATACTTGGCAACATGTTTCAAATCACCTACCGTGAATTCCACCTCAGACATGATATTGACTCGTAACAATTGATATACATCAAATTTATTATTGCCCACAACGTTGTTTGGGGATTCTTCGTTATATATCATAAGAATTATCTATCATCAAAGAAGCATTTAGAACTAATAAGAAGTTATTAACTTGTTTTAACATGATCGTTCTCATTCACTAAATTAATGAATCTTAGTTTTGTATCGATATCGTTTCACATCAAATTAACTACAAGCTTGTTTCAAATTTGTCGCACTAAATATTTTTTGTTTTGCAGTCATATATTTATATTGGTGAATTTCTAAACTGTTTTACATACTTAATCTAATCAAAGAGAGTTATGTAGATTTTCTTCCAAATAGGAGCCTTTTTATATCTTTCTTTTGTTTCTAATCTTTCTAATTCCATGATTTCAGGATCATAATGAACTCTATCAGAATTAACATCAATTTGATCTACTGATTTATATAATTTCCAATTCTTAGAATAAATCTTATGACCAAAATAACAAACAAGAGCCATTGGAACTGCTAAATAATTTTCAAAGAATGAATTTGCATTAGGTGTGCCATCTCCACCGACAGGGAATAAAGCAACCCAGAATTGTCCAATAAGAATAAGGACGTTAATAATGATCGATAACCATGATCCAATCACTCCAGTAGGAGAAACATAACTTAAACTTGATAATGAGATACCATTATGTTTTAAAGCGGCTCTGAATCTAAGATGACACACACAAATAGCAAGCCAAACGAATATGAAACTTAAAGCTGAAAGTGATAATAACCATGTAAAAACAGTTTCTTCTTTATCATAAGCGGCAATATATGCGAAAAATGTGGATATAACAGTCAAGATCCATGCTCTTAATGGTCTTCCACTTCTATCAATGTAATTGAGCCATTGAGGAGCTAATCCTTGTTCGGCTAAAGATTGAATTAAACGTGGACTACTATACATTGCAGCAGTTGCAACAGATGTAACTGAAATTAAAATAACTGCATTAATGATATGAGGTAAAACTTTTACACCATGCATTTCAGCAGCAATAACGTAAGGAGATGCATGAGTTGCACCACCGGATGAACCTAATAATCTATCGGATGTATAAGGAACCAATAACCCGACCATAGCTAATGAACCCATGAATAAAACAATGACTTTATAATAAACAAATTTAGATGCAACTTGGATAGCCCTTCTAGGGTTTCTAGTTTCAGCGGCAGCTAAAGAAATAAATTCTGAACCACCTAATGAGAAAGCACCAGTTACAAATACTGATACAAGACCTTTAAAATCAGTAAAAGCACCAGGATCACGATAATATCTACCTCCAATAAAACCTTGTGGACCACCACCTACATCAATGACAATACCAAAGATAACAAATCCACATAACATCATAACTTTAATGGAATTCATAACTAATTCAGCTTCAGCATAACCTTTTGCACCACATAAATTTATACCTACAACTATGAGAAAGAATATAGTTACAAAGACATCAGGATTGATGGATGTAGTCCAAAATTTAATTGTCATTGAAGCAGTAACCAATTCCAAAGAAATAACGGTAACCCATTGGAAAGCATAATTCCAACCCAAGGCAAACCCAAGTGATTCATCAATGAATTTAGCGAAATAAGATTGGAAACCACCGGGTAAACCAGGATAAGCAATACTTAATTCACTTACGGAATGAACAGTTGGGACCAACATGATGAACCCTACTATGAAATAACCTATTAAAGTTCCGGCTGGACCAGCAGCTCTTAATTTTGCTCCTGCCCCTACTAAAAGACCCGTACCCAAACCAGTTGAAAGTGACATTAAACATAAATGTCTTTGAGATATCGCTTTATCCATTGAGTCTGAACTTTTATCGGTTGGGTCTGCTCTTCTAAAGGAGTCTTTGAATGATTTCCAGGCAGTTTGATTAGGATCAATGGTTGTGTTATAAGTTGATTTGGATTCTTGATCCAGACCAGATGGGATTATCATACTTCCATGATTTGAATAAGGTTTATCTTGATTCTTTATTTCAACAGAGTTCGTCATTGTAGTGTTAATAAATGAAATAATATGAAAGTAAAGTGAAGTTTTTAAATGCAAATAAATAATGATGATATAGATGAATATATAAAGAAAAGGTTGATATGATATGACTGGATTATATCTAACTTAAGATTTAAAAAATATGGGGTAGTATGGGGATTCCGAACCTTATAAAGCAGAAAAAAATTTCCAAACTAGTAATGGTTAGCAAGATTGGTCATCTTCAATCCCAATCCAATCAAATAGACATATACTCCGATGATGGTTCTGATATAGGCCCGTAAGTAAAAATCCCTTTCTGTTCCTCTTCTTTAAAAATTTTGCAAACTAAAATGCAAAATAAGGTTTTGTGTAAACGGCAATTTTTAATGATCGTTGGGCTAATTGAAGTAATTAGAAGGAAAATCTTAGCGAGATGAGGGGCATTAATTATAATTTTAGTATTAGAGAAGAAATTGTATTCAGGTAATAATGGTTATGGTCCTTAAAGAGAATGCCCCTCCCTCCGAAGTCAAAACCTATATCGATGACTTTGAGTTAAAACTATAAGTAGAAGTATGGTGATTTGTTTATATTTCTTTGTTTTGTTTTGATAATTTTAACTCTGGTAAGATGATGATTACAAGTCGTCTATAATAGACAAAAATAAAGTAACCATTGTCTGTTAGGTTAGGGGATTTATGTACAGTCTGGTTCAGGTGATCTTTTGATCGTTAGTTTCATTTTATTAGAATTCTATTGCCGTTAGGTTGTATTTATTTCATTATTGTGTACGAGATGAGGCACAGTAGCAATCTGCAAAATAATAAATAATTACCAGCCGATCTAATTTCATTTATCATTATATTGTAAGTATAAGAGTAACAGTAAATCTAATGGCCATCAAATTACTGTTAAGCTTGACATCATATATAAAATTAGGCTTCATCATAATCTAGAGGAGGGGAGTTTAATCTGATCTGGAAGTTTGTCGCTTTTACTCGCCCTATTTAGGGCACGCACAACTAAACTAAAAAAATAGACCATTTCCCATTCATTATAATTACGTAAATTTCTATTAAGTAATTGAGCATTAAGTATAAGTTGCTTAACCATAAATCAACTCATTTGAAGTAATGGTATGTATGGGTTAGTGATATTCTGAATGTGGGGAATGATAATGGGGGATACCTATGAGTTTATATAATATAAATTAATTCTGTAACAGTATAAACCAAACACCGAGTCATTCGGACAATGACCGAAGAACTCAGACCAAACACCACCATTAATTAAATAATATCTTGAATTGGTCTATACGTAATTCATTCATTCATCCATTCATTCCATCGTAATTGTTACTAATTAGAAAATCATCATTATTTAACCAAAATGGTCTTAAAACTTCGGTATAAGGATATAACGTCATTTTTTATTCCCGTCCTTATCCCATTTTTGCCACTGACACACGACTCCTCACAAAAAATTTTCCAGTAAGAAAAAAAAAAGAATCTTATTAAGCACCTCCACTTTATTTGCTGAATTCAAAGGAAAGGAGGTTATCATCTTTATCCATATAGTTTGAATCTTTTTCAGGTTTAATTGATTATCTGTTTTATAAACTCATCTCGGAATCGTTTATTTGATTCACAAGTATCTTTAGTTAGACTATCTATCATTGACTTAACTAGACATTTGGTACATCAACCGAGGTAAAAGATACATCACCTTATAAGAAAAAAAACAGAAGGCAAAGAAATCATTCCATTAACCAGACTTCAATAAACCATTCATTCATCACGTACATCATTATAGACCATTATCAAACATGGTATTATTCTTTGAAAGTAGTCATGAATTCCAACATGATTTCCAAACTTCAACTTTAGCATTTTTTAATAGATATCCCAATCCATTTGCCAAACATGTATTAAGTAGTGATACTATTGAACAATACATTGATGAAGATGGATGTTTAAGAGTCACGAAAGTTATCGTTAAAAGTGGTAGATTACCTAATTTCATTAAACCATTCTTAGGTACTAGTGTTAATTCATGGATTATTGAAAAATCAATTACCAATCCAAAAACTAATACTTTAATGTCATATACTGCCAATGTTGATCATAGAAAGTTTATTAAAGTTGAAGAATATTTAACTTATTATACAGCTGATCATAATGAAGATATTACATTATTAGATGCAAAAGTTAAATTTTCATCTAATTTGTTTGGTTTCAAACAAAAGATTGAACAATGGAGTCATCGTAGATTTTCATCAAATCTTCATAATACAAGAGAAGGTTTGAAATATGTTATGAATAGACTTCAACAAACTGGTGGTATTTGGCAAGTTGATGAAACTGTCACTAGTTTAAATTAATCTTGTTATCAATTATTTTTGCATTTTACGAATTTATGAATCTCCCCTAACTCTCTTAATCAATCCAGAATCAGTCAATCTACTATTGATGATTCATGTATTTAGCATCCACCTTTAGTTTAGTATAACTATGGTTTATATACTACTTTCTTTTGTACATAGTCTATAAAATAAATGAATGTAATCTAACTAACTAACTATGGGCTGTAAATATGATTTGTGGCTCTAATCACATCCTTTCTTGTATACAGGAACGTACAAACCAAACATATGAGCAATTCCGTCTGGAGAGATAAAATCACCAATCTCACAAGACGACTGACTGACAAGGTGTGATAAATCATCAAGTTTATTCTGCTTAAGTCATACCATATTTTAACTACTGGAAACTATAACTATAAAGTATAGTTGCATGTTCATAAGTCATATTTGAACATATCAGCGTTGTTCCTTATTAAGAAATAGTAGTGTTTCATCCCCCATTTTTTATTCCCCTTATCAACCCATCCCTTGTTGCGGTTTGCTGTCATCATATTTTAAAGCTGATTTGAAACATCAAGAGAAAGTCATATATATATATATTACTATAACTAATCATGGAAGTATCTCAAGTATACCATACTCCCAAGGTGAGAAGTAGGAAATCATCATCATCCACTTCATCCGTATCAAGCTCACCAAAGTTAAAATCACCATCGGGTATAAAGGAAGATACTCCTTCATCACGTCGTGAACCAACTATTATTAAAAGACGTAATTCCCATTTTGTATCTACTTCATCACCATGGTTTAGAAGAAATTCCTTCTTGTCACCTTCAATGATTCAAAATGAAAATTTCTCTGTTTATGAAGCTCCTAATTTTTATAGTGAATCATCAAGTACATATAATATAATTTCATTACGAGAATGTCAAGGATTCTTATTTAATCAAGATTTATTTGCTACTCCATATCAACAATCTAAATCATTAGCTCAAGAACGGAAAGTTCGAGAATTATCCTTTAGTAAATCAAAATCAAAATCAAGATCGAATTCAAGATCTCATTCAAAATCAAAATCAATAACTCCTTCCGATTCCTCCAATTGCATTAATCAAGACCAACCACCTCAAAACCGTCCGTCAGAAAGAAGACATACCTCATATCATGCTCCCAGACCCAGCTTTTTAAGACCTAGTGATGATAGCGCCATCATTGATGATGATGATGAAGATGATGAGGTTGAAAGTAATGTAAGGGCTGCCGTGGAAGATATTGATATGGAAATGAGTCAACGTAATACCATTGTGAATAAATATAATGAGGAAGAAAGTGAAGAGAGTGAAGACGATGATGATGATGATGATGATGGAATAGATGATGATGATGAAGATGATTATGAAGAAATGCATGGGTATGGTGGTGATTCAAATAATAGAAGGTATAAAGTTCATGTCACTGAAATAATAGTGGATGAGGCTGATAATGATATCTTCCCCAATTGAATCATCATAACTTCCTTCCGCCTAATTGAATTGGAATGATCGGTGATTATTCTAATTCTTTTGATTCATATAATTTATTGTCTTGCATTAAGGTTTGGTTTCGGCAGTTAATTTTTATCACTTAAGGTTCATTGGTTTCTACATTTACTCTTTCTTTTACCTATCTCCTCATTCTCTTGCTATGTTTGTTACCCTATTTAATTCTCTCTTAATTAACTGTTTATGTTGTTTTTTTTTTTTACTTTTACTTTTATTTCCATTCATTTTAAGGTTGGTAAATTTTATTTGGTTTGCTCATTTGTTCTTTATATAGATAATTCAAAAATTATACCCATTATAATGTGTTACGAAATGTGTAGATGTGTTCTATGAATTGCATACCAACTTAGCATCAATTTACCTTATCTAAGACCATTACTAAAATTGGTAGCCCCACTCCACAGACAAAAAAAAATTAATTGATTGAAAAAAAAAATCTGATTTAACTAAACAACGAAATCAAACTGTGTCCAATCTAAACCTATTCATATAACCATCCTCCTAATATAACAAGATGTCTGATCCAAGGAAACAATTTGAAGAACAATCATTGGCATTTAATACCCAACAACAAAACTTGAATGAATATATATCTGTGAGATCCAAACTTGAGACTCAATTTCAAGAGAATAAAATAGTATTAACTGAATTTGAAAATTTAAATGATGAATCTAAAATATATAAATTAACAGGACCAATTTTGATTCCTCAAGAGTATGGAGAAGCTAAGTTGAATGTGACTAAGAGAATTGAATTCATTCAAGAAGAAATAAAAAGAATAGAAACTAAAATCAGTGATGAAGAAAAAGCCATGGAAGCTACTAGAGATAAATTATTAGCTTTAAGAAGTAATATCGAACAATAGGGTGTTAATCAAGTTAAGTCAAGTCATTAACAAAAACGTTAGAATATGTATTATATGTTCATATACAAAACCATATCACAAATTTGTGTGTCTAAATAATTCTATATTCATTCAAAAATATATACTAATCATAATTCGGGTACTTATCTTTTATCATTTCATGTAGGATCTAACCTCTAACTAATTGGGATCTAATCAAGTTAACTAAACTTATAGCATTAAACATCCCCCATTGTTCAGCTGAATTATAAGCATTACCTAAATTGTTTAATTTTTGAACTTTATCATCAACGAATTTCTTGGTATTTTTAAAGTCTTTACTAGTATCAGTCAATTGATATAATTCAGAACTAACATAGATTGATGAAATACCCATTCTTTTAGAATACCACGCAAAATCATTAGAACCATCACCTGCAAAGAAAGCAATATCATCACTTAAATTATGTAATTCTTCCATTGATTGACTTAAATAATAAGGAATCACCAATTGAGAAATACCAAAGGTTAAATGTTTAATCACCGGTTCATTCAACTCTAATCTCTTTTTGATTAAGTAACTAACTCTATCATATTCATCAGCAATATTATGGAATTCACTTTCAGGTTGTTTAATCTCACGTTCTAAATTCTTACGTTGTTCAATTAACCATTGTAACATCAATTTGAATTCAGGTGAACTTCCATCCTTACTGATAATAGCTTGTAAACTATCAGGATAATTCAAATCTCTAATGGTTCTGGTTATACAATTACTATTGAATCCATAAGTTGGAACATACTCTAATGATTTAGTTAAAATCTGCGATTCTAATGGTTCATCACCTGCTATTTTATGATCTCTGGAATGATAACTCCTTATGGTAGATAACAATGAGATTGGCTTTCTGACAGCCAATCTTCTAACTGGTGTTCTTAACATCTTTCTATGATTATCAGAAGAAACTAGAGGATTATACACTTATGATACGATTTTTTTATATCTCTATATATATCTTTTTTTTTTTCTTACTTCATGCTCGTAAAGGAAAGAAAAATTAAATTGCAAACATTTTCAGATTTTTCTTGAAAGAAGTGGCAACTGATAATTTGATCGTATAACTTTATCAAATCCTTTCATTATCAAACTACAACTATCATGTTGGTAAGTATAAGTCGTTTTGAAGATGTTTAACTATGATCAATTGATATACTAACTAGTTATTTTTCTGTTTAGATCAAACCATTGGGTGAATATAAACCTCCTCGTCATGCTTTAGATGAAGAAGATGATTCTGTACAACCATTACCCAAACCATCCATTGTCATTGATTTGAACGATGATATCAAATCAATAGATTATATAATAATAGCTCCTTCTACGCTTTCAAGTTTACCTGATTCGTTTGGTTCTGAGAAGTCGGTGGGATCAATTGCCATCAAATATGATCTTGCTGATCTTGTGCCACCAAAAGCCAGTGATGATGAAGTTGTTGATGATGATGAAGATTATAATATCATTGAACAGTTGTACTCGGCGAATAAGATCAATAAATTTGAAACCAGCTCCCTTGATCCTATTGATATCAAATTCCATCAAGTTGAAAATCATTCTATTATAAGTATAGTTATACCTCGTTATAGTAATATCATTACCTTTAACTTATTAGGTAAAGCCATTGTGGAGAAGTTAGCTCTTATTGTTAAACATGATTGGATTTTATTAACTCCATGCAGTTTAAACAATGGTAGTACTATAAGTAAACTTGAGTTAAGTTCAAAGAAAGAAGAGAAAGATGACGCTCATAAATTAATCCTTGATTCGATTCCAAATTTGAAACCTCCCCATTTCATTACTGGTATCGCTGCTTCAGTATTATCACAATTGAATATATTAGAAACTAAATCAGTATTGACTTTGGTAGTTGATCTGGAAGGTCATTCTGGATTTGAAAAATCAAATAGTGATGCCGTCGTTGATGCAGCATTTGTGGTTGGATCAATATTATTATCAAGTCCTGATGATTATATGTTAAATGTTAGTAAAAAAGTAAGAAAATTAAATGGATTTTCTAATTCTGGTATGTATATATAGATGAAAAAGGAATTAATCAATTGGGATATTTAAATGTGAAAATTTCTACAAAAAAAATAAATAAATGAATGAATCAAATTAAAAAACCAAACCGTAATATTATATAAACCCTAACTTATTTTTAAAATAAACATTAATTAAAACTCTAACTATTTGAATTTCTCATGGATAAGAAACAATTCCAAAGAACTGAAACTGATGAACTAAATGGAACTTGAAAATCTCGAGGTACGATTAAAAAATTAAAGAATTGAACTGGAAACCAAACTGAATAATTAATTAATAATGTCTTTAAATAAATCTTATTTAATTTAGTTTTAGCTTGTTCCCAAGTTCCACTTTCTAAAACGATTGTACCATAAGTAAAGAAACAAAATAATGAAAGTGGTGAGAAACATAATTGATCAGTCAAGACTTTTCGTAACACTTCTATGAATTTTGGATCTTTGGAATATATTTGTAAGAATCTATACCACCAACATTGAATAAAAGCCATTACAAACCCCCAACACATGAATCCAGCTAATCTATTAAATTGATAAAAGGTTAATTCAACAATCGGAGGTGGTAAATCTCCAAAATTATTAAAATTCTCTCCTCCGTTGGCATTCTCATCAATTGATTCATTATCATTTTGTAAATATTCAATGAATCGTTCTATACCTTCTTCATCCATAGGGATATTATCAGTAGCATTTCTTGGTTCTGCTTCAGTTTGATCTATTTCTTCTTCAGCATCTCTATATACATTAAACCCTGTCCCTGCTGTATTTCTCGTACCGATGATATCATTTGAATTAAAAGAAAGTCCTACTGATGGTGATGTTGCATTGAATCTAAAACTAATCCCAGGTTGATTTGGTTTATAACTTAAGATACTTTGAGCTAAACTTTCACTAATACCATATAATACTAAATTTGTAACTATAATCGTGATCAAGGAACTTTTCATATAAAGATTAGTATATTTAGTAGTTAATTTGATAAGAAATGATCCTAATATACTTATAATGATGAAATTTAATAATGGAATATTATAGATCCTTATACAATTGATTAATCTTACAAATGGATGGCGTTGAGATGAAGCATTGGCATTTCGATCATTGACATCTGGTAAATCATTCAATTGAATCGGCATTTCCCCTTTGTATGAAAGTTACTTTAAACGTTTCAAGATGGAAGTTGATCAATGTAATGTAATTGTATAATCCTATCCTAGCTAAGGGATCAGTTTTAAAGGGCTATACCGAAAGAAGGATCACTTTAACTGGTGAATCACCATAATTTATTTCGTGTTCCAATTTACACGACCTTTTTCTTTAAGTTCAGTCTTTTCCAATCAAAGTGAGAGAATTGTTAATGAGACAGAGAAAACAGAAGTGAAAGATTTTAGAACGATAGTTAACTAGACATATCATATCATATATCATATAGTGTATCAATCGTACTACTTTCCTATTCATATACCATGTCATATACTGCTAGTACACAACCAGTCAGATCAGACCCACCACAGTCTGATTATGAACTAATTGATGTTGATCCTCATTTCAATAGAGTAGTGGGATACTTTAGAAGTTCAGATTATCTTGCTTGGGGAGCTTCAACTGCTGCTTTCCCATTGGCTTTACAAGCTTGGGAAAGATTGGAACCAGCCCAAGGTGCATTCAAAGCTCCTGGTAAAGTTCCAGGTGGGGCTTTAAGAACTGCCACTTTATTAGGTTTTCTTGGTGGATTTTATTTAGCTTATGTTAGATCATCAAAAAGATTCTTAGGTTGGACTGAAAATGAAAGAGAAGTTAAAAAGGATAGATATGAAATAAAGAAATTATTATCTCAAGAAAAATTACCTTATCATGAAAATGAATCAGTATTGGATGATAGATTAAAAGATATTGCCAATAGAAATTCTCAATTTTCTTTTACTGCTTTTGCTGTGTTACCATGGTTTAATTTAGTTCATCATCCTTATCATGGAGTTAATGTTCAAAAATATTATGTTGATAGACCAGGTGAAGAAGCATGGGGATTTAAATTGAAACCATATGATGAAATTAAAGCTAAATATACTAAAGTTATTGAATAAATTAATTAATTCATAAACATCCATACCAAATTAAAAAAAAAAAGAAAAGTGGTTTAATCCAATCCCACTATCAGATATCATTCACATACCTCACCTAGAGCTACTTTATGTAATATAATCATTCACATCGCAATCTCATCCATTGTACCAACAACCTACCGCCAACCCACCTTTATTTCATTCACTGATACACTTATATTTATTTAAATTTTGTTATTTTAAAAGTATTTAACACTATTTAAAATACATTAGTAACGATATTCTTAGTAATCTCATAACACATAGATACTTTAAATCTATTTATTATAAGTATTATTATTACTTCTACTTCCATATTCTTCCTTTATAAAATACAAATTTGCATCTATTTAAAATTTTATCGTGTATTTCTATTGTAGATCCATACCGCACCACTTTAGCCGTTTGTTTACAAACCAAACAAAAAATAAAATTTAAAAACAAAAACAAACAATAACTGTAAATCTGACAATATATATACCTCCATTGATACCCTTCATTGAACTTTAACAAACATCAACAAATGTCTGGTGAAGAGCCTGATTATTCATCTCTTCCATTGGAGGAACGATTGGTTCATAAAGTTTGGAAAGTTAGATTGGAAGCTTATGAAGAGATCACTCGAGAATTTCAAAATTCACGTAATGAGAATGATTCCGTGTTTCAACCATTTCATAATAAACCAGAAGTGTTTAAACAGTTCATAACTGATTCGAATGTGGTGGCTCAAGAAAATGCCGTCAATTCCCTTGTTAACTTCTTGAAATTCGGTGGTACCGTTAATAACGTATCACGATTAAAATCATCTGGTATAGTGACTTCAATAATTGAAAAAGGGTTAAGTTCATCCCGTAAAAACACTAAGGATTATTCCATTGAGGCTTTATTATCATTAATCGAAATCTCCAATGATCCAAATACTTTAATAGAAGATTTCATTCCAACTTTTGCTAATAGATTACCTAAACTAGTTACAGGTTCAGTACAAGGTTTAACTGCTATTGTGGAGAATTATGGATGTCAAGTCATACTGCCAAGGTTAATTATTCCTTCTTTACCTAAATTATTCGGTCATGCTGATAAAAATGTAAGATTAGAAACTACAAAATTAACGGTTGAATTATATAAATGGATGGGAGATGCTTTATCATCAATTTTATTCCCTGATTTAAAACCAATTCAACAAAAGGATTTATCTAAAGCCTTTGAAGAAGTAGCCAATGTCACTCCCGAACAAAAGAGATTAACAAGATCACAACAACAAGAAATTAAACGAAGAGAAGAAGAAGCCGCTGCGGTTGCTGCTTCAGGTGGAGATACTGATGTGGTAATGGCAGATGATAATCAACCTATAGGGATATCAGCTCCTAATGCCTCTGCGTTTGATCCATTTGATTTAGTCGAACCAACTGAAGTATTATCTAAATTTCCTCATGATTTTGAAACCAGATTAGGCTCAACAAAATGGAAAGATAGAGTTGAAGTTTTAGAAGAAGCTCATGCTGTTTTAGATAAAGCAGTCAAATTAGTTACAACTGATGATTATACTTATCTTATAAGGGTGTTTGCCAAATGTATGAAAGATGCTAATATTCAAGTTGTTCAACTATCCGCCAATTGTATAGAATGTTTGGCTAAGGGTCTTAAAAAGAATTTCCATAGATATCAAAATCTTATCCTTGGACCTATACTTGATAGAACCAAAGAAAAGAAAGCATCAGTAGCTACAGCTTTATCAACTTCATTAGATGCCATATTTCAATCTTCAAGTTTAAGTGATATTCTTGATGAAACTTTAAATGGAATGAAACTGAAAGTTCCTCAAAATAAAATATCCGCTACTAATTATTTACAAAGATGTTTAGCCGCTACTACGATAGCGCCTTCAAATACTGAAATTGATTCGATTATGGAAGTGGGTGTTAAATTATTAAGTGAATCTCAAGAACCAATAAGACAAGCTTCAACTGAAATGATTGGAACTTTAATGAAAATCACAGGCCAAAGAGAATTAGGTAAGTTTCTTGAAAAGATAGATGATAATAGAAAAGCTAAAGTTTTGGCATTTAGTGAAAGTGTACAAGTTAATTCGAGTCTTGGATCTTCGACTTCTTCTGCTTCAACTGCTTCTAATACTATTAAAAAGACACAATCTTTCAGTGCTGGAACTATTAAAAGACCAAGACAATCAATAGCACCAACTTCTATACCAGCCAAACGTGGAGCTTCATCACCTGTTAAAAGAGTAGATGATGTTCCTAAATCTTCTACTTTAGGACGTGGATTAACTGGAAGATCCTTAGCTGCATCCAATATACCTCCAATTCATCATCCTCAAGTATCACATGTTCCAGTAGCAAAATCTGCTATTGATGCTCAAGAAAAGGAAGAACTTATTAAATTACGTAAAGAAAAGGAAGAATGGCTCATATTAAAAGAAAAAGATTCTCATAGAATTCAACAACTTGAAGATGAATCATATGCTCTCAAACAAGAAACTTCTAGTTTTAATTCAAGAATAGAAGCTTTACAAAAGGATTTAGCCAATAGTACAAAAATGTTAAAACAAAAGGATCAACAAATAACTCGATTAAATCATGATTTAGAAGATGCTAAATTAAAAGTTCGAGATCTGGAACAAAAAATTGAAATTATGAAACTTCAACAAACTAATAAACAATCAACATTCGGAGGATTATACTCTTCCACCACCAATACCAATAATAATCAAAAGACTTATACATCATCACCTTCAAATAGACCAACTACCTATCTTTCTCCTGAACGTACCAGAATAACCTCAGGTGAATTGAGTTCCGAAGTTAAACGACTTTCCCTTGATGGAGGTGAATCTTCCAAAGAAAACACATATCTCACTAGATCAAATATCTATAATAGAATATCAAGTACGCAAGGGTTTGGATCTCCTGCTAGTGATTCTCATTCTGAGATTGATGCTGATTGGAAGCGTGCGGCTGAGGTGACATCCCAATTAAAAGCAAGAATAGAAAAAATGAAAGCTAGATCAAGAAGTAATACTGCTGGTATTAACTAAACATAAAGATAAGTAGATGGTTTTGTATTATTAATATATAAATTATAATGTTTAACTTCATAGATTGTAATTTGACAGCCAAAGATTTCAGAAGTGCAACAAATCTTTTGCATTCCCCGTTTACGGAACACTGAAAAAAAAAAAAAAAAAAGTTGAAAAAAATTGAAAAATAAAAATAAAAGACACAACTGTGAAAGACGAAGCAACAGACCTTTAACGGTGAATTATAATATACAATGTCATCTAAATTAAGAATCTTGGTGCCAGTCAAGAGAGTCATTGATGCTGCCATCAAACCTAGAATAAACAAAACTCAAACTGGTGTAGAGACTAAGGGAGTCAAGTTCAGTATTAATCCTTTCTGTGATATTGCATTAGAAGAATCAATTAGAATCAGAGAAGGGGCTAAGGATTTAGTGGAAGCCATTCATGCCGTTTCCATTGGTCCAACCAAAGCACAAGATGTTTTAAGAGTGGCATTGGCTAAAGGTGCTGATACTAGTACTTTAATTGATGTTGGAGAAGAAGAAGTTGAACCATTAAACGTTGCAAAATTATTACAAAAAGTAGTGGAGAAAGAGAATTCAAATTTAGTTATCTTAGGTAAACAAGCCATTGATGATGATTCCAATCAAACTGGTCAAATGCTTGCTGGGTTATTGAATTGGCCTCAAGCTACCAATGCATCCAAGGTTGAAATCGAAGGTGATAGTGTCACTGTTACTCGTGAAGTCGATGGTGGTTCAGATACTTTAAGAGCCAAATTACCATTAGTCATCACTACTGATTTAAGATTGAATGAACCAAGATATGCTTCTTTACCAAATGTAATGAAAGCTAAGAAGAAACCATTAGAAAAATTAAAGGCAAGTGATTTTGGTATTGATATTGTAAAAAGATTAGAAACTTTGAAAGTGGATGAACCTCCAGTTAGAGCTGCTGGTATTAAAGTTGAAACAGTTGATGAGTTGATCTCTAAATTAAAGGAATTAAAGGCTATATAAAAATTTATAAATCTATATAAATAAATCATTAATATTATGAATCCATGTAAAAATCGCACTCAATTTTTGAACATCTATACCCAATTTTTTAAAATAGGTCTTACCCCACGAAATATCTATATCTACTTCTTCCACACTTAAAGGATATCAATATGACTTCATTGTCGATATCAATTGACTTTTTGAAAAGTACGATAGATGATTATGACTTTAAAGAAAGGCCCTTGATTGTTGGTTTAAGTGGTCCTCAAGGTTCGGGAAAGTCGTATTTGGCCGAACATTTACTTTCAAACTTAAAGACATTATATCCTCATTTAAACATAGTTCAATTCCTGATGGATGATTTGTATCTTACTCATGAAGAGCAATCCCAATTGAATGAAGTGGCTAAGACTAAATTGTTAAATAATGGCTTGCTTCAAGGTAGAGGTTTACCAGGAACTCATGATATTGCATTAGGACTTCAAATTTTCCAACAATTAATAGAATCAAAGAGTAACGGTTCAAGACATTTACCAGTCAAGATACCCTTGTATGATAAATCTGCATTTCATGGCGAAGGTGATCGATACGATATATCCAAATGGCAAGTGATTGAAAAGCCAATAGACATTATATTATTTGAAGGTTGGTTTAACGGGTTTGAACCTCTTGATTCTGATCAATTGAAACTTTCATACTTCACTTCTGACCCCAGTGAAATACTCCAACGTCATAAACTATTCCATTTAGAAGAAATTAATCAAACTTTAAAAGATTATAGTAAAGTTTGGCGATTATTTGATAAATTTATATTCATTAATACTTCAAATATTGATAATGTCTACACATGGAGAATCCAACAAGAACATGCATTAATCAAAGCTACAGGTAAGGGTATGAGTGATGATAAAGTGGTTAAATTCGTTGATAGATATATGCCAATGTATAAGCTTTATTATGATAGAATGTGTGATGCTGGTGCTGTAAAAGCACCAAATTCAAATTTAAAACTTAGCATTGACATTTCACGAAACGTCCTTTCTCATCAACTCCTATGATACAATACAATACAATTACATAGATATATACAATACACGACCAATAATTGATGTCTAAACCTTGTAATGACAATCTGATAAATTTATGTGTATGTAAATCAATGGCTCAAAACAATCGCGAACCAAAACTGGATTTGAAAAATTTCATGATATTTGGATTCGTACACCAATTGACGTTTCTCTATCCAGAGCATTATTGGCTTACAAAAGTACATAATCGTATATTCATAATGTCAACCACTGGTGAATTAACAGCAGGTATGTATCTTTCACTTTTTCTAAATGATTAGATTGAACTTATAATGACTAACTGAGATCTTGAATAGAGGAAATCGCTTTATATGATAGACAAATTAGATTATGGGGTATGGCAACTCAATTAAGATTGAGGTCAGCTAAGATTCTCTTGTTCAATTTAGGTGCTATCGGAGGTGAAGTTATTAAGAATTTAGTTCTTGGTGGGTTAAATTCTATAACTATCGTTGATGATTCAACAGTTAAAGAAGAAGATTTTGCTGCCCAATTCTTTTTACCTAATGATGATAGTATTGTTGGACAATTGAAATTACCATTAGTTATTGACAGAATAAAAGAATTAAATAATAGAGTCAATTTATCCATAGATACTTCTCCCTTAAGTAGTATCATTTCAAATCCTGATTTCCTCAAACAATTTAATTTGGTGATAGCTACTGAACTTACCAAGACTGAATTAATTGACTTGAATAGTACAACAAGAAAGTTAAATATCCCCTTATATGCCACTGGTGGTCATGGATCAAGTGGTTATATCTTGACTGATTTAATAAAACATACTGCAACTTCAGAAAAGGATGCTGGTAATGTTCTCAGACAAGCAAATACAAAAATCAATAGAGTTAAAACCATAACAGGAGTAAGCTACAATGAATCCGATAATAAAGAAACCATAACTGTTCTTGATGAGTATTGTCCTATTGCAGATATTTTTAATTCTAAGGAATTACCAAACCAATTAAATAAAAGACAAATGAAAAGATTATCAGCTGCTTTCCCCTTAATATTTGCATTATTTGAAATTCCAAGATTAGAAGATCCAGAAAGTATAGTTGACAAAGATGTTTTGAAATCAACTGCTCTTTCCGTATGTGAAAGTTTTGGTATTCCTTCAAGTTTAGTCACAGAAGAGTATTTGGAAGTTTTCAGTAATCAAGCCTTTGCAGAATTTGCTCCAGTCGCTGCTATACTAGGCGGTACATTGGCCCAAGATGTCATACAGTATTTAAGTCAAAAGGAAAGTCCTATAAATAACGTATTGATTTTAGATTCTATAAAGTCTGAAATGCCTATTTATGCTTTATAAACAAAAAAAGTTATCGTTAAATATATATTTATATAGAATAAATGTACAAAATTATTTGGAATTAGGAGTTAACCCTCTTCCTTTTCTTTTCTTTAAATGAGATGTATCTCTTAAGAATTTCAAAGAGCTATTCAATTTTATTTTTAATGCTTCATTCCGTATTCTTTCTTCTTTGATTTCATGTGTGATGGATTTTTTCTTAACTTCAAATTCTTTTGATTCATCTTCTTGTTGTTCGATGAATGATTCATATTTTCTTTTATTTTCTCGTATTTGAGATTTTAACTCTTCAATCTCCTTTTCAGAGTCTTCGATTGACTTTTCTGAATTTTGATATTCCTTTTGCATGAACGATTTTTCTTCTCCTTTAGAACTTATCCGACGTATGAGTTCTCTTGTTTTGTTTTGTAATTCCCAAATCTCTAATTGATTCTTAATATACTTTTGATTTGATTCTTTTTCAATATTATTAAACTCAGGAAATTGATGAATAGCTTCTTCTAGTTCTTTAATTTTAGTTTTATAAGTTTCAATTTCTTCTGATTTCTTCGCTATCCATTTATTAGCAGTAGAAATACGAACTTCGGCATGATCTATATCATCATAAATATTAGATATAGTTTTCTTTAATGGATCTTCTCTTCTACCCGATCTTTCTTGAGATTCTTGTTCATTGAATCTGACATATCCATTATATTCTTCTTCAGCTCTTTGCATATCAAGATATGCATTATTCAATTGCATGATTAGTTTGTGTGTAAGGATAGATGAATTATTGAACCCACTACCATTACCACCATTGGAATGAATACCAATTAATTGATTATATGAATTTTTCAAAGGATTTGTAACATAATCCAGCTGTAATCTTTTTGATTCATAATAAGATGGTTTAGCTTCCTTTTTGGCCTTCTCTTCTTCCGTAAGATTAATTATATCAGCAGAATCATATGGAGTATAATGATAGTGAACTTCTGTTAAAAGTGAACTTTCAACATCAATGGCAGTGAAACGTGGAATACTAGGTAAATCAGGTAATGGCCAAGGAGGGAAATTACTTCTTGTACTTGTTCTGAATACCTCATCAAAGAATTTAGATGATAAAAACGTAAGTTTTTGATTATAAATGGGAAAGATATCGGGAGGTAAATTTCCAATATATGCTCTTAAACAGACAATAGCTGAAATAAGTTTATATAAATGATCCTTTTGGCCTGTTTCATTTTCATAATATAATTTACAATGTTCGATAGTTTTCATTGGAACCAACCGTATTATAATGGCTTCACCTCTACGATTTTGAGATCGTATTTGTTTAACAAATTCATGATTAGTATCAACATAACCATCAAAGACAATAATAGTATCGAATTTGACTGCTTCTAATTGATCTTCATCTCGTTGAATCACACCATCATGAGGTAATAAATGGATAGTGGTGTTACTATCAGTACCTTTATTGGTCTTTTTAGATTCTCTTTGAACGTTATTTCCAATATATCTCTTTACATTTTTATTACTTGAACAACCTAATAGGAGTGCATCCACTAAATCAAAGAATTTCAAATTATTCTTCATCACTATAGCGATATTTTTAGTCTTTGAGGGACTATTCAGAATAATGACATTAATTAAATCTCGTAAAACATTGAATTTACCACTTGTATCTGCTAATTTATTAGGTAAATCTTTCTGAGTAAGATTCTTAGGCATATAATGATTGATTAATAGATATGGATGAGTGCTAACAAGCATACAATTGTCTATACATATTTCCAATGATTTGACAATTAACTCCTTGGTATCGTTGGTTTCACAATATTTCAAGATATCAGGATAGTGTAATGATACAATTTGGTCTGTTAATTCTTTTTGAAATTCATACATGGGAGTAGGTAAATGATAATCACCACTTTCATTCACATTCTCAAGGTCTAGCTCGATAATTGGAGGTTCTGGAGTACCATCCAAGATCTTTAAAAGATTCATGATATATTTGATTTGGTTGATGGTTTAGAGTAAAGTTATCTTTGGTCCCGATAGTTATCGTGTTTTCATTAAACTGAAAGAAATTTGTTTTTTGGTGCAGTTTTTTTACTATCAAAATCGGTCACATGATCAGTTTTTGGCAGCCTAAATGTATATCTATATGGAATTCCTTTACTTACAATTAATCAATTTAAAGCCTTTTTTAATATTACCTATACAAAAGAAACTATTTATAATCCCCATAATTTTACAGATCTATCCCATCCACTACTTACTATTTTACTACCATCACCACTTATATCACAACTCATTACTTTATCATTATGTCCAGCAAGACTTTTCACTTTAACCCAATTATCAGAAGAAATTATACCTAAGGTACCATCATAAGAAGCTGTTACTAAGAACGTTCCATTGGAATCTAATGTTTGAGGTTCTTCATTAAATTCTCCACTGACTTCTTTACTTAATACATCTGCTTGTCGTCTATTGAAAAATCTTACATCACTTACAACTTTCGTATGTAAGGGTATAGAAAACAATTCCGAATTCTTACGATCAAGTTTACGTATATCCCAGATCTTAACGGAAAAATCACCACTGGCAGTAGCTAAATGAGATCCATTCCATGACCAATCCATACTATAAATACCTTTAATATGACTCTCCATAGTAGCAATTGATCTTCCTGAACGTAAATCCCAAAGTCTACCAATGGCATCTAATCCACCAGTAGCTAGTATACTACCGTCAGGGTGAAATGAACCAGCAAATACTTCTTGCGAATGACCTTCTTGTTGTATTAGTTCTTGTTGTGGTTTTTCTAAATCCCAAAGTTTCCAAGTTTGATCGAATGATAATGATGCTATGTATTTCGATGATGGATGGAATATTGTCTTGGTGATTCTATTATCATGAGCCCCTTTAATGGATAAATGTGGTTTAAGTTTGGTATTTCCTTCTTCTTCCACTTTCCAGACGTAAATATTACCTTCTCCTCCTCCTGAAACTAATAAATTACTATCGGAATATATGTCCCAATCCAATCCACTAACTTTGTCAGAATGATATATGCTATCTTGGGATTTCTTTATACTCAAGTCTGAACTATTCAAGATCGTTAGTGAACCATCCCACGATCCTGTAGCAATTAAAGAATTATCCTTTGAGAATCTTACAGCTGATAATGCTCTTGTATTTCTTGGAATCAATTGAGAACCATATAATTCATAATCCTTAAGTTTGGAATTGATTTGTCTTCTATGCTTTAATACTTTTATGAAATTCTCCTCTCGTGCTAGTTTCTTCAATGTTTTATTCCTCTCAGATGCTTTATGTAATGAAAACTTTAAAATATCAACTCTTGCATCATATAATTGTTGAGACCCAGGTGTATAAAACTCTTCATCATCATCCTCATCCTCATCTTCTATATCTTCATCTCCATTTTCAACTTCATAGTCAAAGCCAGTCACCTCGTGTGGCATTTCACTTATGAGTTTGATCAACCTTTGACGTCGATCTGATGCATTCTCTCCAAAATATGTAATTGGTTGATCTAATTTTCTTAATTGTAATTTGACATCTTCATCTAACGTAGGGATATTATTCACATCTAGATCCACATTCAACCGTCTGGGGTCATTGACGACGGGTATGTTATTACTGTCCATTTACTATCTCTTGATGATACACTTCAGTTGTAACTGTTAAACAAATGCTTTTTGCACTGTAATTTTTTTTTTCAATCGCAGTTTTGTTTTGATAAACGGCTAAATTTAAAGGAACGAAATTACTTCATAAAGTGAATAATATAAGTATAAATAAATAAATAGGTGATATAACTATATAGAGTGAGTATAATCTAATGGTTTGATTTAAGAATTCTGTCGGCATATTGAGCGAAATTCTCTTTGTCATTGACCAATTCATCTAAATCAGGCTGACAAAATACAGCCAATGTATTTCTGGCAATATGAGGTAAAGCTGAACCTTTAACATAATGAGGAACTGCTTTGAACTTCCCTTTTGAAACTTCTTGTAAAGCAGATCCACTTTGAAAAGCAAGACAATCAGTTGGAATATTTACTTTTACAACATTATTATTTCTATCACGGATGTATAATCCCAGTTCAGGATCGGGTGACTTCTCAAGATTGGATGTGAGGCCCTTAGACTCATCGATGAATAATGCAGATGTTAACCCTGTTAAACATGAGTGATCTAGATGTTCACCACACCAATCATCATCAGATCGATTTGAGGTGGTGGCTTTGGTAGGGAAATAATGTAATAATCTTGCCTTTGTACAAGTTGAATTCTTAACTATTCTTTTCAAATATCCAGTTTCATAAGTTTCATCAATCAGTTTAATAAATTTATCACAATTTGAAGCTACTGATTCAGCCACATCAATAATAAAATTACAAAGTTGTTTTAAATCGGTTTGAAAATTTTCTAAATCTTTATGTGAGGATGTTGGCCAAATATTAGCAGTGGTATATGCCTTATAATTTTCAAATTGATTGGTTAATTCTTGAGTTGGACCTTCTAAACTTGGATCATTATGAAATGCACAATTCACATAATATGAACCCTTATTGAAATCAGGTTGACCAGTCGATGCTAATTTCTCTTTTCCACAAGACCAACCAGTGAGCCATAATGATTCTTCAGATTCCAATTGTTGTAATTCATGTTCGGGTAAATTGGCTAATACGGAAGCACTTTTTAGTACTTTTAATCGTAAAGCATGGAAATGTTGGGGTAAATCTTTTACAACAATTATACCCAATGAATTAAGACCAAAAGCTTGGGTTAAAGTTTCATGGTTGATCCCATGTTTCAAGTCATTCAATGTGACGATGACAGGCTTTTCATTAACCGATACAGTCATTTTCTTGAATAATGTTTGATTAAAAGAATGATTTGAAAAATTTAGAGTTTAATTTATGAACGGCTCTGTTTAAGAAAAGTAGTGTGATTGAAATAACACCCGCTTTCAATTCGAACCGGTGTAATCTTATGCTCTTAACTATTGAAGTTTGGATTTTTGAGCTTAAATTAAAGTGTTGACGAGTATTCAACTGAGGCAAAAAATTCCGTAAGTTTTGAAAAGTTTTTAGGCGATTCTGTCAGATTCATTTATGTTTAAAATTGATATTTTGGACATTTAAATGGCCTTTATTTTGATTTTTAAGTAGTCTAATACCTTATTCAATAATTTAAGTATATGATGGCTTAATTTGGCTAATTTTAGATTAATTTTGGTGGAGTTATTAATTAAATTCAAGTTTCTGAAATTCTGTATATTTTTGCAACTTTTTTCACTAAACAATATTGATATAACTTATCAAAATTCTAATAAACTATAAATTTAATAATTATTTACAAAAATTGTATTCTGAATTAGGTATATCATACTAAAATAGATCTATATTCTATTTTTCTATTTGCAAAGAGATTTCTAACTATATAAATTTAAATAATCTGCATCTTCCTCATGGGAATCATTATAAAAATTCTCTAATTTATGATATGGAGAAACATCATTTTCTTCAAATACCAAATCACTATCTTGTTTCAATTGATCTGAATCACTTAAATAAGTTGGAATTAATACACTTTCGTTTGAACTATATTTATCTCCAAATCTCTTTATGCAACTTTTTTGTAACGATTTCATATCGTACATTATATCAGATTGAGTTTGATTCTTTTTTGCAGCCGCCATTAATTTTGAATTATATATTGCTGATTTACCAAATTGTTTTATAACCGATACATATGACTTAAACTTATCTTCCTTTATACCATAATGTTTGAATAAATAATTCATAACTGTCACATAATCGTAATTACACGTATCTAAAATTTTCAAAATTTCACTTTTCCTCAAATCAATGCCATTGTTTTCAAGGTATGATGATAATTGATTTTCTATAAGATTATGTTCGATTTGTTCATTTGTCATGGATGAGTTGATTAAAATACTTAATAAGCTTCTTGAATGAGACTTAACTGAAACTAACTGATTGAAATAACTAACAAACTTAGATAAACTTAATGATTTTATATAATTTAGATCAATCTCTTCTTTACCTCCCAAAGCTTGAAATCGGAAAGTTTTACTCAAAATCTTTTCAAAGCAATTCCAATGATTTCGATAATTATGAGAATCATTTATGAAATTTGTACTATTCATAGATGGGATCATAGCATATAATAAATTTGATGGTATACCACTATCTTCTAAATTTTCATTCTGACTATCTAAGAACGGTTTAATCAATTTCAGTTCAAACTCTTGGGTTGAATAATTCTGTAAGATTAATTCCCAATTGAAGATGAACTTTTCAATCTCCTCTTTTAACTCTTGAGGATTAAAACTTCCACTTAAGATTGATATATATATCCCCATTGTTGATCTTGAGATTTTCAACCCACTGAATATCGAATATCCTAATTGTTTCTTCGTTCTTAATTCATATTCAAGATTTATCGAAAACATATAATCAATTAACGTTCCTAAAGTTCTGGTTTCAATATCATCTCTGGGACCAAGTTGAATGTAATAATAAATACTATGTAAAGGATCTTCTTTATTAGTATTAGTAACTTCAAATACGTAATCTGTTCCTTCGGTTAATAAATAACTTGAAGGTTCATGAAGTTGTAGTGGAGAATTATTCAATATAATTCGTTCATGATTAGTTAATTTATTAATGATTTTACTTATTTGATTAACATCATCTTCATTACAATCACCATTAACGAATATTCTGGTATACATCACATTCCGATTTAGACATTCACAAATGCGAGATAATTCACTTTGATCTAATATTTCAAGAGCATCTAATCTTTCATCTATAGTCCATACATTCTCATCGAGTAACATTGTTGACCCTGCTAAAGCTTGTTTAATCCCATTCGTCACTAATAAATCCTGATACTCCTTTCTTAATTTAATTCTAACTTTTAGTAAATCCTTATATGGGATTTCTCCGCTGTTATTAAAATACGATAAGAATTCAGTAATGATAAACTGAAGAACTTTAACGAAATCTCGTTTGGGACCATTCAAATTAAGAGTGATAGAAGGTGTGCCAGTTAAATTAGCATATAACCCCCATGAGTAACCTAATAATTCAGCAGGATATATATCTATATCGTAAATCATTCCCTATCAAATCACATAATAATTCCATGGCGATGTTTGTCATAGGAGAAGATTCCATTTCGATAGTTTGGAATTGTAACGATGTGATGATGTTGGATTTAAAAATGAGGTCGTATTCTGGTTTGAACCATATTTCGAATTGTTTGGAGAAATCAAGTAATCGAGGAGGATCATTGATTGAGATTCGTTTGGTTTGAAACATTGAATTTTCACTATATGTTGATTCAAGATTATGAGGAGAATTTAAATTATGTAATAAAGTGAATAATTCTAATTCGGTAAATGATAAGAATTTATTGGTGGTGGGTGGGACATTAATGGTTAGTTCTGTGATTTTATTTTGATATTCAAGGATTTGTAATGGATCAAATGGGACAATCTTATAATCGAAATGATAGTATTTATCTTTCTCAAGGGTTGGATGTTTCTGATTAGTGAATTCATATATCGATTGTAATTGATTTGAAATTAAGATGATATTGAAATTATTAATCGATAATAAGTTTTCCGTTTCCATTTTGAAATCATGAAGTAATTGAATCCAAAAGAGTTCATTCTCATCATCATCAGATCCAATCCCTTTAAACCCTTTTAAGATATTATCTAATCCCAATTCATTCAAATCCGATTGTAAAACTTGAGAAAGATGAGATACTTCATCCATGATTGATGTAGAAGAAGTCTGATAATAAAACGAATGATCCTTTACGATTTTCAATTCTTTAAAATACCGAATCAATCGATATGAAGAGGCTGATAAGATTTGACCGATATAATTGAAGATTATACCAAGGATATTTGAAATATGCTTTTCACCATTTTTAGTTAATTCCAATTCAAGAATCAATACTTTATCATAGATGGTTAGATCTTGTATGAACATCATTATGGAAGATATATAATTCTTACCTGATTTAAGATAAAAACATAAGGAATCCTTTGACTCATCCCCTAATAAATTACACCAAATAGTTTCTAAGAAATCAAGATGTTTAATCATTTTAGGATCTTTAATAGGGAAGATTAATCTGATGGTTGGATTGAAATTATCGGAACTTATATAAAGGAGGTTATTTATATATTGAGGTGATTCATAAGGATGGAAATTGATGTATGAATCAGCAAATGAATCATGAAGGATATTTAACCCGGTATTGTCATTACTACTTGCTAACGAATTTAATGATGATATGGAATTTCTTGAGAATGAAGAAGTTGAAGAGTGATCCATGGATAAACTTTTTTTACGTTTATTCAATAATAAAGAAGTTGATGATGAAGTTGGAGTTGAACTTGACGATGACGATGATTGTCCTATATTATTAAAATTTTGAACTACTAATTTCTGTAAATGATTTAACGATTGAGGACCTTCAATGACTAATGACATTTTATTGGGTTGGAAATAATTCTGGAAGTAATTGATCAAATAATTCCTTATATTAAGTTTATTAATCTTTGGTGATTCATTTAAAGTGAATAAATTCCCTGTCCCAAATTTATGAAAAAGACAATGTTTATTAGCTAAGATTTCAAACCATGATAAAAGATTTTATTAATATTTGATTTATTTGAATCATGTTCATTATTGATAGCGTTAACTTCTTGATTTAATAAATTATAATTGAATATGGGATTTTTAAAGAATGCTGAAAAATTCCGTAATGAATAATCAAAGATTAATTCATGATTATGTTCAGTTTGATTGATGGGTAATTCATAATAAAAACAAGTTTGTTCACCAGTAGTGAATGCATTGGTATTCCCACCATTTGAACCTATAAGACCCATGAATTCATTTGGATTGGGGAATTGTTTGGATCCAAGGAATAACATATGTTCACAAAAATGAGCTAAACCAGGTAATTCAATAGGATCATTATGAGATCCAGTTGCTATACACATAGAACAAGCAGCAGCATCTGTTGAAGGATTTGATATGAGAAGAGCTAATATACCATTTGATAAATGAATGAGACGATATGATTTATTTGAATTGTATAAAGATTTTTCAATGTGGATTGGATAAGTCTTTATGGAATGATAAGTTGACATGATAGATGATTGGTTAGATGAACCATGGGATATTGATGAGTTGGTTAGGGAAGAACAAATAATATATAATTATATTATACTTTAAAAGTAAAGTATATATCATTATTGATATGATGTAAATCGGTGATTGAAAAAGTGTAGTAGGGTATATGAAGTAGATGTTTCAATATCTAGCCTTTCCTAATTAGGAAGTGACAATGCAAAAGAAACAAAATATACGAAACTGGTAGCACCCAACCACAGATCACATGATCAGATTTACTCCTATTTTTTCTGTTGATGATGACATCATATAAGGGGCGTGTACTTTCTACCAGAAATTGCTGGCACTAAAAAAAAATGCATGATTAAAAAGAAGAACACCAAGAGATGGTGGATGTGTATATGAGCTTTTAGAACATGATGGCTTGTTTTAGAAATATATACGTATACCTTTAAATGATTACGTATGGGTTAAAAGATTTACAGTATTAACTAATAGTAATGACCATTAGTTAATTAGTTATAAAATAACGTGATAGTACTGTGAATGATAGTTATGGTAGTTAATAGTAATAATAGATAACAATCAGGCTGGTCCATGTAATTACTGCCAAAAGATAAGAGGAGGGCGTGTACCAACGGACAAAATACTGCACATAGAAAGGCTGTCGTCCGCACACCAAACACCCATACCTCAAAAAAAGAAATTTAAATTTAATTCTTCTTTTTTCTCATACAAAACCAAAATAAAAAAAGAAATTTTAAAAAAAAGTCAACAAAAAAAAAGGTAAGTACGAAAACATCAGAACCTCAAAATTTATTAGTTAAAGGTCAAAGAAAGGGGAGAAGAAACGCAATTTATAAAGCAATTCTAATCCCAAATTCAATTTCAAATTTATAGTCATATTTCAACCTGATTATACAAAGTTACCGTTATTCTATTACTCATATACTACTATCATCAAGCATAACTACAAACAAACAAACCAACCAGCCCATCACATCACATCACCCATAACAACATTCTTCCCCTCCTCCTTCAGTCTCATCAAACTCAGTTTTTTAGCCACCCACATGGAATCAATATAATCAATCAATAAATTCCACCTTAACAAATTGTCTCTATATTAATTTTCCATAATCATGTCTAATCAGTATATATATAACAACTATCAACAATACTCCCCCAACATTCCTCATTCCTCCCTTGCCTCAAATGGTAATAACAACAATAATAACAATAATGGTAGTAATGGTGGATCTATAAATTCAAATACTAGTCCAACCACTGCTAACCTTAGTTATATCTCACCTCCTGGATCTTCAAATAATAGCTTATTATCATCTTCAACCAATTCATCAACCTCAACTTCTGGAAGTTCAATGGTTGGTGGTGGTCAACAACAACAAGCTTCCCAACAACAACAACAACACGTTGGACAACTTTCATCCAATTACTCCTTCCATACTCCTCGTTTAAGATATTATTTATCAAAATCATTCGATATAGAAGATGATTTGGAATTTTGTCCTGAAATTCTGGAATCAAATTATTTGAATACAAGTCCAACCATTAAGAAATTTAATCCTTATACTGCCACTGTTTTCTCTCCATCTCAAGAAAATCATAATCTCAATCAACAACAACAGCAACAACAACAAGTTCATAGTCATAGTCATACACCTGTGTTTATTCCAACTTCAAATTCAGCAAATTCAACTGGGAATCCAACATCTCCAAGAATTCATACTCCAAGAATTAGAAAACCTTTGGAAATTGTTAATCCTCAAACTAAATTAAGAGTGGGTTCTCCTGCTATTCAAAATAAATGAAGAGACAGAATATTGTTAATATATATATGTAAGCGATATTCTTGAAGTTTATATTTTGAATTGTATGTTGTATCCATCCATCCATCCATCCATAGCCCTTAGTTTTGTTTTAAAGAGATGTTTTCCTTATCCAGTTGTTCTTTGTTCTTGTTGTTGTAGTTAATGATGAGTGAGATGCTTTAAGAAACCCTATATTTTATCCATTCATTCATTCCATTCCAGTCCTATCCATTTATTCATTCAATTCATATACATATAGAGTTTTAGACAGTGTTATTTATTTATTAAAAACCATTTATCCATAAATATCATTCATTCTCATGTAAATTATTAATATTATTCCTTTCCCAAAATTTTATAATTCATCATCATCAACATCAATCATCATTATTTTTACTACTACAAGCATTTAAAAAATTACACAACTTATTTATCAAATCATTGCATTTTATACATATTCCAAGGGTTACACTTATAAAAATAAAAAAAAAGACATATCATCATATCATCACATACATACATATACACACGCTTATACATACATACATACAATTTATTTTTTCATCTATGTTGTTTCTTTCATATATATATATTATAATAACTTTCCTTCTTTTATTGTTCTTAGTTTTAAGATTTTATTTTTTCAGGTAGGGGAGGTCCTTTTTTATATAGTTTGTTCTTTTATTTGTTTTGATTGTTTATTTAGGAAGGAGAGAGAGAAAGTGATTTGAAAAGAGGTGGTTTATTTGGTTTGGGGTAAAGGGTTTTTTTGAATTATCGGTATTTTCAATGACTTTTTTATGACTTTTATTTTGGTGTTTGATTTTTTTATGATGTTGGGACTATAGTTTTCGAATTGATATTACCTTGTCTGGATTCAAAACTTTATCCTTTATCCATATATTACCCTGTTTTCAAATCTAACTCTTCCTTTACTGTTACTACTCATTATTATTATTATTAGTTTTTACCTTTTATTATTAGTTTTATTAGATAATTCATATCTTTGTTTATATTCTGAATAATAATTAACTATTATTATTCATCATTGTATATGTGCCACATCACATCAATGGCTGCTACATTTTTTTCTTGTTCTTGTACTTTTGCATTTCCTTTTCTAATGTTTAACGAAATACATACATATATATATATCTATAACTACATTTAGTAATTTTTTACTCTTATAATCTGTGCTAAAAACGGCAACTTCATGCCATCTAACAATAACAATAAGTTTTATTTTTAGCCACTATACCCTCCTTCCTTCCTTCAAAATTACATGATCTAATAATACATTCACGTCCTTTGTTCTCAAAAAAGTTAATTTTATCTTATGAAAGATTTATCCCACATTTTTCTCCGCTTTAACTCCCACATTTTTTTTTTCAGTTTGCGCTTTTTTGCAATCACGGTATAAGGAAAGTATAATAACTAAATATGGAACCATCGGTTTTCATTTTGGAATAGGCTTAGTTGATTGATTCAAAGTATATAAGTACGTTCACATAGCCCATTTGTTTTGAAGTGAAATAATCTCTTCTTCTTCTTCTTTATCCAATCCAGATCAAGACATCATGAACTTAATATCAATACTTTCAATTACATTATTACTTAATTTATCATCATTTATCAATGCTGAATCATTAGATTCATCTCAATTACATTTCTTAACTATATTTGTAAATGATGCTAAATCTCATTTATCAGATTATATACAATACATTGAAACTGCCACTGTATCAGTCCCCGAAGGATTAACTTCTCTTGCTATTGAAGTTCAAACTTATACCAATGATGCTTATACTTCCTTATTAAGTAGTAATGGGGAGATTAATATCAGTCAATTGGAAACGTTTGCTACCAATTTACCATGGTATAGTTCAAGATTAGAAGGGTCGATTGAAACAGGTGCTACTACATCCACTGCTACGACAACAAGTACAAATGGTCATACATCAAGTTCGACCAGTGTAAAAACAACCAGTTCAAAAACCACGAGCACCAAGAGTTCAAAGTTACCGGTTAATTTTTCTGCATCACTTGTTCCACCAGCCACAACATCTACATCAGCTGGGGAAGGGATTAATATGGGATCAAATTTTAAAAAGGGATCATTTTTATTTTCGGTTGGAACCATTTTAGCCATGTTAGTTTAGAGAATGAAGATCAATTCCATATGATGTTTACCCATGATGATGATGATGAGGGTTCGCGGTGGGAAAATTTTGTATTAGGAGCATTGGCTTATATTTATTATATATGATTTTGTAGTTTTTACTTAAAATAGCAATATTAAAAATTGATTTTAGGGTGTAAATTTATCAATTGTATCATTATGCATTCTCCAATCTATTATACTTCAAACATTTTCCCTTTAAATTAACTAAATGTATAATTGACGAACAAGGAATGTTATTATTATTAGGGTGAATGAGGTTCATCGTTATATACCGTACCTGGTTAACTTTTTTTTTGTGGTATGCTCCTGCTTGCTCCTCCTTTTTAAAGAAAATGAACTAAAATTTAAATATAAATAAAATGTAACCCTAGAACCAGCTACTTTAGTTCAAGTTTATACCATATAGACTTTCTAATCATATCTATCGTCATGTCAAACTATACTACGAGTAATACACAATCCATACCGGTGATAGTTAACCCTGATGGTTCAACCGTCGGCAATGGGTCTCACTTAAATTCAAATTTAACTTCAAATTCAAATCCAGGGCCCACAAGTACAAATAATATAAACTCAAATCCACCCTTTAATAATGGAGGTATGTATAATCATATGAGGTATAATGGGTTGTAATAATCGAGAACATGATATACTAACTTTAGCATCTAGTGAATAATCGTTTACCTGCCGATAGAAGACAACCTAAACAACGATTCGGATGGGTCAGAAGATTAATGCAAACCCCTAATAAACAACCACCTACATCTCAATCATCACAAGGAGGTCCAGCATGGAATCAAAATGGAAATAATTGGTCAGGTTCAAGACCTAGAAATCAAACTCAAACTCAACCACAAGGTCAACCTAAAGTTCGTGGTGCCAATAGACGTCGTTTAGATGAATCAAATACCATTCCAAATAATCATCTTAATGTCAATAACATTGTAAATAATAATAATAATAATAATCATAATGGTTCTAATGGTAGACAATTAAGAATTGATCCAAATGCTGAAAGTAGATCATTTGTTTCATTTGATAGTAGAAATGAAGGAGAATTAGAAGAACGAGATCAATTTTCAGATAATATAAGTACTATTCCATTAAAATCTATCACTTCAAGACAATCAACTAAAGCTCCATCTATTTTAAGTGGTAATGTTCATGATGAAAATAGTTTAGATGCTTCAACTACTGAAACTTCTTTAGCTCCAAGTACAGCCACATCAAATGGTGCATCACTTACACCTATATTATTATTACAACAACAGCAACAACAACAATTTCAACAACAACAACAGCAACAAGGAGCCGCAGTTGTCATAGTACCTCCTAATTCCGGTGCTACTTTACAACCTAATAGTCCAACGACAGGTCAAGATCGTGATAGTGAATCAATAGTTACATTGGCAAGTTCAACCAGAAGAATTAGAAGAAGAAGTATTGATACCAATTGTAGTACAGTTGGTATTGCTCCATCTTCAATCATGGAAAGATTAACTGTTCATCCCACTACTGGTGCTACTAGTTCATATGCTGTAAGTATTAGAACTAATGATAGAGCAAGTCAATTTGAACCTTCACTTTATGATAGTACTGATCAAACCAGTTCTTTAAGAAGTGAACATGCTATTGAAGTATAGTTACTAAACGGTTATTTATTTTTTTTTTTTTACATATGCCTTTCAAGTTTGTTTATATTTATTTATTTTGTTTTCCATTTGATTTAATATGGGTTTAGTTATCAGGGATATTATTATTATTATTATTATTGTTATTAATTTAGTCAGTCTATAGTGTCTGTAAATAAGGAAAATTTAAAATATAAAACGCTCAAATATTAGATTCATTAATATGTATTATATATATCTTTATGTTTCGTTATCAAAATCATCAGTTAATTAAAGTTGAAGTAAAACGGTTTTGGTTGATATAATCTTAGACTAAATTTGCGGAAGTCATATTACACAAACGTAAAAATTGCAAAATGCAACCAAAAGCGCACAACCTCACTGTAATTTCCCATAATTTTTAAACATAACACTTTTACAACATAACATAGCTTTTTGTTCTACAAGTATATTATAAAGATATCTATATAAGACTTAAGATAGAAATTATCAGATTAAGGTTAAGATGAGTCGAATCCTTGAGTTGGTCAACTGTGATCAATTCATCGCCTTTTATAGGGAGAATCGACATAAAACAGTTAATTTATATGCTACTTTAGATGATCCAAAAATCTCTAAAGTTTATCATGATGGGTTGAATGAATTAAAGGAAATCTTGAAAGATATTGATTTCGATGAAGAATGTCTGACTTCAACTGAGTTCAAAGAATTTTTAGAACTTTGGAAACGCTATGCTGATAAGTACAAATTATTACTCCTAATGATCTACAAGTTAAACAACCTGCATTATATAAACAATGATTTCGATATTGAAAGTGTGAAATTATATAAAAAAATAAATTTACGTTATCATTCAATAGTGGTTTTTCAAATTAGAAATTCATACCCTTTGGTTGATTCACTACAAGTCATGGACTTTAAGAGGTACTCTGAACAAACAAAATTATTCAGAGACAAAGTGATATCTAAGTCAAATTATACACTTGAAATCAACAAATCAAACTTTGAAGTCTTACTAAATTCAACCGAAAACAAAAGATTAAAAACCAATGTGAATCCTTCTTCAACATTTAATTCTTTCATAAGTGAATCTGGATTTTACTTTCCATTGGCTGAAAGAGAAAATACCAGATTAATAGAATCAAACTTGAAAATATTTGACATAATCCCCAATAAAATATCAGACTTTAATATAGAAAAAATTCCTGACCAACCTAATAGAGACGAAGACCTGAGTATCTTATCATACTTATTTGATCTATTAGTTAGTTCTCGTAGCCTATTTTTAGGGTTTAGATCTTTTATCAAAATTCTGCAACAAGAAACAGTGAGATTAGAACCAGAAACTATGGAAAATTGGGACCAAATTAATTTGTTTAGATTGGCATGGGTTCATATTATTATCCAAGTTAAAACTATTCGTGTACCTTTAGAAATTAAACTTGATGGACTTAAATTTAATTATCAAAGTTTTATTAATTCAAAGGATAAATCAGATACAGCAAGTAGAAAATTTATAGAAGTCTTTCTGACTGCATTCCATAAAGCTTTAATTTGTAAATCTAACTCATTTTTCATTTCTGATGGGGAATTTATAGTGGGAGTTGTCTTAGAACCAAATGCTTTGGGAGAAGGATCGGATTCATCCAATGTGCATGGTTTAAAGTCTAAGCTATTTTCATATGATGCTAAATTAGGATCATTTTCAGTAGCTATTTTCATTATCATGTTTGTTATCATTTATGCAAAAGCCATACCAGAACCCATGTATGCTCGTCTTATAGATTCAATGGTTATGACTAAAAAGCAAAGAGAATTTCAATGGGAAATGAATTATCAATTATTAGAGAAATTTGTTAATATAATTTCAACAGTTCCAACTCCTGATTCAATGCCAGAAAATATTCAATTAGCTGCCATACATGATACGGAGAAAAATATCCTTCAAGAATACGTTTCACTCCTTGAATTCTCCAAATTATTCAAAAACATTGTATTTAAAGATTTCAATTCAATCAACATTCTGTCAATACTAAGAGGTGATGATTTTCAAGAAAGCCACTCCGTTATTGTAGAAGATACTGACGGTAGCATATACAAGATCTTTGACCCAATAAGAAGTAAGGTAAATAATAACAATACAACTTCTTTTAATGAAAGATTCAGTATAGTTTTTGATTCATTTGTTCGTGAAGCTTCCACTCATATGTTTATAAATGAAGATTTCCAGTTTAAACCAAAATGTTTGGAAATTGGGTATCTTAGAAATGATAATAAAACATTTATGCACACAATAAGCTATCAAAAAGAAATATCTCTTAGTGGATTTTATATTAAAATGATGAAATTAGAAGGTGAAAATCTTGAAGAAATTTGGAATGAAAATTGGGCTCCAAAATTAAGAGAAGTTTTACAAAATCTTCATAAATTGAATGTAAGTCATGGAAACTTACAACTAGGAAACTTCATGTATGATAGAACAAACTATTCAATTTATGTCGTTGATTTTGGAAGGCTGAATAAAACTTGTGATATGCAGACATTGCAAGAACTGATGAAGAAGGATTGTGAAGACTTAGAAATCATGATTACTGACAGAATTTCAGAACCAGATTCTCGTAGTTGTACCTTAAGTGAAATTGAAGCTAAATATAGTTAGTGTAAAAATACATATTCCACTGCAGTTGGATTATTAAAGTGATAAACAGTTAATCTTACTTTTAACAACTGTATTTACAACTAATAAATATACATCTAACTACAAAATATCTTCCCTTATCCGTGTGTATATAACTTACCTATTGGTAGCGTATAACTGGCCTCAAAACCATTAGGTTAAAAATGCCATCTGATAAATTTGTATTCCATGAATTGATAATATTAGTATATAACTACGAATACCACTTGTCCTCTTTGAATAACTCCTCATTAAGGAATAACCAACACCAACAGTGTTTCTATATATAGCCTTTTTCCTTATAAGATTGAGATCCATACTAGTCCCAAATAGGAAATTCTGCATACAAACCGTATCAAACAAAATCTCAAAACGTCACAATAATCGAAAATCAAAACAAAACAAAAAACAAAAATATCAAAAAGCCATACTCAAAATAACTAAATAATAATATCAAAATATAGACATATTTTTTATAAGATCTTTGCATTCCTTACCCATTCATTCCTTCCTTGCTTCAACTCCTTTCACCAACCCAACCCAACCCAACCCACCTCACCTTGCATACAGACATCTACCATCATCATTTGCATTTTGAGGTTCTCATTTTTGGTGTGGAATTAGGGTTTCAAGTATACAAACCACAATTTAAGATAAACAAATAAATCATAACAAGACCAAGAAAGGAACAGACCAAGAAAGAAAGATAGATAGAAAGTAACAACTACATCCAATGGGGACCTTTAATTACAGCGACAACTCCATAGAGGGAGATGTCTATATTCAACGATTAGCCACTTACATCAGACGGAATGAAGAAGCATTGGCTAATGGTCTACTATGTTTCTCTAAAAACAAGAACACTCAGTTAAAAGTTAAACCATTGAGGTTAACCTTCTCCATCCATCATTTATATTATATTACAGAAAGAATAGAAAACTCAAGTTTAGGAGTTGATGTTGGTCCTTTGAATGTGAAATTAGATAATCCAAATCATGAACCTACGTTTATATCATTCATGGCTAATAATGCTCGTTCTTCCAAACATTTCGATAGTGATACAAGATCCATATCATCTATAAATTCTATGAAATCAATTGTTTCAAGTGCATCCGTTTATTGGAGATCATTTGCCTTTAGTAAAGATCCAAAGATTATTAATAAAGATATCAAATATTTATATTCATCATTCACAAAGATCCCATGTTTGATCTTAACTCCTAAAACAAAGATAAATTCTATAAGTTCATATGAAGAATACCCTTGTGATACTTCCGTACCAGTTAAAATGTTTAAGAATTTACAAGTATTGGAAATCATTGATTATGATCCTAATGAAATCTTTGGTTGGCATATTTTAAGTGAACAATTAAGAATCTTAATCATTCGAAATTCAAAGATTTCAAACGTAGAAGAAGTTTTATTTAATTTAATAATTGATGATGAAATGGGAAGAAGTAGTTTTAATACCAATACTCATAAACCAACTAGAAAATATACTGATATATTCACTAATTCAAATATTTCATCAAATCCTTTATCAAGTCATGATGATAGTAGTTTCAGTACCATAAATGAAATCAATGAATTCCCTGCGTTCAATAATAATATCAACATCAACAATAATGCATTTAGATACCCCCCAAAACGTGAAAGAGCAACCACCACTATAACAAATGGAACATATGGAGGAGCTGGTCCTTCTTCATTACCTAAGGATCTCTTTTTCAATGAACACATATCATCATCATCAACAACAAATCACAATGAATCAACTAATAATAACAATCATAATAATCGAGATTATCAAAAGTTACCTGATTCAAAATGGTCATTTTTAAAACAATTAACTATTTGTGAAACTTCCATAACTTCCATACCTGCATTCATATTCCGTCCTTTAGGGAACTTGGTTAAATTAAATTTATCCAATAACTTATTACAAGACTTACCTGATGGATTAGATCAATTAATCAATATTAAATATCTTAATTTCGCTGATAATTATATCACCAATTTAAGGAAATTACCAAAAAATTTAAAATATTTATCCACTTTAAACTTCAATAATAATAAATTAACATCCATTATTGGATTAGAGAATTTACAAAATTTAGAAAAGATCGATCTTAGAAGGAATAATTTACAAGATTCAAAAACTTTCAAACCTATAATCTTACAATTCATTAAAAATCCATCTAAATTTGATAACGTTTATTTATCAGGTAATACTAAATTATCCAAGACTTACAGAAGTGATCTTTTTAATTTATTTAATGGGGTTAAATATAAAAATAATATGAAAATTGATGATTCTAGACCTGGGTATTTCGAAAGTGCTTTATTATTAGATGCTGAATCTGCATTTAAGAATTTAGAGAAATTCTTTTCTGAAGAAACTGTATCAGCATCAAGTACTGCATCGCCAAAAGTTAAACCTAATGCAGCTACTGATGTATCAATACCTAGTACTCCTGAAACAAAAGCTAAGGTAGATAAAGAGAATACAACCATTATTCAAGATGAAGGGTTGAAGTCTGACGATGCAACAGCAGTGGCATCCCCTAATACACAACCATCACCATTAACAACTCATGCAAGATCAAGCACGTTGGATACTTTATTAGAACCATTTGCGGGTATAAAACTTTCTGATGATTCCAATGATGAAAATCCAAAGAAAAAATTTGATTTATCTCATTCTATAATAACAACTTCACCTACTATACTTCAATCTGATTCAGTAAGTGTTCATTCACTTCAAAAACAAAGTTCTCCATTAGGTACTAATCGTAATTTAACTAATAAAGGTGAAACTACATTATCAAATAGCATTTCCAAACCTCATATTTCGGTTCATTTATCAAATCCAAGTTCAGGTCCTAATAGTCCATCAGGATTAAAGAAATCTTCAACTTTGGTACAATTAGACATTGAAGGTTCAAACGTTAATACCACGGCTCCAAACATCGTAACTCAAGTTCAAGTAACGGCTAGAATGAGTACTTAATACCACTACAAATTGGGAAAAACAAGACACACGTTCATTTAATTGCATTTTTTAAACCAGTAGATTTAGTTTTATCATATCTACTCTATTTATAACTATATATATATATATGGTGTATATATGTATATTGCATTATTGTATTATTTATCTTGATAGACAAAATCAAAAAGTTTTGTGTAATTGGTACCAACCCTGCTGCCAAAAAAATTTAAATTTTCCCTGTGCTGCCAAAATATTTACTGCCATTGATGATCTCTTTTAACGATCTAAGTTCAGTGAATACAACTAAAATAATCATCAATCATGCTATCTAAGTTAAAGTATAGATATCTTATAATATTGTTGCTTTCAATTGATAGTATTTACTCTTTAGAGATTGAAAATAGCTTAGGAGCAGCAATTGAAGTAGTTCATAATTCATCATTAGATAAAAGAGGATTCCATGAGGAATCACCATTATTTCAATACATTGAAGATGATAGTTTATCAGAATACTTCAAATCACCTCCTTACTATCCATCTCGTTCGTTTTACCCTTTCATTTGATATATTGATTGATTGATTGAAGAGTTTTACCGCTTGAGTCTAATCCTTTTTTGATAATCAGTTTTTACTAACAAAATTTCATTTCAATTAGCCCTTGGAGGAAGAATCGATCATGTTTGGCAAAAGGCTTATGATAAAGCAAGAAAGCTTGTTGATAAGATGTCCATCACTGAAAAGGTCAACTTAACAACGGGAACAGGTTGGGGTTCAGGACCTTGTATTGGTAATTCAGGATCCATTCCAAGACTTGGTATTCCAAACTTATGTTTACAAGATGGACCAAATGGAGTTAGATTCACTGATTTTGTAACTAATTTCCCATCAGAGTTGGCCACGGGAGCAACTTTCAATAAAGGATTGGCTTATCTAAGAGGTAAGGCCATTGGAAGAGAACATAAAATCAAAGGAGTTCACATTGCTTTAGGACCCGTAATAGGTCCAATTGGATTGAAAGCTGCTGGTGGAAGAAATTGGGAAAGTTTTGGACCAGATCCTTATTTACAAGGTGTATTGGGCGCAGCCACCGTTGAAGGTATCCAAGATGAAGGTGTGGTTGCTACAGCAAGACATTTGATAGGGTATGAACAAGAGCATTTTAGACAAGTTGGTGAATGGGAAGAAAATGGTTGGGATTGTTTGGAAAGTTCTATTAGTTCTAATATTGGTGATAGGGCCATGCATGAAGTTTATCTTTGGCCATTTGCTGATTTGGTTAGGGCTGGTGTTGGTTCTGTCATGTGTTCCTTTAATAAAGTTAATAACACCTATGCTTGTGAAAATTCTTATTTGATTAACTATTTACTAAAGGAAGAATTAGGATTCCAAGGATTTGTGGTTTCAGATTGGGGTGCACAACACTCAGGAGTTTATTCTGCTTTAGCTGGATTAGATATGACAATGCCAGGTGAAATACCAGAAGAATGGTTAACTGGAAAATCGTTTTGGGGCCCTTTATTAACTAGAGCTGTGTATAATGGTACTTTGGGTCAAGATAGACTTAATGATATGACAATGAGAATATTAGCACCTTTCTTCTCAGTAGATACTATTACTTTACCAACTGAAGATGATATTCCAAATTTTAGTTCCTGGACTTTTCACACTTATGGCCAAGAATTTCCTTATCAACATTTTGGACCAATTGTTCAAAAGAATTGGCACCAAGACGCAAGATCAGAATTTAGTGATATAACTGCTCTTAGTGTTGCTAGAGAAGCTATAGTTGTATTAAAAAATGATGGTCACAACCTTCCAATTTCCAAAACTGATGGGATTAGAAGACTATTAATAGCTGGTGTTGGAGCAGGACCTGACCCAAAAGGGTTTAACTGCAAAGATCAGAGATGCGTTGACGGTGTATTAACATCGGGTTGGGGATCATCTGCAGTGAATAATCCATTCGTTATAACTCCATATGAAGCTATATCAAGATTTGCCAGAGAACAAGGTATGGTTGTTGATTTTACAAGTGATGTGTGGGAATTAGATCACGTTGAAGAGTTAGCAGACTACACCGATTTAGCAGTTGTAGTTGTAAATGCCGATTCAGGAGAGGGATTTATTGAAGTTGATGAAAATTTTGGTGATAGGAAGAATTTATCATTATGGCATAATGGTGATAAATTAATTGAAACAATAGCGGAAAAATGCCGCAAAACTATTGTGGTAGTTAATTCTGTTGGCCCTGTGAATATGGAAAAATGGATAGAGAATGAAAACGTTGTTGGAGTTTTATATGCTCCTCCATTAGGTCAATTTGTTGGTCAAGCCATTGCTGAAATTCTTTTTGGAGAAATTAACCCTTCTGGTAAATTGCCGTTCACTATTGCTAGGAAAAAGCAACATTATGTACCAATAATTGATGAGTTAGGAGGCATTAAGCAGCCACAAGATAATTTTGATAGAGATATTTATCTGGATTACAGGTTTTTTGACAAACATAATATCAAACCAAGATTTGAATTTGGGTTTGGATTATCGTATACAAACTTTAAATTATGTAATTTAAAGATTGATGAAATTAGCTCACCATCAGAGTATTTGCCCTTCCCTGACGAATATTTACCAATATTTAAAACTATTGAAGATGATGTCTGTGATCCTGAAGATGCTTTGTTTCCTCATGACGAATTTGAGGCTGTTCCGGGTTATATATACCCATATCTTTATAATGAGAATGTTCGTTCAATCGATGATGGGGATAATTTTGAATATCCTGCTGGATATCATCCTGATCAACCAATAGCACCTCCGTTATCAGGTGGTGGCCTTGGCGGGAATCCTGATTTATGGGAAGTTTATTATGACGTCAATGTTGAAGTTAAAAATGAAGGTAAGTACAAGGGAGGTTACGTAGCTCAATTATATATTGAATTACCAAGTACTATACTTCCTTCACCCCCTAAAATTTTAAGAGGATTTGAAAAAGTTTTCCTTGAACCAGGCGAAGCTACAAATGTATGCTTTAAGATAACCCATCGTGATTTAAGTGTTTGGGATACCCAATCACAACAATGGATTATTCAAACTGGTACTTACAAAATTTATGTTTCAAGTTCAAGTAGAAAGATAGAGCTTAGCGGTGAAATTGATATTGGCTGCTGATTGAAAATTATGCCGCATATTAGGGAATTGAATAATGGAAGGGAGGGCAGAATGATTCAATACTATTTGAGCTATATAATTTATTTTGCATTCAGCCACATTGTGATTTACATAGAATTAGTTACATTACCGTAATTGTTTAAATTTTCGATTGCATTGTATTAGTTAAAAATCAAAATGCGATAATGAGGTTGCATGGATATTGTAATGCTTAATGTTACTGATTTTATATTCAGAAGACGTTATGAGCACAATTTCATAAAAAATACTTATAAAATTAGCCCTGACAGGAAAGTTTAAATATTTTCTTGTATTGTGTGTACTGATAACAGTGGATCATGATTAAAGCGAATGAATTTGTAACCTGACTAAACTTAAAATTACGCAATCAGTTTTTCTAGTTACCTGTCAAAGAAATTCTGAAATAGCCAGTAATTGCGTTTTCTTAGATCAGTTTGTGAAAATTTCACATATTATATGGGAATCTTAAGTAGTTCTAAAATAACCTTAAAATAAATACGTCGTGATTTCGATTTCTCTTACATAGGGGTACTTGCTATGGCAATGAACCATTAAGATACGAAACTTTTAAAGTTATTAAGCCTACTGGGAGAAGCATTTAAGGATAAAAAAAAGTATATCAAATAGCAACCACATCCGTGGGTAAAACCATTTCCTTAAAAAAATCTATCCTATAATTACCGGATCTTATCGAAATATATGAAGTTTCCTAAAACGTTTAACCCTAGTTCTATTTAAAATTCTAGTCTCAAATTTAAAGTTATGAAATTGCTCGATTCTTTGTTAAGTGTATACACAAAAACATAATTTGCGCATTCAAAATTTGCGCTATTCATGAGATTTACTAAAAGGAGGGGCGGAGGTTTCTGGGATTTGACAATCAGAATTTTGCAATTTTCTTGTTTCCATACTATACGTTTATCCGGTGATTTAAAAAGATAGAGTTTTGATTAAAGTGCCACCTTGTGTGATTGGATATTTCCTATTAGAGTAGACTCACATAAGTGTTCTAAACCGACTCATCCCCTATTTAATCCTTTCCTATATTTTGCGATCTCGTTCCTGCTGAAATTAGGTTATGTTTTGCGTGAATTAACAATACTAAACTGGTAGTTCAGTTGGAATGTAAATCATTAAGAATGCAAGAGAAAGTTGCACGGTAAGATTAAGCGCACTTTTTAAACCTAACTTAAAATTTGCATTCTTCTAGATGTTGCTTATTGGCTAACATCTGTTCATATTTAGGGAGAGCTCACTTAAGTTGTTGTAGTTATATGGTATTTTCATAAAGTATCCCTAGTAATGAATCTTCATATGATTGTCGGTGAATATACTACTGCAATATTATTAGGGATAAAACTAAACTAATATATATAAATCGATCCACCTCTCTTAAAGGATAAACTTATAAATTAGTACTCAAAATAGAATAAGGCAGATCACGAAGTAAATAATCTTACAAAATCAATCATAAGATATCAATCAATAATTCTAAATGTCTATAAAATCTGAAAAAGAAAAACACAAAGTTATAGTCCTGGAAAGGATCATACCACATAGACTGGAATTGGCTGAGAAATTAGGTGATACTCATTTTAATGTTCTTCCTACCAAGAAAATCATATCTATATTATTGGTTCTCTCTGCTGGCCAGATAGTTTCCTTTATGGATCAAACTGGTATTACTGTTGGTTTACCTCAGATTGCCGATGAACTAAATGCTGAAGAGACCATTAACTGGGCCGGTAGTGCTTCATTGTTGGCTAATTGTGTTTGTCAAGTTCTATTTGGTAGATTATCAGATATATTTGGCAGAAAAACAATTCTTATGTCAAGCTTCTTGTTTCTAACAATCGGTGATATTGCTTGTAGTGTTGCTCAAACAGGTTACCAATTTTATATATTCAGAGCATTTGCTGGTATTGGAAATGGTGGAGTCTCTTCTTTAGGTATGATTATCTTAAGTGACATTGTAACCTTGGAACAAAGAGGAAAATATCAGGGTATCCTTGGAGCTAGTGTTGGTATTGGAAATGCTATTGGTCCATTCATCATGTCAGCTTTTATTAAATATTCAACTTGGAGAGGGTTTTATTACTTTTTAGCTCCATTAGGTGTGCTTGTTAATATTACTATATATTTTCTTATAGATGACAATAAGAAACAACTTGATTCAGTTCTTTCTAAAACAGAAAAGTTCAAGAAGATTGATTACTTAGGAATTTTAACTGCTACAATAGCTCTAACTTTAATATTGGTCCCACTCAGTAGTGGAGGCTCAATCTATCCTTGGAATAGTGCAATTGTTATTTCGATGTTTTCAATTGGCGGAGTCTTCTTCATCATATTTTTAATGGTTGAATGGAAGATCCCCGAACTTCCAATGGTTCCATTAAAAGTTTTCAAAAGTCCCTCCTTATGCATTTTATTAAGTTGCAATTTCTTGTTTGGTGCTGCTTACTATAGTTTCCTTTTCTATTTGCCATACTATTTCCAGATCGTTAGAGGATATGATGAAATTCATACTTCAATATTCATCTTACCTTTAGTTCTTAGTCAAGCTGCAATGTCTACTGTTGGAGGCTTAATAATCACACATACTGGTCGTTATATATATGTGGTTTCTACTGGGTACTTCCTTTGGATGTTGTCTTCTATCTTCTTAATCTTCTGGAACGAGAACCTTCATATTGCTTATTGCGTTCTTATTCTTTTACTTATGGGAGTTGGAGTTGGTCTTTCATTCCAACCTTCTATGATTGCTGTTCAAGCAAATTGCAAGAAATCACAAAGGGCAGTGGTTATTTCATTAAGAAATGTTCTTCGATCATTTGGTGGAGCTTTTGGTATAACCGCTGGATCAACTATTATAAGTAATATGTTATTGAATAAGATTGATATTATTAGAGATAAAAATATAGTACCAATAACTTATTTGGATTATTTACAAAAGCATGTTTATCAAAAAATTCAAGTTGATATGCTAACTGAAGATCAACTTTTAGTTGTCAAGCTGATGTATGTTGGTTCATTGAAATATTATTTCATTATGTTAATAGCCTTCATGGGACTTTGTCTTATTGGTTCATTATTTGTTAAAGATAGAGGACTACAATGTATTGACGAGGAACCATCTCATAAAAGGGATAATGATATTGAAACCACAGGTTCTTCTTCTAATTCTTCCCTTTAGACCTGGCGTTATCACGGTTTGTTTTAGAAGTTATTTATCAGTGTTTATGTTTTGTATAGAGAAAATGATTTTCATTATTTAATTTAACTTTCTTAATGTATTATAAGCCACAAATAGGAGATGAATGATTTTGCATATATTCAAACCAAACCATCTAAAAGATTTAGTTTAGTCAGTTTCATTTAAACCCCTGAAGATAGCAATTTAACCTATTTGTGTGACAACATATTTTGCATCAAATACGAATCAGGAAACATTGCTGTCAATGTCGCGATGCTGCACTATTTTCAAAAATTCAAAAACGACATTTCCAAAAAGGTAAACATACAACAGAATTAAATTAAAGCGCGTTTCATATAGCTATATCTGTTATACTGCTACCAGGTGAAGCTATATCATGGGCCTCCAAGAAGATTACGAGAGATTCAAGAACTTAGGATCTAATAACATAGGGCTGTATCCTTCGTATGAGAGAAATGATCGTCTTAAAGATGAATTTCAAAGAGATTCATCCAACAATCAGAGGTTGTATAACCATGTCAATATAGACAGCTTTACACAAAGATCACCAAAAGTATCATCATATGACAAACCATTCACGAGTTCTCAAAGGCATAGCCATCAATTTCAATCATACAATAAACCATTTGACATTTCTGAGGAACCAGTTTTACTGAAAACAGGAAAGCCATTGTACCATTGGCAGCCAAAACCTGTTACTGATCATTCTGCTGTTAACTATTCAAAGGCATTTGATGATTATGAAAGTACTACAAAGAATAGACAACATTACAAGTATGGATTATCATCCCCAATAAAGTCAATCCCTAAGTCATCACCATATTCAAAAATTCAACCTTCTAAATTGTATAAAGTTTTAAATGATAATTCAACAGTGAGAAATCAGATCAATTCATTTCAAACTGGTCCCGTACTTGATAATTATAAAATCTCAAAGCCTCATAAATCAAAAGAATCTACACAACAAGGTATCTTATCAAGATTAAGAGGATATCTTAACAATATTGGTTTGCCAGATGAAAATACAGAAAATCCAAACGTATATCAAACTAAGGTAAAAGACAGATTGAATAAGAAGGTATCATTCGAAGACTCAGATCCAGCATATGCCAGAATTTATAATCGTTTCAACCACAATTCAGCGGATTTAGATAATGATGAAGTAGATGATACCATACAGCAAACCAAGAAATTAAGTACATTACTAAGTAAACAACGAGAAGAAGTACTAGAAAGAGAATTGAATGATATGAAAAGAAAGGCAAGTGATGAGAAAGATAGGAATGAAAACTTGATAAGGAGGCATGAAGATGAAACCCACAGTCTACACCAATCATATAAAGAGAGAATTGATCATTTAAATGGAAGAATAGCTGATTTTAAGGTTGAACTTGACAGAACTTCATATGATAGTGATATCAGAAAAGAATATGAAACGTTAAAACGTCAAAATCGTGAAAAAGAACAACTCATATCAGACTTACAGATAGAACTAGAAACTATAAAGTCACAACTATCCCGTCGTGAACAAGATATTCAAACCATACAAAAAGAAAATAAAACTAAGAGAAATCTTAAACAGGTAAAGATGAAGAGAGAAAGTGTTTCTAATGAGTTATTGCTTGAATCTAAGCAGATTCAATTAAAGATTGATAATTTAGAAGCTCAATATTTGAAATTACGAATCGATGCCAATGTCAGTTTACCTTCCTTAATCAAAGAAAACATACTAGATTATGAAAAGACCAAACGAGGTATAGAGAAAGCAATTGCAACTCTCAAACAGAGTAAAGGTAAAATAGATAATAGTGAATCATCTCAAATTAAATCATTCATTGACAGTTTAACTGAATATTTAACCAGCTCAAAAGTGAAAAACGAAGTCAAATTAGAGAGCCTTGATAAAAAGATACTGTCTACTGGGAATAACAAGGAATCTGTTATCGCTACCGCTAAGTTGTTAAAGAAGAAATTCAGTGTTTTACTCAAATTGAAATCATTAAATGAGTTGTCCAGAATCGCTAATTCTTTAGAAGAATATTATGAAGATTCTTTAATTCTAAGAAAAATAGCAGACAAAGAAGACTTCAGTCCTTATGAATTGTATGAAAAGATCAAATTTGAATTAGATAATACCCTCTTGTAAGTATATGTATTTTTATATAGTATCAAATATGATAAAGTACTTTTGTGGAGATGCTCATATTTTTTTTTTTGTGAGTCGCGTAAATAAATTTCATTTACTGTTTGGGGAGATTTTTCAAAACGCGTTTACAATTATAGATTGATCAAGAAGAGACTCTATATTGATACATAGAATTCGTTATTCAGAGAGCATAGATGGAGAGACCAATAAACGGTAATAATTCATTACCAGTGAAGCTCCAACCTTCAAATTTAAGACCCATTGCTTATCGAATCCTATCAAAAAAGCATGGTTTAAACATCAAAACAGATGCATTGAGTTTGTTAACAGAAGTTGTTAGTTATAAATATGGATTTGATTGGAAGGGGTTCCAGTCTCAACAGTTCATTGAAGAGATAGGAAAGATATGGAAACTTGAAGATCGTGGAATTTTTATAGATGGACCTGGATTAAAACAAGTTGTTCGAGAAATCAATAACAAAGGTGAAAGTACAATCAGCAGATCATCAAGTACTGAAGCTGTTGATGCAACTAAAGCTGGTAGAACTGATACGATAGTGGATACAGAACAAGAGGAACAATCATTGAATTGGCAAGAATATTTTAAAATCATAAATCCCAACGAGCAAACGCCTTGTAAGTTTGATAAACAAAGAAAACAGTTCAGTTTAATTCATGGAAGACATGACAAGAAAGCATTATCAGATACCCTTTCCAACTATTTACAAAGTTCAGTGGAGTTATTTAACAATCGATATAATTTACTATACGATCGATTATCTAGAAATGAAAGTTTTCAAAAGACATCTTATACAAGTATATCATCCATCAGTAAGACAATGAGTAATCTCACAAGTGAAATCACTTTGATTAAGAATGTATTAGGTAGAGATGGTTCAAAGTTTATCTTGTTTGGATTATTGAATAAAGGAACCAATGATGAATATATATTAGAAGATTCCACCGATTACATAGAGTTAAACTTATCACAAACTTATAAAGCTGAAGGTTCATTTTATTGTCCAGGAATGTTTGTCATTGTTGAAGGTATCTATTCTGCATCGGGAGGACTTTCAAACACTCGAAGTGATTATATCGGTGGTTGTTTCCATGTTAGTCATATTGGACATCCACCTGCTGAGAGAAGAGAAATAAGTAATGAAAATTATGGTCATGTCGATTTTCTTGGAATTCATAAACAAACTGGTGATAAGGTGTTGAAGATTAATAAAGTATTAAGAAAGAAATTAGTATCATTGGAAAAGTCATTACATGGTCATAAAATTCTCATGTTAGGTTCAGAATGTAATTTGGATAATTTTAAGATTCTAGATGGATTAAAGAAATTCTTTCATAGATTGGAGAATTCTATTATCGAATCAAATAATGAAGATGTACCATTAGCACTTATACTTACCGGATCTTTCCTGTCAAAACCACTTACATCAACCTCATCTACTCTTGCATCGGTATCTAATTCTGAATTATATAAGGGTTACTTTGATGATTTGTCAGTGATAATAAGTCAATTCCCAAATGTGGTAGAAAAAGTCAAATTTGTATTAATACCAGGAAAGAATGATCCATGGCAATCATCCTACTCTTTAGGTGGATCCAATTTGAATTATTTGCCTCAAAGCTCTTTACCAAGATTATTTGTCAATAGATTAGAAAGATTATTACCCAGAGGGAATTTAATACTAGGATGGAATCCACTTAGAATCAATTACTTATCACAAGAGCTTGTTATCTTAAAAGATGAATTAATCAGTAAATTCAAAAGAAATGATATTATCTTTGAAAATGACTTGGAAATAGAGAAAGAATTAGTAAGATTAGATCAATCACCAGAAAGAATAAATCATATTATCCTGCAAGAACAACAAGAACACGTATCACCTAAAATCAAACAAGCTAGAAAGCTAGTTAAAACATTACTTGACCAAGGACATTTACAACCATTCTTAAAAGATTTGAAATTAGTCAATCCCGATTATGATTACGCTTTAAGAATAGAACCATTGCCAACTATATTAATCTTGAATGATGTTAATTTTGAAAATTTCGAAGTTACTTATAATGGATGTAAAGTTATTAACATAGCTAGACTATTAAGTCCTAGCAGTAGGAAGATCAACTTTGTTGAATACACTCCAAGTCATAAAAGATTCGATTTTAAAGAGTTATACTTCTAATTATATATATAATAGTTTATAGTGTATAATACAATTTTGGTAATTTCGCACGACTCGTAATATCACATTTTTTAAACACAGTGAAAAAGATTTGTATAACTTTGGTGATAGTATAATGAAACATAGGTATTATACCAATTGAATACAATGGAAGTAACCTCAGATACTGACGTATTCCCATTCGTAAGGGAAAAGCATATCAATTTCATAATAGAGCAAGATTCACATAGATCATTTGAATATTGGTTAACTGAACATTTAAGATTAAATGGATTATACTGGGGTATAACAGCATTGGTAACGATGGATACATTGGATTCACTTCCAAAGGAAGAAGTAATGGATTTCGTTATAAAATGTTGGGATTCAAAACTGGGAGGATTTGGAGCATTTCCAAAACATGATGGTCATTTATTATCTACATTATCAGCATTACAAATTCTTCGAATTTATGATGACGAGTTAAATATACTAGGGAATAGACGAGCTCAACTTATATCATTTATTAAAAACTTACAATTGAAAGATGGTAGTTTTCAAGGAGATCGATTTGGAGAAGTAGATACTAGATTTGTTTATGTATCACTTTCTGCATTATCTATATTAGGAGAATTAACTCCAGAAATAGTGAATCCAGCAGTTGAATTCATTATGAAATGTCAAAATTTTGATGGTGGATTTGGGATGGTTCCAGGTGCGGAAAGCCATGCGGCTCAAGTATTTACATGTTTAGGAGCATTAGCAGTAGCTGATAGTTTACATTTATTAGAAAATGATACTAAATTATCAAATTGGTTAAGTGAAAGACAAGTATTACCAACAGGTGGATTAAACGGTAGACCTGAAAAGTTACCTGATGTATGTTATAGTTGGTGGGTATTATCATCACTATCCATTTTGAAAAAAACCCATTGGGTTGATCTTTCAAAATTAGAAAATTTCGTACTAAGTTGTCAAGATTTAATTAATGGAGGTATAAGTGATAGACCAGATAATCAAACTGATATATATCATACATGTTTTGGAATCACAGGGTTAAGTTTAATAAATCATGAAAAATATAATTTTAAACCGGTTGATCCAATATATTGTATGCCATCAGAAGTCACTAAACATTTTAAAAAATGGAAAAATTAAATATCTGAATGTACAACATCATAATGTGTTAATGATGGCATCAAATAAATAATAGAACATGGGCTTCTTCTAGACCATGCATTCGTAATTTGTAGAGATTTATAGTATTTTTGTGATTATAATGCATCGGGTGTTCCGTCGGAAGTAAACAAGGACGGAAGGAGCATACGAGTTAATTCTATTTATCCATGGAAAACTTTTTGACTTCGAATCTAAGGCTACTAAGTACATACTATTTTTTGGGGGAAGTTATAAATGAAAAAGCCTTGCCGGTTAAAGGGGGTTGAACCTGTGTAAGATTACCTTATGATTTGAATGAAATCGTTCAATTTCATCACATTGTAATTGATTTAAGATTTCTAGCTTAAGCATACCTTTTAATAGCTATTGTAATTCAAAAGTTAATATTGATAGCAAGTGAAAATCTTTATCATCCATTGATAAAGTTTCAAATTGATGTATAATTATAATTCGGTAGTCGGTTAATTTAAGATTAACCTTTCAGGAATCAATATTGAACCCCTCTAACCATACTTATGGAAAACATTTTATTGTATTATATGTTCATTCAAAAAGCAATATATCGCCTCAAAAGCTTAAACCATTTGGTCTAATGAGAATGAATAACCGGACTATTGAGTTCCAATTAATGATTGAAATTAAAATATAAACTTTTTGAAACGGTCGACCACATCGAAATAAAACATTATACTTTATATAAAGCCGTGCTAAGCAGAAGTATATATCAAGTAATGCAGATAGTCATCAAAGGTGAAAATGTAATAGCCATGAAAATCTAAGATTGTCAGGTACTTTTTTAAACGGAGTTCTGATTGATACTTATAATATGTGATTCTAATTCATCATCCATTGTTAAAGATTCATCTTTCAAGGGGGAAAGGAAGCATATTTGCGCGAAAACCATTCAATAAATAAATAATAATAATAAGGATTATCGCTGCTTCTAATATTGCTGCTTATACTTTATTGAAAAGTTATATGCAAATCATAGCCCGGTTTAGGAAAATAAAGCGCAATTGTTTTTATGTAATTATAATTAAAAAAAAAAGAAATTGACTTTTTTTTTTTTTTTTGATTTTATTAATAATAATTTAATTTACATTTATTCAAATTGTATATGCCTTGAGATACGAATTAAGTTATCCTCCACTTTGACAAGTTTGTGGTTTATTTAAAGAAAATATTATATATTTGTGGTTCCGAGGATAATCAAGTTGCCATAAGGTTTCTACAATTTTGTTCACTATTATGGTTAACAAGCTTTTTACTAAATTTCTGAATCATCTGTTATTTAAACTATTAGATGCAATAGTGTGATGTGCTATTACTTAATGATCAACGATGTTATATTGTTAAGTACATGTTAAGAGAATGCGAATATGGCGCTATATTTTCAATCATCAAAGGATACTTCGTAACAAGTCAAATTAGATGTTTACATGCTTACCTGCTTATGACGATAAGCATGGCGTTTAGTGCAGGCAGGCTAGACAGGCTAGGCCAGGCGAAAAAAAAATAAAAATAAAAAAACAACTCATAAATTTAAATTAATTAAATTAGCGGTGAACTCTTTTTTACTTCTTGGCTAGTATTACCCCCTAAACAGCAAAATGTACATTAAATTAATCTTACTTTTTTCAAACCCCCCAAAAATCTCATCTTTTTATTTTTTTTTTTTAATTTTTATTTTCCTTTCATCGCGCGATAGACGTACAACTCGTAATAGGCATATCCAGGCGGTTAGTTGGTCGGTACCAACAAACCAAATAAAACATGACAAGACAAAAATATTTATCGTATTCAAAAATAAAAATTGCAAAAAAAGGAAGACTACTGCATACTCTAAAATAGTTATGGTTTACAAATACATCTTGACGGTAGTCAAATGGATTAGCCGAGATTTGGGTTAATGATGGAAACTTATTTTTATAATTACCTCTATTTATTCTATTTAGATCTTTGAGTAACTAGACTACTCCTAACTATATAAGTTAACGATGACATTAAAAAATAAAAATAAAAAAGAACAAGGAAGTAGGAGAAAAATGGAGAGACAATGAAAAGAAAAACAGGTTGGTAAATAATTAAGAAAAAAAACGGAAACGATGTAAATATATAATAAACGATAATACAATGATTGACTAGTGATAATTATGAATGGTATTAATAATGATAATGAAGTCGAGATGTCAAACGATTAAATGATATGATGAAATTTTAACTATTGATGGCAAAGAAACCAGAAATTAATGAATGAATGTAAGAAATAAAAAATAAAAAAAAGACTTAAACCCCTAGTAATACAACAAATACAACATATAAGTATGATTGCATTGTGACAATGAATAAATAATAATAATGATAAGATAATAATGATAATAATAATAATAATATGTACAATAATTTGTGTTTTTTGTTCGACCTTTGCAAAGTTTTCTTTGAATAATTTTTAAGCTTTGTTAAATCAGATTATTTTTAAGCTAGCCAGTCCTTCCTTCCCGACGTTTTATTTCCTTGTCCCAGTATGATACACCAAACTATTACCCTTCTAATTTAATAAGAAATCAATTGAATGATGATTTGTACTACCATTCTTTTTAAGATCTTGTTCCTGTTGTAAGTCAGTCAGCAGTAATGATTCTCCTGAGACTGAAGCGGATTTGGAACCACTTTCAACTTCATTCACTTGATCGTCAGATTGACTTTCTTCTTTACTACTAGTAATACCACTAATAATTCTTCTCCATCTAAATTGACATGCATTAGGAGTACGATCTTCAAAAAATGTAGAAATCTCTCTCCATCCTAATTTTTGAACTTCTTTCAAGTTACGTAATAACTTATCTTCAGTAGAAGACCATGTAGTGGATTGTTTAGATTTACGACGTGGTGATTGAGAAATGATTTGTTGTTGATAAAGATAATGGGATGGATAATAACTTTGATTTGGATATCCTGTTGAATAAGATGGAACCATGTATGGTTGTTGATTATAATATAATTGTTGTTGCAGTTGTTGAGGAATTTGACCTTGAGATCCTTGAGATTGAGGTGGTTGTTGTACTTGTTGTTGAGCTTGGTAGTAGTAATATTGTTGAGCATTGTTTTCTCCTAATGGGTATGAGTTAGATCTTGAAATTGATTGGGTATCATAATAATAATATGGCTGTTGTTGCTGTTGTTGTTGCTGCTGCTGTTGTTGCTGTTGCTGGGTATATGGAGATGCTTGTGGCACAGGAGCCAAGCTTTGCAAAGAAGGTATTGAAAGGGAACTGCCGGCGGAATTCATTATTGGAGAATTATAGTTCGATATGGAATGTGGCGAAGAAACATTGCTATTATCACGATTGGTATTGGTATTATTATTATCTAATTGATGGTGGTGAGGGATATTATTATTTGAAGGATTTATAGAGGACATTAAGGTAGCCATAATTAACTTTAAAAACAGTTGATATTACTTGGACTTTGTTTTATATACAATTGAACCAAACCTATTGAAATTTTAATGAAACTGATATGTTTAAAGAAACCAAAAATGAAAGACATAAAAAAAAACGAATTTGACAAAGATGAAGAATCGTCAAATTAAGTCATATATATATTATATTATATTATTGCTGTATAAAGAGTGAGAGTGTGTGTATACATACATATTATGCATGTATATATGCAAGTGTTTATGTGTATTTTACATCTATTTCTAAGTATATTTCTATTTGTGATTATAATTCAAATTTAATTAAAGTCAAAAAAAAAAAAGTTATTAAATTAATAAAAATAAATTAAAAAAAATAAAATAAAAAATAAAATATGGAAAAAATAATAAATTTCTTTTTTTAGAACCCAACCTAAATATTTATTGTTTCAAAGGTAAATTTATTTTTTTTTTTAAATTTAATTTTAATTTTAATTTTTTTTTTATTTCTTCAATTTATTTTTATTTTTTATTTTTTAGCTTCTAGAAAAAGAGGCCAGATTGTTTTTGGTAAGGAGAGTAAAAAGTTACAAGTGATATTTAATATCTGATAATGTTACCTGTTAAATTTTGGCGCCGTTCGAAGCTTTTAAAGACAAGTTCAAACTAACTCAAAAGGAAGGAGTGACTCTCAAGATGATGTAAGGCATAAAGCGCAATTGATGATTTCTTGGTGTTTTGATCTATGGCGATGATGAAACCCTAAAAAAGAAATAAAGAAAGAACCTAAAAGTTAACACGAACAAGTAACCCCTTTAGATAAAACTATATACTGTATAGTATAAATCAATGAATTTTAACTAAGCATTAATATTTTTAACTATATATACACATTGAAGATGAAGTGGTAGGGTAATAGTTGAACCAATTGATGTCCTCGGGTAATTTACCAATTCCAATCTAAGCTTTAAAGAAAAAAAGTTCAATGAGTTTTTTCTCACTAAAAACGTATGCAAAAATTAAGGGAAGATCATTAATCAATAATTGCATAGCAACCAATGCTATCCCCAAACGAAAAGAGAAGAAGAAAAAAAATTGAATAACGGAAAATAATAAAAAAAAAGATATAGAACTAACTAAAGAATTGATTGCATAGTTTAAAAGATTTAAAAATAAATAAAAATGGTGTGATAAATATTTGACGTAGCAATTCAAAGTTAGTAAATTCTCCTTCGAGTTCGATGATGGGGTGGATTTTCAATGAATATCGATTAAATTACCTACAGAATACGGGAAACGAAAATAATTTCAATTTCCTTCTACTTAATATATTTAATAATATAATAGAAGTATATGCAAAGTGAAGTCTTCTAGATGGAAAAGAATTTTTAAAATTATTGATTCATCTTTCTTTTGCTTATGGATAGGTGGTGGTTACTTACTCCTTTCACTTGTCTCTTTACGTCATTCTCACTCACACACTCACACATAGGCTTAATGAAGCATGGCATAGTATAAGCAAGGACTAAAAAACAAAACAAAAAAGAAAAAGACGAAAAAAATAAAAATTATATTTAAAAATAAACAGTTCAGAAAAATAAAAATAAAAAAAAAAATAAAGAAAAAAAAAAATAAAAATGCCTTGAACGAAATAAAAACCCCACTTGTATGATAAACTTTGTGCTCGATATAACTAAAACTATAATATGTAAGGTATTTTATACATATTGCTTAACAATGACCGAAAACAATAAACAAGCAAGGGCGTATAGGTAAACCATTGAATGGCAGTGGATAATTAGGACTAATGAATAATAGAAACAAATGACAACAGCAAAGGACAATCTAAACTAAATCACTAAATGCAATTAATATTTATTTGTAAACAGCAATTGCTACAAACCGTAAAGCCACTTCAGTAAGTGTTAGTGGGGCGTACTAAATTAAATATATATTGTCTTGTTCTTTTTACCTCCAAAATTTCAAAAATAATAATAATAATAATAAAAGATGATCATTGCAAAAATTCCTTTGTTAATTAACAGTAGTAGATTATTCTTAACATCAAATTGGAGTATCATTGCCGTTATTGCTTTAGTTTAAGCTTATCACTACTATACAAAATGTTGAAAATAAATCAAATAAAATAATAATGAAGTAAGAGAATGTATGAGGGGTGAAAGAAGTACCATTGCTACCGGCATTGTTAAGAATAACCGATTGTCTGAAAAGGCATATATATATTTTTCTTTTGGCTGAGGAATTTAATTAATAGCTAAATTACTTTTACCTCCTATGATAATATATAACGGTGATGAACTTAAAGGCTGAAAATTTTTATAAAAACTTTTGATTAAAAAGGTTAAAATTTAATTTAATTTAGATAGGTCACTAACCATTGGATAACATTTTTCTTTGTTTTGATTAAAGGTTGACAAGGTGCTGTCCATTGATAAGTAATGGTTTGCACAGCTAATGTAAGATCTTTTTGATTTGTTATGATATTTGGCTCTGTAAATCAGAAATGACAAACCACTTATCAACTAACCAAACCTTTTTCAGTTCTTACCACCCTTTCCTGCCTCAATACTTATCCAAGAAAATAAAAAAGATTTAAAAAAATTAGATTAAAAAAAAAAAAAAAAATGGAAAAAAAGGAAAAGAAAAAAAAATCTTACCGCGCATATACGGACCATCAACAAATAGAATGGGGAAAGGAAAGATTTCAACCTCAACTGTAATTTTAAAATTTATGCTAGTAATTGCGCACTTAAAACTTTATATTTAGGGGTAAATGACTTTATTAGTAGTAAAAGGATAAACTAACAATGATTGAAATACATCATTGAAGTAAATAGCTTAAGTAAATAAGGCAAACGCAAATTAAATTGAAATTGAGACTAAGCTTAATGAGGTATACGTTGACGCAAACGCATTTCGATTGTTCCTTACTGGAAGAGATAGTTCTAGTTCCATTTGTTTCTAAATGCAAAGGAATAAATTTATGATGTGTTTCAATCTATAGCCGTAATTACACATATACTAAAACGGTATGTAGGTTGTTGTTCTACACGTTATCGTTTATTCAAATAGGTTTCATTTCAAGTTTCTTTCTGATTTCCTGTTTAAGATAATTTTTAAGAGTTTTGTATTGAAAAAAAAAAAAGATTTTTATTTTTATTATTTTTTTTTATTATTATTTTTTTATTTTTAAGTTCTTTTTTATTTATTATTTTTTTTTGATTGTGGGATTTCTGTCTGGAGAACACTTTACTGATCAGATTTGATGACAGTGTCATTGTTATCGCTAATTACATTTAAACTTAGTGTTAGATTAAATTAATGAGCTAAGGTCACAATAGTGACACCAAAGAATAAATGATGGGACATGGAGGGATTAACTCTCCTCATTATCGTTTCTAATTATTATCTACCCATAATACCTTTGTTCTTTGCATTTCCTTTATTTTGCATTATACGATTTAGTATTAGATTTTTAAAATTTCAATGTTTTTGTTCTATTAATAAAGAGGAAGCTTTTTAGTGAATCGTAAGAGTTTATTCTCATGTAAGAGTCAATTTTGGCACATATCATTCTACGTTTCAGTATAGTTGCTTAAACGTTAACAATTAAATTACGAAACAATGCTTCTCATTTACTTGAAAGGGAAATTTTGTTTGCGCTTGGTCTCTGTGTTAAAACCCTATTTTCATACGATTTGTTTGTTTGTTCATCCTGCCCGTTGGTCATGGTTTTATTTAAGTTAAAGTTTAGGGTTATTCCAGAGGTCTGGACCTTGAATTCACGACGATCCCTCCACCATTTAATGTTTTATTTACTTATTTACTTGTTGCTTTAATTTTGACTTTTAAAATAAGTTTAATCAAGTCAAATTATGAAAACAAATTGACAAACCGGAATAATTCATCCCGTTGGAACAAACTTTGGGGGGTAGATCAAAATGTGGGTAGGTTTTTTATTTTTCATTTTCGAAAAATTTTAACTCTGAAAATATCACCACATGAAAACTTGATTTAGTAAAAATATACCTCTTGAAAAAGAAATCCCTTAAAACAATGGTTAAAGTTGTTCTTTTTTGATAGTTTTGAATGCTCGCAATGTTTCGCTGCCTCTAAAACTATAACTTCTTAATTATAAAATTTCAGTAATTACAAAACATATTAAGGCATAATAATTGACTTGAATTAGATTAAATTTCTAGGCGCTAAATTACTTTACGCGTGGCGCGTGGTGACCTATATGTCATGAAACGGCTCCTCCTCCCCATGTAAAGAACCCTAATTTAGTGACGTGTCGAATGGCAGTTTACAATTAAAAAGGTTTTTCTTTTTTATTCCTTATCATGGATTTCTTTTCTTTGATATAAACACATCGTAAATCATGGGGTTCATATCTTGTTTTTTAATTATATAATTCGTTAAAGCATTCACAGATTCTAAAAGAAAAAGGATTGAAACACGTCACGCCTCCCCGCCCCCCTACATCCTGTGACTATGATACCGTATGATATTTTCTACGGTGTTCGTATATACGGTTCAGATTGTGTGTATATGTATATATAAAAATAAAATTCAGATTCCTATATAGTGACTAGATAATTTGACTCAGATGAACATAACCATACAAAATGGTTATAAAATAAATTGCCAGATTACTGGAAATCGATTGGTCTAAATTATTATTATTTTTTTTTATTTTTTTTTTACTCTGCCCTTTATTATGTAGGAATAATCGTCTTTTTATTTGTTTGTTGTTTCTAGAATTTTAAATGTATATTTTTAGAAATTGATTTTGTTTTTAATTTTTTTTTAATTTTTTTTTTATTTTTATTTTTTTTTTTAATTCTTGATAATTTTATTTTTTAAGCTTTTTTTTTTCCATTTAATGTTAATGCATATAAATTTAGGGGTATTACATAAAATCTTTATTTTTAGTCCAAATCGATGCGCATTATTTTATTTTTCTTCTACTAGAGAAACAAAATGAATTGAATGTGAGTTATATAATAATGGGGATATGGTCACTAACGAGGGGTTTAAAGCATATCAAACGATTTTTTTATTTACGTAGAAATGCGTTATGGCTTCCCAATTTAAGAAGCGGAATTCCAGTTCTTAATTTAGTTCGAATATGTTTTATGTTACTTAATTCTAGTTTAACGGTCTTTTTGGGTTTTTGATTGAAGATCTATCAAAATATGGTTACGATATATGACGTACATCATTTAATTCTCCCCTGTGTTGCAACAGATTATCAATAAAGAAACTTCGTATTGGACTGGAACTGAAATTTTAATTTAAACTAGTCAAATGATATCATTTAAACTAAAACGAAACGAAATGATTCAAAATAAAATGTAAACAAAAACAAGATTTATAAATAACAATTCAGAGGCAAGACCATTAACCAATCTTTAACAAACCAGTACATAAATAAATATCTAAGAATTTATTATTAAGAAATTTTATATATTACACACATTCATACACACGTAACCCTATATATTATTTTTAAAGAAATCTTTAATATCTTCAACATTCAAGTCATTCTTTTTCAAATAATCTAAACCTTGATTAACTAAATTTTCATAATTTATACCGCCACCACTACTACCACCATTCGAATTACCAGGTTTAGAACCTCCCTTTAAATTAGATTGAACATATTCAACATATTCATCTACGTTAATATTATCAAAATCATCTAAAAATGATTTTGCTTTTGAAGCTACAAACTTACCGAATAGTTTTGAACCACTGACCTTTTCAAATAAACTATTAAAAAATGAAGATGCAATGGTTGATGATGATGATGAAGAATTATTCTTAAAACTATTGTTAAGATTATTATTATCAGTAGTAAACAAATGATGAATATTATGAGAAAGGAACTCCGCTAATAATGGTAAATCATGGTTAATCAACCGTTGGAAACCTCTTAAATAAATGGTAAATGCAACTGCGATAATCATTATCACTAATATAATTTTAACTGCTGTTATGAATAAATTAATCCAGAATCTTACTATCCTAGAAAGTAATTTATAAACAATATACACTGCGACCAATAAGATGATTACAGCTGTAACTTCTGGATAATTCGTATATCCATATTTGAATAAAATAATCAGATTTCTTAGTAAAAACACAAAGATAGTAACAAATATAGATCCAATAGTGGCAAGAATGTCCAGTCCATTATAAGATGACTCTTGTTGTTTTTCCTTCAATGTATCGGATACATAACTATACTGAGTCATCGTATTGATTGATTGATTGATGAGATGATTGGTTAGTCGGACACGGTGAAAGAAAAGTATTGTCCTTTGACTTTACTTCTACCCCATTAAAGTTAACTTTTTTAAGCATAAATACTTTTGTTGACAAAATAAAAATCAATCACGTGCATTTCAGCACGCCTCATATTTTTCAGAAATTACCCTACCTTTCAAACTACGACTTACAGAATCTGGCATCATGAAAAATTTAATTTTTCACAATTTATTGTACGTTTTTATATACTTTTCTTCTTCTTCTTCTTCTTCATTATCGAAAGTTTTACCTCCGAATATATAGAAATTTGGCAATTGATTAATAGTATATCAAGGACTGATTCTTTATAATGCCTTTGTTTCGCTCATTCCCTTGTGGTTTGAAAGCTTTATTTTTGTCTTAGCTTTGCCTATTAAGTTAGGAAGGTTAAATTATGGCAGAAGTTTTGTTAGAGATGATGTGTATGTTTAGAATTAAGATTTGATATATTTTAGTTAGTTTATTGTTGATATAAGATCGGACAGAACATAATCTGTGGTTAAATAGAATATTCTTGTAAGGTTTGAAACTTTAGAGTATCCCGTTATATCACGACATTCCCCTTTTGTAAATATCTCTTTCTTTTTTTACAAGCTATGTAATAATAAAACATGACATCTTGGCATCTATCGTTATCTAGAAATTGATCATTATTTTGATATAATATAAGCTACTATGATATAGCCTTGTAGGGTAGCATAGCCAACAAGAAAAAGTATAAGAGTGATACCCTTCGCTCACACTCATTGGCACTCACACGCTAAATTTAAGTAGAGATGATCATCAATTATCACCCCTAAGCTATTACCTCGCTAGCATTTTCTCACTAAACATTTACTATTTCTCCCTAAAATATAATTTGCGGTCTCCTCCCCCGCCACTCCTTACCTCACTCACTCACTTTCACCTGAAATCAGACACTTCAAAACTTCTCCCAAAACAGACAGACAGACAAAAATAATTTATTACCAAAACAAACCAAAACAGACAAAATAGGAATATAAAACAAGGGGAATTTTTTTGAACCAAACAGAAACAGAAATAGAACAAACAAAAAATTGACATTTCATCTATCGATAAGAATCGAATCGATTTCATTTTGTATCATTATAGTATAGCAACAGAATATCATCTTTAAATAGCTTGATATCTTTCATCAGTCCACTCCTTCCTTCATATATATATATATACCTACTCCTCATACGTGTTTTATCGCAAACCCACAGTCTACAAGTTTAGCATACTATATATTCTAGCAAGAGCCACCTCCTCGCTTGCTATCATCTTTCATTCATCCCCCCCATTCCCTTCCCTCCCCCCTAGCATATCAAATCAATGTTTCTAAGAAAGAAACCTCCTCAGTTAACGTTTTTAGAGGAGTTGCAACAAACCTATAATGATTGTTGTGAAACCACTATCAAGAATTTATATCTTGAAGAAGATAAAAATGATGTAGAACTGGCTTTAAAAGGGTGGAAATCTTTACATACATCTTTATTATATAAATTGGAATTATTTGAGAAGAAGAAGATCACTTCAGTTGATGAATTGCAGATTTTACAGGAATTAAAAAATATAAGAGATCAGAATGTTAAACATCTTATACGAGTTCAATTAAGAATGGATGAAATTAATAGAAAGAAACATTTTGATCCTTCAAGAGAAGCTGCTATACTTTCTTTAAGTAATAGTGCTAGTTCAAAAAGTTCAGGACCATCACTTCGAAGCACTCATTCAAATTCTTCTACCAATAATCGTTCCATGTTAAAATCTTTACGTCCTCAAGCATCATCATTATCATCATCAACAACAAGTATCCCCACATCGAATGGTAATGGTAGTAGTACCAGTTCATATTTCACTCCAAGTAATACTTATCATACGTCAAAGGTAGCTGCCAAACTCATGTATCAACCCAATAAACCTCATATTCATATACTGCATCCTCAAACTTATCAACCCCCTTCCATCCCTTCTCAATCACAACCATTAGCAAGTTCAGAAGATGAATTATTCGATGATTTTGATGAAGAAGAAGCATTTGATTTTGTTTCTAACGACTATGGTAATGGAAATGGTCATAGTAGTAATAATTGGGAACGTCTTAATGTAGGCGAATCTAGAACTTCATCAGGCATTTCTGAATTATCTTCAGGTAAAGAAAATTCAACTTACAATAATAATCTCATTGATATTGATGATGACGGCTCGAATTTCAACAACTATAATCTCAATGGAGAACTGAATAGTCAACGACAATTCAATAAATCATTCGAAGATATATTGACCATTAAGAAAGTCCCTCCTCCTATTCCTCCCAAAAGAAATGGCAATAGTGCTGGTCATTTATCAGTTCCAACCACATCAAAACCGAAAAGTAACTCATTTGATCAGAATTATTATAATGATTCTAGTGATAATTTGTTAAGTACTATGGGATCGACTCATTCAAAAAGTACAGGTGATATAACTATAAAACCCATTATTGAAAGTCCTCAAAAGGAATCTAAACCAGTCGAAGTTAAAAAGAAACCCTATGTTTATAATAAACCTAAACCCCTCAATGTCAGTCATATCATGAAGAAAACTTCTCAAACAAGATTAAAACAACAACAAGCTCAACAAGCTCATCAATCTCAACAATCACTGAGTACACAAAAGACTACTTCATCTCAACCATCTCAACAACAGGCTAAACAACAACAGAAACCAAAAGCACAAGCCGCTAAACTTAAACCAAAGGCAAGTACTTCAAATATCAATTATAATTATGTCAAGAAAACAACTCCTACCGCGAAGAAAAGTGTATCACCACCACCTTCAAATCAACCCACCAAGAGAGAAGCAGCACCATCAAGTCCAACCATGGATGATTTATTAAGCGGATATGATGCAGAAGAAGATGGAGATGTGTATGATGATGGAGATGATGTTCCAACCTATCTTAAGAATGATACTGAACAAGATAAATTAATCGCATCTATTCGTGGTATTGATGTTGGATTAGCTAAACAAATCTTGAATGATATTGTGGTTCAAGGTGATGAAGTATATTGGGATGATATCGTTGGATTAGAAGCTGCTAAAAACTCCTTAAAGGAAGCTGTTGTATATCCATTTTTAAGACCAGATTTGTTCCAAGGTTTAAGAGAACCAGTGAGAGGGATGTTATTATTTGGACCTCCAGGTACGGGTAAAACCATGTTAGCTAGAGCAGTTGCCACTGAATCTAAATCAACATTTTTCCAAATTAATTCCAGTTCTTTAACTTCGAAATATTTAGGTGAAAGTGAAAAATTAGTTAAAGCATTATTTTTATTAGCTAAGAAATTATCTCCTTCGATTATTTTCATGGATGAAATTGATTCATTATTAGGATCTAGAACAGAAGGAGAATTAGAAAGTATGAGAAGAGTTAAGAATGAATTTTTAATTTCATGGTCAGAATTATCATCAGCTACCGCCAATGCTTCATCAAAACTGGAAGATAATAGAGTATTAATCTTAGGTGCTACAAATTTACCATGGGCTATCGATGAAGCTGCTAGGCGTAGATTTGCTAGACGTCAATATATCCCATTACCTGATGGAGAGATTAGAATTAATCAAATCAAACGATTATTGAAATATCAAAATAATACCATTACTGATGATGATTTCCTTGAATTGATTGAATTGACTGAAGGGTTTAGTGGTAGTGATATAACATCATTAGCTAAGGATAGTGCTATGGGTCCATTACGTGAATTAGGTGAGAAATTATTATTAACTCCAACTGACCAAATTAGATCGATTAATATAGAAGATTTCAAAAATAGTTTGAAATATATTAGACCAAGTGTATCTAAAGAAGGATTGAAACAATATGAAGATTGGTCTGATAAATTTGGTTCATCTGGTATGTAGGTTAAGTAACTGTGTAATATATAAGTAGTTGTAGAAATAGATTAACCACATTCATTTAGAGTTAAAAGTAAGTGTAATTGATATAAATATTATTTATTAATCTTTATATTTATCTATTTAAATAATGATATTTTCAGACCTTTGAAGTTTCTTTCTTTGCTTCAGGTATTTCATCTATACAATGTAAACCATGATCTTTAACAAATAAAGAACCAACGAAACATATTCCTAGCAATGGAACACATAAATAGAAGAAATCTTTAATAGCCTTCATATACATATCTTTAATAATTTGAACCTGTGATGGGTCTAAATTGCTTATTTCGATACGAGTGAAGATATGACTTTTTAAATAATTCAAATAACTGGTAGGGATATTATCAAGTTTTTCTTCAACTTTGATTTGTTCCAATAATGAGTTTGATACAATTAAAGAAGCAACAGCAATACCAACCGCACCACCAAATGATCTTAACACATTTCTAGCACTTATTACCACTGCTCTTTCAGCTTTTTTAGCAAGACTTTGAACTGCTACCATTGAAGGTTGGAAAATGAAACCGACACCAATACCCATAATAATTAAAATACCAGATACAACTCCCCAAGTAGTAGTGTCATCGAATAAAAGACATAATCCACAAGCAACGGTCCAAATACCATAACCAAATACAACAATGAAATAATAATGACCGGTATAACTCATTAATTGACCTGCGGTGATTGAGAATATTGATTGGGTTAAAACCAATGGTAATAAAATCACTGAAGAATGAATAGAATCCAAACCTCTTACAATTTGGAAATAATAAGGTAAATAATAAGTGAAGGCATAATAAGCCATACCATACAAGAAGTTTGTACCTAATAAAAGTGATAATGAGAATCTGGTGAATAAACCTAATGGAATCATTGGTAATTTTGGAACTTTCCATTCAATGATTAAAAATCCTACGAAACATAATCCACCCACGACGAACATTGCAATAACAATAGATGAATCCCAAGCATAGGTTGAACCACCTCCACTAATTGGAATCAATAATAAGGTTAAACTGGCAGTACTGAAAAGCATACCTAAATAATCAATCTTCCTAAACTTTTCTCTTCTACTTAAGACATCGTTTAATTGTTGAGCATTTCTTTTTGAATCGATTAAATACCAAACTGTAATCATTACTAATACAATTAAAGGTGGCATCATATGATAAAAGTTTCTCCAACTTGAATGTTCAATAAAACCAGACATTATGAAAGGACCCAAGGCATTTCCTAACCCAACTTGTGAACCTAAGATACCTTGATATCTACCTCTTTGTTTTAAAGTACAAATATCACTTAACATCACCATGGTTAAAGATTGAATACCACCTTGGCCAATACCAGCAAAAGCTCTGAATATATAAAATTGAACCCCAGTTTGAGCAAATCCACAAGCTAAATCTGCTATGGCTAATATTCCTAATGAAGTTAATAAGATATTCTTTCTACCAAAGATATCGGCCAATCTACCAAATAAGACTTGACAAACACAATTTGCTAACAAAGAAGCTGTCCCAGCCCAATTAATGGTAGTTTCAGCATTTAAATCTTTACTTATATTGGATAAAGCGATTGTAATACTGGTTTGATCAGCAAAAGCTGTGAATAAACCTAATGATAAGGCAAATAAACAAATCATAAGTTTCTTGGTAGGTAAGATATTAAGATGAGCATCACCTAACTTATCCGCTAAATCCTTTGGTTTCTCTGATAAGGGATCATTTTCAAGATGACTTGATGAAGTAGATGAATCATTTCTTTCCATATGAGTAGTTGTTTCATGAGATGATGTAACTTGTTTTAAAGTTTTATCGTTGGTTTGTAGTTTTTCTTCATTCTCTATATTCGAATGATCTATCGAATTTATTGATGCTGACATTTATGAAAGGGTGCAAAAGTCAAAATTTCTTTTTAAAAAACTTTTTATATATTGTGTTTTGGTAGCCTATTACTATATGAGATACATGTGAGATATATGATGATAAAAGAATATAACAAAAACAAATATAAGAACCAAATAATCCTTAAACCTCGTGTGACGATATGAAATAAAACAGTGATCTTTCCGATAATATATATTTTTTAACGAATTGTTAAAGGAAATCAGTTTCCTTTTATGTCAAATTATACATCAATGACATGAAAGATGTAAAAAAGAGGATAAATCGTTCCGTTTACCGGCATCACGCGGCGTTTGTTCCTAATCAGGCAAAAGTCGGTATGTCGGAGTCGACCATTACTAAGCCGTTCTAATTAAGGTGTGATATGAGCAATTCATATAGAGATCATCATTCGATATTCAGAGCTATAAAAAGTTATCAGATTTCATAGGGGTCGTCGTCAATTACAGTTGGTTGGTCGATAACCGTTACGGTTTAAACGTTATCAAATCTGATGGGTTCGCATAGAATTTGATCTGATTAGAATATTCACTGTGATTCACATTTGTAATTGAAAGTGGGTTTCCCATTTCCGATTCCGCCTTTTCCTGATTAAACATCATTAGAATATAGTACAATTGGAGGCTTTATTCCTTTTTAACCCCTTTCAGAATATGAAGTGGAGTAGATTGCTTCAATAATCTTTGGGTATCATCACCTTAATTTCAATTACTCGGTTCCGCGATCGAATATTGTGGCTCTTCATACAAGTGCGCTACCTAAAAATAGTAAGAGAATTTATCTACACCGATAATAGAACGTCTATATGGGGCTAAATGTGTAATATTCTTATATACTAACAAATGATACAAATAGAAGATTAGAAACTAGGAGTCAGCTTACTTTTAGTTGACCCAATTCTTGCTACTCCTACCCAGAAGTAAATTATACTGGCTACTTCTAAAATAGCGAGCAAAATACTGCTCACCAAGTATACATAATAACGAATTCCTTTATTATAACTTGGATAAGGTTTCACTCTCATTTCAACATCTATGAGATCTCTATGGATTTTCCACACCTCATTTCTCAACTGAATTATGCTAACTTGGGTAGGATAACGTGGATCACTTGATGCATTGACCAAGTTATAAGGTTCTGGTAAATCAGGCATGATTACTAGATTATTCACATTAATCTTTGGATCAATCCTATGATAAACTGGTGCCGGAGTCATTTCATGGGACATTCTTCTGATTAGCATTTTAATAAAACCAAAAGAAATAATATATAAAAGTTTGGCTGCTTATATATGCTGAAACCAATTTATCTTGATATTTTTAGCATAAAATAATTGCAGTTAACAATTTACCGAAACCATTTTAAATTAATATATGTCGACTTCCTCAACATTTCAGTGATGAAGTATATTACAGATATTTGTCTAAACCAAATGACAGGAATGAAATATTCATTACTAGATATTTTGATGAACTAATATATTATTCTTTTTATATAATTTGCTAAAGAAATGTATCTAATCTAACAATTATTTCTTATCAAAAACATACACCAAAAAGAAATGCAAAAAGATAAAAATAGGTGCCATAAATAAGGAGAAGAATCTACAAAAACTTCGATCGAAACAACCATCACATTTGGGATACTTGGGCTTGGAATTAAAGTGAACTTCAAATCTACTTTTAATGTAAGTAAGATCTAGAGTGATCTGTTGAATGGATTGTGCTAAATCAGTCATTTTAATCTCATTGGTAATTGCTTTTGAACTATTAGATGGCGATGGAGTCTCCATTACTCCGAGATCAATATCAGTTGACGTGCTACCAACAGTCATATTTTGAGATGAATAAATTTGTTGTAAGTGAAAAATGAAAATATAGAAGTGATAAATACTTTTCTATAATAAATTGTAAAATAGTTTGTTAAATAAAAAAAAGTGTCTTAGCATAATATGTCTATTGTAGCAGCAATTACTTTGATTTTGTTACGTTTATAAAATTTGTTTATAAAATTTATATATAATCTGTTTATTAATTTAATCGACTCTTTTTTAACTTAAAAATTATTGTTTTAAAATTTTCATATCATATCTAATTCAATGTCAGAACTCCCTTTACAAGACTTCTCAAGGAACATGCAAACAAGTCCACCATATCTACCACCTGAAATCGAACCTCCATGTCAAAATCTAATCACCACTGCTTCAACTGAACAACAAAAAGAGTTATATCAACTTCAGAAGAGCATTAAGATGATACAAGTAAACATCCATAATTTAAAACTTATAATTAGAGATAGAGAGAGGACAGATTCACATATGGGAACTTCCTATACATGTGAAAAGTGTAGAGATTCTAATATTTGGAGTTGTATTTCATGTCCATCATTTATTCTTTTGCTTTTTTCCATGTTATTTGGAGCTATATTTGGACCAATTATCGTATACTAGTGATTAAATTATTTAAAATTCATCTTTCTTAATGTTATGTTAAATATTCCATTATAAAGTAATAGTAACTTAACAATAAATATCATTTTCAACTTAAAACTTTCTTTAACAATTTTATGTCGAACGTTACCTATATGAACTTTTATGTTCTAAATATTTTGCATCATTGACGTATATATAGATTTTTATTTTGAAATATAAATTTATTAAGAATGATTCATTCCTCAGACTAAAGTCACAATTTCCCTACATGTGTTTATATAAATAGGTCCTAGATTTCCAATTCTGCCTTTTCCTGATTGAAAATCATTGGAATATAGTAAAATCAGATAATTTGTTAGACTATTTACCTACACGTATAATGGAAACAGATATATGCAGTTATCTCTAATATTTTTATGTAGCAATTAATTATAGAAATAGAAATTAGATAATTTAATTCAACTTTTATTTGATCCAAGTTTTACTATTCCTATCCAGAAGAAAACTATACTGGCTACTTCTAAAATAGCAAATAATATAATAATCACCAAGTATACATAATAACGAGTTCCTTTATTATAACTTGGATAAGGTTTCACTCTCATTTCAACATCTATGAGATCTCTATGGATTTTCCACACCTCATTTCTCAACTGAATTATGCTAACTTGGGTAGGATAACGTGGATCACTTGATGCATTGACCAAGTTATAAGGTTCTGGTAAATCAGGCATGATTACTAGATTATTCACATTAATCTTTGGATCAATCCTATGATAAACTGGTGTCGAAGTCATTTCTTGGGACATTCTGCTCCTTTGTAGTTTAAGCAATTTAATTAAATCAAAAGAAATAATTTATAATATTGCCGCTATTTATATATGCTGAAACCAATTTAACTTGACATAAAATAGCTGAAGTTAATTATGGATATTTTAAATTAATATATTCAAATTTCCTACAACATTTCAGTGTAGAAGTATATTACAGATATTTGTTTGAACCTAAATGACATATACATTAATTACATAGAGAAAACACTAAATGCTTTGAAGAAACAACGTATTATTTTTATTATTTAATTAGCCAAACTAATGTATCTAATCTTAAAATCATTTCTTGTCAAAAACATAGACCAAAAAGAAATGCAAAAAGATAAAAATAGGTGCCATAAATAAGGTGAACAATATACAACAAGTTCGATCGACACAATCACGACATTTTGGATACTTGTGGGAATTAAAGTGAATTTCAAATCTACTTTTAATGTAGGTAAGATCTAGAGTGATCTGTTGAATAGATTGTGCTAAATCAGTCATTTCAATATTAACTATCTAAAAAGTACTAAGTAAAAAATTCGTGTGTCAATTTTTTTGTCACATTTTTCTCACGAAATAATGTATCCTTATTTCAGATTGTGTGGTAAATAACTAACTAACTTTATAGTGTTCTTACATCAGTTTCTATCATACAAACATACATCAATTTATAGGACAATATATAATTCATGATGATGATATCTCATCATACTAACTTCTAGAACTGGTCAGGTTATGTCATTGATTTTTATTTAATAAGATAGACTATATACATTTGCAGTCTATCCTATTACCGCCCCCTAATCCAAAGGTATCAATACTTCTTTATATTACCTGTTAAGAATCAATCAATACAAATACGATTATTTGATCTCACAGTATATGTGTGTTAGAAAATATTGTCATTTAGCTTTATATAGAATGTAGTATGTAATAGAAGTCTCTTTTTAATAAGAAATTTTTGGCAGCACTTTAAAAGTTTTTTACTTTCTCTTCATCTTCTTCTTCTTCCATTATTCAATCAATCATAAAAAATGGTTAATCAGTTAAAAGAAGCTTTTAATTCAATTAAAAGATGGTTTAAAGTTGAAGCAAACCCTCAACCAATTGATCAACCAAACCCTGAAGCTGATAGGCAAAATGCTGATGATGACGATGATCAACAAATTGATCAACCAAACCCTGAAGCTGATAGGCAAAATGCTGATGATGACGATGATCAACAAATTGATCAACCAAACCCTGAAGCTGATAGGCAAAATGCTGATGATGACGATGATCAACAAATTGATCAACCAAACCCTGAAGCTGATAGGCAAAATGCTGATGATGACGATGCAGCACCAGCAATAGTACAATTGACTTGCGAAACTTGTGGTGCATTACTCGAAATCCCCAAACCACCAAATTCAGTAAAAAGGATCAACACACTTATTATTGATGGTATTAAAGACTTAGCAACAAAGATTGAAGTCCATTTCCAGGACTATTCCTTTTTTTACTTAATTTTAATCGGTTTGATTCATTTTATTTCTGCCTGTTTTGCCATTGCATTACGTACGATCAACTATAATTTAAAAGCCAAGCTTTTAGAGAAAGTCGAACTTGATTTTCAACAAGGATTAACAGATGTCACAGTTGAAGTGGCAGCTGAAGCGTTATATGACAGGATTAGGTTAACCGTATTAAAAGCCAAAGTAAAAATCCTCCAATACTATTTAGAACAGATACTTTTGGAGGAAAAGTTTAGATTCGGAACCTACTATGGATTGTATTCCTATACTTTCATAATGCACCGTATTACGATGACATTTCTTATCATCATTATATATGCTAAAGGAAGTAACATGTCCAATTGGAAATTATTTTATTTGACAGTACTTATAGTTTATTGTTTTACAGTGCAAGCGTTCTGTGCTTCAGAGAAGCCAAACGAAATATTAAACAAATTTATTCAAGGTAACACTAATATTCAATAATTCATTATCGATTAACTCTAATGATATATTTTATCTTAATATTATCTTCACGTTATATTTCGAAAAAAAATATTGGAATCAGGAAGTTAATACTTATTTAAATCTTGAATAAATAAATCGCTAACTTTTGCTTAAACAATTCTATATTCTATTTATAGAATATATAATTATTTATTAGATAAATATACATGGTTGTATAATACGTACTACTCTCATGATCGGTAGTAGTGATAACAATAGACGAATCGGTGTTTGATTCTGCGACACCAGTTATTGTCAAATGTGTCAACGAAATGTTGTGGTGGTGCTGACAAGGAAGATGAGGATGTAGATTCAGTAGATGAAAACAATCTCAATAGTAGAAGTTGAATTAACATCTTCGTAACTAAGAGATGAAACGTCAGTTTCATGACCGGCGATAGTTGAAGCAGTAGTGTAAGTATTACCTTCAGAATCAGTGGAAATGATAGCTTCTCCAGTACCTGTAGTGACTGAACCGTCGGATTTAACACTAGTGAAAGTAGTGGTGCAAGATGATTCTGGACCGTCAATGATTGAAATGGTAGTCTGTGCATTACTTCTTCTTTACTGATCCACTAATTTGGCAATTGAATAACCTTCACAAACAGCATATTGCACACTTCAAGAACCTGATGGAAGACAAACACTGTTTCTGAATAATGTCACTAACATAAAAAGCCTTCAATAGCAAATCTCATGATTTCTGATATTTCCTACCCAGCTGCAGTAGGAATTTCACTATTATGGCACCAGTAAATGAAAAAAAGTAATGAAATAATCAAATTACTAAATCCTTGTTAAAATTGTTTTCAAGGAGAATGCGAATGAGATTTTTGTAGAAAGAAATCTAACAAAAAAAAGTTGAAGATTTTATAGAATAAATTAAAACTATTTATCCATTTAATTCATAGTATACTTTACTCTTTTAAGTTATTGTAAAACTTGAAATCAAGTCATAATGTAATAATAAAGTCAATATTAAAATTTTTTTAATAGATTGGTAGCGCAAATAATAATTACTTCTTTCTAAGCCACCGGAAAAAAATTTGAAAGAAAAATTGACTCCGTGGCCAAGCTGGCTAAGGCGTGAGACTGTTAATCTCAAGATCGTGAGTTCAATCCTCACCGGGGTCGTTTGATCTTTTTTTTTGTAATTTTTTTTAATTACTACTACAAAGCATTCTAGTAGATCTAATTAGTGATTTTATGCAACGGTGAAAGCATCCTACTTACATATTGGATTCTTATTGATCCATTTTTTTTTAAATATTTCGTGTATTAAACTTGTCAATTGATTCAATTATGTATTCTTATGGCAGATATATAATTAATCTAATCCACAATCAAAAAAATGCCACATCATTGAACAGTTATGATATCTATATGATAAGCTTATTTCTTACCACTCTTCTTGATACCACCACCAATTAATGGACCACCTTTCTTAGCTTTTTCAGCCATGGCTTTCTTAGCATCGGCATCAGCTTTTTGTTTAGCTTTGAATGCTAAGTCATCTTCATCTAAATCTTGAACCTTTTTCTTAGCAGCCTTTAATGGCTTAGCTTTACCTCCTTGACGACCTGACATAACTAATAATTGAAATGAAGTACTTTAAAACTATAACCAGAACAAGAAGAAGAATTATGAAAGCATCAATTTTTGATTTGAATTGCACACAGAAAAAAAATAAAATTTTACAGTACTGCTGCCCTGGCTAAAAAACGCTCCACATCATTCTTCCTCAATTTTCTGACAGTTTCGCTTTTGATAAATCTATAAATATCATTTTATTGTGATAAACGATATTAACATAGCCAATTGATATATGAATTAGATAAATCATGGCTGTTCTCACTCCAAATGATAAGGAAAAAATTAAACGAGCTATTCCAAAGGCGAATAACAAAATTATAGATGCTACGGTAGCTCGATTATACATAGCCTATCCTGATCCCACCAAATGGGTTTATACTGGATTAGTTGGAGCTGTTGCATTGGTAGATGATTTGGTGGGTCATACATTTTTCATTAAATTAGTTGATATCATTGGGAACCGTGGTGTTATATGGGATCAAGAGCTATATGTAAACTTTGACTACAACCAAGACCGGAAGTTTTTCCATTCCTTTGAAATCGAAGATTGTTTAGTTGGTTTATTATTTGAAGATTCTACTGAAGCTGCCCATTTCCATAAGAGAGTTACAACACGTCAAAAGCATGGATCAAAACAAACTATTTCTAATAAGAATGCAATTGCATTAAAGGCAAGAGCAGGTCCAACCGATGTTAAGAAATCAGGTCCAAGAGGTGAAGTTAATGATATTAGTTCTGGTCAAAGATTAAGACTTAGTAAAGGTGTATTATATTACGATGATGTACCACCACCCGAATGGCGTGCATTATATGCTGAATTAGAAGCTGCTGGTATAAGCGAAGATATGATTGCTGATAATAGAGAGTTTATTAAAGATTATATAGCAAATCAAGGTGGTCCATTAGTTGGTCTAGAACCTCCTATTCCTAGAAGATTTCAAAGAAAGAATGATCCTGCTCCGGTTGTTCAAGCTACTCCATTAATACTGAAATCATCCAAAGCAAAGAAACCACCTCCACCTCCACCACCACCTGGTGCACCAAGTCCTAGTGATAATTCGAGACCATCACCTCCACCTGCATACAACTCATATGATTCAAGTCATGCTTCCCCAGCACCACCAACACGGGCTCCAGAACCAGAACATGAACCATCTCCAGAGCCATCTCCTGAGCCTGAGCCTGCTACTCCTGCTAAACCCCGATTCCGTTTACCACCAGCAAATGCATTTGCTCCACCAGTTACAAACACATCACTCCCACCCCCACCTCCACCAGGACAAGTTTCTAATGGTTTACCACCACCACCTCCTTCAGGTGCAAGACCAATACCACCACCTATGGGACAACAACCACCACCACAAGCGTTACCACCTCGAGCAGTCCCACAACCATATGGTCAACAACCTCCCTCACAACCACAACAACATCATTTCCCTATACCGATACCTCCCAATGCTAATAGAGCAGTTCCACCTCCTCCACCTGGTAGAGGTAACGTTCCACCACCTCCTGCTCGTGGAGGTGTACCACCACCACCTCCTCAAAGAGGTCCAATGCCAGCCCCACCTCAAAGGACTGGTGCTCCACCACCACCACCTCCTCCAAGAGCTGCTAGAGGAGCTCCACCTCCACCACCGCCACCTAGAGGAAGAACTAATCCTGGTTTACCACAACAGCCTCCAGCTCCTGTAATGGGTTATAACTCTCCACCACCACAAGTTACTTACCCTCAAGCAAATATGGTTCCACCACCACCACCAGTTTCATTCCCTCAAGCAAATGCTAGTATTCCACCACCACCACCTGCACCTCCATTCGCAACTGCAGGTGCGGGTGCCCCACCTCCTCCACCACCACCTTTCCCAACAGCTGTAACAGGTGGTCCACCACCTCCTCCACCTCCTCCAATGCCATCTTTCCCTGCTGCAGGAGGTCCGCCTCCACCACCTCCTCCAATGCCATCTTTCGCAGCAGCACCTCCACCAGTGGAAGCTCCAACTGGAGATGTTAGCCGTGACGCACTTTTGGCCTCCATTAGAGGTGCAGGTGTCGGTGGTTTAAAGAAAGTTGATAAGAGTCAATTAGATAAACCAAGTGCATTATTGATGGAAGCTAAAGGAGAAGCTCCTCCTGCCTCAGCATCAGGAACTCCTGCTCCTACAGGTCAGCCAGCAAGTTTGGCAGATGCATTGACTGCAGCACTTAGTAAGAGAAAAGGTAAAGTTGCTCAAAGTGACGACGAAGAAGATGATGATTGGTGATTTATGTAGTAGAACATACTAAATAAAAGACATTTGTTTAAATTTTTAATGTAGTTCTTTTTTCTAGTACTCTTTTTTGCATTCATATTTTTCTGTGGACCATCAAATGCTCACAAGTGAAAACAATTTTTTTTTGGAGTTGATGAGACCTATCTGATCCAATTAGCTTTGAATACGAATAACCAATGTCTAAATCCAAGAGTGATCTCTTAAACTTAGTATCCTCGTTCGATGAAGCAACAAGCTTCTGGCGTGAAAGTTTCACTGCTTCAGATAACGCAGTGTCAAAGATTCAATCTGCAAAAGTTGATAAACCATTACAAGAATTCACTAAATTAATAAAATTAATAAAAGCACATACTACCAAAGTAGGAATCATATTTAAACCAGAGAATATCAAAAAGGATGTCAATCCAGCTTATAAGACATTAAAAGATTTATCTGAGACGTTGGTGTTATTGGTATCTATAATTGCTCAACTTCAAGCCAAAGTTATATCACAATTGTTTTATGATGAGATATTATTGCAAATTAAACAATTACTAGACAGCAACTCTGGCTTTGGCAAGGAGCTTAAATTGATCGTGGAAGATGAGTCAGCGGAAGAAAAGGAAACCAAGAAAGATGAAATAGACGGAAGATTAGTTTCTGTGGGGAAAATATGGACCATTTGTGATTCCTTAATCCAATTAATTCAAGATGGAAAGTTCGGTCTTCTAACTTCCAAGATAAAGTTAAGCATCGATTTAATTGAAGATGGGTACGAAGAATTTGAAGAATGGGCTAAGAATCCAACTGAGTTCGACGAAGAAGATCCATTTGGATTCAGTGATGACGAAAGCATAGAAGAAGATGAAGAAGATGGTGCCAACCCTCCAACTACAGAAGCCGAAGATGAATCTGAACCTGATGCTTCTAAAGAAGAATTGAAAGCATTTGCCCAAAAATGGTCCAAAAATATCGATCTTGTTAAGCTCTTAATAGCTTCGTTTAAAAAATCATTGCCAGCAACTACAGAAGGAGAAATAGTTGATCAAGTTTACAAATTACAAAATAATTTAGTTTCATTAATTGATAAGTTAATTGTTGATTTAATGTTAGATCAAACTATAGACGATGATGTAAAAGAATATACAAACTCTATAACGAAGGAATCACGTTCTTTAGCAAAGATTGGAATTGATGTTCACCAAACCAATGCTAAGAAGTCAAAATGGTATGAAGCATGGATTACCAAATTCAATACAGATTTATAGATGTAACTTAGAATACTAATATTTACTTAATATATCTGCATTTTCAAAGGCTAGTTACTCGGATAACCCCAAATACTTAGCATGATGTTTAGCATGTTCTTCAGCGAAAGTACTAATAAAGAAATATGAATGATCATAACCTTCTGCGACATGTAATTCAACACCACCTTTATAACCAGCTTTCTTAGCGGCATCAACGAATATTTCTGGTTGTAATTGATGATCTTTGGCATAGAAACCATCTGCTGAACCTTGATGAATTAAGATAGTTGGTTGGTGTTCATGTTTATAGTCAGCAATTAAATGAGTTGGATCATATTTATACCAAGCAGCTTTATCTTCACCTAAATAATTACCGAAATTTTTTTCACCCCATGGACAAGTTGATGGATTTGAGATTGGAGCAAAAGCTGAAACAGACTTATATTTACCTGGATTACTTAAGAATCCAGATAAGGCACCAAAACCACCCATCGAGTGACCGGAAAGGGAGATATTTTCAAAGTCTAATGTTGGGAATTGTTTAGATAATTCAGTTAATAATTCCTTATGAACATATGAATACATGTTATAGTTCTTACTCCATTTTTCAGTAGTAGCATCAACATAGAATCCAGCTCCAGATCCAAAATCCCAAGAATCATCTTCACCTTCGATATTAGCACCACGAGGGGAAGTATCTGGGAAAACTAAAGCAAACCCATATTTGGTAGCAAAATATTGAAAGAATGATTTTTCAGTAGCATTGTTTGGAGTACAAGTTAAACCTGATAAATAAACTAAAACAGGTATTTTGGTCAGCTTTGATGGAGGTACGAACACATTGACATCCATCTTAGTCTTTGTGGAAGTAGATTCATGGGAAAGCTTATATAGCTTACCATGGAATTGGCTTATTTCAGCATTGATAGTGAAACTCATCTTTGACTATTTATAGTTGTAACTGAAGGAATGGATCTTGAAAGGTTAGAGACGTATATGAAGTATATGAAAAGAATAGATTTAAATAATGTAACTTTCCATTCTTGGATCTGGAATCGAATTTTTAAAACGTAATTATCGCTGCTATTTAATCATTTAGTTTTTCAGGAAAATATTTCCGTTTTGGGATTAGTTTAACGAGAGAATAAATGTGTCAAAAAGATTGAAAAATATAATAATTATTTATATATATATGATCGACATTGTACTATAAAGATTAATTATAAACTTGCCTTACCTCTTGGTTCATAAGGGAACAATAAGACTAAGAAACCAGAAGCAATAAATAATGCACCACTTACAAAAATTGGTGCTGAAGTTTCTAAATTAGCATAGATTGCAATAATGGGAGCAAAAACACCCAATACTCTATTAAATGAAGCTGCTAATCCAATACCAGTACCTCTAATCTTTGCGAAGAACACTTCAGGTGTGTAAGCATATAAGACACCATACATGATATTTGAAATAAATGCAAAGGCACAATTCCAACCTAAGTTAGCATTACTTGTTTTAGCAGTAGTGGAAGCAAATAAGAAAACGCCAGTAAGTATTAATGAGATAAATAAAGTCCCCTTTCTTCCTATTTTCAACTCAACTAAGAAACCAGCGACGATAGCTCCAGGAACACCAACTGCAGCTACAATCAATGAGTTTCTGTAAGTATCATGAACACTTAATGGAGCATTAGCCGTTCCTCTGGTTTCTAAATAATAAGGTAAAAAGGCATTATATAAGGGAAAGGCAAGACCAATTAAACCCCAAGTGAAAATAACCAATGAAGATGATATAGCTAATTTTCTTGATCCAAAACATTCACGAATATGAGAAAATTTGTATTTGGATAATTTTTCTTGTAGTAAGATATTTCCTCCAAACTTGGTATCTTCAGGTTCTCTTTCATCAAGATTTAAATCATCAATTGCTTGTAAATCTTCAATTTTAAGATCACTTACTTTACCATTGATTTTAGCAATTCTATGAACGGTTTCTACTGCTTTTAAATCATCACCTCTAGCCAAATGGAACTTTGGTGATTCAAAAACTCTAAATGCAAACCTGGCTGCGAACATTAATAAAGTGAAACCACCCATAGTATATAAAAAGTATCTCCAACCTTTATTATCCGCCTTATGACATACTGATAATGCATCATCACAAGAATAATTAGCAATAAGGCCCCAAGATATCAAATTTGCAATGATTTGACCAAAGGCCCACCAAATTGACATAACTGTTAAAAGCCATTGTTGTTTACTTGGCAAAGCTTCTAAAAAGATGGCTGAATCGACTGGTAAATTACCACCTACACCAAAACTCCAAAACGCGTTAAATACTCCAACAGCTGCAAAGTTTGGCGATGCACCAGCAATAATAGCGAAGATACCAGTAATTAAGAATGTAATGTTGAAAGCCCATCTTCTTCCAATAATATCTGAAGAGAGAGACCAAAAGGCTGCTCCTGCTAATAAACCTAAATTTTGTGCTAAAGTTAAATACGGAGCACGGCCTACTGGAGAATGAACACCATCCACTTCATCTAATCTGGCTAAGATTAAACCAGTTGCTACTGGCCATGCGTTATCTGATAACCAACCAAAACCAGCCACAAAGAATAAACCAGTTTGATATCTTCCAAACCCAATATCATCAATGGCGTTGGAAAGAATTTTAGATTTAACGAGATAGGTTCTATTAGTGTCTGATTCTTCGTACAATTCTCCTTCTAAGATTGATTTCACGTCGATTTCAGTCTCATTTTCCTTTGTTTTCTCATCATTAACTGTCTCTGACTTGGTTGTTGTTGGTAGATCTTGATCTGGAGAGGCTGCAGACATGTTTAATGATTATGCGTATTAAAAAATAGCAACTTTAAGTATGCAAAAATATAATCTGTGAGGGGTACTTCCAGAATAAAATGTCAAAGGTAATTGGAACAACCAATAGTTTAAATGATATTTGAAAGAACTGAAGAGTTTAAAGATTCTACCAAATTTGGAATTAAGAATGTATTTATATTTATAACAGATTCTACGAACCAACAACAGAGAAGAATTTCTTTTCGGCCGTATATGCTGATAAACTCCTTATTAGTCCAAGAATTATAACAATGGCTATTAAATCTTAATTAAAACTAATTAAATTAATGGAAATGTACCACACAAAGGTGGGGTGGTTGCGAACAATAACCAATCATTTATTATTAAGCAATCTTAGTTTATAGAGATTAGTGACATTATACACTATATTAAATTAGCTAGGGAACTAAATAATTCTATGCGTCATGTTTGCCCTAAAATTCCAAGAGCGCTAAAAATTGTGGCTGCTACTGAGAAGCGTCAGCGGCACAACGCAAAATGATATTTTTTTATTGCAAAAATAAAGCACGCCACAAACAGATCTGAATTCAGTCTCTATACAACTCTATTGAATGTAAATGAATCAAAATTGTGTTCAATTACGAGTTGATATTCTTCAACTTTCCAATATTTGTACCATCCCTTCACTGCAGCCATACCTTGTCTATGACTCTTTCCACCGCCTCCTCTTTTAGCATGTTCTTTACTTACCCACCAACAAGTTGCTAAGTTTTGACCTGTACTGTCATCGGGAGTACCGAACCAATATTTAATTAGACCTCCTGATTCTGTAGCTTCTAAATGTGATTCCTTATCTATTTTGCCGAGAAATTGTCTCTTTTCAATTGAAGTTTGAACTGGTTCATGTAAAATTGATCTAAATGCTATAACGTAGATTTCAGTTTTAGGGAAAGTATAGTCTAAATCTTTACTATATTGTTTGGATAGTTCAACTATTTGTTCAATATTGAATGACTCGTAATATGTTTCAAATGCATAATTAGGTATAATAGGATGAAATGATTGTAATGCAAGAGATACAATTTGGTAATTTTGCGGAATAGTAGTTAAGTCTAACCAATGAGATTTTTCATGATATGGTGACGATCTAATTTCTTTAATTCCTATTGGATTTAACTTTGATAGAGTTGGATCATGAACTGGTATAAGTAAATCTTCATCAATTTCAATTTTAGCAGTTCCATCCACCGTATCTTGAGTCATCTTTAACAAATCGCTTCAAAAGCTAACACACCAGAGAAAGAAGAAAACAATACGATCACTATAAGTAAGAGTCTATTGGTTTAAAAATATCCCATCAAATTTGAAAAAAATTCTGCTTCACAATTCTTCTTATCATGGTCTTTATCAGTATCGGAAGCAGCCACATAATATTCCCACTAAATTCGGATAAAATACCCACTACCCAGAAAAAAAGGCGCTACGCTCAGAATGGTTTTATTTTTGTTCGCTTGCATGGCTTAAACCATTTTTCCGCTGTACACACTAAAAATTTTGGAATTTAGCGAGGCGATCGCTATTAATGGCGATCACTGTTCCAAATGATGCAAAATTTACAAGAATTGATGAAATACGATATGTCATACCTTAACCCGTTGATTTATTAAATATGTAACATATGTAAAATTTATAACTCTATATCAAACGGCGAAGGAAAGTATCACACAAGCCAAAATACCATATCCAATAGTCTTCATAATGGTATATTTCGAATCTCCTTGCCATAATGAGAATCCAGCACTAATGGTCCTATTACCATTTTCTTCAGGTCCATCAGTTAAACCAGTTTCAGTGAAATTTACTGGTGGAGTGACTGAATCACTAAGATCTCCATTCCAACAATATCTTTCAAAACATTGTTGACATTGTTCTGATTGTTCGATACCTAATCTTTCTTGACTTCTTCTGATAATGGCACATCCAACACATGCAGGCCATTCTGCATCTAATGAATTATTCAATCTTGAAGCAACTTCAAACCCATTTTGAATCATTCCATCTCTTTCCCAATCTTCATAACTTAATTTGAAAGTAGATTCATTAGACCAGAATGAAAATGGTCTATTAGCAGTATAAACCACAAGAGGAGTGTCATAAATATTTCCCTTTGAAGTAGCAACACTTGAATTTAACAAACCAGTTAAATTAGTGGCATCACAACCGAAAAACGTTGGTTTAGCAGTTAAATTCAAATTCAATAAACTTTCACTATCAGGAACATAAGGGAATAAAGTACCATTACCAATAGGTAAGAATTGTCTTTCATAAGTTGCAACGATGGAAATACCAGCGGGCCATGATAAATTGGTATCAGCTGAATTATCAAAGGCAAAAATAACATCAACTTCTCTATCAGTATGAAGTAATGGTTGGAATGGAATATTTTGTAAATCTTCTCCACCATCACATAAGAATAAAGTTTGATTATCAAGAATGGATGGAGTTCCAATTTCAGTTTCAAAAAATGGATTTGGTTTATAAATAGCAATGTCATCTTCATGATTACTGAATCTTTGTAAAATATCAGTTACAATCGATTGAATGGTCGATGATAAGGAGGTAGTATTAATTTGTAAGATGAATTGATTAAATAATGATGAAGAAGTTCCCATTATGAAACCTGTATTATCAAAACCACCAATACAAGTTCCATTAACTGATGTACCATTAGTGGTATTTGTTCCTAAATATTTAACTTGAGTGAATTGATATAAAGTTGGATCCCAAGTTCCTAATTCAAAAGGATTAACTTCGAAAATAGTTGAATTACCATTAACAATCACACTATCAGGAGTTCTACCATCAGTTACTACGATTGGGAATGGCATTTCGAAATTTTGAAATACATCAGCTTCTTGTAAAGTTGACCAAGTCAATGCAGCACCAGTATCATTTAAACCAGCAAAGAATTGATGACTTAAAGCTCTTCCCCAAAGATCTGTGATGGATAATTGATATCCGGCATCTGCTTTAGCATCTAAATCATCATTAATACCATCATAATAATCATAAGTCTTAATAAGATTTATACCACCGAAATCAATAATAGAATCCGTTAAATCCCAAAGAACTCCTTCTTTTAAAATAGTTTCAACATCAGTGAAATTATTCATGGCAATAGTACCAACTAACCAATTACCACCCGATAAACCAACTAAATAAGTAGAAGCTTGTAATAAACCACCTAAACCAGCTATGGAAGCGTTTGTAGTTCTATTATCCAAAGCAGCTAATTGACCGGCACCACTTAACATGGCTCTATAACCACCCCCTGAAAATGAGATACCGATTCTGATGGTTTCATTTGTGATTTGATTGGTGATATAATCTTCCGGATCAAAATCAGTCATATTGGCTTGTTTTAAAAAGGCAATTAAATTCTCTCTGGTAACTTTATCACGGCCTTGTAACCATTCTAATTCTGAATTCGATAAACTATCAGCAATTCTAGTTAATTGACCATCCAGGGGACATTCTATTTCACCTGGTGCATATGAATCAGTAGGGGACCAAGCTAAACCTAGTGATAAGTATGATAATAATGATATTAATAAATATGTAGGATGAATGAACATCATTTTGACGGGAAAGTGTATAAGGAAGGAAAGGAATTGAAGTGATTAACAGTGTTTTAGGCTGAGTTTGACGATGTTTCTAGAAATCAACAGGGTATGATACTTTTTGTTCCCTAGTGAAAAAAAAAACAATGCACGGTATATATATATAAATAACACCAGAAATAACAAACAAAGTTTATGAAACTGTTTCTATAAAGACAAATGATAATTGCTCGAGGCAAACAAAGAATTCGAACGATATAAATAAGATTATGATACGAAGGAAATGAAATTTATAACTTTGTTTATAGTTTTCGGCTCATCCACTAACAAAGACACTAAATTGAATTTTATCCGAAGTTAAAATTAGCTACTGCTGCTGCTGCTGCTGCTGCCGCTAAAAAAAGAAAAGTGATCCCGGTAAGTGAAATTAAAATATAATTGGGCTACTTTTAAAACAGCCCAAGTGAGTTATGATTCTTTTTGGTGAAGATGAGGTTGAATAACTCGTGTTTGAGTGACTTTGTTGACCCTTGGGGGGAATCGAGGCTAATTTATAGATTTAAAATTACGAATTATTAACTATGGTTAAATAATAATAAATTTTATAATCTGTTCCTTAATAATAAAGCCTTTACGAAAAGATTATTTTTAAGTCTAAACACTTTAAATTTAATTGGAGTCCAATCAAAGGCGGAATAACTGGAAATTGTTCGTAAGGTGTAGTTATATCATTTAATTGTTTGGATCATTCCAAATACACGTTATTTTCGTATGGAATAGACCCCTTGTTATGCGATGATTATTCTATAAGGGCTGTGGGGATGGCACAGTGCGTATTTCGCAACATTCGTCACTATTCGAAAGTGAAGGGATTTTAAGTATCGTGGCGGAGTTACTCGGACATGGTTTTACAGTTTGTTGAACATTCAACCGTTATACCGACCTTTCCATTTACTTTCTATATCAACCAGTACTTTCCTATTCATACATGTTTCAATTAATACTTGTATCATTATTTAATCTCTTTATCGTTTGTCATTTTTAGTGACAATTTTTTTGTTTTGTCATTTTTTGTCAAATGCATTTTTGACATCGCGACCCAAACGATGAATGGAAATTGATTCTCCACATTTTCAGCATCGAGGTTATAATTATCATACCCCAAATACATAGTCATTTCTTCTATCTTTTTGTTACTTACCATACCTTAAAGTAAATCATTTCAATATGACTAAAACTTCTGAAGAGGCATTCATCAATAATATTTCTAGTTACACTAGTAAATATTATCAAAATCAACCCATATCAGTATGGCATAAATTACCAATATCACGAAGATCTTCAGTGTTTATCTTATTATTCTTAGGCCAATTAGGTGAGTTAAGAGTCCTCTTAACTAAAAGATCATCAAAATTAAGGAATTTCCCCGGTCATATCTCATTACCTGGAGGTAAAGCAGATTCAGGATTAGAAAGTGAATGGCAAGTTTCAAGACGTGAAATGGAAGAAGAAATTGGTATTAGTGTTAATAATGATATTTTACTAAAGAATTATGGATTTGTTATTGATCATATTAATATTTTACCTTGTTATTTAAGTAGAACTTTCTCAGCTGTTAGACCTTGTATTGGATTCATGAATTTTTCTGATATTAATAATCTTCATCATCATAAAATTATTAATTTAAATCCTGGTGAAAGTTCAAGTATTTTCAGTTGTCCATTAAGGGATTTCCTTTATCCTGCATCAGCTGCAAATATAGATCCCTTAGAAAGTTTGGAAAGAAATAGTTACAAGGTAAAATGGGGTGGTATACCTTGGAATCTTAGATCGTATACATTCTTACAATCAAATCAGAATGAAGTACCGTGGTTAAAAGATATTGATGATTTATCCGCATCTGATCTTGAATCATCTCTTGAAGAAGAGGAAGAAGATAATCAAATCGATGCCACCCTGAAAAATCAACAATTACCCAAGGCAAAACGAGTAAAGAAAGATTTATCATCATGGGGTAGATTAGGGTCAAGAAGACATGAAGAAACAGATGAGAAAATATATGATGTTTGGGGTTTAACCGCTAATATCTTACATGATTTAGCTGAAATCGTCTACAGTGAAAATCAATCTACTATCAATCGTGAAATTGGGGAAGAAGAACTTATTTATAGTGTTTGGCATTATGGTAATCAAATGAAATCAAAGCAAAGATCAGAAGAAGAATCGAAGTTAATTCAATCTGAATCAGTCCGCGATGAATTTGGTTTCAATGATATCTTACCTAGAACCGAGTTTAACAAATTGAAACAAATATATAAGCTTTAGATATCTAGATAGTAGTAGTCTTACCCACACAAATTTATGGCATTTATTTATTTATTCACTCTCCTGATAGCAGCCAAAAAAAAAAAAGAAGGATGGCAGTCGTAAATTTTTATCGCTAAAATTTCTGAGGGAGGGAGGAATCTTGAACCACAACCTATGTGAACAGGAAGTCATCAACACATAGACCAACCATATAGACAAGATGAATACTGAAGACATCCAATTGGTGAAGATAGTGAGGAATCTAGAGGATATATCAATCAAAGACCCATCTGATGAAGATGAGGATGTTAAATTCATTGATCAATTGGAAGTTATAATACCGCCTTCATCATCCCGTTCTGATCTTTCACCATTAGATTTGAAAACGATTGAATTATTGGAATTGATTGAACAATATGAACAATTGATAAATGATCTGTATCGATTGAATTTCATCAATGGGTATTTGAATTTAAGTCGAGCTAATTATAATTATATCTCAAGACGATTCAGTTCCAATAGTTTTGATTATAGACCTTATAGTGCTTGTAAAGAGATTAGTATTGATCAAGATACCCAAGAGTTTTCTATCATAGATAACTTTGCCGTTGAAAAAGCAAAACAAAATAAGACTAAATCAAATAAGGAAACTAAAGAAACTAAGGAAAAGGAGGAATCATCATATTCATCATCAACTACTACTCCTAAACAACTAACTAATACTACTACCACTACATCTTTAAAGAAACGTAAAGATGCTAGCACCACTCTGAAAGAGAAATCATCCATCATAACAGAAGATCCCATATCAGACACTCCTACTAAACCCTCATTACGAGATCCAGTTAATCAATTTGGTAGTTTAGTACCCTATCAATTACGTCAATCTCAAGATTATTTTAATAAAGCACTTGCTGATTCAATTGCTGTTATAAACTTACGAACCAAAATCGATCAATTGATTACTGATATAGAGAAATTAAACCAGGAACAAGAGGATAAAGAAGTTAATTAAACTAATTTTTTATGCTATTAATATACACTAATTTATAAAGTAACTACTTTTCTATATCACTAAATAAATCACTATCGTTTTCATAATCATCCGGATTAATTTCTGGTCCATCACTATCACTCTCATCCATTGAAACGTCATTGTCTTCTTCAGCAACTTCAGCATCACCACCTTCTTCTCTTGCCTTCTTTCTGGCTTTCTTTTCATCCTTTTTAGCTTTCTTAGCTTCAACATTAGCTAATTGTTTAGCCTTTCTTTCAGCCTTTAATTTTTCCTTTATAGCATGAGCCTTTTCCAATTTAGCAATTTCAGCTTTAGATTTATTAACATTGGCATGATAAAGAGTTTTAGAAGATCCAGTTAATCCTTCTTCTATTTTAACTAATGTCATACTTATACGTGGACCTAATTCAGTTAATTTGATAGCTCTCTTTCTGGTAGGAGCTGCTTCTGGAGCTTGTTCTTGGGTGGTAGTAGTTTCTTCAGTTTCTGATTCATTTCCTTCTTCTTCTTGTTCACCTTCACCAGTTGGTTTCTTTATTATTCTTCTTTTATTAACGATGACAGTAGCATTATTATTATTATTGTTTTCATTTTTAATTTCAACAATGGCATCATCTTCAATTTCAGAATCAGATGTAATACCACCTACTGAATAAGGATCTAATAATAAATCTGAAATATCGGAATTCTTGGATAAATTAGGTAAATTTTTCTTTAAATTATGATGACTATTAATTAATTTTTTAACATTTCTATTTTCTTCTACTAATTTAGTATTTATAGCATAATGTCTGATTTCAATTTCTCCAGTTTGAGGATCTTTATTTATCATTAATACTCTTTTAATAGAACTTACTTTAGTAGATTGGGGTTGAATTGGGGGAAACATATTTTGAAACATGGTTACCATTAATTTTTCATGATTATCAACTTCATTTAATTTATTTGAAAATCCATTAAGAACTAATAATGGAGGAGTTAAAAATTCCTTTGAATCTCTCCCTATTGATTTAGGATGTTTTAAAATCTTACTAACATCTTTAACTAATGAATAAGCATTCACTTTAAATTGTAAAGTTGGACCTCTAGGTAATTTTCCAATTCTTAAAGATATATTACCAGATTGTTCAGATTGTTTAAAAATGAATAAATCAGATACACCAAGAGGACCAGCCATCACTATGAAATCCCTCAACTTATTAGATTTACGTTCTCTTAAGTTGATGGCAGTATGAGGTTGCATAACATTTCTAAAATCTTTAACTAATTGACTTAAGGAATGATTCTTTAAACTTGATCCAAGTCTGATGACCATAGATCTAGGGATCTTGGCCAATTCTTCTTCCGAAACTCTCTTATGAGTTCTGGTCTTTGTTCTTCTCTTAGCCATTATAACACCTCCTAACTATCTATAACAACTGTAAAATACTAGCTGTTCTGATTATCTAGATCTCTATCCTGTTTATACTGTTAAGTTGAAAAATTTTGAAAATTAAAAAAAATGTTCCTCATCTCTGCTAAATATTTCTGTACAGGAACAGCCAAAAAAAAATTCTTTTTGTGAGGAATATGAAAAAAAAAAATAATGGTTAATAATCAATTAGAGTATAAATCAGTCTTAACGATAATCATCATAGAATAATAGCATAATGTCAACTAAAGTCGGATCTATAACGAAGATAAAGAAGAGCAAAAAGACAGATGTAAAGGATTTGGCTGAAAAAATCAAGAGAAATGCGTTGTTGAAACAAAAGAAACAACAAGAAGAAGCCCAATCATCATCATCATCATCATCAGATAGTAAGAAAGAAGTTGAAACTGTTAAAGAAATAGCCATTACTCCTGATGATGAATTGAAATTCAAGACTTTTGCTCAATTAAACTTGGTTCCTGAACTCATGGAATCTATCCAACAAATGAAATATACCAAACCAACTCCTATTCAATCGGAAGCTATACCCTATGCTTTAGAAGGGAAAGATATTATTGGTTTAGCTGTTACTGGTTCCGGTAAAACTGCTGCTTTTGCTATCCCTATCTTACAAGCTTTATGGGAATCTCAAAGTCCATATTTCGGATTAGTATTGGCTCCTACTAGAGAATTAGCTTATCAAATCAAAGAAACTTTCGATGCGTTAGGTTCATCAATGGGAGTTAGATCAGTTTGTATTGTGGGTGGTATGGATATGATGGATCAAGCTAGAGATTTAATGCGTAAACCTCATATTGTCGTTGCTACTCCCGGTAGAATCATGGATCATTTAGAACATACCAAAGGGTTCTCGTTAAAGAGTTTACAATATTTAGTCATGGATGAAGCTGATAGATTATTAGATATGGATTTTGGACCTGCTTTAGATAAGATTTTAAAAATCATTCCAACTAAAAGAACAACTTATTTATTCTCAGCTACTATGACTAATAAAATTGAAAAATTACAAAGAGCTTCCTTACAAAATCCAGTTAGAGTAGCTGTTTCAACCAAATATCAAACTGCAGATAATTTAATTCAATCAATGATGTTAGTAAGTGATGGTTATAAAAATACTTATCTTATTCATTTATTAAATGAACTTTCGGGAAAATCAGTTATAATCTTTACTAGAACTTGTGCTCATAGTCAAAGAACTGCATTATTAGCTAGAATTCTTGGATTTTCAGCCGTTCCATTACATGGACAATTATCTCAAGGTCAAAGATTAGGAGCTTTAAATAAATTTAAATCAGGAGTGGCTAATATCTTAGTGGCTACTGATGTGGCAGCTAGAGGGTTAGATATTCCTTCTGTTGATGCTGTTATAAATTATGATATTCCAACTGATTCTAAAGCTTATATTCATAGAGTTGGTAGAACTGCTAGAGCTGGTAGATCAGGTAAATCAATTTCATTGGTCACTCAATATGATTTAGAAATGTATTTAAGAATTGAAAGTGTGTTGGGTAAGAAATTACCTAAAGATCCATCTCCAGAAAGAGAAGTTTTACAAGCCTTACATCATCATGTTGATAAAGCTGCTGCTGAAGCTATCAGACAAACCAAAGACTTTCATGAAAAGAGAACAAGAAGGAATAAAGGTGGTGATGATAGAGATCGTGAAGAACGTTGATCGTATCATATGATTTTGTCGGTTTGTTTGTATTTTCTTTATGGGGTTATTTAGAGAGTTTTTTAAAAATAGGTTTAAATTTGTTTTAATAAAAGATAAATTTGCATATATTATAACCAAATAGTAGAAAGAACTAGGAAAATTGTAAATTGTACAAACAGTAAAAAGTAAAATGTAAACATTAACAAAACTAGAATTAGACATTAGAACTAAATTAGAATTAAAAAGAATTATCCAACCTGAATAAATAGCCATTCCAATAAAATAAAACCAAACCAAATAAAATAAAATAAAACAATCAACACAATATTAGAGAAAAGATGCAAATAATAAATAAAAATCTATTTATGCAAGAAATGAACAGGGCATTCACCATACCCTTTCTTATTAAACCAATCTTTGATACAAGCATAATGAAACACACAAAGACATTCCAATCTACCCACTTTATCACCTGGTTTTAAATCTTCCAAACAAATCACACATTCATTATCTAAGCCATCATCTTCAAGATATCCTTTATCCTTTTCAGCTGATGGTTCCATGGTAGCATTTGAAAGTACTGAACCAACCACCACATCAAGAACATTCGAGATTGGTGATGGTGAAGGAGATGGTGATTGATAAGGAGAAAGTGTTTCATCATCTTGTCTACTTTCCAGTTGTCTGATGGTATCCATGGACGATGCCGCTTCTAAATTAGGAATACTTTCGAATTTTGGTTTTGGGAATGGTGGAATATTATACACAAGCATTTTATTTCTGGGATGAGGTTTATCAGGCGAATTAAATCTTTGATTTTCAGTATTAAAATCAAAATCAGTTAAACAATCATTAATATGAGTTTCTTTAAATTTTTCAAAATCATCATTACTAATTTCTTCAATATGTTTTTTATGATGATTAATATATGATTTTAATAAATCAGTGGCACAAACAGGACATAAATTAGCATCACTTTCATCATCACCATCACGATTATTACCGCCACGATGACGACTATGACGACTATGATTGAAAGATGAATGAGTCGATGATCTTATAAGTCTAGTATGAGTTCTAGTACTATATTTGGTAGTACTATCATTATCATTATCATGAGATTGATTATGATTATGACCACCATGATCTGGTCTATGAAGGAAAGGATTGGCAATATTAAGGGCATTGGTTGGAGTTAATGATGAAGTTGAACTATTGGCACTACTTGTTCTTGAAGGGTATTCACTTTCTTCAATAGTTGATGAAGAAGGATTAGCATCAAATAATGCTTTTCTAATCATTTTAATCTCATCCACACATTCATCACAAGTTTTATAAGTTTCATACGGATTATAAATGGTTTTAGAACCATTTTGATGAACCACTAAAGTATTAGGAAAGTATTTAACCGTCTTTTCTGAACAATTTCCACAAACAACTCTACCACATTTTCTACAATGATGTCTTCTATTAAAAAAGGTATAGATGGAATGACATAAAAAACAGCAAGTAACTTCCGAATCCTCTTGCCAAATGGGGGTTTCTTCAATATAGCTACTCATTCTCTCTTGTTCAGCAAAATAATGTCTTGTCTCAAATGAACCTATAATTATACCATCTATGGAAGCTTTTGGATTTGAAGTTGATGTGTTGTTTATAACCAAAAGGCAAATTGTATCCAGCTTATCCCTTTGTTTAAAAGTGGGGCGTAGATTCCGGTATATAAGAGATGATCAATGATCAATCAGAAAAATGTCACCACACGACGATTAAACGGTGGTGGTTGACTCACCAGTTTTAGACGATACTTATAATTAGAATGTTGATGCTGTAGATATAGTTGCAAATTGGTTTAAACTGATCATTAAACTAGTTTTGACTAGATCAATGATTTAATAGACAAGTTAACAGCTCATTGGTTTATCATGGTTGAGGATATGATGTATGTCAGGTATATTACTCGTAAGGACTTAAGCATACGATATTCTTAATGATGACCTTTATAGTCAAGTCGGTCTATTCTCTTCAAAGTTCATGTATTCATCACTTCTTATAACCATTCTCTACATCAATAACCATATGGGATCAATGTTGACTTTAATAGGCTGCTAAAATAATATTGGGTCCTGTACATAATATATTATCCTGCATGTAATTTCTGGTGATATTAAAATTTCAAAGTAACCCAAAATGAATATGATTATAACTATGGAAGAACCAACTGGATCAAACAACATATATATAACACAACGATGGCTGATAGGCTAACACAATTACAAATCTGCTTAGATCAATTAGTAGAACAATTCAATGCTACAGTGAATTACGTTAATACCAATAGTGAATCAGCCTTACTTGATGAAGATCCAAATTCAATCATAAACATAGCTGCCAATGCTCCATTACCAGGTCAACAACAAGGACAACAAGGACAACAACAATCATCTCAACCACAACAACTGCCTCAAAGTCAACCTCAACAAAGTGCTAATGGAAGTGGGAAACAAACCGTTTCAAACCATGCTTCTGTGGCAGCTCAAGCTGAAGCTGAAGCAAATTTTGAAAATACTTTAAATGAATTATCCACTGATATAATCTTGAAATCTCGGCAAATAAGTATGTTGATAGATTCATTACCAGGGATAGGTGTATCTCCCACTAGTCAATTGAAAATCATTGAGGATTTAGGTGAAGATTTAAAAAATATCGAACAAGAACGAATTAAAAAAATTGAAGAAAAGGATAAATTATTAAAATGGTGTGAATCTTTAATAACAGAAGTTGCTACAGGTATCGCTGAATCGAGGCGATGAATTCAAAAAAAAAGATAGATCTTATATGTACATTATATATTGACTTACTTAATTTGCATAAGTCATACAATCAAAATCCCAACTTGAAAACCATTTGGATTGATTACATTCCGATACTGACCAATCTAAACCATAGATAAGAGGCAAGAATTGATAAAAACAATAACTAGAACCAACCCCAATAATAATCATCAACCCATACCCTATATATTTCCGTTTTGAAATTTGATATTCTATAAATTGGGCCAATAATAAAATTGAAAAATATAACGCCGGTAAGTAATGATGTAAGAATAACTCTCGTTCCATATAAAAGAATGGAGCATAATGAATGAACCACCCTAATAAGAATTCAAAACTGTTGGCGTAATAAGTTGAAACATTGATGGTTTCAAATGGGATATGGAATGGATTTAAATGTTTTATAGTATAAATGAATAATTTTGTAAATGTTAATAAAATGATTATATTGGCCGTATAATAAATCATCATATTACCAAGGAAATAAATATGGGATGGATTTTCATCAATATATTTCGTAGTCCCTTCATTGGAAAAATAATTAACTCCTCTTAATAACCATGGCCAAGTTTCAGGTTTGGATGAATAACGATGATGACTTGTAAAACTCAGATTTATCCGAATCATAGATTTATGTAATTCCCAAATCTTTCTAAAGAAACTATATTGAGGGAAAGCTATACGAGGATAATTTTCATCATTATCGATTTTAGGATGACTATTTTCTTCAATATACCAAAGAGTATTTGGAATAGTTGGTTCATCGACACATAAAACTTCATATTGTCCGAATCCCCATTCTGGTAATCTAGTAATATGACTCATGACAACACATTTCGTACCGACATGAACTAATTGGAAAATCGATTGGGTAGCTTTTAATTTCCTCAAGGGTAATTCATTTTCGGAATTGAAAGATCTATCAATAATTCTAATTTTAAATTCATAATTAACATCTCCTAATTGATTTCTATCACTATTACAACTTACTTCATTGGCATAATCATGTTCAGAAACTGGAGGACGAACATCATTCACATGTAAGTATCTTCCCGTAGCTTTATGAAATAATCTAACCGTATCACCATCTTTAATAGGCTTGAATTGTTTTTGTAATTTCCCCTCGACATTTTTATTTTTAATTTCTATAATCCATTCATTATTGATATCAGGCATGAATTCATATAATGAAACTTGTTGTTCACCACTTCCACTTAAATATGTAAAATTATGAGAATGTAAATAAGCTTCAGTACCAACATGTTTGATAGTGATGGTACTTCCATAACTTACATCTACTGGCATTTGTTTAAGATATTCAAAATCAGTTAAACTAGATTTGAAAAATGGAGATAATATCCCTGCTCCTTCTCCACTGAATGGTAAAGCTTCGAAATGAACTGTAAAAATTGAACAATAAATCACAAGGGGGAATACAATGAATATAACGAGTTTAGATATGATTTGGAAACTCCATTTCTTAGTACTGATTTCCAAATCTCCTAATTGTTGCCAAAGTTGTTGAACAGTTAAAATCCCACACCATAAGAAAGTGAAAATAGCCACAAGTTTAATCGATAATGATAATCCCAATCCCATTCCTATTACAATCAAACTTTTAAACCAAGCTTTCAGAAGTGGAGATTGTAATTGAGATCGTTTAATTCCATATATGACTAGAGCTAAACTGAATATGAAGGGTGAATCAAGTAAGATCAATCTTGAATGAGTAACCAATGAATTCTCAATCAATACTAATCCACTACCAAATAATGCCACAATAGAACGACAATTACTATATCTTAAAATCAAATATGTTAACAATACCGTCCCTACTCCACATAAACTGGAGAATAATCGAAGGGGTAAATAAGGAAATTCATGATCGATATCTTGATTATACAATTCCCCTATACGATTGAATTCCATTTGTCCATTCCAATGGAATAATATCGATAACCAATAATAAATCAATTTCACTAATGGAGGATGAACATCGAGAAAGAATTCTCCATGGAAATAGAATTTTAAGAATGTGCCTAAATGAATCTCATCAAATACAATTCTTGAAGGTAACCATAATTTATATAATCGAATGGCTGAACCTAACGTTAATAATAGACATAAATTAGCGCGATCATATTTGGTTATGGTAGTTTGTTGAAGTAATTGAGGTGAAGGGGTGGTAGAGAAGAATGATCTGAAAATACCTGGTTTATACCCTGGAGGTAATTTTGAAGATTTCTCTATCATGTTGGTGTAATCGTCGTTGGAAGTATGATTTGGATTTGGGTTCGTCTTTGGTTCAAGGTTTGAAAAATTTATGTATTTACAAAACAAGCGTGTGGTGAGTGAGTGGGAGTTGATTTGTCGCAGATTTTAGAGTTTTGTCATGTCGCGACAAATTCTACAAATATTTTCGACAAATAATAAATAAATGGATGCAAATTAAATTAAATTAAATTAAATGAAATGAAATAAATAGTTCTATAAACTCTAATAAAATAGGTTTTATACTAATCCAGATTGTTGTTTCTTAAACAATCCTTTAATCAACTTCACACAAGTATAAACAACACCAATCAAACAACCAATCGTAATAATAAATAATGCCACGGCATATATACAACTTAAGACCTTAAAGAATTTCAAAGGATATACTAAATCTCCAAATAAACCCTTACCCAATTCATTATTCGATAAAGACATGGTACCTAAGGGGAAAGTCATGGACCAGAATGATTTATTGAATTTCATAATGTATCCATGTTTGATTGATGGATGGACTTTCTTAGCAAATGGTTTGATTTTAGATAAGGTTGATACCACGGCGAGGAAAGTATTAAAATATCCAAATGATAATAAGAAAATACCAAACATGGTAGAGATTATAATGAAGATGTTTCCAATTGATTTATCTTCAATGATATCATACATGTTTTTCCCGAATAACATTATACTGAATGAAGATTGACCGAGGAACCCTACTGGTAACCAACTTGTAAAGATTAATTGAGTTGGAGGGATTTTATGTAAGATTAAACGGGAGTAGTATATGGTGATGATAATGAATGCTAATGCAATGGAAATACACCATAACATTAAACTTAAAATTTCAGTGATTAAAGTATGAGTTAAAGTCTTAAGTGATGGTGAAATGATATGACCTGATGAAGAAACCACAGTTATAGCCACGATAGGTAATAATAAAGTTGAATTTAATTGATTAATATTAATCTTTTCTGATGATAATTTTGAAAAAATAGCAAAGAAAACAGTTATAAATGCAGTATAACATGAGATTAATATCGCAATCCACCATAATACCCAAATGAAATAAATATCCACCACATTTAAATAAAAAATGAAATTTATAATGGTGATATATCCCATAGCATAACATCCCATGAATACTGCCACATTAGGGTTTAAATTATAATGAATAAGACGTTTAGGAAAATAATAATAACATGAAAGGATAAACATTAATGAAGTTATGAGGAATAACCCAACTGCTATAACAAACATGATTATCCCACATACTTTTAACCAATGAGCAGGATAAGGGAAATTATAAAGGATATTAGAAGAAATACCAGTTCCCATAATTGATACGAAATAAACAGGTGTGAATTTTTCTATAAATTCATCAAATAAAAGGTGTTTAACTCTAGTTGTGAAAGATTTTGGTGAGTGTTTGTTAATATTTGAGGTTAAGGTTGAACCATCATCTTCATTTTCAATTGTATCATCATCATGTTTATGTTTCTCATTATTTGCAGCAATTTGGGGTGGTTGTGAATCAATTAAGGGTTGTGGATCCTGAGGATGATGAATTGGAGCCACAGTTTGTGCAGATGGGTTTTGATTTAAATCTGACTGATTTGTCTCGCTTGGATTTGACATATTTTATAACGGGGGGAGGCGTCTATTTATTATTAGTTATATGTATAGGTTGGTTAATTATAGTTTATATCATATGCTAAGTCTAATTATACTAATTACAATAAACATTTATAATTATTCAGAGAGTTATAGTAAATTATATATAAAAATTTATTTGGTTCATAGAACTGGGAGGAGGAGGAGGAAACAGGAACAGAGTGAGTTAAGTGAAGTCATCCAGCGGCTAACAGACAAGCATTTTCTATGACCCATCCATCTCTATAGTTAAGAAAATTTTATTTAGAGTGCGGGAATGGACAACGGGAAACTCAAACCCCGTTCATTGTTTCCTGCATACAAGAAATCACTAATAAAAAAGATGAAAATGAAATGAGTTCCATCCGAATACGGAAAGTGCCGCACGACACCAGAGGCGGCTTAGACGATTTACGGATTAAGAAAAAATCACTCATCCATTCTTATATAATAATGAGGAGAGACAAAGGGGGATATGAAGGAGAATGAATGAATGAATGAATCAATGAACGTAAAGGGAAAGGATGAATCGTATTATAATTTGATTAAAACACGATAAAACTTTAATCTAAAGGAACGGACATTGAATCCCTTGTTTTCTTATCTCTGTTTCATTTTTGACTTTGATTCGCTGTGGCTCTCCTCTTTTTGTTTTAATTCTGATTTCTATTTCTATTGTATAGTTTCGCGTGTGTGTATGTAGTTTTAATTATCTTTACACACTCAAATTTCATATGGTAACCTCAATGGTTATCTATCTTATCTATTGTAATTCATGACTTCTTCGATTGTTTATACTTCAGTTAACTCACATTCCTTTAACTATGAGTTATAGAATGATAAGAATCATAACTGTATCAGAGTCAAATTAAACTATAATGTATAATTAATTACAACTCACAATGATAATAGTTATAGTTACTGTAATAGTTATGAATTTTGTGATTGTCGTGTCCTCGGCCCATTTTAACCCAATTGGGAAATAAATGCTCAACAATGCGTGACTTATGTTATTTGCACCGCTGTTCAATTAACGACCGCTCCTTATTTTATTTTATCATCCCATCCAAGAGCCGTCGATGAAAGCACCGTAGACTTGCCCAATTAGGAAGGTGACTTTCAACTTTTGACTCAAAAAGTAGCGTGCAATTAGCTAATTTTTTTAATATATAAATACAACCTTAAAATCCCCCATTTCCTAATTTCAGTCCTAATTTTAAATCATTACAACCAGATCTATATTTGAACATACCTGCAATTGGATCATTACATCTTCTACATCTTCATTCATTCATTCACTTATTCAATCTTTTCCAACTATAGAACCACATTATTGATTTTTTTTTCTTTTTTAAATTGCCCTCATCTCATAATGTTAACAGTTAATTCAACTCCAAATCCTTTTGAAAGAGCAGGTACTCCCACTTCATCATCCACTTCATGTGGTATGGATAGACTCCCATCCAATAATCATTTAGCCATCGATACTGCTTCTAAAACTATCGATAGTTTATCCAAAGATTCTCCCTTCTATACCTTAATTGAAGAATTAAAAGTTATCTTAGGTGGGAAAGGATTACACTCTGATGAAATTGATGTTGACAAGATCAAACAATTGATGGAAAATTATGAATCCAATGAAGAAGATTGGTTGAAATACGCTCTTTATGATCCATCTCGTGGATATTCTAGAAATGGAATTATCAATATAAATGATAATGCCAATTTATTAATTTTAGTATGGTCTCCTGGGAAATCATCAGCTATTCATGATCATGCCAATGCTCATTGTTGTATGAAGATCTTAGCCGGTGAATTAATGGAATCCCTTTATGATATTCCTGATCAAAATGAACAGAAGAAATTAGTTTGTAAAAAGGAAACTTTAATGACAAGAGATCAAGTGGGTTATATTTCAGATAAAATTGGATTACATAAGATTTCTAATCCAATTCAAGATAAAGTTTCAGTATCATTACATTTATATACTCCTCCATATGCTTATATTTATGGTTGTTCAATGTATGAACAAAATAATGGTAAGAGACATCATGTTGATATGAATAAATATTATAGTTGGCAAGGAAAATTAATCAATCCTAAAGAAAGTCATAGTTGTTAATTCCCACTCTTACACCCTTATTTTTTAATGTCCATAATGATTTCCAAACACATAAATATATTCATGTATATAACCTGTTTATCTATTTAATATTATATCTTTCAATTAGAATAACTTTGTAAATTGAGTACCACCATCTGGATTAGGTGGAACTTGTAACCAATTTAATTCATCATATTTAGCAACGCCATCAATAATATGAAAGGCATAAGCAAATCTTGATTTTTTAGATCGATTGTTTTCCGATTTATGTAACACAGAATTATTAATCAAGATTAATGATCCTGCTTTACATTCAACAATCTTATATCCATCCTTAGGTGGAGTCTTAACTTCAGTCTCATCCCCGACATTGATAAAATTACATCCCTCTTTACCTTTATTGATCTTAACGAATCTCTTTGTAATAGGATAAACTTTATGAGATCCTGGTAAATACGATAAACATCCATTCTCAATAGTACAATCTTCCAACGCAAACCAAAACCCAACCGCAGATTGAGGTTCAGTATATAAGAACGTCCCATCAGTATGAGGTGGGACAGCATTCGATCTTTCCTTCGATACATTCTCATCGACAATAGGCTGTTTGAAAATTAACATACTTTGTAAGATTCGAGGATCGACATATTTCAAAGACTTCATTATCCCCCTCACATCTTCGTTTAATGTCACTTGTTCAAACACAGGATCTATCATATGTAATCCATGACCGATTTTATTAATTGCTTGTTCAATAGGGAAATTAAGCTTTCCAGTACTATCATTGAATGCATCGGTATCAAAGAAATATCCTATTTTATCACTTGAATTGAAGAAATATTCATCTCCCACATGATCATTATCATTCGTTTTGAATTGAGTTAATGGATGATTCGAAATATCAAATTCATCTAATAATTGATGTGATCGAGTTAATAATTGAGATATTTGGTCGGAGGAAAGAAAATTTGGAAGACATATCATCCCTTCCTTATCAAATATTTCCAATTGTTCTTCACTTAACCCTGTCATTTCTGAGTATTGTCCCTTCTTATCTGTTTTATATGTTCATAAAGTGATTAGTTATACCTTCTTCTTGTGGAGGTGTTTTTGTTATCTCTCTGTCGCTCTTAAAAAAATGTGTCTAGAATCAGATCATAATATTTTTATTACTACATCCGCGGCATGGATGCATTTGCAACCAAATCAATATACAATTCATATGTAATAATAATAACTTAATTAACTTATTTAACGTCCAAATCTTTTTAATTCAATGTATCTGAATAATGGATAACTTACAGCAGTGAAAGCACCCGATAACCAGAATCCAATATCACCACCATCAACTCCAATTTTTATAGCTAATACCCCTTGATAATATTCTTGATTCATACCGAGGACAGCACCAACTACTCCAAAGGCAAATGCTATAGCAGCTGCTAATCCCATGGTTCTTCCTCTTGGCTTATTCCAATTAGCCCAATTATATAATAAACTAGTATCTTCTTCTTTACCTTGGAATTCTTTATGATGTAAACTTCTAACTTTAATATTTGATCTAAAGATTAAATTCTCTTCTAATAAGATAGTAATATAAATTGAAATCCAATATCCCAACATTGGTAAGAAATTACTTATTATGGTTGATAAATGTTCTTTACCTGCGATACTTAACACAATGTAAATGATAGTTACTAAGATAGCCCAACACCATCTTGGAACAATGGCTAATTTAACATCAATTAATTGAAATTCAAACGCAATCGAATAAGTATTCATGATATTATTACAAATCAATGAAATATAAAGAATCACCACTACAAAAGATCCAAATTTCCCCCATGGTTTGAAAACTTCATTAATTAATCCACCAACTCCAAATGAATCATAAGCAGCTGTCCATGGTGGATATCCATAAGCGATAACTCCACATAATGTCCCTGGAATAGCAACAAATAATGATGGAATGGTTATACCTAAGAAAGTAACTAAGAAAACTTGATAAGCGGGTGTTTCTTCGGGGAATAAAATATAATAATCAGATGCACCTGATCCCCAAGTAGCAGTAACTGAATATCCAAGAGTGAAGAATGATAACCAATTCCCACGAATGGTTAAACTTGATAATTCCATTTCTTGAACTAATTGATTAGCAGTATGAACATAATCTAATTTCTTACATACAACCACATAAAATAAAATTGTAGCAATGAATAATGGGATAGCCATAATAGTTTGAAATTTTAATACCACTCTAATACCAAATATAGCAATGATTAAACTTATGACTGAAATAAGAACAATTCCAACTGATAATGGAATATTATGATTAATGGAGATTAATAATTGTCCTCCTAATACACAATTGACCACTGACCAACCAATACCACCCACAATACAAATCACAGAAACGAATTTAACTCCCCATTGACCAAATAAAAATCGAGCACCAACCATTTGTCTACATCCAGATTTTGGACCCATGGTTGAACAATAAGCAGGCACTAAACAACCAATTACCATTCCAATCAATCCACTAACCATACTATTTCTCATATCCAATCCAAATAAAAATGTAGATAAAAAGAATGATGACATTGAAGTTAATCCTCCACAAGCTGAAAACCAAAGACCTATAACATGAACAAATTGATAATAACGAGGTTTGGTGGAAGCCAATTGTCTTCTTTCTTCACTACTGACCCTTTCTATACCTCTAGTTTCAATCCCAAAATCATCTAATTTATAAATCCATGATACATATTTATTATTAATATGTTGCAAATTACCATCTTCATTATCGGATTGATTTTCCGAGCTTTGATCAATTGATGATACTTTTTCAGGAATTGATACTCCTTCTTTATCATGAAAGCTAGTCATACTTATACTGACTATGAATAACTATAACAAGATCACTTTTTCATCATCTAAACTTGATCGAACCATTCATTACCCCCATATATATATTAAACGTCTTGGGTGAAAGGTTTTTTTTAATATCTCAGAGGGCAGACTTGTAAGCGCATAAACTTTTGGAGGGGTGTTTAATTTTGGCTGAAAAAAAAAGTATAGCACCCAATAATATAAAAGGGAACTATATTCCGGGAGCAATTTGAATAATTTGGAGGTGAAAGGGATAGATGGAGGGATAGTGTCCATCAGGTTAAGTTAGAATCATAAACGAATATGACAACAGATATTATTGATAGTCTTATTGAGAAACATCAAGACCAATTCCATCAATCAATTTCTCATCCTTTGACGAATGAATTATGTCAAGGGATTTTACCAGATTATAAATTATTCACTTATTTAATTCAAGATTTAAAATTCTTTCAAATTGGGTTAAACTTATTTGGAAAGGTCTTAGCGTTATGTGATGATCCAAAACCATCAATTGTGTTAGGTAAACAAATTGGGTTTGTCTCTAATGATGAAAATGATTATTTCTTTACTTGTATCGAACAATTAAAGACTGATAATTTAGCTCAATTAAAACAATATAGTGGAAAAATGTTACTTGATCCAGCTCCAACTTTACCTGCTGTTCAGAAGTATCTTGATTTTCTTAATTATTTAATCTTTGAATCCAAATCTTATATTGAATTAATTACGTTCATGTATGTTATGGAAAAGGTTTATTTAGGTTGGGCTGAATATAATGAACATTTAATTCCTGCCAATTTACCTTATAAATATCAAGAATGGGTTAGATTACATAGTGGAGCTGATTTTACTAAATGGGTTGCATTCTTAAAGAGTGAAGTGGTTAGAGTAGTTAAGACTGATGAAGATAAATATGAGTGTGAAAAGGCCTTTATAACTGCTTTAACTCATGAAATTGAATTCTTTAAAGCAACTTATGAATATAAGGAATAAATTCAGTATGCGCTTGAAGAGAATTTTTCTGCTCCAATATATAAGTCCAAGAAGACCAATTAATTATTAACTAAAATTGACTCTAAATATAAATACCAGTTTAATTCATTTTTTAAAAATAACTATATACATGAACTTATACCTGTTTCATAAACATTAAATTATATACATACATAAATGGGGTTGAAAGGGACTTTCTTATTTGTAAAGGAAACTAAGCCATGAATCCTTTCTCTTCTCTCTTTCAGCTTCTGGAATAAAGGCATCAATGTGCAGTCTAATCTTTTCAACACCTTCTTTAGCATCAGCTTCTCTACCTATAACATCAACAAAATTACCTTCTGAATCCATTAAATAAAAGAAAATTGAATGATCAACTAAATAATCTTGACCTGGTTTAACATCTTGAGGAGTTGAGAAGTAAACACGATATTGTTTACATGCTTTTTTAACTTCCTCATAAGTACCAGTTAATCCAATGATTGATGGATGGAAATCAGTTAAATATTCCTTTATAATTTCAGGACTATCTCTAGCAGGATCACAAGTTATAAAAATTGGTAATAAATCAATATTATTCTTCGATTTTAATTCATTTAACATATCTCCTAATTTATCTAATTCATCAGGACAAACATCAGGACAATGAGTGAATCCAAAATATATAATGGAAAATTGTTTCTTATCATTTTTTAAGTTTTCTTGAGTAAATGGTTGACCATTATCATCAATTAAATTAAATGGACCTCCAATTAAAGGTTTACCATAACTTCTTTTCGATTCAACTTCCTTCTGAATTCTTAATCTTTCCTTTTCCTTAGAGAAATAGTAAGTAGCACCTCCACCTAATACTAATAATAACATAACTGCTTTCCAAGCTGCAAATTCAACACTATTCTTAGAAGCGTACTTGGCAGCGGAACCAGTTCCACCAATAGCAACTCTACTTAATGGTCTTTTCTTAGGACTAGTACTACTTTCATTTGCGGTCGATTTTGGAACTTCTTGGGGTTTGATTAAAGTTGAAGCTAAACAACGTTTGGCAAATACGGGAGTTGATTTCAACAATTGAGATCTAACTAACACTGACCTCAATATAGTTGTACGAACTGGTATTCTATTCAATAACATCCTTTAATCGTGGTGTAATCTATTGTTCCATACAATGTTTTAGTAAGCAAACCAACGTTTGATCAATTTTCAAACTCCATGGTATCACCAAACTGACTGGAAGAAAAAAATCATCTCACAATTTTCTATGTACAGGAAAATTCAAAAAAACTTCAGACTATAGTTAATTTGTACCATTGACTGACTTCATCAAGGTTTGCAGTGGCAACATGAGTTCTCAAAAGAAGTTACAAGAGTTATTGGATTGGTCAAAGTCTAATGGTGCTGATATTTCACCTAAACTAGATTTCAAAGTGATTTCAGAGGGTAATATCGGAGTGTTCTATAATGAAAAGGTAGCTCGAGATCAAGAATTACAACAAATTCAATTGCCATTGAATTTGATTATTACTTTACAAACTGCCGTAGATTCATTCCATAAAGAAGATCCAGCAACTTCATACCCTGAAATATCACAAAAGACTTCAAACATCAACTCATTGTTAAAAATATATCTCAGTAAAGCTCGAACTGACTCAAGTTCATTCTTCAAACCTTATTTAACATTATTACCAAGTTTATATCAAATCAATTCACCATATACTTGGAATACTCAGGATAAGGATCTTTTAAAGGGAACTAATTTAGGAAACTCTTTAAAGGAAAATTTAACCCAATTGATTGAAGAATGGTGGCAAATCATCAATCTTATACCTGATACCATCACTAAACCAACCGATCATTTTATCAATATGAAATTCTATTATGAATATAAGTTTTATAAACCAGAAGATTTTGATACTTATTTCGAAGAAGAACTGAAAAAGATCGATAATTGGACAAGTTTCCCTAATTATTTATGGTCATCGTTAATTTTAAAATCAAGATCATTCCCCAGATATTTATTAAAGAATGCAAAAGATAGTGAAAGTAAAGATATTAAACAAGACGAGGCTATGTTGTTACCTTTGATTGATCTTTTAAACCATGATCCTAAAGCTAAAGTGAATTGGATAGTGGATGCTGAATCTGATACGTTTAATTTCAAACTGGATAATCCAGTTGATGGTGAACAATTATATAATAACTATGGTATGAAAGGAAATGAAGAGTTATTATTAGCTTATGGATTCGCTCTTAAAGATAATGCTGCTGATTCTGTAGCATTAAAGATTAAAATAGATTCTCAATTGGTTGATGATATTGAAAAATATGGTATTCAATTACCTTCTATTGAAGATTATACCACTTCAGTCGTGAGAAAGGATTCTTCCATTGCTACTACTACCAATAAACTGTATGAAGATGGAGTATTGTACTTCATAACGAATGATAATCTCCTGATTAACCTCATTCAAATATTTCAATATCTAGTTAAGAATAGATGGGAAACTAATGGTGAAATCACTTTAAGGATGCAATTGGCAGGATTAAATCATTTAAGATCAGCATTAGAAAGTAAACTTGCCTTAATTGATAGTAAGAGTATACCCGCATCCAGTGCCAATCATTCCAACATCAAGATTTACATTGACTCTCAAGTTAAAATCTATAAAAGTACCATTAAAAGAGTTAAACATCTTGAAAAGGAATTAATTGGAAATCATAAATCAGATTTGGTTAGTTTAAAATCGGTATATAAGAAAGATAAGAAATTACAACAAGCTTTATTGGTAAGTTTTGGATTAACCAGTTATGAATCGATATTACAAGCTCAATTCCAAGATCAAATGTGGTTATTATATTTAATCCGTTGTGTTAATAGAGGAGAGTATTTGAGTGGCAATGACGATATTGATGGTGATGAAGATAATTACTTACCTCAATGGATTGAACAAGACTTCACTAAATTGAAACAAGAAATCACTATTTCAAATGAAGAAGTAGTTCAATATCAACCCATTTATGAAAATCTTATACCTGAATTGAATGCCAAAGTTCCAGAAATCTTCAATAAGGGGGATTGGACTATACAAAATTTTGTTTACAGTGCAAAATTATTAGATATAATTGGCTTTGTAAGGGGTAAGGATCAAGAGTGTATATTAGTGAAGCATTAGATAAATGGATTTGATTAAAAATGTCTAAGCTTATACCAGATAATGATGTAAGATATGTATATATATATAGTTTTTTTTAATTTATAGACAGTCAAAGCATTTTCTTTTTGAAAAGAAAAATAAACTAGAAGAATTGAATATAAGTATTATTTATCAAAAATCAAAATCTAATCTTCTTTGATACCACCTCTACCACTAACTTCAGCACTTTCAACTGATTGTTTATCAGTAATGACATCACCAGCACCACCAGTGAAAGCAGACATGAAACCAGCAGCAGCCTTGAATGGTCTCTTTAAATCACCAGTAGCTGGAGTACCGAAAAGATGAATCTTAACAATATTGGCTTCTAAAGCAGATTTAACAGAAGAAACAGATTGCATAACTAATGGATTGGTATATTTCATGTAAACATGCATAACACCCATCATAGCCATACCACTAAAGACACCTTTAATTAAAGTATCAATTTGTTTTAAATCATATTCCTTGACAGTGGTGATCACAGCCTTTGGTTCAGATTCACCACCTAATGGATTAGCTGGTTCAACATATTTCAAAGTAGTTAAATCATTCTTAGCATTGATTTTAACTCTCACTAATAAGTAAACTGCTAAAGCAATGGCTTGACATCCTAAATAGGCAGCTCTAACATAGAGTAAAATAGTTGGATCTTCCAAGTCTAAACGACGGGAGACTTGCATCATGACAAGCATGACGACGATGTTGGTGACAGCTGGATTCATCTTGTTGTTCGTTGACTATTCGTGAAGAAGAGGGAAGGAAGGAAGGGGATCAAGAAGGATATTTTTTGATTTCTTTTTTTTTTTTATCAGTGTTTGTTCAACTTTTAAATTTTTCAGTCGTACGGAAGCAGAACAGAAAAAAAAAAGAATCGTGTAGAATTCAAAAGAACAAAAAATCAAATCTCTCTTTACACAAATTGACAGCCAAGCCAATGAATGGGTTACGATACGATACGATATGATATTATATGATAAGGAGGTTTGTATATGTACAAAGAGAGAGTATGTGATAACTATTTAGTGTACTTAGAATGCATTGTCTTCATCATCAAATGAAACATCTCCAAACTCCCAACATCCTAAATGTTGCGATTTGGCTTTGGATTGAACAGTTACTAAAGAGGTAACATAATCTTTAACAGAGTCCTTGACTTTCTTGGTATCAACTATACCCCAACCATCTTGGACTAATTGCTTGTTGATAGTGTAATCAGGATCTTTTAACGATTGCTCGGCATCATATAAGATACCTTCATATTCACTGGTAGTGCCATTTCCTGGTAAGGCACTAATCACTAACTTCTTATCAAACACTAAATCTTCTAAAGCATAGATGGCATCAGTTAAATAATCAGTTGGTTTAGATGGTGGTAATCTTATGTTTTGTAAAGTAGTAGTATGACTGAATACGGGATAATTGATTAAATTGAATTTTTGGGGTAAGATTCTTAATGAACTTAATGAAACTTTATCAATATTACCAAAATCTAAATGTTTAACTTCAAATTTACCATTTGATTTATCATGAGAAAGAACTCTAGCACGATAATATTTCCCATTTTCACTGAATTTGGCTGATACTAAATCATTCTTCTTTGGTACTCTAGTTAAATTAAACGGTAAATCAATTGATGATTGACTTGCTGAAGGAGCTTGAGTATGGAATTGATTAAATGAAGTTTTAAATTCGGAAAATTTCTTAACTGTAGCAGTATCTAAATAATGGAATGAAATAATTCCACTTTCTTTATCAATATCAACCGCTTCAATATCAAAGAATTGAGGTTTAATATCAATTTTAACTTGACTAACTTGATTCTCAAGCAATGCTAATTCCTTAGCTTCATCATAATTTGACCAAATCCCCTTTTTAGTACTCTTGGCTTCTTCTTCAGCTTTAATTAAATCATTACTAAATGGATTACTATTCACAGCTAAATCATGGATCTTAATTAATCCTAATTCTAATAATGAAACTTGAATTGGAACTAAAGAATTGGTATTGATATATAAATTACCAATGAATGAACCTAATTTATCAAGATCATAAATTTCAAATTCAATTCCTCCTCTTTGTAAGAATCTTTTATTTAAATATTTAACTCCTTTATCATTTAAAACTTGAGATTTTTCATTAGTTAATCCACCTAAGATTAAAGTTAATTTAGTACCTTCCTTTGGATTGAATAATTTAACTCTATTAATGGATGGAATAAATTCAATATAATAACCACCAGAAATTCTTCCCTTTTGTTTAAAACCATTAAAGAAAGTTTTAGCTTTAGTAGCATTTTCCGATGCATCAATGATTCTATTACTAACAGTTATAACTTTATCTAAATTAGTTGAAAATAATCCATTCTTAGCTAATTTCTTTTGATTTTCTTCAATTTCAATTAATTTATCCCAATTATGAGATCTTTCATGACTAGTAGCTTTATTATGTTTTATAACAGTAGCCCAACCATTTTCAACAATTAATTCACTTAAATCAGTAGAACCAAATTTAAAACTAACTAAGAATCTTGAATCAAATCCTAATTCTTTATTTTCTTGTCTAATTCCATCAATATAAAGTGATCCACTCTTACCAATAACTTTTGATCTTACAAATTCACGAGCACTAGAAACTAATGCTTGTTTCTTTAATGAATCACCAGCAATGGTGGTATCATTTGGTTTTGGAGATCTAATAGAAGCTAATTGAACAGTTATTTCATCATCATTTTGTAATCTAACAACAATAGTATCAGCACTAACAATTTTAGCAATAGAAACATTATCAACAGTAATACCTGGTTTTAATGATTTAACAGGAGAAACAATAGTGGTTTTAGGAGTAGAACTAGTGGTACTAGCATACAATCCTTTACCTAAAGCTTTAGCGATTTGTTCAGCTTTTCTATATTTAACCATAGTGGTAGCTCCAACTAAAGTTGATTGCCAATCAACAATTTCACCATATCCTAATTCAAGGGATTTTTCAATAATATCATTACCAGAAGGATGATGGATGATAGCAATTGGTAAACCTTGTTGACTTTCACCAATGATACTAATGGTTAATTCAGCTTTAGTGGTTAATAATTTTTCTTCAACAAATACTTTAGCTTGTTGGGCAACTTTTGTAGTGGCAGCAGGTTGATTAATATCATCAGTTCTTGGAGTTTTAATACCAGCTAATAAAATTGGACTTTGGAAATGTTGTTTTGGATTAACAATGACTCTACCAACGATTCTATCTCCACTAATAACTCTTTCCACAATTACTTTTAATGGATATTTTTGAGATTTTTGAATCACATTTTCAGATAATTTATCAATGGTTTCAATTGATGATGATTCACCAGTTGACCAAACACCAACATTTTTCAATTTAGCTCCATTTTCAACTTCTTTTAAATCATAATAGATATCACCTTCATTTTCATTAAAATTATCTTTTAATTTAACTAAACCCTTTTCTAATAAATATTGAATTAAAGATTTGAAAATTGGAGCTTGAACATCACCAAATTCACGATTAGTAGTTGGATTCTTATAATTGACTTTGAATTTGATTTCCTTTCCAATTAGTAAATCTCTAAGGAATTCCTTAGCTTCAAACGTATCAGCAGCTCTAACGTATGAAAGAGTAAGGGTTCTTTCTGGAGCAGGGAATTGAGCAGTCTTGGTAGGAACCAAAACCAAAGTGTCACCACTAAGTACGTTCTTGACCTTAGCTACGAAGAAAGACATGGTTAGGGAAAGTTATCAGTTTAAACCTAGCTAGTTAATGTCGAAAACTGTTTGATCTTGCTTGTTAATGATCTGTCAAGTTGGGGGAATTTTTCACTTTTGTCGCTGTCTCGACTGACGCTCACATTTTACGAGGAGGCCCACAGTTTTTTGGGAACTGGAGTGAGAGCGAGCGTAACAAAATTTGTTCTAAAGAGATCTAAATTGTTCTACCACAATCACAAGACTAGATAGAACTTGATATCCTTTGATACCACCACCCATTTGCATCTGCTACAGTATATATCATACACATATAGATAGAGATATACAACATTTATCTGAATGGCACCACGTTCAACTGCTCAAAAGAGACTTTTAAAAGAGTTTCAACAACTTTCCAAAGATCCTCCTCCCGGTATCATTGCCGGTCCAATTTCTGAAGATGATTTATTCAAATGGGATTGCCTTCTAGAAGGTCCATCAGATACACCTTATGAATACGGTGTATTCCCTGCTTTATTGCTGTTCCCCAAGGATTATCCTTTAAGTCCACCTGCATTGAAATTTGATCCACCTTTATTACATCCTAATATTTATGCCGATGGTACCGTTTGTATATCGATTTTACATCCACCTGGTGAAGATCCTAATCAATATGAAAGACCAGAGGAAAGATGGTCTCCAGTTCAAAGTATTGAAAAAATCTTATTAAGTGTGATATCGATGTTAGCTGAACCAAATCCTGAAAGTGGTGCAAATATTGATGCTTGTAAATTATGGAGAGATAATAGAGATGAATATGATAATCAAATAAGGAATCATGTTAGACAATCCTTGGGTTTTGAAAAGTAAATGATGATAGTTGATTCAATTATAGATCTGTCATTTACTAGTTTATCTAGTCTATGATCAATGATGGTAATGACGAAAGTTAGTGTAATTTTAAACATAAATAGCGGAAATATACAATTTTGGACATACAATTTTAGTGAACCATAATGAAATGAAGTAGTGTAACTATGCTTTGTAAGTAACTAACGACTAGTATCATAGTACTAATCTAACCTAAGCATATCGTCTTTGATGATAGTGATTTAGCAGTAATAATATTAGCGCGAGGCACAAAAATGCAAAATATTAACCCCAACGTTCAAAACTTTCATATAAAAAGCAACTCCTTTCTATGTTTGCTTTCTCGTGTATGAGTACCATATAACAGTCAATTAACAATGAGTTCACGATCAGTTGAAGTAGTTATCATCGGTGGTGGTGTGGCTGGGTTGAAAGCTGCTCAAACTCTCTTAACTGATCCATCTGGAAAATTGAAATCTGATGATATTTTAGTGATTGAAGCTCAAGATCATCTCGGAGGTAGAATCTTCACTGATAAAAACCTGAGTAAATTAGGATATAATTATGATCTTGGAGCTGCTTGGTTTCATGATTCACTTAGTAATATCGTCCTTCAAGATGCAGTTAATGATAATGATTTAGATAATTTTGATCGTGGGAAAGATACTTATTATGATGATAAAGATCCTAAAATATTTGGAGAAGATGGTCATGTTGATTTAGTCGATACGAAGATAAATCGAGTTTATGAAGAATTAGAGAAATTCATTGAATTATATTATTATAATGATACAGATGAACCTGATTTATCTTTAAAGGATATCACTGATAAATTCTTACAAAAATATGATTCAATCCTTACACCTACTCAAAAGAAATATTGTAAATTATTAATCCGAACTTATGAATCATGGTATGGGATATCATGGGATGTGATAAGTGGGAAATATTCCATGATGGATCACCATGGAAGAAATCTTTTAAACGTGAAAGGGTATTCCTTTATAATTGATAAACTCGCAAAGCAAATTCCATCAAGTTCGATATTATTAAATTCTCAAGTTAAAGTAATCGATCGTTCAAATAAGGATGTACCTACCAAAAAAGTCATGATAGAAACAACACTGGGTTTAAAAGTATATACTAATTATGTGATAGTTACTGTCCCCCAAAGTATCCTACAATTATCAGATTCTTCTTCATATGGAATCACTTGGAAACCACCCTTACCTATCAACATCAAAGATGCATTAAGTGAGATTCATTTTGGTTGTTTGGGAAAAGTAATTTTTGAATTTGATTCTATCTGGTGGGATAAAAATGAAGACCGGTTTGAAATATTAGCCTCAGAGCCTGATCCAACTAAATCATATTCTGATCCTATTACATCTCATCCTCGACCATTTGATTATCCAGCTTATATGGTTAATTTCGCATCAGTACATAAAGAAAACTTATCAAAAGGAAGTAGTTTAGTAATCTTAACTCAGTCCCCCTTAACTGAATATTTAGAATCTCATTCCAATGAAGATGCATGGAGATATTATAAACCAATGTTAGAGAAATTAGTAATACCAGGTAAATCCATCACTAATCCAATCAATACCATAAAGACTAGTTGGACACAAAACCCATATATAAGAGGATCCTACTCTGCTTTACATACCCATGATGATCCATCACTGTTAATAATACAGTTATCTGGTGAATTTGATAATACTGGTTTAATAGGGAATAAGAACATTAGATTTGCTGGTGAGCATACCATTCTGGATGGTGCTGGTTGTGTTCATGGAGCGTATAGTAGTGGACTTAGAGAAGCTGATTGGATCTTGAATGATATATCATAGACTAGATTTGTAAATAGATATAATAAATTTAGAACCATCTAGAAGGTTCTAGTATGAACCAGTTTTGCAACAAAAATTTCATTCACGTGACTTTTTTTTTTTTGGTTCATCTCTATGCCAAATTTTTTTTTTTGATATTTAAATGGAATCAAATTCTTGAAAGAAGAAGCATAATAGTCGATTATATCAACGAATAACTATCAAAATGGCTACCCAATTCGATGCTGACAATGCTGAAAACTTAGAAGATATGGAAAAGCAATTTGCTGTCAAGGCAGTCATGCAAGCTGAAACCTATTGGGGATTATTAGAAAAGATTCCTGGTTCAAGATTAAAGTTAACTAAGCATGATGATGAAATTTTTGAACAATTTTTAACTGATTTTCCAGAATTTAAAGAACCAAAGAATGTGGCTATAATATCTGAAGCTGAAATGAAGAGTGTAACTGGTAAAGCCAGATGGAGAGCCTTTTGTGATAAATTTCAAGATATTGAAGATTATAACTTTGGTACTTTATTAAGATCCAGTGCTTCTGATTACTATACTCAAGAAGGTACTATCTTTGCTGTCAGAATTCAATTTTATGCCATTGAAATCGCTAGAAATAGATATGGTTTAAATGATTGGGCTAAACAATAGATACCTTGATAGCTTTAAATCATAGATCTGTTCATTTTATTTAGATAAGCTCCATAATTTCATAGACCTCACCCTTCTTCAAACATTCACCTCTTGTATATTTAGTTCCATTTAGAAATAAACTGTTTAATAGTATATTTATTTATTGGTCAAAATATGTGTTGCAAATGTAGAATTAACCTTATTAATAAGCTCTCTATGTAGGTAATTTTTTCAGTTATTCTTTTCTAAAACATACCCCTATCAGTAACACGTACACACTCTACATCTATGTTGATATTCTGTTCATTTCCATCATGGTATCTAACCCTTTTGACAACGGCCAACCAAGATTGCTCTGAGGTGGGCAAATCTTTCTCTCACTATGGGAAAAAAAAAGCACAACAATCACACGAAAATAAAAAAAATTGTGAGGACTAAAAATGGGGGAATGTAATGGTTTGATCTTTACAACCAACATTGATTCATCATCATCAACATCAGTGGGATCAACTATCTATCAATTCTATAGTCGATTGTGAGATAAAGAGATAGTTAGGAGAACTTGAGTGTGTGTAACTGTCTTGTTTGATAATTAGTTGGCCATGAATAACCTCAGATCACAGACAACAAGTGTCAAGAATTACTCACAAAATGGCAACCAACTGAATCAATCCTGGCAACAACAGGGAGGACAACCTCTGCAACCGCAACAACAACAGCAGCAGCAACAACAGCAACAATCACAACAACAGATAAGTAATAATATGTCAAGTGGGTCCCCGTCAGCTTCTTCAGCCAATACTGCTGCATATACTTTACCCGGAGTAATAAATTATTTAACTTCAGAGTTCACCAATCTAGAACGATTTAAGATAATGACTAATTTGGAGAAATCAGAAATGAAGTATAAGATAGTTCAATTACAAGGTGAATTGAATGCATTGAAGTTTGTCAATGGAAAACAAAAAGCGAAAATAGAGAAATTAGAAGAAGAAGTTCGTTCTTTAAAATCAGACCATAACACTAACGATAATGACAATAATAATACTAATGGTACTGATAAAGTAATAAATGACGATCCTACTAGTAAAGAAACACCATTGATTAATATTCCTGATGTTGACTTGCAATTGATTAAAAATTCAAGAGATCATTTCACAAAGAATATGACTGAAATCATTAAATTATTTAAAATACCTAATGGACATAATGATATTCATTTCCTTGATATACCTGAATTGAATGATACTGATAGTGAATTTGATGTATTGTTACAACATCATCATTATGAACCACCTAAAGAAAAGACGTCTGAATTGGATTTATTAAAGGCTACTGCAAGACTTGGTCGTAAGAATAAAAGTTCGATAACGGCAAAATATTTTGAAGAAAATGATAGTCATACTCCACCTATTAAAGCATCATCTAATCCAAAAGCTCCAAAATCAAAACTTCCTGATCTTAATGAAATCGAATCTAATAATAGTAATGTTCAATCTAATAATGATGTATATTTTAGAACGTTAGATCCAATATCATCCACTTCTAAATCTGATTCAATTGATGAAAGTGATAGTGAAACTGTCATATTCGATTATGCGAATGAAGGTTCACCTCCTATTACATCATCCATTCAACCACCACAAGATATTGTGAGCAAAGCTTTTATACATGGCAATTATACTATAACTATTCTGGAATCATCAGCAGGACAAAATCATTCAGTATTGGTGAAAGATAAGAATCAAATCATTCAATCAGCCGAGATTTCTATATCAAATGTAATATTTGAAAAGATTGTTGATATTCATCCCTTATTTGTTGATGAGGATCATCAAGATACTTTAATCATAATTGATAAAGATGGGATTATAATTTCATTTGATTTAAAGCAAAATGAAGAAAAAATTATTCATAACTTGACGGGTCAAATATCAGATATAAATGCATGTGAATGGATTGAATTTGATATTAAGGCTACAACTACATCAAAGAGTTTTGGGTTAGCAATGAGTGGATCGAACGGTCCAAACAATCAATATATTGTTAAAGTAGCTCGATTGATTCATGATATTACTACCAATACTACAGAATCATCGCTTATTGGTAGTTTCACTAAAAGCTTTCTTGCTACAAAGGGACATAAAGATATAGCATTAAAAGGGTGGGCAGTGTCTTCTATAACGCGTAATGGTAACGGCAATCATGCTAATAATGCTAACAATAATAACGGCAATAATAATGGCAATAACAATATCAATAATAATAACAAGGTGGCACAATCACCAAAGGCTAAAAAGGCACCACCAACTTGCGATGATCCAACATTGGCAAGATACCTCTTGGTGTTTCAACTGGATGACAATCTAGTTCATTTCAATTTCGTTCTGAAAAAGTTCGATACCGTTGATTCGGGATCTAAATAAGGTTTTATAGATTAGATAATTCTTTCTATTCCTATTCTCACTCCTCCTTCTTATCCCTCATCATTACTCATTGTCAATATTTATTTATCATCAGTATATACATATTCCTCCATTATAAATAGTCCTGTCTCCCCCATTCTCATTCAAAGCTCTATTCCTAAATCATATAAACTGTTCACAAAAGCAACTATCTAATCTTAGAATTTTCCACGTTGATGCAAATATTTAGCGTGTGGCTCACCTCTTCACGTTTTTTTTTTTTTCTTTAAGCAGAAAATTTTTTTTATCAGAATAATTTTTATTTATCATAATACGTTTTTATCATTTTTATTGATAGTTGTTTGATAATTGTGGATCATGTCTAACTTTGACGACTTCTTAAAGAAACAACAGCTGAGCTTGAACAAGCCCAAAGGGTTTGGTTACAAGAATGCTAATGGGAACCCAAATCAACAATTCAATAATAATCAAAACTCCAATAATAGATATAACAATAACTATAGAGGTAATAACTTACAACAAAGTTCTTCACTTAATAGTCCTAATGATTCCTTACCAACCAGTGGTATTGCTACTCCAAATTCAGCAGATCATAATGCTTCCACTACTTCTTTAACTTCTCTTAATACTGCCTTAAGTAAATTAAACGTGGCTAGTGGTCCATTCCAAGATAATTTGATCAATATAGAAAGAGCTACTAAAATTGGTGAAATTAGACCAGAAGTCGAGGCTATTGTTGATGCTGTTGCTAATGAATCATCTTTAGATGTCATTAATGAATGGAAATTATTAGACATAATCAAATCATTAATTAAACCAAAGAATTCTGCTTTGATTAGAGAATCAGGTTTGCTTATAATTCAACAATTAGCTACCAGATTTGGTGGTCAAACTCCAAAGGAATCTTATTTAATTCAATTCTTCTCCATTGCTTATGATATGGTGGCTGATAAAGATAGAAATATCGTTAAAGCTGCTAAATCTGCTACTGATACTTTATATGGTATTTATCCAGTTGAAGCTTTAGGTTCAATTATTCTTAATGAATTTTTAAGATATTTAGCTTCGTCAGCTAAATGGAATTCAAAAATCGCTGCTTTAACTACTTTTGATAGATTAATTGAAGAAGTTCCAGCTGATTTATTAGAATTAACCTTCGTTAGAACTGTTCCAGTTTTAACTGATTTAGCTACTGATTTCAAACCAGAATTAGCCAAACATGGTTTAGCTACTTTAAAGGCTTTTGTTAAAGTTTTGGATAATTTAGATTTACAAAACAAATATGATTTAATTGTCGAAACATTAGCTGATCCAACTAAAGTTCCAGACTGTATCAAAAGTTTATCATCTGTTACATTCGTGGCTGAAGTTACTGAACCTGCTTTATCTTTATTAGTTCCAATTTTAGATAAATCATTAAAAATGTCATCTTCATCAAATGAACAATTAAGACAAACTGTTACTGTTACTGAAAATTTAACCAGATTAGTTAACAATAAAAGAGAAATTGAATCTTTTATTCCAATCTTATTACCTGGTGTTGATAAAGTCGTTAATAATGCTTCATTACCTGAAGTTAGATTTTTAGCCGGTAAAGCCCAACATGTTTTACAAGAAGCTGAAAATGAACACTCTGATGGTAAATTCCATGGTAGATTAACTTTAGAACAATCTAAAGAATTCTTTTATATTGCTAATTACCCAACCATTGTTCAAAGTTTAAACCTTGATAATGAAATTGAAGGTAATTATTTATCTTATATTTTACAAGCTGATGCTCATGTTAATGATTGGAAACGTTTAGAAGAATATTTGAACATGCTTGTTGTTGTTTCTGACTCCATTACTGAAGAAGAAAAAGCTCAATATATTAAACAATTTATTCAAAATATTAGAAAATTATATGATCCAGAAGTTAAATCCAATGAAAATGATGATGGATCTATTGAAATCGTTAATGCTGATTTCTCATTAGCTTATGGTTCTCGTATGTTATTAAACAAAACCAATTTAAGATTAGTTAAAGGTCACAGATATGGTTTATGTGGTAGAAATGGTGCTGGTAAATCTACTTTAATGAGAGCCATTTCTAAAGGTCAATTAGAAGGTTTCCCAAGTGCTGATGAATTAAAAACTTGTTTCGTTGAACATAAATTACAAGGTTCTGAAGCTGATTTAAGTTTAGTTGATTTCATTGCTTCTGATCCAGAATTAGAAGGTGTTGGAAAAGCTGCCATTCAAGAAGCTTTATTACAAGTTGAATTCACTCAAGAAAGATTAGAACAAAATGTTGGATCTTTATCAGGGGGTTGGAAAATGAAATTAGAATTAGCCAGAGCTATGTTAATGAAAGCTGATGTGTTGTTATTAGATGAACCTACCAATCATTTAGATGTTGGTAATGTTAAATGGTTAGAACAATATTTAGTTGAAAACACTGAAATCACTTCATTGATTGTTTCCCATGATTCCGGTTTCTTAGATGCTGTTTGTACTGATATTATTCATTATGAAAATAAGAAATTAGCTTATTATAAAGGTAATTTATCTGAATTCGTCAAAGTTAAACCAGAAGGTAAATCTTATTATACTTTAACTGATTCATTAGTTCAAATGCATTTCCCACCTCCAGGTATTTTAACTGGGGTTAAATCAAGTACTCGTGCTGTTGCTCGTATGTCTCATGTTACATTTGCTTATCCAGGAGCTGCCAAGCCATCCTTAAATGATGTTTCATGTTCATTATCCTTATCTTCAAGAGTTGCTATTGTTGGTCCAAATGGGGCTGGTAAATCCACTTTAATTAAATTATTAACTGCCGAATTAGTTCCAAATGAAGGTAATGTTGAAAAACATCCAAATTTAAGAATTGGTTATATTGCTCAACATGCTTTACAACATGTTGAACAACATAAAGAAAAGACTGCTAATCAATATTTACAATGGCGTTATAAATTCGGGGATGATAGAGAAGTGTTATTAAAAGATTCTCGTAAGATTTCCGAAGATGAAAGGGAACAAATGGAAAAACAAATTGATGTTGAAGATGGTAGAGGTCCAAGAGCCATTGAAGCTATTGTTGGTAGACAAAAATTAAAGAAATCATTCCAATATGAAATTAAATGGAAACATTGGTTACCAAGATATAATTCTTGGGTCCCAAGAGAAGTTTTAGTCAGTTATGGATTTGATAAATTAGTTCAAAAATTCGATGATCATGAAGCATCAAGAGAAGGGTTAGGTTATAGAGAATTAACACCATCTGTGATTAGAAAGCATTTTGAAGATGTTGGTTTAGATGGTGATATTGCTGATCATACTCCAATGGGTTCATTATCAGGAGGTCAATTAGTTAAAGTTGTTATTGCTGGTGCCATGTGGAATAATCCTCATTTATTAGTGTTAGATGAACCTACCAATTATTTAGATCGTGATTCTTTAGGTGGTTTGGCTATGGCTATTAGAGAATGGACTGGTGGTGTGGTTATGATTTCACATAATAATGAATTCGTAGGTGCATTATGTCCTGAACAATGGCATGTTGAAAATGGTGAAGTGGTTCAAAAGGGTACTGTTGATGTTGATAATTCTAGATTTGAAGATCAAGGTGGTGATTCTACTGATGGATCAGCTGTTCCATCTCGTTCATCTACTCCAGTTCCAGCTAAGAGAGCTGATGATGATGATTCACCGGCTAATATTAAGGTTAGAATTAGAAAGAAGAAAATGACTAGAAATGATAAGAAACTTCAACAAGAAAGAAGAAGATTACGTCATATCGAATGGTTAAGTTCTCCAAAGGGTACTCCAAAACCAAATGATACTGATGATGAAGATGAATAGACTTCTTAGTTTGGTTTTTATATACATTTTATATCTATCATTATATCTCTCTCTGTATATTAGGTAAAATAAAACATAATAATTTTTTGCAACTGATGTCGCACATTTTCGTAATAAAATGTCGTGTTTGATTTTGTTCACGACATCAACAACCGTGAGTGAGGAAATATTGGAAGGCAAAATGAAAAATGGTCAATTTGAACTATAGCATGAAAAGATTTACTTCCATTGAAACTAATCTCAATTCTTTACATTGATATTCATAAGATATACCAATACAAGTTCAAGAATCAGACTGAATTGTCATACCAATTAATTCGAAAGAACAGTCATTTTATTTAAACTCAATCCAATCCAATCCAACACATACATCACATTATATATATATAAATCATGGCTGATAGGTATTCATTTTCATTGACTACTTTCTCGCCAAGTGGTAAGTTAGTTCAAATTGAATATGCATTGAATGCAGTTAAACAAGGTGTTACCACTATTGGGATCAAATCCGCCAATGGGGTTGTACTTGCTACTGAACGTAAAGCCAATTCACCACTTATTAAAAGTGAAACCAATACTAAAGTGGAATTAATTACTCCTGATATTGGGATTACATATTCTGGTATGGGACCAGATTTCAGAGTACTTGTTGATAGAGCTCGTAAATTGGCTCATACTAATTATAAACGAATTTATAATGAATATCCACCAGTAAGAATCCTAGTACAAGAAATTGCTAAAGTAATGCAAGAATCAACTCAATCAGGTGGTATCAGACCATTTGGAGTATCTTTATTAGTAGGAGGGTATGATCAACATTCAGATCAATTTCAATTATATCAAGTTGATCCAAGTGGAAGTTATTTCCCTTGGAAGGCAACTGCTATTGGTAAAACATCAAATTCAGCTAAAACATTTTTAGAAAAGAGATGGAATGAGAATTTAGAATTGGAAGATGCAATCCATGTAGCATTATTAGCATTAAAGGAATCAGTAGATGGAGAATTAACTGGAGAAAACTTAGATATAGCTATTATCAGTGATCCTCAACAACAATTATTAGGATTTAAAGGTACTGATGCACAAGGTCCAAGATATAAGAAGTTATCAGCAGAAGAAATCAATGATAGATTAGATTCTTTGTAAGTTTCCATCATCCAGTATACTAGAAAATTCATTTAATACATACGATCTTAAGTTCAATTAGTAAAAAGTTGTAGTTGTAATAGTAATTATTTTTGGTTATATACTAAGTCACGTGAATTATTTTTGTACACCAAATTTTTTTTTTTGCAAAATCTGATATTTTGCGAAGAGCATCTAAAGAGCCATTTGGTATAGTTAGGAAAGGTGGTTTCAAGTATCATTGAATTATAGAATATAGAGATGGCTCGTAAGAATAAGAAACCATCTGCTAAGAGAAGCAGTTCGAGAAAGATATTGAATGCTTTTGAAATAGCTGAAAGAGAAGAAAACAAATCAGATCAGTCTGATAATAATGATACTCAAGGTGAAAATAAAGTTCAAGGTGGAGTTCTCTTTGCGGGAAAGTTCTTAAAGAAAAGAGGTGGAGATGAAGAAGATGATGATGAGGATGATGAAGAAGAGTTTGAAGATGAAGAAATAGATTCAGATGAAGCCTTAGGATCAGATGATGATTATGATATATTAAATTCAAAATTTTCCCAAACGTTAAGAGATAAATCAAAGAGAAGAAAATTACGAGAAAAGAATAAAAAGTATGGTAAGAGTTATGAAGAAAGTTCAGAAGAGGATGAAGATGAAGGATATTCTAGTATAGATGAAAGTCAACTTGTGACACTTTCAGAAGCCTGGGATATGGATGAAAAAGATTTAAAACAATCTAAGAAATCAACCACTAAGAATGATATAGTATTAAATGATGATGATGATGTGTGGGAAAGTGAATCATCTCCAGATGAAGATGAGGATGAGGATGATGAATCTGAAGATGATGAAGAAGTGGATGAAGATGAAGATGACGAAGAAGATATCTTCAAGAATGATTCAGAAGATATTGAAGATGAAGATGGTATCAACTTATTAACTACTGTTTCCAAGCTTCAATCAAGTTTAAAGAAACCAGAAAAGGAAAGAAGAAAATTAGTAAGTGAAGCCACTGATGAAAATGAATTCAACTTACCTACCAACGGTAACAAGCTTTCTCTTAATGATATGCTTGCAGCTGTTGATTCATCCATTTCAAAAGATGCCATTTTAATCGATGATGATTCCAAAGCTTTATCTGCACCATTACCCAAAAGAATCCAACAAAGACATGATAGAGCTGTAGCGTATGAAATCACCAAAGAAGAAATCAGTAAATGGGAAGATACCGTTCAACAAAATAGACAAGCTGAAGTATTAAAATTCCCTCTTAATCCAACTGTTAAACATAATGATGCTGCCACTACTTTTAAATCAGATAATGTTCCAACTACAGAATTAGAAAAGAAAATTAATGATGTATTAAAGGAATCTGCTTTGATTGATGAAAGAAAGGAAGCTACCTTTGAAGAAATAGCCGTGGCTAAATTATCTCTTGAAGATATGCAAAAGAGAACTAATGAATTAAGATTAATGAGAGAATTAATGTTTAGAGATGAAAAGAGAGCTCGTAGAATTAAAAAGATTAAATCCAAACAATTTCATAAAATAAAGAAGAAGGAAAGGTTAAGAGCTCAAGAATTAGTAGAAGGGTCTGATTTAGAAAGTGATGGAGAAGATCATGATATGAAGAGAGCTCAAGAAAGAATGTCTTTAAAACATAAAACTCAATCCAATTGGGCTAAAACCATGATTAAAAGTGGGATGTCTAAGGATGCATCTAGTAGAGCTGAATTAGAAGAAATGTTAAGACAAGGAGAAAAATTAAGATCAAAACAATTAGGTCATGAAGAAGGAGATCAAAGTGATGACGATGTGAGTGATATTGAAAAAGAATATAATAATGATATTAATAACGATAGTATTAAAAGTAAATTAGGTAAAGGGGTATTAGCTATGGATTTCATGAAGAATGCTGAAGAAAGAAATAAACAAGAAAATTTAAAACAATTGGAAGAATTAAGAAAATTAGAAATGGATGGTGATTTACAAGCATTTGAAGAGAATTCCGGTATAGTTAATATAACCAAGAATCAAGGGAGAAGAGTTTATACCCCAAGTTCAAGTGGTATGAAAGATGATATTACTCAATTGAATGAAGAATTAAGAGAAGAAATTGAAGATGATGAAAGTAAGAATTTAACTAATAAATTAAGTAAGAAATTTAATATTATTTCAAGTACGGTTACATCCACCACAACTAATAGTACCACCACCAAAGATACTATCAAATCAGTACAATCAGAAGTTGATCAAGGTGAAGAAATCAATCCTTGGTTAACTGAAAATTCAGAACCAATTAAAAAATCTCATAAAATCACTACTGTTGATCAAGATTCATCTAAATTATCTAAAGCCGCTGCCAAGATTGCTAAAAAGGCGTCTAAAAAACATGGTAAAAAGACTGGTGATGATGAATTAATTGATATTGATGAGACATTGAAAGTCCTTACTACTCACCAAGGTCAAGATTCTGAAAATGAAGAAGAAGGAGAAGGTATTTCTCAAGATGATTCTAAAATGTTTAAACAAAAGGAATTAATAAAAGAAGCATTTGCAGGTGATGATGTTGTTCAAGAATTTGAAATTGAAAAGAAAAGAGTAGCAAGAGATGAAGATGATAAACATGAAGATGTGACCTTACCAGGATGGGGAGATTGGGCAGGAGGATCCAAAAAGAATAAAAAGAGAAAAGTTATCCTTAAGAAGATTGATGGGGTAGTTCAACAGGATAAGAGAAAAGATAAACATTTAAAGAATGTGATCATAAATGAAAAAGTGAATAAAAAGAATTTGAAATATCAATCCAGTGAAGTTCCATTCCCATTTGAATCTCGTGAACAATATGAAAGATCATTAAGAATGCCCGTTGGTCAAGAATGGACTTCAAGAGAAACTCATCAAAAATTAACCATGCCTAGAATCATTACTAAACAAGGTACAGTTATTGATCCATTAAAAGCCCCCTTTAAGTAAAGGTAGATAATTTTGCATTCATTTTGTACATATATACAATACAAAACATTAATAACATAAGTCATATATATATATTTATCGATAAAAACAACATACGTAAACTCTATAAAAACAAATTATCTTTTTTAATTGGTTAAAATACCATTTCTAACAAGCCAATTCTTACCACTTAAGAATACTCCATCAGGATCAGTTTCATTTCTAATTTTATTATATTTAACCAATCTATCTCCAAACCATTGTTCCATAGTAGGTTTGAATCCAATCATAGTATAGAATGGTTTTCCTCCATATTGAACTTGGACTTGTAAATCATTTCCATCAACATTATCTTTATGTTCATTCAGGATATCAGATAATCCAATGAAATTCTTAGCCCAATGAGGTTTTCCACCTGATTCCAATAAGATATTCTCAAAGATTTGAAACCATTCATGAGTTTTGACATTGGTACCGAAAGGTCTGTACATGGTAGCATTTATGAAAAGAGTTAATTGATCATTAGTAACGGTTTCAGAATCAGAATATGGAGTATCAGGAGAATTATCTAAATAAGGACGAAGATTATTCCCCTTGATTGGACCTGCACTTGTCTTAGTACGGTTTGATAACCATGATTGAGATGGATATAATGAAGCGTTTCCAGTTTCATCATCAATAAATGGTTGTTCAGAATAAGTCATATTGGAACATCTTACTTCGATTGGAGCATGAACGTAATATCTATGTTCAGCTTCAGCGGCTTTGATTTCATTATTTAATTTAGTTAATACATCAATACCATGGATTAATGGGGTTGACCATTCATTAACAAATTGACTGAATAAACAATCCATATTTAATCCTTCTACTGAATTTTGGACAGCGATATCTCCCTTACCTAACGTTTCAACTTTTCCATATTGTTGAGCGAAAACAAATTGTTCAATCCAAGGAGTTAAACTAGGGATTAAATGAACGGAGATGAATAAAAGTGATTCATAGAAGAATCTTCCGAATTTAGTTCCATACCAACTTGGTCTAGGATCATTCAATGGTTCAATTGATTTTGAAGCTCTCCATAAGACACAATTCCCACTATAAGGGAACCACCAAATTCTAATGAATTCAGAATCTAACCAAATATTATCCCAATTATTTAATAAAGTAGTAAATTTAATGATTTCTTGTTTGGATTTGATGGTATAGGCAGGACAAGTTCTTAATGTTACTTGAGTTATGATTCCAATTTTCCCTAATGATAATAAGATAGCTCTGAAATGATCTGGGTTTTCGATGGATGAACAATTGATTAATTCAGCTTTAGAATTTAAAAATTGGATAGAAACAATTTGTTGACTTACTAACCCATGATATTGAGTTGAACCATGAGTACCGGTTGAAATCAATCCTGCGATGGATTGATCACTTATTGAACCTAAATTTTGAATAGCCAATTGATGAGATTTAAGATATTTATTCAATTCAAAGATTCTAATTCCTGCTTCCACTGTTAAATCAACGAATTTAACTTCATTATCAACTTTAAATTCTTCTTCATTTAACACATGATTGAATTTATCTAAATTACATAACCATTCATTAGTCATGGTTAAATCACTAGGAGAATGACCAGAACCAACAGTCATAATTGTTTTACGATTAATTCTGGCTTGATTGATTAATTCTTTGATTTCATCTAAATTAGTGGGTTGAAAAATAGCTTGAGGTTGACAATAGAAAGTTCCAGCCCAAGTTTGATGGAATAATTTGGTAGTTTTAAAGGGAAGCAATGATTCTGGAATAGACATGATTGGAGTTGGTTACTTGGTGATAGTAGTACTATAGTACCTGGGTGATTCCGTCAACTTCGTAACTGTTCAGATCTATTTATAAGATACGATTTGTAATTTGTAATTTTTAATTTTAATGGCTTAACCGATGGTAGGAGAATTATTATGATCAAATTAATTTTTTTGTGTCACCAAGATATTTTCTTGTTAACAAAGAGAGAGAGAGAGAGAGATTTAATAATGGTTATAATTGATGGTATAAAGATGGTAATGAAAGTTAGAAAGAGTGAGGAAACTAGACTGCGTATGTAGAGGTCAGATCATACCAGGTAACATGTTATAAATTATAGATACTTTATATACTTATAACATAAGTTGAATAGATAACTTACAAATAATGTGTGGCTTCAATTCAAATAATGCAAAATTTTTTTGCAATATCGCGATACCATTTATTGATTAATGATTATAGATGGAAATAATGGTCTGATATATAAGATTATTTATCATGATAAATCTTAGATATGATTATTAAACTTCATGAAGATCTGTTACAAAAGTTATATAGTTTGATTCATGGATATGTTGTTGTCGTAATTGATAATGTCTATTTACACTAATTAGATGATGCGGTGTGGATTTTATTTATGTTTTTATTTGGTGACATATTTTTAGGGAGAGTGAGAGAGGCATGGAGCTTATAAGTGACATAATAGAGATATGATTAACTAATAGTGTTAAATGGTATAAGCTATGCTAGATCCGCTGTAAATGATATTTTTAAACGGGATAATTCAAATAATTATACTATAACTATTTATTTATAGTAAATGTCTGTCTGTCTGTTTGTCTGTTTGTCAGTTCGGTGTCTGTCTGTCTGATCAAATTGGGTTATATACAGTCCTTCCGTTTTAGTCAAATTTATGTCTGTTTTTAAATTTGTTAACGCGTAATTATTTCAAATTACATAATTGATTACATAATTGGTCGTTCCCTAAAAAGGCTGATACATTTTTTATTTAAGGCATTGTCGTTTAACTTTTGATACAAACAGATTGTTTCTGAGTGTGGAAAATTTTTGGCAACAGAACAGTTTTGCAAATCTTATTTCTTCTTTCTTTTTATTCCTCTTCTTCCTCCTTCCTTCCCTCTTTGATATATATCGTATCTCTCTCGTTACTCCATATCAATCAAATCAAATCAATCATCAATCATGACTAGACCTTCCAATATCGGTATCAAAGGTATCGAAATCTATATACCATCTCAAGCTGTTAATCAAACTGATTTAGAAACTTTTGATAATATCCCTGCTGGCAAATATACCATTGGTTTGGGTCAAACCAATATGTCCTTTGTTAATGATAGAGAAGATATTTATTCTTTAAGTTTAACTGTTTTATCTAAATTAATTAACCATTATCAAATCGATACTAATAATATCGGTAGATTAGAAGTTGGTACGGAAACTTTATTAGATAAATCAAAATCAGTTAAATCAGTTTTAATGCAATTATTCCCCGGTAATAGTGATATTGAAGGTATTGATACTATTAATGCTTGTTATGGTGGTACTTCTGCTATTTTAAATTCCATAAATTGGTTAGAATCTTCAAGTTGGGATGGTAGAGATGCTATTGTTGTAGCAGGTGATATTGCTATTTATGATAAAGGTGCTGCAAGACCAACTGGTGGTGCTGGTGCGGTGGCATTTTTAATTGGTCCTGATGCTCCTATTGTATTTGAATCAACTAGAGGTTCATTTATGGAACATGCTTATGATTTTTATAAACCAAATTTCACATCTGAATATCCTGTAGTTGATGGTCATTTTTCATTATCATGTTATGTTAGAGCAGTTGATCAATGTTATAAAGCTTATTCTAAAAAAATTACTAAAAATGATTCAAAAACTGTTGGTTTATTTAATCATTTTGATTATAATGCTTTTCATGTTCCAACTTGTAAATTAGTTACAAAATCTTATGCAAGATTATTATATAATGATTTTAAATCAAATCCAACTAATTTTAAAGATTTAATTGATGAAGAATCAATTAAACATTTAAATTCATTATCTTATGATCAATCATTAAGTGATAAATCTTTAGAAAAAATCTTTTTAAATTTATCAAAATCAGAATTTCAATCAAGAGTTGCACCTGCTATAAAAGTCCCAACTAATACTGGTAATATGTATACTGCATCCGCATGGGCTTCATTATCTTCATTATTATATTATGTTGGTTCAGAATCTTTACAAAATAAAAGAATTGGAATCTTCTCTTATGGTTCAGGTTTAGCTTCAACTTTATTATCAGTAAAAGTTATTGATGATATTAGTCATATAACTGAAAATTTAAATTTAGATTATAAATTAGGTAAAGGTAGATTAATTAAATCTCCTCAACAATATGTTGAAGCTATTGAATTAAGAGAAAATCTTCATTTAAAGAAAGATATTAAACCAACTGGATCTATTGAAACTTTAGTCCCTGGTACTTATTATTTAGTTGAAGTCGATGATAAATATAGAAGATCATACGCCATCAAAGAATAGATTTCCCCTGGTTCGTATTCATTCTTTGGTTTCATTTCTTGAATTATTTTGCTAAATTTTCCTCCTATCTTGCTAATACCATAGCTCATCCATCCATCCTCCCTCCCTTCCTTCCTTCGTATGTTTGTTCTTCATTTTGTTACGTAAATTAATTCTTGCTTGCTTAAATTATTAGAAAAATATTGTATATATAAGTTTTTGGATATGTATGTAAAATGTTATAAAAAGAAATTCCCCAAGAAAAATAATCCATCCATAAATTAAATAAATAAATAAATCATAATAATAATAATAATAAACAAATTATATATAGTAAAGGAGAGTGCAAGTCAGTGTAAAGGTATATTTCAAGGCGACGTATAATCTCTAAATCATCATTCAAAGCAATGATCAAGTTTAATTCTGGAAAGTTCTTATATTGCTAAAAGCAATTCATGAACATTCATTCATTCTATTTCAATTGCTATAAGGAGACGACCCTTGCGTAATTCATCCCACACCATCACCCAACTCTCACTAACTCATCCCTTATAAACGTGTGGATGTATAGGTACATAACCCCTAGATCCACACTCACTACAATATTTTTAGCAAACGTATAAAACAGAATGACGATTGTCGCAACTGTAAGGATTTTTGAGCCGCACCATTACTTACTTTTTTTTTTCACACCCAAATTTAAAACTATATTAAGGAAAAAGGGTGGGGTAAATTGAGGAGGGAGGTTGTGAAAATTTATATAAAGAGATAGGGATATCTTGATTGATGACAATTTCAGAAAATGGGTTGATGATTGAGATAAAGCGAAGAACTTACTGGACAATATGAGAGTTTCTAGTTTATTGAATGGTGTTTTAATCACTTTAATTACGGTTGTAGTTAGTGAAACTACAACTTCAACTTCTGATCTTGATTTATTTAAAGATTGGACTATTAAGGATTTTACCGAATTTTTAAAAGATAGAAAGATTTCAATTCCTTCTATTCCCCAAGTCACTGAAAATGTTAGGAAAGTGATTGAAGGTGAAGAAGTCGAGAAGGAAGACGATACTAATATCATTGATGAAAGTGCCAATTATCTTTCTCAATTGAAAGATTTAACTTTACAACAATATGAATCTTTGAAATCTCAATTTGAATCATTATACAAAGAAGATAATAAGATTCCGTTCGATTATAATATCAATGAAATCGGTCAACAAATCTTAAACGTTAATAATAAAGATCTCTCCGGTTTGGATATCTTACCTGATACCCTTAAGAATTATGGATACCTCTTTCATGAAGATAAGTCTACCACTAATAAAGTCAAAGATTGGATATTTGATAGTTGGCCCCTTAAGAATTTGATTTATTTCAGTTATAATAACAAATTAATTGATTCGTTGGATTATAATCATAAAACTCTGATTTCAGATGAATTCATTAATAAAATTAAACAAAATTATGATTCAATCACTAAACAGAAAGATGTGGCCGGGAATTATCCGGGGGATTGGTTATTTGAATTATGGAGTTATGAAGATTTTCAAAATTGGTTAAACAAATATGAAATTCCCTTCGATGAAGAGAATGATACCAGACTGGATTTATTAAAGAAAGTAAAAGATTATAGTTATCTTGTTTCGAAGTCAATTAAAGAATCGAAAGATTCATTATATGAATCGTTAAATATCAATACTAATGATTGGAAACAATTCTCCAAGAGTTATGTTCTGAAAGCTGGTGAATTCAATGATCAATTTTGGAATCTTTGGACTTATTCCCAATTAAGAGAATGGCTTTATTATAATGGTATTATCGATAAGAAACCATCTATTACCGATGAGAAATTAACTCGTGAGAAATTATTAACTTTAATTAAATCAAGACAATCTTATTTAAAAGATGATATTCAAAAATATTTATCTACTGCTAATAATCAAATAAAATCAACTTCAGATGATGTTGATACTCTTTTATTACATGTTAATAAATGGTCGAAAGATAAATTAAGACAATTCTTAGAACTTCGTGGTGTTAAAGTTTCATCATGGACTTCTAAGCATGACTTAATTGAATATGTGAAAGCTTATCGTGATAAAGAACCAATCCTTGACGAATCTTCATATAGTTGGTTATATGATAGTTTATCAACTGAATCAATTATTGAGTGGTTGAAGCTGCAAGGTGCATCTGTAGAAGGAACAAGACAAGAATTAATTGATAAGTTTAATGAAAGTTTAACTAATAGTTATAAATCATCGAAACAACAGATTGAAGATGCTCAAAAAAATTTACCTGATATAACTTCATTCCAAGCTTATTTAAAGAAAGCATATCCAAAGAAGAAATTTAATCAAAAATCAATTGATGAAGCTTATGATTTGGTTAGTTATTATTATAATACTGTTTCTGATTCGATTTTAAATAATATTGAAGGAATTAATGTTTCAACTGAAAAGACTTGGAAGACCTTAGAAAAGGAATCATTTGATTTTGCCGCTGATTTATTACAAACTCAAAAATCATTAAAATCAAAATTAGATGAAAATTATAAATTAGCTAAAGATCAAGCTCAACTTTCTTCCGATAAAATTTCCAAATCTTTAATTGATCAATATAATAAACAAACTTCCAAATTATCGAAATACTTTAAAAAATTATCTAATCATTTCCAAACTGAAAAGAATAATTTAGGTACCTTAGTGAAAACTAATAAGAAAAAGGAAGTACCCCCAATTTTTAAAATCAACTTATGATTATTTATTAAGCTATACTGATTTAGTAAAGAATAAAGCTCAGAATAAATTACATCCTCCAACTTTTCATGATGAAACTTTCCCAACTTCTCAATATAAATATATCATAAGTAGATTTTCAAATAATGATTTATCATCATATTTACAAAATTTTGGATATGATATTACATGGTTATATACATTAACCAAAGATCAATTGTTAAGATTGGCCAATGAACAAACTGAGTTGTTCTATGATAAGTCAAAGGATACCACTATATGGGATAAATCTATCGTTGAAATATTACAAGATACCAGTGATGGAATTCAAGAAACGATTGGATTAAAATCAAAGAAGACCAAGAAAGGATGGTTTAAGTAAGTTAAGTTGTTATTAGAGATTTTATATGTTTTATGTATTTGTATTGTGTTTTACCTTTCATACCTCATTTTCGTAGTATAATGTATCCATTTAGGTTGCAAAATATATACCAATATTTTTAAATGGAATAGTTTAAACTTGTAGACGCGTCTTCAACCACATCCTTCCCAATTAGGAAGTCTAGCTCCCATAGTTTAACTATTGTTTTGAAAATGGACTAAAATGGAAAATTAACAGCACAAAAATTAAAATTCAAAACAAAAAAAAATAAAAAAAAAAAGACGAGCAAAATCAAAACAAAAAAAAACAGCCAAATCAAAATCAAAAGACTTTGTTTGGCAACAGCTAATTGATTATTGATATTCTCTTTCTACGTATACAAGTGATTATTACAGCTTAATCAATCAAAGATGAGAGAAGTTATTAGTATTAATGGTATGTGTCATGTTTCTTTCTTTGCGTGTGATTGATGTGGAGGAGGGGGATTGTGAAATCGGTTACACATCAGTTTGATTACACGTCGTAAAACTAAAGACGAATCAATTTACTAACATCAAGTTTTATTATAGTTGGTCAAGCCGGTTGTCAAATTGGTAACGCCTGTTGGGAATTATACTCTCAAGAACATGGTATCAGACCAGATGGTTTCTTACAAGAAGGTTTAACTAGACCAAAGGGAGGTGAAGAAGGGTTCTCTACCTTTTTCAGTGAAACTGGTTCAGGTAAATATGTTCCTCGTGCCTTATATGTTGATTTAGAACCAAATGTTATTGATGAAGTTAGAACTGGTATTTATAAAGATTTATTCCATCCAGAACAATTAATTGCTGGTAAAGAAGATGCTGCCAATAATTATGCTAGAGGTCATTATACTATTGGTAGAGAAATCTTAGATGATGTTTTAGATAGAGTTAGAAGAATGGCTGATCAATGTGATGGTTTACAAGGTTTCCTTTTCACCCATTCATTAGGTGGTGGTACTGGTTCTGGTTTTGGATCTCTTTTATTAGAACAATTATCAATTGATTATGGTAAAAAATCAAAATTAGAATTTGCCGTTTATCCTGCTCCTCAAGTTTCAACTTCTGTGGTTGAACCATATAATACTGTTTTAACTACTCATACTACTTTAGAACATGCTGATTGTACTTTTATGGTTGATAATGAAGCTATTTATGATATGTGTCGTAGAAATTTAGATATTTCAAGACCAAATTTCGATTCATTAAATAGTTTAATTGCTCAAGTTGTTTCATCAGTTACTGCTTCTTTAAGATTTGATGGTTCATTAAATGTTGATTTAAATGAATTCCAAACTAATTTAGTTCCTTATCCAAGAATTCATTTCCCATTAGTTTCTTATGCTCCAGTATTTTCAAAAGCTAGAGCTAGTCATGAATCAAATTCTGTGGCTGAAATTACTGCTGCTTGTTTTGAACCAGGTAATCAAATGGTTAAATGTGATCCAAGAACCGGTAAATATATGGCTACTTGTTTATTATATCGTGGTGATGTGGTTACCAGAGATGTTCAAAATGCTGTTGCTCAAGCTAAAGCCAAAAAGACTGTTCAATTAGTTGATTGGTGTCCAACTGGTTTCAAGATTGGTATTTGTTATCAACCACCAACTGCTATTGCCAGTACTGAATTAGCTGCTGCCAGTAGAGCTGTTTGTATGTTATCCAATACCACTGCTATTGCTGAAGCTTGGAGAAGAATTGATAGAAAATTCGATTTAATGTATTCCAAGAGAGCTTTTGTTCATTGGTATGTTGGTGAAGGTATGGAAGAAGGTGAATTCACTGAAGCAAGAGAAGATTTAGCTGCCTTAGAAAGAGATTATATTGAAGTTGGAACCGATTCATTCCCAGAAGAAGAAGAAGAATATTAATCGTTATAATTCTTTTTTAATGGCTTAGATAATGTAAATTTTTACACAATATGTTTTTCTTTTATTTTATTTTTATTCACCTCCTTCATTTTTAATACCCCCATCGGTTTTTCCATTCCATTCCCTTCTTTTTCCATTCTCTTTTATATTCAATTTTTAGTTGGTTTACTTTATTATTCTTATCTCTTCATCTCTACCCTATATATATTATAAATAATACATGTTTTTAATGTTTGTTATAAATCAAGTTTTTTGAACAACTCACACGACCTTTTTCTTTAAAGTGCGTGATTTTGATAGTTACCGGCAACTACTGTAGATTTTTTTTTTCACCAATTATTTGATCAAAGCTCTGCTTAGAATTGATTTGAATTGATTTGATTTGTTTGTTTTTTTGAATTAGTTTTACTTTTCAGTTCAGTTAGAGTCCCCTTTCTTTTGGTTTGAGTTTTATATATATATACAACAGGTGGCAATAATGGAAGACAAAAGAGAGCTCTTGAAACAACCCTTACATGGGATTTATATTCCTATCTTACTTATTTTATTTGGGACCTTAATCTTTGGGGTGGAATATTTACCATATAGTATTGCATTCATAGTTGTTATTAGTTCAGGTAAGCTTTATGAAGTGTGGAATAATAGAACTTCAATGGATAAATCTGTTTGGAAAGAATTTGAATTGATTGATAGAACTATTATTGGTCCTATGACTTCCATTTATAGATTTAAATTAAATCGTGAAAATGAAATTTTAGATATTCCAACGGGTCATCATGTGGCATGTTGTTTTACTATTGATGGTAAAGATGAAATGAGATATTATTCTCCCATTTCAAATCAATTCGATGCTGGATTTTTCGATATCTTAGTTAAACATTATGAAAAGGGTAAAGTTACTCGTAGATTAGCTGCTTTACATGAAGGTCAAACTGCTAAATTTAGAGGTCCATTTGGAAAATTGAATTATGAACCTAATATGGCTAAGGAATTAGGTTTAATTGCTGGTGGTTCAGGTATAACTCCTATTTTACAAGTTATAACTAGAATTATTACTAATCCTGAAGATCATACTAAGATAAATTTAATCTTTGCTAATGAAACTGATAAAGATATCTTATTAAAGAATGAAATTGATGAAATTGCCAAGAAATATCCTTATTTCAATGTTCATTATACTTTAACCAATCCACCTGCTGATTGGGATGGAAGTTCAGGTTATGTTAATAAAGAAATGATTGAAAAATATTTACCATCTGTCCTGAATGAAAATAGAATTTTTATTTGTGGACCACCAGCCATGAAAAAATCTTTAAAAGAACAAGCTATTGAATTAGGTTGGGAAACTGATAATATCTTTTGCTTTTAATCAAACAAAAAGAATGTAGTTCTGCTTTGACATTGTTTAACACATATATTCTCTTTTCATAAAATTAAAAAAAAATTTGCTAAAAATGTAAATAGAAATCATCATTTAATATAAAATAGTTAAAAATAGATTAAAAAACTAGGATATAGCAACGATTATTAAAAGGTCCCCGATCTCCGTAGAGTTGTCGATCAGTGTTATGGTTCGGCTAGAATCATGTAGTATCCGCTACAAATTTTTCCGCAAACGTTTTACCACCACGTAACCTTGGTGGTTGAATAAGAAAAACATAACGATAGTTAACCTCATTCATATATCATACGTAAGCAAACAGCTTCCAATCAATGGTTGCAATTATGAATCTAGAATGAACGTAACTTAATCCAGAATTAGTCGTAATCGTATCCCATTCCGAAAATGATCGTCAAACCCATAATACGAATTATCACCGATAAAATTGAAAAAGATCTTGGTCCACGACGTCAGTTAACCCTAGAAAATAAACAAACAGCAAGTAAAGAGCATAAGCCATATATCGGGCTAACTATTTACTCGGCAAATATGGATACATATTTAGCATCTCCGTAATAATTCACAATTATGGAAACTTTGAAGTATGCAAATTTTGATGAACAGCGGTGATTTTCCTAATTGAGCGACTGAACCGAAATAGCAAATTTCATCATTATTTTAGCAGCTACGCGCAATATTTAGGTCTAAGTGCTTAACTATAATAAGACAGACAAACAACAGGAGGTTGCGAAATTGAATAGTAATGGTTAACTGTATAAATATCAAATGATTCGTACCATTCATTCCATTGGGTTTAAGTTTGTTAATCATCAAACAACTCAATTCAAACGTCAACTTAACAAAATGTCTGCTATTAAACCTGTTGAATTAACTGGAAATTTCGGTTTCGGTACCATGTCCATGACTTGGAAACCAGTTCCTCCCCCTGTTGAACAATCATTAGAATCACTTAGATTCATCACTTCCCATAAAGAATTCGGTACTAATTTACTTAATGGTGGTGAATTCTATGGTCCAAATGATCGTAATTTAAAATTATTAAAGGAATTTGTTGATTCTAACTCTGATGAAGTTAATCAAAAATTAATTATTTCAATTAAGGGTGGTGTTGATAAAACTACTTTAATTCCAAATGGTTCTAAAGAATTCATTTCTCAATCAATTGAAAACATTATTAGTTATTTCCCTTCTGATAAATCAAAAAGACCAAAGTTACTCTTTGAAATTTCAAGAGTTGATCGTAGAGTTCCTTATATTGAGACCGTTGGTTATATTGCAGAATATGTCAAAGCAGGAAAATTGGATGGTATTTCACTTTCTGAAGTTGGTATTGAATCAATTAGAACTACTCAAGCTGCTTTCCCAGTTTCTTGTGTCGAAATTGAATTATCTTTGTTGACCTTAGATATCTTTGAAAATGGTATTTTAGAAGAAGTTTCCAAACACAACATTCCAATCATTGCTTATTCTCCATTATGTCGTGGTGTCTTAACTGATCTGGCTGCTGAATCTGCAGATTTCTTAAAAGATATTCCCCAAGGTGATATTAGACATAACTTTGAAAAATTCTATCAAGAAAATTTTCAACAAAACCTTAAGAGAGTTCGTGCCTTGTATAAATTTGCTCATGATGACAAACATACAAGTTTAGAATCATTATCATTATCATGGTTCGTTAAGATTTCAGGATTAAAAGAATATAGAGGTGTTAAGAACATTACTAAGATCTTGGCTATTCCATCTGGTTCTACTAAAGCTAAGATTGAAAGCAATTTCGGTAGTATTATTGAATTATCAGATGAAGATTTAGCTGCTATTGATAAAATCATTGATGAAAATCCAATTGTCGGTGGAAGATACAACAAGCATGTTGAAGCTCATTTAAATGGTTAAACTTGAAATTCATTACTCTTTATAAATAGTGATAGTTTGAATTACTTTATATATTCCTTTCTCTGTATAATAAATTCATTTCTATTGCAAGTATACATGTAATCCATTATTATACCACGGAAACATATAGTGTTAGATTTCTAGAATAGTGGCAAACCCACAATGGGAATTTCAGTCCTCCTTACCTAAGCCTATGAAACGTTTTTTTGCAGCACAACACTTGCTGGCAGAAGTAGGAACAAATCATAAATTCCGATGCCAAGTGGGACGGATGCCGGTTAATATCAAGAATCAACTATATGCCGAATCGTCTTAGTTACATTTGGTGGCTTTAATATTAACTGCTAAGAACATCAAATCCCTATTCAGCCAACCAAGATCAAAGTCAACTATTGGAACAACTACAGCGGAAGCACGGGTAAATATTATCATAGATCAATCCTATTATCATCAACTATTCAATGATAATGGCAAATACAATCACTGTTATCATGATTAATAATTCTAGTAATTCCGAAAATGCAAAATTAAATCCACTCCATATGTGAAATAAAAAAATGGGACGGGAAATTTATAACATCCGTCATAGATCGATCTAACCACTTCTATTCAATAACTCCGTATATATAACTAACTAATATTTAAAGGTTAAAAATGGTGAAATCTGTTTATATCCCGAACTAAACCTTTGACACCGGAGATTTACCTAATTGAGCGACTGAACCGAAAATCTAAATTTCATCGCTAATTTAAAGTAACTATGCGCGGTTTTGGGTGGAGCATGGTTAGCAAGCTCTAATTAGGGGAAAATGAAAAACTTATACTATAAATATCAATTGATTCGTGTCATTTCTTTCCTTGATTTTGAGTTTTCATATCATCAATTAACTCAATTGAACTACTACTACACAATCCATACAAATGTCTGATATTAAACCTGTCGAATTAACTGGAAATTTCGGTTTCGGTACCATGTCCATGACTTGGAAACCAGTTCCTCCTCCAACTGAACAATCATTAGAATCACTTAGATTTATCACTTCCCATAAAGAATTCGGTACTAATTTACTTAATGGTGGTGAATTCTATGGTCCAAACGATATCAATTTAAAATTATTAAAGGAATTTGTTGATTCTAACTCTGATGAAGTTAATCAAAAATTAATTATTTCCATTAAAGGTGCCATTGATATGACAACTTTTAGTCCAAATGGTTCTAAAGAATTCATTACTAAATCAATTGAAAATATTATAAGCTATTTCCCTTCTGATAAATCAAAAAGACCTAAATTGATCTTTGAAATTGCTAGAGTTGATCATAAAGTTCCATACGAAGAAACTATTGGTTATATTGCTGAATTCGTTAAAGCAGGCAAAATTGATGGTATTTCTCTTTCTGAAGTTGGTATTGAATCCATCAAAAAGGCTGAAGCTGCTTTCCCAATCTCATGTGTCGAAATTGAATTATCTTTATTAGCTTTAGATATCTTTGAAAATGGTATTTTAGAAGAAGTTTCCAAACACAACATTCCAATCATTGCTTATTCTCCATTATGTCGTGGTGTCTTAACTGATCTGGCTGCTGAATCCGCAGACTTCTTAAAAGATATTCCACAAGGTGATATGAGACATCATTTTGAAAAATTCTACCCTGAAAATTTCCAACAAAATATCAAAAGAGTTCATGCTTTATATAAATTCGCTCATGAAGTGAAACACACCAGTTTAGAATCATTATCATTATCATGGTTCGTTAAGATTTCAGGATTAAAGGAATATAGAGGTGTTAAGAACATTACTAAGATCTTAGCCATCCCATCTGGTTCTACTAAAGCTAAGATTGAAAGTAATTTCGGTAGTATTGTTGAATTATCAGATGAAGATTTAGCTGCTATTGATAAAATCATTGATGAAAATCCAGTAGTTGGTGGAAGATACAACAAACAAGCTGCAGCCCACTTAAATGGTTAAGCTGTTTACTCTTTTTATATAGCGATTTTTAGAATTTCAGTATATATGTAATCCTTTTAGTTCATAATCAATTACAATTACAATTACAATTTCAAATATACGTTGTTCTGCGGGGAATCATCGAATGTTTCAGTCAATGGTTAGGGCAAAAAAGCTCCATTGTAATTATGTCGCTAATCTTTAACCATTTTCCCTCCCAGCCTCCGCCTATGATTTTTTTCAGCTCCCACGATTGCTGGAGCGAACTTTAAATTTTTCTGCCCCCCCAGCAACGGCCATAATTTGAAGCCACAATCCGTCTCGTATATAGATATCGAAAAAGTTTCGCCATCAATTTACACCACTTGTTGATATTATTCTTCATCAGCAAATACTATATCATGGCTGAAACTATCTTGGTGACTGGTGGTACTGGTCAAATTGGTGCTTTCATCGTAATTCAATTATTAGAAGCTGGGAAATATAAAGTTAGAACTACCGTTAGAAATGATTCAAAATCTAAATTCTTAGTGAAATTATTGAAAGATAATAGTTCAAAAATCACTGATGAAGTGATTAAGAACAATCTTACTATTTTCCAAGCTGATTTAAATAGTGATGAAGGTTGGGATAAAGCCATTGATGGTTCTGATTATGTTTTACATGTTGCTTCACCTGTTATATCAGTTGATCCAACAGATTATAATGAAGTTATCATTCCAGCTCGTGATGGTACACTTAGAGTAACTAAATTGTCCCATAAGTATGGAATTAAGAAATTAATCTTTACATCTTCATTTGCAACTGTTGGATTTGGTCATCCTTCTTCCAAGACAATATTTGATGAATCTGATTATTCTCCATTAGAAACTGCTCAAGGTGCTTATGTTAAATCAAAAATTGAGGCTGAAAGAGCGTTTTGGGAATTCATCAATAGTGATGAAAATAAAAAATCAGCTAAGCCCTTGATTGCAAGTGCATTGTTACCAGTCGGAGTGTTTGGTCCTGTTCTTAAGGGATTCCCCGTTCAATCATCTATTGAAATTACGACAAGATTAATTAGTGGTGAAATGAAATTTGGAGCTCCAAACATTTATTTAGGTGTGGTTGATGTTAGAGATGTAGCCAAATTACATATTGAAGCCATTACAAATGAAAAGGTTAATGGAGAAAGAATTATTCTTATTGGACAAAAGGAAGCTATTTCATTACTTCAATTTGCAGATTATGTTAAAGATATTCCAGGTGTTAACCGTAATAATTTACCAATTAGAAACATCCCATCTTTCATCATTAGATTTGTAGCATTATTCTTACAAGATGCTAAAGATGTTGTACCATATTTAGATGTTAATCCTGTGGCTAATAATGATAAAGCAGTTAAAATCTTTAATTGGAAACCAATTGACATTAAAGAAAGTATAATTGAAAATGTTAAGGGAGTAGTTAGAGAACATTCATAGACTTGTTAGTTATAGTGTTTATATGTCACTATGGATCTAAATATTTACGTAGTTATACGTCTTATTATATACAGTACAATGGGACCCTGCCGCATTTGGCAAAAATATTGGAGACACAGTAAAGTAAAAGTTTTGACCAGCGCACAGCACAGCACAGCACAACAGAAGATATCAAATTTGGAATCTTTCAAGATTTCAAGTTGTAGATCCAAATAACTTTTGATATATTTTGATTAATTCATTTCAAGGTTAGAACCAAGGTATCAGCACTTGTTGTACGATTCAATTGCATATCAGATCAAACATGAGAATCACATCTAATTTGTTTACCGTACTTTGTACGTTTTTGATAACTCAATTATCATGTTCATTTGCACTTACTCATAGATACTTTCGTATGTCATATTTAAACAATGGTGCTTGTGTTTTGATTAATTCAACGACTCCAGATACTTCGTTAAGATTCAATTTCTATGGGGTTAAAGATTTCACGGTTCCAGTGGTTATCTTTGAATATAGCGAAATATTATATTTCAAGAATGTACCAAATTTAAATTATTTCGTTAATCATACTTATATCTATAATGATGAATGGCATTTGATGAAGTATAGTAAATCAGGGTTAGATTTCTTAATTGAACCAAGAAAACCTGATCTTGGTTTACCACCATCTTACTTCAATAACACTATTGATCAAAATGGTTCATTTCAATATAAGATTCCTAGAGATGGTGTATATTGTATTTATTTCCCAGTTTATACAGCAGGTCCACAAAATTATTTACCAGGTAGATATGTGGCTGATGTCATTGTGGTAGATGAAACTTATCCATTGAATGTGTTTAGTGATATTTCAATTCATGTTAGTTTATCAATTTTATATGGTATCGTATTTGCATTTATAAGTTTTTTCCATCCTGCTATTGCCAAAGGACAATTACTGAAACTTCCTATCATTACAAGATCAATTGCTTATGTATTGATTGTTAGTTTCCTTTATAGTTCGATTTTCTTCATTTTAGAAATCATTTGTGCTTATTATCCAACCGATCGTTTATATGAATTTACCGAAGAAACTTATTATAATTTCCAAAGAGGTTTAATTGGAAAATTACCAAACTATGTTAGTGTTTTGGTTTATCTTGGTTATGGATTTTCCAATTTAGATTTCAAACCATATATTAAAATCACTACATTCGTATTCGTTGTTCATATCTTAGCTTCACTTTATGGTGATTATGTGGTAGGAAATGTTTCTTCATTGGTGGATATCTCATTCCTTGGTGATAAATTCTCCATTCTTTATAAAACTGTCATTCTATATGGAAATTATAGAGATGCATATTTAGGTTTCAAATCAGATCTTGACAAAAAAGTCTTAATGTATTCGTCATATGCTCAAATTGGTACTGAAATTTTAATCTTTATCATTTGTTCAGTTCATGCTATTATAATTTATTTCAAATTAAGAAAAGCTCATAGAAAAGCAGCTAATAAAATGTTAATATCATTCTTTATTCATTTGTTACTTTATAAATTAGCCGTCAAACAAATTTTAGTCTTCCTCAATAGAATTATCTTTAATGGTGTATTTGATGTTGGTGAATCATTAAAAGTTTTCGGTAATATCATTGAAGGTAGAGACTTGAAATTATATTTGATTGATTTAATTGAACTTGTATTAATTTGGGCCTTATGGGGTACCAATAGATTAGTTGATGTTAGAAAGGATACAGTTAAATCTGATAAAAAGGCTGCTGTAGCTGAAAAATCAGCTGCTGAAGCTAAAAAATTACTTAAAGGTTCAGCTAAGAAGAGAACTAAATCTGATTCAAAGAAACAAAGATAAAGTTAGCATTGGGTTTTAAAGCCATTCTTGACAATCAAAAAAGACAATTATCGATACGATAGATGTAACATTAGTATATAATACATATTTAAGTTTGTTTTATTAAAAAATTATCCATTGTAGAGTAAGACTAATCAAAGTAATTTAAAATTGCAAAAAAAATAACGACAACTGCAGGACTCGAACCTGCGCGGGCAAAGCCCAAAAGATTTCAAGTCTTTCTCCTTAACCGCTCGGACAAGTTGCCTTAAAATTTTTCAATTTCTTTTTGAATCGCGAGGCGGTTCTGACGGATTCATTTTGGAAATTTTATGGAAATTTTTGACTAATTTTGGGTGGTCACTAAGTGTTTTTATGAAGTCAGCATATATTTAACATTCGTTAGATATGATAGATCTAATAATATTTTGAGGTGTCATGTAAAATTGGGCAGAATTTCTTCAATATATTATTTGCAACTTTCTCAGCATTTTGCAACAGAATTATACGAAAATTATTTTAATTTTAAAAAGAGTTTTCTTTTTATCAAGGAAATATTGATGGGAACAATTCTGGAAACACCTACGAACACTCAAATCACAGGAGCCATCCAAATTTGATGAACTTCATCTTTTCCACCTTGGGTATAGAAGCCATATCCAACCACAAGATGCAACCCTTTGTACATTCTGCAAAACACGTTTAGATCCATCCATGTCTGAAGTCCAACACCTCTACTTTCACTGCAACGTCAGCCGAGAAATGTGGCAGAGGATTGGCCCTAACATTCCCCTTACTCCTTTTGCAATTCTCGTTAATAGCAATTCCTCTCTCCAAGATGCTCTTCAAACCAATCGATATCTACTAGCCGTCCACAAGTTAAAACTACGACGACTACCTACAGAGGTTAAAGATGCTTTAACCACCAAAGAAATCAAAACCTGGATATCGTACTTTAATAACACTCACTGAGCCTCAGCTTAGTATTCTACCAACCGCTAAGACTATGCTTAGCTGTCTCCTAATAACTCCTGCAGGAATTTTACCTTATGTCTGCAAATAAATAGAGTTTTCCTTATATAGTTTCTCTATCAAACTCATTTCTTACAAATCTGCTCGTTAGATATTAAATCTACTTTTTAGATACTTAATAAATGCAACTCACTACGAAAAAATAAAAACAATTTATTTCTTGAAGATAATTAATAACTACTCATTATCCTACAAGATCGTTCTATCAGTCTGCATAACTGGGTCAATACTTAAGGTTTCATTATTAATTATGTTTATTTTATTAACTATGTATAAGATTATTATTTTAGAGGTTGTTGCAATAAACTAAAAATATAAAAAATCTATTAAAAAATATCCTCTATTCTATTAAAATTTATATATCTATCCTTTCTTTCCTTTTTAATTAGCATATCTTGATCTTGCTCTTAATTGAGGACCATTGTAGTAGAAATATACTGGAATCAGAATCATGGCCACAGCAATGAAACCTAAGATAGATGAACCCCAACCGACTGGGAATCTTTCTGAACCTAAATTGATAAACAATGGCTTACCAAATAATGGGAAACAACCAGCAATGACTGATCTGAATAAAGCATTACTAGCAAAAACTGAAGCTAAAAATCTAAAGAATGAAAAAGCCAAGTAATTGAATAAAGTTTGGAAAATGATGAAAGCACCACAAGCGAAAACGGCACCACCAATAAGAGGACCAATCCAATGAATATTAGGGGATGAAGTCCAACCAAAGATGAAAATACCAATAGGCATTAAGATAGCACCAAAAATAGCCATTGGTAAGAATTGTTCTGGAGCAAATTGTCCACCTTTCAATACAACTTTAGTGAATTTTTGATACATATATGGAACATAAATTGCAGCACCAATTGCAATACCAATCATGATACTAGTATAAGTAACACCCATTTCAACTAAAGTAAAATGATGAATGTCCACAAATACAATTGGGAAAGCTTCAAACCAAAGATACATAACAGAGTAAACCAAGGCAATGTAAAGATTGGATGCTAAAACCATTGGTTCAATAAGAGTGATTTGAATTGGTCTCCATAATAAATCAACAGCTAATTCACTTGGAGTTAATTTTGAATTTTCAATATGACCTTCACTTGTAATATTTTTATTTCCAGTTAATTTTCTTAATCTGTCAGCTTTTCTATAAAGGATAGTTTTACCATAAGTTTCTGGTAAAGTCCAACCTAATACTAAGAAACAAGTACCACTAATAATAGCCATGAACCAAAATGGCCATCTCCAAGATTCGTAACCATCATGACCCCCTCTGACAACTAAAACAGCACCGATCAATGGACCTAATGAAGGACCCATAACCCCACCAATAGCCCAAGTGGCAAGACCAACTGGAATGTATGGGAAAGTAATGATATCACCGATGGTGGCACCACCGGTAGCTAAAGCTGGAGAAGCAAAGAAACCAGCAATGAATCTAAGAATACATAAACCAGTAATACTAGTAGTTAAAGCAGTTGGAATTTGTAAGATGAAAAAGATGAATAATGTGATGATATATACTGAAGTTCTACCAATGGCGGCATTTTCAGTCATTGGAGATAAAAACATTGGACCAAAACCATAACCAATGACGAACATAGTTAAAGGTAAGGTAGCGATAGTTTGATCGATATTGAATTTAGCCATGATTTGTTCCACACCAGGAGTATAAATGGCTGATGCCATATATACCGATACAGTTAAGAATGCAACTTCACCCAACAATAAGATTTTACGATGTAATGGCCAATTATATGGATTTTCAGGATCATCTTCACCATCCCAACTGACCATGATATCACCATTACCTAAATCCTTTTCAGTATCATCATTTAATGAAGAGCTTCCACTTTCAACTGCGTCTTCTTCAAGATCGGCTTGATCCTTTTGATGTTTTAATGAATCATCTTCATCTCCTTCTCCTTGTTTTATTTCAGTAATATCTTTGTATCCTGGTAAATATTTTTCAGGTATTTCGTAACCAGGTGCTTCTTCCTTTTGAGTGAATAGTTTATGACCAGATACTCTATTGATAATGACACCCCAAAATGAGTTGTTGATGAATGTATGAACCATCTTTATTACGCGTTATATATATGTATATGTAAAATGATAATGATAATGAAGAATGAAGATGAAAATAACTTGATTTCTACAAAACAAAGGTCAATTACGATTATATTTATAGTTTATGAATCAAAGATCCTCCCTGACATAAACATTAGTAATTCATCTATCAACCCTATGTTCCTGTTCCAACTTATACCGAACAGCATGGCGTTAGCATGGGAATTATTATTACACAAAAAAATTTCTGTTGCGAAATTATTTTTTCCATTCTTAAAAAATTAAACTTTCTTTTGTAAACGATGTCAGATCCTGTATATAAGCAGAAAGCTCGGTATTAATGGAGACCCAGCCGTGAGCTATTTTTATATTGTTCGGTGATACTACTAGTAAACAAAATCCCAAATAAGATTATTTTTTAACAAAAAAAAAAATGCAGTTTAGAGCCCTCGGTGTTTATGTATATACAGGACCGAACATAACAACCGTTTACGCCTCTTAATAATCGTTCGTAATTAATACCGAGCTTTCCAATTTGTATCTCCTCCTCCTCCTCTTCCACCCATAGTAACATAGTTATACTAGGGATTTTCTATACCCATTTTCAAAGCCATCCATTGTTCTGAATATAAAATTTTCCGTAGTTTATATGATCAGAAATTCTGGAAGCCATGGAACATTGGTAGGGGAGAAGGGTGGTGAGAGAGAGAGAGGAGGGGATGAGCCACGTAACAGTTCTTCTTTCCTTTCTCCCCTATCTATCAGCCCCCCCTCTTTTGCTATCTTTAAAGGAGGGAGGGAGATCAATTCCAATTGTTTGTTCTATTCCATTGATACCGTGTCGGGTTAATCATATCCAAATTAGCTTTCATATGTTTAGTTAGTTAGTTAGTTAGTTAGTCATAGAGATGAGGCTGGCGCAGATTATTTTAATTTCTTTTTTTGTTTCATCATCATAAACACCGAGCTAAGGTTGATTGCTGCAAAGACAAAAAGACCTTTTTTGCCCTAGCGCATTTTGTGTGAGTTGAAATTGAAATTGCGCATGCTATATAGTTACTAAATTCATAAGCATTGCTAGAAGTTTATGAATTTAAGCTTAATAATAATAATAGTTCAAAACCCTGATTAGGAAATAAGGAGTTATGATTAAATAGGGAGTTATGATAAAATAATAATGATTAATTACTAATTATTTACTTAGACGTGTAAAAAGATATTTCTTCGCATTAAGACGGTGATTAATTTATCCATCATGCCATACCTAATTACAATCAAATGTGGAGGGGATATTGTTATTATTTGATCTGACAGTGTGTCAAACGACACCGATCATTTATTTCCAATTAATTAAATCGGATTTTTTTCTCCTCTTCCTTATAAGCCGAATGAACCTTGAATTAGTCATGGTTGAGAAAATGTTTTAAAGTTTTATCTGCCTTCGGTCTTTACATTTCCATCATAATCCTAATCGGTAATGACACATCAGAAATGTATTTATATCTGATAACTAATCTGATAGATCTATTCTATTAATATGATTTAGATTTTAAAAGTCACCTTTTTTTTGCTATGTGGCGATACCTTCTTTTTTTTTTTTACAGCCTATGCTTAATGCGTATCCAACTATTACAAGATCGATTTTACAAGATTCAAACTAAATGTTATTCCAATTATGATATCTCTAATGGGAGTACTATACTGAATGATTTAAGTCGTTTATTTAAAGCTAGGACAAGAGTGATATACTAGGACATTCTTTTGCTGGACATCCGTTTGCTGGAATTCTTAAATTTAGTTATACCAACGAAAACTTCTCTTTTTTCAACATCAGTCAATTCCAAGACTTTCAGTAAGGATTCAAGTCGCCTTTGATAGTTCTTAGTAACATTTTGAAGATAACTAAACACCATCTTATAAAATACCAATACAGGGCTACGGTCCACATATCTAATACATTGAATATTGCATTTTAATTTGGCTAATCTTATTTGATTCAATTCATCAACATCAAATTCAGATTTTTAACTATTGATTGAACTGACAGAGATACGATTTGAATCAATTATTGAGGAATTGATATGAATATTATGTCATTAACTTGATGGAAATACTTTCCCGTTGCAATGATGATTCTTTAAATTTTTGAGGTCTGTTAAATTCCAAATAATTATGATCTGTATCATTTATCTAAGTTTGAAGTATTTCAAAACTTCTTCTCGTAAGGCTATCATCAATTTTCAATGGATATCTTGGTTCATAGACGTTTGTCATTTTAGCGTATATCGTAGTTTTGGTAACTTAATGAACTTTATATTATATTAGTCGTTTTAATGATTGAGAATCACACAATTTTAACTGAATTATAAATATATTAATATCTATACTAAGTAATCCTACATAAAGATATATATCTTTAGCAGCTAAAACAAAAAGTCAAAAAAAAAAAATCAAAAAAAAATCAAAAAAAAAAGAAGTTCCAAATAAAATATAAAGGAAAGAAGGTGCTAAAATATGATCACCTAATTGGCATATCTTGATCTTGCTCGTAATTGAGGTCCACGTACATAGAAGAACACTGGGATTATAATCATAACCACAGCAATAAAACCTAGTACTGATGAACCCCAACCCACGGGATACTTTTCTGAACCTAAATTTGTGAATAAAGGTTTACCAATTAATGGGAAACAACCAGCTATATCTGATCTGAATAATGCATTACTAGCAAATACTGATGCTAAATATCTTGGGAATGAAGAACCTAAATATGCAAATAAAGTTTGGAAAATAATGAATGCACCACATGAAAAAATCCCACCTCCAAATAAAGGACCAATCCAATGAATGTCAGGAGATGAAGTCCATGCAAATATAAAGATCCCAACTGGCATACAGATAGCTCCGAAGATTGCCATAGGTAAGAAATGTTCAGGAGTGAATGTTTGTCCTTGTAAAACTTTCTTGGTGTAGTTGAAATACATGTATGGAACATAAATACCAGCACCAATTCCAATACCAACCATAATACTAACATAGGTGACACCCATTTCCACTAATGTAAAATGATGGATTTCGACAAATACAATTGGGAAAGCTTCAAACCAAATATACATCACGGAATAAGCTAAGGCAATGTAAAGATTGGAGGCTAAAACCATTGGTTCAATGAGAGTGATTTGAAATGGTCTGTATAAAGTATCAATGGCTAATTCTCTTGGAGTTAATTTTGAATTTTCAATATGACCTTCACTTGTGATATTTTTATTACCGGTGATTCTTCTTAATCTTTCAGCTTTTCTATAAAGTAGAGCCTTACCATAAGTTTCAGGCAAGGCCCAACCTAATACTAAGAAACAGGTACCACTAATTATAGCCATGAACCAGAATGGCCATCTCCAAGATTCGTAACCATCATGACCACCTCTGACAACTAAGACAGCACCGATCAATGGACCTAACGAAGGACCCATAACCCCACCAATAGCCCAACTGGCAAGACCAACTGGCATATATGGACCAGTAATGACATCACCAATGGTGGCACCACCGGTAGCTAAAGCGGGAGATGCAAAGAATCCTGATATAAATCGAAGAATACATAAACCAGTTATATTTGCCGATAAGGCAGTTGGAATTTGTAAGATGAAAAAGATGAATAATGTGATTGAATATACTAAAGTTCTACCAATAGCGGCATTTTCCGTAACTGGTGATAAAAACATTGGGCCAATACCGTAGCCTACAACAAAGGTAGTTAAAGGTAAAGTTGCGATAGTTTGATTAACATTGAATTGTGACATGATTTGATCAACACCAGGAGTATAAATAGCTGATGCCATATAGACGGATACCACTAAGAATGCAACTTCACCTAATAAGATGAGTTTTTGATAAAGAGGCCAATTATAGGGACATGCAGGGTCATCATCACCATCCCAGGTTACGATGATAAGGTCATCATCATCGGATGCTTTGGGATATGAACTAGAACTTTCAATCACATCTTCATCGATTTGTTTGATTTCATCGATTTGTTCTTTATCAAAGGCAATATTTGTTGTCAGTTTCAATGATTGAGGCTTTGATAAATACTTTTCCGGTATCACATAACCTGGTTCTTCTTCTTTGTGAGCAAACCATTTATAACCTGATAATCGATTTATAATGGTACCCCAAAATGCATCTCTTAGAAAAGCATGCGTCATAATGTACAAATGATTAATTAAAATAAAATTAAATGAAATGAAATGAAAAAGGTATTAATGAAATGAAATAAACACCAAAACAATTAACAAAAATGTAAAGCAATAAAACAATAAAAAGATAACCGTTAGATACTAAAAAGAAAATAGTAAATCGAGACCAATATGGAATTTGCAGCAACTACTCCGAAACCAATATACTAATTAGGATTTGAACTATACTTATACAAAGTTAATTATATCGTATATGAGATGGGCTCCCCCAAAATGACTCATCGAAATTTATTTTTATTTTTATTTTTGTTGCAAAAATTTCTTTTGGGTTTCAGCCCTCCACGTTCGACACGTGACTGAGAACTGATAACTTTAAATGGTTCTATACATAATAACTGGGTAAGTTAAGTTAATGAGTTTGACTATAAGTTGATTTGATATATAGTTATAGTAGAGTGGTTAGAAAAGCCCTTTTGCATTAATTATCAAACAAATTACGAAACAATAGGAATAAAATAATATTGAGGTAGTTGACAGGGGTCATTCAGAGATCATAATTTCTTAATAATCCTTGGCATAGCTTTTCAGCTGATAGTGGAGCTAACGTCAGATAACAGTTGTAATCGAGTATATAGAATCACTTAAAGTGTCAAGGCTATGTCAGTCTAATTTAAAGGTGATTAAAACCAATTCTAAAAATAGAAGTCGGAGTGTAAACCCGATCGAAAAAAAAAAAAAGAAACTTCAACGAGGAGGAGAGCAGAGCTTAAAGTATACAGGAAAGGAAACAGTTTGACATAATTACATATTGATAACCGTTACTATGGAAATTATTTGATGAAACATCACGTTGATTGATTGATTAGTTCCACTAAACATCACCACACTTTTGTGTATTTTATTACATTTATAGTCATCTAATTTTCTTACTCCACTTCTACTTCCTCCTCTGATCTCAGTTACTGTTGCAGCACAGTTGTTTCACATTAATTAGTTACTTAGCCCTTTTCATTTCTTGGACATATTAGTTTAAGTTTTCAATTTGATCTTATATAAACATAATGTCTTCCTCCCTACCCTTTTTCTTAATTTCTTAACCCTTTCCTAATTTAATTTCTTTGTATTATTATTATTATTATTATTATTATTACGTATCATCGTCAACTAAGCTTATTATTATACCCTTAAGGTGGCTGTGATATCATTCATCAAATTTTTTTTTCTTCGTGTTTATCAGCTATATACAGGAATATCCCAATTAGGAAATAATTCAATAAGACACGAAAAATTTAATTTACTCCAGATCAAAGGGCCTTTAAACGATTAGAGATTTTTCAATTTAAACTAGTTTAACTTAGGTTTCAAAAGGGTTTAAAGTTAGAGGATAGGTAGTCAACTGCAATCATGAGTTACTACAATCATCATAACCTGCCGTACGCTAATCAAAATAGCGGAAATCAAGGTAATAATCAAACTAATAATGGATTTGGTCGTGATAATTCTGATTCATCAGTTACAGAATTTTTAAACCCTAATCAACAGCAACTGGGTACTTATGGTTATCATAATAATAATAGTTCTTCATCGATTAATTTCCAACAACCTCCTGAACCAAGTTATAACAATAATAGAATCAGTTCAAATTCAGTGTTGAATGAATATTATCATGATTCAAATATAGATCAAGGTCAAGCTTATTCTCCAAATCATCAACAACAGCATCAAAGTTATATTCAACCACCAAACTTATCACCACTTCAAACTACTGCTAATGATGATCCTTTCAATAATCGTTATGAAATGAACCAACTTGGTAATAACCCTAATCAATCTTATCAATATGAACAACAACAACAGCAACATTATGATCCAAATCAAACTTATTATCAACAACCTACTACCACTTTCCATCAAACATTCGTTCCAAACGTCTATGACGATGAAGATGAAGATGAAAGAGAATATGATCAACAAATTCAATATAATCAATTCCAAGGGGATCATTATGATTTACTTCCAGTTCAATTCCCAGAACCAGAACCAGAACCTTCATTAATCGATACAAGACCTCCCATTCTAACTAGAGTTGTTGATGATGATGACGTTCCTGAATCTCCATTTGCTGATGAAATGCAATTCCCTGAACCTCCTGAAGAAGAACCAATCCGTTCCAAACCTCAAATTGGTATTGCACCAGGGTTAAATGGTCATTTAGTCCTTGATTGTCCAGTTGCAACTGAATTATTAACTAAATTTCCCGATTATAATCCTGAACTTCGAGATGGGGGATTATCTCGTGAATTTTCTTATATGAGATATACCGCTGTTACTTGTGGTCCATCCAATTTTTATCGTGATGGATATATTTTAAGACCAAATCATTATCCAATTCAAAGACAAACTGAATTAATGATTGTTGTTACCATGTATAATGAAGATGATATTTTATTAGCCAGAACTTTAAAGGGGGTATTTAAAAACATTAAACATTTAGAATCTAAAAAGAGATCCAAAGTTTGGGGTGCAGGTTCTTGGAAAAAAGTGGTGGTTTGTATCGTTAGTGATGGTCGTTCCAAAATTAATGAAAGAGCTCAAGCTTTATTAGCTTCATTAGGAGTTTATCAAGAAGGATTAGCCAAATCTACCGTTGATGATAAAAATGTGCAAGCTCATGTGTATGAATATACTACTAGAGTCGGTATTTCAAGTGTTACTGATACTGTTAAATTAACTACTGAAAAAATTGTCCCTGTTCAATTATTATTCTGTTTAAAAGAACAAAATGCTAAAAAAATCAATTCTCATAGATGGTGTTTCCAAGCTTTAGGACAATTACTAAATCCTGAAATCGTCATTTTATTAGATTGTGGTACTCAACCAACTGGGAAGTCCCTTTATCATTTATGGAAAGAATTCGATATCGATCATCGTGTAGCTGGTGCATGTGGAGAAATTAAAGCTTCATTAAAGAAAAGACAAATGCTTACCAATCCAATCGTGTATGGACAAAATTTTGAATATAAAATTTCAAATATTTTAGATAAACCCATGGAATCAGTATTTGGTTTCATTAGTGTGTTACCAGGGGCGTTTTCAGCTTATAGATATATCGCACTACAAAATGATGTTAATGGTAAAGGACCATTAGAAAAATATTTCAAAGGGGAATTTTTACATAGTTCAGGAGAATTAGATCCAAATGATGATGAATATGAATTAAAAAAGAGTCAATTAAAGGAAGAAGCCGGTATTTTCACTTCAAATATGTATTTAGCTGAAGATAGAATTTTATGTTATGAATTAGTGGCTAAAAGAGGATGTAATTGGTTATTAAGATATTGTCGTGCTGCAAGTGCTGAAACTGATGTTCCTGAAAAATTAGCTGAATTCATCTTACAAAGAAGAAGATGGTTAAATGGGTCATTTTTCGCTGCTATTTATGCTTTAGTTCATTTCCCAAAGATTTGGAGTTCTTCTCATTCATTTGGTAGAAAATTCTTTATTCATATTGAATTCATTTATCAATTTTTAAGTTTAGTCGTTTCTTGGTTTTCAATCGGTTCTTATTTCCTTGTGTTTAGAATTTTAACTACTTCTTTAAGTGATGCTGATTTAGGCTTTGCACCAGGTAATATCTTATCAGTCATTTTCCTTTGGTTATATCTTGCTTCTATCGTTACTACCTTTGTTTTAAGTTTTGGTAACAAACCTCAAGGTACAGAGAAGTTTTATATTGTGATTGTGGTTTTCTTTGCTATATTAATGGCTTATATGATTTTTGCAGCTATTTTTTTGGCAGTTCATTCCATTCAACTGATTTATCGTGAGCATACTGAAATTACAGTTCAATTGTTTTTACAAAACGCTGAATTTAGAGATTTGGTGGTGGCTACAGCTTCAACTTATGCATTATATTTCATTGCATCATTCATTTATTTCGAACCATGGCATATGTTTACTTCATTTGTCCAATATATTTTATTATCACCATCATATATTAATGTGTTGAATATTTATGCCTTCTGTAATATTGATGATATTTCATGGGGTACAAAGGGTGAAACTGGGGGTAAATCTTTAGGTGCAGCTAAATTAAGAGAAGATGGTACTTTCGATGTTAGTATTCCAATTTTGAAAGAAGAAATCAATCAATCTTATTTAGATCAATTAGAAAAGATTAAAACTCCAGCTGTTGATGATGGTGGTAATACCAAAATTAGTAATGAAGATTATTATGCATTTATTAGATCTATGACAGTATTAATTTGGATGATATCAAATTTTATAATAGTGGCATTAGTATTGGAAACTGGTGGTTTCAGTCAATTTGAAAATCAAGCAGATTTAGTAACTATTAAACAAGAAAGAGCTAAAATTTATTTAACCGTTGTATTATGGTTGGTGGCTTTCATGGCTTTATTTAGATTCATTGGATGTATATTCTATTTGATTCAAAGACTTGCCAATAGAATGAGAAGTTCTGATCATTCTACAATGCATAACAAGCTTCGACAATAGATATTTATTTAGAGACTTCATATATATATATATATACATTAATTAACAACTAATAATTAATTTTATTTTCATTAAATGGGAGCAACACAATTTGTTTAATATCGGAATATACTGAATGATTATGAATGATTTCTTGCTTCACTTGGAATTGATCCTGTAACAAAGAAAGCGTAGCAAGTAATAAGAAGGTGTATGAAAAATGCAGCACATGTCATACCTAACGAAACATCTTTATTAGGTGTATTCCAAAGTCTGTGCACAAGAACTCCACAGAATAAGGTCATAACCACCAGCATTTCTGAACAAACACTACAACATATGAGCGCAGTATAATCTTGAATACCAGTAACCTCATAGAATAAAATACATAGAAAGAATATGAATGAGAATCCTTGGGGCATTTCATCTTGTCCCAATACAGTACGGATTCTTTTAAAATTTTGAACCAAAGTCATCAAATTTACTGGCGAAGTTCCCATTTCGTAAACCATCAAAACTCTATCTGAAAACCTCATTTTGACTAAAAGTTATACTTTATAACCAAGTAACCTAATTAAATTGATTGATTGAAGTTAAATAGTTGAAAGAAAGAAGAAATATAAAAAGGAGAAATATGAACAAAATATATTTGGCAGCACTTTGAAAAAGGGATATTTATAGTGCAGTCTACACATACAATATGTCTTCTATTTAGACACACAACCATAGTAAATGACTATATAACTATCATGCCATGAGCCATATTAATCATGTTTGACTAGCTCATAATTAAGTTGATCAAGAATATCGGGTTATACTATATAAAGCATAGACAAAGATAACGTCAAGGAGATCGTTATATGGATTACATTCACGATAATTATTCAAAATGTACTAGATATCAATTAAACCCATGAATGTAAGAGTTCCAAATGTAAATACAGTTGCAACAATAACATTTGCATCAAATTTGTTATAAATACCAGTTGAACTGTAGAAAAGGGTCAAACTAAACACGCTTCCTAAATATACAGTTATTAAAATGGCTGACAATTTCATGAAAATCTTTGAGCTAATCGTTGTCTAGTTAAACCAGAATGGATGGAACTGCTTTTCTCCTATTCTATGAACTCATTCTATTACTTTAGTTTGTTAATGTATGTCATGGTAACGTAAACCAAACTGAACAAGAATCCCTATTTGGCAGCACATAAAAAATTATGACGGTCAGACCCAAATAGGCACACTATGAGAAATCTACATTTTTTAATAAATTTATTAGTATGTATTGAAGATACTAATTCAATAGCATCAATTAGAATGATATTTACACCTTGTGTGGACAAGTAGTTTTAAATTATGCATTATCATTTGATTGATCAATTGGGACAATGGAGTTTAAAGTAAAGACTGACATCATAAAGATGCAATATGAAGCTACTGTCAACAACCATTTGAAGATTCTTCTTGTTCTTGAATCCACAACTGGATTGCATTTACCAAGAGCCATTAAAAGTAAAGCTTCTGTTAAAACAAGATAAATACAAATAGTGTACAAACAAACCGTCTTAGTATATCTATCTCTAACACCAGTGATAGCATAGTAAAGGTTCCAACCGCATAACATAGCAAGGATAATGTAGAATATAATAGACTCCCAACGAACTCTTTTCATTTTTCTAGGAACGATCTCAGTTTGACCTGGAATTTGAACTATTGCATTAATGGTACCAACTTGAGAGTCTTGATCTTGTGATAAAACGTCGTTAGAACTTTCTTGTAAAGACATATCCACTACTTTATCTTCTTTTGCTATGATAAGTTTAGCTCAAGTAGTTCTTTTATGATAAAGAAATCCAAGTAAATAAAGCTGGGAAGAAATGAAAAGGAGGAAACAAAAAGTGTAAATAAATTCGAATGGAGGAATTTTTACAACAAATAATATATTAAATTAACTAACAATAAACCTAACTCAAACCTAATAAGTATTAACCTATCTAAGTACGAATTAAACACCAAGTACACTCCCATGAACGAATGCCAGATAAAAACCAATCAAGAAATAAAAAATAGGCCAAAACAAAGCATACATTGATTCAAACAAGGAGTACTCAAAACCATCAAGATCACTCAAAATGATAAAAGCTTCAATTCCATGAAAAATATATTTTATGTAGTAAACAACAGTACAATAAGTACAAACCAATTTAGGATAATAACCAGTTGGACGGATGAGATGAAGACAAATAACCAGACCAAGTAGGCCAACCAAAATTGTATGATGAACTATACAAGCTGGACACAAACACAACCATTTTGCTTTCTTTCCATCTTTTTCTGAATCTTGGGGGGTTGGATTCGACTCACTTAAATGAACTTCTTCTGATGAAGTATTATCCATCTAATCAAGTCTTCTTTGGTTGAAATGTAGATCAGTAATACTGAAAAAAGAACCTAAACTTCAGTTGATAAAGAAAGAAAGAAACAAAGATCATGAAGTAAAAGTGGATTGGCAGCGAAAAAATAGACTCCTTTAAAATTATGACGGTCAAGCTCAAATAGGCACACTATGAGAAATCTACATATTTTAGTTGTTACAATGAATTTATCACTATGTATTGAAGAATACTAACAAAGAATTGTATCAATTATAATGATACAATAATACGAGGTGGTTTTAATTACTCTTATGCTTTATCTCTTGATCGATCAATTGGTAAAAGTGACTCTAAAGTAAAGATAGACATCATTAAGATGCAGAATGAAGCTATTGCCAACAACATACTGAAGATTCTTCTAATATCGGAGTTCACTGCTGGATTGCATTTATATGTACCAAGCACTATCAAAAGTAAAGCTGCTGTTAAAACTAAATAAATACAAATAGTAAACAAACAAACCGTCTTAGTATATCTATCTCTAACACCAGTGATAGCATAGTAAAGGTTCCAACCGCATAACATAGCAAGAATAATGTAGAATATAATAGTTTCCCAACGAATTCTTTTCATCTTTCTAGGAATTATTTCTCTTTGAACTGAACCCTGGACTGGATTTTGAATTAAGGGGGTTACTCCATCAGTTTGATAAACGTAATCAAGGAAGACATCCTCATAAATGTCATCCCCATGAAAGACATCTTCATCAGAGCCTTCTGATAAACCCATATGCATTTCTTCTAATTCAATTGATTGACCTTCCATGGTCATTTGGCTTTCGAAATGATGTTTGATAAAGAAATTCAAATAAAAAAAGAAAAAATTAAGATTTTTTAAGTATACTATTTAAGAAATATAAACCTATTTAAGTTGTTCAATATTACTTAATATCGAAATTTGGACTCATGTTAAGAAACATAGAGTAACATCGAGTGAAAGTGAAAGTGAAGTTGATAATAGTAAGTTCAACTTTAAGTGTATGATAATATAATTAGCTGGTATTCTTACCAGTGTTGAGCTCTATTTGATTCATAGACTAGCTAGGAGAATGAGAAGTATATTCTACAATGTATAATAGGCCATTGGTATTTATTTAGCATATATACCCATTGAATAATTAATAATTAATAATTAAATAGGAGCAACTTAAAATATTTTATGCGTTTAACTAAACCTAACTGAGCTCACGGAATAATAGTGAAGCCTCAGGAGATAGTTTAAGTGGATTCGATGTTGCAATTACTAATCCATAGCAAGCAAATAGAATATGAATACAAAATGAAACACATATTAAACCAAACGAAACATCTTTAATAGGATTATTCCAGAGCTCGTGAACAGCACCTCCATATGCAAGAGTCAAAACCACAAGCAAAGGTGCAAAAAGGAAAAAAACAAACAGGCCGAAATCGTCTTTAATACCAGTGATACCATAGAATAAAACAAAAAGGTACAAGAAAAAAGTAATCACTATTCGATCATAATTTCCAGCAAGACGGATTCTTTTAAAATTTTGAACCAAAGTCATCAAATTTACTGGCGAAGTTCCCATTTCGTAAACCATCAAAACTCTATCTGAAAATCTCATTTGAGCAACAGTTATACTTTATAACCAAGTAACTTAATTAAATTGATTGATTGAAGTTAAATAGTTGAATACGAAAGAAAGAAAGAAGAAACTTAAAAGGATCAATATGAACAAAATAAATTTGGCAGCATTGAGAAAAAGGGAAATTTGTAGTGTAGTCCACAAATACAATTTCATCCCCTTAAATAATTACTTCTATTTAGACAACCCAAATAAATAACTATAAAATCATTAACTGATAATTATAATAAAAATCTTCAAATTTGACTAGTTGATTCAGCAAATAAGTAAGCTGTCCAAGAATAATGTGTTATTCTATACAAAACGTAGACAAAGATAACATTAAGGATACCTCTCCAAGGATTAAACTCACCATAATTTTTCAAAATGTAATAGATATCAATCAAACCCATGAATGTAAGAATTCCGAATGTTCCAGCAGTTATGACAGTAATTATTGCTGCAAATTCATTGTAAATTCCAGTTGAACTGTAAAAGAGGGTCAAAGCAAGTAAGTTTCCTAAATACACAATTATTAAAATGGTACTATTTAGCTGGCGAATTCTTGAAAAGCTTTTTGCTATTTGTTGTCTGGTTAAATCAGAATGGATAGAACCAATTCTGACCTGTTTGAATCTATTTGATGAAGTCATTGTATTAGATTATATTGCCAATGTATGTTATGGTAAGGTTAGCCAAAGTGAACAAGAATCCCTACTTGGCAGCACATAAAAAATTATGACGGTCAGACCCAATTAGGCACACTATGGGAAATCTACATATTTTAATTGTTACAAGAAATTAATCACTATGTATTGAGAAATACTAACAAATACTTGTATCAATTATAATGTTACAACAATACAAGTAGACCCTTTGCTATCTCATGAGTTATTCTGAACTCATTGCCAAATACATTATTGTAAGCACAGACAACACTGACATACAACATGAAGCTGCTGCCATCAACAATTTGACAGCATACGATGATACTGAGTTTTGATTTTGATTTTGTTTAATAAAAACCATAAAAAGTATAGCTTCTGTTAAAGCAAAGTAAATCCAAAAACCAAAGTAGCAAACACGTTTAGTATATCTATCTCTAACACCTGTGAAAAAATAGTAAAGGACCCAACAACATAACACAGCAAGAATAATGTAGAATATAACAGACTCCCAACGAACTCTTTTCAGTTTTCTAGGAGTGACTTCTGTTTGAGTTTGAGTTTGAACTTTTGCAGCAAGCAGAGAGTGCTGATCCATTGATACAAGCTCATAAGAGCTTTCTTGTAAAGACATAATCGCTTCTTTGTATTCTCTAGGGGTAAAGAATTCTGTTGAATAAGTTCTCTTATGGTAAAGAAACAGAGATAAATATATTTTAGAAGAAATAAAAAAAGGGAAACAATAAATTCATTTGTGTTTTTACAACAAATAATATATTTAATTAACTAACAACAAACCTAATTCTAACTCAATATTAATACAATTGAAAATGAAACATTAATATTCAAAAAATATTAACCATTTTAAGTTAGTACTATACATCAAAAACACTCCTATAAACGAATGACAGATAAATAGCGATTGAGATATAAAGTGCTGTCCAAAACAAAGCATACATTGACTGGAACAAGGAATATTCAAAACCATCAAGACCACTTAAAATGATAAAAGCTTCCAATCCATCAAAAATATATTTTAAATAGTAAATAGCTGTACAATAATTACAAATCAATTTAGCATAATCACCAGTAGGATGTATTATATGAAGACAAATGACCAGACCAAGTAGACCCACCAAAATTGTATGATGAACTAGACAAGCTGGACAGAAACAGAAACCCTCAACTTTTTTCCCATTTTTGACTGAACCTTCAGGAGTTGGATTTGACTCTTCTGAATGAGCTCCTTGTGGTGAAAGATCATCCATTTTATTATATGGATATAAGATTTCTATAACTGAATTGTAGATTAACTATACAGGGAACAGAATTACCTTATTATCTAACTTTAGTTGAAAAGAGAAAGAAAGAAAGAGTGATAAAGAACGGAAACTGTTTTGGCCTCAGCGAAAGAAAAAAGGGGCTCTTGCAAAATTATGACGGTCAGGCCCAATTAGGCACACTATGAGAAATCTACATATTTTACATGGTGCAATTAATTTATTCCTATATATGATAGAATGATACCAGTTAACAATTGTAACAACAACTTCAACAATGAAGTAATATGGTTATTTCAATCTTTAATTTATCTCATAAGTTTGACTTAAATTAATCTCCCCATTCTATGAACTTGCATACTCTAGATAAGCTAAGAAAGAAACAGAAGCACCTGAAACAACCAAAAGAAAGGTATTGGGATACCCAAAAATAGGTCTCATACGTGGTTCTCTTCTTAAACCATCAGAAACAATGGCAGCCATAGCTATTGAATGAAGATAGAAAACCAAAGAGGTGTAATAGAAGACCAGTTTCGAATAAGTATCTCTAACACCAGTAAAAACATAATAACATGACCAAGCTTGTAAGCAAAAAACAGAGGTATGAAATATAACACTCTGCCAACGAAATCTTCCCATCATTCTAGGAGCGATTTCTGTTTGAGGTGGAATTTGAACTATTGCAGTCATGGTACCAACTCGAGAGTTCTGATCGGCAGATACGACTTCATAAGAGCTTTCTTGTAAAGGCATACTGGATTCCTTATATTATGTAGTAAGAACAGATGTTGTTTAATTTGTACTCTTATGATAAAGAAAAATACACATAAAATAAGTGAAAAGGGGTGAGACAAATTCTTTAGTTTTTGCAAATTCTTTTACAACAGATAAATATTTTATTGACCAACTATTAAATTAAATTACAGCATATACAAATGGTTCAGATTTTAAAAAATTATAGATATATCTTGATAGAAAATTGTAGCAAAAAACCATTTAAGTTGGAATTATGGATAAGAAGTACCATGAAGTGCCCAATAAATAAAAAGCATATGGCGTGTAATCCAGTAGAAAACAATTCCAGAAAATAAAGATTCCATAGATTGAAGCAAGGGATGATGAATACCATCCATTCCACTTAAAAATATAAATGCTTCAGCTCCACTGTAAGTAAAACTTAAGGCATAAACAACAATGCCTACTCTGCAAACAAATTTAGAGAATTGACCAGTATTACCAGTAATATAAAAGTAGTTAACTAAACAAATTAACGTTGCATCAAGAATCAAACTTAATAAACAATATGGACAAAACAAGTTCCACTTTGCTTCCTTTTGTTCAATTGCTTGAGTTTCAAGAGTTGAACCTGTTTCAAGGGTTGAGCCAGTTTCAAGGGTTGAACCAATTTCAACTAACGAAGTACTATCTGTTTGATTATCAGGTGTATTCATTTTCCAATCTGATTAGTTCTCCTAGAAATAGAAACACAAGCTTAGTTAACAATGCTAACTTCAATCTAGATCGTACGGTAGAAAAGGAAGAAAGAATGATAAAGAAGTAAAAGTGTTTTGGCAATGAAAAAATAGACTCCTTTAAAATTATGACGGTCAAGCCCAATTAGGCACACTATGTGATTTTTCAAAATTATGACGGTCAAGCTCAAATAGGCACACTATGAGAAATCTACATATTTTAGTTGACGATATATCGATTAAACTTCTAAGTAAAGATATAACTTTATAAACATGACACTAAGAGTAAGACTTTAAGTTAATTAAAAAAAAATTGTGGACCTCTAGTTATCTCTATACAAATTGCATAAACTATTTATGCTTCAGATGTCAAAAACCACAGCAATACAAATCAAGATAATGAAACAAACTAAGTGCATAACACCAATTAAACAATATTCCAGCATAGTACGTATTATTGGAGGTTGAACTAAAAAAGATTGAACGAAAGCAGTTTGAAAAGTAAATGCATGAGCAAGGTAAACTATAAAGGTATAATAATAGACAACTTTAGTATAGCTATCTTTAACACCTGTGACACCATAGTAAAAGGCCCAACCAAATAAGCCAGCAAGTAAAAGAATGTGTATAGCATTCTCCCAATTCATTTTTTTGAGTAGTTTTATTATACTATCTCTTTCGTATTGGGCTTGAGCTAAAGGGACACCTGGTATATCAACTGCTGCTAAAACGACTGGTTGATCAACTTGTTGCCCTTGCAAGGGTAATTGATCTTGATTATTGAGATCATCTAGATTTATGTCCATTTATGTTGTTATTAGATCGATTTGGATATAGATTGATTTGTAAATACTAAAGAATATGAAATATAAAGATTTATGACTGCTTCAGAATACAGATAAATTGTTGAGAGAATAAAATTCATATAATATAAACTTTTCAATACAACAAAATAACTAATTTTTCTATGTAAATATATTTTAAAGTAGTTAACGATTAATGAATTTCAAAATTTAGATTCCTGATAGAAGATATAAGATATCGATTATCAGTGAATTAGATAACATTAAGTCCAACTTCAGGTCACAAATATAATATGTGTAGTTAGATATTTTTCTCTATCGATTCTGCGTGTAACTTGTTCTGTAGTAGGAGAGTAACCAATCACACCATATTAACCATAAGCTTAATAGAATATATGCAAATCATACCTGTAACAATAGCCAAAGATGCCAAACCAGAAAATCCTATAGCACCTTTAACACCATTGTCCTTTGTAAAAACCACAAAAGCAAGTGAACCAAAAGAAATGGAAATGATAAAATAAATCAAACCAGTAGAAGCTAAAACTGCTAAAGCATAGATATCTTCACCACCAACTATACCATAGTAAACCGTCCAACCAAATAAGACTAGAAGTATAGTGATAAACACTACTCTCTCCCAACGTACTCTTGCGAGTAATCCAATCGTAGTTTCAGTCTTTTCTGCAACTTGAACTAAAGGTACAACTGGATCGACTTGCTCCTCTTGATAACGATTGTCTTGTTCTTGCAAGAACGCTTGACCCTGATCAGCCTGATTTTCTAAAGGGATATTCATTTATAATTGACTTTATGAGGACTGTTCGTACCTAAATTCAATCAAAAAGAAGAAAAATACAAAAAAAGGATTTTTGGAAGCATTGGAAAAAGGGATAACATACAGAAAATTACATTAAACAAAGATATAATACAACACTACAAATTCCTGTATCCATCTCTTATATAAATTAAATAACCTATTTAGCTTTTAGTTGTTTAGTAAAAATGCTGTTTCTCTGCAGGTAACAAAATTCACATCTATGAAAGCTGACAGTTTCCACTTGACACTAGCGTTCAAGATGATCTCTACCATAAATAAGAATTGTATAGATAGTGATAATGAAATAAAAAAATGTGAATGAAAGAACTTTAAAGCATTCAGCTAAAGAATGGTCACGACCATCAGCACCAGTAAAGCAGTAAGTGGTCAGCATCCCATTCAGAACAACATGAGCAAAAAAGATTATAATACTATAACCACATACGAATGCAGAAAATTCACTATTATTATGTGTAAAATGATTATGGATATTTATTCCAAATAATGTTGCTAGAGCCGTATAATAAAGGAATCCAAGGAGCTGATTCATCTTATGGTCCATCTCTGGTTCTGGAAATTCTGTTATAACTTGAATTAATGGGGTTGAGGTTGTAGTAACTCTATAAACTCTATCCGGTGCTGGCAAGACAACTCCATTTACATCATCATTTGGGTCTTCTAAAGGTACATCATCTGCATTGGCCAAAATAACTCTTTCTGGAAAACGTATATCCATTTTGATATCTTTGGTGTAGATTGAACTAGAAATGACAATGGAAAGGGAAATGAAGAAGAAAAGGGATACATTAATTTGGCAGCAAAAAAAAAAGAATTTTAAAATTATGACGATCAAACCCAAATAGACACACACTATAAGAAATCTACAATTTAAACATTGTTGTTAACTTATTATAAATTAAACAATTTGAGTAGTTGAAAAATCGAGTTAAGTAGAATTAAAATCAACTTTAACAATACTAATCAGACTAGAGTAATTTTGAGCTTGACTTGATATCTCTATAGATAGAATAAACATTACAATTTATTCCCAAATCATATACGTATATAAGTAGATACATAAAGAAACCAATGATATAACCGTCATACGCAAGTATTCCAGAAATTCACGCCTAACACGAGGTTCACCAACAATAGCTTCAATCACAATGGAACCGAAAGCGTTGGTGAGAAAAAGGTAAACAATACAAGTATAACCAATAACTAGGTTAGTGTATCTATCCTTGACTCCTGTGATACCATAGTAGAGACTACACCCAAACAAACATGTAAGTAAAAGAATAAATATAAGATCATCCCACTTTATTTTGTTAAATAGTCCAATTGTGTTTCCCCTTTCAACTGGAACTTGTGGTAGAGGGGCTGCGACAGGAGGTTGACCTAATTGATCATCAGCTTGCTCTTGCATGAACATTTGTTCTTGATTCATCTGATATACCAAAGGAATCTCCATTTTATCAGCACTATGATTGATTTGATGAATTTATAGTGAACGAATATATCAAAAGAATAAGAGGTTGAACAGAATTATGATAGTCGAAAATTAATTATGACGGTCAAAATGCAAATAAGCACACTGAGGGAGAAACACATATTTTTTATTAGAGGTGAATTTATCCTATAATATATAGGATTAATAATTGGCCAAATAACCATGGATATATAGCTAAGTAAATTATGTTTAAAGTATTCTATTCATCAAGTAAATTCAAAACCAAACGACAATAAACACAGACCAAACCAGATAAAATAGCTAATGATCCCAAACAAGAACCACTCAAAGGACTTTTAATGTCAGGATCCTGAATAAGAGTTCCGTGAGCAACTATACAAATACCCATAGTATGAAAACAATAAGCTAAAAAGGTATAAAAACAAACACGTCTAGTATAAGCATCTTCAACACCACTTATTCCATAGTAAACGGTCCAACCAAATAACAATATAAGAGAAGCATAATAAGCAAATCTTTGCAAATGTAGTTGAGTGAGTATCCTAATGATGCTTTTATTTTCCCCAGGCATTTGATCTATAGGAGTTGCGGGTTCATCTTGTTCAACTGGACCATCATTAAATACATCTTCCATGATCAAGAACCTCTGATCAGGATATTCCTGATCAGCCAAAATAATATTCATCTGAAATTGATTGTTTAAGAACAGTTTGATTTTAAAAAAAGCTTAAAGAATAGTGATCTAAAACATTTTGGCAGCATCTAAAATAAAAAAAGACTGATTCTTACTACCGAGAAATACTACATATAATGATTAAATACAATTTCAACTTTTATAACTTTAACTATATGAAGATTTTAGAATATGTTATAGAACAGGCGAATGAGAAATCTTTCTTTTGTAATGTTATAAATATTCATTACATATGATCAGAGGCGTGAATAAGACTAATGTAGAGAGTTAAATTGAAAAATAATAATGCTGACACAAGATATTGTAAAGTTTTTAACAAGCTATGTTCACGACCATCCAAACCACTTAAGCGGATAGAAACCATTGTCCCACACATTAATAAGGGTGGGAAACATATCAGTACAGTAAGGTTACATATTATTTCGGAAACTGAACCATTATCACGAGTAAAATGATAATGCATAATAATTCCAATTAAGGTTGCTAAAACTGTGAAATAAAAGAAACAATTTAACTGAAATAACTGATCATGGTTCAATTGATCTGGAAGTTGTGTTGTAACTTGAACTAATGGCGTTGAAGCTGTTGTAACTATGAAAATTCTATCGGGCAAGGCAAAGGAAGATTCATCGGAGTCAAAATCTCTTTCATCTAAAGGGATACCCTCTTGATTAACCCAAATCTCTCTTTCTTGTAAAGGTATATCCATTTTATTTGATTTTAATACCTTTTATTTATATCGATTTAGAAAGGACCAGTATAAGCAAAAAAAAAGAAAGGAAAGGAATATATGTAATTGGCAGTAAAACAATTTTTAAAATTATGACGGTCAAGCCCAATTAGGCACACTATGAGAAATATTCAATTTTTTTTAGTTACGCTGTAAACTTAGTATATATTGAAGACGACTATTTACTATTAATTAAATAACAATATTATAGCAAAATATGATGGACCTCTAGCTAATGACACTTAAATCAGATAACCATTCTAAGTTTGTCTATATTTTGCACTAGAGATACAAGTAGCCCATGCATAATAAGTGATGAGACCAAAACCCAATGCCAAGGTTGCCAAAGGTTTAATTTCGGAAGGAGAAGGTGTAAACTCATCAACACTCATTTGTGACCAGCACAAGTAAGTTTGAATCATAAAAAAGTAACAAAGAAGACCATAAACTAAAGTAGTATAGAAACAAACATTTGTAGCACACCAGTCACTAATACCAGAGATTCCATAAAAAAGTGTCAGACCAAGCATAATTGTAAGAAACGTAAGAAATATTTTAGAATCCCAATGTATATCAAAAGGATTTTCTTTTGCTATTCCTTCTTCTTGCTTAGCAGTATTGCCTGGAGAATCTAAAATGGAGTTTTGATCTAAACTCATTTGAAGTTGATCAGGAAGATGATCGTTTCCTGGTCTGGATATACATCCTTGATCCAATCCATCAACCTGGTTTGAAGTGGACATTCTAATTTGAAGATTGATTGATTATTTTAATAAAAAAGAAAAAGAGTAAGAATAATAATTGGTAAAAAGAATTAAGGCAGCACTTTTGTAGGGGGTGAGAAATCACTAGAGTATACCGAAAATCTGAAACAAATACAATTTCAGGAAATTTAATCAAGTCAGAGCTACACAAATCAATTCTTAGTTCTATATTTATTTTATATTAGGATTATATAACTATCTAATGAAATTATTAGCTTGATATCTATCTTGAAAGCGATATTCTCTTAAAAATATTGGATAAGCAGCATGCACAATGTAACGAGTCATATAGAAATAAACTAGTATTTTTGATGCCTTGAAATAATGAATCTTTATCTATTGATGGGAGATTTTTGAAAAATCTTAACCAAGACTTAACGGTATCTATTAAAGAAAACAACATATAACAGTGATAAGTAAGAAGAGCAAAAAGACTAATGCCTGTAGCAAATGGGTCTTCATTACCAGTGAGACGATAGTAAACCATTGCAGCAAATGTAATTGCTTGACAAAAATAGACAAAAGCACACCCTAAACAGATTTCAACTCTCATATCTTTTGGATTAGTCGAATTAAGGTGATTTGACTTCAAGTTCTGATTTATTGATAAATTAAACTATCAAGTTAAAAGAAGATGGAAAGGAAAAGTAACAGGTAGTCAGAATTTTTTTGAAACAAGGAAAATTTCTTGTTTTATATAAAAAATATTTACAACACCACAAGATTATAAAACTAAAACATATGTGTAGTAATTAAGTCAATCATTATAGGTTTTTCTATTTTTAGAGAGATAGCGTTTAGTAATATTCTCTTTTAAAAGCTTACGTTTGTTATAATTGTTATGTATCAGAATATTTATTCATGGTATTATAAATAATTACCTAATTTTTAAACTATTGATTCACTACTTCAGTCCAGTTAAGTCTCAGGGTTACCACAAGAGAGTAATGGAAGATAATGCTGAAAATTATAAATAAAGATGAAATAAATCTAAATTCTGCTAATGAACCCTTGTCAAGCTTTCTAAAACGATTGTAAGCATCTTGACCCAAGCACAAAGCCATGATTCCAAACCAAAGAATGGACATAATACAAACAACTAAAGCATATCTATCATAAACACCAGTATAGCCATAAAAAAGCAACCAACATAAAAGACCAGCTGTAAGACCAATAACTAACTCAATGTCCCATGGTATATCACGAACTCTAGTAAAACTTTGAGCTACTTGATCTAAAGTTGGAAACAAAGCTGGTGAGATACTTTCCTCTTGATCGACTTTATCAATATTATCCAGCAAACCCATATCTTGTAATTAGCTTGATCAGATAATGATAAGTCTTCTTAGAAAGATCTATTTGGATAAGACATATATTAATTAAAACTCAGCGAACGAGAGGAAATAAATAGCTAAAAATAATCTGGGGGTAAAAAAAAGGATCTGGTGATACAATATATATGAAACACACATGAAACAAAATTATAAACTAGGATAATAAACGGGCATCACACTTATAATTTACGATTGACTTATTGAAATATAAGTCACAAGCACAAATTACGTAATGATATTTGCCGTTGAGTATTCTAAGATAATCAGTTTTGATCCTTTTGTTGGAATTGTGAAAACATCAAGCAGATTTGTTAACCAGAGCACAAAAAACTGACCAAGAATAGAGGGCTATTAAAATGAAAACAATAAGGTAAACAAAAGCTCTTGTTGGTATTGGACGATTTTCAAAAACAACCTCATGTGGTTTCTGAATGGCAACAAACCAAAAGCCTAAAGCAAGTAAACCAAACAGTAAAGTAGCAAGCAAACTAATAAATGAGCCGAAACCATCATAGTAACCAGTGACATTGTAGCAAAGAGTTCCAAGAAGTAAACCCATGAAAGGAGAAAATACTACCACAAATATCCAGTCAATCTTGAATTTGGGTTCTCTTATTTCTGTTAATTCTTCTAATGGATGATGCAAAGGAATAATTGGAGGTCTTAAGTTAACTCCAGATTGACGAACTTGATCTGGAAATGACATATCAATATATAAAGTGATGGATTACTATTATTAAAACGTGAAAGAGAAGAGTAAATGGTTATTTTAATATTTGGCAGCACGAAAAAATTATCAACAAAAAACCATTTACAACAACATATTTTAACGTAAATTAATGTAATACAATTTACAATAATACAACTAACAAAAACATTTAAACCTTTTAATGAGCTTATTATTACATATTAATTAAACGATTACTTTTAGGAATATGAGAATTGATTGATTCGAACATTATTAACCATAAGGAATCAATTTTAATTTAGCAGCCTTACAGCCTCTGCTTATTTTATAAACGGTGGAATAATGCATTTGATACAAATGCCCTCCAGGAATAACAGAATATAAGACCACAAAATGATGTTACTTCAGTCAATTGGATGCAGAGATCTGGAGAAACCCCACGATTAACGTTGATCCAACATATACAAGCATCCTTTCCAAAAGAGAAAGTTAAAACACCATAGTTCAAAGCTGATTGAAATAACAAGTTTCCAGACCATTGACTACTACTACCATAAAGACGACAATAGAGAGTAAGTAGAATTAAGAACATAAAATAGGAAAATAGAATACTAATCATAAACTTATGGAATAAGTCTAAATGTTCAGAGTGATGTGAATCAGGTTCTGTACCAGTTTCTGTAAAGGATTCTTCTTGATCAAGTTGATTTGGAAATGCCAGTTCTTCATCTCGAACATGATTAATTGAAGATATTTCAATGTTGGATTGATTGATTATCGTAAAGAGTTGAAAGGAAGAACCTGTTTTGGCAGCAGTCAAAAAAAAAAAAGATGACTTTTCATCCTCAAATCAACCAACACAGCACTTAAAAATTATAAAATGTGAAAACACCTATTTATCAGGACTTTTATAACTTAACAATGCATAATTGATATACCAGATTGATTCTTAGGTATTTGATAATTCATATTAGTGTATTAGTTCTTAGAATATTTAGTAAATCTGTTTTATACAGCTACTTCTTCACTGAAAATAACAATCTTTGTCTTTGAAAGTCACAAAAAACTTTGAGAAATCATTCAAGAACCACGAAAGTCAAAACCAATCAGTTTAACACTGCTTACTAAAGAAATTGTATAACTAAAGTATCAATGGTTCATTATTAATGATTTTAGCAGTCAATCCCAAATAGGCAATTGCTAGACACCTTTACACGACCTCTTTTTTGTATTGTTTGATAGCTCTCTCGTAAATTGACCCAATTAGGTAAACAAGATAACGCACTTTTTTTAAACCACAGTTTGCGATTACTTCAAGTCAAAAAGGTTTGAAAAATTCTTGGAGGAGGAGGTGGAGGATAACCAATCATTTCCATTACTAATCAGCCTCGCATCACTAATCGAATCAAGCATATCAATCTCATTGAAGATTATTTATGCAAGCTGTATCATTGATCAATCAATTCAACACAATACTCAATCCTTAGCAACCTGACCACAAAATGCCCGGGAATGCCACAAATTTCATACACGGTGCTGATGATATCGTTAGAGTACCAGATGTGGTACCACCAATCAATATCTCTACTACTTATAGATACAATTCTGATCCAAGTCAATTGGTTAAAGTAGCTGATAGAGGTGGATACGAAATCCTTAACAATCCATGGTATTCCCGATTATCCCATCCTAATTCAGAACAAATTGAAAATGCTGTTGCTAAAGTTACTGGTGGTTATGTTGTGGCTTATTCTTCAGGTCTTTCAGCTTTCTTTGCTCTTATGACTTATTATAATCCAAAAGTATTAAGTATTGGTAATGGTTATCATGGTGTTCATGGAATTGCTAATATATTTACTAGAAACAATGGATTAAAACAAATCTCCTTAGATGATGATTTTGAACAATTAAATGAAGGTGATATTGTTCATTTAGAAACTCCAGTTAATCCAGAAGGTATTAATTTTAATATCAAGGAATTCGCCGATAAAGCTCATGCTAGAGGTGCTATTTTACTGGTTGATGCTACATTTGCTCCACCACCATTACAAGATCCATTTAAATTTGGTGCTGATATAATCTTACATTCAGCTACTAAATTCTTTGGTGGTCATAGTGATTTGTTAGCTGGTTTTTTAATCACTAAATCGAAAGAAATTAGAGATGCGTTACTTAACGATAGACTTTTATTAGGTACTAATATTGCTAATTTAGAAAGTTCACTTCTTATCAGAGGTATTAGAACTTTAGATTTAAGAGTTCGTAAACAATCTGAAACTGCTAGTAAGATTGTTCATTATCTTGAAAATAACAAATCTAAATTCCCTGGTTTAACTAAAATTTATCATGGTTCTTTACAAACTGATGCTTATATAAAGGAACAATTACCAATTGGTCATTCACCAGTATTTTCAATTGAAGTTGAATCTGAAGTGTTTGCTAAGTATTTACCATCAAAATTAAAATATTTCTATCATGCTACTTCATTAGGTGGAGTTGAAAGTTTAATTGAATGGAGAGCATTAAGTGATCCAAGTGCTAATCCAGCTCTTTTAAGAGTTAGTATTGGGGTCGAAGATTATGAAGATTTACTTGAAGATTTCATTGAAGCCTTCACTGCCGCTAAACTTGAAGTTGCTTCATTAAAGTAGAGACCACAAATTGGATTTAAATTAGATTTCTATATATATGAAAAAATTCTCGTTACATACAAAATAAAATGCCGTTAGAATTTTCCTAATTCGGGTCCTCCGCGGAGATGTAAAACTTGCACAGAATACCTAAAATTCAACCTAAATTTAAACAGAAAAAGGGGAATGTAAAGTCTAAACCAATACTCACTAGTAAATGGTCATCAGTCAACCAAGAATATAACACCTTATCATTAACTTGTACAATTAATTTATGTCTGTATGGAAGCGCCTTTTTTAGCGCTTTAAAAAAAAAGAAATTCTCATTTTTTTTACCTCTCGTAAAAAAATTTTAAGATGAGGGCCGTTAGCCCCCTCACTAATCAGGATTTTTCACCTAATTATAAATAAGGACGAGATTTCCCATTTCTCCATTGTTACAATTATTATTTTGCAAAGAGTCTTGTGACAGATAGTATCAATTGGATTACTTGAAGAAGAAGAAATATAACTTAGCAACCATGGCCAAATACGAATGTTCTGAACATATGCATAGTTTCTTAAAGGAATTACCAAAATGTGAACATCATGTTCATTTAGAAGGTACTTTAGAACCATCATTATTATTCAATTTAGCTAAGAGAAATGCTATTACTTTACCAACTCATTTTCCTCCTAGTGTTGAAGCTTGTAATGAAAGATACAATAGATTTACTGATTTACAAGATTTCTTAGATCATTACTATATTGGTATGAGTGTTTTAATTAAAGAAGCTGATTTCTATGATTTAGCCATGGAATATTTCACTAAGGCTCATTCTGATGGTTGTTTACATTCTGAAGTTTTCTTTGATCCTCAAGGTCATGTTGAAAGAGGTATCTCCATCGATACTGTGGTTGAAGGGTTTGATAGAGCTTGTAAAGAAGCTAATACTAGATTTGGTACTACCAATAAATTAATTATGTGTTTATTAAGACATTTACCTGCTTCATCTGGTTTACAAACCATTAATGATGCTCATAAATATTATGAATCTGGTATTATTCATGGTTTAGGTCTTGATTCTAGTGAAAAACCTTTCCCACCTCATTTATTCACTGATTGTTATCAAACTCTTAAAACTAAATTTCCTCAAGTTGGTTTAACTGCTCATGCTGGTGAAGAAGGTGATCATACTTTTGTTACCAATTCTCTTGATTTATTAAACGTCACTAGAATTGATCATGGTGTTAATTCTCAACATAGTGATGAATTAATGGAAAGATTAGCCGCTAATAGAACATTATTATCTTTATGTCCATTATCAAATGTTAAATTACAAGTGGTTAAAGATGTTTCTGAATTACCAATTGATAAGTTTTTCAACAACAACGTTCCTTTCTCTATCAATTCTGATGATCCAGCTTATTTCGGTGGTTATATCTTAGATAATTATATCACTGTTCATACCAGATTTGGTTTCAATGGTCTCCAATGGAAACAAATTGCCTTAAATGGTATTAACGGTTCTTGGTGTGATGAAGATAGAAAGACCGAATTAAGAAACTTGGTCGATGCTGTTCACACCAAGTATAAAGATTTAATCTAATCTCGTCAATACAATTGACTTTCTTGTAACATATTTCAACATATTATATAGACTCTTTTTTTATTATTGCATTTGCATTTTTGGGTGGTTATTAGCATATTCTCTACGGCATTACACATACAGATGAACATTTCATTATTCAACTAATTTATAATTTTTTAAATACACATAATTATATTATATTATATTAAAACCCAATTGTATATTATATATGTTTTAGTTTCTAGTCTATTTACGAAAACATCATAACCCCCCATTTAAGCTAAACTAATAGTATTAGCTTTCCCCTTAATCATATCTCTCCACCTATTATTTAAACAATTTAGATCCTTTTCTCTCCATACACTTTCAACCACTCTTCTAGCAATTTTAACACTTGCCAATTCTCTAATTCTTTCCATATCAATTAACCTACGAAGGACAAACCACCTTTGTTCTTCATTTTCAACCGCCACTATTCCCATGACAAATAATGGCCATAATAATGACATCGAGATTGGTAATGATTCAATCATAACCATTAACTTTTTGGTTATTTCCTTAACCTTTTTCATTCTTTTACTATAAACTTTTGGTAATTTACTAGTTTCTTCCATGATAGTGTTACCATTGGCATCTTTTCGACTATGATTCAAATAAAGATATTCTAAATCAATTCTGGCATGTAAGTATAATAAAGTAGCGAATTTCTTAATTTCAGAAATTTTTAAAATACTTTGTTGAGAATGATCATCTAATTCACTTAATTTTAAAAATTGATGTAAATTATTTAATTTAACTTCTAATTTATCACGTTCTTCTAATACATGATTTTGAAGTTTTATGAATTCAGGATCATTAATTTGATGAATTTCATAACTTTCATAAGAATCACCTAATTTTGAAATTTGATTTATAATGGAAATTAAATGTGGCGAAGCGCCAATGATTAAATCAATTCTTTCATCATCGTCATTCTTTAAATCTCTTAAGAAATCATCATCATCAACAATTTTATTTTGAAACCAGGCTGTTTCTCCCATAACTTCATGAGATATAAAATATCGTATAAAGAACTTAGCAATAGGAGTTATATTTGATCGAATGGAGAAATCTTTTAAAAATTCTTTGGCACCATTTAAATGAATTAACCATGAATCACCACAACTTGATGAAATATCAGTAAAACATAACATTAACACCGTAGCTAAAACTTCATCCCAATCATTTGATTTAGTTAATTGTTTTTCTTTAATTAATGATGGTAAAGTCAGCAAAATCTCTGAAGTGTAATTACGACATAAGTATTCAAATTTAGTATTCCCTAATAATGATAATTGTTTAGAAGCCACCGCCACTAAAGTTTTATAAAGTAATTCTGATTTTTGAGCTAATGGGACAAGTAAATAAAGGTATGGATTTAGATCAGAATTAACTCCCACTGTAGGAGCAGGAATTAATCCACTTTTACCTTCAATTCCTCTTGGATAACATATACAACCTGGACATATACCTTCAATGAAATAATTGAACACTTCATGTTCTAATTTAACATTATTTTGATAAAATTCGGGATTAAAGGGATTGATATTATTATTGGCGAATGTTCGACCGAAATATTCGTCGAAATTGAATGCTATTTCAAAATTATTTGGTATAGATGGTGTCACACTACTTGTTTCACTATATGAAGATGGAATAGTTGACTCCATGGAGATTTGATTTGGCGTGAAAGGTTCAGATGATAATAATAATGATGGCTCATCTTCAGGTTCAAGTTTAACCATAGGAGTATGCTGTTGTTGAATATAACCTGTCGGTACTGCCAATTGAGGATTATGAATAATTAAATTATTGGTATGATTTATACTCAATTGATTTATATGATTATCATTAACTGATATTATGATTTTCCTATCATTGACCTGATTAGTACCATTTATGCTATTATTATCAAATTCTGATTTGATAATTATATTAGTATCATTATACTTTTTCAATTGTAAATCATCTTTGGTTATCATATCGAATATTTTAGTAAAATCCTTATAAGTCGTGTTCAAGAATAAATTTCCATCATTTGAACTTTTAACCCATTTAACAGATTCATTATTTAATATCATTTCTGATAAGGTTAATAATTTTGATTCATTTGGTTCAAGATTTTGTTTTAAATGTTGTTGTCTTATTAATTTATTTTGTTTGGACCGACCAAATGAAATCCCCTTTGCTATGGCTTCATCTTCCCATAATAATTTAATCCCATAATTACAATCTAATCTCAATCGAGCACAATTATTACATTTAGGATGGAATTCATCACATTTAACTCTTCTCTTTTTACAAGTTAAACAACCACTCCTACTTCTTTTATCGAATTTTCTTGTTCTTTTAGGTTTTGGGGGATCATCGTGGGATGAATTTGAATTGATATCGTTAGCGATGACATTTTGTGAATTATCAGTTTCATTGTTATTATGTTGGGATAGATTTGAATCTAGTGGTTTTTGACTTGACATGAATAGATCTGAATTCCTATGAATGTTTCAAAAACTGGTATAATAAAAGACAATATTCGTTTATCTTGATAGGTAGATTTATGAAATATATCTCATATATAAACTAGATCGTCGTTTTAACTCAATTAAAACTCATAAAAAATAAGCTGAAATAAAAAAAAATAAATAAAGTATAATACAATACAACAAAAAAATAAATGTGTTAAATCTCAAAAAAATTATTAGTGTGGATAATAAGGAGATAAATACCTTAATTAAGGAACGTAACCTTGAAATGATAAATAGATTTAAAGTTAACTTTTAATCGAAAGATTTCCAGTCTTTGTGTATCACCTTTCATATATGATATGGAATAGATAATGTGAATGAAGGCCAATGTTGTATAAAGCCTAAAGTTTAACCAATTGTTAAAAAGCCTTGTCTTTCAGTCGTAGTCATTACCATGTTCTTGTGTGTGGTTTATCCCCCACTTTGAAATTAGTTATTTTTAGTATGTGAGGTGATTAATGTCATAATTTCATCGGAGATTTTTTCCCGTTGTCATTTGTTTCATGGACTGTACATAACAAAAGGGACATAATTAACGACAAATGGTAAGACAACAATATGAATTAATAATAAGGCAATGATGATTCGGATGACATCGAAGCTTAAAGAATAAGATGTTAATTATGATTATAATTATATGATAATTAATCATCGATTATGGAATTCCTAATTGATTTGAATTGAATGGATAATTAGTAAGATGAGCTGTTTTCCATGGACCTTATAGTTTAATAACTATAAATAGTTAACACTATCACGTAGATATCCCAGATTTGATGATGTCGGTCAATGAATATGACAATTATCTTGAAGTTTGATTGATTTGAAATTGTTTGTATATTTTCTTTCAAATCTTTCCTGGTGCCATTTTACGTTAGTAAAGACAATCAAGCAGCAACGGCATCGCTTGAAACCAAGAATGACGAAGATTGAAGAATCAATCAATCTAATTAGACCACAAATTGAACACCGATCACTTAATTATATTCATTGATTATTAAATTGTTGTGATGTGGATTCATTGCTTAGATTGTTGTTATCACTTTTTTTGACTGCCAAATTTGAAGATCAAACTTTTCCATCGATATGAACTTAATCCATCAATCAATTGTCAATGATCTATATCAGAGATCATTACAGTAGATACTTAACATACTATAATCCTCATATACCATCACTTCTACTCCTTATTTCTTGATAATTCCTTTATTTACAGCCCATTTTTAGTTTTTAGGAATTGGCTGTAATTTTATACACTTTTTTATATATTTTTTTTCTTTGTTTTCCCTGATTTAGATTTTGTAGGGAGACAAAATGTAAATTGTGCGTGGTGAGAAAATTAAAATTAGTGGAGGTGGTATCGATATGTGGCAAAGAACAAGACACCGTAAATGAAATATTAACTTTTTAAGTTTGTAACGTTAGGAAATAGTTTAGATGTAATTCTTAACATGGTTCATTTAAGAGATTTTGTAAACATTCTCATTAGTATGTACTATAATCTTATCCCTATTAAATGGCCAAGTTGTAGAGAATTATACATTAATTTTATCTTTCAATTACTCCCATGAGATTGATGGAAAACTGAAAAGAAGTCCGATCGTAAACACACAAGAAAAGGGGAAATCATAACAATGAAGGTCGAAATGATAACTACAATGGAAAGATAATCATAATCATAAATGCATGAACTATCTTTTCATTGGTTTAAATTGATTTTACGTAAAGTATAAACGACGGTGGTTTAAACAATCACAACCCTTTTCTGCTTATGCTTCAATGACGTCCCTCTCTCTCCCTCCTTTCCTCAGTGCGCTAGGGACAAAAATTTCAATTATGAGTTAATTGTAATCGATAAAACCGTTTATGACCGATTAGCCACGCCAAATCTTAATCTTAATATGGCATCAATTAATTAATCAATTCATCGTCAATCTATGATAGCTACATCTGATAATATTATATTATTTACCAATGGCTTAAACTTTCATCAATGGCATTACACCGAAGTGGTGGGGGGGGGAATTTATTTGTGAGACTTACATTTACGCTACCGTCACCACAGGCGGATCTACGTTTTTTCATCACCCTTGAAAATAACAAAATTTGACAGTTGCTAACGATGAAAGTTTAAATTGAGGTTATTATTCGAATTTAGTCTTATTTATGTACGTTTCAACCTTATCATTTAAAGTTGGATGAACACGCTTTACAATTCCGGTTTTTAAAATTGATTCCAATGCCGAAAAGACAATGGGCTAAGCTTTTTCTAACAAAATTTTGTATAGACATTTATTGAATAATCGATATAATTTATGAGTGAAATTATTAAAATAAAAAAATAACTCTCTATCGAGACAAACTTATAAATAAGATAAAAAGAACTAAAACACTAAAATATTCATAAACTCAAAGCTTGGGTTGGGGTATCATAAACGTATTATTTATCATCATTAATTTAACTCCAGAAATCACTAAGGTTAGCACCTCCACCATTAAATGCTAAAGCATTTGGAGATCCAGCATCTAATCCAGTAATTAAACCTTTAGTACTATATTTAATTAATTTTGATTTCAATGTGGCTGGATCTAATAATCCAGTAGCATATTCAGAAGTTTGTTCAGGATATAAGGATAAGTAATAAGATAATAAACCAGTAATATGAGGAGCAGCCATGGAAGTACCTGACATAACAGTAGTATCACTCCAAATAAAAGTAGATTCAATATCAACACCAGGAGCAAAAATATCAACCGCTTTACCCCAATTTGAAAATTCAGCTTTTCTATCCAGGGAATCAGTGGCACCAACAGTAATTGGACCAGAAGCTCTAGCAGGTGAAACCAAGGAAGCATCTTGATTTTCATTACCAGCAGCAACTGATAAATGTAAACCAGCTTTAACAGCAGCATTAGCAGCTAAGTCTAATGCATCAGAAGCACCACCACCAATTGACATATTAACAGTAGAACCTTTGAAGCCTTTTTTACTTTTAGCATTATTTTGATGATCTAAAACAGCAAATTCAATACCTTTAATAATATCTGAAGTAGTACCACTACCTAAAAAGTTCATAACACCAACAGCGACTAATTCAACTTGTTTAGCAATACCATAAGTTTTTGAACCAATAGTACCAGCACAATGAGTTCCATGACCATGACCATCAATTTTTAAATTTGGGAAAGCAACAGCAGAACCCCAAGTAGCTCTATTTTCAAATTCTTCATGTTCAATTTTAATACCAGTATCAATAACATAAGCAACAACCCCTTTACCACCATCATTATCATAAAGGTAGTCTAATTTTGGACTTAATTCACGATGACTGATTCTACTTAAACCCCAAGTAACATCTTTTTGAACTTCAAATTCATTAACTTTAAAAACCGAATCTGGTTCAATAAATTTAATACGGGAATCTTGTTGAATTAATGAAACTAATTCAGGAGTTAAATAACCAAAATAACCACTAAAGTTGTTATCTAAGAAATCAAAATAATCTAAATTAACCTTCTTAGCATCTAATTTATCACTGGTATTGAAAATATCAATGGTATTTTGAATCCAAATTTGATGATGTTGTTTATCTTCAGCAGTTAATTCATCTTTATAAACGACAATATATCTATTTGGAATGATTTGTTTCTTACCATTGTCAGAGTTAACAATAGGAGCCAAGTTGAATAAATGATCATCTTTATGTTCAACCCCAAGTAATGGATGTTGTTGGATTAAATCCTTTGCCCCTTGACCTGTTTTAGATAAGAGTTCAAAGCTGAATAAAGATTGAAGGTCTGGAATGACTAACCCATTAGCAGTCATCAGACATGCTGCCAATATGGTGATTAAGGTTTTAACATACATCTTGAAGTGGTTGATTGAAGTAAGTTAAGATCTTGAAGAAAGAAGAAGATGGAAGAAGATGAAGATGATAAATTGGAGTCTGTGAATTTTGAGTAGTAGATGCGCCCCCTCCCTCTTTGTTTTCTTGGGGTTTCTCTTTTGTGGTAGTGAGAGGAGTCATTTGATGTTTTCACGCACACGTCCTTTAACCACATTAAAAAAGCCATAGTTTTAAGAGATACATTGTAGCCATTTCCTTTATTTATAAGTTGATTATCTTCATTTTGATAATTAGACCATATCACATAATCTTCATCTATAACTTTAACAGTTTAAATTGAATTATAACTAGTAAAACTGATGATAATAGGTCCAATTCAATATGGTCTAGAATTACATCATTATCGAAGGTCGTGTGAGGGTGACTGATGATAAGAAAAAAAAGCAATTTTTAATGAGAAAAAGAATTTGCGACAAAATAATGTCGAAAGTCTTGGAAGAAAATAAAGAATCAAAAATGACACAAGAAATGACAATTCGAAATGACATGACGAACCAGAAGAAGGAGACAAAAAGAAAAACATTTAATAATTAGACATTGGAATTAGATATTGGTAATCATTATATCTTTTCAACTTAGATACATATTATCACTTCATAGTCATTGTATACTACAATTGAACAAGCAGAATAGTTTCCAAACCTTTTACATAGATTCATTCATAGACAAGTACAAAGCTTTCATAGACCTATTATAATAATACTACAACATCAGTTACCATGTCACAGTCATCAAGGAAGAAATTATTGTTAATGGGCCGTTCTGGTTCTGGTAAATCATCTATGAGATCGATGATATTCTCCAATTATAGTGCATTTGATACCAGAAGATTGGGTGCCACCATAGATGTTGAACATAGTCATTTAAGATTTTTAGGTAATATGACGTTAAATTTATGGGATTGTGGTGGTCAAGATGTATTTATGGATAATTATTTCACGAATCAAAAGGATCATATTTTTAAAATGGTTCAAGTTTTAATTCATGTGTTTGATGTTGAATCGAAATCTATAAATAAAGATATTGAAATCTTTATTAAAGCATTGACAAATTTACAAAAATATAGTCCTGGTGCTAAAATCTTTGTATTATTACATAAAATGGATTTAGTTCAAATTGATAAACGAGAAGAATTATTCACTATTATGATGGATAAATTACAAAAGATTTCTAATCCTTATCAATTTAAATTAATTGGTTTCCCAACTTCAATTTGGGATGAAAGTTTATACAAAGCGTGGTCACAAATTGTTTGTTCATTAATTCCAAATATGAATCTTTTAAATAATAATTTGTTAAAATTAAATCAAATCTTAGATTCAGAAGAAATCATCTTATTTGAAAAATCAACATTTTTAGTAATCTCATCAACAGCAAGTATACAACAACAAAATTTGGATTCTCTTGAATCAACCCATATCACTCCAAATGAAGAATTAGATCCAAAGAGATTTGCAAAGATATCAAGTATCATAAAGACATATAAACAATCAATTACAAAATTAAGATCAAACTTTACTAATTTGATTATAAGAGGTAGTAAGGGAGCTCATTTTTATATTGATGTGTTAACTGATAATATGTTCATCATGATTGTATTAAGAGATAATACTGGTAAAGAAGGAAATGATTCAAGTAATCAACCTCAACATGAAGAATTATTGATTTTAAATAATATCAAATCCGCCAGGAAATGGTTTGAAAAGATTGAAAATTCAGGAGGTGTTTAGATGGGAGAAGTTGTTAATATTTATTTATTTATTTTATGTAATTTGCACTGTTTGAACTGTTTGATTCAAACCTTTATTAATATAATATGCTTTTAATAATAGTAAATTGAATCTGTCCGCCTTTATAAGTCACGATCTTCAAGTCACATGACTATTTTTATTTCCTAATTCGACGCGTTGATCGTTTAAGCATAACAAGTTTTATACGATGGAAAATTTTAACACACAGTGTGTAAAAAATCAAATTTAATTTTAACATAACAACCACGAGCTGTCAACCAAGGTCAATTACACATCCTTTTTCTATATTTGTTAAGGTCAATTGATATCAATTCGATTATAAGAATTCATCCCGTGATATTGTTTATAGAATTATAAAGATGAGTAAGAAAATCGTGGACTTATTAACTCATCCAACTGAGTTAAGATCAGTGATTCAATTGTTTTATTTCAGACAACCATTACATATCCCACCACCTCAATCAGAAAACTTAAAGAGATGTTATTACATCTTGAATTGGACTTCTAGATCGTTTGTAGCTGTGATCCAAGAATTACATCCTGAATTAAGAGATGTTATTCTGATCTTTTATCTTGTTTTAAGAGCCTTGGATACGGTTGAAGATGATATGACTTTAGATCCAGCTGTTAAAATCCCATTATTAAGAACCTTTTATGAAAAATTAGATTTAGAAGCTTGGAATTTTGATGGTAGTGGACCAAATGAAAAGGATAGAATTGTCTTAGTTGAATTTGATAAAGTTTTAATTGAATATCATAACTTAAAACCAGAATATCAAGAAGTTATTAAAGATATTACTGAAAAAATGGGTAACGGTATGGCTGATTATATCTTGGATGAAAATTTCAATCTTAATGGTGTTGCCACCATTAAAGATTATGATTTATATTGTCATTATGTTGCAGGATTAGTTGGTGAAGGCTTAACTAAATTAATGTACTTGGCTAAATTTTCTGATAAAGCAACTATTGAAGATAATTTTGTTAAATCAAATTCCATGGGCTTATTCTTACAAAAGACCAATATTATTAGAGATTATAATGAAGATTTAGAAGATGGTAGATCTTTCTGGCCAAAAGAAATTTGGTCAAAATATACTGATAAATTACCTTCTTTCCGTGATGATACATCACCAGAATCCGAATTCCAAGGTTTAAGTTGTATTAATGATTTAGTCTTAAATACTTTAGATCATGCTAAAGATGTATTAAGATTCCTTGCTTTAGTTAAAGATCCATCCACTTTTAATTTCTGTGCTATTCCTCAAGTTATGGCTGTAGCTACATTAGCTGAAGTTTATAATAATCCAAATATTTTCCATAAAGTGGTTAAAATCAGAAAAGGTACTACATGTCAATTAATGTTAGAAAGTAGAACTTATCCTGGTGTGGTAAGAATCTTTAGAAAATATATTCAAATCATAAATCATAAATCAAATGTTAAAGATCCAAATTATTTTAAAATCGGTATTAAATGTGGTGAAATTGAACAATTTTGTGAAAGTTTATATCCTGATGTCAAACTGTTACCAAAAGGTTTAACTCCTGCTGTCAATGAATTAACTGATGTTCTTAAAGTTAGAGAATCAATTGATAAGAGCATGCAAAGAAGAAGCGATCAAGAACTTTTTAATACCAATGTCACTATATTAGCTATATTGACTATAACATTTGGTATTCTCTACAAACTTGTATATTAAATTCCATCGTGAAAAAGACTTATTAACAATAATCAAATCAAATTTAAAATTTATAAAAAGAGACGTCACTAGGACACTTGTTTTACAGAGTTTATATAAAAATAAATCATTCATAAACTTTTCTTAGCCTCATTTGTAGTCATTATTAGAACTTATTCCAAGTTCATACTGGTCAATGTTTCAGAATTGTAACAGTATGCACAGTGGTTGTAAATTCAACTTTTCTCGTCCCTAATTAATTCTCAATTGGGTATTTTTGTTGCTGCTCCCCCCTCCCCCGCGAACCCCTATAAAATATATTTAACCGTTAACAGATCCTTTATGGAACTATCTTGCTTCAACCAACTACAACTTACTTTAACGACCATCCATCTAACGACCATCGAACCAAAGATGTCTACTGCTGCCCATACAGAGGAAACAGCTCTTGCAACAACAACAGCTCTAGTACCCACAATTGATGAGGTAAAGTTTCATATAAGAATCATCGATTGGTCCTTGGATTATTATAATGAACTTGGAGAAGATAGACTCAGCACTCCTATAATATTACAAGACATCAATGGTCCATGTCCTTTGATTGCTCTTATCAATACTCTTCTGATCACTTATGAACTTAAGTTGAAAGATATCGCCATCAATTCCTTACAAAGTCATGGTGAGAAAGATGATGAGAAATTGGTGGCATTGAAAGAATTCAAATCATTATTGACGAAACAAGAAGCTAAAAGTGGATTCATTGAATTGAAGACTTTATTAAGTCAATTGGGAGATCTTATTTTAGTGTATAACAATGAAAAACATATCGATGATCAAGATGGAATCGATAAGATTTTATCAAATTTACCTATTTTACATACTGGATTATCGGTTAATCCTAATTTAATCAATGGAGATTTCGTTCAACATGATTTAGCATCACGATTATTTGAATTATTTGACCTCAAATTCAAACATGGATGGATTATAAATCAAATTGAAAGTGAAAATGAAGAGAATTGGAATGTAAGTCATGCTCATATTGAACCTCCAGACGGTTCTTCGGAAGAATTGGAGGTACCACCCATTGAAGATAATTATGCTAAATTAATCACACTATTCAATGAATTACAATCATTTGATGAGATTCAAGATTATTTATTGATTGATGAAGATGAAGGTATTGAAAAATTACAAAATCAAAGATTAATTAATAAATGGTTAGATTTGAATAAAACTCAATTAACTCCAATTGGATTAACTCGATTAAATCAAGAAATTGTTCCTGAAGAAGCCATCATATTCTTCAGAAATAATCATTTCAATACGTTATTCAAAAAAGGTGATAAAGATATGTATTTATTAATCACTGATACTTCATTCAATAATAAATCGAATAAAATCGTTTGGCAATCATTTAATTCTGTTAGTGGTAAAGATGATTTATTCTTTAGTGGAGATTTCTTACCTATACTTGAATTGGATGCTAATATCAATGATGAAGGGTATAATGATAATGATTATTTGTTATTGAAACAATTACAAGAGGAAGAAGATGAACAATTGGCAAAACAAATGCAACAAGTATATACTAGAAAAGTAAGTGATTCGAACCAAAGCAAGAACAAAAATAGTAAGGATAAAAAGAGTAAAGATAAAAAATCAAAGCCAAAAAAGGTTGAACAGGAGTTACTTATTCAACCTTCTACCTCAAATCAAGGTGCTACACCTAATCAAGCTCCATCAAGTTCAACTAAAAGCAATCCCATTAAAGCTGGAAAGGCAGACAATAAAAAATCAGGTTGTATAATTGTATAAATAGACTTTATATTAATATGACTTAACTATACATGTTTATTTTCATTTTTCTATACTACAAAAGGGTTTATTCCTCATCTTCAAAGTCATCAACTTCTCCATTTGTTTTTGGAGCAGTAGCAGTAGTTGATTGTTCACCAGTTTCTTCCTCTTCATCATCTTCTTCATCATCATCACCACCATATTCCACTGGATCGAATTCTGATCTGATAGTATCCATTTTTTCAAGTTCATTAGTGGTTGGTTCTCTTAATTTGAAATTAATACCATCTAAAGTACTTTCTCTTAAAAATCTATTAATTTCAGTATTTGCAACAGGTCTATATTTTCTTAAATCAATCTTACCATTAAGAGGATAATAATAAGCCAATTTTCTTCTTTTATGTTTATTTTCACTATTACCTTGTTCTTCTTCATCGGGAACAAATTTAATCGAAATTTCTTTACGATCATCATCTTCATCAAATCTATCAAAATGCATATCATAATTCTTAACATATTTAAAATCATAATTCTCAATGGTAGTATCATCTTCATCTAAAAGATTGATTGGTTTTTCACGTTCAGTAGAATGTAAATGAGATTTTAATTTTTCATGTTGATTATTATGATTATTTAATTGAAATAATGAAATCCATTCACCATCATCAGAAGTAATAGGTTTTAAAATACTGGTATCAGTGATATTTTGATGTAATTTTTCATTAAATTTTGAACCTTGCTTTTGCTTTAAAGTTTGTAATTCACGAGTTAATGAAGCAGATCCAATGAATTTAACATTATAAAATTTAGTATCCATCATTGAAGTATCAGGTAATAATTGCCAAGTTGAAACTGCCTTTAAATTCTTTTTACGAGGATGTTTTAATTTATCCAAATTATATAATGTATCTCTAGCTGCTTCAAATGTATCTTCCACTGCTTTTAATTGAGCATCAGCATCTAATTTTTCAGGTTCTTTACTCTTTTGTCTTGATGATGATTCTGATTTCAACAGTCCTCGTTCAGCAATATATTCAGTTCTTCTTAAAAATGATACACCAGGTTCAGTTTTAATAATAGTACTAATCCCAGCATCTCTTAATAATTCACGATCTTTAGGATGTAATATAACTGGTTTGGTTTTATCTTCATTATTAGGTAAATTATTTATCACACTATCATTATCATCATCTAAGAATCCTCTATTATTAATAAGATTCAAATTCATTCCTAATTCATCATCAATAGCTTCGATTAAATTTATAAAATTATCCTTTCTAAATAATGATGCTAATAAATTTTGACCTTCTTGTTTATTATTCTTTGGTTTAGTAGTATTATATTGAATGAATTTAGGGTTTAAAGGAGGTGGAGGTAAGTTGTTGGTATATCTGATTTTGGCAATATAATCCTGCCTTATAGGCTTATGTTGTTTCTCAGACATGATGGTGTTTGGTATATGATTGATTGATGATAGTTAGATGATATCTACCGCTTGATGTAAACTGTCTTTTAACTTCTGGTTGATTGAAAAAGTTTTGTTCAAAATAAATGTCGTGCGCAAGTTCAAAATCAAGAAAAAGTTGTATGGATGTTTCCTTCATTAGTTACATATTCGTTAATCTACAGATCAACTAGGAGTAAATAACTAATTATGATTTGTTATATTATCTATATAAGATCTAGTAAATACTATTCAATAGTACTACACAGTTTAAAAAACTTGATTCAAAACCAAACACGCTTAAGCGAATTTAGTAATGGTTTTGTAAAAATCATGACCTTGAGTCTTTGCAATTGATTTTTCAATATCAGTAACTTTTCTTTGTCCATCATGACCGGCATAAGTACCAGCTCCCCAAAGAGAACCACCTTGAATACCATTATCGAAAGAACCTTGGGCTGGGTTAGCGAAACCTAATGGAACGAAAGCAATACCATGATGAGTTAAAGTGGATAAAGTATTGATAACAGTGGCTTCTTGACCACCACCTGGAGAACCAGTGGAGACGAAAACACCAGCGAATTTACCTTTTAAAGCACCTTTAGCCCATAATGGACCAGTAGAATCCCAGAAGGATTTCCATTGGGCTGGGAAGTTACCGAATCTGGTTGGAACACCAAAGACAAAAGCATCATATTGTTCTAAAGTTTCTAAAGTAGCAATTGGAACATCTGGTCTTGCAGGAGCATGTAAGATTTTTAAAATATCTTCACTTAAAGTTTCTGGAACTTGATAAATATCAGCAACACCACCAGCTTCTTCGACACCTTCTTTAACTTCGGTGGCTAAGGTGGAGATATGGTGATATAAGGAGTAAATAATAATAGCAACTTTTGGAGCAGCCATTTTGAATTGATTGATTTAGTTAGTTGATTAATTTAAAACAACCAAATCGACAATAAAATAGAGATGAAATTACTATTTATATTTATAGAGAAATCAATCAGTTATTGCAAAAAAAGCCTTTGTGTGGCACCACCTAAATTAAAACTAAACGCCCAAAATAGTAAATCGACAACGACCAGAAAAATAGGTCGGAAATAAAAAAAAAAAAATTTACTTCTTACATATAAATTACTAAGATGAAAGTTGAACTATAACAGATGAAACAAGAGAATGTATAGTGGTATTATGTATCTGTTATGAATTATCACGATCCGACCCGCGGACTTTAGCGGACAGTTCAATTTTTGGATTACAAACGAAAAAAATTAAAAGCCTAAAAAAGCTTAGCATAATTAACTATAGAAATGTAATGTAATTAACCTACTGTGGAACTACGAGGAGGGGGGGTGGATCGTTTAAAAGGAGACTCACCGGTAGATTATGTATGTAAAGATGTTGGCTGTACTTTTAGCTTTACTAAAGATGATAAATCAAATATACCGTATTATAAACATCTGGTCTCATTCCTCTCTCTCTCTCTCCAAAATATTAAGTAATCGGCTATAGCAAATGCTTAGAATCGATGTCGAATCATTAATTAACTACTAACCCATCCTAACAATGAATACTAAAATAATTTTTTATAGTCGACCCCCCAAATTAAAAGCTTTAACGCTGAGCGGAAAAACCTCCCCCCTAAAAAAATAAAGAAAGAAAGAAATGTAAACAAAAGAAAAGAAAAATACAATTTCAACTTTCCCTGGGGGGGCATCTTGAAATTTATTTATTATGGGGTTCATTTCAATTGATCTTACAAAATCTGGATTATTTCAAAAGTTAAATCATATTAATATATAGTAAGAAACACCAGAAGACACATAAGAAAGTATAACAAACAAAGCAATCATCTAAGATCTAAAAGTTGTGAGAAAGTAAACATGCAAAAATGAATAAATGAATAAATAAATAATAAGGAAGAACAATTCCTCTAATTTCTAAACTTAGTGATGGTCTTATAGAATTCTGAACCTTGAGTTTGAGCAATTGATTTTTCAATATCAGTAACTTGTCTTGAACCATCATGACCGGCAAAAGTACCAGCTCCCCAAAGAGAACCACCTTGAATACCATTTTCAAATGAACCTTGAGCTGGGTTAGCGAAACCTAATGGAACAAATGGCATACCATGATGAGTTAAAGTAGATAAAGTATTGATAACAGTGGTTTCTTGACCACCACCTGGAGAACCAGTAGAAACGAAAACACCAGCAAATTTCCCTCTTAAAGCTCCTTTAGCCCATAATGAACCAGTACCATCCCAAAATGATTTCCATTGGGTTGGCATATTACCATATCTAGTTGGAATACCAAATAAGAAAGAATCATAATCTTTTAAAGTATCTAAAGTTGCAATAGGGAAATCAGGTTTTGGAGGAGCATGTAAGATTTTTAAGACATCATCATTTAAAGTTTCAGGAACTTGAAATAAATCAGCTACACCACCAGCAGCTTCAACTCCAACTTTAGCTTCTTTAGCTAAAGTTGCAACGTGATGATATAATGAATAAACGATAATAGCAGTTCTTGGATTTGACATTGTGAGTAATTATGTATGAGTTAATTGGAATAGATAAGAAGAATAAATCGAAATTGAAAAATTAAAGATGGAATTTTAAATTATATTTATATTAAAAAGTCTACAAATAGAAATAAACATATTTGATATACCATTAGGAATAAATAAATACCAAGAAATTGACTATAATGTAATAAATTACATAAAAATATTGCTATCTTCAAGACGCAAATTTCTGTTGTTTCCTACCCTCATCAAAAATTATAAACGAAAATTTAATAATGCGCTTAACTATGAAGAAATGTTCTATTTTTGTGTAATCAAGTTTTACAAATTAATTTGTAATGGAGTTACATGCAGGACCATTTGCTTATTTATTTATTTCTTTCTTTTTTATTATTAAGGAAAGACTAAAATGACTGAAATGAATCAATGTCAATTTGGTAATTAAAGTTATCATGATGATTCAATGATTACATAGTCATACTGTCATAGTCAAACTGTCATACCGTCACCTCCTTGCTCATCTCATCTCATCTCATCTCACACTTCAAATCATCTTACTTCGTTACTGTTCTTGGTAAATAACTGTCAATCGGATTAATTGTTCGTGTCGAGCTCCGTCCGGATCGTTTTTTTCTCTAATTAACTACGGGGTCTTGTGATCCCCCACGCATTTTTCTCCTCCACTCATCATAAATACTATTTTTCTCTATAAACTATCACCTGTCTTAATAATGGTATGTAAAGTCTAGAGTTTTCTCTAGTTTTATTATGTTAGAAATGGTCTGATTCTGATAATAACATATACAGAATAGTACCATCTTGTATGATTTCATTAATATTGAACACAATACCTATTTTAATCTTAATGAGGATACAAACGCCGACTTATCACCTAATTTCCGTAATATTTCCATTTAAAATATGAAAATTGGTTTTTGCAATATTTTCTGTCAATAATTTTAGTAACAATTTTTTGAATGTAGAGTTAATACATTTTAATAACGATAGAATATGTTCCGTTCGAATAAGGATATAAGGGGTAATAACATCCCACTTTCCTCCTCCGATTCCTGTTTAATCAGATTTGGTTAATGTGAAACCATATGTTCATCTCAACCGTCAATAAATGAGATCTAAAATAAAATATGAACCACGATTTTCAATCAAAGTGAATATTCTTTCATCAATCCATTTATCATATTATTCCCTTTAACAAACCATAACTTAATCATAATTCTATATCACGAATGATATCATATTCAATGTAACATCAACCTAAATGTACATAATCTAGGTAAAGATCTACTTTGTATGCATGATCTTAAGTGCCATGAGAAGTTTAAATTTTTGATTAAAGATGAATACGATAGGAAAGTATCTTATTCGTAGATAAGAAATATAAGTTTAATGTTCAATTTATCATTTTGTCATGTATAACCAACGATCTACCAAATAAGAAATACTTTAAACGGGGTATTGTTTAAGATATACGAACAAGTATAAAATTTAATTGTATAATGAAATCACGTGAAAATGAAGAATTGAATCTCTCGTAAATTATTTAGTAATCTTCATTCATCACAAACAGAAAAAGTAAAAAAAGTAAAAAATTAACTCTATTTGAAATTACAACCATCTTTAAATTCATTTAAGGTTTTAAAGTTGTTGGAATAACCGGATTGGATAGTGTTACTTTTATCATAGTGTATAGTTGATTACACTGACGTATAGAGTCAAAAAAAAATGCAATAACACCATTATAAATCAAATTCAACTCAAATCTCCTTATCACTCGCTCACTAAAAGCATGGTCTTTTCAGATAAGAATATGATAGATATAAAACAAGATGCTATAAGCATACGGCAACAACAAGAACCACATCCAGAACCTCCCTCACAAGTAGATAAGGCTGCCATCTATATTCAAAATAACCAACATAAATACCCTCCAGATATCACTGAAGAAGATGAATCTAAAATCATTCGAAAATTAGATTTCATCCTTATACCGATACTATTCTTTACATCAACTATGGGGGCAGTAGATAAAGTCTCATTATCAACTGCGGCTATATATGGATTTGTCGAAGATACAAATTTAAAAGGTCAACAATTCTCCTGGTTAGGATCAATCTTGTTTATTGGATCTTTATGTGGAATGATACCGATGTCATATATATTACTGAAATATCCTCTTGGGAAAGTGTTGGCTGTATCATCGTTATTATGGAGTGGATTCACGTTATTATTATGTACATGTCAGAATTTCACTGAATTAGCTATCTTAAGATTCTTAATGGGATTTTTCGAATGTGTTATTGTGCCGGGATGTACATTAATCGTGGGGAGATTTTATCAAAAGCAAGAACAAGGTATTCGATTATCTTTCATATTGGCATTTGCATCATCTGTTATAAATGGGTTTTTATCATGGTTAGTGGGATATTTCAATTCTCTGATTCCAGCTTGGAAATTATTATATTTATTAGTCGGTGGAATATCATTTCTTTGGAGTTTATTGATGATTTATTATTTACCCGATTCACCTATGAATTGTAAGTTTTTAAATGATCGGGAAAAATTCTATATCACGAAAAGAGTCCTTATCAATAAGACAGGAGTAGAAATAAATGATTTTAAATGGGGTCAAATCAAAGAATCATTCCTTGATGTAAAGACATATATGATATTTTTCTTTAATATCGGGATTAATATACCTAATGGAGGATTATCAACCTTCACCACCATAATCATAAATAATCTCGGATTCAACCCAATGCATTCTTCATTAATGACGATCCCAACCGGTGTGATCGCCACGATCGCCACCATATTCTTCAATTGGTTATGTACGAAATTAGATAATAGAAGGTGTTGTGTCGCCTGTGCATCATTGTTAGTTCCTATTATTGGATCAAGTATCCTTTATGGCTGTGATAGATCCCTGATTGCACCTCAATTGGTAGGACTTTATTTATTGTATTTCTATTTCGCCCCTTATGTGATCCTTATATCATTAGCCCAAGCCAATTCAGCAGGGAATACCAAGAAATCAACTGTTTATTCAATCAATTATACCGGATATTGTATTGGGGCATTAATTGGTCCTCAAACTTTCCGAGCTAATCAATCTCCAACATATACGGGTGGGTTCATTGCAATGTTGGTGTCGTTTTGTTTTTGTATTGTTATGACAGGAAGTTATTGTTTAACATGTAAATATGAAAATAGGAAAAAGGAAAGGGAATTGAAACAGAACAATAATGAGGATGAAAAGAGTCATGTACCAGTCATTACAGATAAAGAGATTCAAAAGCATAGCGATCATACTAGATCTTATTCAGTTGAGAATAGTTCAGAAGATGAATATTTCTATGATTTAACTGATAAACAACAAAAATATTTTAGATATACTACATAAACGGTGGAGGTTCGTATAAGTTTTTTTATTTCATTTATATAGGTTTTTTAAATACACATACATATTGGCATTAACATAAGTTTGTTTAATCCTTGTATAAGGTTGGATCTTGTCCACCCCAGGTTAAAACTTCTTTGGATTCTGGTTTATCCAATGCTTCCAATACATCCAATGGTAATGAGACTACTCCTAAGTTAGCGGATTCTTCATCATCATCTTTAGCATCTGGTAATACATCCAAATTTTGTTTAATTCTTTCAAATTTTTCAGTTTTAGCTAAAACGATAAAACCTTGTAAATAAGACCATTTTAATAAAATTTCAATTTTTGGAATTCCTGATTTCTTTTCTAAACTTAATAATTCGGGATCATCTAATTTATATCCTTGAGTTAATGGAGAATAAGCTTCTAATAAAATATCATGTTTATAAGAATATTCTCTTAAATCCAATCTTGGTAACCATGGATGTAATTCAACTTGATTCACCACTGGTTTAATCTTAAATCCTTCCCAAGCGAATAATTCATCAATATGAGAAACCCCGAAATTTGAAACCCCAATAGATTTAACTGGAATGATTTTATTATTAGGATTTTCCACTAATTCTTGTAAAGCTTTCCAAGATCCTAATCTTAAAGCCTTAGAAGTCTTTGGAGAATGAAGTAAAATCAAATCAACATATTGAATATGTTTCTTAACCAAATCAGCAATATCTTGAACTTGTTCTAAAGTAGGTTCATACCCATGAGCTTCATTGGTAATCTTAGTAGTAAACCAAATATCTTCTCTTTTAACGTGAGGGTAATCCTTAAGGAATTCAGCAATTCCTTCAGCACATTCTTCTTGATTTCTGTAATAAACAGCACTATCAATGTGTCTATAACCATCCTTTAAAGCTTGATAGGTTAAAGCTTTAGCTTTTCCCTTTGGAAGTAAATAAGCTCCATAACCAGCTACAGGGATATGTAAACCGTTGTTTAATTTATAAGTTGATTTCTTGGTCAATTGAATAGATGAAGTAAGATTCGACATGATTGATTGATTAATGAAAGAAGAAACTAGTGGCAAATATCTAAATTGAAAGAAAAGGGGGGACAACTTGACTCCTTTAAATAGTAATCTGTCCTGTCCCTATTTTTCAATTTGTCATACATAACCCCCCAAAAAATGAACCTTGCTGCTTGCCACACCTCTCAAATTAAAATAATTAAAATTCAGTTTAAACGGGCTTTCCTATTTAGGACTTCGGTTGCTTTTCCCCAAATAATAAAGTGGAGGGTCGTGTCCCTCCACCAGAAAAGTCTAAAAACAAAACAAAACATCCAAACATCATATCTCTATAGTTAATTTTATATCGTCATCTTTTCCACTATAACAGATATTAATACTAATAAAGTTTATAGAATTGGACTAATTATTGTTAATACTACTTAGTTACCTAGATAATTTGACTAGTTAACAAAACATTACTTCAATTTAGAAATAACTTATCTTAACTACTATTACTTTTATTACCCTAATTAATTTAAGGTTATTAGCATCCTGCACATAACCACAGTCTAATTTCACCAAAAAAGGTGAAGTCAAAAGAAGAAGAAAAACACAGCAGACAATAATAATAATCGTTAGAGATAACCCATATCTTTGATAAGACTTCATTCGTTTACAAGTCATCACCATATAATATCATAGTTAAGTCATACAAAAATGTCAGGAAGGAAGAAGACATTGTTAAAAGTCATCATTTTAGGAGACTCAGGAGTTGGGAAAACATCATTAATGCAACAATTTGTTAATAGTAAATTCAGTCATCAATATAAAGCAACGATTGGAGCTGATTTCTTAACTAAAGAAATCACCATTGATAATAATAAACAAGTAAGTTTACAGATTTGGGATACTGCTGGTCAAGAAAGATTCCAAAGTTTAGGAGTTGCCTTTTATAGAGGAGCTGATTGTTGTGTATTATGTTATGATGTTACCAATGAAAAATCATTAAATAATTTAACCAGTTGGAAAGATGAATTCTTAGTTCAATCAAATGTTACAAATCCTCAAGATTTCCCCTTTATTATAATAGGTAATAAAATAGATGTTGATGAAAATAAAAAAATACCTTCATTACAAAAGAAATTACAAAATATTACTAGTAATCAATTAGGGGGATTAAATTATCCCGTATTTGAAACTAGTGCTAAAGAAGGAGTTAATGTCGAAGCTGCATTTGAAGTCATTGCTAAAATGGCTTTACAACAAGAAGAATTAAACGATGCTAATGGCCATGATGTTAGTGATGATTATAATGATGCCATTAATATTCACTTGGAAAGTGAACCATCAAATTGTGCATGTTAATCAATCATCGAACTATCTTAATACTACTATCACGTCATGAAAACATTATTTATCACCTAGAATTAATGTTTAAACCTGTCCGTCAGTCTCACTCCCACCCGTTATTACTCTTTATATAATTCATTTTTTACCTTTTCTAATTCTTGTTAAAGTTTATTTTATTTTTAAATTTATTTTCCTTTTTTATGTATACCTGCTATATAAAAAACAAATACATACATATATACCTACACAATTAAATGAATAATACAATCTAAAGTCATTTTAATCTCCGTTTACTTAAGACAAGCACAAATAAGTTTAAGAATACCTCCCACAAGATCATCATTTTGTCCACCTTGTTGTTGTTGTTGTTGATATTGAGGTTGTTGATAATGTTGTTGTTGTTGGTATTGTGGTTGACCAGAACCATGATAAGCTTGTTGAGGTTGAGAAACTGGTGCATTCCAATGATTTGGAACTTGAGATGATTGAGTATTACTTAAATCAATCACTAAAACTCCTGAATTATGAGGATCCATATGATGTTTTAAACTACATTCATCACACATTTGATCAATGGCTGGTTTCAATTTAGCAATCCCATTAGCAGAATGTAACCCTTTACCCACAATAACTCTAATATGAGATTGATTAGTTCTAATCGAATTTGCAATTCTTTGTTGTAAAATATATTCTGCTTCTTTAACATATAATCCATGTAAATCAATTTCATCAGGTCCACTATCAGTATTATTTTCTCTAAAGACATATTCGGCAGCTTGACGATTATACCCTTCAGCTTCATTCAACACACTCTTGGCTTGCTCACTTAATTCATGAGCTCTTTCTTTATCACCTTGTTTATAAGCTTGTTGAGATTGAGCACTTAATTGTTTACGTTTATCATATAATTCTTCAGCCTTACCACGAAGAGTCTTATATTGACTATCAGTAGCATGATTATAATCTCTTTCATGTTCACCACCACCTAAACGAGCACCTCTGTCAGCATAATAATCAGTCATCCCTTACCTTCAGTATAGTATCTAACGATCAATTATCAACATTTAAAGTTTTCGAATTTCAGGTTTTATATAGTTATCCATTTTTTCAGGTACCAAACAATTGACCCTTGGGTTATATACAGGAAATGGGAAAAATCATTGAAAATTTTCGAACCATGAATTAGATGAAGAGAAGGGTGATATTGGTATTAATTTATGGTTCAATATTCTATAGAATGTCCATAGAAAGTATGAATTGACGATTCCAATGTAAAGTTTAAGCTGTTTGTTTATATTAATTAGAGTTATTATTCGTATTTATATAGATAGTCTGCAATCATTATGAGGCTAATTTCTGGGCTCAGCTCATCGCTGTACATGGAAGACGATCCATAATGACCTTACATCATAGCTAATTTCAACATCTAAACGTCATAAACATTGATTGATTAATACTCTAATCTACAATTAAAACAATAATTTTTTAATATCAGTATATATTTAATAAACTTGTTACAAAAATTATACTAAAAAATTATATATAGCTAAAAGACTTTCAAAAGATACAAATTAATAAGATAAAAATTAAAATATTAATAATAATAATTTAAAATTAATCAGCTTATTTCTTAGTAGCTTTGACAGCAGCTTTGGTGACTTTACCAGCCTTGTCGGATTTTTCGACGGATTTAATGACACCAACAGCAACAGTTTGTCTCATATCTCTAACAGCGAATCTACCTAATGGTGGGTATTCAGTGAAAGCTTCAACACACATTGGTTTAGATGGAACCATCTTAACAATAGCAGCATCACCGGATTTGACGAATTTTGGAGAATCTTCCATCTTTTTACCAGTTCTTCTGTCAATCTTTTCAATTAAAGTATCGAATTTACAGGCAATATGAGCAGTGTGACAATCTAAAACTGGAGAGTAACCAGCAGAGATTTGACCTGGATGGTTCATAACAATAACTTGAGCATTGAAAGATTCAGCAGCCTTTGGTGGATCGTTCTTGGAGTCACCACAAACGTTACCTCTTCTAATTTCTTTAACGGAAACATTCTTAACATTGAAACCAACATTGTCACCTGGTAAACCTTCGGTTAATTGTTCATGATGCATTTCAACGGATTTGACTTCAGTAGTAACACCGGCTGGGGCAAAGGTAACAACCATACCTGGTTTGATAACACCGGTTTCAACTCTACCGACTGGCACCGTACCAATACCACCAATCTTGTAAACATCTTGTAATGGTAATCTTAATGGTTTATCAGTTGGTCTTGATGGTGGTTCAATAGCATCAATAGCTTCTAATAAAGTTTTACCGGAATATTTACCAATCTTGGTTTCCTTTTCCCATCCTTTATACCATGGACAGTTAGTAGATGGTTCAATCATGTTATCACCATTCCAACCAGAGATTGGAACGAATGGAACAGATTTTGGATTGAAACCAACCTTTTTAACGAAATTAGAAGTTTCCTTAATAATTTCTTCAAATCTAGATTTATCCCATTTAACGGAATCCATCTTGTTGACGGCAACAATTAATTGTTTAACACCTAAAGTATAAGCTAATAAAGCATGTTCTCTGGTTTGACCATCCTTGGAAATACCGGCTTCGAATTCACCAACACCACCAGCAATAATTAAAATAGCACAATCAGCTTGGGAAGTACCAGTGATCATATTTTTAATGAAATCTCTGTGACCTGGAGCATCAATAACAGTAACATGGTATTTTGGAGTTTCGAATTTCCATAAAGCAATATCAATAGTGATACCTCTTTCTCTTTCAGCCTTTAATTTGTCTAAAACCCAAGCGTATTTGAAAGAACCTTTACCTAATTCATTAGCTTCCTTTTCGAATTTTTCAATGGTTCTTTTATCAATACCACCACACTTGAAAATTAAATGACCGGTGGTGGTAGATTTACCAGAATCGACGTGACCAATAACAACGACGTTAACGTGAGTTTTTTCTTTACCCATTTTGTTTACTGTATATATAAATACTATCAAAAGAAAAGAAAGGAAAAAGAAAAAGAAGAAAGAAAGAAGGAAGAAATAAATTTAAAATTCAAAGTTGTTGAAACAGATTAATTAAAATTTTTTGGACAACTCAATCGATCGGAATCACAACGACATCGTAAAAAAAATTTTTTTTTTTGGCTAATAGGGAAAAAAAGTCTCATCACTGTCATTTCCCAAAAGGGCAACTCATCCCTCAAAACGTGATTAGGAGGCGGCCCTTAGGGCTGTAGACCTAGAACAAGTTTGGGGGATCCCCTCAGTTTACGAATACGGTATTTTGCAATCAAAATGGTTTCATTAATCTAACTATTTAGAATATTTACTTACTTTCTTTGTATTCCGTTGTTTTCGTCTGTTTATATTTGTACTATTAGTAGCCTCATCATCAGATTCAACCACCATATCCTTCGCATTATCCAAGTACTTCAATAATGCTTCATTATGTCTTACGGAATCATTATCTTGATATCCAACTTGTGATACTTGATTATCATCTTCTTCAAAGGTAACGTCATGATTTTTCTGGGCATCATCATCTACCTCCTCTTCATGCCCTCTGTCTTCATTACTGATATTAATGAAACTATCCCCATCTTTATGGTTACTTTCTCCATTAGATACTTTCAATAACTTGGCCGTTAATGAATCTTCTGACTCTCTACCAACTATTCTACCATACTTCTGCTTCTTCTTAGCCTTTCTCGGAGAAGGTAATCTCATAGCATTATTATTATTATTATTATTATTATTATTCTCTTTATTTTCATCACTTGAAGCTACCGCTGAATTAACATCTTCCTCATGATGATCAGAATTATTCGTATCATCTTCTTCATCATCATCATTTTCATTGCCTCTACCTCTTTTAAAAAGTTGTTGTTTGGCAGAAACCTTCGATGTCATCCTTTTAACATACTCTAACATTGAATGAGGACGTGCCATGGACACGGGCGCATATATACACCATTTCAAATCAAGAATATCAGGCATAATCATTATATCTTTATTAATTGATAACTCCATGATCTCCCAAAGATAAGCAATCGATACAATGGGGATTTGCCAAGACTTGGCCGCATTGATTTTATTCTTTGATGATATGATTGATACTGAGGATGATGAATTTGAAGTTGGGATTTGATAAGTTGGACAATCTATCACATCACTATACTTATATTTAAACAATGCCGGAGAATTCTTTACCAAACTTGTTTTGAATAAATTTATATTAATGATTAATAACTCTTTATCATTAGTTAATGAATCACAAAATTCAAACCCAAGATAATTAATTAATTTCTCAATATGTAATAACTCAATACCCGTGAACCCAGTTAAACAAATCTTAAACTTATTATTCGACTTGATTAATCCCTTTATAGGTTGGCTCCATTTATCATATATTATAGATTTGTAGAATATCGATCTTTCAATAAACCACTCGGTTACGATTTTAATATCATTATTATTGATTTTGGATTTTATAGTTGATGGTAAGATCTTCAACATCTGTACTGATTTCGAATTTCCAATGGAGGAAGGTAATATTATATGCGTTATGGTTGAATCATTCGAATCATTGGTGATTTCACCTCCATGGTTTTCTATAACTTTAATTAATAATGGATTTTGAATATCTGTAAACCCAATTAATAAAAAATGAATCCTAAAAACAATTCATTCTTAGATTGAGGTTCAATCGAGCTTTGTCGTTGTAATTGATTATCCCCTCGGTGTCGACTTCTACCTTCTTCTACTACGCTTTCTCCATCTTCATCTTCATCATTTTCATCATCATCTTGGTCCCATGCTGTATCACGTTTAGATCTTAAAGATTGTAGACTTTTCGTATGACTCATGATTGAATCCCATATTTGAGCATTTTTCTTCTTTTTCAATGGCTTGTTAGCATTAGCATCCCTTAGCTCTGTTGCAATCGGACGATATACGAATGATAATTCTTTGTTTTCAGCAACAACTTTATCCCATACATTACTGGCATCAGGAAATAATGAATTAATATTATCATTGCTTACTAAATAATAATCAAAATCCAAAGGTGCACCTCTTATAACACAATCAATTATATAAATCGGATGGACGATTGCTTTATTCCATTCCACTGCCTTTTGAAATCTTCTCCCTCTTAACTCGGTTGATATCATACAATTATTTGAAAGACTTAACGATTCCGTAGCTTCTCCACCATACTTCTTCACTAATAACTTAATCTGCTCCACATTATCAAATATCGATTTAAATTGGGTATAATACTTTGTTCTAAATGGAACCTTAAAGAATAAATCTTCAATTTCATCAGAAGTGAATTCAACTCGTGATATACAAACATTCAAAGTATGAAATACTGGTAATTTATAATCAAGTAAGTTGAAAGTTGAAAGTTCCTTTTCACCTTCAATCCATTTCTTATACAATTCAAATATCGAATTTGGTAATAAGAATTCAATATCATGTCTATTTTCAATACAATATTTATATTTCGGATTCTGTTTGTCACCAACTATAAGATAATTGACATCACTCATTAAATCAGGATAGAAGGTCCCACCTAGTGATTTGATCTTGTGACAAATTAACTCACGATCTCGTATCTCAATACCGGTACAACAGAACGCTAGACCCTTTAATGGATGTTCACTTGACATAGTTGGTTTGAATTGATTTTTTGATAGTTAATGTGGTTGAAATTTAAATGTCCTTAGTTGTTGATTTTGTTCTTTCTTCGTTGGACTAATAATTATTTATCATATGAGACTCATTTAGGCACTTTTAGCTAAGTCAAAAGCAAATTGGTAATGATTAGAGTTCTTCTATATGTCATTCTAGATGCTAGATTTATTGATATTTCATTGATTTGATAATCTATGGCGCTTTGGATGTTTGAGAAAGACGCGTACATCCTCACCGCAATTTCACAATTATAATTAAAAGGTCCTATATTACTAGAAGAAGTATTCTAATTATATAGAAAGAATGTGGTGGATTTGGAAAAGGTATTATCCAGAACTCATTGTTATTCTCCTGATTTCAAATGATTTCGGAATTCGTCTATTTTGAAGTCATATCATATCTCATTTCTACCTCTGTTGAGATCAATCTTTACAATCACATACCAGTACACTAAAATAGTTGAGATGAATTAATCTAAATACTAAATACCTGTTATATCATTCAAGTAAATACTTCTCTAAACCATTAAATGTAGATTTATAAAATTCAGTTCATCATTTAAACTGTTGGAATCATCCAAAAGTGGTGTATCGGATAATTGAGTCAAACTTCCTCAATGCGGAAAATATAAACCGAGCATTTCACCCCACATTTTATTTCAGCAACCGATATCTATAAAAAGGGCGAAATCACCCTTGATTAATAATAATGTATATCCGTTTTAGACTATATCGTTACCAAGAATGCCATTAAATCCAGAAACCAGTCCTTATTATACTTATTCAACCAAAGCACTTGATGCCTCATGGCCAAGACACCCTGGTTCTGTGGTTTTAGACACTCCTAGTTCAAATCCAAAAGATTATAGATTGAAAATTGCTTATAGAAAGTATGAGACAACTAAATCCGCCGCTACTAAAGCTTCCAGATCACCTATAAATTTAGTATTCAGTCATGGTAATGGTATGAATAAAGGATTATGGCATTATCATATTGATAAAATTTATCAACACTTCAATTCCTTACCTGATGCATACATTAACACAGTGATAGCTATGGATCATGCTAATCAAGGTGATTCGGCTGTTTACAATAAAGAAAAGTTAGGCCATACTTACAGCTGGATAGATGGTGCAAGAGATATCGTTACTATCGTTAAGGATCATGAAACAGCTTCATTTTCTCAAGAAAATGCTTATAATATAGTGGTTGGACATTCAATGGGTGGATTTCAAGCTCTTATGGCGGGGTATTTCGAACCTAATTTGTTTAGTGCTGTATTGGGTATCAATCCAGTATGGTATAAAGAACATTCGACCCATCAAAAGACGAAAGAAACCATGACGAAATGGCTCAAGAAAAACAGAATAGCATCACACTTTAAATTCAATGGACCTAATAAAAATTGGAAACAAGATATTATAAATTGGTATAAAACCAAATCGTTCTATAAGTTTTTTGATGAACAGGTGTTATTAAATATGCTTGAAGATGATTTTCCTGAAGAATTTGATGTTAATAAACCTTATGAAGAGATTAAGTTAAAACATGAAGCACTGCAAGAATTTATCACTTATTTTGGAGGTTATAATTCCTACATGTCTTCATCTCCATTATATAAATATGTCAAGATTCCAGTTTATCATGTCCATTCCGAAAATGATCTTGGAGCTCCTGGTGGGGTTGAACTTTCAAGAGAGTTATTAAAGGATGTAGTCATTCCAATTGATATACCAAAACTTTTACATTCAATGAATGCTGAACAACCTGATTTAACCTTAGACTTAATCTATAAGGTTGTTGATGAAATCATTTCAAAGCCTCCACAAAAGTCAATTAAAGATTTTGTATGGAGAAAAGAACTTGGACCCGATTATAAGTCGAAGTTGGTTGAACAAGAATACAAGGAGTTCATATTAGAACCATTGACTCCTCCTAAGGAATATAAGTTATGATTATAAGTTATTAGATACTTTTCCATAGATTTAGTTATGAATATATTTTTCAGTTTTGTAAGATCATCTCTGTCTCGTATTTACGAGCATTTATAAAAAAGTTTAATTACAAATTTTACGCACAAAAGTGAAAAATTACAAAAAAGCCAAATTGCAAATTTCTATACCTTTCTTTTCTTCTTCTATTACTAATCGTGAAATCTTGATATATCGTATTAGAACGATACGGTAAGTCTAATTGTTTTCGCTGGTATAAATTGCTAAATCTTGAGTTGTTAATTGCTGTTATTTGTTTTGGTTGAACGTTATTTGCTGAAATATTCCTGCTATAAATCTCACTATAGTGTATTCCTATTGAATTTAATATTTATAAATTGTATCCTCAGATCGACAATCCAAAGTATCAAAAGTGTTAGGATTTGTCAATTTATCATTTCGAAGGTCGTTTATCCCTGTTCTTTATCATTCAATTCAAGTGAAACGCGTCATTCCAATCATTCTGACACGTCTTAATATGGTAGCTAAAACAAGATCTACAAGTACCAAGAAGACTATTACTTCAACTTCACTTGAAGTTGATGATAAGAAGGTAGTTAAGAAGGTTACTAAGGTAACCAAAAAGAAAACTTCCACCAAGTCTTCTGCTCCTGAAAGTCCTTCTAAGAAGAAGAAAGAGAAGGTAATCATAGAAGATTATCTTGCAACTAAAATCCCTATTCCAATTGATTTGAAATTACCAGAAAAGTTTGTTGAGTATCATACTCCAGAATTTGTCACTGGAGTTAATTACATTATCAAACAAGATAATGCTCTTTATCCCGTTATTGTTCATTCTAATTTTCCAAGATTTGCTAAAGATAATATTATTCACCTGGGTGAACCACATGGTTATTGGTATGCTTTAATCGCTAGCGTCATCAGTCAACAAATCAGTGGTAGTGCTGCCAAATCAATTGAAAATAAATTTAAGAATTTATTTGAAGAACTAGGTGAAGATTTGATCCCTGTTAATGTGTTAACTAAATCCGATGAACAATTACGTAAAGTTGGGTTTTCATTCCAAAAGATCAAATATGTGAGACATATTAGTGAAACTTTCAACAATCCCGATGAAAACTTATGTAACGCTAAGTTCTACAAGGAACAACCTTTAGATGTAGTTATTGAAGAATTAGTTAAATTAAAAGGGATCGGTTTTTGGTCAGCTAAAATGTTTGCTATTTTTACGTTAGGTGAGATGGATATTTTTGCTCATGATGATTTAGGTGTAGCAAGAGGGATGTCAAAATATCTTGCTCGTCGTCCAGATTTATATCTGAGTATTAAAAAGGAAGTCGATGCTGATGAAGATTTAAAAGATTTATTAAAAAAGAAATCCCTCTTTGCTAACAAAAAGACGGATTCAAAGAGAGATTGGAATCCTTATCATGATGTCTATGTCAAACATGCTGCTGAAAGATTTAGTCCTTATAGATCAGTTTTAATGTTGGTGATGTGGAGATTAAGTGCTACAAATGTTGAAGTTTTAGAATGGAATTTATAATATAACTAAGAGTAAAAGAATTAAATATATATAAGAACAATATTGAGGACGACTTTGATCGAAATTAAATGCTAAATTCTTAACATCATCTTTATCTTTATCACCAATATTACCTTCAGGACCTTCACCACCAATATCAATGATATTTATATGGTTTTCCTTTTCTAAATCTTTAATTTTATTTAATTCCTTTTCAATTTCTTTTAATCCATAATCTAAATTAGATGATCTTAAAAATTCTAAATCTTCTCGTTTAAAACCTTCGTAATTGATTAAATATTTAATAAACTCTTCAACATCTAATTCTATCTCTTTCTTATTAGAAAGATAATAATGTCCATTAGAATTATAATAATGATCATTGTCTTGATCTTGACCTTGGCCTTTTGAATATGCTGATTTTGGTTGTTTACGACCATATTGTTTATAATTATAATCATCATATTTGGAATCTAATTGTCCTATTGATTCTAAATTATCTTGTTCAATAATTAATTTTGTCCATTTCTTTAAATCAGGATTATTTTCTGAAATTGTATCATGATAATTATGAATATTTGATTTAAATTTTCGATGGGCAGGGAATGATTGTTGATTAAGAATCAATTCTTCTTCTTGTTTATTAACATTATTATGTTTGAACTTTAAGAATTCTTTAACCCAATACTTTTTTGATGATAATTTAGTGGCGATAGGTTGTTCAATAGAAACAGTTGAAGTTGGAGGGATCACCATCATAAATGTGGAAATTGTTGTTGGAATAAATTCTGAATTTTCAAAATCATCTTTTTCATTCGTTCCTTTAGCATCATCATCATCACCTTCTTTATTATTATTACTATTATTATTGTTTTCTTCATCAACTGACTTACTAAATAACTTATTAGAAATATTATTTCTTAATTTAGTTAAACTTGAATAAATTCTTGATTCACCCGTCATAAATTTAGCTTGCAGTTTCAGATTCTTTTCTTTATTTAAAATTGATTCTTCAATAGTATATCCACCTTTCACAGGAATAACTAAATGATGACCATCATTCTTTTCAAGTAGTTTAGAAGGGACGTATTTCCTTAAATGTGATTTCAATTTCTGAGCTGGATAAGGAACTTCTTCGTCATCGATTTTAACCTCCAAACCATAAATTAAACAAGAATAATAATAACCAACAATGATTAAATTAACAAAAATGGTTTTTAATTTCATTAGTTAAAGTGTATTAGATGATATGAAGTGAGGAGAGGATAAGTAAATAATAAACCACAAATGCTGGAGAACCAAATTGAATCAAATTGGCGGCTAATGAAACAAATTAAGAGGTAACGTAGTATAGTTCTATTAGCGATAATTGTTGTGATAACAAACTAATAAAAAGTTAAACCAAACAAATCAATGATCTATTATGTTTTAATGATAGTTTTGCAGTAATATAATATAGAAATAAAGGATATAAAAAGAAGTTTACAAAAGAAATTAGCTCATACTTCACATTGTTTCTCCGTACAGTCTTTTTTTTCGCAGCAAATTTATGACACAAAATCAAAGGAGGTATAATTTTTTCTTCACTATGGGGAAATGGATGAACACCCTTTTATAAAATGTTAACAATAGAGAAATTTAAAAGATGAAGGACGTACGCCAATGCAACTTGATGTAAGTAGACGAAGCAAATTAAATAAATCATTTTGAGTGAAAGGTTTCCAGATATAGAGATCGATCGGCGGTTATAGGTTTTGACTTAACTTTAAATTGTTTTAAATTAAAAAAAAATAGAACTATCGAATCTTGAATGATAATCATTACGATTAATTAATTCATAAATGGAAGTCAAAGGAGAACAACTACGTGATGAGATAGGGGAATGATTTCAAAACAAGGCTTGCATGTGTTAAACATACTTTAGTAAGGATGAATCCCTTTTAGCCACAAACTACAAACCGTATATACGAAGCAATGACACCCTAATTATATGTGTTATATTGCTTAATTAGATAAGGACCAAAATTTGATTTAATTGAAAATAATAATTAGCAACTCGGATTGAATGGGAATTAGAGAATTTTAAGTTTTCTCTGATATAGATAATGTGTGAGAATTGAATTTTCAAATGATATATAGGTCCAGTTTCATATTTAAAATTCAACACATTCTTTTTTACATTAAATTTGACTGCCTGAGTCCTGTTTAGTAAGGGTTTCCCAATCGGTACACATCTCATCCTAAATCAGAAATCACGTGATCGAAATTTTAAGGGGGGCGTCTAAAAAGCAAATTAAACACAAAGAATTAAGAATATTTTGTACATTAGACATATGAATGAGACAAAAAATAATTAAAAAATAAACAAACATAAAATTTGAGATCAGACAGACAAAAAATGGATAAAAATAGAGATTGTTCCTGTCCGCGTTTAAAAGTTTTGTTGTTTCGGGCTCGTTTGAGGCTAGATCTGCCCTGTTTTAAAATTGGGAAGATGTAGATTAAATTGGTCAGTATATGAACCAAGATGATATCGATTATGAAACTGGTTATATATGAAAAGCAGATTGCTTGATTCAACATCGAAAGAATATACTGTTAATTGAAACGAATAAAAATTGATATTAATACAAAAATAAAAAAAATACCAGCTATTTACAAATAGGCTTAGCCCCTTCAAAGCACACATTTAATAATTAAATTAATTACCGACACTGATGATGAAGTAATAATTAAACTTAATATGATCCCATATTGTATATGGCCTAGATTTAGAGTACTACTTTTAAGAATCCTTGGTCCAGCGATGATATAATCCATACTACAGATAAGAAAACCTCCCCTTCGTATTATTATACCTGTAACAAATTGGAGAATCCCACAATAATTTAATACAGGCAATGAGAACCCTAAAAGGGGCAAGCAAGTCACAAAAGAAGAACTTGGAAAAAAAAAGTCTGATTTTTTGTCTTTGAATTTTGTCTGACCTGCCGCAATTTCCTTCCTTCCCTCGTTCCATTTACACTAAAATTTGGCTGTAAGGGTAAGTTGTACAGTAGTGTAAAACGCAACTATACTGTAGAGAATGAGCTTACTTGGAGGCGAATGGAAGCAGTAGTAATGATGTAAGAGTATCCTTATGCCGAGTTGTTGAAAAGAGTAGAGTAGATTAGAATAAATTAAATTTGAAATAACTATCAATCGCTGCTGGTTTATGAACAATGAAAATGAAGTAAGAAGCAGTTCTTTCAGATCAAATTCAGGGTCGACTGTCAAACGACGTAACAAATAGTAGTGATACTGGACTGAATAATTCTTTACTTCGATAGAGAAGAAAGCAAGCTTCTTCTCGTTCCTTATCACCAGTCGCCATCGAGTTTTAGTAATTCGCCAAATCAAACAAACCTTAAACTTTACAAAGCACATAACCCTTTAACACCAAACTTCAAGTCTTTTTTTTTTGGCTCTCCTGAAAATTACATCTCAAACACCTGTTTGGGAAATACCCTATCTAAACAATGGAAACCATATATAAAATAAAATAATGTGGTAGTAGTGTGATTGTGTGTGTGTATATATGTATCTGGTGAGTTCATTCATTCAAAAGTTATAGAAGGTTATTTTTATATAAGATTAGTTGGGGGTTATTGACAATAAGGATGAGGATGGAAGGGGGTTCGGCTGAGTTGGAGTTTAGTGAGTTTAGTAGCAAATTGAACTTTCCACTCTACAACAACTTTTTCTCATGATATAATAATATACACACACACACAGTGACATAATGGTAAACAACAAATTTGCATATAAATAGAATCTTAATTACATAGTAACATGATGTTGTAATTCTGAAATTGTAATAGTAAAAGTTTGTTTTACAAGCAGTTACCTGCTATAAAATTGCTATTTCATGTTATAATTTCATTATTAGATACATATGCTTCTTTCCCACAACCGTTAGGTAAATTGTTTATAGACCAGCCATTAGATCAAAAAAACAAAGAAGGTTTGAGCTGAATTCCTTATTTAAACCATTCTCTACTACAAAAACTTCTCAGTTTTTAAGTAAAACAAAGATTTCATTGTATTCAATTCTATTTTAATAATCCTTTTTTATGTTTTCTTTGGACTGAACAGGATATGATTGTACAGGTCCCACAAAAACAATAATGAAAAAATAAATCAGACAAAAATTACACACAGACAAAAAGACACAAACAAAATTATTTTTTTAGGTTTTATTTTTTTAGTCTTTTTTGTCTTTTTTTTTTTTTAGTCGGTTTGTTTTCTTTGGGATTTTTGTCTTCCCTTTTCAAAATTTGATTCCTTTTCCTAATTCTTTTTATACACAACACTTTTCTTCTGGTTTGAACTATATCCATTGGTAGCTTAAGTATTCTACTAGACGTCCTTCTGTTCATTCCACCAATCACATCGTCGAAGGAAAACGCTTACTCGATACAGCTACCGGCTAGCCAATTCTTCCTTTCAAACTCCTCATCATAACACAAAAAAACACGCATTTTTCATTGATACAAAAGGTTTGTTTTTGTTTGCCATAGATATCTATATAAAACTTTAACCTCCCCTTTGCCAGAACTCAATTGTACATCATTAAATCGGTCGTATCTTCGAGTATTTGTTACTGTTGTCATTTCGTTGTCTTCTACCTGTTCACTGACGTTTTTAACGACTGATTTACCTTTATATTTTTGGCATATTATTTTCGTCTAACATTCTTATATTAATCTGACATCCAAATTGTCTATATTAACTCATCTAACTGTTTGTTGTTGTTATACATTTATACTTGCAACTACATACTATTAAAGACTCCCCTATTACATCTCCATCGAACTAGTTCAGTCTCAATCATATATAAATCATTAAATGATATAATCTTTTTCAAATTGCAAAAAATCAAACACATACATTCATCATTTGTCTCCATTTTTTAAAAACTCATTACATTCGCTATATTTCATTTTCATTGCTGTTTTTGCTTTACTCTTATTATCATCATTTAATCCCATTTGCTATTTCACATTAGAATAAATCTTTTCTGTTCAAATCATTCATTCATTCATTCATAAATTAAATCTCATTCATCATGTCTATACCTAATCCAGACATTATGACCACTCCCAATTCATACAATTATTCATCACGAAGAAATTCCTTAACTTCAATATCAACTGTTAATACTACTTTAACAAGTACTGGTAATACATCTTCAAATTCAGTAAGAGATTTATCAACTGATAATTTGTTGGGTCTTGATAATAAATTTAGGAAAAAACAAATAAAAAGAGTTCCAAATGGTATAAAATCTCCAGCATCGGCTTCAAGTCAACAACAACAACAGAAATTGCCCAAACAATTGATTATTCCTCAACAATCACCTCAAGGTCCAAATTCGGCTCAATCCCCTGATTCTAATACAACTTATTATTTCCCAAATGGTGAAATTTTCAGGCCGAGAACAGCTCCTCTTAAGAGAAATAGACCTCAAAAAATAAATCATCATCATAATCAACCCCCTCCACCGCCACACCATCAACTGCATAGTCATCAATATCAACAGTATCCATCACATCACCATCCTGCTGCCCATAATCAACAGCAGCATCATTATCAGGTTCCTCCAGTTCAACAACAACAGCAATATTATCACCCCCCTCCTCAACATTATAATCCTCATTATAATCATTACCCCCCTCAATCTCATTACACTTATAATCAACAACAACAGCTTCAACCTGCTTTATCAGTGCCTAGCTCCAGAAGTAACTCTATAACTTCTTCAGCTCCTCCTGTATTTCATCATTTACCTCCTCATTTACAAAATCAAGTGTTGCATTTACAACAACAACAACCTCCTGCCATATCAAGTACTGATTCACCATCATCAATACCATCATCTTCCAATTCTTCTTTAAGTACTGAATCAATTCAAAAGATCAATTCGTTGACTTCATTAAATAATTCATCGTCAACTACAATAACTTCTACTTCAACCAATAATGGTAGTCCATCCACTATTCCTTATAATTACCCTAAAAAACTTCCAAATCCAATGGTTAAGAATAATAATTTAAGGTCTCCTCAATCTGGGTCCAATGGAGCTCCACCACCAGGATCAGTTACACCCGTGAATGATATGGCAAACTTTAATAAATACAATAGATCAAGTTCAATAACGTCAATTTCTTCAGTTCAAAGACAACAATTATTACAATCTCAACCAGCAGTGACGATTCATTCTCCTCAACATACTTCTCAATCATATCCTAATTTGTCACAATTCCAACCTTATCATTCTTATACGAACTTGGCATCGAATCAACAAGGTAATTCATCTTCATCTTCATCAAGTTCTTCACCTTCTCAGAGACTAGTGTTACAATCTAATAATTTATTAAGAACAGCTTCCCCTCAATTTTCCACAAACTCATTATCAAATCCATCAAGCACAAGTAATTCAATTAAAAATAATTCTCTGGTAGAAAATATTGAACAACAACAACACAAATCATTAACTATAACTCCAATTAACGAAACTGGATCCAAGGAAAGATTGTTGAAAACTGCCTCGAATTATTCAACAAGTTCTCACAGTTATAATTCTTCAACTAGCAGTAGCAACAGTATGAATAATACTAATGTTGGCGGAAGTGATAATGAAATTCAGAATAATGGAAACGAGACTATTAACAATAACAACCAGTTACATCGTAGAAGTTCAACTAGCACACCAACTACTTCTATAAGTAATGATGAAAAGGAAATATTTGAACAAGATGACGACAAAGACGTTATTGAAGAAAAGAAGCCTGAAGTTGAAAAAGTCAATGACGTTGTGTCGCCAATTCAAGAAGCTGTTGTCATACCTGAAGAAGTTGAAGAAATTCCAGAAGCTACTGAAGTATTGTCATCTCCTGCTGTTATAAACGAGTCTCCAGAAGAGCTCGATGAGAAAGAAGCAAAAGTGGAAGAAGCAAAACAACCAGTACAAGAAATTCAAGAAGTTGAACAAGTTGAAACTGAACCAGAAGTTATCAAGGAAGCTATAAAACCGCCATTATTAAAGTCTGTAAGTTCAAGTGAAGATGAAGATAATGATGATATATTCAAAACTCCAAGAAATTCAATCTTATTCTCCAACGACAATAATAAATTGGTCAATAATGAATCTAAAACTAGCATTGAGAATTATGAAAATATGAAATGGGAAGATCCACAAGGTTCAAGTAATTTAACTAACGAGACTCTCAAAGACGAAGAAAACGATAAAATCCAAACTGAAAGCGAGGAACATCAACCGTCTACTATTGAGATTGCTCCACCTAACACTGTTGAAAGTTCATTACCTGATCCTGATATTGAAAACTCTCCACCATTTGATATCATTGACGACTATACTGTTCTCGATGTGGATGAAGAACCAGAACAAATAGAACTTGAGAGTGCCGAAGAAAACGACAAATCTATTGTTTTAGAAGATCATTTGAATTTGGCAAGTCCAGTTCGTATCAATTCAGTCGACAACACTCTTGATCTTATTGAAGATGAACCACCATTGGAAAGATCCAGTTTAACTTCAGAAGAAGATTCAACTTCCTCTGATGCTTATTCATTTGAAGGTCCTGAAAATTTAGTTTTGAGAACAGTTGATAATCATGAAAATAATATCAGTGCACCAAAGGAAGCAATTGAAGAAATGCCATCACCTTCTGAGTCAATCATGGTCAGTGAAGAACGTCAACCTGCCGATGAACCAGTTGTTATTCGTGAACGTAAAGAATCTTTACCTCAAGCTCCTATTGTCAAGAAGAAATCTATGTTAGATGTATTGGATGAAGAGGTCAAAACTACTACTCCAATAGTTAAGACAAAAACAACTACAGCTACTACAACGGCCACAGCAAGTCCTCAAAAATCTTTGAAGTCAAGAACTAAATCATTACCTGAATTGCATCCAGAAGCATCCTCAAGTAGTAGTTATAAATCTCAATCAAATGGTAACTTGAAATCATTATGGAAGAAAATGTTAGTCCCACCAAAACTACCAAATAAAAGTGAAATGTTGAAGAATAGCTTTAATAAAAATAGCAGTGAGGTTTCATTAAGTTCAAATTCAACTGCTGCTGCCTCTTTTTCAACTGTCACTTCAAATGCCACATCTAAGTTCAAAAAATCATTCTCGGTAGCCAACTTGAAGAAAGCTAACCCAATGAAAGGTATGAATATTCAGAAGGCATACTCACAACCAGTTGTCAAACCAGTTGCTAAGCCTTTGCCTTTTCCACCACCAGTTCCAGAAAAACCATTGCCAGTTTATGATTTAACGCTACCTAGCATTGAACATGATACTGATGATTTATTTGATGATGTTATGTTAACATTTGATGAAAGGTTAGATGGTGTTCAAGATAGTATTCTTACTGAAAATGGATTGGAGAGTTTGGTTAAACCTGTTTTCCCTGCTGGAGGTTTAAGACCTTCAAAGAGTAGTAGTGATTCAGTAATTAATGAACCATTTTTAAAAGATGATGAATTAACTTCAGCTCAAATCAAAGATGCTCAAATTAAAGATAACTCTGGAAATACCAAAGGCGGTTCTAATGCTAATGGCAATAGAAACTCATCGATCGATGATCTTTATATTGATGATAATATTAGATTCTTACAATCTGAATTCAATTGGTCTAATCTTGATGATTCAGTCAATAAGGAGAATAATTCTTCTGGAAATGAAGTGGAAGAAGATGACAATGTGTCAGAAGAATTTAAGAACACTATGACTACATCCGACGATGAAGCTAATAGTTCTCCCCCTCCTTCTGATAGAAATGAGAGAGAAACCATAGTGATCAATAACGAACAATTATACACCATCTTTCATAATTTAACTGACTTTCAAAAGAGAAACTTACCACCTCATTTGAAATACATTAAACAATTTAAAGATTTCCAATTTGTTGAAATCAATTTGAGTAAATTTGAAGAAATTCCACTGATTCATACTGAAGATAGCGAAAAGCGTAAATCATTGCCAATTCTTAAGAGAAGAAATAATTTACCACAATTCAATGTCGATGATAATAACTCAAACAAGAAGAAGGTTTTATTTTCTCATAAAATTGAAATCAATGAGACTTATGCTCCTGACTGTTACAAGAGATATAATAAAGCAGTTACTCAATATACTTTAACTGAGCATTCTGAGATTTCAAAGATCAAAAATGAGTTAAACTATTATAAATGTAATGAAATGTTGGTACATGAAAAATCTCAAACTAATACTCATTTCTTTTACTTATGATTGGTTGAAACTATGAATACAAAATAATACAATAACGATTAATCCCCAACTTCCCGAACATATTTCTTTTTAACGAACCTTATATTTTTCCTTTCTATTTATTTTAGATATATATATATATATTTCCTATACATATACATTTTAACTTATCGAATTTAACTTCCTCTGTAGGTGGTGTAGCTATGGTTGGATAATAACAATGGGACATGATAATGATTGTCTGGAGGATTTTCTATTTGGAATGTGATTTCCACAAATGGGAAGAATGTAGATGGTGAACCAATTCGTTTGAAATAACTCCCCGTATAGAATTTTATCTTATATATACCAGATTTAAGCTCATTCCAATTTTTGTTTGAATCTATACCTAACGCCTTTAAATCAGAATATGGATCTGTGGTCCATTGTTTGATTCTACCGTCTTTATCTGTTTTGGCTCTGGCGAAAGGTTTTATATCATTTTCAATTTCAACTGTATCAGGGTTTTGGATTGCTCCCAAATATGAGATTTGACATAACACATCGTCCGCTGGTTTACCAACGGTTGTGTCCAATATATGACAAGTGATAGGATCAACTGAAGTCATTGTATAGTTTACTGAGATGCTTGTCTTGACGATAAGTATAATTGGGGAAGAATTTGGTATTTATATCTATCTGTGGTTGATTTCTTTATCAGTTTTAATATTTTCAGTTTTGTACGCATTTCGGCATCTTCCGCGCAATAAATCAGGTAGCGCAAAATTTAATACTATACTATTTACATTGCAATATTACTATTCACGTTATATAACTTGAAAAATGCCATAATTGATACTTTGAATCGTATTTCCAATGACTTCGGTTGCGAAATATATCGGTAATGATATAATCGATTATACTGTTTAGCGCCTTATATGGAAATGAATCACCAATTCCATATCTTAATTTGATTGAATCCAAATATTCTAATAGATCAAAGATTGATGAACCTTCAACCTGTTGAAGATCAATCAATATTTGATTTAGTTCATCATAAATCTCATGGAATACTTTTGATTTGACTCTTTGTGATTTTGTCACTGATATTAGTTTATAGTCTACTTGTAAAGTATGACGAATCTTATGGAATAGGATTTCTTGCTGAAATTTCAAGGTGGTTCTTCTTGGAGAAGCTTGGAGTTGACTTAATGCTAGTTGCAATTGAACAAAGTTGGTTAGATGGTTGAAATATGTAGTGTCTTTATAAATATCGACCAATTGGAATGTCTCGAATTCACGCTTTATAATAAACATTAAAAATTCAATAGTGAGTTGCAATTCAGTGATAATATGAATTGATGCTTCTTTGATGTCAATAATTTTGATTTCTTCTTCTTGTCTTGTTTGGCTCTTGTGAGGTGATAAGATTGGTCTATGTTTAATTTGAAATTCTTGCAGATCTTGTTCATAGTCTTCATCATCACTAATTTCAATTATCTCTGGCGTGCTTTCTTGATACCGTCTATGATTAATTATCATAGAATCTTCTCTTACTAAATCTGGCATTTGACTGAAATCATCACTACTGCTTAATCGTAAGTTCTCTCTATGGAAACGTCTTAAAGATTCAACTTTTTCAAACCGTACTTCATCAGTAAAGTTATCACCTTCAATGATAGCCCTATTAGGAGGAGTATATACCCACGGGATACTTAATACGTCACGTCTGAATTCTAACCTCTCGTTCCAACGGTCAATCTCAATATGAATATCATATTCATTTCCTAATACATTCACGAAATCTGATCTAATCTCTCGTTCACCAAACCGAAATGTACAAACCCCACAAATCTCTATCAATTTTCCATAATTATTTCCAAAACTAAAGCCCTTGGCAATATATTTCGATTCATCAATCTTAACTGGTATTTGCAGACGCGACGATGAAGATGAATCATCAATAGTAACCATAATATGATTATTTCTATTCCCAAACCCAAAATCTCTGTATCGCTCCCCCACAACTTTTCCAAACAACTTAACTCGTCGTACGGGATGATTGTTAATTAAAATCGCATCTCGAGCATAAGTTGCATTAGGTCCATAGATAGTCTCAAGTACGGGACTTTCATTAATATCATTTATGAATAAAGGTGCCACCATACCAAAAGTCTTTGAACTATGAAATACTTGCGGCACATAGAAACATTTATTGGGATATCGTAATGCTATATGGCTCTCGCCAGGAGCAATATCGATTATTGGAGGTCTTACACTACTCATTTAGTTGGATATTTAATTGTTATATTCTTATCATAACGAGTGGATTTGGTATGAATGTAGTTGAGTACGCGTATGTTTGTAATGAATTTGACTCAATTAGTTCGAAATGACTAGGCAAATGGAGTTATACCTGGTTTTCCTTATATAGTTATTCAATAACTAATGATTGTTGGTTGGTTTGACCTGTTTGATCTCTTATGTTTACAAAAATAGTATCACCAAAAATGTCTATGTGCAGTGCGAATACTTTTCTTAGGTTTAATTTTTTTTTGAGAAGAGCTATTTGATTTTGCAAGTACATCTTAAGAAAGGAAATCAGATACAGATACATATATAATGGCTTTATTTCAAGTTGAAGGTTGGAACCTTAAAGAAGAAAGAGTTGCCATAGGTGGTATAACGAAGAAGAAGTCCAAAAGAGAAAAGAAAAGAGATAAAAAACTAGCACAAGCTGCCCAAGCAGAAGAGCAAGATCAGATAGATGATGAAGTAGAAGATGAAGATGAAGATGAAGAAGATGATGATGAAGAAGTTAAACCAGCCAAAACTACTGAAAAGATTGAAGCTAAACCCAAATCAAACGAGGAAACCAAAAAGATTAAGAAGAGAAAGCATGAAGATGTAGAACAACCAAAAACAGAGAAGATAACGAAAGCACCTGTTGTGCAAGTTGCAGCTCCAGTATCAGCTCCATTACCAGTTCAAAAATTATCACCATTACAACAAAAAATGATGGCTAAATTATCAGGATCAAGATTCAGATGGATCAATGAACAATTATATACAATTTCATCAGAATCAGCCTTGGAATTAATCAAAAATCAACCTGTTTTATTCGATGAATATCATCAAGGTTTCAGATCCCAAGTTGAATCATGGCCAGAAAACCCAGTCGATGTATTTGTGGATCAAATCAAATTAAGAGGAGGCAATAAACAAGTCAATGCTCCAGGTGGATTACCTGGTTTACCTAATAAAAAGATTGTCATTGCTGATATGGGTTGTGGTGAAGCACAATTATCTTTAGATGTTTCTAATTTCGTTAAACAATATAATGCTAGTCAACAAGAGAAAAATAATAATAATAATCAAAAGAAGAAATTCCAAAAGGGAGGTAATAACAGAAGATTCCCAACTGGTGGTCCAAGATCATTGGATATTGAAGTTCATAGTTTTGATTTAAAGAAACATAATGATAGAATCACTGTAGCTGATATTAAAAATGTTCCATTACCTGATAATTCATGTACTGTGGTTATATTTTGTTTAGCTTTAATGGGGACTAATTTCTTAGATTTTGTGAAGGAAGCTTATAGATTATTAGCACCAAGAGGAGAATTATGGATTGCCGAGATTAAATCTAGATTTACTGAATCTGGAGAAAAGACTAAGAAGCAAGAAGATATTGGAAAAGAATTCGTGGAAGCTCTTAAATTGAACGGATTCTTTCATAAGAATACTGATAATTCAAATAAAATGTTTACCAGATTTGAATTCTTTAAACCTGCTCAAGATATTATAAATGAAAGAAAAGCAAAGTTAGAAAGAAGACAGAAATTTGTAGAACAAGAGTCTGAAAAGGAGGAATTAGAAACAAAAAGACAAACTAATCCAGAAGGAAAATGGTTATTAAAACCTTGTATTTATAAGAGAAGATAGAGTATATAAGAAATAATAGTTGCAGTTTATTTGAAGATAATTGTAAGCGGTCTAATCGGTACGAAAGAGGTATGGGTCATAAATGAAGACTACTTCATACTACAACTCTAGAACAAAATAAATCTGTAATAATAATAAGTATAAGTATATATTAATAGCGACAGTCAAGCTTTCGATTTTATGAGTACACGAAAATTTTATAAAGATTGGTATTCTAAGTAGTAAGTATTATCCTAAATAAAGAGACAAGTTAATAACGACATTGTACACCTAGATGCAACACATAGCACATGCAGTGGCTTCAGGTTAAAAGGAGTAACATATCAATGATAAACTATTGCTTCAATTGATTTGTTTATATTTTATATATAGCGTATATACAGGATCAAGTCATCATGTGATGTATCATGTGATCAAACTTATTTTTTGTAAAGTTTCGCACGACTCTTCTTTTTTTCACAGCCAGCCATTTTTTTAAACCCCAGATATGGTAACTATGAACCAGCCGTTACTTGCAATAAGGGAGCTTAACAATAGGTTGTATTTGAAAAAATGTAAGGTTATATCATTTACTATGAATTTTGTTTAATGTGGAATGTTTAACACTATCATATATAATAAAAATGGTCCCCATTTAAATTTGAAGTTAGGTGTTTAATAGTAAGTATATCACTTTCTTTTCATAAAGATACACTATTAATCAAACTAATATGAGTGATTATTACGAACCTACATTATTATTCAGAAGGAACGCTAAGCGGTTCAGTCCAGAGTCTTCTCCAATGGCCAGTGTGGAAAGTTTACATTCTAATACCAGTGCTAAATCCAATTCATCATCAACTTCTTCCAATAAATCTACATCATCTTCATGGATGTTAAATTTACAAAATCCTCAAGATACTCAAATATTAAATCAATCATGTTCATTGAATCGATTAAACATTAAATCCAATTATTGGAAAATACCTGATAACAACTATAATTTAACTTCGATGGCTATTAAGAATATTAATAATGATGAAACTACATTAGCTATTTCAAGTGGGAATAAAGAATCAAATTTATTCATTTATGATTTGAATTTATTTGATAATTATTTAACTCATCAATCAACTATATCATTACCTAACATCTATGGGATGAAATGGTTTAATTCAAATTATCTTATCACAGGTAATAGTAAAGGGTATGCTCATTTAGTTTATATCCCTCATAATATGGATGATAATCAAACTAACGACGATGGAGAGGACCAAGCCGAAATCATTAAAAGATTCAATCATAGAAAACATTTAAAACAAAAAATATCATCAGATAAATCAAGTGCTATATCAAAATTAAACATTATACCAAATCAAGATCATTTAATCTCATTATATCAAAATAATCTCTTTTATTGGGATATTAAAGATTGTGAATCACAACAACGTCCATCACCAATATCGATATCGAAGATTCATGGAATTAAAAACTTTGAAATCTTGAATTTAACTAGTTCAACCATTGGTATTTGTGGTAATTTTGGTATTTCCTTATTTGATTTAAGAGATAATAAATTTAGTGTACCAGTTTCATCTTTACAAGAACATTCAAAACAAAAATTAAATACAAATTTAATTAGGGTGAATCCTCAAAATGAAAATTTATTAGTGGCAAGTCATGGTGATAGTGTGATAAGATTATGGGATATTAGAAAACAAAACAATTACGTTAATTTAATTGGTCATCAAAATAATGTGTCAAGTTTACAATGGAATAATGGAGATTTATTCAGTGGTGGTAAAGATGGGAATATCATTCATTGGGATTTAACTACCAATATGAGAGAACCAGAACATGATGAAGTGATTAATTGTTCATTAAAGGAAGGGTTCGATAGTATTAATTTCAATTCTCAAGCTAATAAATTAGAAACTTGTTTAAATCAAAGACAATGTGGAACTTTATTACCTGCTTCAAATACAAATATTATTGGTATGGAATCTTTAAGAGGTAGTGGTAATGATGATAAGGATTTAAAAGTATTATCAATAGATAGTTCATCATTCTTTGGTATTCATTCTAAGATCTATGAATCGATTAATATTAATATTAATTCAGATAAGATGTATTATACCGATGATGATATACAATTATTGATAAATGCTCAACAATCATCGTTGAATACATTAGTGGAAGAAGATGAGGTTATAGCTGTGAATGAAACTCCAGTATATGAACTGGAAATGGTCAAACCATTGGCTGTATCAAGAAAATCTACATCTACATTCCAACCACCACAACCTATAATATCATCTAATCAAAACATGTCTAATGAGACTTTATTAGATGAATTAGACCAGAATGATTTCAATCAAGATTCATATAAATTAGACATTGATATGAGTAAGATTTTTGATAAATCTCAAACTCAATCTCCAATAAGTCATGAATTCCACCTTAATGAAAATGAAAAGGAGATCAATGAAATTAAAGAATCTGATATTGAAGAAGATGATGATGAATTTGATTTCACTCAACCTCAATCAGCTTTCTCGATGTATAATTTACAATCTTCTCATGATACCACCACTACTAAAACCAAAAAATCAGTTAATTTCTCTGCTTATTCGATTGATTCAACAGAACCAATCCATTATCATATGCAATCTCCAGGCATATCACTTTCAAGTCCTGAAACAACTCAAGAATCAATCCATTTCAATTCCACCACTCTTGATTCAATCGATACACCCCCATCATCTATCAACTCCTCCCCAAGATTAAACGAATCTAATAAAGATGATTTTCATTTTAATTTATTAGATGATCTTGACTTCAATTTCGGTACTAGTTTAAGTACGAATATGTTTAATGAAATTAATCCAAATAATCATACTACTGGTACAAAGAGTAATCCTATATCTATATAGACTATGTATACGTATAACCTAATTAATAATGTAATGACTGATTTTACCAAAGCTGATTGTAGTTGAAACATATCTGTTGCAAAACTATGTAATTCTGTGCCTATATATAGTAACGAAATAGAAAATCCTGTATATAATGATGATGTTGAAAGAGTGCCATACCTCAATAGTTACCTGAAGGCTTAATTTAGTCAACTGTGACTAACGGTTAGTAATCTATAAATAGGAATAAGAGAGAGAGAGAGAATGATAGGATATGAAGTGAGTTATTATTATTTAAGATGTATTAGAAAGGAAATGGAATGAGATATATATGTCGCTAGTAATGATAATCTAGAATCGTAGTGTGATGCTTATGGTCGATCAGTAAACGGTTGTGGAACCGTTTCAAAAATACTAAGACAGATCGCCGTACCAATAAGGCTATCCATGATCTAGACTATCTCTAAAGAGACATACAATACTTAATAACTTATTAGTAAACCATAAGTAATATCAATATACCATCATCTCTAATGAATTCCGCTAAGAAATGGCTGTTAAAACGTTGAAAGAAACCATAATTAACAGCCATAATTTATTTCTGCCTAATTAAAAATAAAATGACACACAAAAAAAAGGAAGGCCAAAAAGAGTGAGCAAAAGGGGTTGAAATAAAATTTCTGTGTATTTATAATTTACAGCACATTTTTTGAATTTCAACCAATCAATCCAATCCACCTTCCCACTCCATCCCATCCCACCCTCAATCAATCAATCAATCAATCTAACTAATAACAGATATAGACGTGGATTGATACATATATATAGAGAAGACCCTCATTCTTAGCATCTATCGTCGTCGTTCTTATTTTCTTACGAGGGCTGTGTCATATATACTTTTTGTTGATCTATTCCCTTCACCGCTAGGAAAAGGCATCCAACACCAGTCAAACATCTGATTAATCAATATCAGTTCATAGGTCTATCTAAGTAAGTGATCATACTTCACATATATCAAACGGTTTTGATAGATTGGATCAAGTCAAATCATCATCATCCGCGTCATCATTAACTTTGTTTAACTTTTATTCTGTCATTTCATTTTGTTGCTGTTTAATTTCAAAATATTAGTAATACTATCTCCTTATCAACAGTAATCTGCTGATAGTTATTCATAATCCCGTAATCATCATCATAATCATTCATTCATAATGTCCACTACCAGGCAAGCACAACAACCAGCAGTCATCAGTGTTAAAGTTGTTGCTGCTGAATCACTTTATAAACGAGATGTATTTCGACATCCTGATCCATTTTCAGTTATAACTGTAGATGGATCTCAAACTAAAACTACTAAAACTGCTAAAAAGACTTTAAATCCTTATTGGAATGAAACTTTTTCATTCAATGTTAAAGAAGATTCTATTTTAGTCATTCAAGTATTTGATCAAAAGAAATTTAAAAAGAAAGATCAAGGTTTCTTAGGAGTAGTTAATATTAGAGTTGGGGATGTTATTGATTTATCAGTACCAAATTCTGAAGAAACCATTACTAGAGATTTAAAAAAATCAAATGAAACTTTAATTGTAAGTGGTAAAATTATAGTTGTAATATCATATTCAAGAAATAGATCTTCAACTAATGGTTCATCTAGAAATGGTTCAAGTGCTCCACCTCCAGCTTCTGCTGCTTCCACTGCTTTAGCTGGTAATAGATCTTCAACTTCAGCAAATCAAAGTAATAATACCAATAATCGTTCCCTGTTCAATTCTTCTACCAATACCAATAATACAAATCCACCAGATGCCAATAATCAAAATAGACAATATTCTTCATTTGAAGATCAATATGGTAGATTACCTCCAGGTTGGGAAAGAAGAACGGATAATTATGGTCGTACTTATTATGTCGATCATAATTCGAGAACTACAACTTGGCAAAGACCAACTTTAGATCAAACTGAATCGGAAAGAGGTCAACAACGTCAAACTACTACTGAAGCTGAAAGAAGACAACATCGTGGTAGAACCTTACCAGGTGAAACTCCTTTATCACCAGATTTATCATCAGCATCAACTAGTAGTGTTAATGTTACTGTCAATGCTACTGGTGATAATTCTCCTGTAAGTCCTGCTGCTGCTGTTTCAATGGCTGCTTCTGGTGCAACCACTAGTGGATTGGGAGAATTACCTGCTGGTTGGGAACAAAGATTTACTAATGAAGGTCGTCCATATTTCGTTGATCATAATACAAGAACAACTACTTGGGTTGATCCAAGACGACAACAATATATTCGTACCTATGGATCCAATACTACTATTCAACAACAACCAGTAAGTCAATTGGGTCCATTACCATCAGGTTGGGAAATGAGATTAACAAATACGGCCAGAGTTTATTTTGTTGATCATAATACTAAGACAACAACTTGGGATGATCCAAGATTACCATCATCATTAGATCAATCAGTTCCACAATATAAGCGTGATTTTAGAAGAAAGGTGATTTATTTCCGTTCTCAACCTGCTTTAAGAATCTTACCAGGTCAATGTCATATTAAAGTCAGAAGAGATCGTATTTTTGAAGATTCTTATCAAGAAATTATGAGACAAACTCCAGAAGATTTAAAGAAGAGATTAATGATTAAATTCGAAGGTGAAGAAGGGTTAGATTATGGTGGTGTTTCTCGTGAATTTTTCTTTTTATTATCTCATGATATGTTTAATCCATTTTATTGTTTATTTGAATATTCATCCCATGATAATTATACTTTACAAATTAATACCAATAGTGGTATTAATCCTGAACATTTGAATTATTTCAAATTTATTGGTAGAGTGGTAGGATTAGGTGTATTCCATAGACGTTTCTTAGATGCATTCTTTGTCGGAGCTTTATATAAAATGATGTTACATAAAAAAGTGGTATTACAAGATATGGAAGGGGTTGATGCTGAATTTTATAGATCATTAAAATGGATTCTTGATAATGATATTACAGATGTATTAGATTTAACCTTTAGTGCTGAAGATGAAAGATTTGGTGAAATTGTTGAAGTTGATTTGAAACCAGGTGGTAAAGATATTGAAGTTACTGAATTAAATAAACATGAATATGTGGAATTAATTTCAGAATGGAAGATTTCAAAGAGGGTTGAAGAACAATTTAAAGCATTTATTGATGGATTTAATGATTTAATTCCTCAAGAATTAGTTAATGTATTTGATGAACGTGAATTAGAATTATTAATTGGTGGTTTAGCTGAAATTGATGTTGAAGATTGGAAGAAACATACTGATTATAGAGGTTATCAAGAAAGTGATCAAGTTATTCAATGGTTCTGGAAATGTATTAAAGAATGGGATTCTGAACAAAAGGCAAGATTATTACAATTCACCACTGGTACTTCAAGAATCCCAGTTAATGGATTTAAAGATTTACAAGGTTCAGATGGTCCAAGAAGATTCACTATTGAAAAAGCCGGTGAATCAAATCAATTACCAAAATCACATACTTGTTTCAATAGAGTTGATTTACCTCCATATACTGATTATGAAAGTTTAAGACAAAAATTAACTTTGGCAGTTGAAGAAACCGTTGGATTTGGTCAAGAATGATCTCATTTACTATTCGATTCCATTGTCATTGTTAATAGTAGCATTTCGCTCCATTTTGCATGTATTTTTAGTCAACTTGTTCATATAAATATCCTTTAAAATTGTAAAAACATAAAAAAAAAGAAAGAAACTGGGTACCAAATGATTCATTCATCCTTTCAGTTCAAATTTAATGCCGACATACTTATACACACAGATATATAAATATTCTATTCGGGACCTATATCATGTCTTTTTTTTGTTTCTGTATTTGCTATTAGTTTATGAGTTTTTTTTTATATATGTTACATAAACTGTTATTTACTTTTATTTAAAAATTTATTATTATTATTATTATTATTATTATTATTATTATTATTATTATTATTAGTTTCTCCAACTAGGTGAAGTGTTGTTATATTTGTCCGGATATATCTCGCACAACATGGATTGATCAACACTATGTGAACACGTATTAGAAACGATTTTCATCCACCACAATAGAAGGAATAAGATAGATTTAAATTCGTAAAAGTCAAAATTCACTGTGGACATTAGATTATTCAAGTCATAAAGTATGCAATTACGACAATGGGATCAATAGAATAGAATTGGATCAATCAATCGTAAATGAATGACGATAAGCGCTAAATTAAACCTAATTCGAATTAAGCATGAGACATAATCAATAAAGAAGAATCCACAGATTTCAAAATGCCTTGCTTGCCCAATAAGACAAAAATTAAAAGTAATCGTTGAATTATATATGATGTCGCTCTCGCCTCGCTTTCCGTTCCGCAACCACAAGCACGCATGAAAATTTTGACAGGGCATGTTCATACATTATAGCGAATACTTTCAATTATACTTCTAGTTCTTCCAGAAACCCTAAGGCTAAGGCTAAGGCTAATGATGTCTGATTCATGAGTTATGAAATTAGGTATTACAAACTTTTCTTTTCTAAATGAAAGAATGTCACCCTATTTTGCATTACTCATCACTAATGGATAAGCTATTTATCACACGTTGACAAATTGACAAACCCTCAAGGAGGTACCTTACTAGGGTAATAAAAACTGTGGAATTCATAAAATATTATTTAACTGTAAAATTTGTCGTTCCTCTAATGGGTGATTTCCCGCTTCAGTTTATTATGACAAGAGGAGAGATTACAAAATGGACATCTAAAAACTGTGGTTGCGAAAAAAAAGAATTAATGCGTTCTCGTGCAACGTGAATTTTAAAATATGGAAGGAAGTATGCAATGTATTTTGAATTAGGCAATTCTAACAACAACTGCAAAAATGTGATATTGAAACATATCAGGGCGGGCGGAATATTGTGTAGTTAAGCCGTAGTCAAATTGAAGAGGAGTTACTAGTTTAAAATGCGATGGTAAATCAGAGCTTATTGTTAAGCCAAGTGTGGCATGGGAAACACTCAAAACCACCACCGCCATTATTATCATTATTATCTCGATAAGGAAAGGAAAGCCTCTTGGTTACTTATTATTTACTAATTTAGATTTTTTCAGCCATTGTTTTTCGATGTATATTCTTTCTTAGATTGAAAAATTGATTTTGAAATAAAAAAAAACTATATAAATAAAGTTTTGAAGTATTAAATACCAAGAAATTTTTCATAAAAGTTTAGATCCTTTTTAGTCAAGCAAATAGGTCTTACAAGTCATCCACTAATAAGTTTACTATGGCTAGTATTTTCAAAAAAGTCATTCTGCCAATATTTGGTATTGATGAAAATCAAGAATTAATTCGTAAAGATATCGATAGCATAACTGATGAAGATTATCAAAACTCTATTGGTGCTCCAGTTGAAACTCAAAATCCATTAGGATATAATTTAGATTATGTTTCTGCTTTTTATATGGTTATTCAAGGGATTATAGGTACTGGTATCTTTTTAACTCCTGCTTCAGTTTTAAATTCGATTGGTTCGGTTGGTGCAAGTTATGTATTATGGGTTGCAGGATTTTTCATTGCGCTTTTCGAAGTGCTTGTTTACGTTGAATTTTCAACTTATTATAAAAAGAGATCAGGTGGTGATGTAGCTTATTTAGAACAAGCTTATCCTAAACCTGATTTCTTAGTTCCAACCACTTATGCTGCTGTTTCAGTTGTGTTATCATTTTCAGTTTCATCAGCTATTGCCTTTGGTACTTTTGTTTTAACTGCTTCTGGTACTGAAATTACTACATGGAAGGAAAGAGGTGTTGGTGTTGCCATTTTAACTTTTGCTGCTTTGATTACTGTTTATAATTCTAAATGGTCATTAAAATTAGCCAATCTTTTAGGATTTATTAAAATGATTTCAATTGCTTTTATTATCATTACTGGTTTTGTGGTCTTAGGTGGAGGTACTAGAGTTAAAAACCCTCATAATGTATTTAAAGATGCATGGAAGGGATCAACTAGTAATGGTAATGGTATTGCCAATGCTATTATTAATGTTTCATTTTCATATTCTGGTACTCAATATGTATTTAGAATGGTTGGAGAAACCAATCCAAAAAAGACTAAGAATTTATATAGATATTTTATTCCAGGAGTTGTGATTTCAATTTTTTTCATTTATATTTTATTAATCACTGTATTTTATGCTGGTGGTGGTACAACTGTTGAAGAAGTTAAAGCTGCTGGTGAATTATTGGCATCTCATTTCTTTGAGAATGTATTTGGATCGAAAGCTGCTACTAAGGCTTTAGATAGTTTAATTGCTTTAAGTGCTTTAGGTCATTTATTAACTGTGTTTGTGGCTACTTCCAGAACATTAAGAGAATGTGGTAGACAAGGTGTTTTACCATATCCAAGAGCTTGGACTTCAACTAAACCATTTGGTACTCCTGTATTAGGAGTTTTCATTACTTGGGTGGTTAATTTAATTGTGTTATTAGCTCCACCAGCTGGTGATGCTTATAATTTGGTGGTTTCTATTGGATCATATTCGGGATATTTCTTTAAGATTTTATTAGCAGTTGGATTATTATTAGTTAGAAGACAAAGAAAACAACAAGGATTAGGATATCAAGGGTTTAAATGTCCATTAATTTTCATTATTATTACCTTAGTTTTCTACTTGTTTGTGATTGCTATGTCATTTGTTCCTCCAAATAATGGTAGTTTAATTGGATCTGACGTTACATTCTTTTATGCCACTTATTGTTTTGTTACTATTGGACTTTTAGCATTATGTGTATTTTATTATTATGTTTGGGCCAAGATTTTACCAAGCTTTGGAGGATATGTTCATAGAACCGTTTATTATATTTTACCAAATGGTGAAAGGGGACATACTGTTGTTCAAGTTAAAAAAGATGAAGTTGAAAAGTTTGATAAGGAACATGATTCATTAGGTAGATTATTAGTTGATGATGATAGTGAAAACAATGCTACTTCATCCATAGAACAAGTAGCTTTTACTGTTGATTCAGAAAAGAAAGCATAATCTTAATTGTATGTAATTATCTAATCTATCTATATATATATATATATTGTTTTAATAAAGTAATATTATCATAATTGATATCAGGTAAATGCCACTGACGGCTGGTTATAGAATAAATCTGGATCATTCCATTCTTATCGTTAATGTACAATCATTGTTAACATGAAAAATCTTGCAAATGAAATCTTCTATCATCGAAGTCGAAGTCTAAATGTGGAGGAGAGAACATTTTAAACCTTCGGACTTGTATTACAAGTGAAATAACTGGGATGGTATAGTATTTGCAAAAATTACGGCACGGGAAGTGAAATGAACGGCTTTTCGGAATGGAAGTAGGAATTAGGATATGATCTCCGAACTAATAAGCACTAAATGTGTAAAGTATCTAATTATATGGAATAAAGGTCTAGATTACAATGATATCCATACCTGTATATAACGATATGAATGTCACCATTTTTTTGGTTTATCGTCCCCTCCTTTTTGTCTTTGTGTTCCATCTTTTCTTTTTTTTGCCATCACTCCTCGTTCCTCTTCCTTCAGCTCCTCTTTCTCTCTGCTCCTCCTCCTCCTCCTCCTCCTTCTTTGATAATACCCCCACGAACCTATTTTGGTACAATATCAATCATTATCAATGGTTGATGTATTATATTACACATGAAATAATTTAGTCATCTCGCAGTAAGAATGAATAATATGAATTGAACTGATATTTTCTACATCATGTGAAGTACACACACACTTTAAATAAATCCTGTATCGTAACAACCTAAACAATGTGGGTAATGCTAAATATATTTATTGTGGGGGTACGTGCTTGCAAATTCATATCATCTTCTCTGTTCTCCTCTTTTACAGTATTTTTCACTTTTTCTATGTAACAATCTTTTATTACTAATGGTTTAATCATAATTGTATAGTTATTTTATAGTAGTTATGGCTGATTATTATTATTCTGGTATAAATAGCATTATAAGTCCCCCAGTAAATTTCTTTATCTCTATTTCCTTTTCATAATTCATTCTATATTCAGTTAATTTCCTAATCTATAGTACAAACAACAACTACAATAACAACTTACAATGCCTGATTTATTCGATAATTTCTTTAACAAATTAAATACTAAAATAAACGGTGGTAAAACTACTCATCATTATGGTGGTGCAAGTCAAGTAAATACCGGAAGTTTCTATAGTTATCATTCTACTGCTAATAATAATAACTATTGGTTACCAAAAGATAAAAAAGAAGCTGGTGTTGGAGGTTCAACCCCTATTACCATTAAGGAAAGATCTCTGAGTATCGCCTCAGTGACTTCTGATATGGATGATACCCCAAGATCAAGATTTAATAGTGTTTCATCAGAGAAGTAAGAGTGAATGAATGAATGAATTCTGGTGCATATTAAATCTTTCAGTTCAATGGGTTTGGGTTTTTCTTTTATGGTCATATATTCTTTGACTTCTATGTTTTTGTTAATATGAACTCTCTATTTATCTTTCCTTGTGGCATATATTTATAAATAAACGAAATCATTTTTTATTTTAAAATTAAAAATCTATAAAGAATTGTTCCATAAAGTTGATATCTTCTTCCGTAAGATTATATAAAAATGGGGTTGGAGTATGTGCACCGCCACTATTTGATGTATTTTCAACCGTTGTAGTGGTGGTAGTAGTAGTACTGGCCGGTGGTAGTGTACTTAAAAAGGTACAATCAAGTATATCATTAATTTGATATTGATAATTAATTATATCACTATTAGTCGTAGTATCAGTTATAGAAGTTGTACTTGTTGATAAGGATATAGAAGAAGCAGTTTTGTTTATGGTAATTTTTTCTTCATCAACTTGCAGCCATTCACTTGCATCATGTTGAAACATATTCATATGATTAATTAAATCTTGATATCCTAAATCAATCAATAATTTCTTTAATGATAAGATTAATTCAACAATTTGAAATAATTTCCCCTTGGCAATAAGATTCCCACTTAATTTCATTTCATTTATGATATTTAACCCTGTTTTTAAATAATTTTGAATATCATCTTTATCATCACCTTCGTTAATCAATATCAAACAAATTAAAAACACCAATGAACAACTAAATAAAAAATCTAAATCTGTCATCCCAAATATAGTTAATTTATTTCGATTAATTAATGATAGGAATATATTAATGGTTAATTTACTTGAATTTAAAATTGAATTAATCAAATTCTTAATATTGGTAGGAAAGAATGATTGTCCTTCATGCAGTTGGAATTGATTATGTTTATAATAATTTATGATTTTAAACTTAACTAGGTTTATCAACATTGGAATATTAGTTAAATAAATATGATGTAGATAATTTAAATGTAATGAATATATCAGTCGATCATTATCACTAACTTGATGAAGATTTAATCGTAAGAATGGTGGAATGTTATTAATCCAATTAATCAATATTTCCATAATAGATATGATGGACCTAAGATATTGGGATTTATTTTGTTTGGTAGTGGTATTTGATTTATATAATTCATTGGTGATTCTATCACTTATCTTTGCTAATTCAATATAAAATTTCATACAAGTTTCATTGGCATAATCATCACTTGAAGTAGGGACTATAGATGAATCTTTAACATTATTATATTCATCATTTGAAATATCATTTAAATGTAATAATAATGGTTGACTGATTCTAACACTATAAAATCGATTTAAACAAAAGGTTTTCCACCATAGTTTATTCAAATATTGATTACTTAAATTATCATTATTGATTTCAAATGATCTTAAACTGGATTCTTTATGGAGATTTAACGATATGCATAACTGTAAAGATTGTAAAGTGAATGAAACGGCTAATGTCTTCTTATCTATCATTCTTAAATAAATTGAAATCAATCCTAATAATTCAATGATTTCAATCATATTCTCAAGGGATTTATAATCATCGTAGTAATAAAATGGCGATGGTAAATGATTCAAAACAATTTTAAAATATTTTAATCCTGGTAATTGTTCTTTTTTGATAGTATGACTCTTCTTTTTCTTCCTTCCTATGGTCAACTTCCTATCATAAATTTCACCTAACGATAGTATCATTAATAATTTTAATATGAAGTATCTATCATTGGACGTTATGACCTTTAATGGTAACTTCCCACCATTAGAATTAAATAATTGATTTAGTTTGAGTTTAAACTGTTCAATATTGGTGATAGTCAAATACCCCACATTTATGAATGAAATCACAGCATCAAATAATTTTAAACTTTCCGGAAGAGTTATACTTTGAAGTATACTTTCAGTAACATTTTCACTATAATGTTGATGATTACTTGCAAATAGATAATTATATGTTTTCTCTTCAATAAAAGTATTAAAATCAGGACTATTGACCGGCAATTGACTATTAATAAATTGTTTTGAAGTGAATTGTTTTAGATTCCAACATATCAACTCGCATGATCCCGATCCTAGCCACACAGAGATATCAGGAGCATCAGAATCATCATTATAACTTGAAGTTGATGATGGGGCGATAGTAATCGAATGTGAAGTGGATGAAGTTGAAGATTTGATCATATCTAATTCAGACTTCAATTGTTGAATTTGCATTTGATATTGCTCCACTTCAATATCATAAATCTGAATTCTCTTGGGTTTTCTAGGATATTCACACATATGATTGAATCGAATGCAAGTTTGACATGGATACAGGCCCAGACACTTCGTTTTCCTTCGTCTACATCTTATACATGCCAATACTGACCTCCTTTCCGTTAACTTGTACCGTTTACGACCACTTGCATTCAGGTCGCGTTCCTCAGAATGATCCTCTTCGCCCAATGATTCGTCAATTGACATAGAAGTACTTGGTGATATCGATACTAGTTCTTCTTGTGACATCTCGTCATTCTCCTTAACACTAACCGTAACCTTCATACTGTCATCCCACTAATGATGTCTAAAATGTGCTGCCAAAAACTTTTACTTGGTACAATTTTTCAGGTGTCACTATTTTTTAGTTTGTTACACGATCGGTAAAATTTGGCAAAAATACCGATCTGGCTTTAAGTACGATTTTAAAAATTTTACAATTTGTAAAGTAATATATTGAGGATGAAGTATAAAAAAATTGAATAGAAAGTGTAGAATAAGAGAAAGAGAAGAAAGTAACTATGATTGTAACTATTAAAAAAACATTAAAAAAGTAACATAAAGAAGAATTAATAAAGAGGAATATAAACAAATATTAGTGAATTAAGCTTTGAAAGTTGTAAATCATTAATATCATGAAGAGAAATGAAAAATAAAAGTATGAGAAGTAGAATGAAATGAAGTGAAGTGAAAATATGGAACTGTAACGATACAAATTATGACTGATGAGTGAATGAATTAATTAATGAATGAATGAATGAGAAGATGACTGGAGTAGAAATGAAATGACTAATTAACTTATCTTTAGAAACAACAGTAAAACAAGGTTCTGAGACATCCATTACCTTGATGTTTCCTACGTTCATTGAAACTAGAAGTATCAGAATGTAAATCACCATCGTCACGAACAGGTAACATACCATGTTGTTGTTGATAAGCTTGTGATTGACTATTATATACACCACCATTACTGTTATTATTACTATTACTTAAGAATTGTTGATTTCTTGGATCTTGTGAGATCGATTGATAGTTACCAATTGATAATGATTTTGGTCGTGAATTTCCATGATTGTTCGAAGAACTTCTTAAATTCCGTTGTGGTGATAATAATTTTGAGTTCATAGAATCATTTCTATTATGTTGTTGTTGTTGTATTTGTTGATGTCTTTGTTGATGTTGTTGTTGTTGTTGAGCCAGTCTTTGTTGGTTGTTTGGTGGATGAGGATTGCCATATCCATGTAAATTAGCCTTTTTATTTAAAGCCGCATCCCAACCTCTTCCACCATTCAAGTCCATCCAATCATAATGACCATCTTCATCCACTCCTAAAGATACTAAAACCTTTTCCATTAAATTAACTAAATATTTATAATCTGGAGTTTCATCGAATTTTAAATTTCGAACATATGACATGTATTGACTAAATTGAATCGGGAACCCGTAACATAATTCATTTAAACTGGTAGTTTGTTTCTTTAATCCAATCTTTTCATATTTTTGTTTATTGGTTGGAGCTTTTAAACCTTGCCACGGTAAGGATCCTCTTAAAAAGTACATAAACACATGACCCAAACTTTCTAAATCATCACGTCTCAGTTGTTCTCTACCTAAATGAGTATTTATAGACATGTATCTTGCTGTTCCACTTAATGCTTTCTTTTCGCGGTATGGAATATGCTGTTTTGATTTTGGATCTCGATATTGCTTTGCCATTCCAAAATCAACTATATAAACTTGATTTGCAAATGGAGTACCTGGTTTACCAATTAAGAAATTATCAGGTTTAATATCACGATAAATTAAATTATTTTCATGAATAGTTTCAACTCTTTCAATCATTTGTTTAGCAATTTGAACCACGGTTTTAACAGAGAATTTTCTATGACACCAATCAAACAAATCTTCTAATGAAGGACCTAAAAGATCAATGATTAAAATATTATGAACACCTTCTTGACCGAAAAAGTAAGCTTGAGGTATACCTTGACAACCATGTAAAATTCTATAAGATCTATATTCATCTCTTAATTGAGGTGCTTCACATTTTCTTGGTTCGAATTTTATAGCAACTTGTTGATTATTTAAGATATTTATTCCTTCAAAGATGATCCCGAAAGATCCTTCCCCTATTTTCTTGCCTACTTTATAATGAACTCCAACTATATTGTTTGAAGATTGTTGAGCCATTGCATGAGATTTATATGAATATGTTTAGGAGTGAGATATATATATATGTGTCTGTGTGTGTGTGGAATCTACGTGATTAAATGTACAAGAATGAGATGAAATGCAGTAGCTATGAAATGATTAAGGAATGACAAGAAGATGAAGAATGAGGGAATGAATGAATTAGTTGATATGATGATCTGATAAGAAGATTAATGAAATGAGTGAATTAAAGTTGAAACCTAACCAATGAATATAAAATGAACAAATGTTAAAGCAAAATGAATGGAAAAGAAATGACTAGCAATGGAGAATGAACTCTCTTTTTCTTTACTATTCCTGAGATGAGACTATCTCTTGAATTATTGACTTCTGGTTGTACAATATCGAAAACTTTCGTTCTCAGTTGTGTTTATTTGTCTGTCTGTTGCTTCCTTCACCAAATAAAACAATAAAACGATACCCAATCAATCAATCAAAGTCCATATGCGGTGATAAGTGGTGCGGTGTATTGCTTGACGACAGGTGATGATGGTGGGGTGGATGAAGTGTGGTGGTACTGTTAACTATTTCGATGAATGATGGTGGTAAATATCAGTGATGATGATGATGGTAGTTAAATTTTAAAATTTTTATTTTTATTTTTATTTTTATTTTTTCTTTTGCTCACCACCTTTGACGAAACATATCAATTTGAACAATAGAAAGGTATTTACAGCCAACCAATCGATAGTAGAGCGATATCCACAGCAACCATCTCATCAAGGTTAGATCATATCAGAGTATATACCGAAAGAGAGCCAGGATGAGTTCAACGCCAGCAGGAGCCAGTGGCACCACTAATACGATATTCAAACCCAATAGTACGGTATACGCGTATCATGGACCATTAATATATGAATCAAAAGTATTAAAAGTATATGATTTCAAACAAGATAAAATCATCAATCATGAGTTCAAACGAGAGCAATTTAAAGAGAATCTTAAATTCAATCGTGAGTTGTTTAAGGTGAATCAACAGGATGGTTATTTCTTACACTATCAAGGATGGAATTCAAAATGGGATGAATGGGTTAATAGTGATAGAATCTTAGAGTTCAATGATATGAATAAGTTTAAGAAGACTGAGTTGGATCAGTTGAATAAGAAGAAGAAAGTGAGTAATGTGGTGATTAATGGAGGTGTGAGTACTGGTATTAGTACTGGTAATAATAATAATAATAATGGAAGTTCAAGTGGAAGTAAGAGGAAAGAAGGTAGTGAAGGTTTAACTGGTAGTAATGGGAATAGTAATGGATCAAATAGTAAGAAGCAAAAGACATCAACTCCTGCTAATGTTAAGAATAAAGGTAATCCTACTATTCAACTTGATTTCAATATTAAATTGAAATATATATTGATAAATGATTGGGAATTCATTACCAAGGATAAAAAGATACTAGATTTACCCAGTAAAGCACCTATACTGAAGATACTTCAAGATTATAAATCATTCCGTGAACCATCACTTGATTCTCATCAACAACAAATACTATCAGAGATTTTATTGGGATTAGAATTATATTTTAATAAATCATTAAGTTTAATTTTACTTTATAAATATGAGAATTTACAATATTTGAATTTCTTAAAGCAAGATTTAATATCCAAGGATAAGATTCAACTGAAAGTATATGGCTATGAACATTTATTAAGATTATTGATATCGTTACCTGGTTTAATCAGTGAATCTTTGATTGATACTATAAGTCTAAATGTATTAATTGATGAATTGAATGAGTTATTAAAGTTTTTAACGAATAATATGAATGATTATATTAATGAATATAATAATACCAGTCCTCAATATGATAGTTTAGCTAGAAGTTAAAGTAAATCGATTAATGTATAAAAATGTATTACTACAAGTTTTAAAAAAAAATTTCAGAGAATCGTAAATCGTATATTTCATAAAGGTTTCATAAAACGTAAAGGTTTCATAACAACATAAGAAGGGGGGGGCATTATCTAATGACGTCTATAAGGAGGAGACACAAAACAAGGGAGACTTATCATTGGATTTAAATTGAATTAGAGGAGGAATAATTAGTTGCAACGGCATAAAAGTGGGTAGCAAACTATAAAACAGGAAAAGAAATAAAATAATAATGAATATATCATCTTTTTTAAACCAATGGTACTGACTTATAATCAACTTCAACCATGGCATTTTCATTATTACAACTAATTTCCAATTCTAATTTCCAATGTCTATCAAATAAATCTTCTTCTTCTTGAGTGAATCCATGATCGGATAAATCTTTAAATTTCCAAGTGACTGATTTTGGAGTATCAATAATTTCAGCCTTTTCTAAATTTAATTTATAACCACAACATTTTTCAATATCTTTAATTAAATGTTTATTAATATGATGTTGTAAATGTCTTTTAAAACGTTTATTATTTTTATTCATGGTTGGTTTAATTTTATCTAAATTATCACGACATTCTTTTAAAACAAATGGAGGATAATATTGTAAATGAGCATGATAATAATCAAATTCATTATCCCAAGTTTCATCTCTAATAAAACTTTCAAAAGAAAACAAATCATCAAAATCACGTCTTGCTGGAGGAGCTAACATCGTTTTAATTTCAGATTTATCTTCAGATTCGATCGAGATAATTGATGATGATCTTGATTTTGGAACTGGCATTAAATGTTCTAAAGTTTGACAATTATCTAAATCTAATGGTTGAACAACTTTTTTGTTCTTTTTATCTAATTTAGTCATGATCGTTAAGTATTAATTATTTGTTATATGTAATAATTAAAAATTAAGTAAAGCGTTTTGTATATCGTTGAGCGGGGGGGTATCAAAATATATAAGATATATATGATGAGGAGTGATGAGATAAGAAGAAGAAGAAGAAGAAAGAAAGAAAGAAAAGTACAAATGAAATATAAATGGATATAGGAAATTTATCAATATTTATAGTTACCAATATAATATAAACGATATCGTCGACGTCGTCGACGATATTATTATTATTATTATAACTAGGTTAAATTAACTCATAGTTAATTTTACTCCTCATTGGATGCAAATAATACTAAATTCCGTAAATGGAATCAACAATAAAATAAAATAAAAAATTGTTGTATAGTGTGACTTAAGGTTTTCATTTACATAGTTAAGGGAAAGTGCTGAGGCTGACTTCCCTAACTTTTTTAGTGACTCAGTTGCAGTAACTATTCCGGACATTTCCATTCAGTATATGATGTTTTGATCGGTTTATTTCGTATTGATTAATTAACTGTTTGTTTGTGTATTCTACAACACGTAATAACTGATCACCTCATTATATGTAACCCTTTTAATTAACTTAGTTATGTAATATGACTTAGCTGCTTCTGATCTTACTTCATAGTTTTGTTGATTATTTAAGAAAATGTGGAGAGACTTTTTTTAAAATTTCTTTTTTGCAATGACCCATTTTTGGTTACATTTTCTCTCTCACTCCCTAAGAGCAATAATATTTTACAATAAGCTTTTATTATCCCACTTTTTTAAAATAATGAATAGTGGAGAAATAGTTAATGAAATAGGAGGTGGAGTAAGTAACAGTTTCGAGTGTGGGATGAGATAAATTTTAATTTGTTGAGAAATGTTTATCTATCTATAGCTTAATTTGTTTTAATCATCGATATCTATCAATCGTATAACGATAATGACAAAAGAACAATTTTATAATGACTCATTACTGTCCCACTTTTAGATTTGATTAATTAATTAATTGACAGTTGATTATAACTCCAACTATCAACACTTAATATTAACAACACCTTTGATAGTGTATAGTTGATCATAAATGATCAATGAGGTTATTTTATGTCTACGCGCACACTACCACTCACTAGCTTGTTCTCCTTCCCCTTTTTCTTAACTATGAGGGAATTTCATTTTGTGGAGAAATTGTCATTCACCCTCTTTTTATAATCACACTAGGATAACACTGTTATAATCACCCTCTTTTAAATAATCTTATGTTAAATAAAATCTATTTACCAATAATAGTAAACTGTCGTCATTATATGTTGATTCAACAATAATAATCTGATGTGGTGTTGATTCTTTAATATTTTATCAATCCACATAGTCTATGTTATCTACTGCGGCATGGATGTAGAGAATGTTACCAGTTTATAATTAACGTTATATAATTGACGATACAATATGAACATCCCATTTAATGAGGTTAGAATATACCTTATTCATCTAGTTAACTTTGACATTATCGTAGTTAGTGTAATACCTAGTTTTATTAATATCTCGATGTGTTACTTTATAAAAATAATACAATACAATCTGTGATAGTCGTGTACTTTACCCAATATAGAACCTCATCACTTCTGATGAGGATACATTAAATAATTCAAAAATTTTGATTAAATTGGTTTGATATTTGACACTTTATTACTAACTTGATTTGAACTGCGATAATTCTATTAAAGAATTATTTGCTCCGTATAGGGAGAACCACAACTTGTAATAATTAGCTCGAAAATAATAAAGTTCAATGTATATTAATATATGTATAAATTAATTAATATAATATTGTAGAAAGATTAAATCATATCTCTCAACATCAATCAAAAATCTCTCTGACTGCATTTAACCATATTCACCAAGCAATAATTAACCTATTCAACATGTAATAACCATAATTATATTAATCTTTCAACTTTCTAATTGCATATATAAGTCGCAAAATTACTTATAATTAGATCCCAAAATTAACATGGGCGTGTACTTTATCCTCGATTTTTTTTTCTTATTCAGGGGGTAATTTAAATCTATAAAATTAAACAGAATATATATATATATATATGAGTTTAAATTTGATTTGTTATAATTAGGGAAAATTCCAGAACGTTTTTTGATTACGAACCATGGATTATTCTAGGTGCTGTTAGAATGTTTAAGTTGTATACTAACTAATGATATTTAGCTAGGTCTTATACTAACATTACGCAAGCAGAAATGTTGTTTTTGAAAGTTTAGTAGGGTTTCATGTACGTAGAATCATGGCATCACTCATATTTTGCATTCAAAATGGGACTGTCTGGTGTGATCCGTTTTGTGACAGTGGCCACAATATGTTAGAAAGGAAATGATATCTATTTTTGTTGCTTTTTTACTTACGCTGAATATTTATAGAGTGGAAATTAGATTGAATTCAATTTGAGTTTATGCCATTTTGATTCTATTTAATCTTTTCACGAAAATTACTAACTTTCCTTATAGTATTTGAGTTGTCTATATGGTGTTGAGTTATCTTCCTAACGAAATTAACAATTTTAATATATATATAATTTATTATATCAATTGATTTTAAGTTGTAGGAACTCTTTCATGTTGAATCTCTCTTGTAACTGATCTGATATTCACATTATAACCTGATCAATATTCATTATATGTGAATGAATAACACTCAAATATTGTATGCTAAACTTTAGTCGTGTACTTTAGACAATGTGTTATACTTTCAAAAGGGGGTCAAAAAGGAGAGATGTTGATTTAAATTTTATATCACAGACCACAACTTACTGAAACGTCTTGACTTTGCTATCATGATACAGGAAAGATTTTCATATTTTTTAAGGCTATGACTCAATTACAATGCTTCAGTCTACGGGCATTGTTATAACAAATTTTAATTCAAAGAGTTTATTTAGTTGAAATCATACTAACCATAGTTAGAAATGTTAAAACTTTCTAACTTTTTAGACAAGTCACCCCGGCTTATACTTCAGTGTATAATTTCCGCAATAGAGAGAAATATTGGGTATTATATACAACGTAAGTCCTTACTATTTATAGGGTGAAACGATTGTAATGATCTTTCACGTAAATACTAACTAGGTCGATCAAATGAGCCAGATAGAAGTCGAAAATATTTTAGAATTTTTGATTTTTCCATTGCATTTCAAATATATATATTACTATTTACATAAAATGATTTTGTAGACCTTTATTATAGATAAATTGTAGCATTATGTAGACGACGATATCTATCTGTTTGATCTAATTATAAAGGATGCAAATCTTCCGGTAAAATGTCTCCGTGTCGTAGATCTCATCAAATCTTACACGACATTACCAATCAAACTCAAAAATAAAATTTAAGATTTTATTCAATCTATTTAATAAATTACCTTTTTAAAGTAGGAAAGGATAGTGCCCGGTTCGTTTAGGATATTGGTTTATTTCTGCCAGAGTATTATGGTCCAGTGTATAATTCGTGATTTTATTAACAAAGTTTACAATTTAGGTTATAATTACTTCTAACAGATGATTGAATGATGATTAATGAGAAACTGAGTAAATGACTACTCGTTATGCTCGATCTATGATTTAACTCAGCGTATCATAAGTTTGAAATCTTTCATTACTATTTTAGCTTTCGTTTTTCAAAAAATTATTACGGAAATTGTCTGTTATATTGTAATTGTGGAGTTCACTTCCGAATGATTAAGAGACTGAAAATTGTGGTGTTTTGTTATACCTACCTTAATTTATAGAGTGAAATGATGAATGATTTTGATATTTGATTTCCCAATATATCAAAGTGTTGGGATTTATCAATATCTGTTTATTCAACTTTTCACAACATTTTACTAACTACTTGTTTTTAGAATTCCCACTTAAAGTATTCTTGGGATATTTTAGTTCAAGCAATTACAAGCTCCACATTCTTTGATGAAAGAATACTTTTAATATGTACATAAGTTTAATGTTATATTTTGTTATTTGTAGACGTAATCATCTATAAACCCTCTTACTAATTAAGTGATAAATGAATGTAATACTTAACCAATATAACCTTCCAAACTTAAGATTGCAAAATGTCTTATGTCGCAAATATGGTTTTCCTGTACATACCATTATACCTGCGACATCATCAACCTAATTGAAAGAATCTATGAAAAAAAATTATACTTTAAACCCCAACTCTAAATCACTATCAATAATTCAATCTCATTTCATATATATATACGCCTTCTCACATAATGTTTGGAATATATACTGGGCCTCAGCCACCTCAGAAACCATTCAATGAATTAAATCAAGAAGAACAAGCTGATTTGGGGGCTCGTAAAATGATTGAATTCATGCAATCATGTCCTGGTAAAACTGTTATGTCAGGTGTAATGGGGTTTGGGATGGGTGCTTTCTTTGGGTTATTCATGGCATCTATGGCATACGACGTGCCTATTGGTACATCACCTAATTCAACCATCAGTCATATAAGTCAATTACCTTTTAAACAACAAATGAAATTACAATTTACTGATATGTATAAAAGATCAGCATCATCCGCTAAAAATTTTGGATTCATTGGGTTAATATATTCAGGGGTAGAATGTTCTATTGAAAGTTTAAGAGCTAAACATGATATTGTTAATGGAGTAAGTTCAGGTTGTATAACTGGTGCTGCTCTTTCATATAAAGCTGGCCCACAAGCTGCTGCTTTTGGATGTCTTGGATTTGCCGCATTTTCAGCTGCTATTGATATGTATATGGAAAGTGAAGCTCGTGCTCCTCCTCGTAATGATTATGATGATTAGATATATAGAGATAGGTGTGGTTGTTTAAAGACGTTGTAATTTTAGTTCTTGTAAATATAAATTCGTTTATTAATATCATTCTTTATTTATTATTAATACACATTCAGAAAATAGGAAGAAAAAGAAAGAAAGGAAGTAAAGAAATGAAAATGTAATGAAGTAGAAATACATTGTCTAAAGGAAATGGGAATAATATAATACATATAGGATACATTAACAAAATAAGTAACAATACTCAGGATTTAAATCGGCTAATAGGTAAGAACCTAACAAGAATACCAAGATTAGGACAAGTACACTAAGAATTATGATCACTGTTGATTGAGTTTGAGGGGTCTTAACAGTCCGTGAAGTCTGTTGTAGTTGCTGCTGTTGTTGTTGTTGTTGTAATTTGTCCAATTCTTCAAATATATTCGTTTCTTGTTCATCAATCATCCTCTCTTGTTCAAGTATTAATTGATCCTCGCTGATTTGTTCTTGTTCATCGATTAATTTAATCAATTTGTTGATTTCTAACTTGATATTATTCAAGTGGTGTTTGTCATTGCTGTATTTAATCAATTCGTTTAATTGATGGATCAAAGTGTTGACTCTCTGAATTGGCTGTTGTTGTTGTTGGAAAATATTTCGATTATTACCAAAATTAAGAATCTTATCATTGGCAGGATAACTTTTGAAATTCCTCGTTTTTAAAATATGAGTATTTATACGTTTATTTTCCACAGCTGTAGTATCATCTTCATCATCTAATCCTTCAATATTTGAACTTGAACTAGGTTGAGAATTGATTTTTGGTTGTGATTGTGATGGTGGTTCAACCTCTAACTCGGGGATATTGAATTCATTTCTCTTATGTGCCGAGTAAATCCGTCGTATCTTTTCGTTATCTGATTCAATCTTAGTTATGTCATTATTAATATTATCATTTTGATTCTTGTTTAATTTAGGGTTGGTTATAATTTTATAAGGTAACGGTAAGGGATCACCTAAATTGACGGATGAAGGTTCAAATTTTATCTTATTCATATTATTTTATATGATGATATTTCATATTAATAATACAAGTCTATATGTAATCTCTATAGTTTATCAAGCTTTCAATGGTTTAAAGTAGTTTGATTATACCATGTTTGAGTTGTTTACAAAAATGTATAAACCCATCTTTTGCGTCAAGGATGTTTATGGTTGAAGTTTGGATGTTCATGAAACGCGAAATTCTTTTATGATTTGTGACACGGTCTAATTCCATAGAAAGCTTTAGTACAAATGGTATTAGTAGGTGCTTGTTGACCTGAACTTGGTTGTATGTAATGTAGATATGGTAATTATTGTACTTGGGATTCAAGAGAATTGATTTGAGGTAAATAGAAATAAACAAAAGTTAGATAATTAGTAAAGTTAAGTTTCGCTTGGAATTTAAAACAAATTAACAAGGCTTACTTTTGCAGCTGTTTGAAAATTTGCAAGGAAGTCATTCAAACGTTTAATCAAAGAAGCTGAAAGAAATCTCTGGAATTTCACGGTACCCAGATACTAACTATTCATTGATTATCATACTACGTCATTAAACAAATCAAACCAATCAAGTTAATGAATAACCTCAGCAACACTATCAGTACCAGTACAGCCTAGTAAACTACAATTGACAATGGGACCACTATGACTATTAAAGATGAACCTTATGATACCGAAATATTTTGAATAAAGGTGTTATTCACCCCACAAAAACTGAATAAACTATAAGGAATCAAATTAATGGCCCGCTAGTCCGTCATGCCGTTGCCGGAATCGAATTACCGCTCCTAACCGAGTTCATAATGAGTTACGCTATATTAATTTAACTATTTAAACTTATTTCGGCCCCATTTCCTGTATACAACCTTAAAAATCGGCTTACATAGCCCATTACGTAACTCCTGAACTTTTTTCGTGGGGCAGATGAATCCTGTATGTAGAAAAATTTTTCAAGACAGGGAAGAAATCAAATTAGTCACACAATAATATATGGTGTTTAATCATTCAAAGTATTGAAAGTATTTATAGTTGCAAAAGGGGCCTTAAAGTGTATATTCCTACAGTTATTGTCCTATTTATTATTTATTAAGTCGAAAATTTCCATACTAATTCATCAAATACATCATACAAAATGCCAATGTTAAGTGATCCATCTGTCAAATATAGACAATTCCCACCTGTCCATCTCCCAAATCGTCAATGGCCATCTCGTACTATTAACAAAGCACCAAGATGGTTATCGACTGATTTAAGAGATGGGAATCAATCCTTACCTGATCCAATGTCCATCGATGAAAAGAGAAGTTATTTCACTAAATTAGTTGAAATTGGATTTAAAGAAATCGAAGTTGCATTCCCATCTGCTTCACAAACTGATTTTGATTTTACTAGATTTGCAGTTGAAACTGCTCCTGCTGATGTTTCTATTCAAGTCTTATCACCATGTCGTGAAGAATTAATTAAAAGAACAGTCGAATCCTTAAAAGGTGCTAAAAAAGCCACAGTACATATTTATTTAGCTACATCTGATTGTTTTAGAAATGTGGTATTTGGTTTAACTAAAGAAGAATCTAAAAACTTAGCTGTGAAATGTACTAAATTAGTTAGACAATTAACTAAAGATGATCCATCCCAATCTGGTACTATATGGGATTTTGAATTTTCTCCAGAAACTTTTTCAGATACAAACTTAGATTATGCTATTGAAGTTTGTGAAGCTGTAAAAGCAGCTTGGGAACCATCAGTTGAACAAAAAATTATCTTTAATTTACCTGCTACTGTTGAAATGGCTACTCCAAATATTTATGCTGATCAAATTGAATATTTCTCCACCAATGTTACTGAACGTGAAAAAATTTGTATTTCATTACATCCTCATAATGATAGAGGTTGTAGTGTGGCTGCTGCTGAATTAGCTCAAATGGCTGGTGCTGATAGAGTTGAAGGTTGTTTATTTGGTAACGGTGAAAGAACTGGTAATGTGGATTTAGTCACTTTAGCCCTTAATTTATATACTCAAGGTATTACTCCAAAATTAGATTTTTCTGATATTGGATCTGTGATTGATATTGTTGAAAAATGTAATAAAATCCCAGTCCATGCTAGAGCTCCTTATGGTGGTTCATTAGTGGTTTGTGCTTTTAGTGGTTCCCATCAAGATGCTATTAAGAAAGGTTTTGCTTCTCATGAAAAGAAATTAATTGAAGCTCAAAGTACCGGTAAACGTGTTCATTGGGAAATGCCTTATTTACCATTAGATCCTGCTGATATTGGTAGAACTTATGAAGCTATCATTAGAGTCAATTCTCAATCTGGTAAAGGTGGTTCAGCTTGGGTTATCTTACGTAATTTGGAATTAGATTTACCAAGGGGTTTACAAGTTGCATTTTCAAAAGTTGTTCAAGAACGTGCTGAAGTAAAAGGTCAAGAATTAACTAATGAAGAATTATGTGATCTTTTCATTAATGAATATTATATTGATTATCAAGGTGATGAAGTTTTCAAAGATCAACAATATAAATTAGTTGATTATTCTATTTCAACTCCTGCTAAAGGTTTAAAACAAATTGATGCTGAAATTGAAATCGGAGGAAAATCAGTTAAAATCGAAGGTAGAGGTAATGGTCAATTATCCGCTTTCAACAATGCTCTTGCTAAATATTTAAACATTGATCTTAATGTGAAACATTATCATGAACATTCCTTAGGTGAAGAATCAAATGCTAAAGCTGCCACTTATATTGAAATCTCTTCAAGTAATAAAATCTCAAGATGGGGTGTTGGTGTCCACGAAGATGTATCTCAAGCTTCTTTCTTATCATTAATCTCCATCCTTAATGGTTTACACAGATCTGGTGAGATCAACTAGATTTAATCCACACCTTGTATAAAAAAAAACTCCTTACTTCTTAAATCTGTCTTTTTGTCCGGAAACAAAAGTTTAAAATATCAATTTAAAGTTACATAAAAATATCATATCAAAACTAAACTTGTTCGAAGTAAACATTCAATTCTAGTTTTCGTCTATCTATACCTATACGTTACGTTCATTAAAAAAATCAAATACATACAAATTCTATTTATTATGTTTACATTAATTCATCTCTGATAAGTAAATTAAAATCTGTGGTTACACTACTTTTTCTTGGGACTGTATGCAGTCCCATGATGCTCAAAGAAGATCACTTTTTGAACCTTGTTTAAATTACAAATTTAGACCACCAACCCTGTTATCAACATCAATATAAGTTCACATAGGAATATATCAATCATGACACAAGACAATGAACCTGCTAATGCTGCCAGTATAGCAGACATATACAAACAAATAAACGATGGTGAAAAGAGAGCAGGGGATTTAGAAAAGATGTTGGATAGTTTAGAAGCTAAGATGGATGCAATTTTAAAGGAAGCTGAACAAGCTGCTGAAGCTGAAGCTGAGAAAGTTACAGAAGCAGAAACTGAATCCAGTGATGTCAAACCAACTCAACTATAGATGTACTATCATACCATTACAATTACACTTTCAATTCATTTACGTATCTATTTAAACCTTTCATGTCTTATCGTTGTCTATATTAATCTATCTATAAAACTTTTAAATATACAGGGGTATTGGTCATGGTTATGAAGATATAACTAAATTCTTTCGTATAACTTCAGGCTCATGAGTCTGTTCAAATGGATTAATGGGCAATTTAGGATTGATAACATTTCGATTATCATCATAATTCTCATTACCATGTTCACCATCTTCATTATTATAATTTAACTCAGGAATATTGATCTTAGCAGATTTACCATTTAACCACCATTTTGAAATCTCTGAACTTGGAGCAGGTAATTCCCGTATATTATCGTCTAATAAATGTGAAAAATCAGATGCAAGAATGAATTTCTCATTACCATATTCCTTTTTATATTCAGCATAATATTTTGAACTTAATTCCAGTCTCTTTTCTTTATCAATAGTTGTAACAATGATTTTGAATTGTCCATAGATTGGTCTATGATCTGAAAATATTATACTTGGAACACTAGAATAATTAATAGGTCGAACCACTCTTGATAAATATAAAATTCTATCAGTCCAAGCTGGAATTCTTTGTTTTTCACTAGTATCATATTCATTAGATTCATTGTTGAATTTATAAGTAGGTGGGAATTTAATTTCCAGTTCAGCAAAATAAGGGAAACTTTCACCATTTGCCATTTCTTTATTTAATTGATCAAATTCAAATAATTTTGGATAATTTTTATCGTCAATTAAATCCATCACAGTTTTATGAGGTAATGAAATTCTATAATTAAAATCTCCTAACCAAATCACCACATCATGATTACGAATCTTTCGATTCTTGGAAAATGTTATATTCTTCATAATACTTTTATAATTATGATGTCTTTCTTCAACATTGTTATGACCTGCTGCTAAATGGGACGTCACAAAACAAAAAGTAGTAGTACCATATCTAAAACTAACAGCCGTGGCACCTTTATTAGCACTTATACCTCCAAATCCAGTTTTCTTTAATGATCCCTCCACATAACTGACTTTATTAAGATCACTTTCCTTAACAAATACTAAATGAGCGATACCACCAATTTGTCCATTCCACATGGATACATATTTAGCATTATTTGGGTTACGTTTATTTAAACATCTCAAGATATTTCTTTCCCAGATTGAAAGGTTGGAAGCATCAGTATTAATCATTTGTGATGCATTCAATTGAACAATTTCTTGAAATCCAACAAATACAAGACTATAATCTTGATCTTGTGGACTTGTTGATGGTGGGAATATCCAATCTCGTAAATCACCATCATAATTAATCCCATTCACATTAAAAGTCGCGGCAAACATTGTTATTTCTCCTTCGGATGTAAATAGATGTGCTACCTTAGCTAATCGCTTTGAAACATAATCATGAATAGGATTAAAGATACTAATACTGACTTGTTCTTCCATCTTACCTAACAATTTCAACATTCCAGATGTATTAGGCTTGACATCAATGAAATACTTGGTAGAAATATGATTCTTCATTGACGTGGTTGTCTTGGTAGTTAAGGATTTAGAAGTATTTAATTTATTTGTAGTTGAAATATATTCTTCAGTTATTCTACTAATTTGTTCATCATTATTTGCCCATAATTTAGCATGTTTAAATACTGCATCTTCACCCATTGGGATTCTAAATGCAGATAATACAAGTTCCTGACTCACAATTTTGGAAATATAATTAGCTTTACTTAAACTATCAAACGAATTAATTCTAAACACAGCCAACTGTTTATTAGTGAATTTCCCTTCTTGAATATCAAAGACCGTAGCTTGATATCGATAAATTGATTCTTCCAAAAGTTGATAAAGATCAGGTTGAGTTCTGGTAGTATAACCATATTTTTTCATATTTGATGTAGCGACAGGAATATAAGTATAACTTAATTTATTAGGTTGGGATTCTGTAACTTGATGAATATTTTCTTTGAATTCATCTTCACGGGATTTATTTAAGAAATTGATATGCTCCTCATAAGCTTTAGTTAATAGAGATTTATAAGATTTAGGATCTCTTGAAATAGCATTCAAGATATGAATATGACCAAATTGTCGTTCTAATTCTTCAAAATGCTTCTTGAATGCAAATTGTGATGATTCAAATGATCTACTTAAGACCACTTTTTTACTTGATAAGATGTTCTTTTTGCTTAATTTACTTTCTAATTCCCAATATATTGGAACATTACCTTTTACTATAACGTATGAAAAGCAATATTTTTCTGTGTGGACTATAACTTCTGATTCTGAAAAGTTGGACACAGCCCCTTCTTCATCACAACCCCAATCTCCAAACAAAGGACCGTTCTTAAAACATGACTGTTTAGTGATAATAGTTAATTGGGCTCTTGCATCTCCTATAGTAGTATCTACTGTTTGAGCATAACCTCTAGTTATAGTAGTTAAAAACCCACAAGAATCGAATGGAGTTTGCTCTTCCGATGAAAGTCTATTTCTGAATTCAATTAATTCAGATAACATGAATGAATTCCACATGAAGACTTTGAAGTAAGGATTATCACCAACTAGTTTTGTTTTCATTTTTGAATAAGAGAATCGATGACCAAAATGAGTCGTTATATCAAACGTTTTAGAATAATAGAATGATCCACTCATCAAGAACCTTCGTACTGACGCAGCGGGATATGAATGAGGTTTCTTGGTTGTTTGAATGTTTGGATCTGGTATATCATCAATATTTAAGTAATTATCATACGCATCACTGTTTAAACAGTAAAAGTCGACTCCTGTTATTCTCATAACTTTATCACCAATGGAATAAGCAACAGTTTCTTCACTTGTTATAAATCCCAAATAGATATAATCTTTAATATTTAATAAACCTAAGAATCCAATAAGTTTCTTTTTCTTAGGAGTTATATTTGAAAACCCAGCCACATCGAAATAACCCAGTTGGACAAATTCCACTAGGACTTTATTGAAGAGGGAAGCTCCACCAGAACCTTTTGGATTAGATGAAGATGCTTTGGAGTTGAGATGACGATGAATGACATGATATCTTGATTCGTTATTGATAGTGGGGAATGGATGCCTTATGATCAAAGTATGATTATTACTCTTTAGAACAAATGTTCTAGTACTGACATCTAGATGTAATTCAATTCCTTTATTATCCATAGTTTTAGATTGCAATTGATATGTCTTACCTACTCTGCGCCATTGAATTGACCTTTTGAAGGGATATTGAAATACTTAAATCAGTAGTTGAAAGTTGATATGCTATCGTAACTGTGTTCGTCTTTAACGTAAAAGAAAGGTGCTAAAATCACCGTTTAAAGTTCTTCAAATTTGACTAATGATTGAAGAATTGTCTTACAAATTGACAATTAGTGATTGAAATGATGATTGTTTATACAAATCTGATGTTATTGACCTTTGCTATGGTTATACCGTAATTGAATTCATTTTGTTGTAAATAAATTTTGTGCTGCCTAAATATTTATAATTGATAGCAACTACCTGCATACAATTACATAGCCTACAAAAGTTACAATTTGCATAGTAACTTATATATATAACAAGATTGATCTCTTTATTTATTATATGACTAATGAAATAAGCAACGTAAATACATAGAATGATGAATTAAAATTAAAATGTTAGAAAAGAAGTAAAGGAAACTGTAAAGACTTTGAAAATCAATAAAAAAGACTTTTTTTTATTTATTTGGAGAAAGACAGGGTTAGTTGATTCAGAAAGCACAGTTTCTCAAATTGATCCTTTTGATATCATTTAATTAGCTTTTTTAGCTTTCTTTTGCTTTAAATGATCTGGTAACCAACTGTCATCTAAAGCAGTAGAAGTACCGGCACCAGATGATGGAGCAGCAGCAGCAGCCTTTTTAGCAGCTTTAAGAGCAATTGGTCCAGTACCATTAATATATTGTTTACCATAAGCTTCATAAAGGAAATAAAGTAAACCTCCAAAACTAGCAATCAACACTAATTCTAAGAATAATAATTGAGGATTAAAGAAAGAAATTGGTAAATCAGAAATGGTAGCAAATTGACCTCTAATTGGAATAAGAATAACTTGTTCATCAATAGCAACGAATAATTGAGGATTGATTAAATAGTTATTTGGAACTAAATTAAGGGACATCTTTTGTTCAAAATTTTGAGATTCACCTGGAGCAATAGTGATTGGACCAATATTACCAATAGTTAAATTAGATACAATTTCATTAGTAACTGGATCATTGAAAGTACCACCAATACCAATAACAAGAACAGGGAATTCTTCTTTGTTAACAGCAGTATATTGAATAGTAATGGATTGACCATTGTTTAATTCAGCCACGTCAGATTCTCTAACTTTAGGAACTTCTTTAATGGCATAATCAACAAAGAAATTGATGGTATTATGTTCAGCAGTTGGATCAACTTCATAAGCTGACACTAAAGCTGTAGTGGCAGCAATGACGGAAGCGAATAAGGTGGAAAACTTCATATCGATTGAGTTGTTGGGGGTTGAAAGTTAAGTTCTGATAGAAGAAGCCTTACGATCTTAATAATGAAAAATTTCGATTTGACCACTGTGGACAAAAATTGGGTGGAAGAAGAAAAAAAGCACATACTGTGTCCGTTATTATATACAGGAAAGTGTCATCTAAAAGTATCATCAGAAGGTATGATCAATGATAGTTCTTATTATGATAATAGGAATGTTACTGTAATCGGTTTAGACTGTTGACAAGCTTAGATTGTTGGTAATGGAACCAAATAGTGAATCTTAGAAAATGTAGAAAACGTACTTGAGTTATCTTGATTGTGTGATTTTAGCCGTTCCATTCATACTATCCAGTTGCAATAAGGTTGAACTATTCAAATTATTATTCGTGATTACAATCAGATTACAACACATTATACTATTCAAGTCAAACAATGATCACGTACACAACAATGTCATCCATATGATTCAATAAATTACGTATTTTAACAGCCAAATATTTAGACTTATAAATCATTAACTTCCTGCACATACCTCCCCTCTTTTATATATGGGACCAAAAAAATACACCCATTAAAAAAATTTGTATGGACTGATTTTTCAAGTAAATATTTACAGTCAATTAAATAATCAATCCTAATCAATGAACATAAGGTGAATGAAAACAATAAATTGAATAAGAAGAAGGTGATGAGTTCAATTACCAAAAACCATACTTTCCTACGAAAGTTGCATATTCTAACTAGACCAAACAATCGAATACGATTGAATGTTCCCATATCAATGTTAGGTTCAAGACGAATACCTTCGCCTACTTTCTGGACTTTATTCTCACATCCAAGTCATTTACTATTCTTATCTACTAATATTGGTCTATTAATCCATCTTCGATGTTATTCCATGTTCAGACTGAATGTTAATCAAGAATTTGATGATGAAGAAGAGTTATCAGATGAACAAGCCCAATCCCAATTACAACAAGATCAACATGTATATACTCACTTTGATGATAAAATAGTGAACGACAAACGAAAAGCAAGAACTATTAACAACTTCCCCCATAATATTGAAGGAGTAAGAGAATCAAAACAAATAGCTGATAATTTTTTGCAACATAGACTGAAAATTGTATCCATATTTCAAGATAATCCAGATAATATAGATGCATTGTTTCAAGATCATCATCATTATTATTCTGATGTCAATGCTAATGATGGCGATAATGAAATACTGTCAATAACAAGTTATGGTCAAATACCTCAACATTTACAGATTGAAAATTTGATTTATAATGATATTGATATCAAAAGTTCTTTATTATTATTATCAACATCATTAGTTAATGCAGTATTGGTGGAATTAAATCTTGATAAATTATTATTACAACAAGGGGATGAATCAATGATTATTGATGATAAAATTATAAATGAAATCAAAGATCCCTTCAAACAACAAAGTATTTTGAAAATATTATCAACCATATATGATAAAGATGTATATGGTACTCCAAAGAGTTTTAAAGATTTCTTTGCTAACTTAGATAAAGAAGAAGTGACCAAGTTCTTGAGTCAATTGAAAGTAAGTGATTCATTTAATTCGATTGAAACTTATCGAAAGAATTTCTTATACTTTAAGAGTTCACAATTCTTGAATTACAACGATAATAATGATAATATAAAGTTCATGGAATCAAGAACAAATTCAATAAAATTCTACAATAACGACATCAATAACGATGAATATATTAAAAAGTTTGATAATCAATTCGATCATTATAGTGGTGATAGAAATCATTTGAATTTGGCTCTTGGAATCTCTTCTCATTTAATAACTTGTTCGAAACATATCCCAAATTATCAAATCTTTAAGTATTTATTGGATAAGTTCGATACCTTGAAATTGCATAATTATGAATCATTAGTTTACAAGAGTTTATTCCAATTCAAACATCAATCGTTGGTATTATCCAGTTCATCATCTCCATCAATGGTTGCTTTACATTTTCAACATCTTCTTCAGAGCAATGCATCTATCTTGTCAAGTTTAATCAAGTATCAAGTCAACAGACGTGAATTGACAACCTTTAAACAGTTACTATCATTCTTAAACTTCAAAGATATATCCCATTTTGAAAGACTCCTTAATCAAACTAAGTTTCAACCATTAATTTCCAAATCAATGTATTATAAAACCAATCTCAATTTAAAGGAATTGAATAACAACATCGCATTCCCCAAACCATTGTATTTATTGCCTCAAGATATTTATGATATTATGAATTCATGTATTGAATTTAAACAATTTCAATATTTAGATTCATTATTTAATAAATTGATCATTCATTCCATCAATGATGAATCTCATAAGATTACGTTAAACCCCGATGATTCAAATAAAGACTTCTTACTTTTGAATTCAACTTTATCGATTGAAGAAATCCATTCAAAGATGTTTAATGATAAATTATTTGAAATTTTAATTCGTTCATCAAGATTATCTCTGGATTTAGGTAGATTAATGTGGATTTTACCTCATTTAGATCAATTTTTAAATGATTACGTTAAGAGGCAACCAATGTTGAATAATCCTGCATTGATTAAAGAGATTTATTTATCGTTAAAACAATTTGGTATAGAAGGTAAGATATATTCTTACCATGAGTTATTAAACTTTAAACAATTTGAATAATGAATTAATGAAATGTATATATAATAGATTAATACTTGTACATAGTTTACAGTCATTTTAAGTTAAATATAATTTATACAATAAGATATGAAGAATAAAAGTCAGATAATCTAACTAATTATATAAAAGTAACCTCCCAATTTTAAAGAAAATATTCAATGAAACCATCATTTTAAATAAAATATTAAAAATGTAAAATTAAAATAATGAAAAGAAGAAGAAGAAGAAGAAGAAGAAGAAGAAAAGATTAAATATTACTAAAAGTAACTATTAAATAGGAATAACGACAGGTTTAAAAGGTATATATGTGTTTTTTGATTAATTTATTGGTTTTAACGACCAACGTATTTCTTTTCTAATGGTCTAACTAAATTGAAACCAACGAACGAGAAAGCAAATGCTAATTCAAAACCAATATCACCACCATAATCACCAATCTTCTTGGCTAAGACACCGGCATACCAAACTTGATTCATTCCTACAACAACACCAGCAGCACCACAACAGAAACCAAACACACCAGCATACCCAATTGGGTAAACTTCTTTCTTATGGAAGTTTTCATAATCGTAAGCAGCAAAGTTACCTCTATTATAGATGAAATGTTCAGATAATGAGATAGATTGATAAATAGCTAAGTAGTAACCAATCAAATTCATGAAATTATCCATTACATCAGCGAAATGGTAATAAGCTGGGATACAGATAGCTAAAGTAACGAAATTACCTGCAATAGTCCAGAAGACTCTTGGGATTTTAGATAATTTAGACCAGGTAGCTTGTGCAGATAAAGCCATAGAATACATATTTGGAACATTATTAGCAACAGTAGATAAAGCTAATAAGACACATAAGAATTCACCAAAACCATGTAATGAATCTTTAACTAAGATAGCATAAACTAAACCACCAACTGATTTGGTATTATAAAGTTCAAGCCATTCTGGATCAGTGTTAACACCAGTAGCACAAGCAGCACCTAAGATTAAAGTGAATAATAATGGAGTCCATAAACCAACAACAATTGAGAAAAAGATTTTAGTAGATGAAACATTTCTTGGTTGATAAACAGTATAATCAGAAGCATAAGTAGTCCAACCAGTAGCAAAACCATAAATGGCACCACCAAAAGATAAGACATTACCTGCAGTAGTTTCACCACCAATGAATTCACCAGCTGTAAAATTACCAGACATAGCCATTCTAGCAATGACAGCAATAAAACAAGCAATATTTGGAACCCAAGACCATTTTTCATAAAGATGAATAACGTGATAACCGAAGAAGGTGATTAAAATAGTACACACAACTAAGATTAAACAACCAGCCCATGGAGGACAAGCACCATTATTAACAATATTTAATAATTGAGCTGCTGACATAATATTAACAGCACCCCAACCAACACAAGCAACCATATTAATAAAGGAGAAGATTCTCATGGCGTAATCACCAACTAAGAATTTAGATAAAATCATTTGTCTAAGACCTAATTTTGGACCAAAGATAGAAAAGAATGCAACTGGTAAAACCCCGATTAATGAAAAGAAGATAATAACCAATACAGATTGCCAGAAACTTAAACCGAATACAGTGATACCTAAAGCACCTAAAGCGAAAGTAGCAATAACTAAATTAGCAGATAACCACATAGTGAACACATTGATCACAGAAGTTTCAGTCTTTTCTTCATCAGTAACTAATTCAATACCTTTAGTTTCAGCATTTAATTTACCAGCTATTCTATTAATAAAACTTAAATCTTTAGCGGTGAAGACTTCAGCTTCATCAGAGTGACCTTCTAATGATTTTTCAAAAGATTCAGTCAGTTTCTTGATATCACCAGCTTGTTTTTCTGTATCAGTTAAACTCATTGTAGTGTTTGTTGTGGATGTATAAGTTGTCGTTGTTGTTCAAAATAATTTTTTGGAACCGTTGATGTCTGTTGATAAATTTTTTATTTTTTACAATCGTAAGCTTCGAGAAAATGAAGATCACTTTGTGAAAATGGAATGGAAGGAGGGATGTCGAATTACAAATAAAGACAAGATTAGTATATCAGTCAATTACTATCAAAGCAAATCAAACAGTCTAACGAATTGAAATTATAAAATTTGAAAAATCATAAATTGAAGATAATCAGCTATCTCTATATATACTTTCACAATTTGAGCAGAGGGGGAGACAAGAAAGAGGCACTTTCTTTTTTTATGCGGATTTTTTTGTAACTTGCAAAAAATTAATTTAATTTTAATTTAATTTCTTTTTATTTTTCTTTTTTTTAATTTTTTTAATTTTAATAATTTTTATCTTTCTCTCAATTTCCTGTTTGGGAACATTTGTGTCTGTCTGATTTTTTTTTAATTTAAAAGTACGAGCTTTTTTATTTTTCACAACCATTTACAGACAAAGTCCACCACATTTCAATGTTTAAAATAATGTTGATTTACTTTAAATTGTATAACGAATTGTATGTAAGACTTAAAAATATATTATTTTCGTTTCATGCATTGTATGTTGCCAACCCATTCTAAATATCAAGTGTCATGTCGGGCTATATACGAATGAAATAGAGTAAACTAAATCAGTAATGTTTGTGGAGAAGCATAGTAGTTCAATTGCCGCCAAGTATATAATATAGTTCCCGTTATTGAAAAAAACTTAATAGTAGACATTTAATTAATTTATTTTCATAATATTCCTACAAATGCATAATAATACTAGTAATAATGACATGTGCCCGGATATATTTTGATCTAGATGATTCTTACTTTCGTAACAGAGATAAGATATTTAAACAGTGTACAAGTTTAGCGTCTTTGAATTATGACAATTATCATTACATTAGTCAGGTATAGAAATCATTGTATGATAAGAGTGATAAAAAAGACGTCATTTGTATATAATTATTCAATTGAATGTTAGTGGTCAATGTATTGGCATAATTTAGATAACTACATCTAAACAACACTTTCAGTTAATGACGCCTAATCGTAATCAATTTATAATTCCAAGAAATTGTTCCTTTGGATTACACATTGAAAAATAAGATATAATAATACAAGTTTACAATATATAGTAGCAAAGACTAAATTACCTAATTTAACAGTGAAAAATCGGTCACAATCTTGCAAGCCGCTTATATTATAACACAAGACTTCATAAACCCAATTTACTTACATCGGAAAGTGTCAGATTTGTCACAAATCATAACATACACTATAATTACGTACATGGCCGAACTATATTATCAATCATATACATGAATGCATGTTTTATTATAATTGAAGTTAATTAATTCACTGATCTGTTCCAACATCAATATAAGTCCTATCTCAAACAGTTAGAGGCTAATTTAAGTATCAAATCTAGTGTGGTCCGAAAATAAAGGCCCGTAGAAGTTAATAATTATAATTTGCAAAGGGTCTTCCAAAGGAGGAGTAAGAATAAAAACATAAAGAGGTTGGAAATAAGAGAAGGTTCCGGCCCAGTTTAATGATGAATTGAATATTCGCCTATCTTTACTAAACTCTTATTCTTGAATATACCCAGTATTGTATCGAAACATACCGAAATAGGGATGTAAAAAGTAGTTTATGATTAACTGCAAAAGAAGATTTGATAGAAGACCAAAAAAATGTCAGACAAAAATTAAAATGAGACTGAGAGGGAAAAAAAAATGTCTGATTTTTTTTATCTTTTTAAATCGCCTTGACAATTACTGATAAAGCGAGAAAAGATAAAGATCAAGAATGAATAATTTTTCAAATTGCCCCGCGGAGTCTCCAGTTCAATTTTATAGTTATGTCTTTAGGATATTACTTGTTTGTATTTGATTAAATGAACGAGATGAAAGAAGCTTAGCTGTACTAAGATCAATTAAGATCATTGTTAACGAGAAAATATTTCTTCAAACAACATCAATTGGATGAGTGTGTGAGATGAAGAAAAGACTATATCCAATGGAATGAAAGTGGACTGAGGATATGTAGGTTTGGGCGGTTAAATTGCTTGCGTATGGAATTTTACTAAATCTAGTTCAGCCACCTAGGTTTACATAGAGATAGGGTGGGATAAGGATATATTAATATTGATTTTTAAGATCACAAGAGTGAGCGGGAGGTTAAGACAATTAATACCTCTATAGCCGAAATCTAAATAATCAAAATTCAATTGTTGAATTATACAATCCTTATAATTATTGCAACTATGGTTCAGAATGAAAAGTATCAGATTGGAAAGTAAAGTACGAAGATATCAAATTTAGTAACAAACCTCCTCCTTCTCCAGCTTTCTTATTTTTTTTGCTTGGAGAATTCTTATCTTAAAAGTTTTGATAAATAATTTTAATGTTAGTAGTTTTAGTTTCTTTTCCATCGGAATCAAATCAAAATAGAATAGATTTACAAGGGCTGAAGTTAAAGTTTAATTTGTAGATGGGTTTGTTACGAATTCTTTTTCAATTTTACTTTGATTAAACATAAAATAACAATATATTATTAGTACAGATTACGAACTTTAATTAGCCTAATTTCAACTATCCTTGATTGATATTAATCATACGAAGATATTATAAAAGCGGAGAGAGACCAGATGAGGAGGTATACCAGATTAATCAAAAGTTTAAAATAATTTGGGGATGGGATCTGTTCTGTAGAATCAAATTAAAGGGAAAATAAAAAGATCGTAAATAATTCTATTTATGTGTCTTATTTTTTGTCTGATTTTTAAGACACAGATTTTGTCTATTTTTGTACAATTCCTTATCAAAGAAACGAAAGCGAACAGCTTCTTAAAAAAGAAATTTCAAACGGCTCTTCCAAAAATAAAAATAAAAAAAAAAAAAAAAAAAATTTTGAATATTTTTTGCTGGTTAGGCCACTGAAGATGCGATTTAAAAACCATTGAATTACAAAATTTGTTAGAGGGCTAAGAAAATCAATACTATTGTGCCCTTAATTTGAACGGATCCAAATGTCAATTTTAGGTTTTTATAAAATTTAAGGATTTGAATTATGTTAAATTAAACTAATTTGATTTGATTTGTTTGCCAAACGAATTAGCAGTTGAAAAAGATAAAATGAGACAAAAATGTAAAGGGTTAACAAGTGTAAATCTTCAAGTAGGATTAGTACGAGAAATTATTTAAAAAATGTCTGCTGCCGCTACTACTGATGGAATGGAATTATACTGCCATAGGTAAGTAGTAGTAAGGCTTCTGATACATTTGAAATAATAAAGTGAAATAAAATAAAATAAAATAAAATAAAATATATTTAATTAAAATTATTTCTAAATGGGGTAGTGCAAATTCGCTAAATTAACTTCTTATCTCTAATTTTAAATGTAATATTTAACATATAAATTTAAACCAATTAAATTCAGGTATTTTCCCTGTTACTTTATTTTAACTAAATTTTACTATATACATACTAACATATACTTAGCTCATCGTAATTAGCATATACGATATATTTCAATGAGTGCTTTTTTGAATTTCTGTCTCTTCTTTTGTTAAGGCTAGTTTAAACTACAACCCCGTCTTTATGGTAACAATCTCATCTCTCTTTAAATATTTCACCATAATCAGTTGTTTCTTTTTTATTTTTATTGTATTGTATTGTATTTTAGTTGTCTCCCCCCATCTTTATCATGAAAATCGATACTTGCGTTATCCTATCATATCCCTTCATGATCTGACTTATTTCCATTTTACGTCATCTTCATCTTTCTCATCATCGTAACTCTTTCACTGTCATTTCTCCCTGTGCAAAATTTTTGATTTTTTTTTTAATTGCAACAGCGGCTTAACTAAAAATTTCATGTCCTGCCTTTCTACTTACACTAACTCACAAACATTAACTCTAACTATACTACTTTTCTTTGTGTTATAAATGTCCTACATTTATTTCCTCAAATTATCATAAGAAGTCAAATTTAATTTTAATTTAGTAAATTACTATCGGACAATCTAATATTATTTTTAAATTATTATTATTATTATTATTGTCTTACCATTCATAACGGTTTAGTTGACATATACTTGGTTGCATTACATCACGAATGTCTTTGAATGGATCTGTATGCGGTTACATTCATTGTGTTTTAAGGCAATTCGGTGTTTGTTTCCTTCGTTCCGTTGTTTCGTTAATGTCAATTAATCATAGTTGTTTAAATTTTGTCTGAATTTTTGACTTTTACAGTTTACAAAAAAAATAAATCAATGCCCGTTCAGAGTTTTTTTATTTTTCGAACTTTAATTTCGTCGCGTGATTTTCCAATTTTTACACTTTACAAATTTACGTGTAACTTCAATTTTTTTGTGTACATATTTTTTTTATATTTTAATTGATATATATATATATACGATAAATTCAAACTATTAAAAAGCAAACGATATTAAAGAAGAACTGAAATAAAAATGAACTAAAAAAACACAATCACAGATAGAAATACAAAGGGATTCGATAATATTTAAGACAGTATACCGTTGGTTAATAAGATTTCACGTAATCTTAAAACCTCTTGTTCTAATCTTAATTTATCTTCTAATAAACCTTCAACTTTATCTTCCAATTGATTCATACGTTCCATCTTACGAGCCCTTGAACGACGAGCAGCTTCGGTATTCTTAGCTCTCTTTTGTGCAATAGGATCTTCAGAGGTTGGGATTTCAATTGGTAATAATGGTTGAGATCTTTGTTTCTTGGAATAAGTTACACAACCTAAATGATCAACCTTTTTATTATGACTGGTTGAATCAATTAATGGAGTTGGTAAACTTGAAGAAACATTTGGAGTAATCAATTGTGATTGTTGTTGTTGTTGTTCCTTCTTTTGGTAAGGAGTGAATTCAAATGATTCTTCAACTTCACTGTATAATCTCTTCTTTCTAGAATGAGCAGCAGAGATAACAGCACTAGTAATAGATGAAACATCATCACCACCTTGATGAGTAGTGTTGACATTATCACCGGCAGGTAAATCAAATAAATCACCAACAACTTCATTTTCAATTTCTTCATCATCTTCTTTAATATCATCAAAAGAAATAATTGGTTCTTGTTCATTATGGGAAGGTTGAGAAACCTCACCAAACAACGAGATCCAATCATCCTTCAGGTTGACTTTAGCACCGTCAACGATGAAATCTAATTCATCAAACATAGGAGTAGAATCGACATTGTTACTTCCTTCACCTCCTAAACCATTATCGTCCATAACAGAACTGAAAACGGAATCTAAAACAGAAGAGTGAATTTCAATAAATGGATTTAAAGTCTCAGACTTTAAACCATAATTGATTGAAGTATCGGTAGTAGTTGTTAACACATTGTCATCAACTAAATCTAAGGGATTAGATCTAGTATCTTTATTGGCAACGGTATTAGATGAATCAGCCATAAAAATATCATCAGATTGGAAATCTTCCGACATTATTATAGCATTAGCAGGAGTAGAAACAGCAGGAGCAAAAGAAGCAACTGGAGCAGACATTTTGATTAATTTGTTTTTGAGTTTTATATGATTTATATTATGTAAAACTTTGAGCAGGTAATTTATAATTGGATGTAAAAACTTTTTTTGATTTAAATTTTTTATGTAGTAACTTGGACTTTGACTTGACTTGACTTTGACTTGGACTTGTAGACTTTTTTATTTATAAAATTTCTAGTAATTTGGGGGTTGGGGAAATATCCATAATGGAATTCTTTAATATAATTTATTTTACGACAACATGATTAAATGGGGTAAGATTAGATCTTTATGAGTTTTGAGTTATTTATTTTGATTTAAATAAATAGGATTCTTTCTTTTAATTTGAGATATTCAGGAAATTAAAATTTTAGTATTTGTTTAGTTAACAACTAATTTAGTTTAGGCACACATTTTTAAGTATGATAATAATAGTTAAAAATGGGGAAAAAGGGTAAAAAGTAAAATTGGGATAATTATAAAATCTGGTAAGATATAGTTATAATTGAGTTGAATGTAGTTGTAAAATAAGTTGTAGTTAGAGAAGAAAGGAAGAAAAAGGAGAAAAATGTTAATTCTTTTTTTTTTGAGTATGGGAATTTAAATTCATTTTTATATTTTTTTAATATGAAAAATTTTTCATTTGATCATGATACAATTTACTGTGATTATGGTTATTTACGAAATAATATTTATTGTTGTACATGATACATATACTGCATGGTAAGTAAATTTGATCCTGCTTGATTATTAATAAATATTTTTTAGTTTTGTATGGTGAAATTTCCCCTCTCTTGTTTTAACCAAAGTACACTCCCTCTTATCTTTAGTATGAGAGAATTGTTTTGTTTTGTTTAATGACTCATTCAAGATACAGCCAATGAAACAGTTAAGGGATAATGAAAGTATAAACAACCTCGTTTTCAAACAATAACATCTTGAACGAGATAACACTAATTAGGAATTAAGAATTGAAGCTGAATTGAATAAATTCAAAAGTGACTGTTTTTCCCAATTCAAATTATTATAACTAGGTAAGTAAACTAATTTAATTCAAAATATGACCATCCGGTGAAGGCCCGTTAACAAAAGATCGCAAAAAAAAAAAATTTTTTTTTTTTTTAATTTTAACCGCCAATTACCTGTTTAAGACATTGTATGATTATTCTAATTATAACTATAGATTGAATCATATTTATTACAACGGAGTTGGATCATATCATCTAACTTGGCATTAGATCATAGATTATACAACTAAGTTAAAGATATGAGATGACTTTTATATTACTTCTAACTATGCTATATACTTACTTACTTAAATTTAAACCATTTAGGTGTCTTCCCCGTACTTGAACTCTTCGTATCATTACTATTATCATTACTATTACTATGACTATTACTACTACTACCATCACCACTCTTATGATGGACTTTGTTACTAGTATCACTGGGTAATTCCTTTCTATGACTCTCTAATAACACTTCCGGTAATTCACTTGATTGTTTAATCTCATTAATCTTACTTTGATCAATATATGGACCATTAGATCCAATATTATTATCAGAAACTTCCCAAATTAATGATACTTGTTCTGATTCAAATTCTTTCATATCAATCAATTTTAAATTATTAGTAGTGAAATTAATATCAATCTTCACGAAAGGAGGATAACTTAATTTTAAATTATAATGATTAATATAATCTCCCATTAATGAAGTATCAATTCGTTTAATCAATTGACCAAATTTAATCTCTTCAATATTAGTTAAATAATTTATCTGTAATAATTTCCCATCCGGGAATTTAATTCTAATAAGATATTTGGAAGGACGTTTCTTTATAACTTTAGATGGTTTCCGAATAGCTGAATTTTGAATAATCTTTTGATATGTCATAGCTTGATTAACTGTCATTTCATAATCTTCTTCAGGATTCTCATAATTTGGGATATTGGAATTGCTTGATTTGGTTGTATCTGGGACATATAATTGTGATGTTTCCTTAAGTTCAGGTTGTTCATAAATATATTGATCTTCTTCAACGGGTTGTTCCTTACGTTTCGTAATTGTTTTAGGTTGACTTACATTTGCTGTTGAATCGGTAACGGTTGAAGGTTCATCAATTTCCATTGGTTCAACTGCTTCTTCTGGTTCAACCACCTCCTCCTTAGACTTTTGCTTTTCTTCCAACTCTTGCTTGGCTCTTGCTTGTTCTTCTTCCAACTCTCGTTGTTGTTTAATTTTCAAATTACGTTCTGATTGTTGTTTCAATTGTAATCGAATAATCTCTTGTTGTTCCTCATGTAATCTCCTTTTCTTCTGATCATCTTCATCTTGAATATAATTCAATCTAATCACCACACTATTCACATTCCTTCCAATTATAGATTCTAATTTTTGTTGATTAAATTGTTCATACCCATAATTCAAATTCAATATCGATAATTGAATATTCTTAAACTTCAATTCATCAGATTTAACAACAATATCTCCTTTATATTTCTCATCAAATTGATTTAATAATTCAAATAATGTAACTTGATTATTCAATTTATGGATAAGTGATTTCCCTCCTGCTATAGCTAATTTAATATTAACTTCAATACCCAGATTTGATAAACTTTCACTTGATTCATCTCTCTTTTCAACTTTTAATATCAATTTACTATTATTAATCAATGATGATAATCGAATCGGTAACGAATTATCTAAAGTTTTATTAGAATTAGCAATGATTAATTTACCTTGATATTTATCATGATTAATTTTAAACAGAGTAAAACTTTCATGAATTAATTGTTGAATGGTATTAGCTTTATTGATGGTTACCTTTTTGGTTATACTGCCATAAACTATATTGAAACTGATTGATGACATATCATTTATATTAGTTGTAGTTGATTCAATTGACAATTATATCAAATTCCATACCTGATGGCAAACCATAATTTAAACTCTTTCAGACATCAAAATTTGATATAGAAAAAATTGATCATGTGATAAATCACATGATTCGGAAACTTCCATTTAAATCCTGTATATAAATCATTTATCGGAGTGCCGGTTTTGAAAAAAAAATGACAGAAAAAAGTGATCAAATTTAAAGTAACAAAAATGTATAAATAAAACAGGAAAGGAGCAGCTCATTTATGATCTGTTAAAAAGTTTATTGATATTACAACACTAAGATCAAGAACAGTTTATCTATTAGTTTACTAAAGACTTATATAAACAACTCAATCCAATCCAGTCTAATCCAATCCAATCGCTATGTGTGCCTGTCTTTCTGATTGTATATTGATTATACTTTCCATTTTATTCCCTCCTTTACCAGTTTGGATAAGAAGAGGTATTTGTTCCACTGATTCCCTTATTAATATCATCTTATCCATCTTAGGTTATTTACCAGGTTTAATCCATTCATGGTATATCATTGCTAAATATCCTCCATATCAACAAGGTTCTAAAGTTTATTATATTTATAGAAATGATTTAGAAAATCAAACTCCAGATGTTCATCATCATCATCATGTTCATGTTGATGTTGATCCAGTTAGATCTCAACCTGGTTTAATTCAAACTCCAAATGCTAGTTATGGTGCTATCACTGAAGGTTCTTCTTCAAGTCAACCTCAACCACCTACTGCTAATGCTCCTCCAGCTTATACTGAAATTGATAATAAAACTCAACATTAAGCTCAGTTTTAAAGGTTAAGTGATGATGACGATGATCATTATAGTCTAGATCAATCAAATCACTAGTTCATTCATTTCATTTGTACAATTTTTATCATTCACATTTAATTAATACTATTTTTGTTGTTCCATTTTATTTAATAGTATCATTCAGGGTAGGTCAAAGTAGAGAGAGTAAAGTAATTTAAAGTAGACTTATAGGGATAAAGAGATTAAAATAATCCTTATTATAGAATTTTCAAACTACATGTTATATCTATATGGTTATTTTCATGTATTAGTGCTATCCCGTTTATATTATTATTCACATATATAATGTTTTCTTTCCTTTTATTTCATTTTTAATTTAATTTTAATATTATATTACATTTATTGTTAACTTTCCCCGTTGTCAATCACACTTTTGTAATTGAATTACACCAACAGTTGTGGTATATACACCTGTTATGAGTTGTAAAGTAAAAATAAACCACATGTCTTAAAAAAATTTACGAATTGAACCGAGAACATCCAAGCCACAATAGTTTGGTTAATTACCGATAAGGAGAATGATTTGCATACCCTAATAGGGAAATTAAAAAAGTTTTTCTAAACAACGTTGTGCTGCCAAACAGAATATCACCATTTTTGAATTACTAATAAACGATTGTTGTTCTTCTTAGGATGATATAACAAATGGTACGTTCATACTCATAATGTCTCAGCAAACCATGTCAGAAACAGTTCCCTTGATATCTGGGGAACCAGTATCACAAAAGCAATCAGAAGCGCAAGCAAGATCATATTCAACTACTTCAACTATGACAACTTCTTCATTATCAAATTCACTTTCATCTTCACCTGCTTCTTCTCTTGATGATGTACCTATCCGTAAGTCAAAATCATCAACTTCCATGAGAAGGAATTCATCATCGAAATCAATTCAATTATCAACTTCATTTAAAGATTGGTGGTCAAGTTCTTCCCAATTATCAAAGCAACCAACTAATATATCTTCCACCATTAATAATAAACCCATTCAAGATGCCATGTTGAAGAATAGAACTATAGAGTACGAGTTATTCAGAGCCATGTTATCTAATGATGTCTATATCTTACCTCCTGATTTAACCAATTGTCAATATAATCCTCACGGGTCAGATAATTCCTGGAAACAAGATCATCATTATGTAGGACAATTATTAGATGTACCGATTAATGATGATCTTACCATCCATGAGTTTTACCTTGAGAATAATATTCCAGCAGATCAACCTGTTGAAGAAACTCATATAGTGATGATTCATGGATATATGGCTGCAGTAGGTTATTTCATTAAAAATATTGAAACTTTATTAAGATCGAAACCAGGAGTAAGACTCCATCTTATTGATTTACCAGGATTTGGAAACTCTTCTCGTCCACAATTCCCATCGGAGTATCTCTTAGAACCTCTGACTAAAGCTGAAAAAATTAGTCAAGTTTTAGAAGTTGAAGATTGGTTTATTGATAAAATAGAGAATTGGAGGTCAGTCCGTAACATTTCAAAGTTTAAATTAATCGGTCATTCAATGGGAGCTTATTTATCAAGTTGTTATCTTTTGAAATATAACCATGGTACTGAACAATTTGTGGATCAATTTATTATTGTTAGTCCTATGGGTACAGAATCAAGTCCTAATAGTTTAATAAGTAATAAAAAATATGAATTCTCCACTCATAATGTCGGAGGTAATCCATTTAAAGAATTAGATGTATTTGAAGATGATGATTATATAAATAAACTCTGGACTGAAATGGGTCAACCAAAAATTCCCAAGAGTGTGTTTCTTGAAACATTATGGAAATATAAAAAATCTCCATTTCAAGTATTACAATATTTCGGACCATTTTACTCCAAGATTTTATCATATTGGTCATTCAGAAGATTTAGAAATTTAAAAAGTATTCAAAAGGTGGATGAACTCGAAGAAGAGGACGAAGATGTAATTGATGATAAAGAACCACCTATTGATCGGGCATTGATTTTAAAACTTCATAATTATTCTTATTCAATCTTTAATCAATATACTGGATCAGGAGAATTAGCCATTACAAAATTAATCAGTCATGAAATATTAGCAAAATTACCATTAGGTGAAAGAGGTTTCATTGAATATTTGGTTAAGAATCAAGTTAAGACTTTATGGATTTATGGTGATAAAGATTGGATGAATGAAAATGGAGGGTTATACATCAATGATAAAGTAAATGAATCAATTTCAAAACTTTCTACTCATAAAATAATTAAAGATGCTGGACATCATATTTATTTGGATAATCCTGTTGATTTTAATAAAACTGCGATTGAATTTTTTAATTTATCAAATTAGTGTGTCTATAGAGAAGTATTTATAAATAATTAAATAAACTTTCAAGTTGTGATAAAATTTTTAGTTGTTCACCTTTATCTTCATTTTGTAATTGCTGCAAAATTCGTATAAATTGAATCGAAAATTTCTCCATATTTTCAATCTCAATTTTATTCTTTAATTGTTCACTTATCTTATAAGCATTAGATATAATGTCAGTGGCTAATCCAGCCAATTTAGCAACATTCAAACCATACAGATTATTAACCACGCCTTCAACTAAATTATATAAAAATACAATTTGAGGAAATTCATTCTTACTATCCTTAATTTCTTTGAATCCCATATGATAATTCTTCACTTGATTTGGATACGTTGTTTCAAATACATGTAATGATGGAAAATGAGTTATGAATAATACAAGTGGTTTTTCTTTACATTCCACTATATAATCCAATATTGAATACGCAATTGCAATCCCATCACTTGTACTAGTACCTCTTCCAATTTCATCTAAAATAATTAATGATTTTGATGTTAATTTATTTATAATGGTACTACATTCCAACATTTCAACTTTAAATGTGGAATTATTCTTCAATATATTGTCATACGCCCCCATCCTAATGAATATTGAATCAAAGATCCCCATTTTAGCATATTTACAAGGTAAGTAACATCCAATTTGAGTCATTATCACCAATAAAGCAACTTGGTTGACATACAAACTTTTACCACCCATGTTTGGCCCAGTTATAATCAACACTCTATCTTTATTATAATGAATATTGATATCATTAGGGACGAAATTAGTTATATGGGGTAAGTTTTCTATAATTGGATTTCTACCATTCTTGACCTCTATAATTTGATCATCGACTAATTTCGGTTTGATATAGTTCGAGTTTAAAAGACTACCAGTGGTAAGGCTTAATAAACAATCAAAGGTTGATAAATTTTTAACGATCTTATTGAAGAATATATATTCTTTGTTGATCAATAATAAAAACTCTCTGAATGCTTCATCACATCGATTTAAGTATAGTTCTTGATGATATTCTAACAATTTGAGCAATTTTATAACTTCAGGACTTCTGAATCTCGATACAGTTGCAGTACCATTAATTTTAATAAAATCATTAGGAAGAGCATCAACTTGTTTACCATTTCTAACTTCAATCAAGTATGATTCATTGTTCTTAGTTAAATATTGTAATTGAGGACGTTTTAAAAGTTTCTGGATTTTTACCAACTCTTCATTTAATAAACTTTCAATTTTTTTAATTTCCATTGATTCTTGTTCAATCTCCTTCCAAGGAATGTAGTAGGAATTGAAAAACTGAGTCTTTTGCTCGCTGGCATCTTTGGATTCATTCATTAAATAAGTGGGGTTGATTAACTTCAAGAGATTATCCACCGTATTGGTCTTTGACATTTCTTGTAATGCATTTATAATCTTTAGTAATAATGGTGACTTATATGATTTATTTACATCTTCAATTGATTTTGAGAATTGATCCATTATTTTTAGAATATCATTAAAACTATTCAACATCAATACCAATTCACGACGATTGATCTTATTGACCCCATTAGAACACGAGTAATGGATTTTAATTAATAATTGTTCAAGATCTAATGTTTTACCAACTTTATCTAGTTCATTTTTTAAAGTATCTATAACGTGAATAAATTGTCCTTTCAAATCTTCAATCGCTTGCAGTCTTTCTTCTATTTTATTTCGCTCGATCAATGGTTTTGAGATCCATTGCTTTAACAATCTACTACCAAATTTCGTCCTCGTATGATCTAATAACCATAACAAGGAACCTCCTAGCACTGACTCAGTTGAATTTTCATTTTTGAATAATTGTAATGTTTGAATTGTGTTGGATGGTAATATCATATACTTGTGAGCATTTGTAAAGGTTTTGATATTAGTGGGAATCGTAAATATTGAATCTAATTTAAATTCAACTAAATATTGGATTAATTCAATAAAACAATTTTGAATTGAAGCTGGAAAAGTCAAGGTATAAAATTCAATCAAATCCTTATGATCACTATCATTAAAGTAATCGTTTAGTTCCACTATGATTTCTACATCAGCTTTAGCTTGATTATGCGTTATTCTAATATCTTGATTTATGATCTTTAAAGTACGATTTGTTTCGATGGATATGTTTTCTCTGTCGTTGATAACTATAACTTCAATAGGATTGAGATACACCAATCTTGTTTCCAATTGTTCACGAGTTAAAATATCTTTAAATTGATCATAAATGATTTCTCCTGTTAATGGTTGCACTGCAACCAATGCAAACTCGTCATTTGATATCTCATTGATACAAATGATGTAACTAACATTGTCTTGCTCTGTTATTATATTTCCCAGATTCGAATTACTATTATAGATTAATTCATCATCCATATAAGTTCCTTTCGTATATGTTCCAGTTAATTCTCTTGTCATTAAATCTGATTTATTAGTTTTTTCAACAGACTTAACGATAGCTGATTCAGATTGTTTAACAACACCAACTTTATGGCCGTGTTCAAGTATTCGCTTTAAATTGATATGAAGTCGATTATCTGGAAATGAACAATATGAGAACTCTTCATCATTTTCATTATTATCACCTCCTCTAATATACATGATATTCAATATCTTTGATATTATTTCAGCATCTTGACCGAATGATTTAAACTTGTATCCAACTTGAAACAATAGTAATTTATCTTTATTATGATCTTTGAATTGCCTGACTTGCTTTTCCAAGGGTGTTAATGATCGTTTCTTGATACGATTGGAAGATTGATCTATCACATCTGCCTTTCTCTTAAATGGAATTGATTTCTTAACAGCAGGCACTTCATATTTTACTGGATTGGCTGATGCTGACTTCTTATATGAAAATTTGGCTAGAGTTGGATTGGTTCCTTTAACTGATGGTTGCTTTTCATGGTGACGCGATTCATCTATATCACTACCATTTGATTTATTCTTAGACGATTGGAAGAAATGACTTATAGCAAACTGCTTCTGTCGATAGGCGTTCATGAGATCGATCTATCTGTCTATATTCTATTGGAATTCCTTACCCATATATTGAACTTAATAATACATAAAGCTATATAAAATTTACATAAATAAAAAATTGATCCAGTGCTGCCAAAAAAATGCTGTTTACTTTTTTTGGGTGCAGTCGCGTACCAAAATATTTATCGAACCCTGCTAAAACTAATGCTGTTAATCTTATTTTGTCTAAAACTAGACTCAGTAGATGTAGATGAGCCTGAACTAGATGTAGCAAGAGTTGCAGCTGTAGTAGAAGCAGACGGTATGGATCTTGTATTTGGATTTTCCATGTGGCCACTAGTTAACGTACCTGACGATCTAGTTTTTCTTAATGCTGATGCAGTGGAGGATGATGAAGTGGTGGTGTGAGGTTCTTCATAACGGGCATTGAAGTTAATTCGATTAACACTTGATGAACTATAGTTGTTGGATAATGAAGGACCTCTTCGAGGGATTTCCAGATGGTGTATAGGTAATCCATTATGCAAATGTGAAGATGTTGAAGATAATGATGAGGTTGAAGATGGACTGTTATTGTTATAGTTGTTATTGAATGCTAATTTAGCAGCTATTGATGCTGAAGAAGATGTCCTTGATCTAGTTTTACCTGATTCACTCTTTGATAAACTTGTAGCTGAATTTGTTGAACTTGAACCTGATACTTTTTCTGGAGATATGGATTTTGATTTTGTTAATACCTTATGATCCGACCTTGTTTGTTGCGGGAGCTGAACAGGAGGAATATAACTTGGAGTAATACCAGAAGATATAGTTGATACATGAATGGTTTGAGGTATAATTTTAGTTGGGCTTGCTGTAATAAGAGTTGGCCATTGGTCATTTTCTTCTATAGATGTATTGTTAACCGTTGATAATTGATATGAACCCTTAGAAAATGATGAACTCTTCCTACGATTAGCCGGTAAATGAACTGGAGACATATTTATCGAAGAACTACTTGAAAAGGTTGAAACAGGTGAACTTGGTATGGCACCATTACCATTACTATTGCTGTTATCTTCATCGATAGATGGATTTCTAATGGAAGGAGATATGGTGATTGATTTTAATGATGGTGGTTTATTGGTAGGAGCTTGTTGATTGATAGGGGTATGTGGAGCTCTTGGTGATGCACTAATTGGATTTGGTGGTCTGTAATTATAAGTATTTGAACGTGTTCTTGTTGAACCAGCTTTAACTGATTTTGCTGATGAACCTGATGAAGCATTTTCGGCCGCCATTACTACCGCTGGTAAGGATTGAGAATGCGCCCTTCCTTTAGTATCTTGATTTTGAGTCTCGGGGATAGTAGCATTATTATCAGTACCTGTGTTTATGGTATCATTATAATCTTTTAACAGGGATTGTGACATCGGTACTATTGGACTGGCAAGGACCTTATTTTCTAATAAGGAGGTTTGAGACCGATTTGCTGAACTACTTAAATTAATTGATGATGAGTTTGAAGAACTTATATCAGTTAATGGGATTGATTCTTGGAAATCAAAATTCATGGTGAATAATTCTTTTTTCATTTGTTTATATTTATTCATAAAGTCATTACTGGTAGTATATTCCGTAGCTATCCAACCTTTATTATTTTGAATTAATTCAAATTGTTTGATCTTTTGAATAATCTTACTTTTTTCCTTTGAATTCATAATTAAGAATTTATAAAAGGTTTGAATACACTCAAACTTATTGAATTGGAAACATAAATGTAATAATGTATTCCCATCGCTATCTTGAGTTTCCCAATCAGCTCCAAATTCAAGTAATAATTTGATACCTTCTTCAAACCCTTGTACACAACTATATTGTAAAGGAGTACGACTGAATTCACCACCAGGGTGATTCAACCATAAAGTACCGGGGAACTCTTGTAATAAGTAATGTAAAGTTTGATAATGATTATTTAAGATACATGTATGTAGTACTGAAAGTCCATCGAAACTTAATAGATCAAGCAGATTGTATTGACTTTTCAAACCATCAAGGTTATTATTGATATAAGATATTAAATGGAAACATATAAGATAATGGCCGTAATAGGAAGCATAATGAAGATTCGACCATCCATTGTTATTAGGATCTGAGTTCAACCAAAGGTCAGGAAATCTGGTTATAAGTCTTCGAGCTATCAAAAGATTCCCTTCTATGACCGCGTTCCGAATTCTGTCCTGGGGTTCTAACATGATTTCATATTCTTATATATACAAATGATCAGGGAAGACAGGAGGAACTATAGTACACCTGGTTGGCTGGAGCACGTTGATATCTATCTATATCACTGCTAAATGATATAATAAACCACTATAAATAACAATTAAAATCAAAATTATATCTATTTATAAAACCTGAAATTCTGAATTTCGGTTTCATCTTTACCAGACAGTCAGTTGATCTTTTTTTTTACCATTGTCCTTCCCCTTTTGTACCTTAATTTTTCCCTTTTAAGATTTAACTATGGACTCCTGCATAGAACTCATCCTTTTTTGTAAAATGCTCAATTGCACCACCACTCAGATTTGACTGTCATAAATTGATAGCAGCGAACTGAAGATAAGGTTATTATTATAGGGTAACTTTTAGGATACGGTTAAGTTAGGTTAGGTTAGGTTGATAAGTCTTTCGAGTTTGATTCAATATTCTGGATTTTGATTGATTGTTGTTTGCTTCTTTGTTTTGTGTTTGTTGGTGGGTTGTATTATCTTTGAGTCGTCTGATAAATCAAGGGTCATTTTAATCATCATTTTCGTGGTAACAAGAAACAATCATCTTCGTAACATTAAATCAAACACGTAAGACAGAAGTTGATGATAAGATCTGGTTATCTCGTTGTTGAATAGTTGAAAAAAAAATATACAAGTCAAAATCTCATACAATTCAATATAGATGAGTTCAAAGGATTCACTACGAATCTTAACGTTATCAGATATTCAAGGTAATTTCCATGCGATAACAGAATTATACAATAGAGAATTAAATCAAGGCAGACCAATCGATGTCATCATTCATACGGGTAACTTTGGTCTTTGGAATAATGATACCATTGATGATTATAAGGATTTAAATTATCTTAAACAGATCGTGGCCTTCCTGGATGTGTTAAGCCTGGATTTGGTTGAACAATTGAATGATTTAAGCTTAATATCAAATAATAATAATAATAACAGTAATAATAATAATTCCAATGGTGGTGGTGGTAGTTCAAGTTTCAATTCTTCATCTCATTTAGATGAATTCAATCAATTTAAATCGAAATTATTAAATTCGAATGGCGTAATCAGTCAATTCCAATTATATCTAGATGGAGAATTCAAATTCCCATGTCCGATCTATACCATCTTTGGTCCATTAGATGATCCAAAAATCATTAATAAATTTCATACCAAAGAATATAAAATCCCAAACTTATTCTTAGTTGATCATTTACATAATTATGAAATACCAACTCCGTTACCAACTCAACCAAATATAAAGTTATATGGAATTGGTGGTACTTTGAAAATTCATAGTTTATTTGATAATGGAAATTTAAATTATTCATCTATAAGTGGGAAAGTTGGTGAATTATGGATAAGTTTAATTCAAGTGGCGGAATTATATCTAAATGTTATGAAATCATCATCTATTGAACAAAATTTAAATTTAAATTCAAACTTTAAGAATGATAATACCATCAATATCTTTTTAAGTCATGCTCCAGTTATAAAAAATCCATTATTAGAACATTTAGCCATCATAACTAATGCAGATTTCACAATTTCTCAAGGTTTACATTTTAGATATCCAGTTCTGGGTAATGGTATGAGTTTTGTTGATACTATGGGTGGATCAGCAGGATATATTGAAAATTATAGATCCAAATTCTCAAGATTAAGAATGGTACTAGGAGAATTATGGTTAATTATTAAAGATGAAATATCTGATCTTTTACAATCAGATGATAATGTTTCAAATGACAAGATTCGAAATTTAATTGAATTGGGTTTAAGTTTATTTGATAAGATCCCCATCTCCATAAATGATTCCATCGATAAAATTGTTCCTTTAACTTTATTTTCATCTGATTTTGATGATAATAGTTCAAATGATTCATATTCAAGTAAAAAGATCCTTAAGAAGATTAATGATTATTATTTCCAAGCATATTACAACTTATGGCATTTCAATCTATGTGATCATATATCGAAACCAAAATCAACTTCGAATAATGAATATAATTATATGATCTTCAAATTAGATTCAGTGGGAGATTTCAAGTTAGATTATTGTAGTAGTCAAGGTTTCAATTTTAATTTCAAAGTTCAAAATGATGCTACAAATGAAAATAACTATGATGGAGGTATTGATGATTCTTATGATACTGATTTTTCTGATCAATTCAGAAAATCAAACACTGAATCATCATCAATACCGGGGGTTGATATAGACGAAGAAGATTCTAATGAACTAGGAGGAGAAGATGATGGATTCGCCAGGACAAGAAACTTAATAAATTCATCAAATAGGTTTTATCGAGGTTCTTCACGGGGATCCAATTCAGGTCGTGGTCGTGGTGGTGGATTTGGTGGTTCTAATAGAGGTAATAATTCGTCAAGAGGTTCGAATACTAGAGGTTCTTATAGAGGCTCTAAATTTAGAGGAGGAAGAGGTAAATGATAGGACATATAAAGAGAGATAATAGGAGACGAGCTCTTGTAATACCTCGTTTACAGCACAGTTAATGAAAAACACTCCTTATGTTAGGAGTTGATGATTCTTTTCTTTGATAGGAAAGATATATTAATAGTATAAATAGATAATAAGTAAAAGAAGTAATATATATGTATGCATGTATGAAATGAAATGAAAATGAGGATGATTGGAATCCTACTGTAGTTCCAAGAGTGGTTGAGAAGAGATATTTCGTTATCTCTCTTTTGATGAACTGATAATGCATGATTTATAAAATTGTAAAATCAAAAGTTTCCATGTTAACCTTACTTCAAAAGTAGCATTGACATAGTTTGAAATGGACTATCATATTTTGTGATGCAGGATAACTGGTTCAACACCACTAATGATGTTCAAATGGTAATTTTTGACCAAACATAACTGGACCATCTTCTTTGATTCTGTAAAAGATATAAAACCACATAGTAGCACCTAAGAATTTAGATGCCCATTTTAATTTTAAATCAACGTGTGGTTTACCAACAGCTGCATGACGCACGTACTTGGCTATGTGATGACCTGCCATTCTCTATAGTCTTGTTTCTGATTTTGTAGATATAGATATATATATAGTTTATCTAAATAATAGAAAATTATACAGTAGAAAAAATTGATGTTGAAAACATCAAATTTGGTTGGTTAGAAATCACATGTTTCAAGTCGGATGACTTTGCGCGTGACTGATTGTAATTAAAAATATTTTTTTATTTTTATTTATTTTTCTGTGAGTGGAGTTAGACCGAACTAACGAGCTGGGATTTTTGCAATTCATACAACATGAAAATTATAAAATTACAGAATATATTAAATTATGTACGCCAAGACTGTTATTAATCTATTAAATTTTGGTATCAAGACTCACTTATATTGATTCAGATAAGCTCCAAGTTTTGGTTTTTGATTTCCGTTGTATGAAGGTGTGATAAACGTAAATTAAATCTTGCTAAATATATCCCCATTTCATAAAAAACCCATAATAATTGATATAACTAATCAAACTAATCTAGCAGGAATGATTAGATCTGTTAATATTAAACTATTCAAAGTCATGATATCATAAATCAAAAGTTTGCACCCATTAGCAATCAATAGAACCGAAAAAATGCATTTTCAATATCACGAATAAATTAACCTGTATCTTGTAAAGTTAAAAACATTAAAATAACATCACCAATTTTAAAACTTACAACCTTCATGATGATGATTCTTGTCTTATAAGTTGATTGTAATCATGTTTCCCGGGACTTGTAATTAATTAAAATATTATTTGAGTTGAATAATAAAATAAATGAAAATGAATGACGTTTGTAATTTCCGTCACGAGACTAACCTGTTACAATATTGATAGGTAAAAGTTTGACAATCTGATGTATCAAAGATGCTTCTTGTTATCTCTAGTGATGTGAAAGCTCTGTTATTGATGGTATTGATGAGGATTAATGATTGATTCCATTATTGGTGTGGAACTAGATTGAGCATAAACGTTGAAGAATTTTTTTAAGGGGTGTTAATTAGTACCTGTCAATATCTAATGAAGCTGAAGTCAATGGAAGAAATCTTGAGTTGTTTTAAACTTGATCTAGTTAATCACACTGATTTAATTAATCTCAACCCTTGAATTGGTGCCTCTGAAGTAATTTAGCTTGATACTCTCAAACACTGTCCATATACTGATATTATTTTTTTTCGAAATATTAATCACCAGTCTAGTACAGACTAAAAAACATATTTGAAATGAATAAATCAACTTGATTGTTCTATCTGGAGCTTTATTGAAGCAGATTGAGTAAGACTAATCCATTCATAGGTTGTTTTCGATGCCTTACTAATCATTGGTTTGATCAAGCTTGTATCGACCAAACACCACTCTGTAATTCCCATGTCAATTTCTCCTCATTTCAACCTAGTCAAGGTTTAAACAAATTTAACCCTGACTTTAATCGATTCAATAGCTTTATTGCTACTTCTTAAGATACTAACAAGCCTTTATTTATTAAAGTGGTATCAAATAATAAATGAAATGGAATTGTCATCAATGGAAGGGTTTTGCTGGTCAAATCTAAATCAATATATCATCTTCAAAACCAACTAAACCAAACCTAGAAAGGAACTAAATGACTTTAATATATCATATACTCATGTTAAATTGATATAACATAGTGTGAATTAATTTGTGGTATTGGAATTGAAAGTTATCTTTGACGAGCACAATTCAACCCATTAATTTTAAATTCACAGTGAGATCATTTTGTATATATCTAACAAGTTCATGAAGATTTAGTAGAAGAGATCAAAGCAAGATTTGAGAACATTGGGAATGATCATTGGTACCGATTACTCATATTGCCATTCAATTATAAAAAATTTGAATATTAATGGAATTCCGTTGATCAACGATTATCCATTGATAAAAGTTGATAATAATTGGTCTGTGGTCATTTAATTACCACCAAATACGTCACCGTAAATGACATTAGTGTAGGACCAGCGCTCAACTCATGATACTTTCAATTCTTGGATTCCTAAACATCCAATAATACATGTTTACTACCCTCTACATTACCCTTACTATCCCTTACAAGCTACTTACTTACCCAACCTCCTTTTCCATTGAATTGGACTAGAGGGTAAATCATTTTCTGCGCACAAATTTAATGCAAAAAAAAGATTTTTTTTTTAAAACGAAAAAAAAAAAAAATAAAATCAAAAAAAAAAAGAATTAAAAAAAGAATTAAAAAAAAAATTAAAATAAAAAAAAAAAAGAGTGAGCCATAAATCGCCAATCTTTTCTAGGAATTTTAATAAAAATTTAATAATCCCAGTATTTTTAAAAGGAAAATAGGAGGTCGTTGTTATGATTATGATTGTGATTGTTGATGTTCCTGTAGTTTTTGTTGTTGTTATTTGGCAAAGTATGCTTAGAGAAGATCGCTGGCAGCATCAATGACTAGGGGTGTGGTTATTTATACCAACTGTAGTAGATATTTTCTAATTAGGCTGCATTTTTTTTAGGTAATCTGTTGGGGGCAAAAAAAAATCAGAAATTGCCCGAAACAGCTGGTAGCTCAAAAAATTCCCCTTCAAATTTTGCAGAGGCTAGGAACGGTAAAAACAAAAATAGATTTACAAGTTTAAAAAAATATACAGGCAAAGAAATTCATTCATTCATTCATCATACTTTCTATATAGTAATAAATTTCGTTTATATTTTTGTAGGTAGGTGATGGATAAAAATTGTTTGATTGAATTCATTCATTAATTAATTCTACAAGATTTTCATTCTTACTTTGTTTATATTTTTTTTTGTATATTCTAAGGTTCTAAATTCTATAACGTTTTCAGTTATGTGTGTGGTGGTGGGTTAATTTCACGAGGAGCAGTCTTTTTTATTAGAAAAAGAACTAATTAATAGTCGTTAAATACTGTACAGAGTTAATAAATATATACACAATCGAATAGAATAAAGAAGAAAGGGGCCAGATAGACAGACAGATAGAATCACAGTTAGTACAAACAAACAAACAAACAAACAAACAAACAAACAAACAATCAAACAATCAATCACATCAATTGAAATCAAAATAATGGATAGGTAAATCATTTTCATAAACATTTCCATTCATGGTTGTTCTGGTTGTCTGATGTTTAGAAGGTTTAGTAAACGTAACGAATGGACGACTGGATCAAACTATATCTGGATCTTATGAATTGATTCTGTTAATTGATCCTTTCACTGTTACATCTAGTTGGTGTTGAACACTATTAAACAGCAATCGAACCTCTCCATTCATTGGATCTCTATCAGGAAATTATAAAGCTAATAATACATTTGATAATAAGTTTTGGAGGATTTTGTTTTGGAATAAAAATTAAAGTAATACAATTTGGAATGAATAAAACCCATATTGGGTGGGTGGATTAAAGCAATCGATATCATCACACATATAATAGATAAAACCAGCAAATATAAATTGAGCTTCAACTTGAAATAATAATAATAATAATAATAATAATAGGAAAATAAATAATCTAAATAGCAAACACCTTTCAAGGTAAGCCAGAATTGGGATCTCCAATACCAGCTAAATTATTATTAGAAACACCACCTCCACCAAGTGAACTTGAAGACAGTGAAAAGCCATCTTGTGATGGTTCATTATCTCTTAATTGACGTTCCTTTTTCATATCTCTTTCATGCAATCTATAATGCCTGGTCATATTGGATTTAACACTAAATAATTTCCCACAATCTGGCCAAGGACACTTGAAAATTTTTTCACCTGTATGACTATAATAATGAGTTTGAAGACTGGAAGGACGTTTAAATTGTTTATTACAAATACGACATCTATTTCTTTCAGCAGTTTCAGGTGTCATATCAGGAACAGTAGCAGTATGTCTTCTCTTACGGGGCTTTTTTATTGGCATTGATGATGGTGGTGGCATATTCATAAATGCTGATCCCGATGATCCCACTAAATTAGTTGATTGCTGTCTACCAGCCATGACTTGATTATAATTAGTAACATATTGACCTTGACCTGGAGCCGACAGTTGACCATCATAAAGTTGTTGTTGCAGCTGTTGTTGTTGTTGTAATTGTAATTGTTGCTGTTGTTGAGGTGTAAGATTATATGATAATGCCTGGTTAACAAAAGGATAACCATAACTATTAACCGGAGGTAACGATGAATTTAAATAATTGTAAGATTCAGATGAATTGGTTATATTGGTAGCTCCGGAGCTACCAGTATTTGAAGTTGGACCAGCTCCAGCTAAAGTTTCGGTCGTGTTAGGATTATTATTCGCAAATCCTCCAGATGGCTGAGACACAGGGGGGTAAACCCCTTGAATGTAGGTTACTAATGATGGTTGTGAAGCCCCTGCACCCCCAGATTGATTTAAATTCGATGAAATAGATTGTACATTGGGCGGAGTTCCGCTTCCACCAGATACGTGTGGGACTTGTTGTTGTTGTTGTTGTTGTATTTGGATTGATTGAGATTGATTTGCTACGCTTCTTGGAGGAGAAGTCTGGAAATTATTAGATTCAGCTAGTGAAGATTGCTGATTGATATTTGGAGTTGCATTAGATTGAGAATATTGATAATTTGTAGATTCATGCTGTGGTTGATGTTGTGACACATAATATTGATGCTGTTGTTGTTGCTGTTGTTGCTGCTGTTGCAGTATAGGGGGTTGTGAAAAGACCATACCATCCAGTGATTGAACATAAGTCTGTTGAGGAACTTGCTGATACTGTTGATATTGTTGCTGGAATTGTTGCTGGAATTGCGGTCGTTGTATTTGATTAGTTGTATATGAACCTTCTATGAATTGCAGTTGTTGTGATTGAAGCTGTGGTTGAGATTGTGGTTGTTGTTGCTGTAGTTGTGGTTGTTGTAATTGAGGTTGTGATTGTGGTGGTTGATAATTATTCAATTGTTGTTGTTGCAGTTGATAATAGGGTATCAGTTCAGGATTTCTAGAACCGTCAACCAGTCGCTGTTGTTGTTGTTGTTGTTGAAGGTGACGCTGTTGTAGTATTTGTCCCTGTTGTTGGTTATTAGTTGAAATATTTGAAGCCGATTGATTTGCATTACTTTCATTCGACGAAGTTGGTATTGAGGACATAATTATTAATCATTGCATATTTGATAAGTTTGCTTTTAAATAGGATTAATGTAGTATAAATATATATAACTTAAAATTGAAGTATGGGAAGGGAATGAATGAATGAAATCTATTGATATAAGTATAATGATGAACTTGATGATTTTTCCAACAGTGGAATTTTTTTAAAAAAAACTATGAAGAATTGAATTAATTGAATTGAATTAATTGAATTGAATTAATTGAATTGAATTGAATTGAATTGAATTAAATAAATATAAATAATTGATAACAATCAAGTTTGTAAATTAGATAGTATATTATAACACAAAAGAATATTATCTGATTTCAGTAAATTGGAACACTTGATAATTATATAACAATGATACTTATGACAATTATTGACTATGACAGTACCACTAGAACAAAACGATGCTAGTCAACAAATATAGTAATAATAATATAATATATATAATAAGAAAGAAAGAAACCTTGGACTTTTTAAAAAGAAAATAGCAACAAAGAATGACAAATAAATAAGAAACACAACTTTTAGAACACCAATGATTTTAATTTAAATGATATGCTTTAAGTAAATTGTAGTTGAATATACTAACCATATAAATTACTACAATATCTTGGACTGTTGAGGGCAATTGACCTTTTTATAATTGTAGATGATTGTTATAATTAAGAAAATAATTTTTCCTTTTTTTTTGATATTTGACTTTTAACTCTTGATGATCGGTTTTTTATTGTGATTCCCAAATGTATTTAAGTAAAGCTTTTCTTAGTTTTTCAAAATTTCTAATATAAGTTCTTCTTGTTTAATATATGAGATAGGGAAGACAACGGATGGAGGTCTGCGGGTGGTACCGAAGGTATAATTGATCTGAAAAATGAATGAAAATGAAAGTGGAGACTCCTTAAAAACTAATTGGAGGTATAAGTTGTTAAAATGAGGGACGTGGGGGTTGGTAAATATTCGATTTAAAAAAATATACCTCTCTATAGAGCTTAACCGTTACGATAATTGTCTTTAGACCGTGATGTCTATATATTTTTTTCTGTTCCGTATTTAGGGGGAAGGGGAATTTTATTTTTAAACTCGAATATTTTTTCCGTACTAAATTCTCACTAAATGATGAAAAGAGGGGAAATGATAGTGAAATGACTTGTGTAATTGAATGGTTATAAAAAAGGAGAAGTCTTTGAAAGTATTTGATAAAAAATTGTAAGAGTTGGACATCTGATTCCATATATATATACTTAAACTATTCTGAACCCAAACAAAAACAACAAAAAATGGAATTTAACGACCTTTTTTTTTTTTAGAAATAATTATTTTCTTTTTCTTTAAAATCGTAGATCACAATTCTTTCTTTTTTTTTTTCAAATCAGTTTTTTTTTTATTTTATATTATTTTTTTTTATTTTTTTTGTTGATATGGGATAAGATTTGCATAAATAGGTTATATATTATTGATAGTAGTCATATATTTACTTTGGGGCAAACAAAGCACTGGCAATCATGCAATTCACACAAAAAACGTGTAATTAACTGTTGACTTTATGTTTAGTACAACATGGTTGTAATCATGTAACTGTTCATTATCCAAAAGCAAGGGGAACTAGTAACTAAAATTAAAAAAATAATACCCAATGTGAAAATTTATAGATATTTCATATAATTGTTCATATAGTTCTGTGCAGGAACAGTATCTTGATATGAAAGGTGTTCTCAAAATATAAATTTCTTTTTTATGTTTAATTATTTATGCTTATTCTGCAAAATAGAAAAATAAATTTTGAAATTTTTTTTCTCTCTCTCTCTCTATAATTTTAGTTTTAGCTCTTGTCAAGTCTCAATTTTTTTTTCTTCTAGGTGTGTGGTGCAAGCCAATGCCTTAATTTTTACGTTTGTTTTTGCTATGATTACCTTTCGACATTCTTGTTTATTTACTAGACAATCTTTATGAATCAAATGGAGTACAGAACGCTTCTGCATCAAGGTTTTTAGTGTCTCCGTATATTTGATTTGGGCTACGTATCCAATAGTTTAAAATGGTTCGATACGGTAACAAGAATCTTGATCTCCGAAATTTCTTGTCTTTCACAGGCGACTGGTGAAAGCGCAAAACGCAATTGAATGTCTGATTGTCTGTATAACTCTGAATACTGGTATCTTTGATAGTATTAAGAATGGTATCCATCCAAAAATAATAATTGCAACAACTACTTTACAATCAGTACAACATAACCATTTATCCATTCATCCATTCACTAAGTTTTTCTTAGTTCACAAATTTATTATTAGTTTTATTGACAAAAAGCGGACTTATGGTATGAAAAACCCCCGGCATTCTACCTCCTCTGAAAAAGCATTTTGTTGTACAAGGCTAAATAAATATTGTGGAAGACAGGAATTATTTTTACCGCGAGCAATTACTTTAGTCTCACAAACACACACAAAAGTTACCACCACCCCAAATACGATTTACCACAAACAATCAAAACAAACTAAAATTGGGAAGTACAAAACATCTTCGTAACATTTATGCCCTAATATTTTTGACATTAAATTATAATTGAATATACTTGATTTATACTAGAAGCAAAGAAAAAATTCATATTTTAGTTTCTAAAACAAAAATAAGACTTTAACCCTATGCTCTTACAAGTAAAAAACGCTACGATTGGGTACCTATTTCAACGTCCAATCACCACCCACATACGTGTGTTAGCGACATAACAATAGACACACTGGCAATTTTTTTAAGAGATTTGCAAAGATCTGCGATTTTAACAGCTAAAAAATATTTTTTAATTTTTTATACAATCGTAAAAATTAATTTCAATTTTTTTTTTTTTGCTTTTTAGGTTGGAGTTTTGTCTTCTGATAGTAAAGGTTAATTTCCGAATCTGTCAAATAGCAAACTTAAACTATAAGCTTCATTTTTCTTTCTTGTAAACTTGAATGCGAAAAAAGCCATAAAAATCATAAAACCCAGAAACTAAAAATAAAAATAAAATTTTTACTGGGAAGAAAAATCAGATTTGGCTTAAGATTTAGCTTAAACTTAAATAGTCTTGACTTTAGATTGGGGATTAGATTACTATGTTAGGTGTGTTATAATATACCCCTGTTACACATAACTTAAATCATAAAAATAACCACAATCACTGTTACGGTTAAGCACGTGAAGCCAATTACACATTTGAATAATTTGTGATTGTAGGCATGCCGATTTTGCCCTGCCCATCAGTGTTTAAGTTACGTTTATTCGGTAATGTATTGTACTTTGTCTAATCAGGATAAGAACCAGGTGTTGCATGAAAAATAAAGCACAAATTATGACGCAATATAATATATTGCATAAAGAAAGTTAAGGCTCTTGCATGATAAGAGGACTTAATTTTTGTTTCTCATTAGGCTTAAGAAATTTCTTTCTCTTCCTTTCTTTTTTTTTTTTTTTTTTTTTCTTCTTCTTCCTGCTTTTTTTCTTTTCTTTTTTTTTTTGTTCCATTATTTTTTTTGTTTTGACACGTAGTGAATTAACTATGTACCATAATTTAAACAGAGTAAGTCCTTTCGAGTTCAGATGATGCTCATGCTGGATGATATTTGAATTGAAGTTACATGTTTCATGACCGGATATATCTTACAAGTCATATTTGATAATATTTCATTGATAGTTATGGACGTTTGGTTCTGGAAATGTACGGGAATAGTCCGATAAGAAATTCCCCATATAAAATGAAATATTCCTTAGGTCCCCGAAAGAAAATAACAAACCAGAACCAAATAATCATAATTATGCATTTAGTTAGATTTAAATTGTGAGTTAACTATGGGGTCGTTGGTCTGGTAAACACAAACTTGTGAGAGAAAAAAAAATTTAGTGAATCAGAGAATGGGAAAAAAAAAACGCTCATAAAATTAATGAATGAGCATTAGTCAAAGATTTCCCAATTTACCATCATGATTTTGTAGCTGTAATACATCATCGCCAATTTTTAGTGCCTGGTAAAATTTTTAGCCATGATTCTCTCTAAGTTTAATTAGATTAGTGCCTAAAAGATAACAAAATAAACATTAACTGATTGCGCAAATCCTCCTACCTATTTTTTTTTTTAATTTTGACCTGTTTTTTTTGTTTTTGTTTGTTGTGTTTTGGGCCAAGACGCTTGTCATTGTCAATCTCGAGGAAAATCAATTATATCATGCTGAAGTAGGCAAACTCAACCCAACTCAACCCAAACCAAACCAAAACAAAGCAGACCAGCCAGCATGATGATTCGCGAGACAATATGTACCGTTATCACAAACATGATTCAACCTATCTTTCTTCCTCTATCTCATTAATTAACATTTTACGATGTCCACTGGGCGGTGCGCACTAACAATCAAATCAAACCTCAAATTAATTTGTGGTGCCAATACAATTCTGAGCAAATAAAATACACAATGAAATTTAGTATAAAGAAAAACGGACTTAGTAAGTCTTAAACTGTAATATGTATCCTTCTGATAATGCAATATTTCAAAAACTCGAAACGACCGAAACTTTAAACCGAGATCGAAAAAGAAAGAAAAGAGTATTTAACTCCAGCTATGATGATGATAACTTTAATTTTCGAGGTCATAAAACCTTGAATAGTAGATTTTCGAACATTCCAAGCATTAATCTTTATTCAAACATACGCCGCCAAAAGTCTTAAAGCATATGCAACTACAACTAGAAGTAAGATGATATAAAAATAAATAAATATTAAAAATAAATAAAAAAAAAAAAAAGAAAAAAGTAAAACTAGTACAAAAAAAGAAATAGAACAAATATTTGTTGAATAAATACAACCACTAACTAATAGTCAATAAAATATTAATCAAATAAAGTTGTAATGATGCCATGTCTGAAATTTTGATACAGAATCTTTAATTACTTGAGAAAAATAAATCTCAACAATGACATTTATTCTTTTTGGTACCTTTTCTTTCGTATTACTATGCACCTAGTATGAATAATTACTGTTTTCGTTCATTCTTCTATATGCCATATTTTATGTATCTTATTAATATACCCCATGTCTAGAACCAAACGAAATCTTTTTCTCTATTATCAACCCACTGAATAATCCCGGTCATGGAAAGAAATTAATAGACTATTAATACAACTGCTGGTGCTACCCTCGTTTCATATCTGGCAAGGTTTGTGTTCATGTTACTACATTCTGATTTTGTTTTCATTATGGCAATTTTTGGGAATATAGTCGCGAATGAATGATCATAAGTCAGTAAGTTCGTAGATCTTCGAAGGAAGCAACCATAATTATTGATTTGAAAATCAATCAGACTTCTATTAATCTTCTGAAAATAATATTAGTTGTTCAAATAAAGGCTATTAAAAGTAAAATGAATATAAAATAACATAAAATGGAAAAATAAATAAAATAAACTTTAAAAAAAAAAGTAAAATAAAAAAAAAAAGATTAAAAAAAAATCAAACATAAAAAATAATAAATATACTTGAGCATTTGTCGCAAATCTTTCTTTTTTTTTATATTTTCGATTGAGATCGGACTTTTTGAATGCTAAGCCAAAACTTACCAAATGACTACCATTGCTTTTGTATTCTTGTTTACATTTTAGAGTCATAATGGCTAGGTACACACAAGTGCTACCCCTAATTGAGTAAGGTGATAGCTTGGAAAATACATCTCGGTTACACTATATCGTTTTTCTTTGACCAATTTGCGAATATTATACGTCACCAAGCCCAAACTTTCAACGTTTATTAAGCAAAATCATGATATAACAATAGTTATTTTTCTTACTAAATTAAGATACCTGGAGCTTGGGCCCGGAAGCCTTGTTGCATCGATGATGCGCATTAATGTGCAATGTCCCATGAAAATAGAACATACAGTGAGATTAAAATCAAACTAAAATCTTCAAATTTGCAAAAGGAAATAGCGACATGTAACAGTTATGATACCATATGATTTGTTTTATTCTAAAACTTAACTTAATAGGAAGATCCTAAAATTTTGTGGGAAAAAAAAATTTCACTTCTTAAGTTTTACCACTTAGTTTCTATGGATCACAGACCCTATCTCCCCGAGGGTATGGATTTACTTTAAACCCCTCTCGTTTAATCCAATTCCAGTCATATATTGGCCCCAACATAATATTTATTTTATTTTATTTTATTTTTAAATATTTAATATTTAAATTTTTTTTCAATTTGACATAAAAAATAATCATCAAATTTATTTTTCTTCTTATGTCTTTTGTGCTTTAGCATAAAGTAATGAAATAGAATCGCTAAGTAGGTAAGTCTTGAAACAGTTTACTTCTATCCCATACTTGCATTAAATCGAAAATATGTATACATAAAATAAAGGCGAAATGCTCATGGAACAATAAACATTTACTATTTCCAAATGTAAAATCGGTCAATCTCGCATAAAATATTTAAACTAAAATTTTTAAATCGAATCGAAACCGAAAGAAATTGCTTTTTTAAAGTATGATAAGATTCAAAAAAAGTATGAGGTAGTAATAATCGCGGTTGTATATTTACAATATTAACGCCACTCGTAACGTCTCCAAAGTTCAAGGTTAAGCTTTTCCTCGTTTATGGGGCACAAGTTAGGGTCTCACTCGCCTTATTTCTATTTGATTATATGTTAATCCCCCAGTAAAAAGATTTTCGGATACCAAAAAAAAATAATCATCATAAAAAAAAATATAAATCCAGCCTCTCATTTTCTCGACACCAATTTAATTTGATAAATGAATTGAAGGGAACGGTGTATATATGCTTAATTTTTCACTATTCCAGTTGTTCACTTACGTTCAGATGCTTTGAATCTACATAAATCTTCCACTTTAAAAATATCAGGAAGAAAATTTTTATCGCATCATCGTAGGGTTTGTTTAGCCGAATGATTTCTTTTTTCGTTTTTTTCCTTGCACTGTTTCGACGGTAAAGATTATTTTTCAGTAAAACTTAGCAGGGTGGTGGGTGTATCTAAAGCATACATTAACAAACAATGTAAAACATTTTAGTGATATAATTCAACTAGGGCAGAGAAGCCGATAGTGGGGCGGGGACATAAGGATAACGGAAATAATATTTAAAAAATAAATATCGAGAAGATAAAATTTTTATTCATAGAAGAAAGTAAAGTAGAGAAAGAAAGAACGAACTAAAGAAAGAAAGAAATAATTACCCAATATTAAAGAAAAAAAAAAAAAAGAAATGGAAAACATGTCTCCTGAAAACGAAGGTTCCAAAACCTTGTAACTAGTTTAATTACGAACCAGAACCTAAATTTTGTTTTGTCTAAAAAAAATAGTATAACTTTATTTTTTAGGAGTTTGTGATTTTAAAATATTTATTTTTTATGCCCATTGTAGTTGTAGATCAAAAGACAAAAAATATTTTTTAAAAAACGTCTAAAAGGCTATTTTGTTCATATATAGGGTTACCCCTCTTTTGAAATCAAAGGTCTTTTTATTTTTTTTAGTTTTTTTTTTTTTATTTTTATTTTTACTTTTATAAGAATTTATTAATTTTTATTTTTCCTATTCACTTTTGAATCTTTTTTTTTGATGCGAAAATCTTCTTTATTATTCCAGTGATATTTTTTTCAACTCTGTTGATCTTCAATTGCGATTATCAACTCATAATCAAGACAAATTCAATACATCGCAATATTGGTCTCGAATTCAAATGCCAATCAGCTAACTCAATTCCACCGTGATGTAATTCAGCTCATTTCAGTTATGGGACTTGTGTTACAATTATCTGGTCACCGAGGTGCCAATTGTTGTCCTGAAAAGAACCCTTCCTGCATGATTCGGAAACGCTTCCGACAATGGTTGCATGTAGCGTTATGCCTTTTCCTAGAGCCATAAATTTCAGTTCAACGTCCATACATATTTAGTGTTACTATTTGATATACAGTAGTTTTTTTTTATCTTTTCTTTTCTTGCAAGAAAAACTTATTTTCGAGACCCCAATATCATAATCCTTTAAATTGATTATCGATACCATCGATATATCATCAGAAGATCATCTATTAAGATTGTCTTCCACGGCTACAATATGTCGAATCATATTTGAAATTAAATAAAAATCTCGAACCCTCATTTTCATATGATCGAACCATTATAAGTACGGATTTATATGAAATTCCAAGGTGGAAGAACGATCCACTAAACAATGTAATCAAAACCGTCTACCATCTTTTTCTTTTATGACAGAGGTCTTTTTGATTTGGGTTAAACCTAGGTCTTTTACACCACAGGACGTCGTGGTGCATCTAACATGAGGCTGACACTCGCTTCTCATCATGTGACTGCTGCCGTTTTATTGGTCGCTACAGGTTTAATTATAACAACGGGATTACAATTAACCCACATATGATAACATGATTCCCCCCTTCTCATTCTTCCTCCCCCTCCAAAATAATTTCTAAAAATATCTCAATGAATAATACTAAACTTAATTGCGTATGTGTGTCGTTTCTGTTGCAGAATAATTTGTCTGACATTACAGTTTTTCCTTTGTTTCATTAAATTTTAGCTTTGTTTAGAAGCTTTTAATACATGTCAACAAATATAGCGCATTTAACTTTAATGAGCCAAGCTATTTCTTTATTTGCGTATTTGTTTATATATATATAAATATAGTTTCTTTTCCTAATCCTTATCTTTTTTATATTTAGCTTACTCCAGGTTAGCTCTATTTCCGAAGTGATAATAATTCGCTAGTTCTTTTTGGTCTGCTTACTGATCCCACTGATTGTCTGGATTATCAAAATTAGATGATTTTACTATGTTGAAGATCTATCAAAGCTGACATTAATGATTCGCAAATTTCGTTTAAACGATCCACCAAATCTACAAAATGTGAACTTGGTCAGCAGTGGCTAGAAACTTCCCTATAAAATGGTTGTACTCTAACATTTCTGTCATTTCTCCCTAAACATTTTTCTCCCTGTTGACTTTTTTTTCTCCTCTTTTTTTTTTTTTGAAGTTTTTTTTTTTAGCGCTACATTACGTAATTTGTAAACACAGTACTGGAGTACGATGATAATTCCAGTTGTAAATACAATTGATCCCTAATTATTTAGAAGAATCTTATCTCGTACTATACTGTGTTATGTTAGATTGTTATTCCAAGATTCGTTTTCACATTTTCCAGAAGCATCCTACAGTTTTGCAATAACTCCCTTACAATATTTGACCTTCATATAATGTTTCACGCTCAAACTAATATATTCCTAAAAAAACTTTGATAATGATCTTAACTTATTTTAAAAAAATTATTTCTAAACATCTAGTATACTAAATATAGACCATAACGTGCCATCCAGACATATGTTTTAGATATTCTTGGACTTTAATTTATGAAGCTTGATCTATTTAAAGAATGGCTGGACAAGTGGTTAGGTTCTCCTCTACATCCTGCATACAAGACCAATATTTTTGTTTACATTTCTTTCGCAGCCAACCAGCCATTTGTGAGGAGCAGCGGGTTTATAATGAAAAATTGCTATAAATACATTCATATAAATTGTTTTTGCAAAATGCTGGTCTAGTTACCTGTTTAGTGATTTGGAACCAGCTTTAAGGTGTCACAAACCCTTTCCTTCAACTTTCAACTTGCAACATATTTAGATTTTATTAATAGATGTATAATTTCAAACCTAATAATTTCTAAACTAGGCTATGAGAACCAGCATAAATCATTTTAGAAGCATGATCCAGTCCGTTAATCAAGTAATTTGTTTATATAGAGAATGCAAGGAGTAACCGGATCATGGTTCTTGGATCAAACAATAGTGAAAAGGGGTTGATCCAAAAACATTATAAATACTGGTCAAAAGACTTCAGAATTTATTTTATTTCTTGTATCTTTTTCTTATCATCTTCAATCTTCTTGACTTATACAATCTAACAGGAAAGTTAACTAACTTACATTTATATCAACTTAAATTTATATCACATAACACAAACAAATAAGAAATGAAGTACACATCTATCTTAGCTATTGCTGCTACTTTAATCAACACATCTGTTGCGTATTATGTTCCAGGTCAACCATACTCAACTTTGACGCCAACTGCTACTTATTCTGGTGCTTCAACTGATTACACTCAAAGTTTCGGTATCCAAATTTTAACTTTAACATCTGCTTCAGCCACTGCTGCTGCCAAAAGAGATGTTAACCAAATAGATGATGGTCAAATCCAAGCTCAAACTACTTCATCTGCCCAAGTCATCAATCAAATTGGTGATGGTCAAATCCAACATCAAACCACCGCCTCCGCTGCTCAAGTTATTAATCAAATAGGAGATGGTCAAATCCAACATCAAACTACTGCTTCTGCTGCTCAAGTTATTAACCAAATCGGTGACGGTCAAATCCAACATCAAACCACCACCACTGCCTCTGTTGTCAATCAAATTGGTGATGGTCAAATTCAACACCAAACCACATTAACTACTTCTACTATTACTGGTGCTTCTCAAATTACTGATGGTCAAGTTCAAGCTCCAACTGCTTCTTCTGAAGCTATCACTGATGGTTTACCAGAAGCCTGTCTTACTCCAAACTCTTTAGCTATGACCTTAAATGGATCTATCTTAACTGATTCTCATGGTAGAGTTGGTTCTATTGTTGCTAACAGACAATTCCAATTCGATGGTCCACCACCACAAGCCGGTGCTATTTACGCTGCTGGTTGGTCTGTTACTTCTGATGGTTTCTTAGCTTTAGGTGATTCAGATGTCTTTTACCAATGTTTATCAGGTGATTTCTACAACTTATATGATGAAAATGTTGCTGCTCAATGTGAACCAGTTAAATTAAGCGTCATTGATTTAGTTGCTTGTTAAATATAAACATCATCATTATCATCATCATCATCAAAAGTACACTAGATAAGGGATATATTATCTCCTTAGTTTCCATTTCTTCTTCCACGATACTTTTCTTTCGTTTCGTTACATTATAGTTCACTAAAATTTTTTTACTATATAGGCTTGGGTTTCACAACAATAAAATATTTAAATTTGTTAAAAAATTTGCACTAAAATTTGTAGTAATTTATTACTGTTCGCTTCATTTCTACAAATCTCTGCGAATATTCTCATACATAAACAAAACTTGTATATGAAATGTCTTCTAACTATTATAAAAAGGGCAAATACATAATCCATATGATTTCATAGTCATCATCATTAATTTTTTTTTAAATCATTATCTTTTTAAGAATCCTTTTTGTTTCATGGGACTTCTATTACTTGTCATTGTATAAGCTACACTTGAAAATGCAGTATCTTCCGCCACAGTTTGACTAGTGGAGTTATCAATACCTGCTGGAGATTCATTACCATAATGTAAGGTAACCGAACTGAAATTTGCAAATGGATCATTTGAATCCATAACTTTTGTTTTATTGGTCGATGTGGTTGTGGATGCTTTGGCAGCGTTTCCATTTGAAGTTGAGTTAGAGTTTAAAGTGGTTGAATCTTCTTCATTATCAATTATTTTTTCATATTTCTTTGATGAAGTAGATGATGAATTCTTCGTTAAGACTGGAATCATAGGAGGCTGTTGGTTTCTTAATAATGCCCACTGAGTATTCTTAAAGAAAATATGATTTTTAATTTCTGAAGCTCCAGTTTTTGATCCTAAACGTTTAACTTCATCTTTAATCAACAACTTTTTAATCAAACTTTTACAATTTGATGATGTTAATGATGAATCGTTAAATTTAACATCTTTCTTTAAAATATTGGCAAATGTCTTTTTTCTATCGGCCCCTTTAAATGGAGTAGTACCATAAATCATTTCATAAATAAATATACCTAAAGTCCACCAATCAACCGCACTAGTATGACCTTTACCTCTTATAACTTCTGGAGCAATATATTCTTCAGTTCCCACAAATGAATTGGTTCTGAATCCATCAATACATGCCTTAGTATCGATAGTAGGACCATTATGATTGGTATTATGATTAGGATTTATACTACTTAAAGTATGGTTTGAAGATTTATTAAATGAAATAGTTGGATTTTTAGTACTTTCACTTTGTTTTGATAAATCAAAATCACTTAACATAATATGACCTGATTGATGTAATAAGATATTTTCAGGTTTTAAATCACGATAAATAAATCCCATTAAATGTAAATATTCCAAAGCAGCCGTAACTTCTGCAGCATAAAATTTTGCATCATCTTCTGAAATTGATTTGGTTTCTCTTGTTTGTAAAGCTCGGAAAAATTCTCCTCCCATACAATATTCCATACAAAGATAAAGATAATCATTTGATTGAAATGAATGATATAAAGTAACGATGAAGGGATGATTTGACGTAGCCAAGATTTCTTGTTCTGCCAATGCACGTTTAATTTTATTTCTTTCAATCATTTCCTTCTTTGAAAGAATTTTCATGGCATATAATTTATTTGATAATTTTTCTTTAACAAGATAAACCTTACCTACATCCCCCTTACCTAATAATTTAATCTTTTCAAAACATTCAGGTCCAACTTGAGCATCAACAATCTTTGTAGAGGCAGTTGAATACATTCTTTCTTGAGTATAAGTTCTTGGCCTATTACCTTGGAAATTATTTAATTCACCAATATGTTTATTTAAATCAAATTCTTCTTCCTTGCTAGCTTTTAATTGATCATTACCTGATAATTTACCTGGTTCAGGAGAAGATTTTCCTGAATCACTCAATAGACGATGAACTAATGGAGCTGACGCGACTCTTCTTAAAGTTCTCAGGAAAGATGATGTACTATTTGATGATGATGATGCAACAATACTGGTGGAAGTATTGGATTGATCAAGAATCTTAGGTTCTTTTTGAGGAGATGGAGTTTCTAAATCAAGAGCTTTACTTACCACGAGCGGAATTTTAGGGATGCCAACCTCATTACCACTCAAATCTTCTGATTGTCGATCTTCATCTTCTTCATGATGACTATCTGATACGGGAGTTAATTTTGGAGTTGAGATGGGTGATTCTTCAACTTTATGGTGAGCTTTTGAAGGAGGCTTTAAAATCCCGGAATCAGTTAACGAAAAGACAGAATCATTATGCCTTAACGATATAGAAACATCACCATGAGTAGTTATAGATTCATCATTGACTTGTAAATGATGATGTTGATTATTTGAAGTTTGATGAGGAGGTAAACCTTGATATGCAAAATATAAATTTGAATTCACGACTGGTGATTCTTTTGATGATGTAGTATTAGAACTATTATTGGTATTTTTACTGGAACTAGCCGTGGTTCCTAATTGAGTAGATGACGCTGATGTTTCAATAGGGTTAGTTTGATTCTTCTTCAGAGATTCACAACTAACATGTTCAAGTATAGTTTGATTTGAGATTGAATTTGAATGAATATGTGACTTTGTAGGAGGGGATGAAACTGATCTTTTTCTACCTACGGGAGATTTCTTAGGTGATGATTGTAAATGATTATTATTGTCTGACAGTTCAAGGATATAATCTGTAACATCATCATAATCCAGATCAGATCTTGGAGTAGTTAAGAATGATGATTCACTTTGCTTTATAGGTGTAGTATTAGTTGAATTAACCGTCGAAGTGGAAGATAATTTAAAAAGGCCTTTAAATTTCATGAAATTAGTAGCATCTTGAATTAATGATGGTGAATGAGAAGTTGATCCATGTATTGATTTATGTTGATCTTCATTAGTACCAGTCAATGAATTGAATGATAATAATTTTGATATTGATATTGATCTTGATCTATTTCTTGATAGAGGTCTACTTGGAGTTCCAGATTCAGAAGTATCAGATCTTATCATAGCAGGAGGATGTAAAGTCAGTTGATGATTCAATGATTCCAGATTATTGAACTGACGATCTGAAGTAGATGAAGATCCTTCTTGAAGAGTTGGTTCAGTCACGTCATTGCTAACAGAGGGAGGTATGATTGCAGTTGCTGAATTTGAATGATTAGCATGAAATAGTACCATGATTTGAAATGAATGATATTAGGTATGGAGAAAGTAGATTGAGTTAAGTGGGAAAAAAGCGAGATGAAAAGGGAATGGCAATCAGTAAGAGATAATGAACATAAATCAGACGATAGAATATGATGAATAAAACTAAATGAATAGGTTATGAATAAGTAATAAAGGGGGAATGATGGTTAAACCAAGATGAAACTCGTTAAGGTAAAGGTGTCAAACGATGCTTATAAAAAGTCTGGAACGATAAAGGGGGCTGAATGTCTTTAGAATGGGGGATGAGATGAAGTAGCACTAGTATACTATACTTCACTAGCCAGCGTAGATTTGATGGATGGATGGATGTGATGTGATGTTGATGATAGAAAGTTACTGAAGCAAAGCCTTAATAGTGTTGCTGTAAATCTTTCTTTGGGGTGAGAACCTCCTTTTATTTTTCTGGTGGGTGGTTGATTTGATTTTATGACAAACGAGACTAAATTTTGTGTGGTGTCTGTCTGTAAGATAATAAAATGCCAACAAAGATGGTAACTATTTACACAACACGTTTAAATGAATATGAATATAAAAACTAACTTATGATTGAACACAAGTTGTCTAACAATAATAACTTTAAGTTTTCTATAATGAACCCAAGAAAATTAAGAACAACAAGAGGAAAGCTAGAAGTTACCATTTCACTAGAAATTTCTTTTTCCTGTTAAGTACTGCGGTAGGGGTGTACGAAGGCTTATGATTCGTATATATTAAGCTATACAACAAAACTTAGGAATAGTTTACTTAGAGAAACTGCTATTGATAGTAGTTTGAGTTATCGTCAATTTAGACTAATGGAATGGCTGAATGAGTTCATATTTTCACTTATTAACTGTCTGTTAATAAGCATAATATTTATATAGTATGAGAATAGAGAGTAAGTGGGGTAAACCTAAGGTTAATTTCTACTTTCACATATACGATGAAGTGGTACGTATTCATATGGAATTCAGTTTAACCATTTAATTAAATGACTTATAATTTATTAAAATAAATATATGCATACATATTCTACATATGATTTCTATGATATGAGAATTGATCTAGTGAGATCAAACCTTTGATCTTGACCTTAAACTAGACCTTTGACTATAGTACAGTTGCTTTGATTTGAGTATTATCCTAACATAAATGAGGTGGTAATAAGAAATTAGGTATAGAATTCTTAATATAATAAATATGTTGACAATTCTTACAAACCATTTTACCATCAACTACTTGAGTTTCCAATAATAAAGTATGTAAATCCTTTAAGATAGCTTGATCATCTTCCATTATAGGATCTAAATCTTCTGGTTTGGTTGGTGGTAAACTATCATTACCTAAATCATGGGCAACTTTTAATATAGCATTCCAATCTAATCTTTCTAACATATGACATAAGAATTCAGGATTATATTCTTGTTCTTCTTGAGCTAATTGACATTCTTCATATTTTAAAGGAAAAGCATCTAATGAGGATTGACAGCCTTTAATAGGACATTTCACAAAGTTAGTAGTTAAGAATTTCATCGTTGATATTAACACCTTTTACTGTTTAATTCTATTAATCCATCATTATTTTCAATGCTCTTCTTCTAAAATTTTTAGTAACTAAAAAAAAACTTAAAAAAATCATCTCCAAAGAATCACGTGCTCAATCACGAGACAAATAAATTGGTAGCGCCGATAATTTTTCTTTTGACATTTGCACACGACTTTCAATTCTTTTGATCTCTCTCTCTCTCTCTCGTTGGGAAATTTAGTGGCAACAGTTGTATAATCAATTAGCCATAGTATCAAGTCATAACCCATCAATTCATCACATCATAACTTCCATCAACATCATATCCCGACCATGCCATTACAAAAGTTATCTGAAGAATTGTACAAAGCATTCGATCAAGGCGATTACACCCAATGTCAAAAGATCTTACCCCCAATTCGGATTGAATTAATTAAACATAACTTATTAGTACCATTATTAAATGATAATACCAATAAAAATAAGATTAATGATTTAAGAATCAGTCAAAGGATTCTTGAGATTGGTGTTTTAAGTTCATTATTATCTCATAACTATACCAATTTTGAAAATTATTTCTCTCAATTGAAACCATTTTATTTAAATAAGAAATTATATCATAAACATGAATTAAATACTGATACTACTAAGATTATATCGTTAAATCTTTTATATTTATTATCAAAGGGGTTGATTTCTAAATTCCATATTGAATTGGAAATCATTTATAATTCAAATCAATATAATATCGATCAAGATAAATATTTACAATTTCCTATCAATTTAGAACGAAATTTAATGGAAGGTAATTATATTAAGATTTGGAAATTATTAAATCAAACTACTAATTTACCATGTTTTGAATATGAACATTTCATAGATACTTTGATTCATGCTTTAAGATTTGAAATTTCAAAATCAATTGAAAAGACTTATAAATTCTTACCTATTAATAATTGTAAAAATTTATTATATTTCCCTCAAGAACAATCAGATAGTCAATTTGAAAAAGAATTATTAGAAGAATTCAATATAAATAATTGGAGATTTGAAAATGGTAATATTTACTTTGATCAAATAGAAGAAGATGAAGATTTAGATTTAGATTCAGGTAATGAACCAATAAAGGAAAATCCAATTATTAAAAATGTATTGAATTACTCAGAACAAATTGAATCCATCGTATAGATCTCATTATGTATTAATAAACAACATATATATATATATATACATACTGTCTTATTCTAAACTTGAGTAGAACCCTTTATAAGCAGCATCTAAATCATTTAAAAATAATTCCAGATCAGATTGATTTAATTCATCAACATCACCTAAATTATTCACTTTGATTAACCAATTAATTAATTTTGATTTCCCATCAAATTCCAATACTTTATGATTACTATTTTCAATTAAATCATTTAAATTTACAACTAAATCACTTAATAAAGGATGTAATTGATCTTTAGTTCGATAATTTAATTTAACGGCATCCATACAAGTAATGAAATTCCCTGTTATTTCAGCAATTAATCGAGCACTAGATGTACTATTACTAGTTGCATTAGTAGTATTTATTGATCCATCTCCACTTGAACTAGCAACTATGACTGGAGGTGGGATATGATGACTTGAACTTTCAACTTGTGTACTTAAATGTTCAATGGTTGCCGGTACACCTACAGTTAATCTATTTATGGCCTTTGAATTACTTGTCAAGTTGAATTTTATAGCAAACAATTTAAGAAAATTACTTAAATCAGAATGTAAAGTATCTGGTGTAAGATTACTTTTAAGTATTTCTTGTAATAATGATAATTTCTCATCATTATCTTTGAAAGATTTGACAATTATTTGGAATTGATTGATTAATCGATAACTTATATTGGTAAACACTTCTCTATCAGTGATGAAATCCTTTAAAAATGAATTTTCTAATAGTTCCAACGTAGGTATTATCAGATATATTTCTGCTAATGATTCATAGATATTCTTATGAGTTGATGTTTTTAATAATGATGATTTGGTGATTTCTTCATGATACTGTTCATGATTCTTACTGGTGGTATACGAAGTAGTTGCTGTGGGAGCATATGATAATGGAGACAGTGATGTACCTGACATTGTCCCTGTATGTTTGATTGATGTCTATATAATAGTTAAGACCTGTCTTTGATAGATCCCCATTTTTTATGTGGTGGAGATGTCGCAAAATTACAAACGACACAGCTACATACATACAATCTTATACGACATTATCCTGCATTTAGCTTCCCTCTCTCTATATACATTTGCTATGTTTCCCCAATTTTATCTATCTATCTATCTATATATTATAACCTAATTTAATCCAATCAATTTTACTATTCTTATAAGTCTTTGGAGGATCAATAAATTGTTGAAAGATATCCACCATTTCATTATAATTTGCAGCATGATATACTAAATTCGGTATATCGGGACCAAAATGTAAATTTGTTTGTTTACATTCATCTGTAATCCATTGTAATAAATAATCACTACTAATTCTATCGAAGGGACAAACTGTTAATGGAATTGAAAATTCTAAATCCTTAGCATTAATGATTTTAACTTTAAGATGGATTTCATATCGGATTGAGAAGAATTTCCCTCGAGTTGTGAATCCTTGAGTATGAGTTAAGGGAATTCCTGGTTCAATTTTACCATCTTTTATAAATGAATTAGTGAGGATAACTTTATTAACATTAAGTTTAATTCGTTGACCATTTTCATCAAATTCTTGATTTTCTTCTGCTTGTTGTTGAATATCTTCGGCATATTGGAATTTCCTTCCTCCTTTGGTTTCAACTTTATTAGCATATAATCGTAAATAATCATTATAATAAGGAAATTTACATTTAAATTGATAATTGAATCCCTCCGTGGTTATAGTATTATTTGGATTATGACCATCTTCACCAAATGTTTCACTGGTACTAAAGATCTTAGTTGATTTATTTGGTAATCCACCATCATAACATTCTAAAATTTCATGAATTTGTAAGGTTAATTTTGATAATTTTATATTTCGTTTTAAACTATTATTAAGATAATTAGTGATTAATTTAACATTTAATGTGAATGAATCTCTAGGCCCTAATGATGAAATGGGTAATGATGTTTCTACCCAAACTTGATGATCACTAGTACTTAGTGTTTGTAATACTGGTTTATTGAATTGACCATATAATGGTAAAGAATCATAAATGATGATAGGGATAGGGAATTGAAAAACATAATTGATTTCATTTTCAATGGAATCACCAATAGAAACTTTGATAACCAATCGATGAATAGTATAGGCATTATAATTGGGAAATACACCACTTGATATGATATCTTTTGGTAATGGGATTAAAATTGGTATATCCAATCCAATTATATCTTGATAAGTTTGAGCCATTGGAGGTCGATAAAGAGTAGGAATTTCATATATTTTATAATCACGACTGGCATCATTACTTCCTAATTTGGAAGGAACTCCAACTTTTTGAACTGTTCTTAATTCCAAACTTATATATCTTAATTTAAATGATTTACCTGGTAAAGTTGATCTAACTTCTAATTTAGTTTGAATTCGGGGTAGACTTCGTATTACACCGGGACAACCTCTTATCACACTTGATCCTATGGAGTCCAAATTCACCGCCACTGGCGATTGGACCTTAGGAGTGAACATGTTAGGAGTTTATCACGGTCTAACCTATGGACTGATGAAGGGGATGGAGGGTATTGATATTGGCTAGCTCTCTTACTTTGGGTTGCATCAAAGGAATCAGTGTTTTGAAATCTTTTGTTTATATTCCGGTATATGCAGGATGGATAAGTTTTGAACATAATACACGACGTTTGTTTTTAAATTAGTAGTACTGATTTACATAGTTAAGACCTTTTTAATGATTTACTATAGTTATAGATCTTCAACTTAAGTTGTACTTGGTGAAAAAGTCTTGATATAAGAATGGATGTGATACGTAGAATTACCAACAATTAACTGTTTAATAAGTAGTATTTCATCGTAATTATATAGAACTTATGCTAGTAATTAATTTGTTGGGAACGGATAAGATAAATATGTCACGTTACGATATAGACATAAGATCTACTCCGTAACGTAATTACTTCTTTTAATGTCTTCAGAACAGAATAACTTACTTTTACGTATTTACCACATCATATTCATAGAACTTAACTCTTATGGATTACGTGTAAACTTCTCCGATAATCTCTCCTCCACCTCCTCCTCCTCCTCTAAAGGCTTAAGTCGCTAAAAAAAAGATCGTAAGAGACATCAAAAATGACAAACACAAATTTTTATTTTTGACGAAACCGGAACGCCTAAAAAAATAAAATTTGTATTTAAAATTTTGGCGTCGCTGCTTGCAACAATCAAGAACAGCAAACTCCCATTTATCTTGCTTTATATGATCCCATACCGTTAACAATGGTTAGTGTACCCCATTTGCTATCTCGAAGATATACAAAGCTAGGCGCAGCCTTCGTCACCATACTAATATTGCTTGTGTTTGGTCTTTCCTTCATCTATACTGCCATATCCCCCACTAATGATTATCTTGCTAGTAGGATAACTACTGCTTCTCATCGATATAACTTCAATTCTAAAATAGAATTCTCTGATTCAAGATGGTCCAAGATCTATAACTATATCACAGGCTATAAAATCCCTTTGGATGAAGATCCTGCTTCTATAATGGATAAATTACAAAAATTAGATTCTTATGATAAAGTTGAATCATTTCCAATTGATTCAAGATTATTACATGATGTATTGGGTAAAGCCAATAATAAAATTAGTGATGATAAATCAATCTATAAATTGAAACAATTAAAGATCTTTACTGATCCTTATCAACATATTAAAGATATTCCTGAAAATTTTGAATTTGATTTACAAGATATTTGTCCTAGAATTGCTCATGATTATTTCTTTCAAATTTCAGATCAACAATTCTTAGATGCAGATTTCTCTTTATTCAATGAGGCATTAAAGGATACTCCTGATTATCTTAATATGATTTGGAAAGCGGAAAAGAAATTCAAATCAAAAGATATTCCAAATGAACATAAATGGTTAAGATTCGCCGGTTCTTCCGTATGGTTACCACAATATGAATGTCATTATATGGTTAGTAGAGTATTATATACTCCAACTGGTATTGCCAATAAATCATTTGTAAGTTTCCTTTATGTTCAATTGTTTGATAAACATTGGAATGAAATTAAAGGTTCAACCTTAACTTTACCTTATGAACAAAATACCATTAAAAATGTAATTAATACTGATGGTTCCTATACTTCAACTATCTTAAAGAGAACAATTGCATTCAGAAATGTAACTTATCCTTCAATCTTACCTATTCCAATTGATTATAAATTGAAAACTCCAAATGATAAATATTATTTTGGTCCAGAAGATCCAAGAATTCTTACTAGAAAGAATCCCTTAGGATTTGATGAACCAATCATTGTTTTCAACATGAAACTGAAAAACTTAGATATGAAACGCGTCATGCATCAATATTTACCATTCTCTAATAAATTAGATGTTCTTAAAAAGAGATCTCATCCATTTGCTAATATTGAGAAAAATTGGACACCATTCATTTCCAAAAATAGAGAAATCGATCAAGGTTTAGAATTAGGTAATTCCAAAATCAACTTTATATATTCAATCGGACCTTTAGAAATCTTAAGTTGTGAAATTGATACTGGTGTATGTGATTTCTTACAAAAATCAGATAAAAAAGATTATGATTACATCGGACCTATCAGAGGGGGAACTCAATTAGTTTCACTTCCCTTTGATGAATTAATCCCTGAACATATTAGAAAGACATTTGATTTCCCTCCTAATAGACAAGCTTATGTTGGTTGGGCCAGAGCTCATTTAAGCGATTGTGGATGTGGAGAATCAATGTACAGACCCAATTTAATCATTTTAATTGAAGATTATAATCCTGAAACTAAGAAATTTTATTATAAATTAAGTGATATATCAGACTATTTTGATTTTGATGCTTTGATTCCTGCTTGGGTAACACCAAAATTAGATGAAGATGGGAAATTAATTCCACAATCTGTTAATGATAATAAAAATTTATGTGATGGTAGAAATGTTCTTATTCCAAATTCAATTGCTTATTGGGATATTCATTCCATTATTAAAAATGGATTATTATATAATAAAGTTTATTTCAGTCATATTCCAACCGATGAACATCTTAATGCCGTTGAAGCTTCTAAACAACAACAACAGCAACAAGAATCAGAACAAAAACAAAAGCAGCAACAACAACAGCAAGAAGAAAAATTACAACAGCAACAAAAAGAAAATGCTCAAGAGCAGAAATTAGAACAACAAAAGGAACAGCAACAGCAAAAGCAACAAGAAAAGAAGGAACAGGAACAGGAAGAACAAAAACAACATCAAGTGCCTGTTAAGCGTGAAGATGTAAAGAAACATCCAGTGACTTTCAACGATTACATGGGTGTCACTTTATCTGCTGCTGATAATGATGTTAGTATTATTCATATTCATGGATTATTAAATTATATTCTTACAATCCCATCTATATTTAATGAAAAGAATATCATTAATGCTGATGATAAATTCCGATTAAGAGGCTATGATCTTAATAATAGATGTGCTATTCGTGCTTCCGAAGAATATTGTCAAAGATATGGAAAGGCAAATTATAGTAGATTGGAAGCCGATAAAGCGGTCAAAGAGAAACAAGTTGAAAATAAACCAACGGAAGATAAACCAGTCGAACAACAACAAGAAGCTCAAGGTAAACCATTAGAAGATAAACCACATCATGATCCTCCAAAGCAAAATAGTCCAATCGATGATACCAAAAAAGACATTGTCAAAGATAAAGATGCTTAATTACAAACAAGCACCCCCCATATTATTAAACACTCATATATATTGTACACTTAGATAAATAAATAATTAATTAAATAAACATTGTATTTATAATATTCCCGGAATAATCGCCCATTTTAATTTAAATTCATCACCGAATTTAAGTTTATACCATTTATAATTATCAATTGAACTTATAGATAAATTGATTACAACGAATATCCAAGCTAAGATGAAATTGAGTTGATTGAACCAACAAACTTGATTAAATCCATGCTTAAGACTGAATATCAATATCACGGTGTAGATTAATATTTCATCTAAATAATGTTGTGAGGATACCCAGTGAAATTTATGGGGTATACTGTATTTCTTTAAGGTTGATAAATGATAATGACTTGAAAATTGATCTATGGATAATAGTGTGAACGATATAAGTAATACAATGTCCACCAAGGTCAATGATTGAAATATAGATGACGTGTAATCTTTATAGAGGGATAAATTTGTAAAACAATTGATGGAAATTAATACATAATGAGCTAAACCAACGAAGTAATGACTGAAATTCATAGTTGATTTACTGGTGAATTTCGTGATAGTATAGCTTTCAATAACTCTTCTGAGAGACTGTATCCACATTATATAATGAATCAATTTAATATTCTTGAACGTGACCAAATCATTATGAACAACATCCACATAAGTTGGGAACAATTGAATTGACAGACATAACACTAAGAATACCACATAATAATGAGTGAACCATGATTTTGGAACCGTGAGAGTAACGGCTTGATCGACTATCGATTTAAGAAACGTTGTCTTGGTGGTTGAATCGTTGATAGCTTTGTTGCTTATGCTTTTCCCATGTAATAACAAGTTATTCAATGGTTTGTAGAACTTTACTAAAATGATGTTTGAGATTATGAAAATGTAACCAACAGCAACAATGTAATTCTGTCGTTCGACCCCAGTCACATCTACAACCCAATGTTCTGTCATGGTTATATATGTGGTCAATGGTGACAATAAATTAGAGCTGAAAACAATTTTGGATCAATTTTTTTTGACTGCTAATTTTCGCTTGTGATACTTTTTTTTACAACAACCGTATATTCATAATAGTCTAAATTACAAGCTATTAAAATAAATAAAGCCAATAAAAAGAAATTAATAAACTTCCTGAGAATCCATTAACTCAATCTCCTCAGGAACTTCTCCACCTGCTGGAGCTTCTCCTTCTCCTCCTCCCACTGTAACAGGTATACCTCTATTATCTTTAATCCACATGATGAACATAATCCCAATGAGGAGAAAGAACTTAATATACTCACCCCAGACCATCGTTAATATAGTTGATTTCAAATTAAAATATTCAAATAATTTCGTTTTGAATATGTCTGATTGAACCTTTTCTTCAGGAAGTATCATTGTACCCATATAAGATACTATTAACCTTTTCATATCTTCAATACTTGGATTTACTTCTTTGATGGCATGGAGACCTAAAACCACAATTAGAAGAGTAGGGAGAGCAAATGCACACATTAGACAGACCATACTAAGTTTCAAGTTTTTCAACAACAGTTGTTGTTTATAGCTATGTAAATTGCCAAATTTTTTAAAATAGGCTTTTATAATGAGTGAAATCCAGATCAAGGGGAAGATGGTTAAGATAAATGAAAGGAATGATTTCAAATTATCAATAAACATAATAGAAGTTGCAGTAACTCCATAATTATTATGAAATGGACTTAAATCAAGTAATTGAATAGAACAGAAACTCTCCCAAAGTATTAATACTAAGTTGGTAATAACAAGAATTTCAGGTATCATTTTATTTTTGATAATGTCAATGATGGTGATCGATGGAAACAGTTGAAAAACTCCATAACCGGCAAAAAACTGGGTTGTATAATAAAAAATTGCAACTCCAAATCCTTTATAACCCATAAACAACAATAAAGCGAATACATTTGCTCGATTGAGTTGCCATTTGTTCAATATATATAATATAATTAGAAGACCCAATTGCAAAGCTGTGAACAATGCTGATATGTCTTCGATTATAATTTTAGAAATAAATGAAACAGAATCAAAGCTTAGTAATTTATCACCATCCCGTTTAAATCTCTTAACGTAATAAAACAAAGATACAAGTATTATCACACTTAAGGGGAATGCAAACTTAGCTTGAGTTTGAAGGATGTATCCCCAATTGCTTAAATTCCCAAATGAATTGTGAAAATTGAATTTGATATCCTTATAGATTTTTAAATCGTGAGCTGGGAGCATATAAACACAATAATAACCAGAATTATGTACTGTCATATTAAATTTAGATTCACCTGTTGATTCATCCTTAATGAGGAATCCATTGAAATAGTCAACATCGATAATTTCCTTTGGTTGCAAGTTAAATATTGATGTTAAGGGATCGATCAAACTCAGATGTAAAGATTGTCTATCATTCTTGTATGATTGTTTATATTCATCTACCGTAGGCAAAGTCTGAAACTTATCAAGATCAGTATACTTAAAGATCAATATAGGAAACTCTTGTGAGATATTACCGGTTTTACTGATAATTTCAATGAATGCAGTTTGATCATTTCCTATATCTTGATTATTAACAAGACCACAAGCAGCACCGGTAAAACTTTTCGGTGCAAGCCATAGGAACAACATCTGTATCACCACGAGTACATTAATCAATACCGTTGCGGCCGCTGATGCAAATGAAGCCATTGAGGTCTATACAGTTGATAATAAGAGATCATGTTAGTTGTGGGGCTATATATCTCTTGATCATGTCGTATTTCGGCTTTTGTTTTGTCGTGGTAAAATGTTGCGACATCGGATTTTTAACTTATCATTCCGGAGCAGATATAGACACTTATGTAGATGATTGAAGTTTTAGAAGTCAATGATTTATAGGTGGTTTGATTTACAAGAGTTACTACAACACTGTAATGAATATAAAGGGGTTTAGAAGCAGGGATGTCATATGTTATTCTTCATTAAATGTAAAAGGTTAATCAGTAAAAGGTATACGCCGGCTAGACAAGAGGGTAAACTGTTGTGTGAATGAATAGTAATGTCATTTTTATCTATACCAACTACTTTACTTTAAATTTGCAACGTATTGCTAAAGGAATAATTGTTGCAATGTGTCATGAAAGTCACTTCTTCCCAATTAGGAAATTTCCCGCCTGCCGCTCCCTCGCTCCTCCAATTCGTCAACGGTTTACTTATCACCCAACTACTTATATATTATCTGTTTAAAAGACTACTGACCATACTATTACACTTCTATATAGTTTGTTGATATCATAACCAAATACAACGAAACTAACTTTGCATTGTCAGACCAAATTGAAACAACTGTATAATCAATGATCAAATAGCATTACCTCATCTCATCTCTTATCATAAATATGTTTCACATCAATTGGTCTAATCTAAGTAAATCTCGGTAGAACTAACCATATCTTGATTGATCTCTTATTTCATACAAATACCACATCTTCAACTCATATATCATAAACAACTTTCCCTTCTCTCTACTATTTCTAACCAGTATTATTGTTATCAATTCGTATATATAAGTTGAGTCATCGGGCCTGTTATTTACGCTTTGTGGAGTGAATCGCGGTCACAAGTACCCGGAACTTCTAGGCTTAAGTACGACCTCGGGGTGTGACCTCATACTAACCACCGAACCCCGTAACTCGCTCTGACTCACTAAAAAAAGAATGCGACAAAATTTACAGAAATGAGCGGGAAAATCGTCCAACAGTCATAGAAGATTTAAACTTTATATAAGACAAATAAATTTTTCAAGAAATTTTGAAAAGTTCTGATTTTTCAATATTCAATAACTTAATACCAACAACTACTCTTTTTGTTTATAGACTTATAGCTTGTGCTAGTCAAATCCTTTTGCCCCCTTATTCACATTAAATCATAGAGAACAAAGACATAAAAGATTCAGATAAGAAAATGTGTGGTATCTTTGCAGCTTATAGACAACCAGAGGTTGAACAATTTAAATCAAAAGCATTACAATATTCGAAAAGAATCAGACATAGAGGTCCAGATTGGTCTGGTAACGTTACCCAAAACTCCACCATCTTATGTCATGAAAGATTAGCCATTGTTGGTTTAGATTCAGGTGCTCAACCAATCACTTCTCCAGATGAAAACTACACTTTAGCCGTTAACGGTGAAATCTATAACCATATTCATTTAAGAGATCAATTCAAATCTTATGGTTTTAAATCATTGAGTGATTGTGAACCTATCATCCCATTAGTTGAAAAATATGGTATTGATGCTCCAAAATATTTAGATGGTATGTTTGCTTGGGTATGTTATGATGCTAAAGCTGATAGAATCATTGCTGCTAGAGATCCAATCGGTATCACCACTTTATATTACGGTAAATCATCCAAATCTCCTAAAACCAGATATTTCGCTTCTGAATTGAAATGTTTAATCGATGAATGTGATGAAATTATTGCTTTCCCTCCAGGTCATGTTTATGATTCAAACACTGATGAAATCACAAGATATTTCGATCCAACTTGGTGGGATGCTTCCAAGATTCCTCAAAAGAGAGTCGATTATAAAGAAGTAAGAGAAACCTTGGAATTAGCTGTCAGAAAGAGATTAATGGCAGAAGTCCCATACGGTGTTTTATTATCAGGTGGTTTAGATTCTTCATTAATTGCTGCTATTGCTGCTAGAGAAACCAAAAAAGCCGCTGCTTCTATTACTTCAGAAGGTATTGATGCTAATAAAGAATTATCCGGTGTTGATGATAAAGGTTCTTTACATGCCAGTGGTTGGAACAGATTACATTCATTTGCTGTTGGTTTACCAGGTGCTCCAGATTTAATTGCTGCTGAAAAAGTTGCTCATTTCATTGGTACTATTCATCATTCTCATACTTTCACTATTGAAGAAGGTATTGATGCTTTAGATGATGTTATTTATCATTTAGAAACTTATGATGTCACTACCATTAGAGCTTCAACTCCAATGTATTTATTATCCAGAAAAATTAAAGCTCAAGGGGTTAAAATGGTTTTATCAGGTGAAGGTTCTGATGAAATCTTTGGTGGTTATTTATATTTTGCTAATGCACCAAGTTCAAAAGAATTCCATCAAGAATGTGTTCAAAGAGTTAAAAACTTACATTATGCTGATTGTCTTAGAGCTAATAAATCAACTATGGCTTGGGGTTTAGAAGCTAGAGTTCCATTCTTAGATAAACAATTCTTAGAAGTTTGTATGAACATTAATGCTGAAGATAAATTAATTGATCAAAAGGCCGGTAAGATTGAAAAATACATTTTAAGAAAAGCTTTTGATACCAGTGATGATCCAACTGCTGAACCATATTTACCATCTGAAATCTTGTGGAGACAAAAGGAACAATTCTCTGATGGTGTTGGTTATTCATGGATTGATGGATTAAAAGATTATGCTGAACAAGCCATTAGTGATGAACAATTTGCTAATCCAAAACCAGAATGGGGATCTGATATTCCAACTACCAAAGAAGCTTATTGGTATAGATTAAAATTCGATTCTGTTTTTGAAAACTCTAAAATCGCTGCTACAACCGTTATGAGATGGATTCCAAAAGCCGAATGGGGTTGTCATGAAGATCCTTCCGGTAGATATGCTGCTACTCATGATCATAAAGTTGATCAAGTTTAAACTAAACTAAACTTTATTTATTTATAATTAATTTTAATTTATTTTGAAATAAAAAATTTTGTTGTACATATAAAAAAAATCAAACTTTATAAAAACTTTGTAGAAATTTCTTAGGATAAAAATTTTTCAATTTCATCTTTATCTCTATTATACCAATTTTGATTAATTTTAATATCATCCAATACCAATTTTAATGATCTTTCAAACCCATGAATATCCTTCCCTTTAAAGAAATTTTCAATTTTATTATAAATTTCAGTCTTATTATAATTTCCTAAAGTGAATCTTATAAATCTATCCAATACCACCATATTGGTTGACATTAATTTATATAATTGATCATAATTAGTTAAAAAGAAATCCAAGAATGATTCTTTAGTTAAGGAGTTTTTCGATAATGGAATACCTAAATAATGACTATCCATGATTGGGATAATTTCTGGTTTTAAGAAATTAGCGATTAATTTAGTGGATAATTCCTTATTATTAATATGACCTAAAGCATTTAAGGCCACTTCTCTTGAATCTAAAGAAGTTGGATTAGTGATTTCTTTAAAGATAAGATTGAATTGATCTTCATTGAACTTAGTTGAATGGGCGATAGTAGAGAAAACAAATGATCTTAATGATGGATCAATCTCACCAGTTGTAGTCCATTGTTCAAATAATTCAAGAGCAAAGGCTTCAACTTTTGGAATTGATAATAATCCAGCATGAGATAAAATATCCGATCTTAATTTAACAGTTAAGAAATCTTCTTTCGTTTCTGAACCGAAATCAGAAATCAATTGTTCAGCCTTAGTTTCATATACTGATCTCACAAAGGAAGTTAATTTTGTTGATAAGGGTGACAGTTCATCATTAGTGAAGACCGTCAACAACTTATTTAAATTCTTACCTAATTCCAACCACACGGAATAATCATCACCTAATTGATGTTTGATAGATTTAATTAATTTCAAAAGACTAACAGTAGAGTTATTACCAGCAATGGATGTAGCGGTTGAATCAGCAATTAACCCCACTTTATCTCTAACACTTAATTCAGAGTAGAAAGGTAAGATATTCTTTTCTAAGATTTCGTTCGAATAATTAACACGATAAACACCAGTAGTATCTTTATTTAATTTAAAGAATTCAGACACTAAGGGGAAATTATCAATGATTAAAGTTTCTGATTCGAATGAATCAATGATATTAGATGTATCGACATCTTTACCACTGGCGATACTTAATGGAATCCACCATTTAGTTTCATTTTCAGCGGGAGTGACATCACCACCATTTAAGAATCTTGATTGTTTTAAAACTAAATCGTTGGAAGTTGAAGTTGAGACGTCAATGATTGGGTATCCGATTTTTTTAATCCATTCATTCATAATTTGATCGATTTGTTTATTGGAGACTTGACCAATTGCATTCCATAAATCATGAGAAGTGGCATTATCATATTTATGAGTATTAAGATATAAGGCTACCCCTTTTAAGAAAAGATCTTTACCTAAATAATTTGAAATCATAAGGATAGTCGAAGCCCCCTTTAAGTAAGAAATAGCATCGAAAACTTGATCAATATCTAACGCATCAATGACTGGAACTTCAATAGGATGAGAGTTTCTTAATCCATCCAAAGTTAAAGCTTGTTGTAAAGATTCCGATACAAAACCACTGAAAATATCCCATTCTGGGAATAAATAATCAACAGCACTATAACCTACCCAAGTAGCAAACCCTTCATTAAGCCATAATTCATCCCACCATTTCATAGTAACTAAATTACCAAACCATTGATGAGCTAATTCATGAGCCACGACATAGGCGACTTTTTGTTTATAGGATGGATCTGATTTTGTTTCGGAATATAATAAAGCAGTTGATCTATAAGTGATTAAACCCCAATTTTCCATAGCGTTATGACTGAAAGAATGAACGGCAATTAAATCTAATTTAGGTAATGGATATTTAATTTCGAAAATCTTGGAGAAATAATCCACAATTTTGGGAGTGATTTCAGAAGCTAATTTGGCATTTTCAAGATGATCACCTCCTTTTGTGGTATAGATTCTACATGGTAATGGTTTGTTATCATGATAAATGTCTTCAGTGAATGATTCGATATATTCGAATTCACCCACAGCCCAAGCTAAAAGATAAGTTGACATGATTGGAGTTAATTCAAATGTATAGATTTCATTACCAGTAGTAGAATGTTTAGTGATTGATTCAACTGGAGTATTACCTAATGCAATCCAAGATTTATCGGGGATTTCAATTTCAACTTTAAAAGTTGATTTTAATAATGGTTCATCAAAACAAGGGAAACATCTTCTTGCATCAGTAGCTTCAAATTGAGTTGATAACATGAATTTTTCTTCTCCATTTTCAACATAACTTGATTTATAAAAACCTGCCATATTAGTTTGAACAATCCCATCATAATTCAAAGTTACTTTCAAGGATGAATCAGGAGATGATTTTAGAAGTTGATTGAATTTAACAATAAAGAATTCCTTTTGTTTGAATTCTTGTAATGATTCGATATCAATGATAGTTACGGTTTCACCATTGACGAGTTCAACCTTGATATTTTCCTTTGAAATGATTAAATCTCGATAATTCAAGTGTAATTCATCAGTATCTTCGACAATCTTTAAATCAATCTCGACTTTTCCCTTGAATTTTTCATCCTTAATATCAATATCAGAAATGGATAAATGATAATGATAAGGACTTAAAGCAGTAGGCAATGCCTCATAATAAGGTTTCTTCGTAACGGTACTCATCCTTACTCGATAATCTTGTAAAGAAAGGAAAGGTATATCGAAAACTGTTGATACCAATTAAATAAAATAATAAATCTCACCAGTTATATATATGGCTCCTGGCTCCCCCATACTTTCAAGAAATTTTACTCTTTTTTTTTTCACGGCTCGCTCTTTTCGTCCAATCCTCATAAAATTTTGTAACGGAACGGCATACTTAAAAAAGAGAACAAAATGATTCTTTTGTGATGAATGAACCATCTGACTGAATGGATATAAATTATTATTATCGTAAACATGGTTGGTGATAGTGTCAGGAGTTGAAGGATATATGGAATGGGAAGTATTTGAAACTTATACGATTAGGTGAATAATTATGGATATCACGGAGTCTATTTATCAGATCCGATCTGACCAATTCCAATTGAACTAGTGGTATATCTGAATTATACCAAAAGTCAATTGACTTGGTTGCAAATTATAAACAATAATCATGAACTATTAGATAAACCCAAAGCCTTCATTGTTTGTAATTATAACTAGAGTTAAGTGTATAATTTAACTCAATTAGGATTACACAAGGAAAATCAGTCACATGACTGGATAAATGTCTCCAAATTGGGAGTATCCGTTAGCGACATTGACTGTGTCGTATTATGATATAATCATCTCCTCCTTTAAGGTTATCAATCCAAATTAGAGTAGAACACTTGAAGATTATACTGTAAAATAGTAAGAGAAAAGAGTAAGATATGTAATAATTTAAATAATATTGTACAATTGAGGACAATAAGTTATATATATATATAAATAATTTTTCACTGATTGAAATAACTCTATTAGATGATGATGGGGTAAGAGAAAGGGTAAGGGTAAGATCAGTCATTGGGGCCATTTGACTCCGTAATCTCCACAATTGACTCCTTTCCAAGGAGTTATCATATTCAGTAATTGACCCACAGTTACCCACGATCGTCGATTAAACATTTTATAGTAAAAATAATTAGATTATAGAGATAACTTAATTACATCACATTACTTTTATCTGTTCTTTAATCAACTTGTTTGTGCCAATTGTTTAAAAGGCTCTCACAGGGAAAACATCCATGCATCGAGAATTAATAAAATTCACATCCTTACCGCCAATTGCGGTGTTTTATCTGAATTGGGAACAGGGTGAGGAGACAGCATTCAATGACGGTCAATCAATCATTTTAAAGGAAAAGGCAGCAGCAACAACCTTCAATTCAACTGTTTTGATATCATCCACTTAGACAATCTTATCAGAATCTATCTAGACGAATCACATAACTGATTTACCAGTGATATCCAACTTTCTCAGGTTCGTTATCTTACTTTTTTTTATTCCTTTTAATCGCTTCTACTGTTATCAAAGAACATCAGCGTATTAATCACTCTAGCTCCAATCAACGAATCAATTCATTACTTGAATCATCAAACTCATGGTGCTTTCTTATCGAATATATACTCAGCTCATCAGTGTTTTTCTATTTTTGTTTACCATTGTTAATGCAACTGCTAGTGCTGATGATGAATCAGAATCAAACCCTGATTTAGACCCTAATCCGTCGAATCCAAATTCAAATCCTCAAATTGATATTAATTTAACTTTAGATGATGCTATTTCAGCAAGTCCAAATACAAATTTCAATGTTCAAGGGGCAAGTTGTAATTTAGTTAAAAAAATCTCCAATTCAAGATCAGATGCTTATATTAGTTTATACGTTGATTCAATCTCTGTTCTTGATCAATCAGTTCTTGCTACGTTGAAATTCCCCATCTTGATCTTTAAATATACTGATATTAAGAATTTCACCAATTTACCCATTTATTCAGAATATCTGACCTTATATAAATCAGATAAAGCTCAATTATATCAAGATTTAATTGATTTCGAAGCCAATAAATTCATCTTAAAACCAAGTGGAAATGGTAATACTGAATTCAATGAACATGATATTTATAATGATTATATAACGTTAGATAACAAGACTCCTGAAGAAGAAAAGAAAGATGGTGAACCCGATAATTTCGATCATATTGATATTTATTTCCCCATTGAAAGATCAGGATTATATTGTATTTATATTGCTCCTCCTATTGATAAATCAATCACTGATATGTCTGTCCCCATTCAATTCCAAAATTCTTATGGTTACTTAAGTTATGTGTTTTATTTGGTTTATACTCAAACCAAATATATCATATTAATAAGTTGTGTAATGTTTGGATATTTATTAAATTATATTTTACAATTTAAAATCGATAGTCAATTTAATAATATGAATTCAATCTCATTAATTTCAAGAGTTTTAATCTTTTATACTTTATTACCCTTCATATTTTTAAATTTCCTTAAATTATTAACTTATTATTTACAAAATAGTTTTTCCAATTATTATATTTTAAATTGGTTAGCAAATTTCACAGTGTTTTTAGATCAAGCTTATCAAATTGTGATTAGATTCTTTATATTATTATTTTCTATGGGGTATGGAGTAATTTATTATCATAATGGTAATTCCAAAAATTATAGAATGATGCCTGAAAAGGCCATTTCAAAAGCTTTCACCATGCTTATAATTAATCTTGTTTTATTAGCATTATTTACATTCATCGATGTAAATTCATTTGTTTCAAGTCCTTATAAATTCCAACAACCTTCATCTGTTGGTAAAGGATCGAATAATTATAAATTCATTGCGGTTTTCCATTCCATTTTATCATTTGTGGTTGGTATTTACCCCTTTGCATGGGTTATATTATCTGTGATTAATTATTTTAAAACTAAAAAGATCATTAGTAAATTCCCGATTAATTCTACTGCGAATTCAAATACATCTGAAAAAATCATGACAGCATTTAAACGTTCAATCTTAGTGATATTTATTTTACCTTTAGTAGCGGGACTTTTAACAGGATTTTATTTAGTATATTCAATTGTTAAATCAATTCCATTACCTTCAAATCCCAATGATAAGATTGAAATGGAAAATTATCAAACTCAATTAATTGAAGCTTCATTATCGAATTCATCTAATCTTTTATTTATAATTTGGTCTCAAACTTTAGAGTACTTTTTAATGATTGGATTAATGTATGCAATTTGGATTAGAGATAATACTGGTATAATCTTAGATCCTAATGCCAATGATCCAATTGAATATGCTGATGCATCACAATATGATATCACAGATGATGAAGAGGAGGATGATGAAGATGATGATGACGAAGAAGATGATGAAGATGATTTTGAAACTGCCGTTGACGGTGATGCTGTGGAACAAGAGTTGATTCCACAAAGGAACTAGATTTTGCTTTTTATATTATTGTAATTTTTGTCTTTGTTTTAGTTTTAGTTTGTATTTCGTTACTTTTACGTGTTTATGTGTTTTACCCCATATAATTTATTACCCCATACCTCAATATACTTTTCCAATAGAATAGTACGTTTATTAACTATTTAATTATTTACCTATATTTTTTATTTTTTATAATACATACAGAGGTTATCATCACATTACATTACAAACATAATAATATATATACACCTATAACTTAATTTCGACGTTTACCATTATTTTTATTTTTGAAACCTCTATTACCATTATTACTGAATCTTCTTCTATTACCATGGAATTTGCTATTACTTAAACTTTTATCAACAAGACCAATTTCACGAGCTAAGGCAGTACCTGGTTCAACTCCGAATTTTTCAACTCTGATTAAATCTTTACGAGCTGCTTCAGCAGCTTGTTCATCCCCGAATTTCTCAGCTCTAGCGATTTTCTTGTTTAATAATTCAATACTTAATTGTTTTCTTTCTTCAGCAGTTAAGATCTTAACTTCTTCCTTTGGAGCCGGTTGGATGACAGTTAAAGTAGCATCATCTTCAGCAGCACCTTCAGCAGTTTCAACAGTGGCATCGACAGCTGGCTCCGCAGCGGTTTCTTCAGTGGTTTCAGCTACTGGTTCTTCAATTGATTCTTCAACCACAGTTGCTTCTGGGGCAGATTGGGAATCATCAAAGTCAACTAATCTTTGCACTAATTCGGCCTTTTTCCCATCAATGGATAAGTTCTTTTCCTTTAACAAGTCTTTTAATTGTGCTACTGTGTTTGAATTGTAATCAGTCATGATGTGTGTGTGTGTATACTATGATGATTGATAATTGTTGATATTTGTTGATAGATATTTTACTATGCTTACTTTTTTTTAGAGTTTGAGTTTTAAGTTTGGAATATGAAAAATCGACAAAATTTGAGTTGTGGTGCGTGGTCACAAAGATATTTAAAATCGCCCCAAAAAAATTGTCTTAACTGTATTTGTATTCATAACAGATTTACGAATAACTATGTACTGTGGATTTACAATGATCGAATTGATGTAATTGATGTATATATGAAACACTATGATGAGGAGAGGATGAATAAATAATGAAAAGACGCGATAACCAGTAACATAGCCCAATGTAATGTAATGAAGAAGCAACTATATAGTTAACTTTATATCCAACAAAATCAACAATATCAACATGGCTAAATTAATTATAATCAATATGATAATAAATAATCTTGTAGCAGGAAAGTAATTCCGGATTAATAAGAATTGAACTTGGAAATATCTTATTAATCCAAATATACATCCTAAGATCCCCAACACAATACATAGGGTTGATATCGGTTTAGCTAAGGATTGATATACTTTATTAGCTTTATCACCAATATCGTATTCTTCCCCGGTGGTTTCATCTATCACTTTATTATTTGATTTCATATCTAATCGATAGATTTGAAGAAATCCAATGGAGAATGTAACCAAGGTCATGGCTGTTCTGATCCAACTTAGAAATGTTCGTTCATTAGCCATCTATAAATTGAGTTAGTAAAATGTTAACCAAAATGGTTTCATTGATTATCAAGTACTTACATGATCTCTTGCAACTGATCCTTTATTTTCAAGAATCATATTGAATATGAATAACTCTCGTATAGTTAACCATACATTGTGCCAAGAATTATCCACTATAAGTCTGTTGGGAGGTGAAGGTTGTACTGGTCGTGGTGATTGACCAATTGATTGTTGTGATAATGATTGAGTTGATTTCTCTGATTTGGGATGAGCATCATCAGGCTTTCGTACGATCCCATTACTACTCTTCTCCTTCTCCTCTTTTATTCGTTTTAATCGATCAATTGATTGACTTCGACTTCGTACTTTACTTATACCGTGGTCTTCATCAGTACTGATATCCTGAATATGATTCATCAATGATGATTCCCCATCTTGATTAATTGGTTGCATCTGTATGGAATGATTTACTTTTTAGTATGGGTGGCCTTTGTTTAGAAACTGTGGCTCTCTTCCCTTTCGGGCGTTAAAATAATTTTCTCTTTTTTGGGGTTCAGTATCAAGAAATGACTTTTTGGAGGGCCGCTCTCTCTCTCTCTCTCTCTCTCTCTTCATTGTACTATTTAACTACGGATGTTCTACAGTTATAGCGGCTACTGTTTATACCATAAACTTAGGAATATACATTAAGAATAGAATAGACTTGAATGGTCCTTATAAGAAATAGGTAATACTCACTTTTACTCTTTCTTATACAAATGGTTCAAAAAAGGACATATTGATTAGCTTATACTAAGTTAGTAATTATTTGACCTAAATATATCATGTAAATGTAAGTAATCAAAAAATCCGAAACTACTACGTCGAAACCGAAACCGAAACAAGAATAAATAAAGAAGAAGAAGAAGAAGAAGAAGAAGAAGAAGAAGAGATTATAAGTAAAATTTATTAAACTTTTCCAATTTTTTTGATCTTTAAATAGAGAGTTCTGACCGGCAGCATCAAATTTTTGAACTCCCAAATGAGTGTATTCTTTGGGAGTTAGTTCAAGGGCTATTATTTATATATCAGGAGGTCAGTATCAATCCAATGGAATGTAAGAATAGTTTACAATATAGTAATATAATCTACAAAAGGTTTATTAAGCGGTGTATAAATAATGTTTATAATTTAATCTGAATAGACTCGTAAGTCATTAATTTGAAATAGGTACTACTTACGTTTTTATGTCTTGATTGCTTAGAATCTTATTTTATTAAAGTAACAACATGATTCATATCAAAACTGATAATACTACCAATTCTAGTTAGAATAACTTTAACCCCTAAATATATTGAAATTAATTAGTATGTAGCACAAATAACAATAAAAAGTAATTCTTCAAGATACTTTTGTCAGAAACAATCCGATTGGCTAAATGTAAGATGATAATAAACCTAAATAATATATAAACAGTTATTCTACTTCCATAGTGTTAATTCTATCAACAAAAAATATAATCTGGTATTGAGTACTTAGAAAGAAAAGTGGTTGATAAATCAAAATTTTATAAATCCTCAAATTTTTATTTATGTTGTAAATAATTAGTATTGACGGTCAAACCAACAGTGATTTAAACAATCGATCATTGTCTAATCATAATGAAGGGTTATACCCATCACAAGTACTTAATGAGCCTGATACCTACAGAGTTACTTAATATACGATAATATACTTTATATTTTAAACAAGATTTGACTTTAGAAACAGTCTTATGAGATAATAGGAAATACATACACTATGACGGTTAATTGATCCTTTAATTATACAAAAAGAGGTAAGAATTAAAAAAAAAGGACCACGGTAAATATAATTAGACCTAGATACTCAAATAGTGATTAGTTTAAACTAATAACCAAAACAAAAGTCCATTTCCCAACATCGAAGAGTAAGGAAATATAATTTAAAATTTAAATTCATTTATTTAGAATTTTGTTTGATTATGCTTCCCAAATCTACATACTATTGTAAATGATAGATCTTAAATATATAACCAACATTAAACTTAGACTAAAGTACAATATCTACAGATCTCTACAACAGTGTGAATTACTCTTTCTATACATCTCTACATGGATTGAATCAATCATAAAGGTGGTTTAACAAATATTGAATTAATTATAAAGAAATATTGGACATAAAACATTGTCCTATGATTAATCGGTATAACTTACTCAATGGAATATATCAAATTCTATTAAAACTGAGAAACAAAAACACTAAATGTCAATATACCTCTAACAAATTATTGCAAATAGATCGCTAACCAAATATTACCAATGCAGCTCTAAACAGTTATAACAGGTATCTTCCTAAATATTTAAGTTAAAATTAGTAAATATGTCATTTAACCATTAAATAAAAGCAGAGATAATTATGTGCAAATTGTTGATCTAAATATAGTTAGAAGAAATTTATCTAAATAGAATAATGAATCTTTAGATAAAGATCTAGAAATCCGTAGATTCAATAGAACTGAAACCTGCCTAAATCTGATAATGAAAGATGATACTTTTAAAAAGTTCTTTAAAATTGAAAGTATCCTTTTTTTATCAACCCTGATCCCTAGCGCGATAAATGTTATTTACCTAATCAATCAGTAAACTCTATATAAATCTACAATAATGAGTTGTGAAATTATAACTATAAATATAAATATAAATGTGTTTATGTAAAATTAACTAACAGTATAACGTACCCACTCGACACAAAGGTGAAGTTTAACTGCTTTGGTAACGTTAAATATAAGCAACATGTAAAAATTAAATTCAATTATTTAGTCACTATAGTTAGTAATCACCCTAAATATCCATAATGATAAGTAGAATTTTCCTAAAAAGATGTTAGTATACAAGCAAAGTCAGCTACATTAACGACAATGAGGAAGGAATTAATTGTTCCCAAAAAACAGTATTATGATACAAGCTCGATCAAGAAACAGAAGAAGAGGAAATGTAAAATGTAAAACATTTTTATGTGGTCAATTGAACTCCCTTTTATAGTCTCTCCCTCCCCCTTTACTTTAGTTTAGTTTGTATCATACAGTTTTTGTTATCGAATATTCTACAAATATAGATCCTTTAATAATTATACAAGCTTTACATTTCAAAAAGGAAATAACTTAATCTAATAGGTAAATACTTACGTATTCTTCAATCAACTAGGAAAACAATATTAAAGTAAAACAAATAGCCTTGTACGCTAAAGTGTTAGTTGATAAGTTTGCTAGATATTAGTTATATTAATTCAAAGTGTCTTTGACATAATCACGATTACCATTATTTTAAGTATTTTATCAAGTCTTTTTACAGGCATGGCTGACAATATTATCGTGTTCTAAATGTTAGTAAAAGGGTGATCTCTATATGCATTCAGTTATTAAAGTGTGTTCTTTAAAAGACGAAACAAAAAAAAGAGAAGAATTTAACACTTTCAATCATACTTAAGAAAGAAAGAAAGAAGTTGTTGGTTCTTCTTTTTTTATTAATGATGGATCTCAAATTTTACCCCTTAAAAGTTTTGATCCTTTAGTTGGACCACACAATACTATGTTTAGATCATTGACCAGACATTGATTGATTTCAATTGACCATGAAGTATATCAATTGTTTGGGTATAATGTAGTTTATAAAGTTAATTTTGGAATAGATTATATCTTTGTGTATTCTACTTATATGCGGAAGTAAAGAGATGAAGGGATACTACAAATTAAATGTAATAAAGTGATAAATAATATATTATGATATAATCATTCGAATAATGTAATAGGTATTACTTACCATTAATATAATAGAAGAACAAAATATTCCCAAAATTAGACATGATGCAATTTTAGAACAACAATGAGATCCCTGTTGAAAGTAAGTTAGTTATTAACCTAAATATTGACAATAAAGTTAGTTTTTAGATCAGAACACCAACATATCAGTATTATTGCAAAACAATATAGTTCAATTTCCAAATCATATAAAAAACACAAGACAGCCACAAGAAGATCCACAAATAGAGGAAATAATCAATCATTCTTTATGATAAGAAAGTAGTAAAGAAAGAAAAGAATTAAAATTTGTAAATTAAATTTTGAGATTTGTTTGACCGTCATTTTTTGCTGGTGCTGCCAAACTTATAATTATAAACACTACAAAGCCCTACAAACAATCTAATTGTATAACAATGATAAATGAATATATTATATAAAGTGATTAAGTTAAATTAATCTTAGTCTCAATAGGTAATACTTACTATGGTTACTCCTAAGTTATTCTGTTGATATTAGTGTTTCTGATTAGATATATTATTTAATATTCAACATGTAAGTATCATATGTCCTAAATAGTTAGTTAAATTAACATATATAAACATAAATCAACTTTCAAAGGAACTTCATTAACCTAATTGTTGTATTTAGCTTCACTAAAGGAAAAGTTAGAAATAGATTAAACCTAGATATTCAAACAAAATTATTAATGTCAGCAGATCGTTTTTTTTACCAGATTACATGAAGTAATGATAAAATTGGTTTGATCTATTTGTTTCGTCCAATCAATCAGCAATATTCATTAAGATTTTTAGTATGAGTTCAATCAATCAATCACTATGTAAATGAAGAAAAAGGGTTCAAAAGAATTTTAGAAAATGTGTTTTTTTTTGTACCCCTTTAACCTCTTTATTAAAAAGAGGATTTCGTGCTGTCAATGCTATAGAAATTATAAGAACTTTAGAAGATGAATATATAAAATAGTAAATTATAATCAATGTAGCTCAATTGATCTATTAAAGTCTTACAGGGGTCTTTATGAATAACAAACAGTATATCTATATATTAAATTTCAATAAGTTTAAATGAAGTAAAAGGTATAACTCACTCTAATGATCGAGACCCAATGGACGATATCGGCTTCTCTGCACTCTACACCAGTTGGATCTATCATTTTTCTAAATCCACACTGAATCTATTATCCATGCCATATGTTATTATA